TTCGATTTTATTGCTTTTATTTGTTTGAAAAATTAAAAAAACTCTTATAAATGAGTAAGAAAAAAACGCGTGTCTTCGACCGGGAAATGTTTCAAAATTACTCCCAAAAAAATTCTCCACCTTTTTTTACCACTCAAAAACAGTACATTTGCTTGTAGTTGTCAACAAGTATTATTTGAGCAATGTTTTTTTCTCAATATGAAAAAAAGCATAAAAAAATCTTCCAATACTGCATTGCAATTGAGAAAAACAATTTTTTTGACTTTGCGCACCTCTCAATTTTTTCGGCGAACATAGAATTATTATTTTTTTGGCTTAAAAAAATTTCATTTACTGTTTATAAGTAGTTTTCTAAAAAAATTAACTTTGTCCGCGACCTAGATGAATATCAAAACGCAAAAATTAAGTTTATTTTTTTCGAACTCGCCTCCCTATTCCCTACGACACTCCGTTGAAACACATGGAAAGTACCTAAAAACCTTTTCAACGGAAAGAGGAACCTTTTCTACATTTATGCTGAGATTTTCATCATTTTTCACAGAGGTGGAGGATTAGGATGGCAGCCCTTGGCTTGGCGGCCAAGCCAAGCCATTGGGCCAAGCGATAGAAATGATTCATTGTCTTACTATTGAAAAAGTCATTTCTGCTTTTGGGCGTTCATGGCTTGGCAGGCAGGGCGGCCACTGGGCAGCCATCCTCCACCTCTGATTTTTCATTGTTTCTATCGGCTGTACGAAACAATCAAAGACGGAATACCAAAAAAATGGCCTTTTTCCCTCGCGAAAAGGGGCGGGGCTTTGCGGTCGCTACCTAAAGGAGCCAACTTTCAAAAGCGGCACCTATAGGAGACGTGCTAGTCGATAATTGTCGTGAACTCTGAGCGAAGAAGAATTTCCATGGGGAAAACGGAATAAATAAGCGTTTTTTGAATGAAATTGAACGACCTCTATAGGGTCCACTTGAGCTTTTGGGCTGATGGGTGCGACCCTAAAGTCCGCTTTTCTACCCCTACAGGAGTTTCTCTCCCCCCTCGACCCCTATAGGGACCACTCTGAATTTCTTAAGTATTGGGGAAAATTTGCAAGTCGAATTTCCTGCGCGCTTTTCATCATCGAGGTCGCGTATTCGGAATTTTTTAAACTGAAAAAAATCTTTTTATTATCATTTCAACGTTATCTTATTATCATTAAAAACGAACTAAACATTTAAATCCCAACGACTTTGACGTTTTTGTACTCTTAAAGCTTTTTCTGTCCCCGAAAAAGAGTTTTGTGTCAGTAGAACCGTTAAGTTCGGGGATCTTGACGTATTGGACTTTTGTGGCCAGCATCTGGCGGAGCCACGACAGAGGTCTTAGTGCACGTGGCACTGTCCGGGGTGTTTATAGCAACTGCAAGGGGAGGGAGAGGCGGTCGCGGGACGAGAGATGGAGGAGAAGTTACACTGAAGATGGGTCGAGCGATGTCCACGTCGACTGGACCAGTTCCCTACATCTTTCCTTCCCCTTCGGCTTTGCTTCACCACAAACTGTTGTCCCATTTCTCGCGATTTCTTTCTCTTCTCTTCTCTTTTCTTCTATTTTGATTAGACGGCTTTTGACGAAAGAGTTTCATAATCTTAGAGAGAACTATTGTTATCCTAGAAAGAGAAGCTTCCAGAGTGTATGAAAAAGTATCCTGACCTATTTTTAGCAAAAGTAGAACAACTTCCCTTTGTAAGTATTGAATGTTTGGAAAAATAGCGACTCTGTTTATAAAGCTCCTTCTTTTCGTATACTTTTCCTTGCGATCCACTCAAGTTCCATTTTCAGAAATGGGTAAGTACCTGATTGTCGCTCTGACCATCTTAGCGACTTTCGCTAACGCCGAAGAAGAACAAAAGCTGAATTGGAAGGTCTGATGACCCATCCAAACCCTAATTAAGCGCGGATAATTAGGAGGACGATGGTCTCGAAATCAAGATCATCAAGCCGATCAAGGCTGAGAAGTGTAAGGTCAAGTCGCAAGCCGGCGACGTCGTCGACCAGTTCTACAAGCTCTCCGACAAGGACGGCAAAGAGATCGGCAGCAACTTCGGCAAGAAACCGTTCGTATCCTTTCAATCCAACATAGAGAAAGATAATCGATTTCAGATACACGTTCACCTTGGGCAAAGGGCAAGTGATCGAAGGAATGGACCGCGCCATGACCGGAATGTGCATCGGCGAGAAGCGCAAAGTGGTCATTCCTGGAAAACTCGGATTCGGAGACAAGGGCCGCGAGCGCGACGCCATCGGCGAGGACCAGACTCTCTATTACACCGTCCAACTTGTCGACATCTTCCGCGCCGTTCCTGGGGATAAGTGGACCACGGACGAAGGCATCGTCATAGAAGTGAGAGATTCCTTCTTGGTTAGGTTGTTAGGAATAGAGAAACCAGTTATCGTAAATCTGAGCGGTAGGTGAGTCATAGAAACAACTCTCGGCACTCAGGAGCACCAGAGTGGTCCCTATAGGGGTCCTTGAAGGGTTTTTCAAACCCCTGTCGGGGTCACTAAAACTTGCAGAAGTGGTCCCTATGGGGGTTTTAATTAGTGGCCCCTATAGGGGGAATGGTAGTCGATAATTTTCATGACCTCTATGCGAAGAACCTTTTCCCTGCGAAAAACTGAATAACGAAGCGTTTTTTGAAAAAAATCGAAAGACCCCTATGGGGACAACTTGAGCTTTTGTGGCTAAGGCGTCAGACCCTAAACCCCTATAGTGACCACCTTGATTTCACCCCTGTAGGGACCACTTTTTCGGCCACAAATATGGCTTTTTTCTTTAAAAACCTGTAGGAACCACTCTAATTTGAAAGTCTATTACAAGTTCTGAACTTCCTAGACTTGTAGAATTTCTCAAATTTCCCCAAAAATCACTTCTTTTTCGGAAAATATAGAAGAGCCAAGAACTGCAGCAAAGTCTCAATACCTAAACATAACCCGCTTAAAACTTGGAAAATATTGTCGAAAAGGGTATCCTGAAAGTTGAAGTGACTTTCTAGATATTTTGTTTAGACTACATTGAGAAAAATTTAGTTGGATTTACACGAATTATTTCCAATTCATATGAAAAATACTGACTTCTTGCAGGTGACGCACAAGATCGACGAGAAGGACTGCAAGAAATCGAAGACAGGCGACACCCTGCACCAGCAGTACGTGCTGCATCTCGAGGACGGCACCTTCGTCGACTCTTCCTTCTCCCGCAACGCGCCCTTCATCTTCCGTCTCAACAAGGGGGTCCGCAACAACCCGAAAACTCTCCGCAACGTTTCAATTTGCAGGAGGTGATCAAGGGAATGGACATCGCCATGACCGACATGTGTGAGGGAGAACGCCGCAAGGTCATCATCCCTTCGGAATTCGGCAAGTTCCCGCGACACGACAATTCTGAGTCTCAGCTTTTCAGGCTACGGTGACGACGGCCGTCCGCCACAGATCCCCGGAAAGTCGCGCCTCTACTTCGACATCACCCTGGAGAAGCTCGTCAAGAAAGACGAACTCTAAACCTCCACCTAATAAAATAATATTTTTCATTCGGGTTCTTGAATCTTAACTTATTCACTTGTTTAACGATGAATTGAATACGTTTGTTGCTCGAACTGTTGGTTTTTTTGTTGTCTTTTTTATCAATTGTACAGCATTCCGATCAATAAATTAATGAATGAGAATTCCATTTAAAAAAAATGAGAAAAATGATTTTGAACAGATTATAGCTTGAAAGAACAAAAGCAAACAGCGTTATAGTCAATTTTTCCCGACTTGAAAAACATTCTTATTTCGAAATAAAACAGAAAAAAAAAGGAAATTTGATTACGAAAACGGCTCCTGCAACATTTAAAAGCGCGTGTTTTTGACGCAAACACAGCTACGGACTTGCTCGAATTTTTCAAAAATTTCAAAAAAAATTGTCATTTTTCAAAGTTTTTGAAGCCGTTAAACGACCCTTGTTTATCTGTTCTTCATTTTTGGATTTCACAAGGTTGTAAAATTATATTTTTTTTTAACTAATCAACTAACGTCGCTAACCTAACAGGAGCGAAAGGGGGCAGCAGCATAAGTCCTATCTTGTCAAATTACAGATGCCGGTTGATAGTCCGCATCCCGTTCGACATCGAGTTCTTTCGAACCAGCACGACTGGATGAACAAGGACAATAACATCCATCCGGACGAGTTGAGTTACATGAAGCAGTTCATGGTCTACAAGCTTGGCTATCCCCAAGAGTGCACTCAGATGACGGAACAACAGCGTGACGCTTTCCTACTCAGCGAATGGAACAGGTTTTTTTAGTTTTCAATGTAATACTGATAGAATTCCTTATGTTCTGGGTCATGTTTTTTTTTCCGGATACGGGTTTCAAAATTGCAATGCGGTCGTGATTCGTTTTTAGAACAAATTTAAATACTGTTGCGTTTTTTTAAATCTTTTTCTATAAAGTCTTTTAAATTCATCAATTTATGGAGAGATTGAAAAAGTCACACAAAATCAGCAGTTTGAATAGCAGCGCGACTTTTTTTGAATACGCAAATAATTTGCAATCATTCATATAAGTTTCCAGATATCACAGAACGTTGCCTGAAGTCTCTGAACCTCCTTTTTTGCTCAGCAAAACGGAATATTCTAAAGAAAATAAAGAAGCTATATCTGCAGGTCTTTTTTCCGGCTTTTTTACAGTTTTGATCAAGATATTTTTCAGTAGAGGCATCCTTGGATCCATTGAACGCCACTCCACCAGAAGGATTTTTTGAACTCGACGGGAAAAAACTCGAAAGTTCCGAATTCATCCATAATATCAGTCGGTTTTTATTCAGCTTTCTATCTAGATTTTCCTTAAGGAGAACAAAAATTGAAGATGGTATCTATTCAGTGGCCGGATTCGACGCGCACAAAATGAAGGAAAGACGGGATGCTCGTGGAGCAATGAGTGTCTTAGAACGACGATTACTAGATGAGGCGGAGTTCGAAGAGTCGTCAGATGAAGACGGAGCTCAGTACGAACTATTCAAGAAGCCTGAAGACCAGGATAAATCTATGGAGTCGTCCTTCAACGACTCCCGCTTTCTAGATGACCATTTACACCTTAGCCCTCCTCCGTCTCCTATTCCCAAGAGTGAAGCTCGAGAAATCTGCGAGCTTCTAGACGGGGAAGAGCTGTACGAGAGGTCGAGAACCGACCAAAAAGTTTCGAAAAAGACGGGCAACAAAAAGCAAATAGAAGAACTGGCCCAGTTGGCCGAAGAAGGGCTTGCGATGGAAAGAAACCGTGCAGCGACAGAAGAACGCGTCGGGAAAACCACACGGGAAAGGAAGGAGAGTCGAAAGCTACAGAACGTAGAAGAAGTTCAAAATACGAAGGTTTTTCCAGTACTTGAAAAAAATTCAATCAAGATGAACTACAGGGAAAAAAGAAGGGAACGTTCAAAACTGCAGTCAGCAAACAGCTCGGTCGTATAAAGCAAGTAAAACTCTTGGTTTCTAAATATTTTACTGTTTCAGGGAGCGAGGAGGCTTCTTGATGTCTTTGAAGAACAAACTGAAGACTGGAAGCAGGAGCAGAAACCGCGAAGATAGACCCGCGGGGACTCCGCTCACGTAACTGTCACCCCTACTTTGTAAATGACGATATCTATTTTCGAAAACTGTACATAAATTTTATCCATTAGGCATCATGAAATGAAGCGTCAGAACGACTTTTGAACAACATTGAGCTTCAGTTTGAGCTCCCAGAAGCAATCTTGATGGGCCGGTTGTTTGTTGGGCAGCGTGACGAACGTCTTCAGAAGAGTGTGGTGACATCTGAACTTTGAATTTACACCTCGTTCAACTTGAAACAGCTTTCGTCTCTGCATTTATTTCCCCCACCGGAGTACTGGGAAAATTTTTAGTGGCCACTATAGAGGCCCGCCAAGGACTACTTGGAGAGGACACTAAAGTGGCCATTAAACCCACCTCTATAGTGGCCACTATTTACCGTTTCAGTGGGCACTATAGAGCTTCTCTATTTAGTCGTCACTTCAGTAGTTTTTCACCCAGTAACTCTGATAATTATAAAACTAACAGATTGAACCAGTTATGTTGATCCATTGACCCCTAAAGTGGCCACTAAAATTGTTTGTGGTCTAGTAGTATCACTTAGACCTGTATAATGATCACTAATTTTTAACCCCTTAAGTGGTCAGTAATTTGACTACTATAGTGGCCACTAAAGCGTCAAAACCCTATACTGGCCACTAAAAATTTTCCCAGTAATTATAAAACAAATGATTGTAAGAACACGGAGGCTCATAATTTATAGTGGTTATCAAACTATTTTATAAAGGACAAGACTCACATAGTACATTGGAAGCAACTCGGATGCCAAAGATGACCCATCGCTTCTGTAAAGTGGCCGACAATGTGCTCACTGCAACCTGCAGATTTTCGGATTCCCTCGGTTCGAAAATGGCAGTTACCGTGACATTTCGGTCGGGTGGCTCGGAGATGGCAGTGCTCACAGAGCAGCAACCCGCTGTGCGAAGCACATCTGAGCAAATTTTTATTTCGTTAAAAATTAGTCACACTTTGCTTTCAGAAGCTTTAAATGTTTTTTTCTAATGAGTAATATGAAATAGAAAGAAAGAATAGAAAATTTGAAAAAGACTAATTTTGAAATAAACAGTGAAAAATAAACGTGATCCATTTATGGACTTATTCCTGATTTATTTTAATTTACAAGACGAAACCTTTCATTTTCGTGTATGCGGCACGAACATAAGTCACACATGAGATGGTTTACATGCCACAACTGTAAGTTTTTGTTTCATTTTTTCATTTTTCATCCAGTTTCAAACCGTTCCTCGGGCCAAAAGAGCCGCATCTTCGCCGACTTTGACTCCACAACGACCGCACTCGTCCATTTTGACAAATAAAATGAATCTTTCCTGAAGGCTTTCTTTTAAACGTGATTTTTCAAATTTTTGTCCTCATTTCTTTTCGTTGTAGCTTCGACAATGGCCGGCTCCAAAGATGTAATTTGTTTGTGGATTCTGAAAATTCGAAAAAGCTTTATCCAAAATCTTTCCTAATTTGAGCTTGTTGTAAAACTTACTTTGATATTCTACCTATAGTCTGTTCAGATATTGAATTTCAAGTCACCGCCCTTTATGCGTAGATCAAACCAATCAGAGTGCGAGACATCCACATAGCATTGTTTGGGGCCGAGTTTACTGCTTGACATTCAAAATCTGAATTCTGAACAGACTATAAATCTTGAATTTTTTGTGAGTGAAACCACTTCCAATACTAATTGAGTTCCCAGGGCTTTTTTTTCTGACGACGCCCTGCCCATCTTCTTTTCCGTAAAGTGTAGTGTTTCGTGTGCATACACTGCGACGCCCTCGCACATGCCGCGTTCAAAGTAGTTTTTCGCGAAATTCGAAATAATCTCTGAATTTCCGAAATTCACGAATATTTTTCACTTTCTGGCGGCTATTTTCCATTTCGCGAAATCAATTTGAACAAGGCAACAGAAAAATTGCGTCTTTTGAATGAAGAAACGATTCTTCTCAAAACCCATTGAACATGCGCCTTTAATATTCCCTGTTTTTACGCTTGTTCCCCATGACTTCACATGAGAACGGTGTAGTTTTGGCTCCGCCCCCTTCATTTTTGGTTTCGCATTTTCTTCCACTAACAAAAACGCTGTTTCGTAAATTCCCACGAACGATTGAAAATAAACAACTTTCCTTGAAAGCCACTATTATTCGAAACAAAAGAATTTATGATCTCGTCTATCAAATAGAAAGAAAAATGAAGAAAGTTAAGGGGACAGAAGACCGAAACATCACGGATGCTGACCGACAGTGTCCGCAGATGACGACATACCGCGAACGTGTGCAGAACAAACTGTCTCTACATCCGGTTTGGACTCCTTGATCTCCATGAAGCAATCAAAACTTAGGGCGAAGTGGTCGGGAAGCAGTGGAAAGTGCTGCGGTTCATCGAGTCGGTCAAGGGATTCAACGACATTTTCGTCGTCGAAAACTTTGAAGAAGAAAAACCTCGCTGCGCTCAAAGTCTCTTTTGAGGTTTCTTCATCACAAATCACGTCTGCTTTCAGATCGAGAAAAAAAATGACCCTGTTCCGATGCTCCAATTTGAACTTTTTATTTTACTTAAAGTGGAGCAATCGAAAAAATGCAAGCAGTTCTGCAAGTAGAAACACATTTGTTAACCTGCTTCTTAATATTGAACTCAGAGTTCTCGGAAAAGGAAATGAAGGCGATTATAACTGGATCACTATTAGTCTTTGTGGCAAAAATCTTCGAGTTTGTTGTTTTTTTTTTTATTCTTCTATAGTCTGTGTAACACGACTTGGAATTTCACGGAACGACATTCCGCTGTGCCGCTGCGCGCCTTTGCGGACCTTGGTCGCTTTTATTAAGGTACTTTACTTTCATGTGCTTCCACAGTAATAACAATCAATTGAAAGCGTGAGCTAGATCCGAAAGACGCTTCGCGAACGCACGCAGTGGAACAGCGAAATGTCGTTCCGTGAAATTTCAAGTCGTGGCACACAGACTATAGTCTTTTTTGAAAAATCCAGGCTTTGAGAAAAGCCCAACCAAACGGGAAACTTTCCTTGGCTTGTGGGCTTAGTGTGGCGCAGCAGTGTTTGAAGGGAATCGAAGAGCTTCACAAGGTTTTTGCCCTCCTGAGTTCGTTTCTGCAATGATTTGGAAGATTGGCTTCATCCATCGCAACGTGGCCCCTTCCACATTTGCCATAGGAAAGTACGAAGGAGAGCACTCGGCGGCGGAACTTCGCAACGTACGTCTTGGCCTTGTCAGAATTCGAATTTTTTTTAAAAGATCTACGTCCTCGACATCGGTTTCGCTCACCAATACGTCAAACCAGATGGAACTCTGAAGCAACCATCGCCAAAACCATGGAAATACGTCGGCCCGATAAGGTAAGGCCCCTTGAACCACATTTGTCACTATTCTGAACTAGACAGTAGACCCTATAAGGGACTTCTTTTTACCTCTACAGGCCCTTATAGAGACTGTTTTCCCCCTAGTCCTTATAGGGATCACTCTAAAAGTCCTAAGTACACGGCGTTTTTTTTGACGACGCCCGCCCATATTTTCGCGTAAAGTGTAGTGTGTCGTGTGCATGCACTGCGGCGCTCTCGCACATGCCGTGTTCAATGTAATTTTCGCCAAGTTCAAAAGAATCACTTTCTTTGAACACGGCACGTGCTTAAAAGAAATGAAACAGAAAAATTGCAAATTTTTCAAATGGGAGATCGATTCGTCTCATGGCCCATTGAACATGCGCCTTTAATATCCCTGTTCTTTAAGCGTATCTCCCATGACGTCACATGGGAACAGCGTAATTTTTGACTCCACTCATTTCATTTTTTGGTTCTACCACTAACAAAACACCGTGTAGACACATGTCGCGGAACGCCTACATGGGAAACGAGCTCGCTCGGTCCGACGACATCGAGATGTGGTACTACATGACTGTGGAGCTCATCAAAGGCGGCCTTCCTTGGGCGCATCTTCGAGTCTTTCCTCTCTTATGTTCTCTCCATTGATAAGTTGATCTTCAGGATGCAAAACTTGTTTTCGAATACCAAAAAGCTTGCCGAAACGGTCTCGCCTTACGAGAGCTTCTTGGAGGTCTGCCAGCTGAGTTTGTGGACATCATGAAAGAGGTCAGAATCTCGTAATTCTTCTTGAAAGTTTCTTCAGATCGATAAACTGTCGTACAAGGACGCGCCCAACTATACAGAAATCTACGGGCTCCTCACAAACGCCATTTTGTTCAGCGGAAAAAGCGTTTGGCATTGTAAAACATTTATTAAAATATACTCATGTATCCAGGAATTTCCGTATGACTGGGAAGCGCAAGAAGTTGAGGAGTTCAAAAACCCGCCAGCAGCAGAAGAGAAAAAAGAGGGTGACGAGAAAAAATGAAGTCGCGGTCATGGCAACAAGAATCTCGCGGCTTTACTTGTATAATAAACTTTCTTTTTCACTTTTCTAGAGCTCGTCCTTGAAAATAGGTAGAAGAGTTGGTCCTTTTTCGATCAGTTCATCTGCTTCGTCAACTTCCTGAAGCATTAAAGTTGGTTTGGATGAACTTGAAAAATAAGACTTTGTAAGAGACGACGCCGTCGTTGTTGAAATCCAGAATCCAAGCGACCCCGGGATCTCTTCGTCGACCTTTTTCCTTGGAAGAGAGATCCGTGCGAGAAGCCATGAGATCTTCGTCGCGTCGCATCACGACCAACCACTCTCTTTTCTCAACTTTTCCGTCTCCGTTAACATCGAAATACCTGAAGTCAGGATTGTAGGAGTACACGACAAGATGATACAAACTTTATGTAATATTTAGCAGCACTGACGTTGTCGATGTCCTCGTTTTTCCACGACTTACCGTACTCCTTTTTCATCCGCTGAAGCCATCCAACGACCTTGAAAGAGTCGAGTTTTTCGAAGAAATATCTCTGGGACCTCGTTTTGGTCGAGCCGCGTGTCGTTGTTCATGTCGAGGAAGCTGAACTGGCCGTCTTCGGAGTACGGCTGCACATGGATCATCTCCACGTCGAACGTCAGCCAGTGCTCGTCGTTCGGAATGTTTTTCCACACTGAAAAACGAAGTTAAAAAGTCCTCTTCTTCACAAATAACCTCGGCTCTTCGCTTTGCGGCTCAATCTGTAGGGCACTTGGATTTTCCGTAGTTCTCCGGAGCACATTCCTCTCAGTCCCTAAAGAGAAATTCTCTATTTGTTACTTTGAGCTCTGTACCTTGTCGAGTCCAGGTATAACCATTCCCGTCCCAAGCTGGATGGTGACAGGGCCAACTCCGTAGGTCTGATCAACTTTCTTCCCGTCTTCGGTAAACGCCTCAAACAGTAGGTTACTGGGTCATCAGAAAAAGTGGTGGTGGTTGAGATGAATAACTAGTTTGACAGAGAAATTACCTTGTAGTGGAAGGAAACGAAATCTTTGCGTTTCGCCGCTGCTACACACTTTGCCGGGACAAACGTTTTTTCAACCTGTCGAAAAAAAAAAGTGATATTTCGAATATATCCTTTACCTTTATGTCTAAAGGACCTCCGTTGCTGATTTCTTCGAGGTGCCGGATCTGAGCTGCACTCATCGGCTTCCCTTCCCCTCGGATTTCTATGACAGGGATGCTCTCGTCGACTCCTCGACGTCCGCCGCTTGCAACGTCCACTTCAAGGGCGCCATCTACAAGCCTCAATCATTTAGGAGCTCCAGAGGGGTTCCTATAGGGGTTAGGAGGACAACAGTCCCTATAGGGGCCGAAAAAGGAGTCCCTATAGGGGTAAAAGGAAGGTGGTCCCTATAAGGGTTTCGGGTCTGATTCCTTTGCCTTTAAATCTTGAGTGGTCCCTATAGGGGTATTTCACCTTTATTTAAAAAACGCTGTTCATTCAATTTTTCGTATGGAATGCTTCTACGCATAGAGTAAATAAAAATTATCGAATTTTGTCTTTCTTCCTTAGCGTTACAACAAGTGATATACTGAAGAAAATGTATGAAATTGTCGATGGAATACTTGAAGTTAAAACATTTTGGGAATAGTGCTGAAATAAATTGAGAAATTACGAAATTTCTATTCGAAATCGGGAAAATTTTGATGTTAAATCTAACTTATAATTATTCATTAACTTATGATCTTCGCTGGGTGAAAAATAAAATTTTATTCGAAAAAACGAAAAAAATTTACCTGCCAATATAAAGAGTAACGAAACAAGAGCTGATTGCAGCCCCAGCATTTTGTCTCAATTTATAAACGAACACAGGATTATGAGTGGGTTTTGAGGAGCGTCGTCGGGGCCGCGCGCAGGAAAAAGAAGACAATTGTTCGGGACGGTGACCTTGTGTAACTCTACTGGATATATGGGAATGCATGAATACCGGAGAGAAGACGAGATAGAAGAGACGTAGGAAGCCAAGATAGCGTAGAGAACCGCCAAGGACCGAGCCATGGTGAAATGAAAATTGCTGGATGGAAAAAAAACTTGTTCTGTTCGTTTTTTCCTTCAACAGCTTTTGGAAGGAAAAACAGTTCATTTTAACCCTTTTTTCTATATCAAAGAAAAACCTGAGTTTTTCACACAATGTTGTTTTACGGTGTCAACGAAAATGAGTCCTATGTGCACTGGTCCGCAACCACCGACGCACATTCTATTATTTTTTTAATTTAAAAAAATCGTTATTTAATTCACAGCACTTACTCTTTATCCAGCTAGTGTCTTTCTTGAAAAAAATTAGTTGCCTAGTTGTTAAATGAGCAAAGGAATGGTTCATCTTGGCGCAGCTTATTTTTTTCTTTGAAGCGTTAGGGCGATTGTACTTCGCGATTGTAATGAAAACTCATATAAAATAATTTTCGGCTTTTTTCCATTGAGAGCAACCGTTTTAATATTGCAGAATCGACACTCTGGTGAATAGCGGGCTTCTTTTCGGGTGATCGCTGGAAACCAGCGATCTTTTTATTTACGAGTCATGACTGTTACTTCACACATTGGTGAAATTTTAAGACAGGGTATTTGGGCATCTCTCACTGGCGGCTGGTTTGTAATTTGGCTTTTAATTTTTTCAGAATAGATTTTAAGGTACTATGAACCTTCACACTCGATATTTTGTAATACAGTTCATGTCTACATTTGGCTCATCTTGCTGTTAGTGCCGTTGGTGTTGGGAATATTCATGTCAGGTTCTTTAACATATCACGTTATCATTGGCTACTGCTTCTTCACAGCTCTGTTGTTCAGCTTAATAAAGGTACAGAGGGATAATGATAAAAGGTAATGGATCAACTTGCAGACGGCGGTGTCCTACCTGCACAAAATGTTCGACACAACCGATCCGGTCGTTGTCACGCGCACCATAAACGACTCCATTGATGAAACGATGCGAGACAGTGACTGTTAGTTATTTTAAAAAATTGTATATCATTTGAATTCTCGAAAGAATATTTTTCTTTTCAGTGCGGCTGGAACAGGCCCTCGATTCGGAAATGATCGAGCTGCGCGACATGGGTTTCAACGTACGTGGCAGCACGGAAAGAACTCTTGAAAATGCGAATGGTGACCGTGACAGCACTGGAGGGACTTCTCGACGTCCGCAGGTTCTAAAACTCAGAAAAGAGTCTTCATAGTTTTCTCATTTAAATATTGTTTTCGAATTGTCAAACTTCTTCATTTCTTCAAATATCTTTGCCTTTTTTCGCTCAAAGTTATGTAGCGAAGTTAAAAATTACCGTCAGATATTAATTCTAACACCGTATTAGTCATTCTAAATCACACAGCAAAAAAACCGATGAAAAATAATTAATTGACTTTTGTGAACTTTTCTGAAGATGTTCGATTAATGCTGGGTTCTTCATTTTTTAGTTATGCGATTTCCTTTCTAGAAAAAAAAAATGTTTGAATTTCTTGGATTTCAATGAAAGGTTCATTCAGGGCAACAGTACGTCGCGTAGCTCCGAGGACAAGAATGATGGTATGTTTTATTTTACGGATGTTCCGTACTTAAAAACTCCAGAGTGACCCCTATAGGGGCAATCTTCGTGGCCCTTGAACGGTCTCTTCTCAGGACCCTTTTTCCTCTCCCTATAGGGTCCACTAAAGCTTGCGAAAGCGGTCCCTATAGGGAACAGTTTTAATAAACTCCATGCGAAAAACTAAAAAAATATCCTCTTTCGAATAAAATTTAACGACCCCTGTAGGGACCACTTAAGATATAGGGGTTATGGGGTCAGAACCTAAACCCCTATAGGGATTGTTTTTCCCTAACCCCTGTAGGGACCACTCTAAAACTCTCAAGCTTAATCTTTTTTTAGCTCAGAGCGCTGTGTCTTTGCGCCACGTACAAATTGAAAACGAAAAGGAGGATGTAATAACTTTCCGTTTTTACCAAAACCATCCCAAAATTACTTTAGAATAGCGCTGAATGGGCAGTAGAAGAGGAAGATGAAGATTTGGAAGCAGGAGAAGCGAAAAGCGACAAAGAAAAAGAGGACCGGCCGGATGATCCAACCATTCCTTTTGCAAACTCGTTAGTGACTTACCAGAATCAGTCCCATCAATTGGGTTCCTTCCAGAAAACTTCGCGGCACTTCAGGTCGTGGCCGTAGGAAATATTCCGAGCCGACGCTGTTCTGGAAAGATGAGACCGAAGGTAAAATATCATCTCTTTCTCTCAATAATTCGATCCAATGAAGAACTGCTCCCCGATAATCATGAAAGGTTGCTCCGGACGAGCTATTCATCCGGCGCCGTCGCAGATTCTCTGCAATACGAGAGAATGGCTGATGTGAGAGAACTAGAGATCGAAGAACGCGCCAAAATTGTAACTATTTCCCTCGTTTCTCTTCAACTTGCTCCCCTTCCAGACTCTTGCCTATATACAGAGGGAAAGCCAGAATATGGTGAAGGAGAGCGAAATGCTGATAGATCGGGTTGTGGAAACGGGACAGGAAAAGAAACCCAGCGAAACCAAAACCAAGAAGAAGAAGAAGAAAGGGGAGAGCCGCGACGAATCAGAAAAAAGAGAGGTTTGATTTTCACTAGGCAAAGTCGGAAGGGTGGAAGGTCCCATAGAAATGTTCCTTTTAGGATGATAATGGTATCCTTTTTGCGCCATTTCATCAGCTTTTATGGTTCATTTTTGTTGCCTCTCCCTTTTCCACCATTTCTTGAGCCTTTAAAATCTTGAGTCGAAAGTGCGGAAAACGGATGCAAAAAAGAAATGACTGCAAAATGATCGCTAAAAGAGTTCCGTTTTGCGGCCTTTATTGAACCTTTCTTTTTTGGTGTGCGAAAAAGCCTCAAGAAAAGGGTGAAAAAGGGACCCAAAAAGGGTGACACAAGAGTGAGAGTACGAAAAAGATGTTTAAAGTCTCGGCCATTGATGATTTCTGATTTTAATGGAAGAACTTTTGTTTCAGGATGAACCATCAACAAGTCAAACCACCGACGATCAGAAAAATGAGCAGAAGGAAGATTCTCCAAGTAGAAGGCGTGGAAGAACTGCGCGGCGGAAATCTTCTGCCGGCGGCTCGAACGCTTCCAAGACGAAAAGAGCTCCGTCGCCGGCTGTTCGGGAAGGAACCCTCGTCAAGCGGGTCAGTGACTCGAATCTCATGTTCTTAGCAGAGTAAAAGACTTTTCAGGATGACCAATGAGTCACAGAATTTTTAGACTGAAAGTTTAAATTCAATATTTTCAAGGAAAAAATTTGCTCATAAACGAATAAAACTGAGCTTTTGCGATGATTGAAGGTTCTCTCAAGTAGGAAACAAATTTGATTGAGATTCAGGTAGAATAACTTTTTCCAGCTTCGTTAATTTGGTTTTGAAATACCTTGGCTAATTTTTTGGACACATAATTTCATTCGAATGCTTGATTTAATATATGCTTTCTTGCTTCCTCTGATTCTTCAGAATTGAAAAACTTAAAAGAAGTAAAATTTGGTGTTATGAAGAAAATAAACAGCGAATTTTAAACGGCGACTTTTTCCGATTTTTTCATATCGCTAGGAAACTTTCCGACTGTGAAGTTTTCGACTAATCTTTTTCCAACTTTTTTTCTCGGTCTTCGTTTTGAATCTTCCTATATAAAGTAGTAATTGGTTCATGCTTAAAACACAAAGAAAAAAAGGAAAAAAAGTGTTAATAGATCTTTTATAAACCGAAAAATATGAGGGAGAAAAGTTGGAAAATTTCATAGCGATATGAAAAAGTCGCCGTTCAAAAGTAAGTTCGCTGGTTTTTTTTAAAATTGTTTCATACCACTATTCAAGGTGAAATCTTTTGAAGCTATCGAAACCTAAAGACGAAAGTTATTTCGATCGTCCACTTTTCCATTTTTCATGTTCCTGACCAAGAGTTCCGTTCAGTTTGAAGAGAGATTTTCGAAATTTCTCAGAACACGGCATTCCTAATGGGGTGAGGGAAGGTGAGCGAGGCGTCAAAGTTCTGAATTTACAAAAAAAAATTAAGTGCGCGCTCCGTATAAAAGGACTGTGACGTCACAGCTACCTATAGTTGCAAATTATACTGAGTATTCAACGGCATGAAGAATACATTTGGCTGCGTACTTTAGATTACAAATTTTGCGCCAAAATTTTTTTGACGTCTCCCCACCCCGTTTGGGAACGCCGCGAGAAGGAAGCCTAGAATCTCCCAGAAGTAGGGAACAATCTATTTTGTTCCAGCCATCTCAAGACTCTACTGTCAGTGCTGGCGTCAGCACAACGGCCACTGGCTGGGCTCCCGTCGTTGTTTCTCTTGGAGACATCGACCGGCCAACGACTTCGCGGATCTCCGTCGATGAAGGTTTCCAAGTCCCTCTGGTCAAGTTTATATCTTTTTCGCAGTTGAGGAAAGCGGCTCGGACATCAAAGTGGAGATAACGAAGTTCCTCGAAGACCTGATAGACAAACACCCGGAGACGTTGGACGCGATAGAGAGCGTCAGGATGAGTCGTCTGGGTCTCGGCCGACCCGCGGGAGCCGCCTCCGCAATCGGCTCCTCTCCCAGCAACGCCAACACGACGGTTCCAGCGACCGTCGTCGACCGCATCCCTCAGTTGCTTCCTTTCGTACCCAACGTGCTCAGGAACATCGCTTCGTCAGTTCTATCATCCCCAGAAGTCGTTTACAACTCGTTTCAGACGCCGCTCCAGCGCTTTCATGGACTGGCACGCGCACCACGCCACGTCTTCTACGCCTGCACATCATATCGCTTCTGGTCACGAGGACACCACCCAGGGCGCCGTTCATTCGTTCCAAGACGAAGAAGGCAATTGGTGGACCTACACTTTTGATGAAAATGGTCCGTTCAGGCTTTTGAAGCATCATTTCCAGTACAGATTTATGCAGTAAAATCTGAAATTTTTGGTATGTTTTTAGGAATTCTAGAGTGGTCCCTATAGGGGTTAGGGGAAAAATGACCCCTATAGGGGTAAAATCGAGGTGTTCCCTATAAGGGTTTAGGGTCTGACCCCTTTGCCCCTAATGCTTAAGTGGTCCCTATAGGGGTCTTTCGACTTGATTCAAAAAAATCTTTTTCATTCAATTTTACACATGGTATTGCTTCTTCGCATATAGTTCATGAAAATATCGGTTAGCATATCCCCTATAGGAACCACTTTTTCAATCTTTAGTAGCCCCATAGGGGTTGGAGAAGTGGTTCCTAGAGGAGACCCTTCAAGGTTCCGTAACGTTGCCACTTTAGGACCACTGAAAAAGATTTTTTGGAGTTTCTGAGTAGGGATAACTTTCTCAAAAAAAAAAATGATTCACTCAAAAACTTCAGGAGTTGGTACTGCACAACCTCTCGGAAGTGGTCGAGCGCTAATGGATTTGCTCCATCGTGAAAGGGAGAGAACGAGTTCTCAGGACACGCCTGCCCCGATCAAAGCGAAGCCCTGGTCGGAATTGGAGGTTAGACGAGAAGCGAGTTTGTTCTCCGAAGAGGAATATTCAGGTTCTACCGGAGAACATGTACGACAGTACCGACGAAGAGAAAGAAGAAAAAGAGGCTGGCCGCGCGACTCAGAGCACGACAAAGACACCGGCTCCCAGTGCTAGGTTTTTGAAGAAGCATTCACTTTCTGTTTTTTTTTTCCAATGATAGTTTATTCACAGCCATTTTGACAGAAAATATTAAAAATCAGTTATCAAGTAAAGGATCATAGGATCTCCAGAGTGGTCCCTAGAGGGGCAACTTAAGGGGCCCTTGTACGGTCCCCTCTTAGGAGAGCTTCACCAGCACTTATAGGGGCCACTAAAGGGGACACTCTAGGGTTCACTTTACCAACCACTATAGGAGTCTTGCGAAACTGGTCCCTATAGGGGACATGCTAGTCGATATATCTTTAGGGTCCACTTGAGGGTGAGGGGCTATGAGGTCAGACCATAAACCCCTATAGGGACTACCTTGATTTTACCTCTTTATGAACCACTTTTTCGGCCCGTATAGAGGCTAATTTTGCTCCTAACCCCTATAGAGACCACTCTGAAATTTCTAAGATGTTCTTTTCCAGACGGGAACGGGCGATGTCGTCTTCCTCAAACGAAAGTTGCACCTACATTCCTACTCTCCCTTCAAGCGTCTTTCATGCTCCATCTGGCGCCGGAGCTTCTCGCGGAAGGTTCAATCAAGAATAATGACAGTCGGATCACTTTTTGGATACAGAACTCAAATGGTCTCGTTTTCATCTCGCGTCCGCAACAACAACACGAGGAGCGGCAGTGAGGCAGTCGACGACCGCAACTGCGTAGTTCCGGCAGCGCCGGTGATGCGCAACGATTCTCCCACTCCTTGGCAGGTTCGTGAAAAAATCTCGATCTCTCAACTTCGGAGGTTTTCAGACGGTTTTCATGCCCCGCGTCCATGGCGAGCTCGGCCTGCCTCCCTACATATCTTCCTCTCAAGCACGTCTTCAGAATCCTTCCAGATGATCGATGACGTTTCAGGATCGCGCCTTGCATCACCTCGACAGCAGCAACTCGTTCAATCCGGCGCGCTTCCGTTTCTTCCCTGAAATGGCGCTTACCCATGTTCCGCCGGCCTCTGCCGCCACCCCTGGTAGCTCCAAATCAATAACTAATTTCCTATCTGTTTTCCTTCGCAAGACTTCCAAAATCGAAGGTCGTCCAACGTCCGAAGAAGCTATTACTATCAAATGAAAGTTTTTCCCGAAGGCGCAGAAAAACTTGAACCTCAAGGTTTGTTCAATAGTTGATTCTTTTTCTTCTTACGCCTTTGTACCGCTTGAGCGGCGTCGGCGCCTCAAGTCGATTAGCCGAGGTCCTATCCTGATATCAGTGGACTGGGTCCAGTGACATATCCGTCCTTGTGTGTGACGGCTGGGGATTATGAAGCCGTGGTTTCCCACTACCAACATTTCTTAAACCCCTTGGTTGGGCCGGGACGGGGATCGAACTTGTGACCCTGTGGACCGTAGACAGGCACACAACCTGTTGCGCTACGGCGCGCCCCTGAAGAAAAAAGAATAAGATTTGCAGCTGGACCGCCCTTCGATCGACCGATTGTTCGACCGTAATAGATGTATGGTCTCTTTTTTCGTCGACATCATCCTCGCATCTCTTGTCTCCGCACTCGCCGCGCTCGTCCTCAACACCGACATCTTCTTCGACCACGATCTTGTCATTTTTGCCCTCGTCGTCGCTGGATCGCAGGTAGACACTCCGAAATGAGCATCTTATGAGAAATAAATTTGCAGTATTCGCTGCTGAAAAGCGTTCAGCCGGACGCCTCTTCGCCCATCCACGGCTTCAACTGGATGGTGGCCTACAGCCGTCCCGTCTACTTCTGCGTAACGACCACCGTACTCCTTGCCCTGCACCACTTTTCCGGCCCGAACCCCAATGATCAAGTTCCGTGGAACTGGAATCCTTATAGGTTTTACTCATTCCCCCGTCTTTGGATGAAGCTCACTTTCCAGGCTCTATTTGGCCCCCTGGCCGGCAATCATGGTCGCCGCACGAGATATCGTCGCTTCAGTTCTATTGTTCCTACCTGTCGCCTTCACCCTTGGATGGCTCCCTCAGGTCTCTCCGAATCATATTTGAAGGGAAACGTGGAGTTCAGGTGAACACCCTGACGCATCACATCCTCGAGCAGGTCGAGATGCACGTCTTCGGAGGGACTGCCTCGTTCGGAGTCTTCTCCGCGTTCATTCAGTTGATGAAGAGCATTTTCGCCTATTTGCTTCTCACCGCGATGTATGTTTTTTGTTTCTTAGGATCAATATTCGACCTTTTTTATGATTTATTTGTTCATTGTGGTTATCTTTTTAAGAAATATAGAAATTTCATTCTTTTTTAAATTTCCAAAGCGCTATCTTCGAAAATTGTACGGTTTCAATCAGAAAAGAACTAGCTATAGTCTGTGTGCCACGATTCGAAATTTCACCGAACGACATTCCGCTGTTCCGCTGCGCGCGTTCGCGAAGCGTCTTTCGAATCTAGGATAGCTTTCAATTGATTGTTATTGCTGTGGAAGCACATGAAAGCAGAGTACCTTAATAAAAGAAAAAAAATTGCAAAGGCGCGCAGCGGCACAGCGGAATGTCGTTCCGTGAAATTTCAAGTCGTGGTATACAGGCTATATCTTGGCCAGGCTTTAAAAGTGTCAAACGTTGGTTCAACGAAAACATTTTGCAGCTCTCGATATGCTTATTTCGTGTCACCAAATTCGACTCAATCTCCAGCTTTCTCTGTTTTCGTCGCGACCACTGTTTCGGTTTCCTATCTGCTCAGCAGGTGCTTTCCGAAGCCTTCCATCCTTTTTCAAAGCAAACCTGACTCTGCAGAGTGTCCTCCAACCAGCAACTCACACTGATTTTCTTCGAAAACCTCTTCTCGGTCTGCGACCGCGGAAGGTCGTCCGCCGGCTGGATCGGCGTCTCCCAGCGAACTTCCGACGAAGTCCCGCAGGCCCAGGCGAAGGCCGCTGCTACCGACGAGCCCACCATGAGCAGCGATGCAGGTTCTCTCTCTCTCTCTCTCTCGTTTCTATTTTGTCTCTCTTTGTTCTGGAATGTTCCATATCCATACCAGGGATGCACAAGACGAGATCACTTTTTAAAAAATCTTGAGTCGTACCGAAAAAAATGGCACTTTTCCTTGTCAAAAAGCACTTGAAAAATAAGTAAAAAAAGCAAAAAAATTATAGGGGAATCTTAAATTTTATTAAAAACTTAAATGAAAAATTTAGATCGAAAAATTGGGCTCCTTAATGTCAATATTCTAAGATGTGAAACATTTTCAAAAAAATCAAGGCAGAAAAATTTTTTTAGAAATTGTCATCATTAATTCTTGTTTTTTACGAGAAATTCCTAAGAGGTACTAAAAAATATACCTTCACTGTCGGCTGAGGTTAATGGAAAGGAAATGATTAAAAAAAAAATAATATAATTGAATTTTCTTTTTTTTTCGAGAAAAAAAAGGTCTCAAAAGATTCTCAGAATCTCCTTTTCCCGCCTTATTTTTTACACCTCTCTAAAATGTCCTTTTGAGAAAAGGTCTAGGAATAAAGGCGTCCTTCCTCCAAAAGTCCTTTTTGAGACTTTTTGGGCTTTGCTCGTGACTTTCAGCATCTCAAGACGAGATGGTCACTTTTTGAATGAGACAAGATCGCATATCATGCAACCCTGACCTATACAGTTTGTGTTTAGGTGTGACGATAGTAGACAATTTGCCGGCGACTCTCCGAAAAACGGTGTCCCTAAGAGCGCGTCACGACTTTCTCTTCGTCATTTTCCTATCACTTGTCACGTTCGCCTTGCACTCCAGCTCCATCTTCACCGCCACACAGCCCTACTTCACCGTACCTCTTCCATTCGTTTCAATATGAATCCTTGTTTTTTCAGAAAACAATCATTTCAATCTGTGTAGCTTTCGGCATTTTGAACCATTACCTGTACCCGCAGTTCCGAGCACACACTCCTTGGAAAATAGTGCGGCAGTTTTTTCATTCCTCCCAATTGTCATGTTTCGTCTTGAGGTTTCGCGGCCCATCCTCAGATCAGCAGAGTACAACCAGTTCGAGTGTCCCGATGCGGCTAAACTCATGATCTTCGAAGTGATCCACGCCTGGATGGGCGCCATCGAACGAAATATAGTCTTTCTCTTGTTAAAAATAGAGTTAGAATAAGATCTTCAGGTTTATCCTCTGATGGTGGCTTCTATAATGACGGAAAGTGGCGGAAAGATACCCTACGCTTGGATCGTTGTCCCCCTGATTTCCATGCGGATCCTGCGCGGCGGATACACGCAACCTCAGGTTTCTAAAATGAAACAAAACGTGAAAAATATTTTTTTGTTCACAGATGATCTACGTCCCCTTGGCATTCTCCACAATCGCTTCTCTTTTCGATTGGCATTTTGGTCTTCCTTTCCACTTGTTCACAGACGTTCGTTTATTATTCAGCTTCCGAATTACTTTAGTATTTTGTAAATGGTATCATGCTTTGATTGGTTTTTATGACAAAAATGTTCTCATTTTTAATTTTTGTGAACGTTTAAAAGTACGATAGAATCATTTATAGCCGATCATACATGGGCTATAGTCTGTTCAGATTTTGAATGTCAAGTCCTCGCTCAAGCTCCGCCCCTAATGGCGCGATAAACCAATCAGAGAGCGAGCCATCCACAGAGCGTTTTCGAATGATGTTATTCTACTTGAAATTCAAAAACTGAACGGACTATAACAGGGTATTTATCACTTTAGTACCCTCTCGATCATTCAGGTGGCTTTTTGAGCAGATGAAAATGTATCCATACTATTATTAAGGTTTTTCGATCATGTTTAGTGGTCCCTTATCCTCGTACCGAGAGGTCGATAAATCCGCGGGAAATCGTAGAAATCGCTTCATAAATAACACCAAAATTAAGGAATCAATCTGAATTCTATTCAAAATGCTTCCTTTGGATAGATTACATGTTCTTACCAAAACTTTAGGCCGTTCGAAAAATTTAAAAAAAAAGTCGATTTCTGAGCCCCAAGACGATAATTTTTGAAATTTCGCCGTTTTTGAGCTATAGCTGATTCAAGACTAGCTTGGGATGCTAAGGGACGTGGCCTGTCTGCGCTCTCCATCAACCAGGCACTCTCTCTTTTCCTATCGTGACAGGACTCTTTTTCCAACTCAAACCAGCCGTGAATTAACTATATGGAGAACTCAAAGTAGTCCGATTGTTGGAATTGTAGATTTTTTTTTCGTTCACCGCGCAACTTTTTCAGATCCCAAGCTGGAACCTCATGCCTCCACTGGCTTTCCTTCTGATCCTGGTCTATCCCAAATTCGTCGAGTTTTACCTGAAGATCAACTTCGTGATGGCCTACGTCGCTCCGTGGCAGATCAGCTGGGGCTCGGCCTTCCACGCGTTCGCTCAGCCTTTCTCGCTGCCTCATTCCGCGCTCATCGGCATCCAAACTGTCGCTTCGAGTATCTTCAGCGCTCCTCTGAATCCTTTTCTTGGTATAGTGCTCGCAAACGTCGTCATTTCAAAAACGAGTATCAGGATCCTCGTTTTTCACAACTTCCTACGTCAGGCCTGTCAAGTTCTGGGAGCGGGATTACAATACCAAACGCGCCGACGCGTCCAATATGAGACTTTGTAAGGCGATCGTATTAATAACATAAGAATTGCGTAATTAAAAAAACACAGGGAACTTCTTTTTTAGGAATAGTAGATTTATCTAATCACTATTGAACGTTTTTACCCTCCCCTCTTTTTTTGAATTTTTGATGAAACTTGTAAAAAAAAAAAAGGGTAAAAACGTACCCTAGCAAGAATCCTATAAGCAGTTCAAAAAAAACCAAAATTTTTTCTTTTTTCTCAGCTTCCCAATTGGATCGTGGTCCGATGTTGGACGATAGCAATCTGAACGCCGTTTTCTACGAACACCTCACGCGGTAATGATCATCCACCTCCTGATTATCACCAATTTTTCTCCAATCCCAGAAGTCTCCAGAAAAGTCTGGCCGGAGATATTGCGATGGGAAGATGGGCGACGAGTGTTCAACCTGGCGACTGTTTCATCCTTGCGAGGTATTATTTTCAAGGTTTTCTTGGAGGTAAGCTTCCGTTATTTCAGTTTTTACCTGAATTGTCTTGTCCACATCATCGAGGTCGGCAATGGATTCATCACCTTCCAACTTCGAGGCCTCGAATTCCGCGGAACTTATTGTCATCAACGAGAGGTTTTTCATTTGTTTGGTTATTAGAGAAAGATTTTCAATATTAAAACTCACTTTTGAAGAAAAATTTATAAGATTCGCAAGCGCATAGTCTTCTCAGGTTTTCAATGTCAAGTGCAATGGCGTCATTCAAAAACACTCTGTGGATGGCTCGCTCTCTTAATTATTTATCGCACCATTAGGGGGCGGAGCTTGAGCGACGAATTGACATTCAAAATTTGAACAGACTATATATGAAGCTTCTTTTCCAACTTAGAAGGATAAACTTATTTTTAATTTCTGAACTTTTTTTTTTAGATTGCTAGAGAACATAAACATCGCGAAAAATTTATAAAATTTTCTGAACGCTTGGAATTAATCTGTTTATTATTTCTGTCTTTATTTATATAGCTGACTCACGGCTGACTTGAGCCATCAAAAAAAGGGTACTGGCACGAAAAAGAAATTAGACAGTGCCTGGTTGGTGGAGTGCGCAGACCAGCCACGCCTCCGAAGCTATAGTCCGTCCAGCGCAGATTTTGAGTGTCTGCGTCTTTCTGTTCCGTCACCGGTGAAGGTCAGAGAACAGCGAAAATAGCTCGTCAACAAGAGAGAGGCGTCGAGAGACGAGGAGGGCGCAGAGAAGTCCTGTCCTTTCAAATCGTGAAGAACGGAGTATATGAAAGAAAAACCTTTCATTTACCTAAATAAGTGTCATGAAGGACCTTACAGGTTGAAGCGATCTCCGAGGACCAATCCGACGGATCCGGTTGTTGCTGCTGTTCTCCGGGCTCATTGCCAGGCTTCCTGTCCCTCAACACTGCTTGGGGCCTTCGATGGCTTGCCTGGGAGGTTCCGCCCGCTTTCAAAAAAAAAAAACACTTCTTCATTTCAGGTTGTGTCCGGAAAGTATATCATTGACGGCTACAGCATATCCGACAACTCGGCCGTCAATTTACTGCAGGTGAACATCAATCGATGTACTGGAATGGAGTTCTTGATTTGAAGGTCCACGAACTCCGACGGCTTCTCGTCACTCTTTACGTCAAGTGCATCATCTACTACACCCTCAAGTCTTCTCGCTTGGCCCAATGGATCGAGAATGAATCTGTCGTGAGTGATTCCGTGTTGGTTGCCTTGATAACGGAGAAACTGGCAGTCGGCGGCGATGGACCCGGTTCGCGAATCGGCTCGTTTCACCGACCTCGACTCAATTTTCTGCTCTACCAACGACGAAGACTTTGATCAGAGCGAGGGGGTTTTTTCTCCATTTTTGTTTTGAATTCAACCCGATTGATTTCAGGGCATCTCCAGAACAAGCTTCTCGGATCTCTACACTCCTTGGATCAACCACTGCGTGATCAAACGTTCTGAAACGTTCGTCGACGAGAGCATGTAAGTGTGCCTTTTGAACTAATTCCGACTGAGTCGATCAAATCAGAGGCGCCCTCGACGTGCTCTCTCTGTGCTATCTGCTGTCGCTGGTCGGTCGTCGGGCCCTTGGAACGGCTTCTTATAATCGCCACTCTAACGCCGCTGAATCTTTCCTTTACGGCCTTCATGCTCTCTTCAAGGGCGACTTCAGGTAATCCAATCAGTGCCTTTTACAAATGTTAGGCTTATCCGTTCAAAATAATCAATCCTCATTGAAAATACAGTAGCGAAAATGGTTGAGTACATTTCTCGTCTCTGTCAAAGCGTGTAGTTGATCAAGTTGAAAGCATGGTCTTACGGTCCTTCGCCACATTTTTCTATCCAGGGAATGTTCTCAGCTCACTGGGGGACTTCTGACGGAGATTAGGCTCACTAGATGTAGTTTTTCACGCTGATTTCGAATTTATGCCCAGGCCTGTGAAAAAAGTTAGGGGCTCTCAGAGTCGAAAAGTTAGATGTCTCATACCTTGAGACTTGAGACTTTGAGAGCGCACTAACTTTTTACACAGGCCTCGAGGAGGATTTTCGAGCACATACTCGGAATCAGCGTAAAAAACTACATCTAGTGACCCTAGTCTCCTTCAGAAGTCCCACTGTGAGCTGAGAAAATTCCCTGGTAAGCGTAGTTTCTTCAGTTGAACCTCTAGCTCAGAATGTAACCGGTGTTGTGCTGGAGCCCGGAGACCGTGCTCGAAGTGTTCTTCGATTTGCTTTTTCGAAATTATAGGTCAAAAAAATCGTGTTTAACAAGGTTATAGTCTGTGTGCCACGGCTTGAAATTTCACGGAACGACATTCCGCTGTTCCGCTGCGTGCGTTCGCGAAGCGTCTTTCGAATCTAGGTCACACTTTCAATTGATTGTTATTGCTGTGGGAGCACATGAAAGTAGAGTACCTTGAAAAAAGAAAAAAAAATAAAAAGCGCAACCAAGGTTCGCAACAGCGCGCAGCTGCACAGTGGAATGTCGTTCCGTGAAATTTCAAGTCGTGGCACACACACTATATAAACAAAAAACCAAAGAAAAAAAAACCGACCTATTTTCGCTACTGCATGTTTCACCTTTCAAGTACTGACATATTTCCATTGAGAAATACTTCAGAATAACTTGCCAACGAGACGAATGGGTATTCGCCGACATGGACCTCCTGAGATGTGTTGTGGCTCCGGCTGTGAAGATGGCTCTCAAGCTGCACCAGGATCACTTTGCTCACTTCGAAGAGTTTGACGACTCGGAATCGCTGTACGATTTGATCGCCGACCATCAGACCAAGATGTTCATCTCTCACGAGGTGAGATCCACAAACCTGCTCCCACTTTTCCGTCTCAGCAAGACCCCGGCTGGCGTCGGGCCATCCTGGCCAACACGCCGTCGCTTCTGGCTCTGCGTCACATGTACGACGACGGACAGGACGACTACAAGATCATTATGCTCAATCGTATGCATTTGAACATGCGGTAATCGTCGAGCCGCATCTTCCCTCTCAAATATCAACATTCAGTGTGATAAAGCTGAACCGCGAATGTGTTCGCGCATTTTGGGCAGGACAGCAACAGGAACTCATCTTTCTGCGCAACCGAAACCCCGAAAGAGGAAGTATCCAAAACGCTCGGCAGGTCTTGAGGTTGTCTTTTGAAGAATTCTCCCGGAGAGCTTTCTTTTCAGAAACATGATAAATAGCTCGGCCGACCAGCCCGTCGGATATCCAATTTATGTGTCGCCTTTGACGACCTCCCTCATCGAAACCCATTCTCAGATTGAGAACATTTTCGGCCCGACGACTACTATTGAGGTGTGTTTTAATGAGCTTTCATAACGCTAATACTGGCGCGTTGGGGAGAAGATTTTCCTCATATTTATAACAAAATTCCATTCATCCGTGTTCTCTTTCATTTCGTGGTCATTCTTCGTTCCTTTTCTCTTGAAAAGGAATGTGGGGCCTACTCTCCGAAAAGTGCGGCCTATTCCCCGAAAAGTGAGGCCTACCCCCCGAAAAGTGCGGCCTATTCCCCGAAAAGTGAGGCCTACCCGCCGAAAACTGCGGCCTGGGCGTTAAAAGAAAATTTGTTTTCGCCAATATGTAGTGTGTTTTAACTCAATTTGTTCTGACCAATATATAGTGTGTTAATTTGAAAAACAAAAAAAAAATCAAAAACGGAGAGTTTTGTTTTATAGAATTGGCTTGAATGAGAAATTGTTTTCTGTAGATTTTTCAGAAAAAAAACCTCTTCATGTTTTTGAAAACTTTTCAGAGCATTGCACAATGTGGCAGGCGGATTTGGAACAGTCTACGTTCTCATTTTGGCCCTTCTGGAAGCAATTCGGCGAACCAGGCCTGTGGACCTGCTGCCATGCCGCCGAACAACCCTCCGATAACTGTCCACAACCTCCCAGCGCCCACTTCTGACTCTAACAGATGGTCTTTCTCGAGTTCGCCGGTCTTTTCCGACGAAGACCGAGAAGTCGCAGCGATCACCCAATCACAGAAAGTGCCAGACACGCCATCGTCGGTCCACGTAGTTACCATGACCTTCATCCGCTGTTAAGGGGTTCCCTTTTGTAGAATTCGATCGTCGAGATGACCAGGGAAGGCGCACGCGTCTCGGTCCTGCCTCGCCCTGAAGGACCTGAGTCGTCGGCCAGTTCGGCGCCCAAGCAGACGACGGCGCTGGCGTTGGCCAGAGAGATGCAGCGCGAGAAAGACTTTTGCATCGGCGCCTGGGTCCAGATTATGGACTGCGAACAGGTTCGTCGTCTCCCCTCTCCAGTACTGCTACATTTCCACTGTTGGTTTCAGATCTTCAAATACTTGAATGAACCACTCAAGTCAACTGGTGAACCTTTGGTCGTGTGGCCGGATGAGCGATTGCGCGTGGTTAGTCTTTATTACTCAAAAAGGAACTTTCATTGTCTTCATATTAGCTTTTCGTGTCCCAAAGGTTTCATGTCACAAAACTCAGATGTCTGGAAGAAGCTCGTGGATCTACCAACCGGTGGGTGGCATGTGCGGCCGGATAGTCTTCACCTGGAGCCCCAACCATCCCAACCGATCGCATCGGAGTCACGTCGGCGACTACATTCACCTTGTCGCCGTCCCCGCCATGACCAACGGCTTCGTGGCGGTCGGCGAGAAGGGCTGCCGTGTGCTCACCCAGACCGAGAGCGCCATGCAAGCTGTCGTTTCGAGCACGGCCGTCTCCGTGAGTTGTGCCGCGCGCTCGCGTCTCAGCCCTGAACTGACAGTTCCAGGAACACGTCGAGTTCATGAATCGCGTCAATGACGTCTTCGTCTTAACCGGAATCATCCCAAGCTCCGATCCTCCCCCGCCTCCGAAACAATTTTTGATCAATCCAATTTCGTCGGCCAAGGAAACAGCTCCTCCACCTCCGCCAACCAATCCCAAAGACAGTAAAAAAGCGGCTACCGAGGAAGCAGAGGAGAAAAAAGAGGAGACAGAGGCAGCTCCCCCAGAAGATCCTCTTTCTCAACCTTGATGCGGTTGTTTTATCTGAATTTATTTTATTCTTCTTCATTCCTGTAATTGATGTTGATGTAGATTCACACTGTACAAAATTTTGTTAGTTTCATTAGTTTTAAGTGCATCCATTTCTTTCGTTAGCTTTTTTCTACCGGGTAGACTTCCGACGCTACTTTATGCGGTATCTCATGCTACTGAATCGGTTATTGATTGATTTCTTGACATTATTGCTGAATTTCGTTGTTGGTGTTCTCAGATTTGACATTTTGTGGGTTTCGACGGCTTGAAAGTAACTGGAAATGATTCATTTCATGTTTAAGAACTGAAATAAATATTGCAAATGAATATGACGTACAGCTTCGATTAAGCTCTTTTCACTTTTGTAAGGTTTGCTGTGCGATATGGACAGACTCTTCGTACAGGCTGCTGAAAGACGGGAAGTCTTCCTGAACCAAACGAAAAATCCTTCGTTGCCACCTTTTGCTTCCAACTGACCGAATCGATGAGATTGTGAGTGATGCCAAAGTCGAGGACCACCTTCCGTATGGCCATGTACTGCACGACGGACTGGATCGCTTGCGAGCGTCCTTTCAGTCGCAGGAAACGTACGGCCTGCAGAGAGAAGCGGTTCTGCTGTGAGTGTCTCGAACTCACTCGCGACACTTGCGGCACTTCCGAGTGCAGACAGTCCATCAGACACATTTCTATCGCGATCAGCGTCCCGCTCCTGCCGATCCCCGCCGAACAATGGACCACTGCGGTAATTTTGTGTCATTTTCAATGTTTTAATTCGCATTAAAACATTGAAAATCAATTTATCGCTTTTTTTCACGCTGGTGCTGTTTCTGTAGGGATTTTGAGAAAAAGATTCCTTGAAAAGCGGAATTTGGGTAATTTTTTAATAAAATTTTTATATTCAAAGCTGCTATAATGAGCCGGGGCGATCCGACCCGCGAAGCGGTCACATTGACTTCAGATGAGCCATTTTCGAAACTTTTTAACCTCTTCTTGCAACACTTAGGAATTCCAGAGCGGTCCCTATAGGGGTTAGGGGCAGAAAAAGAGTTCCTTATAGGGGTAAAATCAAGGTGGTCCCTATAGGGGTTTAGAGTCTGATCTTTTAGCCCCTAATGCATGGAAATGCTTCTTAACTCAGATTTCAAGAAAATTATCAACTAGTAGGTCCTCTATAGTGACCACTAAATAAAACCCCTATAGGGACCACTTTCGCAAGCTTAGTGGCCCCTATAAGGGTTGGTAAAGTGGTCCCTAAAGTTGCCCCTATCGGGACCACACTGAAGATCTTAAGTAAATTTCGTTTTCGATTTATGAAGCTTCAAAGTCTCCAAAATACCCAAATCATGACAAAGGACGCTATTTCAAGCTTTTTAAGCGTCTTAACTCGAAAATCAGATCAAAAAACGTTCCCTAGAAAAATTTTTCAGCCACTTTCTACATTTTATTCATTCTCAGCGTTGCAGTATGGGTCAGGACCTTTGCTTCTACTTTTAAAGTTCTAAAAAAATCGAAAAGGACTTTTCCACAGTGAATGTCGAAAAAGCTAAAGCTATTTTGAAAATTCTTAAAAAATGTACCAACTGGCGTGTTCCTCCACCGAATATGCCGTAGGATCTTGAAAATGGTCTCGCTTTTTTTCGAATCGGGCACCTAAATGGCTGTTTTCAGCTGGAAAGCTCTCTGGAGCGAACCGTATAGTCAGGCCATTCAGTCCACTGGTAGTGGGTGACGATTCTCTCGGAGGAAAGATGGCAAAGTTTCAGCTGGGAGGTGACCACTCCGTCGACGGTGTGCTGCGACATGTTTGTCACTTTGATGAGACCGTTGCCCAGCAACATCGTCGGCCCGGATTCTCTGAGAAGGCCGAGTTTGGCTGCGTTATCTTGGCGTCAGCCCACTTGGGATAATACTCGGAGCACTTCTCGCGGCTGCCTTCCACCAGCTGGCAGAGCATGACGATCACTGACGTCTTCTCCTGCCACACCATCCTCCAGAAGTCGATCACCGTGTTCTTCCGCGGTCCCTGGGAGCATTCTTCTGTCGGCATTCTATGGATTGAGAAGACGTACCTGGGTTAGAATGTAGCGTGACTTGAAGCTGGGGTAGTCGACGCGGTTGGCGTGGATATAGTCGTTGCCGCCGACTTCGTCCGCCAGAAACTGCAGTTTGACGCGAGAAGCTTCCATGCAGAAGATATCTTCAAGAGGCGTTTGGCTCGATGAAATACGATTGGAAACCTTGATATCGATTCCTACGACGATTCTTGTGAAATTCGGCACACTCTTTTTCTTTTGGGGGCGGCGGTAACTCGGAAAACTCTTTGTTAATCAGTTCTATCGTCATTCCTTCACACTGAAACGGTTCTCTTTATTTTCGGGAGTCACAAACTTTTGGAAAGATGGTTCTAGTTGAATTTAGTTTGGTTTTACTGTGCTATCCTCTGACCTTATAGCTGATTCACGGCTGGCTTGAGCCATCGAAAAATAGGTCCCGAAACGATAAGAAAAAAGACAGTGCTTGGCTGGTGGAGAGCGCAGACAGGCCACGCCCCCTTAGCGTCCCAAGTTAGCCGTGAATCAGCTATTACCATAAATATCACTGTGTAGAAAATTTTGAATATTATATCTGATTAAGTAGCTTTTTTTTGAATGTGAGAGAAAAACAGGACCAGAGTGGCGAATCCTTTAAAAATGGTGCGAAGTTTTTCCCTTGCTTCGCTGGCATCGGCAAGCGATTCTGAATCGAGAAGATGAGAAGAGACTTAGGAACTGCAGAGCGGTCCCTGTAGGGAAAACCTTAGGGGTCCTTGGAGGGAACCCTCGAGGGACTACCCAAAAGGATCCACTACAGCTTGCAGAAGTGGTCCCTAAGAGTTTTGAATGAAACTGAAAGACCCCTATAGGGTCCACTTGAGCTTGAGAGGCCAAGGTGTCCGACTATAAACCCCTATAGGGACCACCTCAGTTTTACCCCTATAGGAACGACTTTATCGGCCCCTATAGGGACCACTCTGCTATTTCTAAGAAAGGCGTTATGAAACGGACGTTCGTTGTTGCCGAATTCGTTGGAAGGCGACGCGTTGACGAGGTCGGACTCGTCCTCGTGGTACCCGAAAAGACTCATGGCCGCCTCGATGCAGCGGGCGTCTCCCAGGGGCTTCTTCAGCTCCTGGTTGAACCGTCTTGACTTCTTCGTCTGGACGGCTTGGATGACTCTCGGCCCAACCGCAGTTCGCAAAAACTACTCACCGCCACCTTCTGAGATTTCGACTCGCTTTCCGCCTCCGAGTCTTGTCGATGGGACATTCGTAGACAAATCGCCTGCAATTTCCAAATTTTTTTTTTGGCTTTGGTTTTTCAGACAGTAACGGAAGTTTTGAAACACTTTTGTGACATAGAAATCATGACAGAAAAGAGCTCTGACAGTTGAGTTCGCGCACACATTCGAAAGAAAAGAAAACTTTCTCAGTTTCTTTCTGATTTTTTCCGTTCCGCGCTGCGTATATTTCGAGTAGAGATGAAATATATACAGTATCAAACTCAAAAAACAAATACGTTTAATTTCCCCTTCAAAACCAATTTTTTCTAATAAGAAATTCATTCTAGTGTGAAGTTTGGAGTATTCCTTAAACATTTCCGAAAACTTCTTGCAGACCTTGAAACGTTTCAGAATAATTATTCCGACTCTAAACGTGACTGAAATTTAACTAGCCCCTATAGGAGTCACTGAAACTTGCAAAAGTGGTCCCTATAAGGGTTTTAGTTAGTGGCCCCTATAGGGGACATGCTAATGGATAATTTTTATGTACTCTAAGAAGCATTTCCATGCGAAAAGTTCAATATACAAGCGTTTTTTGAATGAAATCGAGTAAAATTGAACGACCCCTTTAGGGACCACTTAGGGGGTCAGACCTAGGGATCATCTCGATTTAACCCCTATGAAGATCACTTTTTCGGTCCCTATAGGGGCCCCCTATCCCCTCTAGGGACCACTCTAAAACTCCTTAACTTCCTGAGCTCAAGAAATCTTGATCTAAACATTCAGAAAGTTCAGACAGCTTTTGGAATTTCTAAACTTCAGGCGAAAACGAAACATGGGTAAAAAGTAAAAACCTTGTTAATACGTTGATTTTTAGACGTAGTGGTGTAGCTTCGTGTGTCACTATTCCTGCAAAAAAGGCGTCTGGGAGGAAGAAAAGACAGGGGCTTACTCGTCGACGACGTACTTGTTCCTCCGAATAAGTTCGACACTTCGGCTCTTGGATTTGCCGCCAGAGCCCGAAGTGCTCTGTCGCGACACGAGTTTATTGGGCGATTTCACCGTCTTTTCTGGCAGTTTTAAGGGTGAAGTCGCCTCCGGCGGGAGCATCGCCGAAGTCGACGGCTTTTTTGGATTTTTCCTCAAAATTGCAAGTTCAATGAAAGTTTTACAAGAAAAAATTACCGTCGCCGTCCGTTTTGGTCATTGCGATACTGCCATATTTGCTTATTAGTTTGCTGAAAAACTTTTGAAACTCAAATTGAACTTGAATCACCAACATTTGAGTCCATAGGTGGGGATCGCTATTTTAACTGAAATGGGAATAGAGACACGTTTGGACTTGAATAATTTATTCATTTCGATATTTATTACGTCGTTATTAGGAAAACTACATACATACATATCACAGGTGAACAAATAGTGAATCGTAAAACTTATTTTATTACTCTGGGAATTCAAACAGAAAATCCAAACCTCGGAGGAACCAGTAACATTTTCGCATGCATTAAAGTATGTATATATTTACAAGAATCACTAAAAATATTAAATAAAGAGTTTTTGACGACAAATAATGTTGTGAGCGGGAATGGCAAGAAATCCAGCAAAAACGATTCCGATTGTGTCCGAAATCGACACAAATCCCATGCTGAACTCTCGTTGTGCCATCGGGATCTGAACTTTTCGCAAAATTATCAGAGGAAGTCTAACTGAATCTCAGGTTTCCCACCTCGCTATGGACGGCTCTGAAAGTGTTGACGTAGGCGGCGCCTCCTAGGAGCCCTTCGTAGAAGATCAGAGCGAAAGCGACCAAAATGTGGGGCAGGAAGAAGTATAAAGCGGCTGATGTGAACACAGCTCCGTTGGTGAGCTGAATCAGGTGTACTTTTCCAAAAAACTTCGCTCACTTGGAGCGTGGCGAGCAGAGGCAGCACCGAGGACGGAATGGTGAAGTACTGGGAAGAAGAGCGCGAGACGAAAACTCCTAGCTGATAGGTTACCTGAGAAAAGTTTCTTTTCCATGACTAGGATGATCCAGCACCTGGAACCAACGATACTGACTGTTGGAGCCTAGACCGAATCCATGAGAGCAGTCAAACTCGAGAAGTTCCATCTGGAAAGAGCGAGCTTATGAGTTTCGGTGCCATCAACGCACCAAGCCCTGATTGATAAAGTACTCTCCGAAATAGACTATTGTCAAGGGCAGCATGTACTTCAGAAGGCGCAGGAGCAAGCGGGTCTTCTGGTGGTAACTTAGTTCGTGAACTCTTTCTTCTGTAATCGCGGCGGTATGATTTCGGATTTTGATTATAGTCTGTGTGCCACGACTTGAAATTTCACGGAACGAGATTCCGCTGTTTCGCTGCGTGCGTTCGCGAAGCGTTTTTCGAATCTAGGTCACGTTTTCAATTTATCGTTATTGCTCTGGGAGCTTATGGAAGTAGAGTACCTTAAAAAAGAAAAAAAATAATGTAAGCGCGACCAAAGTTCGCAAAGCGGCACAGCGGAATGTTGTTCCGTGAAATTCCAAGTCGTGGTACACAGACTATAGAAGTGAATCTCAGGAATTTTAGAGTGGTCCCTATAGGGTTTAGGGAAGGTACAGTCTCTTAGGGACTGAAAAGTTGATTATTATAGGGGCAGAGCCAAGGTGGTAACTATAGGGGTTTAGGGTCTGCCCCTTGGCCCCGAAAGCATAAGTGGTCCCTATAGGGGTCTTTCAATTTCATTCAAAAATGTTTTTATTTTAGTTTTTACATGGAAATGCTTCTTCGCATAAATTTATGTCCCCTATAGAGGCCACTAACTAAAACCCTATAGAGACCACTTTTGCGAGCTTTAGTGGCTCCTATAGGGACCACTTTGGAGTTTTTTCCCAAGTCGGTGAGGGGTAAGAGAGTGCAGACCACTGAGGAGAGGAAGAATAGATTTTTGCGAAATAAATATTCGAGTCAGACAGCGTATCACCTCCAGGACCCAATTCATCGTCGAACTCGTCGCCAGCCAGCAAAGTGTCGGTTTCATCCGTTAAACCTCGGCGGCCAAGATCTCGAAAAAAAAGGTTTATTTAATTTTTTTTTCTCTTGTCAAAACCTCTAGATACGACAAAAGATCGCAAGTCCCGGAAGTCGACTTGGTGCACCGTACTCGGCATCGTCAGAACTTTCCAATATCTGTAGGAAAGGTCGAATGAGCGGTTCCAGACAAGCTCACGTGAACGAGAAGAGAGCCGGCAAGAGCAACATGACGAACATGGCGTTTTTCGGGGAGACGTCGAGCAGTAGCGGATCCGTGAGCAGAGCGTAGAACAAGGCTCCAAAGACGCCAGCTCCGCCGGTCCCCAGACGCCCAGGAGGAAATGACCGAACTGCAAATCTCTTCGCTTCAAGAGACGGATTATCTAGATAGCGAGTAAAAAAAACCGAAAATTGAAAATTTGAGGGGTTCTTCTAGTCCAGATTCGATATTCGAAAATGAGCTTCAGAACATATGAACAAATTTCATGCGTTTGGGATTTTTGTGAAAATTGACCAGATCACTTATTGATGTACCTGGAAAACGCCTTAGAAGTCTGAATTTGCACAACTTCTCAGTTTTTGGAAAAGAAAACCTCAAAACCCGTTAAAATTAGCTTTTTTTGGGGCTTTAAGTACTTATTTTCGGAAAAATAGGAATTTTTGCAGGTAGAGACTTTCAAAAGCTCCATTCACCTTTTCAATACCATAACTATGTTTTCTCCCTTATGAATTCGATTTGAGAGGCCTTCCAATAAATGAAAGAAAAAGAAACCCATCGAAATGTGACGTCAGAGCGAGGTAGGAAATTTCTCCCAAGCCGCTACCAGCGCTCGCCAGAACGACTCCTAACACTCTCCGTTAAGCCCGAAGGAAGAGGGGATCCGGCCTACCTAGAAGGGCGACTCCCGTAGAACTACTCAAGCCAACCAAGGCAAAACTGGCGGATTGGAGAAAGACGACGATCAGATGTCGCACTCTTAACAGCTGGATACAGTTCTTGAAAAGCTTTCTTGGAAAAACCCAAAAGGGAAGACGTGGATGAAGAAAGGGGCGGAGACTTTGACTACAAGCGCAGGGATGATGTCAGCAAGCAGGACAGAGCCAGTGGAGATGGGCTGGCATTCTCGGCTCACGATGTGTTCCTGTAATTATTTTCTTTGGAAGTTGTTCAAACTTTAAAAATTCTTAGGACCTCCAGAGTGGTCTCTAAAGGGGCAACCTTAGGGTCCACTTAAGCTTTAGGGGCTATGGGCCACTTAAGCTTTAGGGGCTATGGGCCACTTAAGCTTTAGGGGCTATGGGCCACTTAAGCTTTAGGGGCTATGGGCCACTTAAGCTTTAGGGGCTATGGACCACTTAAGCTTTAGGGGCTATGGGCCACTTAAGCTTTAGGGGCTATGGGCCACTTAAGCTTTAGGGGCTATGGGTCGGGCTCTCAACCCTATAGGGATTGCCTCAACTTTTCCCCTATATTTCCCCCAACCCCTACAGGGACCACTCTGAAATTCCTAAGATTGCACAAAGTTGTCATTTCGCTTGTGCAGCAGGAAAAAAACTTCAATTCAATAATGTTTTCGAGTTCGCCAAGTGGTTGGGACTGCGCTTGGAATTCTTCCATTTCATCATTTTTGGTTTGATAAGGTCTAATGGGACTTTTTTCTTGCAAAATTCACTTTAGGTACCATTTTTCATCAAAAACTTGGCCTTTTGAGTATAGCTGATTCACGGCTGGCTTGAGCCATTGCAAAAAAGGGTTCTGACACGATAAGGAAAGAGACAGTGCCTTGTCATTGGAGTGCGCAGACAGGCCATGCCCTTTTGGGTCCCAAAACTATCTTTTTAAAACCTTTGGGTGACGGTTTTTTTAAATGAATTCGAAGTACTGTAAGCCTCACCCTGCACTGTACATTGGTGCTGTTTCCAGGGACCTCTCCAGAATCGAGAATGTCTTTCGCCGCACTCAGCATGATGACGTAGGCGAAATTGTTACATAATCCGAGGAGCCTAGATGAAGAATAGCTGAAGAAAAGACACACACAAACACACCAGAAGCCGACAAAATTCCGGCGACTCGTTGATGTTCGTATAGATGGCGCTTCTGGGATCAGTGTCGACAGCTCGTCTTCCATATCCTTGAATTTTTTCGTCCCTTATTTTTTTCTTCTTGTTAAGATATATGGGCGGCTTCTCACTGACCCCATGCATACACTGAAAATCGGCTAGCTGTACAATATTTACTGAAAATAGAAGATTATGGAAAAATAAATACAAATATTGAAAATCACTCGGTTTAATAATAGACAGGGCTACACGTAAAACTTTGATATATTAAGATTTACAAATCTAGTCAATCCAGGGGAACTGGACTCGCTAAAGATAAATAAAGAAAAATTCAGAGTTTCCGCTCAAAATGAACAAGGTGACAAGCAAAAATTCAGGAAATTCTTCATGACAATTTGGAGAAATTCAAAGCACCCTTCAGCTTAAAAAAGCTTATTAGGAAAGAAATCAGAGAGCCTGCTTCAAACAGAAATCAAATATTCGCGGGCGGCCTTCGAAGCTTCGATTTCGGTTTCCGTGAGCGACTGGTCGCGTTTCCAAATCATTTCTTCAATGTAGAAAAGAGTCGCGCAGAGATTCCGGGCCGAATTCTGAAAAAGTCTCATTGAGCGCCTCAGAAATAATAATCTCAAAAAAAATAAAAGTATGAAGAAAATTAATAAAAGCGTGAAAAGTAATAATTTCTAATGAGGTCAAAGGCGTTGTCTGCCGTTACTCTCTTCATTCTCCAAGCAGCGGTTTTCTCAAGCAAGAGAAAGTATGTGATTGAACCTTCTCTTAAATGGAGCTCTTTCTCTGACCTACACTATTTCGTCGTTTTCTCGCAGCTAGATAACGACGAAATAGTGTGTGTCAGAGAAATAGTTGTGGCGATCTTTTGGCGCCCCCTGTCAGAGCTCATTATCATAGAGTTTCAAGTTTTGAAAAAAAAATTTCGAAGCGAAAGATTTTCCAAAAATATTCATCTCCTTTTTTGAAAAACTAGGCTGAATAGATCCACCGGTAAAACTTCTCATGAAATTTTAGAATTTATCTCTGAAGTTAGTGACAGAAATGAGAAATCTTCAGCGTGCAAGGAACTGCCCCAGAAATACTACACATCGGCAGGTCCTGAAACAGGAACCCCATGCATTTATGGGGACTACGTGTTCAACGTGACATGCACGACCTCCATATCCTATGACAACCTGTGGCTACCGGCAGTTCGCACTTTGATAGGCAGTCTTACAATCATTTCGGAAGAATGCATTAAAATCACGGCATTCGATCACATCGTCAAAATAGTCACTGGTTTTTTTTTCTGCAGACCTGCACCGAAACTTTGACAATTTTTAGACAACGGTTCGGCTTTGAATATCGAAGAAAAATCTAGAAACGGCAACCATCTCAAGTACCTCGAGATGAGAAGTCTCAAATATCTTTGTTCCGAAAAGAACCATCCAGCTTATCAAAGCGGCTCAGACAGCTTCCTTGATAGTATATCTCTACGATATCTTGAAGAAGCCACTTGCGAAGTTAGTATTGTTTCAGCCTCATTATAATGGAAAAAGTGCTTCATTACATGATCTCTGCTATTTGAAGGAAAGAAAGTGGGAGCGTTTCGAGAAGAAGCAACACTTATACGTTCCCTTTTTCAACATCAGCAGTAACCGTGTGCGCAACGGAAATAAAGCCGTGAGGGAGCATTTTTCATAAATTTAATCTTTTTTCTTCTCAGGATCAAGAAATGGTTAAAGAAGGTCCCATAATAATAGAAAGTGAGTGACATTTTTTGAGAAAAAAATCAAAAACGAAGTGTTTATAAAAAAAATATTCAGTTGAATTCAGAATTATTCCAATAATTTTTGAAAAAAATAGATCCGAGTTATGTATATAGTCTGTTAGGATTTTGAATGTCAAGCATCAAATACCGCCCCCAAAAACACTCTGTGGTGGCTCGATTGTTTTGATCTACGCATAAGGGGCGGAGTTTGAGCGATGCTTTGACATTCAAAATCTGACCAGACTATATTTGAATTTTCAAGCCAGCTCATTAGCTTCATGTGAGGCGTGAATAACTATTACGGTAAGATAATTTTCAACTTGTCAAAGCTTTCAAGTTCGCTCAAACCAAAAAAAAAAATGTCTCTGACCCTAAAAATAGAACAATTGTTTTTCCAGCGAAAAAGAAAAATGCCAAAAACTTGAGGAAATTACAAACAAAGAAGGAACGCACTCTGAAAACTCGTTTTACTAAGGGCCATGAAAATCTTTTGCAGAGCCAGAAATCAACTTAATCTTTTTCATCACCACTCCTATCATCGCAGTTACTATTATTATTCAATTCTTCATTTTTCTTATTTTATACGACCATCACAAATAAAATATGAGCGTTCGAAGGAATGTGAGATTTCGCTGACCTCGTCGACTGTGCTGGCGTATTCTTCCACACGGCGGTCGTTATACATCTTTCCTGATTCAAGTTGTTCATTGGCCGTGCTTGCCAGGTAAACGATAGTGTCGATTCCCTGAGAGATCAAATCAAGGACCGTACAAAGCGGAGCGTCGTACTGCGTTGAGGTCCTTGGAGAAGAGCCAGATGGCTGGATAGGAAAGGGCACGGAGAATCCAGTGTGTTTCGCGCCCCAAGTCGGTTCCCCGAACGAAGCCTGGCCGCATGCAATAGACGCCGATTTTGAGTTCTTTCCGCGCTATCAATCTACAACTTCTTGCCAATAATCTCAGAAAATGATGAAAATTAGTTCAATACTTTCCGGAAAAGAGAATGTAGCCCTTTCCGCGCCAGCTTGTCACGATTTTCGTTTTCCTCTGCGCTAGAGAATCCTTCCCGTCGAAGCGCGGGATATCATCTCTGCTTGCGCCTTTAATAAGACGGAAATTTAAGGGCGAATAAAAAACGCAGACAGAGAAACATCCCGAATGATTCTCTAGCTGGGAGGGAAACAAAAATCGTGACAAGCTGGCGCGGAATGGACTATAACAGGAAGGAGCCTTAGAAATGAGCCTAAAAAATTGAGCAGAAACTCATTTTCAATATTTTGCCGACCGAATTCTGATCATCAAGATTACAAAACATCTTTTTTTCGCAGCCTTTTTTCAACGACATAGTACTCATAGGAAAATGAATTTCAAAAACTACAAGTTCTCGAAAAATAGAAGGCTGTTCAAGCCCGGTCTTTCAGCTTTCTCACATTATCTATCAAGGAGAAAAGGAAAATTTCAAAGCTACGAGTAAAACTACTTTCTTGTTTCACCCTGGAATCGAATAAACGATTTTTCTCAAACAAACAAGACAAATGATCACCGATAGTGACTAGAAAACCCTACGAGTTGAGGGCGACGGTGTAAAGACAATTGGCGAGTTTGCTGAAGGCGTAGGCCTGCTGCGAAGTGTACTCCCAGTGCTTCTCGCCCATCAACTGCTTGGCGGACGGCGTCGCGACCGTCTGAGAAATTTTTGTGTCGCTCGTTTTCCAGTCGGCTTTACGTTGCGGTAGAGACCCGAGGAGACGACGACGATCCGCGCGCCGCCCGTCCAGCGACTTTTTGCCAGCAGCGGCAGAAGTCGGTTGATCATGACGTAGTGGCCGAAGACGTTCGTCGCAAAATGCATCTCCACTCCGTTCGACGACAACTTCAAAGTTTATTACAACTCATTTTCTTTCTGACAGTTTTATTGGAATCGAAACTACTACATTCTCGAAATATCTACAATTTCCTAATGTATAGTCCGTTTTCGCGTCTTGAAAGGGAGGGGGAGGGGGATCTTCTCTGCGCCCTCCTTATCTCTCAACGCCCCTCTCTTGTTTACCTTCTATTTTCATTTTTCTTTGACCTCACCGATGAGAGAACAGAGAGACGCAGACACGTGAAAACGGAGAGAGGCGGGATTTGGAATTCCGCGAAAAAATAATATTTTTTCGCGTTCCTCGCTTTTCGATACGATTTCTCAAAAATTCACTTCGATTCTTTTTGAATTTTTTACAGTTCAAACTTTTTTTTTCACCCACTAACTGTTGAAAAATACATGATTATCACCTTTACCATCCAAAAAATTCTGCTTAAGAGGAGTTTTTTCGTCTCATTATGATAAAAACGATCCCTTACTTTTCAAACAGTCGCTGTCCTATTTCTCATTTTCCAATTCATTCCACATAAAATTTTCGGTTTGAATCAGTTTGAAATATTCTACTGATCGCTCCAATATATGAAGGCCTTACTTCAAAAGCCATTCCCATAACTCCGGCGTTATTGATGATGACGTCAATGGAGGAGAAATCCCGCGAAACCTCTTCGGTGAAGTTGATGACCGATCGATAACTGGTCAGGTCCAACTGGAAAACTGGACAAGTTCAAGAAGAAAAAAAAATCACTTAGGAATTCCAAAGTGGTCCCTATAGTGGTGAAATTTAAGTTTTTCCCTATAGGGGTTTAGGGTCTGATCCCTTAGCCCTGGAGTGATCCTCATAGGGGTCTTTCAATTTCATTCAAAAACGTTTAGAATTTCAGTTTCTTTTATGGAAATGATTCTTTACTCAGAGTTTATAACAATTATCGACTATCATGTTCCTATAAGGGACCACTTTTCGCAAGCATTGGTGGCCCCTATAGAATTTGGTAGAGTGGTTCCTAAAGAGAACTTCCAAGGACCCCTAAGGTTGCCCCTAGAGACCACTCTGGAGTTCCTAAGCAAACCGACAGAGTATAAATGGACGCGATATTGATCCTTGATTTCATCTCCTCTGTCAGAAGCAGACAACGTGATGATCTCTTCCAGGGCGCGACGTCCACGCACCTGGAATCTTCCCACTTTCAACATTTTTTAGAATCTTTCAAACTTCATCTCTACAGGTGATTATGACCGTCGCACCTCGCAGATAGAGGCTTTTTGCCGTGTGAAGACCTCAAATGATTGGTTTCTCGGAAACCTGCGGAAAACTTACCAAGTCCGGCCGTAGATCCTGTTATCAAGACCGTTACGCCTTTCATGTCTTCCATCTACGATTTCATTTTGAGCAATAAAATAGTCAGAAACTTTCAAATAATGAGAGGAAGATATCCGCTGTTGATAAACAATAAGAAATAAGAGCTGAGTTATGTTTTTATTACAAGCATTCTAGTATAATACACTAATGTACACCCTATGAACCCGCACTCAAAAAAAGGGCTAAAAATCAATTTAATTGCGAGGGCAACTAGAAAAATGAAATAATCAAGAAGCCGGTTCATCTTCTGCTTTTTCATCGTCGTTAGTTTTTCGCCATTTATCGCGTTCTTGTCTCCGCTTGGAGATCCTTGCGGATTGGATCCGACGAGTGTGGTCCAGGTCTTGAACCGCTCGGAACCATCTGAATCCTCATCTTCATCCACAAACTTTTTTTTAAATCTAGACGAAACTAAATAGTATCCTAACAAGGGAGGTTTTTTTTTTATAAATTTGCTTAAACACTCTTCAAATATCTATATGAAGATGCCACATAGTGGCTAAGCTATCTGCGCAAACTTCTAACTTTTGAGATATGATTTTTCAAAGTTGCGAAGTATAAGTTTTAGGCCTAACTTCTCGACCTTCAATATCAATTATCTCGAAAACTAGGAACTGGCACGGGATGCGACTTTGATGGATCCTCATAAATACCTTCAGAGATTATTTGAGCAATTTTTAGAAAAATTCCAAGTCGCAAAGAAAAATGACCTTCTCGTGGGGTCTAAATTTGAGCGCGTACTTCAAAAATTAATATCTTAGAAACTAGAATTTTTCGCAGGTAGCGACTATAAGGAGTCTTTAACTAGACGTTCAGAGAGAGTGTAAGCCGGTTATGATCATTACGAACGTGTAGAAAATATAATTATAAAAAAAGTAAAATTATAAAAAGGCATCTCAACCTAAATAGAATTGTAAAAAAACTTAAACTTCTAACAAATGATGACCCCCTTTTCATTAAAAATTTGTCAATGCGCCAGAGATAGCGTTCGTTCGAATGAAACTTTGAAGCGTCTGTTTATGGAAAAAAAGAAGACTTCGAGTAACTTTGCAGAGTTAGAGAATATTCTGGATAATTAAAAATACCGAAAAACCTGCTACTCCAACACAACACTGACCTATATTCTTCTCGTATTTCGTCCCGATTTCGCGTCGCCATAAGCTCGCAACGATTTCGCCATGCCTCATCAATATCCGCTTTCAGGAGACGAGCTAGCGATTCCACCTGGAACAGTCAGTTTTTTTTCCATATTTATAGTGACCTCACTTTACTTTTACGATGTATTATAGCCTGTCGCGCTATTAATTTTTTTTTCCTTTTATCAAGGTACTCTACTTTTATGTGCTCCAACAGCAATAACAATTTATTGAAAGCGTGACCTAGATTCGAAACACGCTTCGCGAACGCACGCAGCGGAAGAGCGGAATGTCGTTCCGTGAAATTTCAAGTCGTGGCACACAGACTATAAGTTGAAAAAAAAACCTCGGCACTGTCCAAATTGGCATCTCGGAACTCTTTCTGCCGCAGGAAAGACTTGGCGATCTCCTCTTCGTCAACCAGCATCGAGAGCTCCTTCTCGCGCCGTTTCAACATCATTCTAAAATATGGAGCTGATTTTGAAAACGGAACTCTTGAAAACAGATAGCCAACGTTGTAGGCAACAACGACGACGACGCCGAACGCTGTCCACATCAAGATCGTCTTCCAAAACTTCTCGTTTCGCTTAGCGTGGTCGGAATCGCGCATGTTCTCGCTCTGATGCTCCCGCCAGTGCTTCCCCCAATCTCTGAAACGACTGGTTCAATATTATACTTTCTCGATGGATAGAAAAAAACACTTTGAAAAGGGGTGAAATAATGAGCGCATTGAAATTCGAACCGCGAGAAGTCGTACTGAGGTTCCGCCCTTCGAAAACCTGAGTAAGGATGTCGGAAATCCCGCCGAATCGCTTCAAAACCATTTCTCAGCTGGTGGTCGTACAGCCGACGATCGGCAGGTCTTCTGAAACTTCTGTTTCCGAAATCAAAAAATGGCTGCGGAAAACCTCAGAATATCGTAAGCAGTTTTTAGCTCGACAAATTCAGTTGACGACTTCTCGTTGGAGTTATCAGGATGCAACTTGAAACTGGTTAGATAATAAAAACTTCTTCTTCTTCAATACCTACTAGCTTCGATTTTTCGTAAAAGGCGGTTTTGATTTCTTTCAACGTCGCGTTTTTGTTGACGCCAAGAACTTCGTAATGATTTTTCCCCGTGAATGATGAGCTTTGTTTAGTTATCCTAAGAATGAAGCCTTTATTCAGAAAATAAATTTAACAAACCTGTAATCAATTATCCTCGACCTCAATAAATGCACATAAGAAATGGAAAACTGTTTTGATGAACCATTGCACATACTTTCGGCGAATGTTGTCATGCCCATTTTTGACAGCGAGTAGCTCTCCGTCAACTTCAATTTATTTCCTATGGTGGGCCAGCATCCTGAAAAGTAATGGTTCTATTTCTTTTTTTTTGCAATGTTTAGTTGATGCATGAAAAATACGAAAACGAGATTCGAAACGTGTCAACAAAAATAACTTTAGAAAGATAGAATGGGAAACTAAGCAAAAGATACTTCGCCAGGCGTTCCGGAAATGGTCATTTTTTTAAGGACGGATAAACTTTAAAAAATCAGGATTGAAGAAAACAATATATAGTCAAAATGATACACTATTGTTGAAAAAAACTCCAAAAAAATAAAAAAACAGAAACAAACAACAACAGAAGTAGGAAAAACGCGCTCCATGAATTTGTTTTTTTCCAGGACATCATTTTTTTAGTATTTCCCGGCCATCTATCGATATCCAACTTGGATCCAAGTAAAAAAATTTTGAAACTTGGTTATTGATTGTGAAAAAAACGAAAGGAAGACAAGCTTTTCGAAATTCGATGAATTTGTGGTAATTTTAAAGTGTCTGTATCTTGGGATGGAAGTAGTTCGATTTATTATTTCTTTAAATAAAAAGGCTTTTTGCGAGTCTTTTCCGAATGGTCGACTTATGACAGCTCCCAGCGATGTCATACGCTTCAATAACTAAAAAAACTTGGAAATTTCCAGTCACTGTGAGATTTCGATGAACGCTATCATTGATAGCCTATCAGCGGGCAAACAGCCAGGTCACCTGGTCATCTTCTCATTCGGGTCTTCTCTACTTCAAACGTCTTCTTTTTTCTATTTTCCTATACACGTTCAAAGTAGTCGACGAAATAGAAAATATCTCTGTTTCTCCAAATTTTTTGTTATCTTTTACCTTCTGGCGGTCATTTTTATTTTTCCGAATCTACTTTGAACGCGGCATTCTGTTTCATTTTCTCTCTTGAATATAGGAAATTCGAATAAGTTTGCATTCTCTCAGGTTTAAGCTCAACATCCCTTTTCTATAGGATACCGAATATATAAATTTTTAGGAGTTGTTAGAAGTTTTTTTCGGAAAAAAATGCCATATAGTATAACTTATATTATACTGTATAAGGCTCGAAAAAAAAATATAGAAATTTCTTCAAAGAAATTCGGCACTTGTTTGATTACCCCTTTTAGAAGTATCATAGAAATCACATGATCAAGATATTCATCTATCCGTTTCAAACCTTGTGATCTCTTCTAGAAGTGAAGAATTCCAGCGAGACAACCGTCTTCTAAATGACGGAGAACAAAAAAATTGCCATCGTGGGAAGGTGAGAGAGAACTCGTTGACGCCGTCCAACAAGGATTTATAGCGGCCTAATCGGCTCGAGCTGGGCGTCGTTGTTTCTCAGCGGGGGCTACAAGGTCGTGCTCTACGACGTCGGCGAGGCGCAGCTTCAGACCTCATTGAAGCATGTCCACGACAACCTCGTCAAGCTCGACGTGTGTCATCAGGCGCTTGAGCGGTTGTCAGAAGCTCTTTCCAGGAGAAGGGCCTTCAACGTGGAGTTTTAACCGCCGAAGAGGCGTTCCGCAACGTTTCCACGACGACAGACTTGGCCGAAGCTTTGCGCGATGCTTTCTATGTACAGGTAATAGCTCCCGGGGTATATGAAATGAAAAAGAGGGTTCCTCTCTAGGTTTTTAGGGTCGCCTTATTCTGGTAAAACTTGGGTTGAAATAACTTACTTGAGCAAGTCGAGCCTCAGTTCGGAAAGGCGTTTTTCAGAGATGATTTTTCGTAGAAGTTTGAAATGAATCTATTATAATGCTCATATAGGAGTCGACGATAGAAACGGTCGAGTTCCACGTGAAGATTTTCGCCGAAATGGACGCTCTGGCAGCGCCCGAAACTATTTTGGCAAGTAGCACCTCCACCATTCCAGCGTCACAGTTCACCGAACATTTGAAGAATAGGTCAGCTTTTCAAAATGGAACTGTCAGATATAGTCGATTCAACCCGACTTGAAAGGCGAGGGAGGCAGAGAAAAGGGCGGGACGCGTAAGCGGTTCTTGGCACGAGTTCAATTCAACCTCCAGCGACTTTTTAGAGCTTATTTATGGCTCTTTTCATTTCTTTTTCAATTCGTTATTGACTTTTTGCATTTTTGCATTGAAAATAGTAGAATAGATACAAAAAGAGCGATGATACAGCTTTTTAAATAGTCGGTCACGGCGTTTTTTTTTTTGACGACTCAGGCACTGGTGCGCGCACGCGCGGGGGTACTGATTCTTTTTTTCCCTTTTCCACTGAAATACGGTTTTGAAAAAAATATTTTTTTATATTTTTGTGAAACTACCCAGTGCCCCTGCTCACTTTTTAAAAAAAGTTGTTCCGAGCATTCTCAAACAAATTTATGAAAAATTGCCAAGTGAAACTTTGATATTTCATATTTTTTTGTGCAATCTAATTGTTATAAACTGGTGCAGAGCAATGATAAGAGATGAATAGACATGAAAAATATTAAAATTATAACTTTTCAATTAGTTAAAAAGCTAAAAAACAAGAAAGACACCCCGCGCGTGCGCGCAGCAGGCGGCGCGCATGCGCACTTTTGGCAACAAACACGCGCCGTCAGTGCCTGAGGACGCTGCCCTATATTTTTTCCGTGAAGTTTAGTGTGTCGTGTGCATACACTGCGGCGCTCTCGCACATGCCGTGTTCAAAGTAATTTATGCAAAATTCAAGATTATCTCCGAATTTCCGACAATCAGTTATATTTTTCACTCTCTGGTGGCTATTTGGAGTTTCGCGGAATCAATTTGAACACGGCATGTGCTTAGAAAAAATCCGTTTTTTTTAAATGAGAGTCGATTCGTCTCATGACCAATTTAACTTGCGTCTTTAATTTTCCCTATTGTTGACGCTTGTTCCCCATGACGTCACATGGGAACGGCGGAGGTTTTGACTCCGCCGCTTTCATTTTTGGTTTTGCATTTTCGCTAGAATTGTACTCTTGCCAAGAACCGCGTACGCACACGCTACGCGTCCCGCCCTTTTCTCTGCCTCCCTCGCCTTTCAAGTCCAGATGGATTGACTATAACAAAGAACTTCCGAAATACAGAGAGAGATGTTTGGTAGTGCACCCCGTGAATCCGCCGCTATTTTTGCCGCTCACCGAACTTGTCCCTGCGCCGTGGACTTCTGAGTCGACGCTCCACACGGCGACCACCTTGATGACGAGCATTGGCCAGGCACATACTATCAAAAACGTCAAGAAGACTTCGTCATTCCTTTTAGGAGCCGATCCGTCTCAACCGGGAAGTGTTGGGTTTCGGCGTGAACCGGCTGCAGTTCGCGATCATGGCCGAAGCGTGGCGCCTGGTCGCCGACGACGTTCTTTCTCCAGAAGACGTCGACAAGGTTGTAGAAGACATTCAGTTGTCACGCACTTCTTCAGATCATGAGCGCAGGCCTCGGTCCAAGGTACGCCTTCAATGGTCCCTGGGCGACGACGCATCTCAACGCGTTCGGAATCCGCGACTACTGGAAGCGCTATGGTCCTGGAGCGCGACGAGTTCTTGCCGACTTTGGTCCGACGCCTTCTTTCGAAGAAGAGCACGTCATCGAAAAACTCGAGCGTTCTTTGAACGCCTCGATGCCGCTCGACAGTCTGAAGACGTTCATGGCGAATCGAGAAGAGTCTTTAGCCAAGATCGCCAAGCTCAAGAAAGAGTAACTATGTCAAAATGTCTATAATATGAATTCCGTTTCTAGGTATAAACTTTTATACTTTCATGTGGAGTGGAGACAAAGCAATGTTATAGTCTGTTCAGATTTTGAATGTCAAGTGCAATGACGTCATTCAAAAACACTCTGTGGATGGCTCGCTCTCTGATTGGTTCATCGCACCATTAAGGGCGGAGCTTGGCGACGACTTGACATTCAAAATCTGAACAGACTATAGATAAAAACTGACCATTGATAAAAAAAAATCAATCGAAAACCATTGAAAATCTTTTGAAAATCACTTACTAATGACGTTTTTGTTACAAAGAGTAAGAAAATATTTTCTCGATTTTTGTGAAAGGAAACCTTATAAATCATAACAGCTGATATGACCGTGTTCGGTAAAGCCTCTCAGGAATTTTAGAGTGGTCCCTATAGTGGGTAGAAGAAAAACAGCCCCTCTAGGGGCAAAAAAGCGGTCCCTATATGGGTTTAAGGTTTGACCTCATTGTCCCTAAAGCTAAAGTGGTCCCTATAGAGACCTTTCAAATTTATTCAAAAAAAAAACTTATTTATTCAGTTTTTCCCATGGAAATGCTTCTTCTGTACACCAAGGATTTGAACTGAAACAATATTTACTTGGTTTCAAATTTCTGACGTTCTGTTTTCAAATCAATCAAATAAAATCGTTTCTGATGGAGAAACGTTTTCCCAAAAATGCGTCGTTCCATTAAAAATTGATCGATCGGCAAGGTTAGCTGGCGTAATAAAAAAACGGTCCAAACGACGTATATGGTCAGATAGCGTTTTACGGCATTATAAACACCGTGTTTTCTGGATGCTCTCACTCATTGGCTACTTTTTGCGTTACAAGATGTGAGTCTCTTAAAATTCTTCCTCGAGTTTTATTTCCTCTGAAAACTTTGGAAACCTATGATCTTCTCGGACCTACGTAACGAAAACTGGACGTTTCCGAGAAATTCTAGGGATCCCTTAAGAGTTCTGACCCTACTAAAGGGGTCACTAGAAATGCCCCGATTGTCAAATGCAACCGTAGAGTTATGTAAAAAAAAACAAACTCAAAAATCAGAGAGCAGCTGACCGACGATGACGTCATCACCTATTCGTGTTCATTCGTTTTGGCAAGCGTCATGGCGGCGCTGTGCAACCTTTGGCCGATACTGTACTCGGCTGAGTTTGTCCAAACCAGAGACCCCAAAAACAGCCGTCGTTCTCAGAGTTCTGCTCACCTTCCTGCTCATTCTTCTGATCACCTTCGTCGTCCAGCTCATCATTCGGGCTTCCAGTATGACAGTACAATCCATGTTCATTATTATCTCAGGTAATGATGCAATTCTAGTCAAACTGAACTACCTATAAATTTTCGAGGGATCGCTATAGGGGTTAGGGGGATAAATAGTCCCTATAGGGGCCTAAAAAGTGGTCCCTAAAGAGATAAAACCAAGGTGGTCCCTATAGGGGTTTAGGGTTTGCCCCATTTTCCCTAAAGCTTAAGTGGTCCCTATAGTGGTCTTCAAATTGTATTCGAAAAACGCTTACGTGTCGAATGAAAATGCTTTTTCGCATAGAGTTTCATGAAAATTATCGACTATCATGTCCCCTAGAGGGACCATTAACTGAAAGCCCCCCAGAGACTACTTTTTGAAACGTTTGAGGTCCCTATAGGGGTTGGTAAAATGACCCTCCAAGGACCCTCAAGGTTGCCCCTATAGGGACCACTCTAGAGCTTCCTACAGGAAACGTGGTCTGTGCCCTGGCAAGTCTGATAGACCTTCCCGTACTTTTGGCTACAGAAGTTTTCATCTGCTCAGCTCTTTCTCAGTTGTTTTTCCTCGTTATGCAGCTGGAGTACAAGAACACAGTTGGTGGAGCTCTGTACGGTGATTCGGGATAAAATCTCGACTCGAATCAAACTTCGTTCTTCAGGTACCATCATATGTCTGGGTTGGAGCGTGGCCATGACTTGTGGACTTTCTTGGAAAGCTGGTCTCATATTTTTAGGAGGTTTTATTCTTCAATTTCTACATTTTTCACTCAATTTTAAGGAATGACGCCTGTTTCTCTCGTTTATTTCGTGCTGGCCAAAAAAACTGCGTTTCTATTGAAGCAAAAATAAATACTTTATTTTTTGATTATCGCAGAAAAATGTAATTACATCATGTATAGAGCGGGAATTTTCGGAAAAAGAAACGAGGCCAACCGTCTAATTGCGACGTTTGTTGCGGTTGTTGTCTTCAGCACGGCGCTTGTCGGCAAGAATGATCAGGATGTGACTGCAAAAAATTGGTCTTCAGAGACAACAGAAAAGACAATTCAATTGGTTCAAAAATGGGGTTATGTTTTTCAATTTCAGTCATAACTACTACCCTCATTTACAATTCTATTCAGAGAGAAAAACCTAAACTTGTAGTCGACGAACATAAAGTACAAGGGGAACTTGTATTATTGAGACTATCCAGAGAGGAATTTGAGAATTCCAGACTAGTGTCTATAAAGGTTAGGGTGAAGAACCGCCTCTATAGGGGCCGAAAAAATAGTCCCTATAGAGGTAAAATCAAGGTGGTCCCTGTGGGGGTTCAGGGTCTGACTCCTTAGCATCTAAAGCTTAAGTGGACCCTATAGGGGTCTCTCAATTGAATTCAAAAAACGTTCATTTATTCAGTTTTTCCCGTGAAAATGCTTCTACGCTTAGAGTCCATAACAATTATCGATTAACATGTCCCCTATAGGGGCCACTAACTAAAACCCCTGAAAAGACTATTTTTTCAAGCTTCAGTGGTTCCTATTGTGGTTGGTAAAGTGCTCCCTAGAGGGTACTCTGGAAATGTATCTAAGGTTGCCCTTATAGGGACCACTTTGGAAGTTCAATAGACGAAAAAATAAGAACCTAAAAGTGAGATTCAGTTGCCAGCTAACTTCCTCCATAACTTTCATGAGAAACTTACCGGAACATATTGGCAAAGTCGATGAAAAGCTCGACGGAGTGCCAGACGTAGTCGTCGTCGCCGCGGCGGTTTTTCTCGACGATCATCTGGGTGTCGTAGAGGATGAAGCCGACAGTGAGGGCCAGTCCTGGAACAGGCCATGTTAAGTTTCGAAGGGTGCAGTCAACTGACCAGCGAAGAGAATCAGCTTGTAGGGGGCAAAGAAGGCTGAGATGAGCAGGACCAGCGACGCCGACGCCAATGTACCTAAGAAAGCACATTTTTTTTTACGTCGTAAGTCGAAGTTTTATGCGAAAAATAGTCAAATTTCGGTAAATTTTATCAGAGTTGACTCGAAAAGGTATAGTCCGTCTGTCGCGACTTGACAGTTTTCGAGTGTCTGCGTCTCTCTGTTCCCTCACTGGCGAGGAAACGCGAAAACAGCGTGTCAAAAAGAGAGGGTCGTCGAGAGACGATGAGGACTCAGAGAAGTCGCGGTATATTGCATTTATTCGAGTACAACATGTTTGAAAGGTTTCTGTGTCAAAAAGGAAACCTCCGAGATGGATGAACTTGGTAGTGGGGGCATAGAGAGCGGCTAGAGTGAACGCGCCGAAGACGACGGTTGAAGAGAGCAACGCAGTCATGACGATGGAGGGGTCGATGGCGATCACGTGCTCAAGAAGGGGACCGGTGGACAAACCTGAAAAATATTAACCTCCAGTTGTTCGAGAAGCGTGTTCAGGAAAAATAAGCGGATTCACAGTTTTCGGTGAAAAAAAAAAGGCGAACCAGTGATTCCGCAGAATCCGAGGAACATGGCGAGACGCATTTGCTGGTTCTCGCGAGTGTTGGGCGTAGAGATGAGTTTATACATGAGGAAGATCGATCCGAGCGAAAAGAAGAAGTTTGCGCTGAAATATTTCTTATTAGGATTCTCGAGGACATCATCCTTGATTACTTTATGAAAATTCAGAACAATAATTTGTGAGTTTCCCGATTTAAGATCATAGCTTATTTTCAACCAGGATCATAGATGGGCATGTACAGAGCTTATAGCCTGTGTATCACGACTTGGAATTTCACCAAACGACATTCCGCTGTGCCGCTGCGCGCTTTTGCGAACTTTGGTCGAGCTTTTAATTTTTTCCGAGGAACATGGCGATTTTTTTTTTCTTTTATTGAAGTACTCTACCTTCATGTGCTCCCACAGCAATAAAAATCAATTGAAAACGTGGCCTAGATTCGACGCTTCGCGAACGTACGCAGCGGAACAGTGGAATGTCGTTTCGTGAAATTTAAAGTCGCGGCACACAGACTATACTAGGGAGCTTCAACCGCGGTTGATCTCTTGATAAAACTTCGCTGAAGTTTACTTTAAGACCCTCCTGAAAAATTCTCGCAATAGTTCTGGCTTTCGAGTTAGGGCATTTCAAAAGCTTGAAATAGCGCTTTTCTGTCATAATTTGCGGACTTTGAAGCTTCGTAGCTCGAAAAAAAAAGAAAAAAAAACGTTTCCTAGTTAGTAAGGAAGAGTTGGCTTACAAAAATTTTGGAAAAATAGGAATATAATCAATTTTCAACCTCCTAGGGGCATTTTCGGGAACAATAATACAAGTTTTAGCCTCAGGGAAGTAGTATTAATTTTGAGTTAGGGAAACTTGGAAGGAGGGGTCGGCGGAATTCAAAGAAGGTCTGTCCTTGCATGGCCAGGATCCGAAGCTTTGAAAAAGACCTTCTTTCTATTTTACTTGAGCACCATTATTACTCAAATAAAAGGTGAAAGCCTTGAACCTTTCCATGTAACCTGAAACCAGGCCCGAAAGAACAAATGTATTTTTATCAAATTTCTCAAGCAGCGTTAAAATAATATTCTGCACGATGGAAATTGAAGGAAAAGCTTTTTTATAAAAAAAAAAGTGAATACCGGAAAATGTTCGTAAAGAGGTGGATTCCAGCACCGACGGTCGCGGCTCCGACTCCAACGGCCACGGTGGAGTAGACATTGCGAAGGTGGTCCAAAACCGATTTCTCTCTGAAAATCCGAATATTTTCTCATAGAATAATATAAATCATCAATATAAATTTTTGTAAAGTGCAGCGCGCAACTAAAAAACGATATCAAAAAAATTTTGAATATGCTCTGAATTATTAAAAATTGATTCATTACGTACAGCGGGACGTCGAGGCCTCTGAAGGCCCGCTGGGCATTACTGAAGAAGGCCGTAGGGCCTTGTCTTTCCTCCTGGCGAGATTGAAAACGGTTCATTTGCGTACTGAAATCGGTACTGTTAAGACAAGAAAAGTTTCGAAGGCCGGAAAAATATAAAAGAGTTGATAAGAAAATGAAAGGAAAAATCGAAGAAGGGAATATTGTGCGCTACGCAGTAAGAAAACATGGAAGGTTGCGAAATGAAGCGCAGTGACACGTGGTCTTAAACAAGAATGACGATGCGATTCATGGAAGCAAAAAAAAGGAGGAATTTCTTTTGCTTTGTTCTTAAAAACCGTAGCTTTTCATTGATATTTCAACAGTTTTTATGAATGGGACTACAGAAAAAAAGAGCTTTTTCCCTATTTTCATACGTTCGTAGTGAGAATCGCATTTTTTTTAGAAACTAAAAAAACAATGAAATTTTGATTTTTAATCTGATAAAAAAACAAAGAAAAATTCGAGAAACCGGAAGAGAAACAACGGATAATATGCAAAACAATCTAGAATGACGGAAAATAGTCGAATGGCGCCGCGGCCGCCTTCCCACACATGAAAAAAAAATCGATCAACAAGGGAATTCGCTTTTGAGTGCGCCCATTTTTCATTTCAATTGTAGAAAACAACTATAAATTGATAAAAATTTGAAAAATATATCGTTAATACTGTTTAACTCACTCGGAAACGGTTTGCGAGGCAATTTATGTACAAGTAAAAAAAGATATTTATAAAATGCAGTAAATGATCCCTTCAAGTACCACCTCTACGCGGTGATGGGGAGGCAACGCCATTTATGGCGGCTAACGGTACACCGGTCACGCAGTTCAACTTGCTTCTGCTAACAGAATGGGCGGTCTTTTTTTAGCCCTGGCAAGGCAAAAAAAGGATAATAAGACCACAATTATGCTATAACACGTTCAACACCACGGATGGAACTTTTTTTCGCAAGAATACCAGTCAACCAGGACGACAACACTGGATGACCGATTGCATAAGACCTTCTGGAAAACGTGTGGTCCACGCTTCGATCAATAAAAAGGCACTAAAAAGGCAATAAAAGGTCGAAAGCGAAGATGGACTATCTCAGTATCTAAGTAAGTAAGTAAGTAAGTAAATGATGAACTTAAAAAAAAACACTGGAAAAATGTAAAAGCCTTCTTTTTCGGTACACTATTTAGCAAATAGTATCTAGATTCTTATAGCGTGTTAATCGGAGAAAAGGATCACGCTTCAAAACGAAAAATCGTGTTCATCGGCGCGCCAAAGTTGCAAAACAGTACTTGTTTTTGTTTCAGAGCCATTTTCCTTTTTTTTCCGATGAAAATAGTGAATATCGAAGAGAAAACTTATCTTCTTAATAAAAAAGTATATTATTGCAGAAGATATAAACTTCTTGAAAGTTCATTAAAAACAAATATCGAAAAATTCATTACAAGGATAATGATAATAAAAAGAAATCCATAAACTTTTTACCGAGGAAGCAGAAGAATATTCATGACTGCACAGCGACCGTCAGGATAACACAGAAATCAAAATAATGAAAAACATACCAGTTATTCCTCACTCACTACTCACTCGAAATGAAAAAAAAATATTTTCTTTCGAAAGACGGCGATAAAACCGTTGAATTAAGACAACAGGAACATGATATCAACAGCTTTAAAGTACGGACCACCGTATATGATGAAATAATGAACAATCCTAACTAAATGCGGATAAAATGTAGACACGAAAGTTCTTTTTTTCTTTTTATAAACAAAATATCAAGCCTCGGTGCTTTCTTTCACGTCGATATCAGGGTCGAAGCGTAGCCGCGGCCAACCGACCGCGTCTTTCTGCTTCAGAACGACTTCCACCTGCAAATCCTTGATGAAAAATACAGAAACACCTGTTCCGCGTAAAGAAAAATATTATATAAAAACTTCGAATATCTCAATTTCGCAATTTTCAAATGCTCGCTTACTAATCCAAAAAAAACTTACTATGAGAACAAAAAAATTTTTATGCTTCGTACAGAGATATGCGATAAATTCTTAGAGAGATAACTTGTTCGTTCTCGAAGGGCCTAGTAAAGGAACTGTAAAAGATTGGTACACTAAACTCAAAGTAAAGCAAATTTTTAAACAATCAACTTTTATTGAAGTCATTTTTCAATAGCTCAAACCTTCCGTTCGCCGACCAAAACGCGGCTTTCCTCGGGAATGATTTCGCCCCATAGTTCGAAAACAATGTCCGTTTCCTGGAAACTGGAACTGTAAAAAATGTAGATCAAAAGCAAACCTTATTTCCAAATCCATGAGGAATGTGGGCACGCAAAAGTTGACCATCGGTTAGAACTTTGACTTTATCCGGCAAAGAACCCTGAAAAAAAGTATAAGATCGGCACTTTGTAACTTTGCCCACCCGGCAGTAAATGTTGAATGTGATGTCGCCGTTGCTCGAAAACCAGTCTTCTCTTACTTTGTTGACGACTTCATTCTTAATAAAAAAAAGAATGTTTGAGCAAATTAGGTATTCCAGGGTATAAGGAAAAAAAAAGGCTATAAAGAAAAACAGCCCCTATAGGAGTAGAATCAAGGTGGTCCCTATAGAAGTTTAGGGTCTGACCCCTTAGTCCTCAGAGCTCAAGTGGACCCTAAAGTGTCTTTCAATTTCATTCAAAAAACGCTATTATTAATTCAGTTTTTGCCATGCTTCTGCTTCGCTTAGATTTCATAATATCCCCTATAGGAGCCACTATCTAAAACCCCCATATTGACCACTTTCGCAAGCTTTAGTGGCTCCTAAAGGAGTGGTAAAACCCCTATAGGACCATTCTGGAGTTCCTTCTAAGAAGGGAGCCGGAAAATGCCAGAAAAAGGCAAAACTCACCAAACTCCATTTGTGTTCGCCTTTTTGACAGCCCGTTTGCTCGAGAAAAGCGTTGAAGTTGGAGGTTTTCCGCTCACAACAGGACCAGAACTTCATACCTTCGTGGAAAATGGCTTGTCCTGGATGGAATTGACAAGTTTCCTCGTCGTTGGTGCCGTCATAAGACTGAAAATAATGAAATTTGCCACTGAAACGAAAATATGAACTCAAAAAACAGTAAGACGCTAGTAACCAAAACAATTTGTTTTTGTTTTTCACATAAAAAATTTTTTATGGACTGTTTGGAACTTTAAAAAAGATGCGAGAATAAAAATTTTTTTCCGTGAACATTTTTGAATTTCTCCGTACGTCTTTTTTTTTCCAACAGTAAACCTCACGATCTTCATTCTTTGTTGGTCCAAGAAAACTCGAAGTGAAAACTCAGAAGAATAGGCGTTTTCTTCCATTTTTGATAATAGTTACTGTTCACACAACTAATAAATTAGAGAAAAAATAAAAGAGAAGAATTTAAGACCTGTACAAAAATAGCTATAAAAATTCCTGTAGAAAACACGTGAGAAAAAACCTTCTCGCAGCCATTATTCCGACAAGGTGCTCCTACACGCAGACTACTACTGGTTCCAAGTTCGCTCGTCTCCAAATTGTGTTTTTCGACCGCTAAACGAGCTCCTTCTGTGGCTTCAACCTTTAAAAAAAATCTATAATAGAGGGCTAAATTTTTCCAGTAAACTATCAATAAGTACAATGAAAAATTAAACTAAATATCAGAAGCGCTATTGCTTTTGAGAAAAAAAAAAGAAGCTACCCTTAATGCGACTTCTTTGCGTTCGGCTTCTGCTTTCCTCTCAGCAGGTTTGTTCAAACCCTTCCACACAATCACATCTTCTTCCTAAAATTTTTTTTGTTTTTTTATAAAGCCAGGAAAATTACCTTCTCAGGACGGATTTCTTTGACGGCCGCTATTTTGACAATGTCCGCAGGCTTCTCGTCGTTGTGCTTGCCTTTTTGTGCAACCCGGATATGTCAGCCAAGTGCCGAAATCCGTGCTTTTTTTGTTACAACAGTTCCATATCTTGTAAGCATCATGGAAGTAAGGTGGACCAGGATGAAAAAGAACAACAACCTTAAAAAAATAAAATTTATTTAATTCAAATTTCCAGTACCTTCGTCATTATTCGCAGGGTCAAACTTTTGCCCACAACCTTTGTTATAGCATTGAACAAAAGCTGTTTCGTCGCTTTTTCCGTGAAGCTGCGCCATACTTGGAAAAGGAACTATCAACTCCAAATCCTCAAAATATCAGTGTAAATAAAAAAAATGGACCAAAGAAGACAAATTTGACAAGAAAAGGAAATATAACGAAGAGGCGCGCCGTCCCTTTTTTTCGCCTAAAGGTCGCCTCCAAATTAGTCTGACTACTACTACGTCGGTTAGAGATTGAAGAAATATCATTTGATAGGCATATTTTGTCGGCGGCCTTTGGGCGAAACGAAAGTTCTCGCTAATTCTCGGAGCCAGTGGGCGGAGAATTCAATTGCGCGCCAATTCAAAAATTGTGAAAGCGCGCACAGTTTTTCTAGTTCAACGGCTCGAGCCGAAACGAAGCTCAATTTGGCTATAAGTTACACGAATTATTTTTCTAAAAGAGGAAAAAAAGATAAACCTGGGTAAAAAACTAGTGAGCCGATGAAAAGTTTTTTAGTGTCTCCACCAGGTCTACCTTTTGCGACATTAGACGCACTTTTATCCTGAATAAAAGTTTCTTTCTCTGCAAAAAAAAAAACGTGAACCTCGTGGCAATATTCATTTTTTTGATGTCGAAAAAATTGACACTTACAAAAAAACCACGTGGCAACGTGTCATTTCTTCTTTCATGACCTCAGTTCAAATTTCATTCTTGCTTCCGTGACGAGTCGGCTGGCTTCTGCATTAAACTTCAAGATGAGTTTTGAACCTCTATAAAGCTTCTAATTTCTAAAATAAATTTCTTAGTTGTAAGCGCTAGTATATTAGGCCCGTGGGACTCCCGGAGTGCCGATCCTTTTTGCTTGCAAATTGGATACGCAAAGTCACGCCAAAGCCCATTCCGGTGGCCGAGGCACAAACTGTTGGCAGCGCGATGCTGACAAAGCGATGATGGGACCCCCACGGAAAATGCCGTCACGGCTTTCGGCGTCTAGATTCTTAGTTCTGACAAGGCCGAGCGGAGCTCTAGCGCACCGCCTAGTTAGTTTTTCTGACTGGATAAGGCTTTTCTAACTAACTTTTGACTACATAGCTAATCAGTCAAAACATTGCATTCGGATAATGAAATCGATTTGTTTCTTTCAATGTTGAACTTATTGCAGGAAGCTTCCAACGAACTTTTTGTGATCAGTCCCTGGAGATTCGACGACACTAAATCCATGGCGGACGGAGCTCGATCAACTGCGATGTCGGCTAAACATTACCAGGTACCGGCCCAAGGCTCTTAAAAGCAGCTGAGGGTTTTTTTTTCTGTGTCAAATTGCAAAGGAGAACAGAAATAACAGTGAATTCACAATGACCGAAATCGCTCTAATATAAAAAAATGAAATTATGGTTTATTCAAAACTGATTGAAAACTTTTCAAAGAAGGCTAGCCAGGCTTGTGCGAGGTGCAGATTGTCAAATTGGATAGACTTTAATGAAAAAGAGAAAAGAATTTTTTTTGTTTTTGATGAAGTTAGAACATTTTTCTCGAAGCCTGGCTTGGTCCGATTCCGCGAGCTAGCTTGTTTCGGACTTTAATTGCTCGGACCTCGGTCACGCAAAACGGACTCGTCCCGGACGTTTCTTATAATTTCTAGTAAGCACTCAAGAGTGCTGAAGTCGCTGAAGGAGTTAGAAATGCTCGGAAACGTCCGGGCGCGTACAATTTGCGGTACCGAGACCACACTTGTGCGTCTGGCTGGACTTGTTATTGCAAAAAGCCTGCGTGAGCTTGGGCCAGGCCGAGCTCCAAAAAAAAAAAAACTCAAATTTCTCACCAAAAAATCCGTATTTTCAAATTCGTGGTTCCTGTTGAACTTCAATTATAGAAGAACCAGAAACATGATTTTTGTCGTAAAGAAAGCTGATGTTCGAATTGATGAAAACTTGCTTTCTGGGTCTGTTTTTGCTAAGGGTTTAGCTCAGCCTTGCCCGGCCTCAGAGAATGACGAGGCCGTTAGGCTGACGACTCGGCCCTCGCACAACCCTGTCTCGGACCTCGATAACGAAAGCCTAACGCGCTCTGGGCGTTTCTGAATTCAAAAGAAGCTCCAACACGTCCGGACAGGTTTTTTTTCACATCATATTCTTCGAACTGACGAGATTCCAAACATTTTAAGAACTATAATCTAAAAATTGCAATTCTAAATTGGAAAAAAATTTTGGAGTATGCGATAGTTCGTCTGGGTGTATTCGTCTGGTTTACATCCTAAACACCATAATTTACGAAAAGTTTTGACTTTCTTATGAAAAAAAACAGTGCTTTCACGGCGAATCCGCGGAGTGTAAAACTTTTGAGAATATCCTCAGTGCGCGCTTGCTGCTTTTTCCCGCTAAATTCAAATTTCTTCACCCGTTTTGTCGTTTTTGGTCATTTTTTCGATGTTTTTTTCGTTTCTTCATATCAGTAAACTTACTGTTCTTTGGGACCCACCAATTCGTTTCGAAAAAGGTTTTTTGTTCATTTATAAATTATTAAAACTTTGACAGTAAGTTCGTTTTCGCCAGGGGTGAATGCACGAGAAACATCATATTCGACGACTTTTTGTGGGCGGGACGTAGCTCTGGAAACGCGTTTAAAAGCCGAGTTTTCTTACTCCCTATCGACAGAGCTGCTGACCAGGGTTGTGCGAGATCTCGTCTCGAAATTTTTCGAGATTTTCGAGACGAGATCTCGTCTCGATGGGAAATTCACTCGTCTCGTCTCGAATTACCGAGACAGATTTTGAAATTGTCTCGTGTCGTCTCGAAAAATCGACACGAAAGTTCATTTTCAACGAGATATTTTCGAGATATGAGCAGCAGAAGTTTCGAGGAATCAGGAGGTGATAAAAGAAAAGACATGGCGTACGGTTCGGTGCTTTGTCTGAGTAGAACAAGAAACTACTTAATCGACGCGCAAAAATAGAATTTTTTTGAATCTATTTTGAATTTATAAGTTATATTTGAATCCTTAGAGCTCTAAGGATTCAAAAACGAATTTCAGTTTAATAAATAATTTGGTGGGAAAATAGATAATGAGTTCTCTTGCTGCTGCAGATGTCTGTGCCGTTTTCTATAAAAATGATTGTTTTTTCTACATGCCGTTGAAGTGCATGTGTCCATTCGGATCATATATTTCATTTTATTTTTTTCGTAAGCTATTTTCGACTAGCAATAGTTACTTTTTAAAAAAATATTCAAGAAAAATCCGCTATATAATTTTTAAGTTATCTTAAACTTTTTTTCCTAGACTCTTCGCCTTGCTGACTGCAAAATTCTGATTGATTCCAAAGCGACGAGAAATCATTTTTTTTGAAAAAAAAATTCTTGAAAAAATTGGTCACTTCTGTAGTTCCCACGTGCTCATCGGAACGTTGCTTGAAAGCAAAATGAGGCATTTCCATAATGGGAGGAGAGAGCCCGCGGCGAAGAAAAAGTCGATAACGCCCACCGCCGCGCTGGTCCTGCTGTGAAATGGCTGCTAACTTCTACGAAAAAAACACCAGGTATTATCATATTCAAACAGTTTATTGTAATTTTTATTGAAGAGAATTGAAGGTTTTTTTTTTCAAAAAATGGGAATAATTTGAGAAAAAAAAATGAGAAGGCATGGGAACAATTATGCGCCTTCCTTTTTAAAAATTGTGTTCAGCGGGTTGAACGCCGATCGTTTCATGAGCAAGTTCGACGAGTCGACGCTCGTCAATGTTCAAAGACATTACTGGACAGCGCGACAATTCATTCGTTCCAAACTAGGGAAAAAGGTTCATTTTCTTTTTTTTGGGTCTGAGTTTCATTATTACTATAAATTTATTTCATGAAATTCAGATAACAGTACAATACTCAAATTGGTCATGTTTTAATTTTCGTTAGAGCGGACATAACTATAAATATATAACCCATAAGTTCTATGCTTATTTTTCAAATAAATGTTTCCGTAAATCTTGAGATATCTCTGGAGGGGGGGCCTTGTAATTCAAAAACGGGTCTTGAACAGTTCATTAACTACCGTAGTCGTACGATTTACCCTTGATTTTTTTTTTCAAAGTTTTCTTCCACTGCAAAGAACGCTCTTTTGTAATTTTTTTTAAAGAGGCGAGTTGAAGAAAGTACGCTTCAATTAATTTCACTTGCGGCTTTTTGAAAATATTGAATTCTGAAAGGAAGACGAGCACTTGGAAGCCAGCGATTTGGAGCTCGACACTTGTCTTAACCTTTACCGATCAGTACAGTCAACTTCGACTCAGCTGCTCACTTGCATAGACGCATATGTCACTTTTCAATACGGTAAGTTCACTAGATGGAATTCAACGAAAAATGAACTGAAGACGAGGCTCTTGTGGAGAACGTCCTCGGGAAGTACATGAAAGAGAAGGGGAAGCAGGAAAAGGCCGAAAACATCAAACGGTCTCTAATCGCTGTGGGACGTTGTCTAATGTTCGCTAGTCATCAAATGAATGCCGCCAGAGTGCCTCTCTCAACGTTTGTTTTTCTTTTTGGTTGCGTTTATTTTTTTGAAAGAAAATGGTTTTCTAATGTTCATGGATACGAATCTTTACAGCCATAGGGGCAGTAAAAAAAAATAGGGTTGCAGAAAACTGTGTCATTTTGTAAAGCTTCTTCTTGTCTGTTGAACGATGAGCTTGGAAACTTACAAAACTTCCTAGTTTTTGAGAAAAATAATTCAAAGTCAAGAGTAGAGAAAGGTTGAGTTCCCGCCAAAAGGGCGTTTTGCAGTAAAGTTGCTCTATGGACAAAAAGCATTGCGATTTTTCAGATTTTCGCTTTTTGATTAGTTTTTTTTTTCAATTTCAAATTTTTTCTGTTGATAGAAAAGTTTTTTTGTCATGAAAACTTTCTGTTTATGTGAAATTTGCAAATAATGATCGTAAAATGCTACTCTGTTGAAACAGCTTTCGGTGGGGATATCGATATTTCGCGTTCCCTTTATTATTCGTGTGTGTTTTGTGTTCGCCTAATAACTTTTCAAAGAAAGAAGCTTAAAAATTTTCTCTAGACCGATCCAAAGAATATTTCAAAATTGAAAGGCGAGAAAAAATCACGTTCTTCTTCGAAAGTACTCATATCTGCGCTTTTTTGAGTAGACCTTTCGATTTTCAATGAAAAACTACGAAATACTGCTTTCACCCCAAACCCCATTTTTTCTGCCCCTATGCCAACGAGAAAATATACTGAAAATTGAAGGTTTCTGGGAAAACTTGCGGTTTTTGTGGAAAGAGCCATTGGAGACTGCTCTCAAACAGTAGAAGCGGTGGAGATGGCACGAACTGAATACCGCGGAAGTTTGCTCTGGATGAAAAAGACCAGCGAAGAGGTTCCAATTTAAGAGTTCTGACGCAATGAAGTACTCTTCCAGTTGGATCCTGAAGTCGAAGGATCGATGGAGAAGTTCCGCGACGCTCAAGCCACCGTCCGAGTCAACAAAGACAGATTAGACAAGCTCAAGACGGACACTCTTCAGAAGGTTGGTCGACTGTCTAGCCCGCGACCGGGTTTCGTTTTCAGGTGGACCTGCTGTCTGCTTCGAGGTCGAATCTTCTGTCTCACGTCCTGACGCACTACCAGCACGCCTTGTACAACCACTATGCCAGAACAGCGCGAGCCTACGAAACTCTTGCGGAGAACATCTCCTCGCTCAACGACTACGAGTTTGAAGTTCTCAGTGTAGGTTTTATTCTCCCTTTTAAAAATCTTCTTCTCATTTAGCATCTCTTTACCGGTGTAAAACAGCCTTCAGCTTCAAAAGCGTCCAAGTATGTTACGGATGCCAATCAAGTACACAATAAAGGGTCCTAGGAAAGAACCGGAATCAGTTGAACAGCCTATGGAGCCACAGGAGGCCGAGATAGCCGATTTACTTTTTGGAAGAGAGAGTCCATTGTTCACTCTCGACGAGGAAGTCCCTGAAAGAGAGTCCGACAGTCCGCTTTGCGAGCCCGTTGATCCACAGACTCACCAGCCATCTCCAAAAGAAGTTCCAGCGAAGGTTTTCAAAAGGACCTTTTTGAAATTCCTATTGAGTTTTTGTTCAGTATAACTTTGCCGTTGGCCCTCTAGCGCCTTTGTACAACTCCGAACTGCCCGTTCCAGCTTTAAATCCACCTCCGTCCTCTTCACAACCATCGCTGATCTCACTGCACTCTTCAGGTTTATATCAGCTTTTTATCATGTTTTTTCTACTTTACGAGCTTGTAGATCTCCTGTCAATGTTCGGAAACCGTGAAGGAACAAAAAAGACGCCTTCTCCGCAAAGGGCTCAACCAACGGTGATCTTTAAAAATTATCCAAAGAAAACAAAGGTTTCCAGGATTGGTCGTCACTTCTAGAGGGATTTGAGCTGCAGAAAATCGACAACTCCTTTTTATAACAAATCAACTCGAGGTTCAATAAATTATTTTAACATTGAATTTTATTTTGGAACAAGCTCGTGAAGCAATTGCCTTTGTAGTTTTCCTGACGTGTTGCGAGGTAACGATGGAACTCGGAACGCCTCATGCAGTTGTTTATATGAGGCGAGGTTCTCTTCAAACATCAAAAATTAACGAATAATGAAAAATGACTAACCACGAACAATTCGTTTGACCTTTTCGAGAGGCGTCTGACCAACTACTAAAGCCATCAAGTGATCTTCTTGTTCTTCCTGTAAGAAAAACTAAAATGATAAAGTCTGTATAGTCTGTGTGCCACGACTTGAAATCTCACGGAACGACATTCCGCTGTTCCGCTGCGTGCGTTCGCGAAGCGTCTTTTAAAATGATTGCTATTGTTGTGGGAACACATGAAAGAAAAGTACCTTGATGAAAGAAAACAAAAATTAAAAGCGCGCAGCGGAACAGCGGAATGTCGTTCGGTGAAATTCCAAGTCGTGGTACACAGGCTATCTAGAATTACAGTTTGTTTGACGAAAACAGCGCAGTCTTGAACGTCTTCGAGACGTCGGATCATATTCTCAACCTCATTCGGATTCACCTAATATTTATTTTTTGAACGCAAAGACTTTTTTCTGATTCACCTGCCAGCCTCGAACCTTGAGCATCTCTTTATCTCTTCCTAGAATCACCAAGTTACCTGCTTTATCGATTTCACCGAGATCTCCTGAAAAAATACGTTTTGTTTGGAGAATCAAGAGGGGACCTGTGTCCATGAAGTTCCTCGTTGTACTTGTCAAGGAAAACACGTGAATATGACCCTCACGGTCAATCTGAAAGTGGATTCTTTATTTTTCTTCAAACGTAACAATTATAATAATGAGTCTTAATATTGGTTTGATTTGTACATGAAAACCTTCAGCTTGACTCCTGGAAGCGCTTTTCCTACGTGACGTCCATCCGTCTTTCCTTTCAGGCTACTCGATATCAAAACACCGCATTCTGTTGCTCCGTACACTGATATTAGACTGCCTTTCATTTCTCAGGACAATCTCACATTGTATTAGGTTTTGAAGATTTGGAAGCCGGTCGGAAACAGCCGAAAAGCAACGAACATCCGTTGGAGCTGCGCCCACGTAGATGGTCCTAGGATCTTCTTTTTTCAGCAATAAAAACTGAATGAATACGCGTCTTTTGGATGAAATGGAAAAACCCCTATAGAGTCCACTTGAGCTTTGCGAGCTAGGGGGTCAGACCCTAAACCCCTATAGGGACCACTCTGGGATCGCTGAGTTCATCAAACCTCAAAGAATCAAGCTGATATTCATGAATGATAGCGGTTGAAGATAAGAACTTCATCACAGGAGGCACGATGTAAAGACAGCTGACCTGTAAAAACCTTGCATTTAGATCTTTTTGGTCTAGTTACTTGGAAGTTTTGAATAGTCTCAAAAAATTCTCGCTCATTCCAACGGCCGTTGACTACAACACTGCAGCCGCAGAAAAGCATCGAAAAGACTGAAAATTGTCTTTTCGACTTCCTTTTTGTTTGAGAACCTGTAATCAAACCGCCGGCGTGGAAGTACGGTAGGACACCGTAACAAACATCTTTTGAATCTGGCGAGAAGAACTTATCATCAGCAGCGATCATTCTTCAAAAAAGCCATATAAGAGGAGAAAGACAGCCTCGATTAGTGGTCCCTATAGGGTTTGAGGTTCTGACCCCTCAGCCTCAAAAACTTAAGTGAACCCTATAGGGGTCGTTCAATTTTATTCAAAGAAGGTTATTTTTTTAGTTTTTCCCATGAAAATGCTTCTTCGCATAGAGCTCATAAAAATGATCGACTATCATTTCTTCAATAGGGACCACTTTTGCAAGCTTTAGTGGGCCCTATAGGAGTTGGTAAAATGACCCCTAGAGGGGAACCTCCAAGAGCCCCTATAGAGACCACTCTGAAGTCCCTAAGCAACTCACTGAAATTGCCGCAACTGAGCGTTCAACACGCGCTGAGAATAAATGAAGGGCTTCGGAAGCCCAGTTGTCCCAGAAGAGAAAAATATTATTTCTCCGCTCTTTTTCTCTGTATATTCGACATTTTCTTCCTTGTCAAAGTCAGAAGCTTGAAGTTGAATTATTGAAAATTTCGGGACGTCGGATGGTAGCTGCTCCTCGGAAATCGCAGCAGAATCATAAACCAGAAGGTTCACTGCGGCCTGCGCTAAGTAGGTCTCCAGTTCATCTGAAGCAATTTTCTCTGGAATCGGAAAGCTTTTGGTTACATGGCTTGAGAGAGGGATTCAAGGGAACTACGGTGAGACCGACGTGAAGACTAGCGAGGACAATTTTGAGGAACTCTGCGGAATTTTTGCACAATACAGCCACTCTCACGTCGCCATCTTTGCTGAACAATCAGAAAATTATATTTATTTTGAAAAAGACAGAACTTTTTTTGAAGTTTTGACATCTTCTCAAACCATTTTTGCGTTGATGATACGAATTGCTCATAGGGTTCCTTCACTCCATTCTCGATCTGAGTTTTATGAAATAAATCGCTTTGAATTAAAAGTACAGATTTATCCTATAGCGTGATTCCATGACCCCGTCGGGGCGAAAAAACGATATTTCAAAAGGTCAGACATTTATAGCCCATCCCGCGCCAGTTTGTTAAGGTTTTTGTCTCCCTCTGAGCTACAGAACCCTTCCCTTTCGATGCACGCAATATTATCTCTTCCTGTGTCTTTATTATTTCTAGTCAAATTAAAGGCGCAGACAGCGAAACATCCCACGCGCTTCGAACGGAACGATTCTCTAACTCGGAGAGAAAAAAATCGTGACAATCTGGCGCGGAATGGCCTATACTAGGTTGTGGTCAGACCATTTTACAGTACATATAAAGATGAAAAAGGCTAACTTAGGCAGTAGAAACCAACCAGAGCAGTTTTACCGCTGTAACGAACACAATGGCTCAAAAAGCTGCTGGAAAAACTAGCTCGACGCGGACGATCCATTGTTTGTGGGAAGATGGTCGTTCCGTCACCGATATTCTTCTAATTGGTTGCCGTTTGTCTTTCTTTTCATTGCCCCAATTTGTGCGTGTTTTCAAGAGACTATTATAAATAACTCAATTGAGATCTTGCAACGATAGAGTTTCTCGATGTTCATTGGAATAGATAGTCAAATGTTCAATTTTTTAAATTTTTTAAAATTTTTAATTTTTTTCTTCCCAGATTTGGTAGTCTGAACAAACTGGCTCCGTCCGGCTGGACTTGACATTTCTTGCGTGTCTGCGTCTCTCTGTTCCCTCACCGGCGAGGTCAGTAAAACATGAAAACAGCACGTAAACATGAGAGAGACGACGAGAGTTAAGGAGGGCGCAGATAAGTCCTGTCATTTCAAGTCGCAAAAAACGGACTAAATTTAACGATATGTGCATGTAAGTAGTTTTAGGAAAGAAGTTTATTAGTATTGAGCAAATTTGTAATCACCCAAATGAATTGATAAGAAGCTACAAAGGGAAAGAATCGTCAGTTGGAAAATATTGAAAACGATATGTTCTAGAGAAGAAACGTTTGCGTGTTCATTTCACGTCTTTGGGATATTCGTTGGATCGGAACGAGTAGCGGTGAGACGAGGAAAAAGACTTGCGGCCAGGTCTTCGGGCGTTCTTCTTCTTCATTCCCGTCAGTGAAAGAAGTAAGTCCATCATCAAGATGAGAATCTGAAATCAGTTTTTGGAATATCAAACAAAAATTTTACCCATTTCATGATTTGAATGATCTAAACTCCGACAAACCTCCATGATGGTGATGACGCTGACCCCCATCCATAGTCCGAGTTGACCTCCAAAGTCAGAGAGCAGATTTGGCCACTGAAAGAAGTCTTTTTTTTTCATCTCATCTGGGATTGGTCTCAGTGGGACTTCTGAATTCACTAGATGTAGTTTTTCACTCTGATTTCAAATCCGGTCCTTTCCCTCTGGTCACGAAAATATTCAAAAAAGAAAAAAGAATGCAAAAAAGTTTGCACAACGTGGGGACCGAGCCTATGACCTCATTAGTACCATTCCGCCGTTTTTCCACAGCTCCATCGCAATAGAACTCCGCGTCCTCTTCTCATGCGCTGAGCTTTGGAAAATCATACTTGGGATCATGAATTTTTTTTGGAAAAAATTAGATGGTTTTTTGTGACCAGATAGACAGGATTTGTATGCCCTCCAAAAATGAGCTCGAACGGAGACTATGAAATTTTCGACTTTGAGGGTCCATAACTTTTTTCCCACATCTATGTGGCAGTTTTGGAGACCGGATTTGAAATAAGCGTAGAAAACTACATCTAGTGAACTCAGTCTCATTCAGAAGTCCCACTGTGAGCTGAGACCATTCCCTGGTCAATTCTGTAAACCCCATAAGCTTCGCTCTCGAGAAGGGACTCGTAGTTGAGTTGCTCAAAGTAGACCTCCACCATGGCGCTCTCTTCGCTGCAAGAAACTTCAAGATGCTTTTCTATCTGAGCTTACCGCTTGAACAAAAGACATTGGCCAGAGGTCATGCCATGGGGACATCCGGAATCGTCTCCGGGCACGGCCGGCCAACGCGACGCTGAGTACGTCACCGAGAATACGTCTTGGCTGAAACTCCCAAGTTTGGGACGTTCGACGGGATCGTAACCTGCAGGGCTGTTTGCAAACGCATCCGATCGCTTTGGAGTTGCGCATCGCGAAAATCATCTCACGTTTCAGGCATTCTCCTGCGAGAAAAATAAAAGAATTCAGAGCAAATTAAAGGCGTAGGGACAGTTAAAAATGGGGCTGGGGAGAGATATGAAAGAGCAATTTCTTGCCTGTCTAACGGTGAACTCGAAAACGAACAGAACTTCCTAGTTTTGGAGAAAAAATAATTCAAAGTCGGAGTTAAGCTCCCGCCAAAAGGACGTTTTGCAGTAAAGTTGCTCTATGGACAACACGCTTCGGATTTTCTCTTTCTTCTTCGTTTCTTTCAATTTTCAATTTTTTCTGTTTTCATCAAAGTTCTTTTCATCACAAAAGCTTTCTATTCATGTATAATTTGCAAAATTTGATTGCAAAAATGCTTCTTTGGTGAAAAATGATGATTTAACACAAATTTTGATTGGGATAGTGATATTTTTGCGTTTCTTTTATTTTCGGTGTGCGTTTTTTGTTTGACCGAATGTTTTTTCAGAGAAGAAGTGCTTGATTTAAGCAGATATACAGTTATTTCTCTCAAAGTGCTAGTCTAATCACAGGTCCGCAACATCGCGTGTACGGCTACTGTAAACAGTTTTCTGTACACCGTTGCGAATCATTTTTCAAAAACTAAAAGGCGGGAAAATGAAATCATGTTTATCTTCAAAAGTATAGATGATTCACGGCTAGCTTGGGACGCATAAAGGCGTGGCCCGTCTGCACTCTCCACCAACCAGAGACTGTATCGTCTCTTTTCGTGGCAGGACCCTTTTTTCGATGGCTCAAGCCAGCCGTGATTCAGCTATACTCATGTGTGTGCATTTTTGAGTAGACCTTTCGATTCGCAAAAAAAAAACTATACAAAGTACTGCTTTGAACTGAAACCCCCTTTTTTACTGCCCATATGCCTTTAATAACCAACTCTTGTAGGGATCATCGACTGGGCAATTTTTCGAAGTGCGAAAAGGCGGGAATCGAGGGTCGCCACATTTGCACTCGCCAGCAAGGTGTTTCTGAGCGAATCTTCAACAGAGATTGAGGGACCACGAACCTGAATGCAACTTCTCTGACACCCTTCCGTGTTGTAAGCCTTGTCGACGTAGATGAAGTCGTCGTTCTTGCCTTCCTGCACACAGTCGCCGTAAGGATGGGGCAAGCGGATGATAGATTTCTGAGATGGAATATCGAAGTATAACTGTTGGAACACTAACCAGTTTTATTCCGAAGCTACTGACGAATCCGACTGGGGCTGAGAAGCCAAGAGTGTCCGGAAACGGCTGCTCGTCATGCGCGTGCACTGTCAGCCTCACCTGCGCAAGTCAGTTTGAAAATATTTACAAGAAAATGACTTCATTGGTTATTTTTCTTTTAAATATTGTCCAAAATTGTCTAAAATTGTCAAACTTGTCTAAAAAAAAAAGAATTTTCGTAACAGTTGTACAAAATTTTGAAGAATACCATCACGGTCCAAAAAAAAATAATTTTCGTAAATGGTTGTACAAAATTGCTTTTTCGAAGAATTCAATCAAAATGTTATCAGTAAAGTTAAAATTTTAAAAAATTTGATTTTTCGAAAATTCAAAATTTACCAAATTGATGTATTGGTATCATTATGGGTATATTTCAACGCAAAATTTGATTTCAAATATTTTCGTGATGTTTTGAAATCTCACAAAATTCATTTTGAGTCAAAAATTTGGTTTTGAAATTGAAGGGCTAGTGTATTTCTCGCTTCTATGTACCTTCCTGTTGATTTTTTTGTTTTTTTAATTATTTCTCGTTTCGTTATTAACATCCCCACCAAATTTCAGCCTGATTGGTTGCGATTTGGTCGAGATATGAATTTTTAAACGATATCAATATAAATCTCACCCCGGCCGCTTCGGTCGTCGGCAAGTACTCCTGAACATTAGCGAAAATTTCCAGGCGGAGTCCTGAAAATCGAAAAAGTTCTTTTGAATTTGAGAAAAGTCCAGAACCGTAGGACGGTCCTGCTCGTTCATTGGTCATGTTGCCAAGTCTACTGGCGGTGTAGGTGAAGCAGGCGCCGTAGGTCGGGTCGAGGTAGGCCTCGAAGTCGCTGAAAAGCTTGAGTTTTAGAGTGATCCTTATAGGGGTTAGGGGGAAAACAGCCCTTATAGAGGCCCAAAAAGAGGTCACTATGGGGGTTAAATCAAGGTGGTCCTTATAGGGGTTTAGGGTCTGACCCTTTAGCCCCTAAAGCTTAAGTGGATTGCCGACTAGCATGTCCTCTATAGGATCCACTTTTGCAAGTCATAGGGACTCCTTTAGGGGTTGGTAAAGTGGTCACTAGAAGGGGCCCCTACAGGGACCACTCTGGAGTTCCTTCTGTCAGAGCCCCACTTGTTGACGTGACACTCGCGACCGTTGAACGAGCATTTGCGGATGAAGTCGGTCATGTTGTAGGAGATCCGCCATTTCTCCTCCTCCGTCAGAGCATCTACCGCGAAGATTATGTTCTCCATGGCTTTCGCTCGTAGTGCGATTCTGTCTTTCACTCCCTGAAAGTCAAGTTCCTATGGGGTGGAGCACGTCACTTACCGAGTAACCATACGCTTTATCGCGTTCTTCTTTCTTCTTCACGACGGCCGACATGGTCGACGACGGCACGATGTCCCACACTTTCACGACTCGTTCGTCTGGAAAGGTAAGCGCGGTTTTCATAGATAAACTTTTAAACATTTCTGCTTCTAAAAGGTTCAAAATACGGATTTCAGCCAATCTTCGAAACTCCAGAGCGGTCCCTATAAGGGCAGCCTTAGGGGCCCCTGGAGGGTTCTCCCTAGAGACCACTTCACCAACTCCTATAGAGGTCCCTAAAAATTGCGAAATTGGCTTCTACAGGGGTTTTTAGGTAGTGGCCCCTAGAGGGGAAGGTTCGAAAAATGTAAAGGGAGTAAATACTTGACTTAGGAACTCCAGAGTGGTCCCTACAGGGGCAATTTTTGGGGCCTTGGAGGCCCTGTGACCAACCCCTATAGGGGTCCCTAAGCTTACAAAATTGGTCCCTATAAAGGTTTTTAGGTAGTGGCCCCTATAGGGAATATGCTAGTCGGTTATGAACTTTATGGGAAGAAGCATTTTCGTGCGAAAACTAAACAATGAACCTTTTTTGGGAAAAAAAAAACTTAAAAAACCAACTTGATTTTACCCCTATAGAGACCACTTTATCGGCCCCTATAGTGGCTGTTTTTCCTCCTAACCCCTATAGGGGCCTCTCTAAAATTCCTGAGTCTGTTAGGAAAAAAAAATGTCCATTCGCGGTGGCTACAAGCACTGAGGGAAAATTTCAATAAAATTAATGTACGAAATGACTATTTCAAGGAAATTCACGAATACATGAAAGTCTGACCAAGATGAGTGTAGTTGCCTTCTGGAGCATCGACCCGGACGCACATGTGAATCGGCTGGGCGCAAAGACAGGGAGTCTTGGCCTTTCGGACGTCTTCTGTGTAGACACAGTCACCGAATGTGTTGCACCTGGAAGCTTCTTCAGCTTTGAAAGATTCGCCTAGTCGATTATAGTCTGTTCACCGCGATTTGAGGCGTGTCTGCGTCTCTCTGTTCTCTCACCGGCGAGGTCAGAGAAACATGGAAATAGCACGTAAACATAAGAGAGTCGTCGAGAGACAAGGAGGGCACAGAGAAGTCCCCTTTCAAGCCGCGAAAAAAACAGACTATATGAATTAAAAAAATAAAAAAATAAATATTGATTGATTGACTGATTCAACGGGAAAACACACCGACGACATTTGCGCTCCTGCCAGTCTTTCGGTTCGTAGCACGGCCAGACGCTTTCGTCTTTCTTGTTGTAGAAGCAGAGGCACGTCGTGTTGCCCTCCTAAACCAAAACTGATTCCTTCTCTGTTGAATGGCGCACCTTGGCTTTATTTGCCGTGCATTCCTTTGTTTTAGAACATGAACAGAAGGCGTAGACCGGCAGAAGACCTTCGTATTGGCTTTTGATTCTCTCGAAAACCCGTGAGTTCGAACGTCGGATTCTGTTCTGTAAGACGACTGTAAAATTACAAAATATGATCATGAGTCACTTGGTCTTCTATAGTCTGTGCCACGACTTGAAACTTCACCGAACGACATTCCGCTGTTCCGCTGCGTGCGGTCGCGAAGCGTTTTTGCCTTTGCGAGCCTCGGTAGCGCTTTTTTTGTTTATCATTGCTGGTAGATAGACTTTTTCACTGGGAACACGGGGAAATAAAGTAATGCAATAAAAGAAAAAACTAAAAGCGCAACCGAGATTCGTAAAAGCGAAAACGCTTCGCGAACACACGCAGCGGAACAGCGGAATGTCGTTCGGTGAAATTTCAAGTCGCGGTACCCAGGCTATATCATAACTTATTAGTTCTGTTTATATTGGAAGGTTCGATAAATGTAAAGGGAGTAAATACTCAACTTGGGAACACCAGAGTGGTCCCTATAGGGGCGACCTTAGGAGCCAGACCACTTTACCAGTTCTATAAGGATCACTAAACTGCAAAAGGGGTCCTTATAGGGGTTTTAGCTAGTGGTTCCTATAGGGGACTTGCTAGTCTTGAGCTTTAGGGTAAGTGGTCAGAACCCCTATTAGATAATTTTTCTTTTTCCCATATTTTTTTAAAACCAATCAAATTTATATACAAAAAAATGACCCGGATCCAAAAAAAGCCAACAGAAAGAACACCCTTAAAAAAATTTCTCTGTAGAGTTTTTTTCAAGGATCTTATTGTATCCTATTTCCAATTTAGGCAAACAATTAAGTATTCAGAGTATGAAAATCAAGCATTTTTCATTTTATTGAGATTTTTACTTCGCTACCCATTCGGAGCAAGCTGACTTCGGTTTGAAAATTCCTACATTCTGGATCCCAGAAACTTTCCCTGCGAAAGAATACCTTGGATCGTTTCGAGGAGAGCAGAAAACAGCTGCCGTGTTGGCTGTCACACAAGCACTGCTGCGAGTTCTCATCTGCTTCTTCGAGGAGATCGCACCTGGAAAGTCTTTTTTGTTCCATCGACATGTGAACTTGCCTGGCAAGCCAGTCGCAACGACCGCAAGGCTGTACGCCCAGACTGTCCAAGGGCGAGCAGAACGCGGGGTTGTTGGACTCTTTGACGGAAATGCAGACTTTCGAGCTGTTCTTTGTTAGCGACAAGGGCCATCGCAGATTATACTGATGGGAATGGTTGCAGGATTTGACTCGAGACTCACTTCGTCGACGGCGCGAATGCAGAACCCGTGGTTGCAGAGACAAGACCGAAGGATGGCCGGCTCTTCTGAAGGGACGTCGACCTCGCAGACGGAGGCGGTCCATTCCTCCCGCGGACGACAGTTCCAGTAGAAGTCATTGTCGAAGAAAGCCGCACAAATCTTGGAACGGGAATCAGAGGTTACTCAAAAAGGACGTTTACGTACACACTGGAATCTTCCGCGGGGGACTCGGCTTGTAAAAATCTTCCTCTTCTTCGAAAAAATCGTTCTGTGTCGTGTTGTCGCACACCACGAATGCAGCTCGGACTCTTTGATTTTTCATCGATCTGAATTTCAAAAAACTTCAAAGATTGAGGTTAAATTTGAACTTGCAGGTAGCAAGTTCAAAAAATACCGTTTCCTGCGTTGTGTGGTCACATGGGCTTGTGGATCACTCTTATCAATCGCCATTTCGAAAGCTTCTAACTAAAAATTAGCCGAATCGAAAATTTCGGAATTTCCAAGAACCAACCGCATTTTTGATGCTCGAAAGCTTTCGAGCTTCTGAGTTCTTATAAGGATTCATGTTGCAGACCGTCACAGCCGGAAACTTGATTTCTTCGAATCTGATCTCCACGCCAACGATTATGTCGTTTCTGCATACTTAGAAATTTAAGAGTGGTCCATATAGGGGTAAAATCAAGGTGGTCTCTATAGGAGTTTAGAGAATGACCCCTTAGCCTCTGAAGCTCAAGCGGACCCTATAGGGGTCTTTCAATTTCATTCAAAAAACGCTTATTTATTCAGTTTTCCCATGGAAATCATTATTCATAACAATCATCGACTAGTATATCCCCTATAGGGACCATCAACTGAAACCCCTATAGGGACCACTTTTGCAAGCTTAAGTGGCCCCTAGAGTGGTTGGTAAAGTGGTCCCTAGAGCAACCCTGAAGTTGCCCCTATAGGAAAGACCACTCTGGACTTCCTAAGTACATGGGAGTTATTTTTGTTTTCTTTCTGATTGGATAATATTGACCTGGTGAAAAACTCGTTCCCCTAGGGTAATTTCTTCGGAGTAAAACATCATTTTCAATAAGAAATAGAACTGACCGAAGAAATCGAATGATAATGAGGTAAGCTTGATAGCCGAAGGCGCAAAAACAAGCGAGGAAAAGCAGGAGCCAGAGAGCTCGACGGAGTCCTTCAGAGACGTAGGCCCGCGGTATTCCATGGGCACTTCAATCCTCTTTTATTGCTTGGAAGAGCTTCCCTATACACCTGGTATGTTCGGCAAAGTCGATGAAATCGTTCTCCAGCGTCGTTTTGAGCTTTCTCGCTCGCATACTCACCATCGGATCTTCATTCACGGCCAACCTTTTCAAGAAAAAAAAGTTAAATTTCGGACGTGACTGCGTCAAGGGGTTATTTTAATCGGACTGCTTAAAAAAACGACCAAACAGGGACACTACAGTACCTGGATAGAAAAGTTTTTTGGAAAAGTCTTCTCGTTCAAAGTCGAAATGGTGGATAATGGCCGCTAAAAGTGAGAGGCTCAAAAAAGGCCGCAGAAGCAGCAAAAAAGGTCCCTTTATCATGCCTTCCATTTTTTGTGGGATTTTAAAGGCTCAAGGAATGGCAGAAAAAGGGAGAGACAGCAAAAATGATGCATAAAAGCCGATGAAATGGGGCAAAAAGGCAGAAAAAAAGGAACATTTCTATTAAGACTTTGCCTATTTTTTGAAAAAATTTGAAAACCTCAGAACGAAAACTTTTGATTTGATGGCCATCACAATTTTTGAAAGACGATTCAAGTTGCTATTTTCTCATACAGTTAAAAAATTTTCTTGAAATTAGGGTCACACTGAAAAATGCACTCGAAGTGCAAAAAAAAAAAGTTGAGAAAAATTGTATCTGTGTTGCGGATCCGAGTTCTCGGAATAGTTGCAAGGGGCAGTCGAGTGTGCATAATGGCTCTGAGAAACAAGAGAGGGCTCAGGTCGGTGCCAAAAGGAAGGCGATAGATGATTGCCCATGCATTTGGCATCAATCTCGGCTGGCAGGCCGGCCGGCCGCAGAAAGATTGCCGTTGGCGGTGACCTGCCCTTCTTCCAATTGTCCTCGATGACGTCTCCAGGTGCAGAGAGAGGTTCCGGTCCAACTCGCCACAGATCGGATCATTGGGGAACTCCGGGGCTCAATGAGCTAGGGGGAGCTTTGTGAAATGAGCACACATCCATAGGCTAACCTTTGTCTGAGGTTCAAAAGGCCCATGAAATACTCATGGAGACTCCAGACAGACGACAACAAAATTCAAAAGACAATTACGAAAAGCCAGGAAAACAAGTGTTTTTTCGGCGTCGGTTTCCGCTTTTTGGCTCTGAAAATAAGCCACAAGAAAAGCCCCGTAGACCAAACTTTTGTTATTTATTTATAGGCCCGTTCAGAAAAAAAAACCAATTTTTCCAGACTTATTAGGGTCTGTGGAGTGGTCCCTATAGGGGCAACCTTAGGGGCCCTTGGAGGGTCCCCTCTATTGACCAAAAAGCTCGCAAAAGTGGTCCCTACAGGGGTTCTAGTTAGTGGCTCCTATAAGGGACATTCTAGTTCGAAATTGTTATGAAATGTCTTAGGATTTCCAGAGTGGGGTCTATAGGGGCAACTTTAGGGGGCTCTTGGAGGGTCCCCTCTATGGTAAGCGTTTTTTGAATGAACTTGAAAGACCCCTATAGGGACCTTTTAAGCTTTAGGGGATAAAGGGTCAGATCATAAACTCCTAAAGGAAGCACCTTTTCGGCCCCTGTAAGGGCTTTTTATCTCCTAACCCCTATAGGAACCACTCTGTGATCCCTAATTTCGTATTTAGAAAGTGTATCAACTCACCTTGAGGTGGTCAAGGGTTTATCGAAGCGTACTGAAGCCATTTCTTTTCTCCGAAGACGTTCAATAGTCATCTCTAGCTATCTCCCTTTTTTCCAACGAGGTGTGGAAATCGCTGAACACATAAATACGAAAAGATTGCTCTGTCTAGATTGTTCTTTTTTTCGACAGACGATCAGAAACCTCTTTGCGCTTCCGGATGCTTCAGGAGAACTTCATTTTCGGAAAATACTTTTTGGATACTAACGTTGGTCCCTGGCGAGCTTTGGGCTGCAAAAATCTCTATAAATGATACAATTTCCATGTGAAATATCTACCTCACTGAAAATAACTACTTTTTGACAATGATGGGCTTAAAACACGGCGGTTTTTTCACTACTCTAGTCAAGTTCCGTGAATTATGGTGTTTAGGGTGTAAACACACCGAGACGCATTTTCGCATACTCCAAACTTTTTTTTAAAGATTCAAGCTAAAATTGTTCTCCTTTTTCATGATTCATTATATTTAGTTATTTATATTCGCAAAAACTATTTTTACATAAATTGAGCGAGAAAAGTTCATTTCACAGATGAATCATGGATGTTCCAAATACAATGGAAAAATGAATAAAAAGCCCCGAAAAAGATTAAATTCTAATTTTTGTTGATTACATCGAACTTTTGCCGGTTTGGTCGTCGTACTTAGAAAATCCAAGTGGTCCCTACAGGGTTTTAGTTAGCCCTTAAAAGAGACATTTTATTCGGTAATTTTCATAAATTCTTATTAAAGAAACATTTGCTAGCGAAAAACAAAAAAAAAAGTTTTTTTTAAATGATGTTGAAAGACCTCTATAATGACCACTTAAGCTTTGAGGGCTAAGGAGCCAGACCCTAAAACCCTATAGGGACCTCTCTGAGATTCCTAAGTAAGCCGAATTGAAGTTAATTTTCAACTCACATTTGTTGGAATTTCCATGTTAACTTCCCCTATATGAATTGTGGTTTTTTTTTCCAATTCACAATATTATAAAATGAAGAAAATTCAAATTTTCATCTCTAGGACACAAAAAAAGAAGCGCAATATATATATAGAAATAATGAAAACGCTACATAAAGCTATGAAAAATTCTATACCAAATAGAACTTTAAGATAGTTTCTGCGGTTTTGTTGAGTGAATTTCGTCTCGAGGGATCCCCCGACGTTTTCATATTTCATCATCTTCTTGTCGGCGATTCCTCAACAACTTTCGTCGTTCTGTTTTCCTCTTGGTATGTGTACATGTATCGGAGGAAGAGGCGTCAAAAAAGAAGAAAATCATAAAAAAGAGGCGAGCAAAAACAACGTGGCCCTTGCAGCGACGATTCACATTAAAAATGTCGAGACGGATCGCAAAGAGAAAATACAACGACATTTCCTGGGGAGTTTTTTAGTGGGCACTCTAGGGTTTTACTGTTTTAGTGCTCACTATAGTGATCCCAATTAAGTGGCTAAATGTTAGTGACCTCTTGAGGAGTCTAAGAGGTACTACTAGACAACTCAAACTACTATACTGTGTAAATTTTTAGTGGCCATTATAGGGTTTTGACGTTTTAGTGGCCCCTATAGAGGTCTAAGTGCTACTACTAGACCACTAAAAGTTTTAGTGGCCACTTTAGGAGTCAATGGATTAACATAATTGGTCCAATCTGTTAGTTTTAAAACTATCAAAGTTAGTGGAAGAAATACTGGATGAAAAACTACTGAAGTGGCCACTAAAACGGGAAATAGTGGCCGCTATAGAGGTGGGTTTAGTGGCCACTTAAGTGTCCTCTCCAATTTGGCGGGCCTCTACAGAGGCCACTAAAAATTTCCCAGTAGTGGGCACTAATACACTAAATAGGGGCTTCTACAGAGCTGGTTTTAGTGGTCACTTGATTTGATTACAAAGCTTGGAGTGGTCACTTTAGTGACGTCTCCAAGTAGTACTCAGGGAACCTCTTGAGTGGTCAATAGAGATTTCTCCAGGTCAGTGTGCTGTTTTGAAGCGCAATAAACACTTCCGAAACCCTTATAGAAAACTTCTATTTTATAATTCTAACGTTTCCCCACTACCATAGGTGTTTTCGATAATGCCAGGTTATACCCGCCTTATCTCATGATTTTTATCTCCATTCCATCTGAGATTCAAGGTTAGGTTAGCAGCCTCAAAAAAAGAAGAGTCAAATAAACTCGGTTTTTATACGTTTCCTGCTTTAATTAAAGAACTGTTTAAAAATGAATAACTGCTTTGACAATCTTCTTCTCTCAATTTTATAAGCTCAGTTCTTCTTTGAAAAATGAGGACATTTTTTTTTTTGTTTTTGGGAGTTTTTCGGTGTTTGGCTTGTAATGAAGATTCGGAAAGACTTACTTAGGAATTTTAAAGGGGTCCCTATAGTGGGTTAGGGGGAAAACAGCCCCTAGAGAGGCCGAAAAAGTGGGCTCTAGAGGGGTAAAATCAAGGTGCTCTCTCTAGGGGTTCAAGGTCTGACCACTTAGCCCTAAAACTTAAGTGGTCCCTATAGGGGTCTTTCAATTACATTCAAAGAAGCTTATTTTTCGAAATTTTCGCATGGAAATGCTTCAACGCATCATAGAGTTCGTAAAAACTAGCATGTCCCTCATAGGGACCACTTTTGCAAGCTTAGTGACCCCTATAAGGGCTGGTAAAGTGGTCCCTAGCGGGTACCCTCCAAGATCTCCTAAGGTTGCCCCTATAGGGACCACTCTGGAGTTCCTAAGTACTGTTCGAAAAGCACGTGTCAAAATCAAAGAAACCGCTTGAAAATGCAAGAAAGTGGTAAATGCGTTTACCGTGGTTTTTAACTGGTAAATGACTCAAACTTGCTCTTCAGAAGTCTAAAAATGCTTTTCTCGACTTTTTGTTTGCGATTTCAGGCCATTAAAACATTCTTGCATACGGTCCTTGATTCGATTTCCAAAGGTTTTATTCAAATTATGTCAGAATCACTTCTGAACCGGCTCCTCTAGACAAAACCCATCAGCAAACTTTCATATGCGACCCCTCGAAATTTGCATGAAATGATGCAAACTTTAACTGGCCGTAAAGGTCAAGCGAGGGCGAGAGATGGCCGATCGGAATCGATTCCGGCGGGTGGCGGCAGCGATTCCCACACATGGAATGGATGCGTCGACTCAATTTGCATCGAGTCTCGTCTGGCAAGGCCGACGTTCTCTTTGGTCTTGTGAAAAGGCCTCGAGTCGGTGACGAGCCTTGGCGTAGTCAATTATTGGTCAACAGTGGATAGAACTTATAGATAGATGTTATTTATCATTGACCATCCTTCGAAAAAAAGCGCTGGGAAAATGTTTAGTGGCCACTATAGGCTTTCGACGTTTTAGTGGCCACTATGGTAGTCAAATTAGTGACCACTTAAGGGGTTAAAAATTAGTGGCCACTTTACAGTCCTTTTCAAGTAGTCCTTGGCAAGCCTCTATAGTGGCCACTAAAAATTTTCCCAGCTTAACATTTATTTTTGGAAGCTGATCTAAAAGCTTACCAGGGAACGTTTTTTACTCCCCAGTTGAACTTTTGATTATGAAGAAAGTTGCGGACAGTACTGATATAACTTGAATCTGAAGAAAAATTTTCTGAACTATACGCTAATCAAAGAAAATGATTCCTCAATCTCTACGATTACTAGCTAATAGCCTTCTTTAAATTTACCAAAGAAAATCGCTGAACTTCTTACATGGAACCCATTTGAATTCATGTGCTCGGCGCCGAGTCTTTGGATCCCCCACTGTTTGACAGGAAGCAAGGAATTCAGCGAGTCGGTCCCCCGCGCCGCGACAGTCGCAGAACTCCGCCCACTCCGACGACGCCATCGTCGCCGTCGCCGTCGCCGGAGAGCGCAGACAGTGCAGACAGTTGCCGACGCGCCTCCTCGCCCCAGCCGTCTACAGCGTCGTGTGCGTGCAAGAACGACGAGATGAACGTCATCCAAGGGCTGCTCTCGGCCGTCTCGCCGCTCTCCGACGGCGACTCTGTCGATCGCCTCAACTACTGCCTCACCACAGTGACGCTCGTCGTCACGTCGGCTTTTGTCTCCGGATGGAGGTATTTTTTTGCACAATTTTCGCTTCTTTTTGCCCTTTTTTTAAAAATCTTCGAAAAAGGGAAAAATTTTCACAATCGATTATTTTAAGTGAACTGCATGCGGATTTTTTTTTCTGGTTTTGTAAATGTTCGCTCAACTTTTTATAATGAAAATGTGATTGTGAAGCTCGACCTTTCTTCTAAAAACTGTTTAACCCTCATTTTAACCTCAAATTAATTCGTATTATTTAATATCAAAATTTTATAGTAAAAGCGACTCACGAAGCTTCAACTCTCTAAAAAAATAATTTTAAAAACAATTCGAAATCAACACAATCAATTAATTACAATCAAGCTATCTATACAAAAATACGTTTTACGTTAAATAAAACAAACTGACCCAGGCTAGAAGATTGGAAAAAAAAGATGACTTCATTGATTGATTCACGGAAAGTTATCGTGGCGGCTCAATGCGTTGTCGTTCTATCTTGAAGGTAGAGCTTCGGGCGTAGTTTCTCGAGCCTCAAATAAAGCAATAGTTTAAAAGAAAGCTCTTTTTGATAATGAAAAACGTCAATTTCAAACGCGGTACCATAAAGCTGTTCAATAAAAAAATTTGAAAAATTCGGATTAATTCAAAAAATTTTCTCACTGTGTGTTCTAATTGAGGATTTGAAATCTTAGGGTCACAAATAAAGAAATGAAACACTTCAATTAAAACATAAAGTTCAACTGGGCAAAAAAGAAGACGGCTCTTGAAAAAAAAAACATACACACCGACGTAATCTCGCACAAAATTCTTGAAAAAAAATATTTTAAAACTTTAAAAAAATGTTTGTTTAAACAGGCTCCTAACTACCGTTACTTGTGACCGACCGATTGGCATATGAAAAATTTGCAGCTTCGTCGGCTCACCTATCCAATGCTGGTTCCCGGCGTACTACAAGGGCTGGTGGATGGAGTACGCGTTGGACTATTGCTATGTCCAAAACACCTACTTCGTACCGTTTGTGGATGAGACCGTCCACAACGCCTTCGACTTTGGCGAACACATGGTCGACGTGCCGCGAAACTATACTGACCGTCAGACCACCCAAATCGGTTTTTTTATTTTTTTTATTAATTTTAAACATTTTTTTCTGTATTGCAGGATACTACCAGTGGGTTCCGTTCATCCTCGCCTTCCAAGCGATTTTCTTCTACTTGCCAGTTGTGTTGTGGCGAACCGTCTACGAAATGTCTGGTGAGTTTTGGGCATGTGATATTTTTCCATGGCTTTTTTTGAGGAGTGAAAGTCCGAGCGATTTGTGACGCGTGCAGCGTCAGTGGCAACATGGAAGAGAAGGCGCGACAGGGCAACATGAAGATGATCGCGTCGTTCTTGACTCAGGAGCATGCCGTCGCTCATGTGACGTCATCTGTTCGGAGTATGTCTTCCGACTCGTTCATCGTCGTCACCTATGTCGTGAGTTCATCAAAAAAACCCGAAAACTTTTTTTTCTCGTTTTTCTTTTTTTGGGAATATTCTTATGGGGCATGGTCGAAACTGAGCGTAGTAATAATTGTAGATTTTTTCACCCATCTGTGAAAATTAAAGCATATTTTATTTGTCACTCGCTGCAATCCTCAAGCGAGAACCTAGAAAAAAAAACGCCTTTTTCCAACCAAAAAGTTGACTCTCATCTCCACGCCCTCATTGCAATAAAACCGTGCCGCTGTTGCAATCAGCCACGCCCTACTGACCACAACTGCCGCGCGTTTGGGAAACTGTGCTATCTAAAAATAACTCGAGCCGCTTCGTAGAACCTAAAGTTTTCAAAACTACTATCTTTCGAGAATATTATTGTTTACAAGAAGTCTAGAAATATTTTCAAACTCACATAGCTTCAGATTTTCCACCAAAACGCAAAAGTGAAGGTACATTTCAGATAATCAAAGCTTTATACGTCTTGAACGCCTTCATGCAGTTTGTGGTTCTGAAGAACTTGCTGGGAGTCAACTCGTACACCTGGGGCTTGGACGTGACGAGTGACCTGTGGAATGGGCGAGAGTGGCCTGAAACTGGCAATTTTCCGAGGTATTAACGGTTTAAAAAAAAGACTGAGATTTTCATACAGAGTGACGATGTGCGACTACGACGTGCGAGTTTTGAGCAACCTGCACCGCCACACGGTTCAGTGCGTCTTGATGATCAACATGTTCAACGAGAAGATCTTCGTCGCCATGTGGTACTGGCTGGCGATCGTGCTTGTCGTTAGGTTAGACGGCGGCTTAGTACTGGAAAAGGAAGGTTGAGTTTCAGTTTGGTGAGCTTCATCTACTGGCTGGTGACGTCTCTTGGATCGCGTACAGGCAAGCAGCTCGTGAACTCGTACATGGTTAAGGTGGGTACTGCAGATGGTCGCGTTGTATTGAAATCATTTTCCCAATAATAGTATAAAAATTATTTCAACAAGGATGCTATTTTCCATGAGCCTTTCTCATTTCCTTTCTCGCTTCTTTTCCACCATTTCTCGAGCCTCAAAAACTCTAGGAAAAATGGAAGGATCGATATAGCCTGTGTACCACGACTTGGAATTTCACCGAACGGCATTCCGCTGTGCCACTGCGCGCCTTTGCGAACCTTGGTCGCGCTTTTAATTTTTTTTTATCTTTTATTAAGGTACTCTACTTTTATGTGCTCCCACAGCAATAACGAAAGAAAGCTTGACGTAGATTCGAAAGACGCTTCGCGAACGCACGCAGCCGACCAGCGGAATGTCGTTCCGTGAAATTTCGAGTCGTGGCAAACAGACTATAAAGGGACTCTTTTTGCCTTTCTGCGACCTTTTCTGAGCCCTCTCTCTCTTTTAATGGCCATTATCCACCTTTTCGACTTGGCCCGAGTGTCCCAAGTAACCATCAAAAATGCTGAAAAATTCAACAAATTGAATTGTATTTTACTTCTCTCCTAAACTAGTTCGCCCTGGCTGGCTGTTAAGGAAGAAAGAATTGCAATGTGCAGATGGAAAACAACTCGAGTGTCGCTCGAGGGCTCGACAGACGAGGTCTGGTGCAGCAGTTCGTCGTGGACTACTTGCGGCCGGACGGCGTCTTCCTCATTCGCCTCATCTGTAGGGCATCTATCCTGTCTTCATGATCAAAATGTGAGGTTTTCAGCCAAGAACAGTGGCGACATGGTGACGTGCTCGTTGCTCTCGACGCTCTGGGAAGATTTCACGAAGAACCGCCGGAATCCGCCTCCTTACTCTGAGCCTCTGCTCATTGGAGCCAGCAAGAAGATCGACGACACCGAACTCTGAGCTTTTTTTTCTCCCCGCTTTGTCTTTTTCGATAATTGTTTTTCGACGCTCCAAACCAAATGCTTGTTATTTTTAATTGTTTTGCAGTGCGAAACTTTTGCCCACCGTTGAATTATTTCTGAACAGTTTCCAGTAAAGTAGTCGCTTGAGAATTTCGAACTGCCTTTGGAACCGACTGCCTTTCAGTTTTTCCTAGTTATCCGATGTGATATCCGTGCAAAAATCCAGGTATTCCAACGCTCGAATGCATATTTTAGTTGTTCTGTTTTCAAAATGATATGGAATGAAAGCGTTTCTCAGCCGTTGTTTCCCAGAATTCAATCACATTTCATTCTCCAACACACATACATATTGAGAGATACTTTGAAAGACAAAAAAGGGGCGAAGTGAAATTTGGGGGAAACAACTAAAGCGATTAGTGGCGCGACGGTCGCGACTGAAGGACGATTCCAGCACGGACGCAGACGTGACGAACGTCGCCACAGACATTCTGCCGATCGAGGAGACGCAAACGAAAGAGGAGATGGGCGGAGCCAGAAGACAGTAGCATGTGAGAGCACTGGAATCAAGGAGAGGACAGACGACAGGCGGCTGGCGAGACACGAAGAAACGCAGACCTGTCACTTGGCCGCCTCCATTCCTACAGTTGCGTCCGAAGTCGCCGTCGCTGCTGTCGTTCCTCTCCAGAAAGCGAGTCTCTGTTCAGAGACAAGATGATGTTCATCGACTTCTTCCTCAAGGGGCTCAAACCCCACTACGATGACGACTCTGTCGATCGCCTCAACTACTACTTCACGCCTATGCTCCTCGTTATCTTCGCTCTAACTTTGAGCGCCAAGCAGTTGGTTTCTTTTTTGGTTGAATAATCATTTCTCTAAAATCAGATTTCCTGATAAACATTATAATTGATCGTTTACTTAAAGAAAATAAGAGCACAATTACTGAATTTTGAAGGCACTAGGGTATTTTTTGTTGGTTTAACTTTTTTATTGTTTCGTTTAGAACACGACAATTTCCATGAAAGCCTCAGTTTTTGAACTACGCTGCACTTGTGGATAAATTTTGACAAATTAGACTTTTCAACGACTTGCCAATTTTTTTAGATGTCATTTTTTGAACGATGCTAATGCCGTGATCAAAGTGATTTCGCGAAATAAAAAAAAGCCGTCAGAGATAGAAAAAGACAACAGAATTTTGGAGAGTCAGAGACCATTTCGCATTTCGCGGAAATCACTTTGAACCCAGCATAACTTCAAAAGTTCTATGCAAACTTCAGACTCCTTGAAAAAAAAAAAAATTCTTTTTGCGCGTCACCGTGCGTTATAACGCCGCTCTGTCATGTTGCAAATGGGATTTTTACGCGGCGCCGGTTTTTTTTGTAAATCTTTTCAAATTTAATGACGTGTTTATCGGAGAAACGGAACATGCTTCAAAACGAATAATCGTGTTCATCGGCGCGCCAAAGTTGCCCCAAAACAGTACTAATTTTGGTTTTGGAGCAATTTTCTTGCGTTTCGAAGCAATTTTCGTTTTGTCCGATGAACACGCCATAATCTATTCTTGCATCACGTATAATATTTTCATATATTCATGCAAGGCAGGATTGCCGCGAGCCAGGATATTTTTTTAAGTTTTGTTCATCTTAAATAAATCACTGTATGCTCAATGAATTACAAAAAATAAGAAAATATCCTGTCCGGCAGCCTTAGCGCATTCTTGAATCAGGGCGCACCAAAAACTTATCATTCAATCATCGAAATTACAGATATGTCGGCCAACCGATTCAGTGTTGGATTCCAGCTCAGTTCACTGGTGAGTTCATGACTCAATATCACCATGAGAAACTGTTTTAGGCGCCTGGGAGCAGTACAGCGAGAACTACTGCTTCGTCCAGAACACCTACTTCATCCGCCCAGACCGTTACATTCCGGACAGCACGCAGGAGCGCGAGGACAATGAGATCGGTTAGTTTTTGTCGTCTTAAACTGGACTTGAAAGTTTCCTTTTCAGGCTACTACCAGTGGGTGCCATTCATCCTCGGAATCCAAGCCATCCTTTTCGGCATTCCTGCCTTGTTTTGGCGACTCACCAACTGGCAGTCGGGTCAGACTTTTTTCATTTTTTTGCGGTCCTTGTTTTTTGTCATTCTGTTAACGTCTTGGTTTTTAATGCTTCTCAAAAGTTTTAAAAATCCGAAAAGAAATAGATTATATTTAACTTTTTATCGAAAGTCAAATCTTGACTACGGTAAAAATGAATCATTTTCTTATCGGCGCCCCATCAACCTTTTCTCATTCTTTTGAACGATTGAAAAAAATCTAGAAAAAAATAGCTTCAAAAAAATAACTTTCATTCGAAAGGAAAAATCTCGATTTTCTTTTTTTCATCATTTTGAAAGTTGGAAAAAAATCTAATTGAAGAATTTTTAGTATTGAGAAAAAAAGAAAGTTTTATATCAACGTTCAGTTAGTGAGGCACTTTTGCAGGAATCGCCGTCAAGTCGATCATCCGAATGGCGCGCGACACGAGCAACATGAACGTCGACCGACGTCATGAATCCGTGGGAATCGTCGCGGCGCACGTCCACGATTCTCTCCGGATCCAGAGCCAGCTCTACCAAACCAGTTCGATTTTCTATCTTTCATTTTGCGGTTTCCCTCTCTCAAATCGTCCGAATTTTGGAACTTTAGAAAAAAATAAGCATAAAAAAATTTACATAACTTTGTTTCCTTACTTAGGAAATCGAGAGTGGTCTCTATAGGGGAAAAACAGCTCCTTTTGGGGCCGAAAAAGTGGTCCCTTTAGGGGTAGAATCAAAGTGGTCCCTATAGGGGTTTAGGGTTTGACTCCTAAGTCCCAAAAGTTTAAGGGGATCCTATAGGGGTCTCTCAATTTCATTAAAAAAACGGTAATTCATTCAGTTTCCCAATGAAAATTTTTCCTCGCAAAGAGCACATGAAAATTATCAACTATTATCTGCCCTATAGGGGTCACTAAATGAAACCTCTTCAAGGACCCCTTTTGCGAGCTTTAGTATCCCCTATAGGGGCTGGTAAAGGCATCCCTAGAAAGGACCTTTCAAGGGCCCTATAGGGACCACTCAGGAGTTCCTAAGTAGGTTATATTTTTTTTCAATTTTAAACTTATATGAGTCTTTTCTTTGGGGAGAAGAAGCAGCTTTTTTTTGTCAGTTTTAATTTATTTCTGTACTCTTTAAACTACGCCGGTGCTGGATAAATCTTGAAGATCTCCATAAAAACAAAAATTAAGGTTGAAAGAACTTTTTTTTTTTGAACATCTACATTCTCCATGAAAGCTCTACAAAACGCCTTGTTCCAGGCAGCTGGTGCTCGTTCATGTACCGAGGCAACTACCTGACAATGCTCTATCTCTTCGTCAAGTTCCTCTATTTCTTGCAAGTCCTCCTACAGTTTGTGATCCTCAACAAGTGAGCCCCTGACGTGCACTTTCCTCCTAAAACTGTTTGATTTGAGCTTCCTGACGACCAGCTACACGTTCTGGGGCTTTGGCATTCTGAACGACTTGATTCACGGCCGCGAGTGGGAGGAGAGCGGACATTTTCCCAGGTTGATTTCTTTTTTCGGTTGAAGACTATCATTTTTGAAGGGCCTATTTGAAAAATAATGATACATGGGTTTCAAGGTAAGAGGTCAGTTCGGAAGATCTAAGAAATGGTAGTGGGAAAAAGTCGTCCGAAAATGTTTGCCCATGTTTTCTCCCGTCTTTGTCAACCAAAATGCCGAACCGCCAATTCATTTGTGTACGTTTTATGGGACGTGAGAAAGGAGGCGAGGCAAGAACGCGTCTTTTCGCGTTCTTTCTGGGGATTTTATCCATCCTTTCACTAATAAGTCCAATAAAAAAAAACGGAAAAAACAGTTTTTGACCGGTCGGCTCGATTCAATGCGTTCCTAGTAGCTCCTAAGTAGTCCCTATAGGGGCAACCTTAGGGATTCTTGGAGGGCTTTCTCTTGCGACAACTTTACCAACCCCTATAGGGGCTATTGAAGCTTTCAAAAGTGGTCCCTATAGGGGATATGCTAGTCGATAATTTTTCATGAACTTTATCTGAAAAATATAAAAAAATGAGCTTTTTTTGGAGTCGAAAGTCCCCTATAGGGTCCACTTGAGCTTCGGGGATTAAAGGGTCAGACCCTGACCCCCTATAGAAGCCACTTTGACTTTACCACTATAGGGACCACTTTATCGGCTCCTAAATGGGCTGTTTTTCCCCCCTAACCCATATAGGGCCCACTCGAGCTTTGGGGGCTAACGGGTGAGACCCTGAACCCCTTTAGGGACCACTTTTTCGGCTCATTCAGAGGCTCTTTTCCCCTAACCACTATAGGGGGCACTCTGGAACTCCTAAGTACATGTGATATGATCAGCAATGGTCTTACCTTCAGTCCGGTCAAATCTTGACAAAAAACCCTTAGGTAAACGTTTTTTACTAACAGCTGCTCATTTTTGAATTTATTTAATGTTGACATGAAACCGATCTCAGTTTTAGCGTCGACTTTGTTTATAACATCCGAGACAAGACAGACGCGCACCTGCGACAAAAGTTGTACCACATCTGCTTGGTACGAGCCAAAAGAAAAACTAACAGATGCGGTGCCATTCCTCCTTCTTTTTACGTAGAAGTTTTCCTAGCGAGGGACTTTCCTCATGTGGCAGTTTTTCGAGTTCTTACGCATAGTTAGCGGCAGCCGGTTTACAAGCGACGAGAGCCGTGTGAAAACGGTTGTTTGCACTTATTTCGCCGTTTTCGGTGCGATGATCGATCGATTCTCAGGGCCACAGGTGTTACATGCAAATGATTGTTGACAGCCAAGTACAGGGACCGAAATATAAGTTGACCGATCCGGGAGAACAGAGCTAAACGTTTTGAGACTTTTTTTCAAGCTCAAAAAAAGTTTTTTCAATTTAACAGTTCACAGTTTCGAATGGTCTGGGAGATGAGAGAAGTTTTGAAAAATAATATTCTTCTCACAGAGTTTAAGCAATATCTTTCATCTGGTCATCTACTGATTCTTAGGAATACTGTAACTCGCGAGCAAGAAAACAAAAAGAGGATGACTTTTGTGAGTAAAGGAACCTTGGATCTTTGATCCTCCTGAACACTTCGAAACATTTGAAAATAATTCTATCTGATATAAATTTTCAAAAAGAGCCGATTCTTGATTTCTTAGATAACGAAAGGAATGCAATCTTTTTTTCTTCTAAACGAAAACTTTTTATCAAATGTCGAATCTTGTGGTAAATGTTTTGCCTTCTTTCTCCTCAGCCACAGGAATGAGGGAAAAGTCACAAGATGTGTTATTTTGAAAAATAAGTCAAAATGGTTTTCTAACTAAAGGTATATGTGTACGAGCTTTTAAGGAAATTTTCAAGATTTAGTGATTTTAAAAAATTCGATTAGCTGGTTGGAGAGTGTTCAAGAAGCATGCGAAAGTTCAGGAATTTTTCGAAAAAAGCAGGTGGAAACAGGCTAATTTTTCCATTTCAAAGAGCTTCTGAATTTTTTCTGAACACTTGTTTGAGCATTATTATTTTTCCTATGAATTTTTTTATAAAATTTTCTCGAAAAACATTTTTTTTTTGTCAAGGAATAGACGTAGGAGGTGTTCTTATCTCTGTAACATAAGGTTTACTTGTTTTTTTTTCTCCACTTTTTGAGTATTTTTCGTCGCGCCAGACTTGACTCAACGTGCAGTAGAAACTCGAAATCGTGGAGGCGAGGCGAGGAGGGTCATGAAAAGGGACGATTTGCCGAAGGTCGGCGCCTCGTTCTGACACTCGTACTGCATGGGGAGGGCGTGAGAGAATGGCGGAAGACGGCCGATTTGGACGGCTGGGGCAGACCGTCAGATACGAAACCGAGGGGTCAACCGTTAAATTCTTGCGCCTTCTCAAAGGAGATTTCAATGGTTCCTCTTTTCATCGGGAAGAATTCTGTTAGGATCATGGCCTCGCAGGAAAGAAGGGATATGTTAGAAAATTTTCAAAAGACCCATGATGAAAATTTAATTAATGGAAGCTATTTGCAGTCTGGTATGCTCTTGGAACTCTGTTTCGAAATTCGACACACTGAACGCTTCAAAAGCTGAATCGGGCTGATATTTAAAAGATAGATTTTTATGTAACTTAGGTTCCCTTGGAAGGTCCCCTCTAGGGACCACCTTACCAACCTCTATAGGGACTACTAATATTTGCAAAATTGCTCCTCATAGGGGTTTTAGTTAGTGGCCCCTATAGGAGACATACTGCACGACAATTTTTGTGAATTCGTGAAGAAGCGTTTCCATGCGAAAAAAAAAACAAAAAAGCGTTTTGAATGAAGTTGAAAGACCCCTATAGGGGCCACTGAAGCTTAAGAGGCTAAGGGGTCAGACTCTAAACTCCTATAGGGACTACTTTTCCGGCCCATTTAGAGGCTCACTTTCCAAGGACGGCTTTCTATAGAAAGATTACCGTAACCACTAGCAAGTGTAACGCAAACAAGCTTCACAGAAAAGAGACGCGCTCATTGGCTGGGAGAGTTTTCGGGGTTGGAGCATCAAACACGATTATGATGTTTCAGAGTGACGTTGTGCGACTTCGAAGTGCGTGTTCTTGGAAATAAACATCGCCACACGGTTCAGTGCGTCCTCATGATCAACATGTTCAACGAAAAGGTCATTTTCTGAAACATGAAAATGATGAATTTGTAAATACAACTTCAAACTTTAGGTCTACCTGTTCCTGTGGTTCTGGCTTCTGATGGTCGCGTTGGCAACGCTGGTCAACCTGCTCCAGTGGACCGTGAGGCTGACCTCGCCTTCGATCCGAAGGAAGTTCGTCTCGACTTACCTCCGCGTCCACCAACTCGTCACCCCCGATGACGTCTCCAGTACGTTTTTCTCTTCTGCTGACTATAATCCGATCACCTTTTTTATTTAAAACTAGTGATTTGAACTTTTATTTGTCATCTTTTGGCCATCATCACTGAATCTTTTTTGTCTTTTGGAGAGATCATGAAAAAACGATGTAATTACTATTCAATAAACTACTCGGGCAAAGTCGGAAGGGTGGATAACGGCCGCTAAAAGTGAGAGGCTCAAAAAAGGCCGCAGAAGGGCAAGAAAAAGGGTCCTTTTATCGAGCTTTCCATTTTTTTTTTCTGGGATTTCAAAGGCTTAAGAGATGGTAGAAAAAGGAAGAGGCAGCAAAAATGTCGCATAAGGGCCGATAAAATGGCGCCAAAAGGCACCAAAAAAAGCTTTTTTTCACCTTAAAAGGCCTATTTTTATGGAGCCTTTTTCCCACCTGTACGGGCCCTCTGAGAGTCCGTTATGGATCAAAAGGTTTCCATTAATTTTTCCTAAACGGGTGGCAACGGTTTCCGTTTTACTGCCTTTTTTCGACCTTTTATCGGCCTCTATGCACCCTTTTTGGACCCTTTTGAGAAACACAAAAGTTTTAAATCGAGAATGATCTTTACCAGTGACTGTGTATGAACCAAAATGTGCTACAGTAATAAAATCGGAAATCATCAATGACCGATATTTTATTCACTCTTTTCGCGGCCTCTCCCTTTTTTCGCCCTTTTTTGAATTTTTTAGCCCACCAAGAAAGAAAAGCTCAATAAAGGCCGCAAAACGGAACCCTTTTAGCATCTAACTTTGGCAGTTTTTCCAACAAATTGATAATAGTTGGTAATGTCTTTTCCAAGAAAAAGAGCTTTAAGGTCTCCGCGCCTTCGAACGCTTCGTCGAGAAGGACCTTCGCAGCGACGGCGTCCTCATCGTCAACCTCATCTCGAAAAACGCCGGCGACATCCTCACCACGGACCTCGTCACCTCTCTCTGGGGCAAGTTCCTCGAGGATGAGGAGGTCAGTTCATAGCCCGGATGGAAAACTTCGATAACTTGCTTTTCTTCTTTGGTTCCAAGCAAGGGGCTGGTTCAAGGCCACCTGAAAATAACTGTGGGAAAGCCCAGACTTAATTAGCGGGAATTGGTTCAGCGGCAGGGAAACCGGTCGCAGAAACGAATTGACTGCGCTAGAAAACCCAAAGAAAGTGTTTCTTTTCGGCTTTTTATTGCCACGGAGGGCTGACTCGATTAAAGTTATAATCATGAATTCTGCAAAATTTGTTCCGGTTTTTTTTTCAAACGTCTTCCAAGTTATATTCTTTTTGGAGGCTCCGAGACTGATCTAACAAGTTTATAGTTTGCTCAGATTTTGAATGTCAACTCGTAGCTCAAGCTCCGCCCCTAATGGCGCGATAAACCAATCAGAGAGAGAGCGAGCCATCCACAGAGCGTTTTCGTATGACGTCATTGTACTTGACATTCAATAATGAACAGACTTTACAAACCACACATTTATTCAGTCTCCAGAGAAGGTCCTCTGCTGAATAATGGGATAAATGGAGAGTTGATTTTCGGTTTGCGGGACCAAAAATGGCTTATAGATCATCTTGTCCTTTTTCGGATAGTATGGTCATGGCGTTTTTGTTAGTTGAACAAAGTACGAAACTAAAAAAATTAATTTTTTTTTCGGTTGATGTGTTAATAGATTGGTCAAAATAGCCCCCAGAAAGTGAAAAATAAACTGAATTTTTTTTTGTATTTTTCGAAAATTACTTCAAACAGAGCATGTGCAAGAGCGCCGCGGTGCATGCACACTACACACCACACTTTACGGAAAAAAAAATATATGGGCGGGCGTCGTCAAAGAAAAAACGCCGTGAAGTTAAAAAGTTGAACGTTACGGCGATCAGCATATTTTCGGAGGATTTGGGAATTTAAATTTAAAATAGTTGTTGGGAAAATTGTTGGAAACAGCTCAAGAATAAATTCTTGCAGAAGTCGTCGCGCCGAGCCGATTCGCCACACGGCGGCTTCAAGGAGGATCTCTCGAAGCGTTTGGCCTAGAAATCACATCTACAACGGTTCTAATAGATTCTACTTTGTTACTTTATTCTGTTTGCCCGATTTTTTGAACCTAGCCTGTCTCTTAGCAGCCTTCTGAGTTTCTTCCTCGACATTTTCTTGCTGCACTTTTGTGATATGCGATCCCGTTGTTGCCTTTTTTGTGTCTTCTCTGCCTAACTTGTCGCTGGTATTATGGTAGATCCTGCCTAATTCTGGACGATTGCCATTGTTGCAATACATTGCCGACTCTCCGAACCACTTTCCTCCTCTCTTTCAACCAAAAAATCCCCATTCTATGTTGGTTTTGCTTTATTTTTTATCCGTCTTTTAATAAATTGAGATTCATTTCGATGTGAAAAGAAAAATCAGAACCAAACAGAGAGGCACTGGGAAAACCGGAAAGAGTTGTTTTGGCCCTCAAATCAGTCATTAATTGCGCAATCGGAAAACAGTGGCAATAATTTTTGCAATTTTGCCGCTCTTGAATGAGAATTGCCTTGATAATGTAACAAGTGAAAAATCAGGAACGTATTGTTTGACGTAGAATATTTCATTCCTAACAATCAGAGAGAGCGAAGATGATGGTCGGCTATGAGAAAATTGAGGAGATGGCGAGTTTCTTTATCGGAAAACTTGGGCCCTTCTTATTTTAAAATAAGAAGGGCCCAATTTTTGGCATGCTGGAAAAGTCGCTCGGCTCGGTCGGCCTTTTTTGGAAAACTAGGCCGCGCCGCAATTTTGCTCCATGGAAAATCGAATTTCAGACTTTTTTCTATATTTTACCTTTCTTTTTATCAGTTTTCTAGGATATGGGACATATGCTCCTCACAAACAACTGTTCCTTATTTATTATCGTTTTTCTCGGTAATGTTTTACGTTTTACTGGATGTAATTTTGTTTCTTGCCTTTTTGTGTATATTTTACAAATTATCTCATTTTTCGATAACTTATGATTCTTAATTTCGCTCTTTTTGGTTATATGAAGTTATTTTTGAATCTAAAAAAATAAATAAGAATTCTTAAAAAAACTGAATCAGTTTATAATTTTGAATGTAGTAACCATCGTATTTTTGCTCGCGAAAAACGATAGACTCGAATGAGAAAAAGGGAAAACCTTCTTGGTAAAATTTAAAAAGAAAGAAAAAGTCAGAAAAGAAAAAAACAGTTGGAAATTTGGATTGTTCCATGGAGCAAAATTGGGGCGTGGCCTAGTTTTCCAAACCGACCGAACCGACCGACTTTTCCAGCATGCCTCTTATTTTGGGATTCTAGTCCTCGGCCTTCCGGGTGCTCTCGATTTGTGAGCTGGTGCAGCAATGTCGAGCTCGCGGCCTCGGTCGTCTTCAGCAGCGCAAAAGGCCTCGACTTGAGGTTTTCGATGTCTGAAAGGTCTTTGGAACCCGAAAATTCCAGAGAAGTCTATACATCGGCTACTTCTCAGAGTGTATTCGATGTGCTTGGTATGTTAAACGAGCTCAAATAAAATAATTTTTTTCTGAATTTTTTTCTAATATTTTTTTAATTTAAACTTGACCACTGATTTCGACCTGTCGACCAAGTTTTTTTTTTTTGAAACACTTGCAAAGTCGAAATGGTAAATAATGGCCGCTAAAGGGAGAGGCTCAAAAAAGGCCGCAAAGAAGCCGCGAAAATGCAGCAAAAAGGCAGCTAAAAAACCGCAGAAAGGTCGCTAAAAGGCCGCTAAAAGGCAGCGAAAAGGCAGCAAAGAAAGTTCCTTCCTGGCTCAAAAGGCTTAAGAAATGATGGAAAAGGGAGAGGCAGCAAAAATTGTGCGTAAGAGCCGATGAAAGGGCGCAATAAGGCAGCAAAAAAGGTATCTTTTTCACCCTAAAAAGAACATTTCTATGGAGCTTTTTTCTATCTTTTCCGACTTTGCCTATGTTTTCTCCGTGACTTATACGCACAAACTTAAATTTTTGAATTATTTAGGTATTTTCTACAAAAATTTTGCGCATAAAACTCTATAAAGGAGAGGCTGAAAAAAGGCCGCAAAGAGGCCGCAGAAAGGCTGCAAAGGTAGCAAAGAGAGTTCCTTCATGGCTATAAAAGGCTCAAGAAATGATGGAAAAGGGTGAGGCAGCAAAAATGGTGCATAAGAGCCGATGAAAGGGCGCAATAAGGCAGCAAAAAAGGTACCTTTGTCACCCTAAAAAGAACATTTCTATGGAGCCTTTTCCCAACCTTTTCAAATTTACCCATCAAAGTCAAAAAATATTTCCGCTGATCCCAATTATGGGCAATATTTGCAGTGTCCTGGGCATTTTCTTGATGCTGTTGATGATACGCTACGGCTGGTTCTCGTTGATGCTGGAAGGACAGAAGAACTTTTCGCAAGAAGTTCTCAACTCGGTGAGTCGGAAGGTCGCCTCGTCGAAAACCCCGAACAGATCTACTTCGGCTTGATGGTGTGGCTGTTCCTGTGCGTCGCCGTCCTCGTCACCTCCTTCTTCATGATCTCGACGTACTACGGTCAGCGGCCGTACAGCGTCGCCTCTTCGTTTTCCATCAACTTGGTCTTTTCGGTCGCTTTCTTGGCATTTCTGGCCCATGTCGGTTTATCGCGCCCAAAAACTTCATTTTATACGCCTTCGCTCAGCGATTTACGAGAGCAATGCGGAGACCTACGTCAAAGAACTTTTGGTGACGACGCTCCTTCCTTACGGCATCAACGGGGATAATTTCCAGAACTTCCAGTCACAGTTTTCGGTCATTTTTCGAATATCTCATTTTCAGCATACTCGGAATGATGGACGATGGCCGCTAAAAAAGGCAGCAAAAAAGCAGCAAAAAGAGTCCCTTTGTAGCTTTCCATTTTTATGGATTTTCAAAGGCTCTTGAAATGGTGAAAAGAAAAGGCAGCAAAAATGGTGTCAAAAGGCGAAATCGGAAAGGGTTAAAAAAGGCTCCATAGAAATGCTCCTTTTAATTTTTGTTAAAAAAGTTATTTTTAGAAGAAAATGGTCATCGAACCGTTTTGGAACGTTTTCTATTCAATTCAATTCAATTTGTTTATTTTTCGCAACATCGGGATGGTATGGTGATGTTGCAGGGAGGGAAAAAAGACCACTAGGTGGATTAACTAACCCCACCTGTGAAGAAAAAAAGTTTTTTTGTGTAAGAAAAAGAAACATAGAACCATAATAAGTAGATATTTAAAAACCAAGTTGATCATGGCACAAATCTGTGAACACTTGAAAGAATATGCTCGACGCCAACATCTTCTGCATACACTAAAAACATGTCCTTAAATTTTTTCTTGTCTTCCTCTGCCAATAATTCATGTTCAATGTCATTCCAAACATTAGTAATGCGATGTGATAAGAAATTGAAGAAAACCAGTGAAGGTTTCGTTTTTATTAATTTAAAACCATTTCCTCTGAGCTGACTGGGACGGTCAAAGATGAAATTTCTACATGTTCATCATGATCCGTCAAAAAAGATATTGGCAAAAAACAATAGCGGCAAAAAGATTCGAACCTTCATCATAGGCTTCGCAAGCAACCGCTCTAGCCACTGCACCACGCTCCTAGCTGCCATGCAATGACTTTTGCTGCGGAGATATTCCTTCCGAACAGTGTCACGTGTTTAAGGACAAAAACTTTGAAAAAATCATATCTCCAAAACGAAAAGTTTGCGCAGATAGCGACTATGCGGGATCGATTCCTAGTCCATCAAAGATCGTTTGAGAAATTTTATTGAAAATTCCAAACCCTACGCAAAAATGACCTTCCATGTTAGGGTGACAAAGGTTCCTTTTTTGCTACCTTTTCGCCATTCCATCGGCCGTTATGCACCATTTTTTGCTGCCTCTCCATTTTTCCACCATTTTTAAAACCACAGAAAAAAAAAATGGAAGGCTTCACGGCGTTCTTTTGACGACGCCCCTCCCACAATTTCCGTAATATTTGACGTCTTTTGTGCATACACAGAACGACGCTAACTCGCATACTCATTAAATTCAAAAATAATTATTTTCCTCGAAAAATAGGGTTTTTTCAAAACTATAGACGTGGAAAAAATCGATCCTTTCACAATTCCTTTTCTAGTTGGCAAAAAACATTTGGGTGAAAGTTTTTCTTATTTTCTGAACACTTTCATACCTTTCATCCTCAAAAATTGGTTAAAGTCCTTTTTTTGAGTGAAAAAAACGTGGAATTTTTGTGTCGAAAAATGACTTATTGTGGTTCTATGTGTCTTTCCCGACTTATTGAAAAATTTAAAAAAAGTTTTTCTTTACAGATTTAGTTTAGTTCATCCACCTAGTGGTATTTTTTTTCTCCTCTGCAACATCGCCATACCATTCTGATGTTGCGAAAATGAAGAGATTGATTGATTCGAATAAAAAAATTTAATTTGACACTGAAAATGTTGCTGAAAGGCTTTTTGCTTTAAAGGGAAAAATTTGGTCAAAACACAGCAGTTAATATTGAAAAATTGAAAAAAGTTCCTTCGCATTTTGCTGTCGCAATAAAAAAATAATTACCGTAAATCAGTACAAAAACAGATAAAGATACAGCTGAAATAAACATGAAAAATCACGTGAAGCACTTGAGCAACAAGAAATTCAAATGTTCGCGCGCAAGCTGTCTACCGTAAATCTAGGTGGAGCAACCCTTCCAAGCCGCTCCACATTTTCAAAAATTTAACATTTTCTTCCACTACGCAGAACGCCGTGGCTTGATAAAGGGACTCTTTTTGCTGCCTTTCTGCGGCCTTTTCTGAGCTTTTCATTGGTCATTATCCACCATTCCGACTCTCCCCGAGAAACTATAGTCTGTTCAGATTTTGAGTGTCAATTCGTCGCCCAAGCTCCGCCCATAATGGTGCGATAGACCAATCAGAGAGCGAGCCATCCACAGAGCGTTTTCGAATGACGTCATTCTATTTGACATTCAAAATGTGAACAGACTACACCTTTTTAACATCACTGAGTCATAAATAGACAAACAAAAACGGACGCTCCCAGAACCCTTTAAAAACAATCTTGTTTTACTTTCAGTGCTGCGGATTGGATTCACCCCAGGACTACTCAGATCCCGGCTTCTTCGTTTACAATAACACTGTGAGTTGCTCAAAAACGAAATTGATAACATAACTCGGTTTCAGATAGAAAACAAGGCTGTAAGAACGAAAAACAACATGGACTGGATGTTTATAGGCCACAACTCGACTTTTATCCGCTTCTTGCCCAGAGGCTGTTGTCCGAAGATTAAGTTTCCGGAAAACTCCCAGAAAGAATGTGATGTTCTGTTTGCAGCTCTCACTGCAGCGCGATACGCGTGAGTGCCGTGGCTGTTGAGGAGATAAAGAGGATGATCGCCGCGGATGATTACGGTGCCGTTTTACCGTACCTGGAGATCCCTAAGTTGGAGATTTCCTCTTTTGAGTTTGTAGTCTCCTTTTTTCCAGAGAAGGAAGTTTCCACCGCAAAGGCTGCGTTCCTTGGGCCATCCAGAAGAACGAAACCATTCTTGTTCTGATTAAGCTCTTCGCCTGCATCTTCGCCTTCTTCACCGTCGTCACCACTGCATTCATCATCATTCTGATTCTTTACCATGGCTCCCTCGGCCGCGTCATCAGCTACAATACTGTAATTTTTACTTTAGATTTTTTTCTCAGGAAAAAGTTGGGAAGCTTCTGTTTTCCGTTCCTCAAATGCGTATGGAAGCTTTCCAGCAAGTGGTCAAACGCCTTCCTCATAGCTTCCCAACACCTAGAAAAAAGCCTGCCGGAAAACTTCCAGCAGGCTTCTAGAAGGCTTCTGGCAGGCATTTACCATTTTCACCTTCCAACTACCTTCTGAACCTCTTTCAAAGACCTTCTAGCTTCCTAGGGGCCACTATAGGGTGTTGACGTTTTAGTGGCCACTATAGAGGTCTCAGTGCTACTACTAGACCACGTTTTAGTGGCCACTTTAGGGGTCAATGGATCATCGTAACTGGTGTTTGTTCTAAAATTATCAGAGTTACTGGAAGGAATACTGAATGAAAAACTACTGAAGTGGCCACTAAATAGAAAACCTCTATAGTGGCCACTAAAACGGAAAATAGTGGCCACTATAGTCTATAGAGGTGGGTTTAGTGGCCACTTTAGAGTCCTCTCCAAGTAATAGCCTCTATAATGGCCACTAAAAATTTTCCCAGTCCATTCCCCTACCAACCTCCTGCTGGTTACTTTCTGAACATCTTCCGAAGATTTGTCTGAGCTTCAGGTTGCAGAGCAAGAAAAAGAATTTCTCGCAATAGATCTGGTTTACGAGACGCTTTGAAAAAAGTTCTCCTGTCGAATGAAAAAAAAAAACTAACAAGGGAAGTGTTTTTGGTGGCCGGTTGAACTTTTGTTGAAACTTTGCTGAAAGGTACTATAAGACCTCCTCTTTCCAAAACACAAATAAAATTTCTCGCAATAGATCTCGTTTTCGAGTTATGAAACTTCAAAGTTTACACGCTGAATAAGTGCTGCAAGGCAAGAGGGAATCTGGCTCGCGTACGATCTCTCTACTCCAGTTGGCAGCGTGGTGTAGTGGCTAGCGTCCCTGCACTGCGGTGTCTATGACCGGGGTTCGAAGCCTTTTGAAGAAATTTTTTTTTTGCCCAAACTTACCTAGGAGGAATTTATCGACATTGGGGAAATGGACCGAAAATTTCCTTCCAAAATAACATAGTTTCTCATTTTACTCGATTTTCCAAGACTTTCGACAGACATTTTCCTTTGGCTCATAGGCATGATCAATAGATCGGTTTCTTTATATTTTTTTTCAAGAATTTAAGGGAGATTACTCATCTTTCTGTGGTGTAAGCTTTTATTTGATTCTTTTTAAATTATCAACTGGAGTGAAACGCTGATGAAAAGGCCCGTAGAAATTTTTCCCAAAAAGAGGGACTATTAATCATGTTTATAAGCGAAAGAAATCTTTTTAATCAGTATACCGAATCAAAATGAAAAAAAAGATAATAATAGGGAAAAAAAGTTTATGGGTTTTATTAATGTCGATAAATTCTTCCTAGGAATGTTTTGGCAAAAACGAATTTCTTCAAAAAGTTTCGAACGCCGGTCATAGACACTGTAGTGCAAGGGCGCTAGCCACTACACCACGTAGCCAACTGGAGTAGAGGGATTGTACGCGAGCCAGATTCCCTCTTGCCCTGCAGCACTCATTCAGCGTGCAAACTTTGAAGCTTCATAACTCGAAAACGAGATCTATTGCGAGAAATTTTATTCGTGTTTTGGAAAGAGGAGGTCTTATAGTACCTTTCAGCAAAGTTTCATCAAAAGTTCAACCGGCCACCAAAAACACTTCCCTTGTAAGTATAGTGTGTGCCACGAATTGAAATTTCACCGAACGACATTTCGCTGTTCGGCTGCGTGCGTTCGCGAAGCGTCTTTCGAATCTTGGTCACGCTTTCAATTGATTGTTATTGCTGTGGTAGCACATGAAAGTAGAGTACCTTAATAAAAGAAAAAAAAAATTAAAAGCGCGACCAATGTTCTCAAAGGCGCGCAGCGGCACAGCGGAATGTCGTTTGGCGAAATTCCAAGTCGAGGTACACAGGCTAACATTCTGGAGCCTCAGGTTCACGATTCGACGCGTTGCACGGGCGTTTGGTTCTTCATGTACCTGGATCAACCTTCCTCAGAGTTTGACGTCCATATATTCCGTCCTTCATTTCAAATCTTGCAGAGAAGACTACGATCTGGATGACTTCAGTCTAATCGAAATGCTCAAAAAGTCGAACATCGATAACATCATCAGAGGTAACGAGTCGTTGAAAGCCGATAACTTGGGTATTTTCAGATCCCGAAGAGCCAAAAATAACGCTCAACAAAAGCCGATGAATCTGCAGAAACTTCATCATTTTTATTGTTAACGTTTATTCCGTCTTTAAATTATAAAATCTCTACCTTTTTTCTCGGATGAGTTTGAGAGGAATCTGGCAGCAGAAATGGGATTTCAATTACGCATCTGAGAGGTCTTGAATCTCTCATCTAACTTTGTCGGGCAGCTTCCGTCTTGACCTCACCCATGCTCAAATCAAACTTTGTTCTGGCTTTTATATTTTTCGACCTTCATGGCACGACTCCAAAAGCTCACAATTACTTGTTTGAACACCTCATTGCAAGGTTTTCTTCTGAAAAATTTTTTGTGAAAAATCAAAACCATTTTTTCTATAATTTTCTATAACAATTTGAAACTACGTAGGAGTTCCATAGTGGTCCCCATAGGGGTTAGGGGGGAAAACAGCCCCTATAGGGACCGAAAAAGTGGTCCCTATCGAGGTAAAATTAAGGTGGTTCCTATAGGGTTTATGATCTGACCCCATAGCCCCTGAAGCTTAAGTGGTCCCTATAGGGGATTTCAAATTTCATTCAAAAACGTTTATTAATTTAATTTTTGCGTTCTAATGCTTTTTCGCATAGAGTTCATAAAAATCATCGATTAGCATGTCCCCTATAGGGCCCACTTTTGCAAGCTTTTGTGGACCCTATAGGGGCTGCTAAAGTGGCCTCTAGAGGGGACCTCCAAGAGCCCCTGAGGTTGCCCCTATAGGGACCACTCTGGAGATCCTAAGTACGTCGTTTTTATGACTTTCTTTCAATTTCACGCTAATTGAACCAGGGTCAAGAATAATTTGCGAGCCGTTCTTTTTCGAATCAAAATTTTTGCTGTACTGATATAGCATGTCCCCTATAGGGCCCATTTTTTTTAACTATTTAAACTAATTTCGAGGAGAGATGGAAATTTAGGTAATTGAATTTATCTTGAAGGTACAATCGTTTGGCGCGACCGACAAGGCGAGCCAACGATACGATAGAAATCGAGTTCAAACTGCGTCTGGATCAGATCGTTGATGTGCACGAGAAGGACCAAGTGCTCACCACCAAAGGATGGCTCATCCATGTGAGGCTTCTTTGTTTTGTTCTTTCACTCAAGGGACCCCTTTACCAACCCCTATAGGGGCTACAAAACTTGCCAAAGTGATCCTAATAGGGTTTAGTTAGTGGCCCCTAGAAGGAACATGCTGATCGATAATTTTTATGAACTTTATGCGGAGAAGCATTTCCATGCGAAAAGAAAAAAAATGAACGACCCCTGTAGGGACCACTTAAGTTTTAGGGGCTGAGGAATCAGATCTCAATTCCCTATAGGGATCACCTTGATTTTACCCCTATAGGGACCACTTTTCGGTCCTTATAGAGGCTGTTATTCCCCTAACCCCTCTAGGGACCACTCTAAGTGGACACATTAAGATACCCTCCCGGTTCGCCTGTGTCAATTTGAAAACACACTTTTAGAAAGAGATAAAAAAGAAATACAATGAATTTTCCTGCCCAACCTCAACCTCTGTAGAGTTGGTACGATCCACGACTCTCGTGGAAGCCTCAGGACTTTGGCAACATCACTCTGATGCATTTTCCCGGCGAGATGATTTGGCTTCCTGACGTCATACTCTACAATAAGTTCAATGGAAAATGCTCCTTTCGTTGTAAGACCTCGTTTCAGTGCTCATGGAAGCCCTTCCGTTTTTCAAATCACACAGGCTCACGTTACTTACGACGGTCGGGTAGTCAGTTTCTCATAGCTTTCAGGCTCTTTCCTGAATTTTTGTGCCGAAAAAGCTCCAGTTCGCGATGATTTCCAAGAATTTCCAACATAATAAAATTTTATAAAAAGTTTTTTTTCTCAGACCTGGGTCCCACCGGTTGTTTATTACTCCTTGTGCAACATAGACATCGAATGGTTTGTTTGATTTATTCTTCACTACATTGTTCTGTTTTCACGAAAATAAATTTTTATAGCTCATTCCGCCCCAGCTTGTCACGATTTTCGTTTTCCTCTGAGCCCTTCCCTTCGATGCGCTCGATATTATCTCGTCCTGCGCCTTTAATACAACGGAAATTTTAGACCAAATAATATACGTAGGCGTGACAAGCTGGCGCGGAATGGCCTATTACACCTAACAAGATAAAGTTTCATCAAATTTCAACTGTTTTGATAGATTTCTTCCAAGAAAAAAAATTGCAAAAATAATTTTCGTCAAGAGGATTCGAACCCTGACCATAGTCTCCGCAGTCCTGGCCGCTAGCCACTACACTAATCGGCCAACTGAAAGCGAAGACTCGCGCGAGAGACATTCCTCCCTGCAGATTTTTGAGACGGAAAATTTGAAAAAAATTCAGCATTTTTTTGAGTACAAGGCTCAAAATTCTATAAACTGAATTTTCTCAATAGGTACCCGTACGATATTCAAAATTGCGAGCTCAAGTTTGGCTCCTGGACTTTCAGCGGTACTCAACTGAGTCTGATTCACGTGAGGTTGCTCGGTCTCACTCAATACAAAGAGTTCTTCAGCTGAAAACGGATGAAGCCAAACTGGAGAAGGAGGATGACCACAGCGTCTGGAAAGTTGAGCGAGGTGTCGACCTGGCTCAGTACCAGGTTGGTCGTCTTCTCATTGAATTTTGGAGGTCGTTACAGGAGTCCGTCGAATGGGATCTTTTGTCGGTGAACGGGGTTCGTCATGAAAAGTGGTACCCCTGCTGTGACTATCCGTGAGTGCTTTTTTAATTTTTAAGGCCTGAGAAATGCTGCAATCAGATCAATCGATATAACTTACCACCTACAAATCAGACGCAAGAAGCTATTCTACACGGTGAACATGATGATTCCTTGCGCGTCGCTGGCGACACTCACCGCATGGGTCCACAGTCTTTCCGTTTGGACCATCTTGTTCGGTTTCAGGTGTTCTACCTGCCTTGCGAAAGTCATCAGAAGATCCAACTGTGTATTTCGATCCTCGTGTCTCTCACAGTCTACTTCTTGATGCTGGCGAGCACGAGGTTCTGGAGCTCTTTGACTTTTTTTGTTGGCTTCAGATCGAAGTGATACCTCCGACGAGTATTGTCACGCCTCTCATTTTGAGATATCTCACCTTTACTATGATGATGGTAACCCTTTCTGTCGGCTTCACTGTCTTTGTGAGATTTTCTTTTCTTTTTTGTTCATATTTTTCATTTTAAGGTACAAAATATACACTATCGTACGGCCGAGTATCCCATGTCAAAGTTAATAAGAAGAGTTTTTATCGATAAACTAGGAAAAATGCTCCTTATTTCTCGAGAAACTGAGATGGCTCAGTTTCACCGGGAAGCGCAACGGAAAAAAGTGAAGATTTAGGAGCTTCAGAGTGATCCCTCTAGGGGTTAGGGGTCGAAATAGTGCTCCCTATAGGGCAAGGAGGTCCGCATAGGTGTTTAGAATCTGACCCCTTAGCCACTTTTGCAAGCTTTAGTGCCCCTATAGGGTTTGGCAAAGTGGTCCCTAGAGAGGACCCTCCAAGGATATCTAAGATTGCCCCTATAGGGACCACTCTGAAGTTCCTTTCCAACTATATAATGGAGTTTCAAGGAAATAAACGCTCTGTCAGCGATGGCGATTCTCGAGAAGCAGTTCCAGAAGACTTTATTCGATATCGAGGTCTACAAAACATTTGTTGAAACATAAATATATGGTAGAAAAAAAGTGGAAAACTATCGAAACCCGAAAAAGAACTTCGTACTTGTATTTTTACGGTTTTTCACCGGAACTTCAAAAACTTTTTTTCTTTTTTTTTAAGAGTTTCTTTTTTTATTACATATTTTTTTATAATCTAATATCTCCAAACGATTCAGTTTCTCACAAAAATATAGCTTAAAAATGGTTCAAAGATTGTCATGTAGATTTCCTTCGCAGATGGCGACGAAGGCAAAGAGATCATCTGGGGTGAATTCGCTATTTCTCGAACTTCCGATGATGAATCGCTCCAAGTCTGTCAAGATCAACAACCGCAAGTCTTCCGTCAAAGTTATCAAGTTTGTCGCTTCAAAATCTTGGACTTTCGGAAATTCAGAAACCGAGTTCGACGACTCCTCAGTACGGATGCACATCAAGGACCACTTCTCGAAGACAAGTTTATTTTGAATAGTAATCATTTTCAAAAAAATCTCAGAGAAAAGACAGAAGACACTATTGAAAAGCCGGAAACGATGAAAAACTCCGATTCTGTGCGAGAAAAGCTGCGGAAAGCCGAGCGGAACGTCCACTTCATCGCCCAAACTCTGATGAAACAGAGAAGACTACAAGAGGTTCGATAACCTTAGGAATTTCAGAGTGGTCTCTATAGGGGTTAGGGGAAAAAAAGTCCCTATAGGGGCCAAAAAGTGGTCCCTACAGGGGCAAAAACAAAGTAGTCTCTATAGGGGTTGAGGGTCTGACCTCTTAGCTCCCTAAGCTTAAGTGGTCATTATAGGGTTCGATCAATTTTATTCAAAAAACGGTTATTTATTCAGTTTTTCCCCATGAAAATGCTTCTCCGCTTATAGTTTATAACAATTATCGACTAGCATGTCCCCTATAGGGACCACTTTTACAAGCTCTAGCGGCCCCTTTAGGGATTGGTGAAGTGGTCCCAGAGAAGACCCTGGAAGGGCCCCTAAGGTTGCCCCTATAGGGCCAATTTTTGCCATCTTCAGTGAACACTATAGGGGTTGGTAAAGTGGTCCCTAGAGGTGACCCTCCGAGGACCCCTAAGGTTGCCCCTAGGGACCGCTCTGGAATGCCTTTCGAATCGTATTTTTTGAACTGTTTCTTTTCCTTTTTTTGACCCTAAATGGATGATAGCTGAGAAGTGTAACAATTGGGGAGCTCGTAAACTACTCTTATTATCTTTTTCCCTTCTCTGAAAGTTTCGATTCTGTTTTCTCCAGTCATTTTGCTGCACTAACCAGTTCTCAAGGTAATTCCGTACCGGTAATGGAACCTTGCTAACGTCAATTGGTAGTTCAAGGCTTTGCTGATATGGGAGTATCGAACAGAGTTCCCATACACTTCGATGATCAACCTAAAATAATAATTGAAAGTTCAAGAAAAAAGTGGAAAATACTAAAACTTTCTATTGAATTATTCATGCTAGAACCTTCTTTGAAAATGACAAAAAGTCTGTTAGGCAGAAGCGGACTGGCAGTTCGTGAGTCTGGTCGTCGACCGGATCCTTCTCATAGTTTTCGCCGCGAGCATCGCCCTCGGCACGCTGCTCACCGTCGTCACGGCTCCGTCGATCCGCGACACGCGGCCGCCCATTTCTCCTTTCCACTGAAGTTATTTTTCCTGGTTCCTGAAAAGTGTAACATTCTGGACAGTATGCCATAACGCCTCTAATAAATTTTTGAATTGTCGCTTGCGTTTTTTCTTACTCTAAACGGCAATATTTTAAACTCTGAAAAAGCAATAAAAATACTTTAAAAAGCTTTTTAAAAAAACGGTTTTTTTAAATTGAAAGTCCTGAAGAATTTCGCTGCTTTTTCGGCGGGTTTTTTTGTTCAGAAGATTATTAGAACAAACGAAAAAAACCGAAATTTCATATAAAAAAAGAAAAAAACTACGAAAAAAATTTTCATGAGGCCTCTCAGCGAAATTTTTTTCACGAGAGAATACACAGAGCTTATTACGTGAAGTATTCTGAATAGGTTGAAAACGAAATAAAACAAAAAAGGATCAGAAAAAACTTTTAATCATTCAAATAATCGCAAAATTGTAATATTGAATTGAAAATGGGAAGGCGCTAGCCACGCCCAATTCGTGCAAGGTCGGCACGCTTTTGAGCACAGGGGGCGTTAATTCCGCTTTGGACTTTTGTTTATTGGCATTTTCACGTGGTTCTAGTGCATTCCATTTCATTTTTTAGAAACCCTGAAAATTTACGCTTGGAAAAATAAATAATCGAAAGGGTAACATAGGCAAAAATAAAACCTTTACTCGGAATGCAAACCTGAAAAGCAATACTCCGAAATTTGGTATTTTCTAACCAAAGTATAGAAATTTGAATGACTTTTTGCCAAATCGAAGTTCATTTTATGAATTTATGATGATGCAGCATCTGAAATCTTCGATAAAAAGAAAGGAAATTTTTCTTTCTTTCCATCATTTTGCATCACAAGCCACAAGCTTGATGCCATAACATGAAGGAGCAAAAACCGTGACTCAGAAGAAGAATATCTGTTTGAGTTCGCCCATCCGTGGCGTCGTAGCCGCGCTTTTCCGGTTCTGAGGACGACGTCTTCCGATCAACGACGGCGCCATTCGTTCTGACAAGCCATAATGGGCCCGAATAAGGCGCGACAACAATGAGAGATTATCAGAATTCGGTGAGGAAATGTCAAAAAACGGCGCCGACGACCGTCTAATAGTGGCCGGTTGCCGTGGTACATCTGGGAATCCGAAAATTCTTCAATTTTTATGCATTTATTTAATTTTTGAAATTATCGCTGAGGTTTTTTTGAAGGCGGAAAAAGCATTGCCGGATTAATAAAAAGCGCTGAGAGCGACTATTCGCCTCGAGACCCTTATGAAATGTTAAATCATCCCTTTAAAAAAACAATAGAAAAATATTTTTTTAACAAAACTGTCTTAGGAACTCCAGAGTGGGGAAACCTTAGGGGCCGCTTAACCAAACACTATAGGGGCCCATAAAACTTGCAGAAGTGGCCCCTATAGGGGACATGATAGACGATAATTTTTATGAACTCGTAGAAGCGTCTCCATGCGAGAAAAAACTTTTCTTGTAACCTTTTTTGAAAAAATAACCTATTTCGTATAAAATTAAACCATAGGGACCACTCAAAAATGAGAAGCCAAGGGGACAGACCCTAAACCCCTATAGGGGCCACTTTCTGACCCCTGGAGAGGCTGTTTTCCCCCTAAACCCTATAGGGATCACTCTGGAACTCCTAAATTGCATTGGGCATGATTTTTTTTTAGAAGTACGGTTCATAAAAGTTCGTTCCACTTCAAAACCAGAAAAGAAGTGAAATATCTTATTCGATATTATTTTTCAACTAGCGGCGAATGTAGAATGAAGGCCGGAAAATATCCCTGTTTTTCGAAGAAACTCGAGTTGCGCAACATGAAAGATTAAGGTGGTTTTACTGTGGCAGCTTCTGCCTAGAGCGGCCTGAAACGCGGCGGATTACATTGCGCGACTCTGGCGAGTAAAGCAGCTTTTTTTGTAAGCTCTGGCGACTCGCCAACTTTCCCTGTCCATTCCCTCACAGCAGATTTCGCTCTCTAAGAAAGTGAAATGAATGAGAAAAAATTTCCACGTGGATGGCGGGATCATTTCTGAAATTAAAAAAATCCCGAATTTTTTCAAATTCATTCGAAAAACTTGTTGCGATCTCTAGAAAAATTTACATGAGCCTTAAAAATCTCTGAAAAAAACCTTACGATTTAAAAAAAAGTGAGAAGAGCGTTGGCATGAGAAGATAAATCTTCTATACATTTTTGACGATTTCTGGTTTTTTTAGGAGTTTTAGAGAGTTCCCTATAGGAGCCGAAAAGTGGTCACTATAGAGGAAAAATCAAGGTACTCCCTATAGGGGCTTAGGGTCTGACCACTTAGCCGCTAAAGCTTAAGTGGTCCCTATAGGGGTCGTTCATTTTCGTTAAAAAAAAACGGAGTCAGTAGATAAAAACCCTATAGGGACCACTTTTGCAAGCTTTAGGGCCACTAAAGGGGTTGGTAAAGTGGTCCCTAGAGTAGACCCTCCAAGGGCCCCTCTAGGGACTACTCTGCAGTTCCTAAGTCTAGTGAGAAGTTTTTTTTGAATTCAGAATAGTTAAAGTGAAGAGTTTAAGAAAAAAAAATGTTTCTTTTCGTTGAAGCAAGCGTTCCTAAGTGTTGTAAGAAGAGGCTTCTTCCATTTTGCAAACACCTTCTCGTAGTGTTTGCTCAACAGTACAGGTAATTCGGGTGTGAGAAGACGTGGATGTGCCGGCCGAAAGTCGGTGGCAAACGGGTTCTGTCGGCAACACTGCCGGCTTTTTTTTTGTCTCCTCTCTTCCGCCGGCTACTTCGGACCGACGTAACGCATCGTTTCGCAGACGTTGTGGCAGAGTCGCCACGCCCCTTTTTTCGTTCGGCAGCGTCGTTAGATTGCACCAAAAGTTGTGGGTGTGGCCGACGCTGCCGCTGATCTCCTATAAAGGGCTGAGCTTCGGATGTCGACCACATCTTCCACCTTCCTTCTCCACTTTTCCTTCTCAATATGGTTAGCTTTTTCTTTTCTTCTTCCGTTCATTCTGAATCTAGGAAAATGTTCTTGACCAGTAGTTTCATTTTGAACTGTCCTTGAATTTGAGATTCTAGAAGAAGCTGTGTTATAGTTATTTGAAGGAGTATATGACTTGACAAAACCTACAGATGCGATTCTTCGTCTTGTTGGCCCTCATCTCGACGGCGTTCGCCTGTCTTCCAGGACTCGGCGGCGGCTGCGGAGGAGGCTGCGGAGCCGCTTTGCCACCACCGCCACCAGTCGCCTGCGGCGGCGGTTGCGGAGCCGCGTAAGACTTTCAACCGCAAAGAACGGATAATTTTCCAAACGGTTGCAGGCCGTTCCCAGCAGGACCTGTGGCTGCTCCCTACGCCCCGGCCCCGTACTCTGCGCCTTTACCTGCCGGCAACGCCTACGTCGGAAAGTAGAAACACCGTCAGGATGTCTCAAAAAGTCACTGCCAAACGCTCAACTCGCCCACAGTACAGAATTTCGAATTAATTGAAGCTTTCATTTGTATATAATATGAAACGCAATCATTTCTGATGGTTATTTTTGATAATTAATTCTGCCTCAGTCTTGCCATCTGCATAAACTCTTTTTAAATTCAAGTGGATTCAGAAAGAAGAAAAATCGCGATTATCAATTTATAAACTGAAGTAAAAGTAGCAAGCTATTATCATTAATGACCTGCCAAAGAAGTTAAAAAAAGAGAAAAATGACCACAACACATAGTTCAACGAAATGAAATGGAAACTTCTTTTTATCTTGTTTTTGCTGCCGTCTGCAACGGAAACCATAACTTTTCCACAAAGATAAGGTCATGCCATTCTTCAGACGAGTCGAAAAAACCCGTTTATTGTGGAAAGGACCATCATTATTGGAAAAAAACGGAACGTATCATGCAATGAGATGTGGGGCCGAAAGGATGATGGCGAGGATGGAGAGGACGATGAAGAAGGTGAAGACGATGAGACAGGCGCGGTCGACGACCATCGCCGCGAACCGCCAGTCCTGCTGCGTTTGCTCGTCCTTCTCCTCCTTCGTGTAGAACGCCACCACCTGTCAAGTCATTCTGTTCGGAAAGTCATGGCGTTTGTTTCGAATATTTTTCCATGATGGACAAAAATACAAAACTTTTCGAGAATGAAGTTTCAAAATTATAAAGTTTTTCACAATGATCTTTGAGGTGCTCTTTGTCGGAAAAAAGGGAAGCGGCTAGGACTATTTTGTGCCCTGAAATCTTGTGACGCCTGACTTTCTTAGGAATATAAGAGTAGTCCCTTTAGAGGTTAGGGAGAAAAACAGCCCCATAGGGACCGAAAAATGTGGTTCTTATAGAGGTTTAGGGTCTGACCCCTTAGCCCCTATAGCTTCAGTAGTCCCTAGAGGGGTCTCTCAATTTCATTCAAAAAACGCTTATTTGTTTATTTTTTCGCCTGGAAATGTATCTCCACATAAAGTTCATAACAAATAACGACTAGCATGTCCCCTTTAGGGACCACTAACTAAAACCCCTATGGGGACCACTTTCGCAAGCTTCAGGGACCCTATAGGGGTTGTTAAAAAGATTCCTAGAGGGGACCCTTCGAGGGTCCTTAGGGATCTCTGTGGAGTTTCTAAGTTTATTTATTCATTTTCCAGAAACACCAGTTTCAAACCGACAAGAAAACTTATAGAACCCCTTTTGTTTGAAACAAAAATGTGATTTTATAAAGATTTGTATCACAAAAAGCTTGATCTGTTTTTTAAAAAATTCGTTTTTCTCTGATAACTAGATTTCTCAAAAATTACCTTTCGCAACTCTTTGTGAATTGACTGGAGCAGAAGAACCTGCGCTTCGTAGACGGGATGATGCGTTGGAAGGTCCGGTCTGAAAGCCGGTCAGTGGATAAATTTTGAAAACTTCAAAGTTATTTTGACTATCATATCAGTCATGAACTGTAGCAACCAGAAAAAAGTTGAGAAAATTCCGCAGAATCCATAATCCATTTGAATGAAAAAACGACAAGTTTTGAGCTTTTTTTTTTTACCTTAAAGGGCTTTCTGGGGCTTTGGGAAGCGGAGGAATCTTGTCGATAGCTGAACCTCGGACGAACTCATATCCCGGTCTCGACATGCACAAAAGCCACGGTAGAAACTCCAACAGAACATGTTTGATCTACAAATTGGATTTTTAAGGTGGAAGACATGATGCTCAGATAACAGTGAACACTGTAAGACAAAAAAAAAACCAACCACAGGGCTCATTACGTGAGAATCGGCAGTTCGGAAATGCAGATTCAAAACGACAATAGTGAAAACGACAGACGCGCTCACGACCAGCATACAACACGAGAAAAATACGCCTAGACACAAGTTCAAGATTCATCATTCATCAGTCGGAAACCGATCAGAGGCACGGCTTCTGATGTCGGCGGCGTCATTTCAGATACCATACTCAGAAAGAAGACGATCGCCAGAAGTATGGTCACTTCTGTGAGAAAAAGTTGAAAATAGCGTTGGAATCTTCAAAAAATTTGCCCTAACAAGACGTGGGTGTGCGGTGAACATTAAGTTATGAATTAAGGCTTTTTGGTAGATAGACCTATGGGAGGGTGCTCCAAAACAAAGGGAAAATCTGCTAAGCGCCATAGGGTACCGAGGTTTTCTGCTGTTTTTGTTTGATAATAGAGTGTAGGAGTACTAAAAAAAATAGCAAAAAGTGTCACGTCAAGAGGAATCGAACCTAGCATAGCGTCAGCGTCATTCAAGAGCACTACCTCTTCACCACGCTCCCAGAAGCTGGCTGTGCACTCCGAGCCCGGCCATATTCGCGCCGGCAAAACTTTGACGAATTATTTTTCGGTACCCTATGGAGCTTAGCTGATTTTCTCTTTTGTTTTGGAGCACCCTCTCCTAGGTCTATCTATCATAAAAGCCTCAATGCATATAAATCAATGTTCACCGCGCACAGACCCCTCATAAAAATGAATGTAAACCTGCTTTATTTCATATTCTCTTGGGGGAGATATGCGGCTGATACATTCACTCAAATTTAAACCCCAAAAAGTCATACCTAGCGTTATCTTCTCACCGCCGTCGGGCGGGAACATGAACCCCAGAATGGCCATCAAAGAAATCAGGAGAGATGGTATAATCAAGTTGAATCCTGAAGAGACACTCTTTGGTGAGGGACGAAAAGGATACCATAGTAGAGAGTTCTTCTGCGGATATGGAGAAAATATTTGACGGTGGGGTAGGGCTCCGGACAGCACTTGAAGTAGTTGACCTGCCGCTCGGCGGGCGAATCCACAACGATCCATTCTCCGTTCACCAAAAACGTTGAAAGGTCCATTGCGTTCGCTGGAAATTACTGTCTAGTTAAGATTATTAAAAATATTTTGATTTTTTCTCGTTTATGACAGAATCGTTTTGAAAGTTCAAGTGGAGACCGTCTTTTGAAACATGCGCTGGAAAACTCTGGTTTTGATTTTCTAAAAAGGTCCTTCTTCGATTAAATTTTTTTCGGTCAACTTTTATTAAAACACTTTTCGAAGCTTTCAGGTAATGAATCAAATTTTGAACTTCAACCAAGCTTGAAAATTTAAAATTTTGGTTCAATCTAAAATTAGGAGCTTTTTTATGTTAATTTCATATTTAGTCTGGCATATATCTTTAATTTAGTTCTTCGAAAGTGATAATGGCCGTGGTCTCATTGTCGCTTACTCACTTAGGAATTCCAGAGTGATCCCTATAGGGGTTAGGGGGAAAATCAGTTCCTATAGAGGTCGAAAAAGTGGCCCCTGAAGAGGGAAAATTAAGGTGGTTCTCATAGGAGTTTAGGGTCTGACCCCACATAATATTGACAGAAAATAAAACTAAATAAAAAGTAAACTTGAATTTTCAGCGTCATCTATTTGTAGGTCGATGGCGTAACCATGAAAAGTCCACGATCCAAACTTCATTTCGCAAATCTGATCGTCGAATGGAAACCTAAAGACTTTTTTTCTTCAAAAAACGTTGATATAAATTACCAAGTAACATCAAGTTGACATACAAACTTAAGGACTCCGGGAGGGATCCAAACGACGTTTCCTGTGTTGTAAGCAACCAGATTGCTTTTGTAAGTCGAATCGAAATCTTCGGCCGCACTGGAAATGTGTGAAAAAATAATCAATAATCGCTTGAAATGTGTGAGAAAACAATAAATATTCGGTTTGGGGAGATCAACCTGTTGTAAAGCAGTATATCTGGTTTCCAAATATGATCTGATGATCCAGGAAAACGAACATCCTTCAAAACTTCAAGTCATTTCGAAAAAAAAATGATCAAAAACCTGGATTCCTCCGTATTTCTCAGGATCCCACTGCAGTTTGTAGTCGAACCATGTCTGAAAAACATTTCTTCGAGACACAAAAAGCAAACTTACATAACTGAGCCAGGCGTTGACGGAAACGATCTGATTCTGTTCGTCTACATCGAGAATCTGCTGAAGGAAGAGCTTTATTTTGACTACGAGGGCTTGGGACGCGTTCCGCACGGGCCTTTCTTGCGGGTTGTAGCCTCAATTTCCCATTTCTATCTCTTCACGCCGCCAAAGTCCACTACCTTTGAGAAGATCGGCAAAAAGCTTAGTTTCTGCGTAACTTGCGAAGGCGCATGGAAAAACTGCGAAGAAGCCGAGAAGACAAAACAGCCAGCAGAAGGGAACGAGCATTTTTCAGATCGGCGCTTTCCGTCTCGCCGTCCCTTCATCTTGTACAAACAGTGCTGGCACTCGAGATCCCGCGTTTTCATCTCGTTTTCTCATTCGAAACATATTTAAAAATGAAATGGACAATAAAAAAGTCAAGTTAAAATCTCTTCACTAAAAAATAAAAGCTTCAAACTTGATCAGATAGGTCTTGAGCTTGAAGAAGTAAAACTTCCGAGCTGTTTCAAAAAAAAAAATACGTCAATTTTTAATTTTTGAAAAATGTTTTCACCTCTAAATATGGAACCATGTTTCCGAATGAATTGAAACTCTGTAAGGCATATGGAATTCACATTCATATTATCATATTCTCTCTGAAAAATTAAGTTTTTTTTTTTGGTTGATTCGATTATAAGAAAGCCTGTTTTTTTTTCTCCAAGACAGTTTTTTCTCCTTTTTTTTTATGATTGTTCTTTCCCTGTCTACCTCATTATTCAACTTCTACAATACAAGTTTGAGGGATTATGATTATTGAAAAACTAGCAGGAAAAAACGAATAAAAATTTATTATATGGCAAGATTCTCAGACTTAAAAATGAATAAATGAAGTTACTTGAATACATTCTTCGATGGATTTGAATTATTTGCTGAAGAGCTACTTCTCTCCGCAGAGCTCCGACGTGAGACGCTCATCAGAACTCTCGGCGAGTCTTTCTGAAAATATCAAAAATGCTTTTTTTGTCATAGCACACATAGAAAAAGAAACGCGTGGGCTCGGGCCAGGCCGGGCTTCGAAAAGAAATTTTAAACTTCATTTTAAAAAAATTCCACGGAAATTAATTTTTTTACTTGTTGAATAATAGTTTCTAACAACTCTATGAGAAAAAAACATGCAAAAAACCACTTTTTCTCGTTAAAAAAAGCGAAAAAGGGGGGGGTCGGGCTTGGAAAGTGGCCGAGAGGTTGACGGGCCGGCCCTCGCACAAGTCTGATAATAGGCAAATGGAGCAACCTTTCGGAATTGCTGACTCGCTAGGAGATTCGCGAAATGGTTGCTCGAAGAGGACGTGTTGGAGGAGATGGTGTTGGAGAAGCTGGAAGCGTCTCGGGAGGTCCTCCGCGAAAGACTTGGTGTAACTTCCCTCTGATGGACGCTCATTCGCTGGAACTCTCGCTGGACGGACACTGGTGTCTTTTTGTAGGGAGACTGGGCCTCAGATCTCTGAGCAAACCTTCGTCACGAGTTTCGATCTACTAGTACCATTTTTTGGAAGTTGGGCGTAGTTCTGCTGGGTGTTGCTGTTTGGACGACTTCAATCACTTGGATGTCTACAAAATCTTTCTTATATTAAGAATTGATGAACACGAACCGTCGTTGTCAAGAAATTCCCCCGCCTTCTCTTTCATTTCCTGCAGGACCTTCTCTTCGGCTGCTAAGCTGAAAAACAAGGAGTGAAATTTTTTGAAAAAAGGGAACCAACCGTTCTTCTAAAGCTTTCAGTTCCATCTGCTCCTTTTCAAGTTTTCTCCTCAGTTTAGCTGAATTTTCTTCGGTTGATCTAAACATCGGGGAAAGTTGTTAAACTTTTTTGTTGCAAACTTTTTTTGCGCCGCTATTTGCTGTAGACTTTCGTTGGCTTTTTTCATATGCTCAGTTCGCATCGTGTTCTGAAACTTTGTCCTATTTTATAGCCGATCTGCGTCTAAATCTAAAAAATCGCCACAAAACATTTTCCTCTCTGGCTGCCTTCTCGCCAGCGCAATCATGGAAAAATGAAAGTAGTATAAAGAGCCGTTGAGAGGAAAGAATGCGCAGATAAGTCCAACTGTTTGCAGTTGTAGCTCATTCCGCACCGGCTTGTCACGATTTTTGTTTTCTTTGAGCTACAGTACCCATTCCTTTCGAAATGCGCGGCTTTTCCCTGTTCATGCGCCTTTAATACAACGAAAATTACAGGCCAAATTAAATTCGCATCCACAGAAACAGACCGCGCGCTCGGGCGGACTCATTTTGAAACTCGGAGGAAAAAAAAATCGTGACAAGCTGGCACGGAATGGTTCAAACAATTTTTATATTAGTCTAAAAGTTTACGAAAAAATTCAAAACGCGGCTTATTTCGTTAATAGGGTTATTATTTGCTCATATTCACGCAACTGCTCTCTTATCATACTCCTCGATTCGTTCGCGGTGAAACTTCTGGAAGGCGACGACGCGCAGGAGCTTTTGGTAGACTTCCGCTGCGAGGTCCTTGGGATTTCGGAATAAATCCTCAACTTTTTCTTTTTTTCTCCTTTGAATGCAGTCTGAAGAACTTACTGCTATATTCTGTGGCATCCCTGGTCCTATCGCAACGTGTTTGCAGGACTTTGAACACATTTTACAAGCTTCATCTAAATCATTTGATTTTATGAGTTTTTATTCAATAGAAAAACCTTCTGCTCGGCATGAGGCGCAGACAATATGTGAACAGGAAGTGAAAAACATTTTATTTTTCTCCTTGAAAACAGTACAACATGAATTACAATGAAGCCAGTCCATACTGAAATCATTTTTTTTCGGGTTATAAGCTGAATGAGCTATGAAAAGATGACCGTGATGTTTGCGAATGGATTTTCAGAACATTATCAGGAAATATCACTTACAAAGAAACGTGTTATATTTTTTAGCTATGTTCAATTTCGAGATTCGACTAGCTTGGAAAATTGAAAATACCAAAATAATTTTTATTTTAGACTGATCGATCTTCTATAGTCTGTTCAGATTTCAAATGTCATGTCCTCGCTCAAGCTCCGCCCCTAATGGCGCGATAAACCAGTCAGAGAGCGAGCCATCCACAGAGCGTTTTCGAATGACGTCATTCTACTTGACATTCAAAATCTGACGGGATTGTAAAAGAAATTGAAAGCTTTCTTTTTTATGTTTGCTCAGACAAAAAAAAAGTGCTTTCTAATATTTTCAAAGAGACTCGCCGAGTGTGAGCCCAGATGAGTCAAAAACGAGAAAATGGCTTTGCGAAAAATAGCCACAAATTTTTGCTTCTTTCTTTTCGAATCGACGGCTTCTTTTTACGATTTTCCGTCATATACCAGTAATTTATGAATAAAAAAACTTCAAAAAAATCAGGGAAAAAAACTTGTAAACGAATACTTCATTCAAGAAAGTACAGTATGAAATCGACAGAATGAAAAAGGAAAATACACTGTAAATATGATTATTGAGATTTTTTTACAAAGTGCACGAACTGGAATTGTTAAAAAGTGAAATCGAAATAAGCATTTTCATACAATGATCAAATAAATATAAATAAAAACAAAAAAATACACTTTCTCACACACTGGTTCAATTTAACACAAACGCCCACAAATAAAACAACAACATCGAACTTGGCTTGAAATAGCTGTACGTCAAATTCAGAAAATTTTTGAAATTCATACCGCGGTTAAAAAGATGTCGGAATTATCTTTGTCTTTTTAAAGTTTTCATTTTTTTTTCTTAATCTTTAATGGTTATTTCTATTTTGCCTAGATAAATTTGAACGCGGCATCATCTTTCGATTTCAACGAAGGGCTCAAAATCTTTCGTAGAAGAACTTTGAAAATAATTGTTTAGCAAGTAGAAAATGATACATGCTATGGAAAAAAAAAACCAATAAACCAAAACAAGTAGCAATAAATTAACTGGCCCGCAGAAAAGATACAAGATTAACTTCAAGCGTCAGATTCTTTCTCAGTAGTTCTCTTCACTTCATCTTTCTGATCCACTTCTTTCTTCGGACTAGATTCCTCCGTTTTCTTCGTTTCAACCTCCGAACTTTCGCCTTCTTTTTCTTCTTTTGAGATCTCTGCTGCAGTTTGGTTTTCATCGGTTCCTTTCTCGTTTTCCAGAGGCTCCACCTTTGATTTCTGAACAGAAAAATGATTGTCAGTAGCAGTTCTACATCCAATTAAAATTTTAAAAGTTATGAAAGACCCTAACCGCGAATTTATATAGTCCGACTTGATGGAAAAGTCGGTCGGTTAGGTCACTTTTTCAGAGTTCAAAGAGCATTTTTTTTAAAATAGTCAAGTTTTTCCGGTTCTAAATTGTTTGAGTGTCAAAAATGCGTAGAATACTCTATTGTGGTTAGGTTTTTAGGTTCCGAAAAAAACCAAACATTGGCGGCTCAAAAAAAGGAGAGTTTGTAATTTTTTTTAAATTTTTCATCTCAACCTTTTCAATTTGTCCTGAAATCAAAAACTGTCAAGTGCGAAATAATGTTCATTAAGATCAAAGTTAAAATTTTGGCGCGAATGAGAAAAATTCAGGGGAAAAAATAAATTTTTTTGTTAATATAATGGCCAAAATTTTGGAAAAAAACTGATTTCGAAACTCGTCATATAATGGAGAAATATGTACTTTGAAACCGTTAACACCTTCATGAAGCACAAAAGAACTTTTCAAATTTTAAAAACTTGAAGAAATAGGCGTCATAAAGAAGTTACCAAGCCGATTCCAGCAAGCGATATAGTCCGTTTTTTGCGACTTCTCTGCGCCCTCCTTATCTCTCGAGGTCCCTCCCTCCCATATTTACGTGTTAAGTTCATGTTTCTCTAACTAAAAAAAACTAACCTTCGAATCAACTTCCTTTACTGGAGAATTTTCTTCCGATTGGTTAGATTTGGCGTTCGGAGAATCCAGTTCACCCTGAAAAAAAGTAATTCAAAAAAGATTATTCCAGAAAAAAACCTTTCTTTTCCGCGACATGTCGATTGGCTGAGTATCATTGGTGATTCCCTAAATTCATTCAACTTATACAAAATGAAAATTACGGAACCAAGAGAACTTGAAAATAAACTCACAATGCTGGGAAAATCTTTTTTCCACGCACCCTGCTCGACTCCATCCAGCTCGTCCTGAAAAAAAGTTTCACTATCATTTTTAAAAAGCTCTTCGGTTTCAAATTTATTTTAAAATCACAAAAAGATGTTGTTTAAGGAATGAAAAAAAAACAACAAAAAAACTTACCACACGACCGAAAAAGCGGTTCTCGATGTTTCTTGAGTCGTTGCTACTAGGAACCTTAAAAAAATCTTCAAAGTGTCCTGCCAAAAAAAGAAACCTCCCATTCGCCAGTTATCCTTTTTCCCCACTCTGTGACGGCTGTCACTACAGATATGACCTGAAAAAAAAGATTATCGCTCAAAAATTCAAAGGAAACATTTTTTTCAATTTGAACCTGTTTTCTAATCGTATTTTTTCAGAAAAGAAACTTGGTCAAAGCCGGAATGGTGGATAATGGCTGATAAAAGGGAGAGGCTCAAAAAAGGCCCCAGAACGGCACCAAAAAAAGTCCCTTTATCCATTTTCTGCGATTTTAGAAGCTCGAGAAACGGTGGAAAAAGAATGGTGCATAAGGGCCGTTGAAATGACTCAAAAGGGCAGCAAAAAGGAACTTTTGTCACCCTGAAAGGAAAATTTCTATGGAACTTTTTTCCATCCTTTCCGACTTTGCCTATGAAGTTTAAAGAAGCAAAAATTCAAATTTCCAAATCAAATTCTTGAATGGAAAACCTTTTCGAGTGCCCGCAAAAACTTTTCCACTTTACTGTAATGCTGAGTTGGAGACACCAAGAGCTCGCACAAACTGAACAAAAACTAAAAATTGCAAGATAAATAAATGAGAAACCTACCGCTGCCATGTGAAAGGAAACCCTTCAAACTCTGAAGCACGTCTCAAAATGTATTCTGAAGAGTCTTTTATGTTGTAAGGCACGGGTTTCACAAAAGTGATCTTCGCTGTAAAACCATCATTGAAAGATTTCACAAAAGATACAAACCTAGGGACTTTCCTTTAACACTGTCCGGCTTTTTGGTTTCAACTTTCTCCTTCTCCTCGGTTTTCTTTTCAGAACCAACTTGTTTGGAGACGAATTCGTCGATGACGAACTAATGAAGAAAGTTGATAAATCGCGACATGCTTCCAATCTCTTACTTTCAGTTTCCACACAAACGCGGGGCGAACGATCTCCCACGGTATCGCCGGAACACCCCAACCTGCACTCGCAGCAAAGTATTTCTCGACGTTGTAATTCGGATGTTGACGGAACTGACTGGGACCTTTTATAAGCTCGCTCTAAAACTCGAATTTGGCAGCGAAGTTCACAATGAAAAAAAAAACTTCTGATGGTTCTTTGAAATCGTTCAACGCCACGTAGTACTTCTCCAGCTCGGCGACATCGATTTTGCGTGTTGTAAGCTGTTTTCTTGTTTCAGAAGAAAATCCCAAATGGGCCCGTTTTTTCTCAACCAAAATTTCTTCTGATTTTGCCATGACCTTTCTGAATGTTGATAATTAGTTTGGAATTCCAGGTAAACTCGCGCAGAAATAAACAAAAAATGAACAAATTTTTAAAACTAACCCATTAATAGGTTAAATTCGAGTTATTTCAAGTAATAAACAAATGATGAAAAATGGATCAAATGAAAAAAAAAGTCAACTTAATAATTTTAGAGGCACATAGTGATGGGCTTTCTGTTAGAAAAACCGTACAATAACGTGAAACTTCATCTTTTTAAAAAAATTGTGAAAAATGAACCTCGCATTAAGTGTTTTTTTCTGACAAGACTGGGAAAAAAACCTGGAAGAATAAAAAGATAAATAACGAAATACAAAATGGTCTATGACTTCCAAAAGTTTAGTTATCTTTTTCTTTCTATGACGGCTATTTTGGATTTCGCAGAAATTTATACTTTGAACACGAAAAACAAATTTGGCATATCCTTTTTCAAATGAAAATAGAAAGTGGGCCCTTCAGAGGTTTAAAAGGCCCTTAAGCGATTCCTCAAAAATGCATTAGGTCAAAACTCACAAATTTCAAAGAAAGTGCGCTTCGTCGCTCCCATTTCGAATCGCGGTTTGGGCAAACTCCCTTTTTTGTATTGAAATTAATTAAAATTTACTATATTTTACTTTGTTCATATTCTGTCGGTTAGATTAGGAAGATTCAATTCCACCTTCTCGACGTGACCAAGCAAACCACGTCTCTTCATTCGTACCTTATCTTGTAATAAATAATAAAAAAAATGGTATATTACTTTCCGGTGTTCTATGTTAAGTTCTCTAAAATCAAGGACATAACATGCTTTTGCTTCACAATTTTACGGAAATTTTCATAGAAATAAAATTGCATTTTTAGCGATATGATATTTTTGTATTTTTTCGTCTTTGGTGTCGCGTAGGAGCTTTTTTTCAAATTTTTTATTGGTAGAAACTTTATTTGAAACGATTTGATAATAAAGTATCAGATGGTTCGCCGGATGTGAGTCCCGGAGGGCGAATTGAGCTTATACACGAAGCGTGTGCCTGAAGTCCAATGGCGTTTCAATTTTTATTTTTATTTTTGGCTACTTCATTCGTGGCTGAAGTGGTCGAAGTCTTGGTTAAAGTAGTCGTAGTCTTTTGCTTCGAATTAGATTTTGTTGACGATTTCGTTGACTTTCTTGCTTTTTTCTTCTTTTTCTCTGCACGTATCTCTTTTTCTATATGCCATTCCATTGCCTCTTGACTCATGTTCTTCTGGATTTTTTATCAATAATATTTAAAAAAGAAAAAATCAAACGTATTTTTCATGACGTTCGTTGTCTTTCTTGGACCTTATATATAGCAATATGCAAGGAATTGATACGCTCACAATAAAGATGATCACGAACTCGCCTGAAAAAAAGTAGTCTTTGTTTCAAAAACCAAAATTCTTACTAAGCATGAACAATTCCACATAAATAGATCCTTCTGACGGTGGGCTATGGTAAGATACCTGATATCTGTCCATCTAGCTGAATCAAAAAATAACCAAATTGCTCAGCAGTTCGAAAAAAGAATGCAACTCACCCAATTATTTTAAACGAAATGAAGTCTGTTCACGTTGTCGGCCGATTTTGTTTAAATGATCAATTTTAAATCTTAAACAGATAAAAATGGATGCTCTTCGAGCCTATCAAAACAGCGACAGTGAGCAATCCGATGATGAGATGATAGGTATCGCTCAAGGAAAGAGCAAAACACTAAATATGGAGAATTCTCTGCTGGTAATTTTAATGTGTTGATAATTTTTAATGAAGTGTTTCAGGTGGCCCCTGACGTTCAAACGAAAAGCGCAATCAACCAAATCGCTATTGTTGATCCCAAAACAAAGGAAATCAAAACCAATCCAACCTACGATCAATTATTTCAACCCGAGGTATTCCCGTTAATTTTGAGATTTTTTGATAGTAATCTTTCAGTCTGGACCAACGAATCCGTTCAAGTCAGACCGCCAGAAAGCGCAAAAAAACACTTTGACTGGATTTGTAGAGCCGGCGCATTTCAACGAATTTCATTTCAATAAAGAGATTCGCAGTTTTGACACGCTAGGTTACGCCAGGAATCCGACTGCGGAGAAAGGTGTGGCGTGAACTTTCAACTAGTGAAGGCTTTTATTTTGAGGTACGGAGTTCATTGGAGACAAGCTGAAAGCCGAGGAGGAGGGCGGGATTTCTTTGTTCGAACATAAGAAGACCGGAGGAGAAAAAAGAAAACGCGTTCGAAATGCCGATGCGGCTGATATTGATGGATTTACTGGTTGGTTTATTTTTTAGAATTTAACAATATCTTCTCTAATGTTGGCCAGTAGAATCCGTTTGGCTAAAAGTCCTAATTTTGCAAAAAGGGGTGCTACTGCCGATCACCCGGTGGTTTTTAGCGTTTCCGATGATCCCGGGGTCTTTTCGCGGCTAAAAATTGCGTTTCGGGTAATGGGCGGTAGCACCCGCGGGTGCCAACGGGAGATTATAGGCTTTTCCGAACCAGCTTGTCACGATTTTTGTTTCCTCCAAGCCAGAGGATCATTCAGTTTGAAGCACGTGAGATGTCCCTCAGCCTGCTTCTTTTATTTGGCCTAACATTTCCGTTATATTAAAGGCGCACGCAGAGATAATGTCGCGCGCATCGAAGGGAAGGCTTCTGTAGCTTGGAGGAAAACGAAAGTCGCTAAGCTGGCGCGGAATGGGCTATATATTCACTATTAATAGGGCCGTGGGCGAAGTACGAAGACGAAAAAACGGTCGCGAAGCCAGATCCTGAGTTACAAAAACAGATGGACGAGATAGTCAAGAAGGTATTACTTTCCTACTTTTCTTTAACTAACTGAGTTTTCAGCGACAAGAAAAGAGTCGAAAGTTCAAGAAAGAGCAGAAAGATAACGAGCAAATGGCAGACGAATCGACCACGTTCCACTGTTCGTCATTCTTTCTTTTTCTCAGAACCTAAATATTTTTCTTAGTGCGTCAAGCGGAAGACTATCAAGGCCGTTCATTCCTCCATCCTCCGAGTTTCACTGGAATCAACTTGCGAGCCGACTATGTGCCTGAAAGGTAAAAATTAGTTTTTTCCGTCGACCTGGATCATTTTGAGATGTTACGTGCCGAAGAAGTTGGTCCACACCTACCGAGGACACAACAAGAGTGTCAATTGCCTGCAATATTTCCCGAAGAGCGCCCATCTCTTCCTCTCCTGCTCAATGGACACCAAGGTTTGTAGCTGATGAAGTAGTTTCTTAGGATCTCCAGAATGTCCCCCTATAGGGGCTTTTAGAGGGTCTCTTCTAGGGACCTATTTTCAAAAACCGCTCATTTATTTTATTTTTGCCTTCTTCGCATAGTGTTCATAAAAAATTATCATCTAGAATGTCCCCTAGAGGAAACCAGAGGGGTTGCTCCCGTAGGGAGCATTCTGGAGAAACCCAACTTTTTAGCCTCCTTTAGTTGCTTTTTCCCTTACCCCTATAGGGACCACTCTGAATTTTCCAAGTTCAAAGAAATTAATAAATTAAGCGATTATAAATCATTTTTTTCAATTAAAACCCCATTTATAGATCAAACTTTGGGAGGTTTACGGGAAGCAAAGCATTGTCCGTACATATGCCGGCCACAAACTGCCAGTTAGGGAAGTCGCTTTCAATAACGACGGAACCGAATTCCTCTCTGCGAGTTTCGATCGCTATATCAAGTTGTGGGACACGGAAACTGGCCAGGTTTCTAGCGGCATTATTTCAAAGAGAAAAGGGTCTTCAGGTGAAACAAAGGTTCCACACGAGCCACGTCCCGTACTGCATCAAGTACCACCCGGACGACGACAAGAACCACATGTTCCTGGCCGGAATGCAGAACAAGAAGATCATCCAATGGGACAGTCGGACGAACGAAATCATTCAGGTTGTTACATAGGCAAAGACGGAAAGGGTGGAAAAAGGCTCCTCCTTGCGCCATTTAATAGGCTTTTATGCACCATTTTTTGCTGCCTCTTCCCTTTTCCACCATTTCTTGAGCCTTTAACATCCCAGAAAAAATGAAAGGCTCGATAATGGGACTCTTTTTGCTGCCTTTCTGCGCCTTTTTTGATTCTTCCGATTTTACGCGAGAAATCTGCTCCTTGTTTCAGGAGTACGACCGTCACTTGGCTCCAGTCAATTCCATCACTTTCTTCGACAAAAACCGACGGTTCTGCTCGACGTCCGATGACAAATCCGTGCGCATCTGGGAATGGGAAATCCCTGTAGACACGAAACTCATCCAAAACGTCGGCCTTCACTCAATTCCCACCATGACAAAGAGTCCCAACGGTAAATTGACCCTTTTCATTCGATTTTCCCATGTTTATAAGTTCGAATAATCGTATCAGAGATGGGCGGAATTCCGCGTTTTCCGATTAGATTTTTTTCTAAAGAGTTTTTTTAAAAAAATGTTTCACAGTCCAATATTTTTCATCCGCCAACTGTCGAAAAAAATCATCTAAAGAAAAAAAGTTCATAAATATCATTTTGATAATCCAAAAAAATTCGAAATTGATGATTTCCGCGCTTTTTCAAGTGCAAGTTTGCTTCCCAAAAAAATTTCCAGGGTTTATTTCGCATTCTGCAATATAAAAATTAAGCTCCACCCATTTTTGCTGTGTTTGTTACTGGATTGGTCGGCCTCTTGATTAATTTTTTTTACGTACTTTTCGGCAGTTAAATTTTTTTTAAGAGCAGATCCGAAAATTCTTCTAGATGTAACGCTTAAAGTTCTGTCTTTTTCCAGATCGTTGGGTGGTGGGACAATCGATGGACAACCGGATTGTTCTGTTCCAATTAATCGATGATAAGCTGAGATTCGCGCGGAAAAAGGCATTCCGGGGACACAACGCAGCCGGATACGCGTGCAATATTGACTTCAGTCCGGACATGAGGTCGATTTTTGAGGCTTTTTCCAAATTATTTCCCATTTTCAGCTTTATCATCAGTGGCGATGCAGATGGAAAACTGTTCATCTGGGACTGGAGGACACATAAAGTTGTCGCCAAGTGGGTTTTTGTTAATTTAAAATGGTTTTTTCCTGGTCAGTGACATAGATGGGCAAGTACATAGATCATTAAGCCGGTGAGGAGGGGTTGGTTCTATAAAGTTTGTCGGAGATTTATACGTTGAGTTTACGTAATCGAAAAATCAAAAACGAACCAAAAGCTGTGAATTTAGATGGACGGCACACGAAAGCACTTGTATCGCGGCTCATTGGCATCCACACGAGAAAAGCAAAATTATCACCGCCGGCTGGGACGGCGTCATCAAAATGTGGAACTAATTCAGTTAAAACTGTTGCTTTTTTTTTTTTAAAGTCCAAAAATGTTCCGACTTTTCTGCTTCATTTATTTTTTGCGAGAACGATGGAAAGTTGTCCGAGAATGAAAAAAACGGCAAAGAATGCCTTATAAAATTGCATCGATTCGATAACTTTGAAAGCTCGTTTAATTTTGTAAATTTCATTGTAACGCGGTCAACTTTAAGTTTGAACAGCCTACCTTTTATCACAATATATTACGTTTCCCATTGTTATTTTTTGTGTTGTATTGATCTCTTTGTTGTTAATATTTTCTTGTGTATCTTTTTTCTTCTGATTCACTAGCCAATCTACTGTTCTATTGTTTTTTTTTGTACAGGCGAGTGAATGTTTACGAGTAATTATTGGAATCTAGTGTGAATTCAGAGTCTTACTTGAAAGGCTGAAATATCTTCACAGAAAAAGATTGATGTAAGGCTGAAATATCCCTTCAGATCATGTCTGGCGCAGCGAAAAATATCGAGAAAGTGAATTTATCACTTCCAGAGCCTTTTACGGTATGTCTCGGCTTCTCAATCAAAGGAAAATATGGTTTTTTAGATTGAGCTGCCCAAGGAGGGTGCCCCATCGGCGCGCGACGATCACAGGATTTTGAAGTCGTCATCGTATATCCTGAAAGTTTCATCGCGTTTTCCTCGTCTTGGAAGCCGAATGAAAACTGGCGTCGATCTTGTCTCTGGCGACCGTTTGGAAGAAATACTCAGTATGAGTTTAATTAACTTTTAAGCTGCTCATAGGCAAAGTCGGAAGGACCCTTTACGGACCTTTAAACGTCCCTTATGGAAGGTTTCCATTAATTTTTCCTCACCAGGTGGCAACGGTTTCCTTTTTACTGCCTTTACTTCCGACTTTGGCAGTGTTGGGCTTTTCTCTGTGTATTTTCATTGAAAATTATTTTTGAAAATTTCCAGACTTTGTCAAGCTGAAAGGCCGTTTGTGTAGCAGGAGTCCTTCGAAGCGTCCGACGGCACGGGAACTGTTGCGCCACGATCTACGCAATGAGTTAGGCCGCGAAGGCCCCGAAGTCTGCTTTCCGTCAGCAGAGAGCGATCTCTTTGAAGGCTCTTCTGACGATGGAGATTTCGTGGAAGATTATGAATCTGATGGAGATGAAATATACATGAGAATGGAACGAGATCGAGAGGAGATGATGCGAGTTATGCGAGAAATGGATGAATCGGAGGAAGAAGATGATGTATTAGAAGAGCAATATGGTGTTCAAGGCGAGGAAGAAGAAGCCGAGGGAGAAGAAGATGAGGAAGATGAAGATGAAGAGGAAGAAGATGAGGAGGAGGAAGAAGGAGAACCGCAGGAGCCAGATGAACCTCTTCAAAACTATGGAGTGGCTCACGATGATGATCTAGATTCCTATGGATACCTGGACGAGGAAGAAGATTTGGATCTTGGAGACGCACAAGCTGAGAGCGGAAGTCGGGATGACCGCCACCAATTTAGCGTTGATATCCTGAACGTACGTCTTTCAATTTTTAATTGAGGGGGGCGGCTCTTTTGATTTTTGAAAAATCTTGTTCTTCTTGGAGTTCAATAGCTCCAGATTAACGCCATGTTTAAAGTAATTTCCGCGAAATGCCAACAAATTTATTTGTGAAAAAGTATTCAGTTTTCTCTTACCAGTGAGACGGGGTCTACATATCCTCAAAAATGAACGCGATCGGAGACAATAAAATTTTCGACTTTTGAGGGTCCATAACTTTTTTTTCACAAATCTCCTCGGCAGTTTTTGAGACGAGATTTGAGCTCAGAGTGAAAAATGCATCTAAAAAACTTGGTCTCATTTGGATCCCATTTTTCAAGTCTCAAATGTAAATTTTTGGTTTTTTGCTCATAACTCCAGTAAGTTGAAGGTTCCATTTTTAAAAACGAGTTATTGAACTTTTCGAAAGTTTTGCTAATTTTGAGAGGAATTTATGCTTGAGAACCACTTTGAAACAACTTTGTGACCAAAACTGTATATGTATAAAAGCTTTTTGAAACTTTTGAAACTTTTATTCAGTCTTCAGAGAAAGATCATGGAATAATTGAAGAGTTGTTTGTCGCTTCGCGAAACTTGCGTTGATCAAGCGTAGACGATGCGTAGAGCATCTCTCTTTCCTAGGGATAGTAGTAGACGATTTTCAAGCGTTCCGACGATCATCCATGTAGAAACAGTACGGCGCCCAGCTTTTCCAGGGCTGATGGGCGTCGGATTGAATCTCAGACGAGATCGGAAGAGGAGAGTACTACTTAACATTATTTTTTGCAGAGGTTGGCTCGGGTGTCCCAGTCGCTGACTGGCCACAATGCAGAACTGAAAAAGGAGTATCGGAACGCGAAGGAGGGGTGTGAACCGATTCAGCAAGAGTTGAATGTTCTGAAGACGGCCATCGAGTCGGCCAAGGAGCTTCGTAAGCAGAGGAACAACGATTACATGAAACTAAAGTTGGTTTCTTCCCATTTTCGACTCAGAAATTTTGTTTTACAGAGATTATAAGCAGAGAATATTGGAAAACGACCAAATCTGGTGATGGTCAAAAGCGCCTTTCAAAAACTTTTTTTATGCTGGATCCTGTAAAGTAGATCATCACGTCATGTATTATCATGTTCATAGGCAAAAGGCTCCATAAAAATTATCCTTTTTGCTGCCTTTTTGCGCCATTTTTTCGGCTCCTATGCACCCTTTTTGCTGCCTCTTTTTCCACCATTTCTTGAGTTTAAAATCCCTGAAAAATGGAAGGCTCGATAAATGGACCCTTTCTGCTGCCTTTTTGCGCCATTTCATCGGCCCTTTTGCACCCTTTTTCCACCATTTCTTGAGCCAGAAAAAACATGGAAGGCTCGATAAAGGGACTCTTTTTGCTGCTTTTCTGCGGCCTTTTTTGAGCATCTCCCTTTTAGCGGCCATTATCCACCATTCCGATTTTGATTTTGTAATATTTTTCATTTTTAAGACATATTTGTTAAATTGAAGTATAAGATTCGTAGTTTTTCTTTCCGATACCGATCTCTCTTTTTTAATATAGTCATGGTCTATCTTACATTACTCTCATGTTTGTCTACTTCATTCCTACGATTTTATATATGATTCTCCTCAATTTGTTTCCAGAGACCGTATGCAATAAAGTGGGAAATGATTTTCCGCAATTTTCCTGGAACTCGAAAATGACTACAATTAGTCTTTTTTCGACTGAAGTTGTTTCTTCCTTATCGGAATCTTCTTATAAAGCTTTTTTACATCAGATAAAATCGAAGTAAGTATTGTCCTAGCGGGTTTCAGGCCTTTTCTATGTTCAGAAAATCGCAGAAAATCATTTTCCACTTAATTGCATACGGCCTCAGGTTGTTTTTTTTTCACATGATTTCTACGATTTTTTTCGATAAAACCTCTTCGAAGCTTTTCAAGGATTTTTCCCCGTTGAATCGAATTTGGATATCTAATCATCTGAAATGAGTTCTTGCTAAAATCATTTTAGATGCTTAATAAAAGTCCAAATGCAGTCAGGATGTGCTGCATGACTTCGAGGCTAGCCAGCACCGGTGGGCGATTCTTTAAGAGAAACAGAGAAAATCAATACCTGCCCGTTTCAGTACCGAGGGAGGATCTCGTGGCGCAAAAGGCCGAAGAAATGGTGGCACGTCGCGGATTGCCCAAAACTCAGGGACGTTACCAAACTTGGAAGAAACCGTTGGTTTTCGATTTACCTTGCCCTTTGCTCAAAAAATGAAGGGATATTTTGTTTTATAGAATTTACGTCTCCCCGCACCAACATCCTTTGGAGCAATCGCCAGACTTTTCGTTTAAAGGTATGCCAGTATTGTTATAGCTGAATCACGGCTGGCTTGAGCCATAGGAAAAAGGGTCCTGACACGACAATAAAAGAGACAGTGTCTGGCTCGTGGAGAGCGCAGACAGACCACGCCCCTTAGCGTCCCAAGCTAGCCGTGAATCGGCTATATGGCAATTCACAAAAACTTTCTCGCTTAGATGGTCGCCCAATTCACTTCACTTCTCAAGCCCAACTCGACCATAAAGTCGATCAACTACGTCTTGCGGTGCTTCCGGAACTTTTGCCAGAATAAAACTTTGAGCTTTCAGAGAAGAATAGTGTCTTTACTGAACGAAACGAAAGACGTCGAATCGGCTCACAGAACGGCGAATTCGCTTCGAGAGAAAGCCAAAGCTGATGTAGATTCTTCGAGACCGAGTGCAAAGGGCCAGAAATCTATTCGATAACAGGAAAATTGATTTTGTCAAAGTTTTAGAAGATACATGTTACAATTTGTTTTAAACGTTTTTAGAAGTTTTGAAATCATCCATTTTTGTACAGCGCGGTTGTCATTGATAAATTGTTCTTTTTCTCAAATGTTATATTTTGTTTTCATAAGATTCTTGTTCTTATATATTTTTTCTCAAAAAACTAATTTTTCAAAAAATGGAGTTTCAGAAGAGAAAAATGGGACGCTTCAAGTCACAAAAACGAGTAAGTTTTTCTCCAAGTGTTACTTTTTTAGAATTGAAGTTTATTATTTCATTTTTTTTTTCCAGAATAAGAAAGAAACGGGGGTCGCGATATCAAAAGCGAAATTGAAGAAGATCAGGAAGGCGTCGAAAAAAGGCGAGCCGTCGATTGAGGAAGATGTCGTGATGGAAGGCGAACAGCCGCTCGTCCTTCGGGCCCGCGGTCTTTCGGTGGCCTCCACTGTTCGTTTCATTTTATCACCTTCAAGCTCAAAATTCATCGATCGTCAAGTTAGAGGCACAGAAGTAGCTGACGGATTAAGATTAAATATTGAAAAATAGGAATCTCTCGGGAAAATTCCAGAGTCATCTCTCAAATTTGTGGACTATGTCTTTTTCTATCTAGAATCGTCCCTCACATGTCAGTGTTAAGGGACGATTCTAAAATGCTTAGGCAGTCTTCAAAAATCCCCCCCTTTGGAATAAGCATTGCCTTATCTAGATCAGCCCCCTTATTCCAGAATTCTCATTTTGTTTTTTAAGCTAAAATTAGCCTCCGGAGAAGAAAAGAATGTGCCTCGTGTCAACCCGAAGAAAACCTTGCGAAGAGACGAACTTCCTGTTTTTGAAAAGTAGGGATTTTTTTATTCCGCAGATCCATCGTGTTACTTTTTCAGTGGAGTCTATGTTGATAAACCGTCTGGAAAAGTGGTCAGCACGCGCAACATGTCGGTGAAAAAAGCTCGGAAAGTTGTCAAGGTACCGAAACTCCTACTTCTTCGACATTTTCAAGTAACTTCCAGAAAATGAAGCACCACGCTCGAGATGTTTTTGCAAACTTGAAGGAGGAATTAGCTGCCGAAAAACCAGACGCCATGGAAAGTTGAGAAACTTGAGGTTATCTTTGTCATTTTGTTGAATTTTAGTCCCCTTGTTGTTTTCTCTTGTTACTTGTTTTTGAATCACTGAAAAATACAAAAATGTAAAGATTTATTGATCAACTAATTGTTGGAAAATATGTGCGGCTCCGCATTAAAAAGTCGATAAGTGTTGTTCAGCACCAGTAAACGCGAGATTGCACGCAAAAGCGAAAGTCGAAGCTCTTCGGGTGTTTCAACATTACGCGATTATTTGAGAACACGTTAGTTAGTTGGCAATATAATATAAAATCTAGACAACTCTGAAAAAAAAGAAAGAATTGTGGATCAATTGCGGTGAGCACGAGTGTGGACGCGCCTCCGTCGGCGGTTGAGCTGCCGTCGTCGGTCGTCCCAGCTTTTGAGCCACTCCTGAAGCGCCTCTTCGTTGAGCCGCCGCCATTGGATGTTGAGTTCAACCTGCTCGAACACCTGGTCGAGCTTAGTCTCCTTTCCGCTGCCAAGCTGAAATCTTTCTCCCTTCCCATTCATACTTCCTTCCTTACTTTCTCTTTTAGAAAATCTTTGAGTTCTTGCAAGTCCTCTCTTGTACTCAGAGGCTCTCCCAAGTATCTTATACAGCTCGTCATTAGAGTTGATCGGTCTCCGAGGCTGAAATATTTTATTCTTTGTTGAAAAAAAAAGCCTGTTTGGTTTCTGAACTTTCATCCCACTACGAATTTTTTGACTTTTGAATTTATCGGGCAAAGTCGGAATAGTGGATAATGGCCACTAAAAGGGGTAGACTTAAAAAAGGCTGCCCTTTCAAGTCGCGAAAAACGAAGTATATTGAGCCATCTATTTTTTCTAAGATTTTAAAGGCTCAAGAAAAGGTGGAAAAAGAGAGACTGCAAAAATGGTGCATAATAGCCAATAAATTGACACAAAAAGGCAGCAAAAAAGGAGCCTTAATCACCCTAAAAGGGAAATTTCTACGGAGCCTTTTTCGGCCCTTTCCGACTCTGCGATGTTCAATATTCGTTTTGAAATCCTAACATTTTCTTGAATTTGTCGTAGTTCATTTTAAAGAAGCGCCAGGCAAGTGATCTGCCGGCTTCGTTGTGTGAAATGGCAGAGAAGACTCGAGGGATGATGTTTGGTTTAATTTTTCCATCAAGACAGAAGCGCAGAAGTCTAAAAAATGATTAGGAAGGTCAGAATGAACAATAATCCCACTTGTTAAGGAGAGCAGGGTCTTGCGTGGCAGCCAAGGCCCCAAGGAGTTGGTTGCGTTCCGTCGGACTAGCTCCCGCTTCATAGGCGGTCCAAGCTTTGTCCCAAGCAGATGGGCCTCCTTGACGAACGCCCTCTTCCAGCACTATGCCGTGCACTTCTGCTGGCGGCCTGAAATCAAATTTTCAGAGAATCGATCCTCTGAAGCACCTCTGGCCGTCGTTCATCCACTTGTTATAACGAGTGAGCGCCTGTTTGATGCAATCTCTGGACCGCAGCCTGCATGCCATTTGCAGAACTTCCATCTTCAAATTGTGCCAGTGTGACTTTGAAACTTCATGTAGACGTTAGTGGTCATCAAATTATCATCTTACGAACACACCTGGAGGCCCTTGTCCGCCGGATTCTTCTTCGTGTCCTTCCATCCTGATCTTTCATAGATTCCCAGAACCAACGTCCGCTCAAAATCCTGAGAACGATTCATATTTCTTTGTCAACAGCACTAGTTTATCACCTTGAACAGATTAACAAACTCTGTTTCTTCAATCAAGCTCTCGATGGTTCGAAGTTGTTTGTTGATAAGCATCCACGCCATTCTGTCTTCTTCTTCTGAAAAGTCTTTTTGAATGAAATCGAATCAAGCAATCTCGGACATTGGTAACGCGCAACGGACGTTTCTGGGCGATTCTAGGAATCACTTAAGAGTGCTGAGGCTACTGAAGTGGTCACTAGAAATGCCCCGAAACGTCCGATTCGCGTTACCAAGGTCTGAGATAATGAGAATAAAACAACTCACTCTGCGCATACTCAACCAGGTCCAAATAGACTTGAATATTTAGTTGTTCTGTCCTCGCAAGGTCAAAGGCATCGACCAGAATCATGGATCTGTCGATCGAGGAGATGGCCTTGAGTTTAAAAAAATGCTTCCGATAAGTTTTTATGGATCACTTACGCTATGATTATCTTGCAACTGGCGTGTAAGCGCTTCGTAGATTTCGTCCTCGTAGCGCACTTTGAAGTAACCGACGCCGCCAGTGTTCGCGATGAGCCAACTGGACGGAGCTGGGAGCTCCCATGTCACTAAATTGGCGATGGATTGGATAATTTCCGAGCTCTCACCGTCTTTGTCGTTGTGTCTCAGCCAGTGCAATTTGATCTCATCGTCGGAACTTGTCCTGAAAAAATCTTTATCTCTTATAGTCGATCCATCCCGACTTGAAAGGCGATGGAGGCAGAGAAGTGCGCGGGACGCGTAGCGTGTGCGTACGCGGTTCTTGGCACGAGTTCAATTCAAGCGCCACCGACTGTTTAAAAAGCTCGGTCACGCTCTTTTTGTATCTAGTCTACTATTTTAATGCTTATATGGAAAAGATCAGTTTGAATTTTTGAAATCGTGGCAAGAACCGCGTACGCGCACGCTACGCGTCCCGCCTCCTTCTCTGCCTCCCTCCCCTTTCTCGTCTGGAAAAATTTACTTTCTCAGAAGCTCTGAAAAAAAAACCTGTAATGGATGGGAATAGGCCACGACTCATCATTTTTGTCTGTAGACTCCGTGAACAACAACCGTGTCTGAGAAAACTTTGATCGATTGTGCCAATTCTTCCTACTAACCTGGTTGTGAACGACGGCTTTATCATTACCGTCAAGACCGACATGAATCACCGGGTAACCCATCTAAAATTTTTCAGTCGATTCTTCAACGTTTGTTTCAAAAACCTGGGAAATGTAGGCTTTGGAAAGCGTCTGGATCGAGACTCCACTGTGAGCAAGTTTGGCGTGCTAGGCAAAAGACTTTTTTTCCGCAATTTAGATCGATTCTAACTTTTTCTACTATGTTCCAGAGCTGAGACCCACGGGCGTTGCCGTACTTGTACTTGTTGAGATATTCGATGAGGGCTCTCTGGAAGTTCCTCTGGCCGGCCAGCTCGGCGATCATGTGGATGATGGCGGCCGCCTTAAAACCTCCTTGAGCCCGAAGTTGGCGAATCTACAAGCCTTGTGGTAGCTGATGGCGTCGAACAGGTTCAGAAGGTTGCTCTCGTCGCTCGATTCGATAGCCCGCGAGCTCGAAAGTCCGTCCGTCTCCTGGCTGAACACCACGTTCTCAGCGTAGAACCGCGTCATCTGCAATTCTTTCTTCTTCTTTTATTGAGAACACCTGATTTGGTTAATAAAACTTGAACAAAAAGTCAGAGATCTGTCGATTTTAGTTATAGTTATTTATCATGAACTTTCAAAGAAATTATTTTTTAAGGCAAAATTTTTTTTGCGACTAACCCGGGAATGGTCTCAGCTCACAGTGGTAGTTTTCAATGAGACCTTGTTTTCTTAAGATATCCCTATAGGGGTCATGTGAGGGTCCACTCTAGGGACCAATTTACATCCCTATTGGGACCACTAAAGCTTGCAAAAGTGGTCCTTGAATTTACCCCTATAGGGACCACTTTTTCGCCCCCATAGGTGCTGTTTTCTCCCTAACCCAGGGAGCGCTCTGGAATACCTAAATAGATTTTCACGTTTATACCTAGTCTGTTCTCAAAAGTTGCCATATCTTAGTAATTGAAGTGATCCCTATAGGGGTTAGGAAAAATAACGGCCCCTCAAGCTTAAGTAGTCCCTATAGGGGCCTCTTAACTTCATTAAAAAATGCTTATTTTTTTCACTTTTTGCCTTCTTCGCATAGATAGAATTATAAATTAGCATGTCTTCTACAGAGGACATTAACGAGAACCCCTAAGGACCACTTTTGCACGCCTTAGTCGTCCCTCACAGTGTTCCAAAAGAGACGGCGGCAAGCGAAAAAAAAGGTCGTCGCAATGGGGCGAAAACGCGAGTTTTTTCTAACGCAACGCGGTGCGGCGCGTGTCACCCCCACAAAATTTCATTCACTTTTAATACGGTTTTTTCTCTTTTTCTTGCGTATTTTACCATTCTTTCGTATTTTTTCACGCTGTATGTGTTCTTAAAAACGTGTTTACCGCGTTTTCCAGAGATTTGAAGTGATTTTCGATTGTTCTCGTCACAGAAATTTGCATTAAAAGGACATTTTTTTGATGACAACTTATTTCGCATAAGATATTTCGTTTGTTTTTTTGTTTTAGAATTTTTTTAAAATGGACTTTCTTAAGAGAAACGCTGTGAGATTTTTTTCTCAAAAATTTTTTTCGAGGCAGTATTCGACGAATTTATTCTTGAAAAATGTCATTTTGGGTGACAACTCTATTCGTACAAGCTATTATGTATCTGTTTTTTTGTTTTAAAAACGTTCAAGTGGTATTTCTTAAGAGAAGTGCTGTGAGCTTTTTTTCTCAATTTTCCCTTTGGAAGTTCGATTTGACGAGTTTTTCCTAAAAAAACGATGTTTTGGGAGATATTTTTGTTTTGCAAAAAAACTTTTTCGTCTCTTTTTTTCATTTAAATTTGTTCGTTATAATTATATACACATTAAAAAAATCTTCGAAAAACTCGCGAGAACCTAGGAAAAACATCATTTAATGGTCTTTTTCCAACCACTAAATCCACAAAACTTGAATCTCATTCCCGCGCCCCTATTGCAATAAACCGTGCCGCTGTTGCAGTCAGCCACGCCTACTGACCACAGCTGCCGCTCGTTTGGGAACACTGTGCCCTATAGGGTTCGGTAAAGTGGTCCCTAGAGGGGCGTTCCAAGGGACCACTCTAGAATTCTTAAGTACAGGTCTGAGAAAAATTCAGAAGTCCCACTGTGAGCTGAGACCATTCCCTGGTGAGAATAGTTTTAGAAATTTGTGAGAAAATATCAAAACCAAGGGTTAAGGTTTGTCGCGGTTCTAATAAGAAAAAAAATGAATAAATCCTCTGGTTCTATTATATTTCAGTTATTTTAAGACTCCTAGCTGAACTTTCGATACAATCGCTTTGCACGGAAGCAGAAAAAACTCTTGAAGCCAAATCGTCAACAAATACTTCTCAGGGGTGTTAGCCCATTTCGCGGACAAAATTCGCTCATTGTTTAAACGTGAAACGGTTGAAGAACAAATGGAGCGGTGTTTGCCACGCGGATGAGAGCTCACAATGTTCCACTGAGGGTAGAGCTCGTCGACGCATCGGTACTCCATGTAGTTGGCGAAGCCTTCGTTGAGCCACACATCGTTCCACCAATCCATCGTCACCAAGTTTCCGAACCACTTCAAGGGTTTTCATGAAGTCTTGACAGGAAAGAAGCTGGTGTACCTGGTGAGCGATCTCGTGGCAGATGATCAGGGCGATGTGCTCCTTGGCGAGCACGCTGGACTTGAGCTCGTCGTGGAGCAACGCCGAATCGCGGAACGTCACCAGGCCCCAGTTTTCCATCGCTCCTTCGCTGAAATCGTCGAGTGCGAGCAGGTCTGAAATAGCTCTATTACTTGGCTCAATTGTTCGCTTCAATACCAATTTTCTCCAGCGGGTAAGATATGTTGAAGTATTTCTCGAAGAATTCCAGTGCTCTGATGGCCGTGTCCAAACCGAAACTTGATTGGCCTTTTATGACATCTTTTGGAGCGTACAGACGTACCTGCAGAAAGCTGTCAACTCAAAAAAATTTATAAATATATCGAAATAAGCTCTTTTTTTCTTGAACTGTAGATGTAGATGGACTCCAAGAGTTTCAATTTTTAAAAATCCTGTTTTTCGGGAACATATAATTACGAGTCTTATTTTGAAAGGCGTCTAGATACGCGACCATTGGGATTTACAAATAGCGATTTTCATTACTCTTAAAAGGAAGGCCATTTTACTTTTCGGTTGGGAATTCCTTGAAAAATAAGCCAGAACAATCCTGAAAGTCTCAACCTACACAACTTCCTAGTTGAAATAAGGGCCTAAAGCCCCAAAAAAAGGCCCATTTTAAAGGATTTTGAGGGTTTTTTTTTACTTCTAGGCGTCTTTTTCTCAAAAAAACGAGGAAGTTGTGCAGGTTGGAAAAAAATCGTCTTTTGGTACGAAGCGATTTTTGAACAAAAATCATTGAAATAAAGCTTAAAAATAATTTGAAACTTGTTATATTTTTACATGTATATCTACCTTGTATCAAGAAATTTCTAATTATTTTTTTAAAAAAACTTCTAGGAATGTTCTCCTTTGAGAAATAGTTCACCTCGACTGTCTCGGCAGTGTTGCGCGTCGTTCTCTTCACGTAGTCGAATCCATCCAACACAGCGACGGCCAGTAAATACGTTGACATCTTGACGGAACGCTTGAAGACGTCGACGATCAGGCTGAAGTCTCATTTCCACGGTGATTGATGAGGAATTAGCTACCCTTCTTCATATTCACGAGAAACTTTGATGTTCATATTGCTCCGTACAACGTGACCGGGGTCTCTAAATGTCACTTCAAACCAAAGGAACACGCGGAGAGATCAACCTCACGACAGCCACCTCGAATTCCGCCTTGAAGTTGGGCTCATCGAAACAGGGGAACATTTTGCGCGCAAACGTCGGCTCGAATTGAGTCACAGCTGACCTACTGGAAAGTAAAGATTTTTGGGTTTTCTATATACTTAGGAACGCCAGAGTGGTCCTTATAGGGGTTTGGGGGGAACAACTCTTATAGGTGTCGAAAAAAAGCGGTCCCTATATAGGGGTTTGAGGTCTGACCCCTTAGCTCTTAAAGCTCAAAGTGAGCCCTATAGGGGTATTCCAATTTCATTCAAAAGACGCTTATGTAGTCTCCTCTAGGGGCCACTAACTAAAACCCCTATAGGGGCCAGTTTTGTAGTCTTTAGTGGCCACTAGAGGGGTTGGTAAAGTAGACATTCCAAGGGCCCCTAAAGTTGCCCCTATAGGGACCACTCTGGAGTTCCTGAGTAGGCAAAGTCGGAAAGGGTAGGAAAAGGCTTCATATGCGTCTTCTAGGGTGACAGAAGTTCCCTTTTTTTCTGCCTTTTTGCGGCATTTTATCGGCTCTTTATGCACCATTTTTGCTGCCCCTCCCTTTTCCATTACTTCTTGAGGTAGAAAACATGGAAGGCTTGGCAAAAAGGATTCGTTTTGCAGTCTTTTTAAAGCCTCCCCCCTTTAAAAGGATGAACTCAAAAACTAACGTCTGCTTCAGATTTTTGTCGGAGTGTGTGTTGATGTAAAGACCTTGCAAGTCGGATGAAACCTGGAAGCGTTTTCAAATTCTCAAGGTTTTCAAGAATGCACTCACCAGCCCCTCGTATTCAATGGTAAGCTCGATTCGGTCGCCCTCCTCCACGGCTTTTCTGGCCTTCCACGCCCACTGTTCGAGCTCCTTGCACTCGACCTGAAGCACCTCATATTCTTCCAATTATGAAAAACTCAACAAAGTCCGCGTCGACTCGTTCTCCGTTCTGTTTGAGGGCTGAGGATATGTGTTTCAAGTCGACGGCGTGGAGAACGATGAATTTCGTTGAATTCAGAGCCTTAATAGATTTCTTTAGTGTTGACCCTTTTCTGTACGAACAGTGAGGTAAATCTCAAGTTTTCCATGGAGATGAGCCGAAGTCAAGTTTGGATGGATTGTCAGGTTGTAGACATCTGGAGAGATCGAACGCGGCAGCCGGTCGTTGTCCCACGGGAAGCCCGCGCACTGAAATTCGTATATACGGTATATAGCCTATGTACCACGACTTGGAATTTCACCGAACGACATTCCGCTGTGCCGCTGCTTTGCGAACCTTGGTCGCGCTTTATATATATTTTTTTCTTATTAAGGTACTCTACTTTCATGTGCTCCCACAGCAATAACAATCAATCGAAAGCGTGACCTAGATTCGAAAGACGCTTCGCGAACGCACGCAGCCGAACAGCGGAACGTCGTTCGGTGAAATGTCAAGTCGTGGCACACAGACTATACAACTTCATTCTAGAAGGATATAGTCTGTTTTTCGCTACTTGAAAGATTTCTCTGCGCCCTCCTCGACGTCTCTCATCTTTACGTGCTATTTCAATGTTTTTCCGACCTCGCCGGTGAGAGAACAGAGAGACGCAGACAGGCGAAAACTGTCTCGGTGGACAGATTATACGTACCTTTTTCGATTTTCCAGGTCCCTTCGACTCGTTTTCTTGGTCGTCTGTATCTTCTTCTTCTTTTTCTTCCTCTTCAACTTTCTCTTCTTCTTCTTCCGCAGTTGTAGTTTCAGGTGTTATATCTGGTTCATCGCCTTTGATTTCTTTTGATCAATGCTTTTTTATTTTTGTATTTCCTGGTGGTCGTCGGTTCTTCCTCTTCTTCTTCTTCTAATTCTTTATCCTCTACGTCGTCTTTTTGATCGTTCTCTTCAGGATCCGCTTCAGCATCTTCTTTCTCCTCGGCAGACTTCAACTCCTTTTTTATTGACTTTGTCGGTTTTTCATCGTCGTTTTCATCATCGTCGTCATCTTCTTCGTTTTTATCTTTCATCAACGTCGTCTTCTTCTTTGTTTTTGTCTTCATCGCTTTCCTCTTTATCATCAGAATCAGTCTCTTCTTTTTCTTCGTCCATTCCTTCGTCGTCCTTCTGAAGATGTAAATCAGATTTATACCGGAAGAAAAACTTACTTCTTCTGATGTCACCGTCAAAACTTTCTCTTCCTCTTCGGTGTTGACTATACCTGCATGCTCCAGTCTTGTCGACTTGTTTGATGATGCCGAGAAGGATATGAATGCCTGAAATAGTGATCAATGAAGTGGCCAAGGTCTTGCAAAATAAACCAAGCCTCACTTTTCCCACCCTGATACCGATTCAACAACTAGACTCACGAGAGGAGATCCGCCGTCGGGAAAGACAAGTTGATGAAGGAAAGCGCCGACGGAGAGACCGATGAGGAACATAAGGAGCACGGCGGTGACCGCGACGCAGATGCACGGAAGTCGTGACTTGCGCGCTCGACGACGTCCTCCTTGCGCCGACGACGTCGGCGCCCAGGTGGCTGAAGTTGTTGGAATCGATTTATTTCGATGAAAACTCTAACCCCACACTTCACCGACAGGAAAGTCTTATTATTTTTTGGTTTCGAAAATTTCAAAATGAACTCAGGCTGTTCGATGGGAGTACCTCAGATCGCCTCAGCCTCCCAAGGAAAGTCATTTAACTTTTCGGTTGGAAATTTTCTGAAAATCTGCCAGAATACTTCTTGATGTACCAGATGAAGATTCTGAGAGTCTCAACCTTCACAACTTCCTAGTTTTTGAAAACGGACACCTCAAACTCGAAAAAAACCATAAAATATAGTCGATGTGCCACGACTTGAAATTTCATGGAACGACACTCCGTTGGGTGGCCTTGTGGCCGTAAAAGCGCCTTGCCTTTGCGAATTTCGGTCGCGCTTTCCATTTTTTTCTTTTATTTGAAGTTTTCATTATTTTAATTATGTTTCAATATTTTTCTTCGTGTCAAACAGATAATTATCTTTTCTAGTGGATTTTCGATAGAAACATGGAAGTCTAGTTCTTCTCAGGACCATTCGCAGTCCAACAGTTTGTCAGGAACTCACTGAGATCGCCGTGCGTCGTGCCTTCCTCATAGAGGATCTTGCTGCTGGGCGGCGACGGCATTTCCTTCTGAGAAGCTCTCGTCGCTGCTCTTTTCACTTGTTCTCAACCCGAACGAGTTTCTCCCTATCTACACTTCGTCGTTCGGATCTGCAAACTGCATGGCCATCAATTTCACTGCCAAAGTGCGGAAAACGGGTGCAAAAGGGCCTTTAACAGGGTTCCGTTTTGCGGCCTTTATTGAGCCTTTCATTCTTGGTGGGCTAAAAAGTCTCAAAAAGGGTGGAAAAAAGAGTGCAAAAAGAAAGAAAGTCTCGACGATTGATGATTTCCGATTTTATTGCTGTAGCACATTTTGATTCATACACAATCACTGGTAAAGATTATTCTCAATTCAAAAAATGTTCTCAAAAGGGTCCAAAAAAGGTGGATAAAGACCGTAGAAAGGACGGAAAAAGGCAGTAAAAAGGAAACCCTTGCCACCCGTTTAGAAACAATTAATGGAAACCTTTTTGGACCCGTTACGCACCCTCAAAGGGCCCGTAAAGGGTCCATCGGACTATGTTGCTTATATTGAATAATGGACAAGATGTTGGATGATGACAAAATATATTTTTAAATACGAAATTTAATTATCTCAAAGTTTGATCAGGTTGATCAGTTTTGAGCGAACATTTTCACTGTTTGTATGCACAAGAGCTTTCAAGATTTGCACAAGATCGATTTTGAACCAGACTCGAAGAAACTTAATCCAGGAGGGAATCAATTTTTGAAGTTGTCTACTTGAAACCGAATATTATAGTTAAATTCGATTCAAGAAGTACTAGAAAATTCCAATTTTTTAAAGTTCAGTAAAGATTGGGAGCATAGCGGGAGACTAAAACCATGAAACTTCAAACTTTTTACAAGCGATATAAAAGGGAAATGGCCCTTTAATTCCGCCTACCCACCTGGAATCGATATGGTTTCTGACTTGTTGCACGATAAAAAGGTCATATTTGAAAAAACGAGAAGAGCTTGAGCTTGAAGCTCTCAAATTTGCCTCAAAAGTAAACCGATGAAGAAAAAACATAACTGGAAATACCAAGGCAGAGGAACACGACGAAAAACAGATGAAAAACATGTGTTATTCAGGAAAAATCTTGTGTGCTTCTACAGGGAATTAGCGGGAGGAGGAGGCAAAAAACAGATGCCGATTGAACGGTGATATGATGCCAGGCCGACAGAGCAAACAATTCGTGTCGCTTCCGAATTCCCCTAACGTTGACAAGTTGGCCGGAAACGAGCCAACAAAGTATTTTTTATGGCAAAAATTAACTTGTCGATCGGCAAACTATACGCTATTCTTCAGTCTTACTTGTATGCACTTCATTGGAATTATGAAAAAAAAATAATTTGAAGACGGATTTTTTCGATGAGAGAAAAGAGGGCTTAGAAAAGTCAGACTGTTTCAAATCATCGAGTTTTGACTTAGGAAAAATTCGTGAAGAAATTTGAAGCCAAGGAAATCTACCTTTCACATCAAATGATACACTAAAAAGACAAAAACTGAGTATTTTTAAAAAAAAAAAAGTGAAATTCAAAGGTGGAGTAAGCTTATATAAGGTCTCAAAGGCCAGTAAAAATTTCGTTCATTTTCTAGGACAGTAAAAAAAAACTGCACGAAAAAAAAGTGAGTCTAAGTACGATGAGTGAATCCTTGACAGTCGGAACGGGACCAAAAAAGTCGGGCCTTCTAGGAAAAGGTGGGCTCGCCGCTGTGTGCCGCGGTATGTGTATCTGTGTGCCATTTTTCCTGGTCTCTTCGTCGCCGACAACGCATTTGTTGCCGTTCTTCTTTCCGAAGTCACGCCCCCAGCAGAAAGAAAAAGCGGAGCGAAGACAGTAAGTAAGTTGACTTCGAAATATGCTTGGCCTTGTTTGCCTTGTGCCCAACTAATCTTCCGACGGAAGCTGCCGTTGTGTCAAACGGGCGACGCAACCTAAGCCCTCGGGTTTTCCTGTACGTCTTGTGTTTGGCGCATTGTTTCGAGAACAATTAGCGCCACGCAAACTCTTCCCTAATGAATTCGAACCAACGAACTGTTGCGTTCCTCGACGCTCTCGCTGAACTTTAGCGACTTCTTGTGGCTTCACAGCCAGAGAAGTTCGGAGAAATCGGATCAGTTGCCCCAGTGATAAATCATTTTTCTGGTCAATTTTTGTTTCATCATCGAAAAACTTGATAGGGTCAGAAAATCTGGAAAGGAGAATCCCTTCATGTGAGATTCTAGTTGATCAGAAGAAAATATAAGTACAGAAAATATTTTTTTTTTCGTCGAATTGATTTCTAGGGCTGCATAAAACGGAAAAACTGAATACAATCAAGCTTCCTGGGCAGGTAGACTATTTTCATCGAAACTTCCATACCCTAGAACTAATTTACAGTGTTATATCAGGTTATGTAAGAATTTTTTTAGGTTTAAAAAAAGCCCGAAAAGAATTTTTTTATATCTATCCTCTAATTGTTTGCTTTGTTCTGACCATAAAGAAATAAAAAAATAAATAAATTTCAAGTATCTATAGCATTATATCAGTGAAAAAGCTTTTGCACATAAAAAAAGTGTAAAAAAAGTTACCACAGATAAAAATTTATTCAGCTATATTTAATCTCCATTGATCTTAAAATCAAAAGAAAAAGAGCTTCAAAAAATTATATGTAAAAAAAATGAATTTTATTGTCACCCCGGTGATTGAAACGATTTTGAGCCATTATTTGGTCACTAAAATCGCATTATTTTTAGTTTCTCTTGGAATGAGATAAATTTCAATCTCCTTAGCAAGCCTTTGATCAGGACAGCGATCATGGACATTACAGGATCGAAAAAATTCATGCGAATCTTGAAGTTTTGAAGTTCGCGCTCTTTTTTCGGCAGAGCGCATTTCATCCCGATCGTTTTTAGACCTCGCAAAAATTTTTCTCAAAGGCTTTTTTTGGTTTTTTTTTTCTTATTCAAACCATTTATCTTCATGAGCTTTTTCAGTTTTTTGTTTCAGCTCTGAGAGAAAGTCACTCACAGCCCCTCGGAGTGATGGATCAATGGGCGCAATACCATCAGGCCCAGCCTGCAGAATCAGGTACTTTCTAAAGGAAAAATAAAGATATTTTTTTTGAAAAAAACCTATTGCAGTTATAAAAAGTTTTTTTAATTTTATATTATCAATGATAGTAAAAAAGACTGAAAACAGTTATATCAACTACATGTGCTTTTCTATTTGTTTCTTGAGTATCGTGTTACATTTGTTGAAGCCATGATTCCTAAGAAACATTTTGCGCAAGCACTTGAGTATGTTCATTGAAAAATGAAAAATAAACAGCATTAAGTGGATTGGGCACATCTTGCACAACAATGGATGGCTATGAAAGACCAAGAAGATTCAGCATATCACGCACATGAACATCGTAAGTTTTCTGACCTTTCTCCATAGTTCAGGGATCTATTCATTGAAGGTGTTTCTTTTTTCAATAACGACAATTCGTCATGGCGCAATAACAAAGCCCCAGAAACCGATTGGTCATGGAGCGATGATCGGAATGGTAAGACTTTGATGAATGTAGTTTTGATTTTTACCTTTTTCGCAGGAGTTCCGTGGAGAGGAGAGCAGCGAGGACCCATGCACAGTTCCATGAATTATCCTCCTGCGAATGGTTAGTTTTTAAAGATTGTCCTGACAATTTTTTGAACTCAGGCGGACCGCCTCAAAGTGAAGAAACATGGCGACAACGAGGTCCTGCTAAACCGATGTTTCCTTCCGCGAACAATGAGGTACATTGAAAAGCCCATATAAAGAGAAGAAACTTTTTTTTTTTGAAGACGTCCTCGTGGAAGCCGGCGAATAAAGCATCTTTTGCCCCTCCGCCACCGCCTAATTATCCGGTTGGCCAAAAAGAGGACTTTTTTAAATAGATGATTGAGATTAAGATGCCTCCTGCAGGTCCTCCCAGACGTCAGGCTCCTCTTTTTCCTGGCGCAACGGAGGAACCGGAAAAGTCTGTACCACTACCGCCTTCGCAGTACTTTCCTCCGCCGCCACCACGTTAGTCGCATGTTTTTCGCTTCTGCGTCAATGATTGAAAAAAGTAAAACGTATATTTGAAGATTCAGTAAGTTGGAGATGAAAATGGCGATTTAATAAATTTTTACTTCTAGTTTTGACTCAAAGAGTATTTTTTTCAAGGCTGGATGGGGGGGTTTGAATCCTTTGAACGATCCATATGAGTTCCTCACAAAAGAGGTCATTTTACTTTACGGTTAAGATTTACCTGAAAATTGGCCAGAAAACTCCTTGATATACTAGAAGAGGATTCTGGAAGTCTAAACGTTTTTGGAAAAAGACGCCTAAAATTCAAAGAAAACCCTCAAAACTCATAAAAATAGGCTATTTCGAGACCTTAGGCCCTTATTTTTCGAAAATTAAGAAGCTATCCAGGTTGAAAATTTTAATATCTTTATCTAGTACATCAAGAAGTGTTCTGGCCAAATTTCAGGAAATTCGAAGTAAATTGACCTCCGTGTCCGTTACTGTTCTGAAACTATCTTTCAGGGAGTTTATCTGAATTTTTCAGCTGGCTGGCCACCTTTTCCAGGCGGCCCTCCGTTTGGTGTCGGTCCTCCACCCGCCGACTTCTTCCCACCGCCGCCGGGTTTCTTTCCTGGAGCACCAGGTGATGAAGCTTTAGGTCCAGTGCCTCCGCCAGGCTCTCAGCAGAAGCCGATCTTCCCCGGAAATCTCCCCTATCAGATGGGTTTGATCGAAAATCGTGATGTGCGTGGCAAAGTTTCCTTTTAGATGCGGCTGCACGAAAACGCCTGCCAGCATGGATATTGGAAGGGTTGGAGAAGGCTGAACGTGAAAAACAGAAGCAGATTGAGAAGGTTTTTATCATTGACTTCTTTTCATTCCCGCCCTTGTGTTCCAGGAAGAGAAGCTCAAACAAGCTGAAGAGGAGCGAGCAAAACGACGCCTGGAGTCTGGGAAGGGAAAATTCGTTAGAAAATCTTTTCACTCTGCAAATTCTGAAATCGAGGTTACAGGATAGCTCGAGTGATGAAGAAGAGGAAGAGGACACGGAAAGAGCCTCCACCTGGAAGGTGATACTACAAAAAGGAACCCCTTGAAAATTGCTGACCTTCAGGCGGCTGATGGAGAACCACCTTTTTCTCAGAAGATTGAAGCTGTTGAAAATAATTTCATGGATGAATATTCGCTGGAAGAACGCCAACAACTCTTTGTAAATCGATTGAAATTTCCCGTTTCTTTTTAATCAGAGCACTAATTTTTGCAGATGAGCACGGTGCGGAAACTGATGACGAATATGTTGATTGTTACGACAAATGAGATTATTGAAAATGTTATAATTGATGTTTTGAAAGAACGCGAGAGGTTGAAGGCTCAAAAAGGTTTTTCTTATGAGTAAGTCAGCTGAAATCTCAATCTTTCCAGCAACACCTCAGTTATTGGCCAACAGTTCGGCTCTTGCGGCGATTGCTTCATTTGGTTCGTTTCGAAGACTCGGCTTAGTTCATCATTCCAAAAAACGAAAAAGAGAATAAATGCGCAGTGGGGAAGTTGTAGGAGACGACAGCGACGCAAGTGAAGACGACGAAGACGCGAAGGAAAAGGAAGAAGACTCGGATGACGTCAAGAATCGCAAGAATTCTCCGACGCCGGGCCGAGAGATGGCCGACGTCTTCAAGGCTCCCGTGGGTATACCTCGAAAGTTTAGTTCTAAGCCTGATGTCTCGAGCGACAGCTCTCTTCCCACATCAGGTATGTTTCTTCAGGACTTTTCCCTTTGTAGTTGCACTCTGTTATGTCGCTGCCTCTTTGTGTCTTGATTGTTCATTTCCGTAGACACTCAAAATCATCTCGTTATGAAATCAAACGGAAGATTGCATTCATAAATTGTTCAATTTCAGATAGTCCACCCGTCCCGGTTCAATCTAATTCAAAAAGAAGCAGAGGTAAGCGTTTCCGAGCTTTTTTTTTAAACGATGGATTGAGGAGTGGAGTCAATTGGTTACAGTTCAGACTAAGAAAAGTTTAGGGGGGCCCCGATATATATTTTTTTTAAATTGTTTGAAAGAGTAAGAAACGATAATGGGGAAGCGAATTCCAGTGAAAATTTGATCGTACTCCCTACAGGGGCCCCTTTAATTCAACCCCTATAGGGGGCCCTAAATCAGATTTTCGGGGCCCCGATAGGAGTTTTACAAGGAACCGCACTATTTTTTTAATGTAAAACTCAAAAATATGAATAAAGAATAAAATAATAAATGGAAAGAGCAAAAAAAAAAGCTCTCCAAAGAGTCGCTGGCGGTTGAATTGAACCCGTGTAAGAACCGCGAACGCACACGCTACGCGTCCCGCCTTCGTGCCTTTCAAGTCAGGGAAAATTGACTGTATTCCATAGCGCATTATATTCCGTTTCTAGAATGTCTGAAGGCGTAAGACCTTTTTTGAAGAAGAAACAAGAAACAAAAATTTCGTCCATAAACGAATAAATTTCAGAGGAAGAAGAGGATTCCGTAAAAAAGGCGAAGAAGGAATCTAGGAAGCATCGCAGCCGCTCACCGTATATAATTATTTTGACAAAAAAAAATAAGCCACTGAGTTACAGTTCGAAGTCGTCGAAACGGAGATCGCGCTCGAGGAGCAGAGAGAGGCGAGAACGAAAACGAAGCCGCAGTCGCGAACGTGACAGGGAAAAGGAGCGACAACGCGATCGCGACAAGGAGCACAGAAGAAAAGATCGCAAAAGGTCGCGCTCGCGTTCGCGGGATCGCCGCTCTCGTCGCTGAAAAGGGTAAGATTTGCGGTTTCTGTTTTAGTTCATTGAAGATCGAGGGACAAGGCGGATTACTCTTGATTATCAAAAATTCTCTTTTTTCTGTTCGTGAGAGCTTTTTTGGTGTCCAAGTTGTTCTAAAGATCTTCAAAGTTCCTGTTATTGTACTAAATTATATGATTTTCAATGCCCAATTTTTTTATTATAATTTTTTTGTTTCCTTTCTATTGTGAATAAATGTTTTAATTTTTGAATTTTTTTCTCACTCAGAAAGTATTTCTTTGTGGGGAGACATCCAAATAAGCGGTTGAAATGATAAAAAAATACACTAATGTTTTTTTTTTTGGAAAAATTCGTTTCAAAAGGTTAAGCCCATTCCGCGCCAGCTTGTCACGTCTTTCTTCCCGCCAAGAAGACGGTATACCAAACTTGATCAAATTTTTCGCGGGCCTTTTAAAAATCAGCGGAAAAAAGGTTGTCTAAAACGGCTTTTTTTTCCAATTATGCTCTACAAAACAGCAAAAAAAAACAAAGGTCTTGAAGCGAAAACGGCCAATTTCGATCTAATTTGGTATACGGTCTTTTTGGCGGAAAGAAAAAAGTGACCTTTATCGTTTATTATAGTCTGTTCAGATTTTGAATGTCAAGCAGCTAACTCCACCCCCGAGGCTACAATATCTTTCGCGTCAATGTTTTATCTACAGATGACGATGGCCCTTTAATAAGGCTGCATTTTTGACTTCATTTTCTATTTTTTTGATCAAAAAAGATCAAAATTAGTCAAGCGCGGTAAAAAATCGACGCGAAAAGGAACCGTCTCAGCAGGGGCAGAGTTAGCTGCTTGACATTCAAAATCTGAACAGACTTATTTCTTATTTCAACCGAAAGTCAATGAAAGTTGTTTGATATGAGAATGTACTCCAGAAAGAGCAAGGTCTCAGTGTTCGGTGCATTTGGCCATCCAGTCAACCGGAAATTTCATTATTTATAGCCACTGCTTCATATTCTTCACACTGCACCATCTTAATTCCTCTTTCGCCGAATTCATCCTCTCCTTCGCTCAATTGGCGCCTTCATTTGTATTCCCACATCTTTAGTTTTTGCCACTTCCTTTCTTTTTTTTTGTTTTCATTGAAAAGTTGGAAGATATCTACAATTATTTTTAACTTTGAAAGGTAGAAAGAGATTTTTTCGTTGAGTAAAAATAGAGGCATTGGCAATATACGTGACCCTTCGAAAATTCTTAATTTCTTTTATACTTCAAAACTTTCTCGGTAGTGCCGCGGGTGGCGCGAGACGAGGCCTAACTAATGCAAGTTTCTCACCGACTCTCTTTTGTCCCCCCGGAACCAACCTGAATATTCAAACGCATTAGGAGCTCTACTCGCGAACTTTCACACTATTATCTCACTTCTTTCTCCAGTAGTTCTATTTTTATAGCTCTATTTCAAAAAATTCGGGTTTTAAAACTTTGATTATTCAAGGAAACTGAAACATAACGTTATATAACAGTAAGTCGCGCCAAATTGTCTCGAAATACGCGGAAGCACGGCTAGAGACTGTTCTGAAACGTAGCGAAACTGAAAAAGGAGCCCAAGGAAGGCTCGCGAATTGAAAAAAAACGTACAGCAGAGCGCATTTGCTGTCTTCTTCAAAAAATTCAGTTTAGAACCGGTTAGTTGATTTTTTTGACTTTTTTCACAAGTAAACCTCAAATCAATTTGTATATTTCTGTCCAACATTTTTTTAAAATGAAGTTTCCCTCTTCTTCAAAGTTTTCTAGAGAAAAAGGAGCAAGGAAAGCGGCTTGTCCAATCCTTGAACGTTAAATGTTAAGGAATTATTATTTTTTTTTTTCAGCTTCTGAATTTTTTCCGTATTTCGTTCTGAAAAATTAAATTTTTTAGCCCTGACAAGAACGATAGACGGCTGCTTGCGAAAGTTTCCTTTTTCCTTTGGCGAAAAAAGCGGCACGACATATCCAATGACTCGTTATAATGAGCAAATATATGCCCTGATATGCAGAGTGAGCTATTCATCGGACCAACTCTCGCTGTTCCTCTACTTTTCGAGAGTTCCGATCAACGCAGCAACAGAATCTAAAATCTTTTCGCGTTATAGTTTCCGCGCCAGCTTGTCACGTTTTTCTTTCCGCCAAAAGGCCAGGTCAAATTTAACCAACTTTCGCTTCAAGACCTTTGTTTCTTTCCGTTATAAAAGCAGAAATTTGATCTAATTTGGTATACGGTCTTTTGGGCGGAAAGAAAAACGTGACAAGCTGACGCGGGATAGGCTATATCGTCCTTTTGTAAAGAAATTTCTTCTTTTCATTATTCTAAAGTTTCGTTGTCCAGTTCCTCTGTAGCCAGGCACTTATCCGTTTCTTCGTATGTATCAGTCTGCAAAAATTTCTCATCCGCGAGTTTTTTTTAAAATTTTTTGTTATTGTTATTCCGAGTTTTATTGCCACCAATGGAGCAATTGGCCGAATCGAATTACAAAGTAGGCGTGGCACCGGCGGCTCCGCCTGTGAAATGAAGCCCATCGAGTTTTGGTCCACACGAGGGCCAAATTTTGTAACAAGTTCAAGTTTCTCCAAATCGATTTTTAGATTTTTTTTTATTGATTTTCTGATATCGAACCGGTAGAATGATGAATAGCTTAATCTGTGGTTTTTCATTTTATTTTTTTCAAATTTTTTTTTCGTTTCATTCTGGAATTCCTTTGATGTCGAGTTTGTCAACATGAAGGTCATCCACCGAACCAACCAGTTAAAAGAAAAAAGGACATTTTCAACTTACTAGGGAACGTTTTTTTACACCCCCCTTCCCCTGAATTTTTTTTAATTGAATTTTTGATGAAACTTTGCTGAAGTGTACTTTTAGGGCCTCCTGATTGCAGAACAAGACAAAAATGTCTCGCAATAGATCTTTTTTCGAAATATGGAACTTTAAAGTTTGCAAAATACGTAAATTATGCCGAAAAAGCGTCACTTGAAGCTTTTAAAGCGTCTCAAAAACCAGATCTATTACGAAAAATTGCTTCTTGTTTCCCAATCAGGAGGTCCTAAAGTACAATTCAGCAAAGTTTTATCAAAAGTTCAACCGGGGGATCAAAAACTTTCCGTAGTTAAAGAAAAAGGGCTTTTGCTGTTTTGTATAGTCTGTGTGCCACGACTTGAAATTTCACCGAACGACATTCCGCTGTTCCGCTGCGTGCGTTCGCGAAGCGTCTTTCGAATCTAGGTCAATCCTTCAATTGATTGTTATGGCTGTGGTAGCACAGGAAAGTTAAGAACCTTAACGAAAGAAAAAAAAAAATTAAAAACGCGGCCGAGGTTCGCAAAGGCGCGCAGCGGCACAGCGGAATGTCGTTCCGTGAAATTTCAAGTCGCGGTATAAGAATTATAATTGATCTTCAGTGAAAAATCCAACGAGCAATTTCTCTCGAGTATATTTTGAGCAAATCAACGCGAATGATCGTGTGCAGACGTGGTGATTGCAGATGGAGGGAGAGAAGCCGCGCCGACGTCTCCCGCGGACGCCGTCGCCTGACAACGAATCCGGCCATCGGCCTCTCCACGCTGTCCATAGTGCAGATCCCAGCGTCCTCTCTTCTTTCAAGTAAGTTGCTAGTTTTGAAATAGGTTTATATTGGACATAAATCCTCAAATATTGAATTTCCTTGATTACTTTCTTATTTGCTTTTCTACTCATGGATCAAAATAATTGCGCCTCGAAGAAATTCGGTTCAGTTTTTGAAGTTTGAATACAAATTTCCATTTTTTCGAACTCTTCTACTTTGGAATTTCATAGTGATCAGTATAGGGATAAAATCGAGGTGGTCCCTATAGGGGTCTTTGAATTTCTTTCAAAAAAAAAAAACGTTTGTTGCTTGATTTTTTTGCATACAGTTCATGGAAATTATCGACTAGCATGTCCTCTATAGGGGCCACTAACTAAAACCCCTATAGGGACCATTTTTGCAAGTTTAAGTGGCCCCTATAGGGGTTGGTAAAGTGGTTTTAGAAGTAAGTCTCCAAGGGCCACTAAGATTGCCCCTATAGGGACCACTCTGGAGATTTTAAGTATATTTCTTCCCATCCAATATAAGCTTCGAAGTTTTTCAGAAAATTATTTTTTTTTTCTACGTTTTTCACGGACTTTGTACTGAATCGTGTCAGCATCCAAAGCACCTATCTACAAGTATTTGACTGTCCCGCCTTCTATTTTGAGAGGACTTTTGCCGTTGAGAAAGAGCCCGGCAAATGGCGTTCGGATAATTGAAGGCGGTGCGTGACAAGTTGTCGAAGGAAACATGCGGAGACGTTAATTACGCTTGTCGGCGACAGATTTGGCCAATCACCTATCCTTCGAGCCGCGCCGACTCGTCGAACGTCTTCACCCTTTATCCTTCTTGTATTCCTCGTCGTCGTCCTTCTTCGGAGAATCGCCATGAAGTGAGCTCATCTTCTTTCAATTTCATTGGTATCCTACAAGTTCTGCGTTCACTCTCGATACAAAGGAAGGAGAAATGGAGGCGGAATTCAGTAGGCCATCAATCATTTGGAAAGCAACACATTTGCTGCAACAAAAATTTCGTATTTATTGCTTTTCGCTTGGAAATAGCTAAAAGTGGCAGAAATCTCACATCGGCTTCGAAGGGGTTCAAAAATGCTCGGCCTAAGGAGTTCCAGAGGGGTCCCTATAGGCGAAAAATCAAGGTTTCGCTTATTTATAAAAGTTGGTAAAGTGGATCCTAGAGGGGACCCTCCAAGGCCCTTGAAGTTGCCCCTATAGTGGGCACTGTAGAGTTCCTAAGACGATTATTTGATCCCAAAAGTCTTTTGACACTATTTCAGCCAATATTTAATTCAATGTCTTCTTCAATTATTTCGTATCGAACATATAAAATTTAGTACTCAGGAACTCCAGAGTGATCCCTATAGGGGCAACCTTAGGAGCTCTTGGAGGGAACACTTTACCAACCCCTATTGGGGTCACTGAAGCTTGCAAAACTGGCCCCTATAGTGAACATTCTACTCGATAATTGTTATGAACTCTGAGAAAGCATTTTCATGGGAAAAGCTGAAAATAAGTGTTTCTTGAATGAAATTGAACGACCCTTATAGGGTCCACTTGAGCTTTAATTGCTGAGAGGTTAGACCCTAATATCCTATAGAAATCACCTTAATTTCACCCCTATATGGACCACTTTTCCAGTTCCTATAGGGGTTGTTTTTTAAAAATTTCTGAAGCCATGCGGGAGGTGTTTTTGGAATTTCTGCTATATCCAGCTAAATATTTTCAATCAACTATAACATGCGGTGTTGATGGAAAGTTTTCGAAAAAATAATGGGGGTGGGCAAGCGAAAATGATCAGCTCATGTGTTTGCTGATCTGTCACAGATTGGAGTTGTGATGAAAACGAGAAGCTAGATGAAAATAGGACACCTTTTTTTTGTTATGTGTTCGATTGGGCAGCCGCTCTCGGGCAAAAACGTCGAAAACGTAAAGCGAAAAGCAATAGCGAAAAGTAGTCAACTGTAGTTTTGCGTGGAAAACCTCGCCGTTCACCTGAGAGGTGGCGCCTCGACGAAACGGCGAGGCTAAAATCGTATATGGCGGAACGGGGAACGCATGGAAAAACGAGCCGACGTTACTATTACATCGTCGGCTCCGCAGCCACCTGTTTCCTACCGCCGCCCGAGGTGTTTCTCGCAAATCCGCCGCTTTTTTGCGTTTGTCGGTGTCTGCCGACTGACAGCTCGCTTGTCTTTGATCAACTCCGTTGTTAATTGCCCTCGAAACCGCTGGTCAGCGACTGACGGATGTTGCTCAGCTGACCGTCAAGTCCAGGTCGCACTCTCTTGTCTAGCGCGTTCGGTTTTCTTTGCAAATTCGTTTATAGTCTAGTCAAGTTACATAAATGTCCCATCAGATTTTGATTCATAGGCGGTTCATATCAAAGCTTGTTCAAGCCTTCCGTCACTTTCTAACCAACTTTTTCGGATTTTAAAACTAACGATACAAAAGTTAAGAATCAGATTTCGAGCTCGGTTTCGAAAATTACAATAAAAAGAATGACAAACAGTAACCTTCTCCTTCTCGAGAAAAAACTCATCAAAAACAGAATTATTTGCAAGTCCACGTTTCAACCGTATAACTCCAAGGCTTCAAATTAGTCCCTCACCTCTAGCAATAACGAAAATTAGACCCACTGCACCAATATTTTTCTCTACCTTAAAAAACAGATCTGAAGACAGCCAAGCCGTCAATTTTAAATCCGAAACAGCGTTAGTTTATGAATTTCTATCCTCATCTCATTGAACTCAAAATAGTTCCTTAATTGATTTGAATCAGAAGCTGACTTCTTCACATTACAGTAATTATTAGGTCTTTTAACATTGACCATTATTAGATCTCTATAATGGAACGTATTTCTATCAAAAAGAGGGGCAAGAAATACTGGAATTATCCAGTGGAAGCGACAGAAATGGGCTGAGCGGTCCTAGAAGACTCCGAATTTTTTCGATAAGTTTTCTCTGTTCGACTGAAAATTTCTTAACTAACTCTCTACTTAAGAAATTTTTATTTCCTATTGAAAGTTAAGAGAACCGTTTGCACCTCTGATTGGATTTTATTTTTGTCCTTACATAGGCAAAGTTGGAAGAACCCTTTGAGCGTCCGTTATGGATGCAAAGGTTTCCATTAATTTTTCCCAAACGGGTGGCAACGGTTTCCTTTCCACTGCCTTTTTCCGTCTTTCCATCGGCAGTTATCCACCCTTTTTGGACCCTTTTGAGAAAAATGTTTTAATTGAGAATAATTTTTACCAGTGATTGTGTATGAACCAAAATGTGCTGAAGTAATAAAATCGGAAATAATCAATAGCAGATATTTTCGGAACCCTTTTGCACCCTCACTCTTTTTTCACCCTTCTTGCGGCCTTTCCCTTTTTTCACCCTTTTTTGACGCTTTTTAGCCCACCAAGAGAGAAAGGCTCAACAAAGGCCGCAAAACGGAACCATCTTAGCGGCCATTTTGCACCCGTTTTCCGCACTTTCGACTTTGGCAGTGTTATCAATCTGAACTTTAGCGTCTCGTTTCTTTCTTTAGAAACAGTTTGGTCAAGTCAAACGCGGAACAACTCAAAGAAGGATTTCAATCTGACTAAATTGACGTGTTTCGAAACTGTCACTTCCATCTCCTCCATTCTATTATAATGCAAAAGTTTGCCACTTTTCTCAGTTTCCGCTTCACTTTCTCTTCTTGGTTAGCTGTAGATACATATGTTTCTTTGAAAAGTGATGAAAGTTGGCTCCAGCACTGGAAATCAGTCATGCGATGTTGTTTGCTTTTGTTTACATAGAGAAAAAAGGCGGAAGAAACGGCCGCGCACCTGGACGAATCCTTGTTTTTGGCCGCCAGCTGTTTTCCAGCTCCACAGCTTGTTAATCATTGGAGGATTGAGTGGTCCGAGGCAACAACGGTTTGCAAAAAAATGGGTTTTGCAATTTTCCAACCAAAAAGCAATGTTTTTGTTGGTTTTGAGACATTTCTGCTTTCCGAAAAACAAGGAGAGCTCTTAAATTGAGTTATAACGTCATTTTTTTTAGTGTTAGTGGAACTTAGCCTTGTTCTTTGGAAAGGTGAGCTTCCTGAAATTTTCTACAAAAGCAGTAAATTTTTTTTCTTTTTTGTATTGTGATATTTTTTATTCACATCCCCTACAACGCGAAAAAAGGTCAAATATTTTGAGGATACATCTTAGGAACTCTAGAGTGGTCCCTATAGGGGTCAGAAGAAAAAAACAGCCCCCAAAAGGAACAAAAAGTGGTCCCTATAGGGATAAAGTTCAGGTGGTCCCTAAAAGTTTTTAGGGCCACACTTCTTAGCCCCTGAAGCTCAAATGGCCCCTATAGAGGTTTGGGAAAGAAAAAGTCCCTATATTTAACTTAAACCCATAAAGGGACCACCACCATGACCTCTATAAGGGCCTCTAACTTAAACCCCTATAGGGGCCACTACCATGGCCTCTATAGGAACCACTAGCACGACCGCCATAGAAGCCACTAACTGAAACCCCTTTAGGGACCACTTTTACGAGCTTTTGGGGTCCCTATATGGGTCAGTAAAGTGTCCCCTAGAGGGAACCTTCCAATGACCCCTAAAGCTGCCCCTGTCGACTTCTTAAGTCGTAAACTATAACTCTCGAAGCAACTTACTTTCCCACGCGCCGTTCTGATGACATCACTTTTTTAAAGTTGCAAAACCTTGGGTCCTCAATTTTTTCTTTGCGCATTTTTTCAAAACGAACAACAACTCTGATTTAAAACGACAGACTTGGAAGACCAACTTCCGAGATTTGTCTTCATATTGTCACATCCCCCTGGCAAGGCGAACAACACACGCCGGTTGGCGCCGTCAAAAAGACGTGGCGCGTGGCCTCTGAGCTGCCCCCAGGGCCCTTTGTTCTTCCAAAATGACGTTGACGGGGCAGGACTACTTGTCGCTGTTTGGTTCGTTTAGTTGTCGCTGCTGCCCCCTTGGAAACTTTTCCTTCACCCAAATTTCTATCTTCCTTTCGCTCACTACGGTATTCTGCCATCTGAAGATGATGCTCTGGACGCATAACAGGTACATCTTCCCATTTTATTCGTTTCTTATTAGGAAGCTCTCAATTCATTATTATACGGTATTCCAAAAGCCTGTAAAAAGTCAAAAAAAAAAGTTTGGAATTTTCTATAAATTTGTTCAAAATATATTTGACGGACTGAAAATCGGTCCCACATAATCTCTTCTAGTTTTGGAGATATAACCTTCCAAAGATTTTATCCTTAACCATGTGACGCCGTTTGGAAGGAATGTCTTCGCGCCACCAACCATTGCATGACAGCTAGGGGAGTGGCGCAGTGGGTAGCGCGATAGCTTGCAAAGCCTATTCCGAAGGTTCCTATCGCCGCTACCGTTCTTTTTGCCGTTTTTTTTTTTTTTTTTTGACGGATTCTGATGAAAAGATCGAAATTTCATGATTAGAACCGTTCTAAAAATTGGTTCCCAGTTCATCAAAGATTTTTCGAGCAAACTATAGAAAATTCCAAACTTTACGCCTTCCTTGTTAGTTGGCGGTCAACAACGTTGAGTCACCATCAATAGACCTGGAAGTCCTCCACACCAAGCAGCTCGAGAAGCGCACTTTTCTCAGCTCGGACAAGGGCTCAGGCTCTCGAAAACCATCGCCCACGTTACCGTCAGCCGGTGACGCGGCTGTTTTTGTTAAAGGAGGATTTTTGGGCGCGAAACGAGGTGCTAGGCGGTGGCTCCTGAACTTCGAGGACTCGCGCTACACGGCGGCAGTTTGTTTGTTGACGTGTGTCCGATACGGACCGACTTGCACTGTTGCAAGTCTCAGCAGAAGCGTCTTGCGACGACGTCTTCGCCTTTTTTGTCCGCCCGAATAGTCTTACTTCTCAGCGGCAACCAAAACATATTGAATTGTGACCTTTTTTGCTGCCTTTTTGGGCCATTTCATTGGCTCTTATGCACCATTTTTGCTGCCTCTCCCTTTTTCCACCATTTCTTGAGCTTTTAAAACCCCAGAAAAAATTGAAGGCTCAATAGAGGGACTCTCTTTGCTGCCTTTTTGATGCCTTTCTGCGGTCTTTCCGCGACCTTTTTGCTGCCTTTCTGCGGCCTTTTTAGCCTCTCTCTCTTCATCCACCATTCCGATTTTGCCCGAGTTCTTGATAATCTCATTTTTTTTTCTTTTTAGTCAGAATATTTTCTGCGAGTTCTCCGCTAGTTGAGATGTTGTAGGGCAGAAAAAGACCAAAAAATCGGCTAAAGTATTTTTGGCCGAAAAAAAAGTGTTCTCGAGGAGCCGACAGAGGTTCGAACTGCAACCCTCGAAGAAACGGTGTTGGAATAAAAGTTGTAAATACTGAGGGCCTATTTCGAGGTCGACGTGTGTCGAACACTCGAAGCCTCCTCCGGAAGTCTCCCTCGGCACTGTTTGCCCAGGCTTTGCCGCGCTTGACTCCGCCTGACGCTTATTATTTTTTTTGTTGTGAACATCCTTTTATCACGGCTAACCTTTTTCTGATCCATCCTATCGTTTTAATCATTTTTGAAAATGAATTTTAAACTTATATGACTATATTTCTTTAAAAGTTCTAGACAAGATCTCAATTGCCAATATGTTCCTTACAAGGGAGGTAATTTCGTGGTTGGGAATTTCCTGAAAACTGGCCAGAACGGTCCTTGATGTACCAAATGCACAACCTCCTCGTTTTCGAGAAAAGACGTCTCAAAGTCAAGGAAAACCCTCAAAATCCACAAAAATGGGGTTTTAGGTCCTTATTTCTCGTAAAGTAGGAAGTTGTGCAGGCTGAGACTTTCAGGATCTTTTTTTATAACTACAAGGAGTATTTTAGTCAATTTTCAGGAAATTCCCAACTAGTAAAATGACCTCCCATGTTAGTTATCCAAACCATATTCAAGTGTTGATTTTTCTGTTGGTTAGTCCATCTAACTCGATTTTTTTCTCGAGCCAACTTGAAAGAAAAGTTCCTGGAAGTGTTTTCTTCGCTCTACACGCCTTCAATGCTCAATTTTTCCTCTCTTTCTTGAATTTTCATCCCTCACTCAACCTAAATTACTCTTCCGAGTCAACAAAATTTCAAGAAATGAAACATGGAATAAAAAAAGATGGTCGAAAAGGCTGAATTAGAAGTAAAGGCTATGGTATTTTTCATCTTTCCATCAATTCCATCTGATTAAAAAAATCAATAATATGGATTGATGATTTAATTTTCACCATGAGAAAACCTTTTTTGAACAAGTTTTCTGACGTTTACATTTTAAGCCTTTGCGTAATCATTTTTGATGCTTGTAAAAGTGGAAAAGTTTACCTATTTTTTTCGTCCCTACCTAGTAAAAACATGAAAACTTTTTTTTCTCTCTCTTATTTATCAGAATAACGATGAGATGACGTCACGGGCGATGAGCAAACAGACAAAATCGTGGTGAAATTTGAATCCGAGCCCCAAAACGGCTCGCATTCGTGTGCCAATTGGCGGATTTCATTTCGACTATGCCTCTGGGGCGGCGTCTGCGCATTTCTTCAACTGTGGCGAGAGTTTCCGAATGTTTCTCGGAACAACAGGAAATTGTGTGGCCTGAGAAGGAGCACGCGTCCTTAAAAGCTTGCCCCGACCACGTGGATTTCTCACTTACGTCCAATTGGACCACAGATCTTCCTGTTATTCTTCCTGGCAGGCTTGTGCGTCAGGCCGGCCGGTCGGGCCCTGGCCCGGTCTTTGGGCACACAAATTTAATAAAAGCCTGCGGGGCTCGGGCCAGGGGCTTCGAAAGAATTCTTAAGTTTTATTTTGAAACAATTTCACGGAAAATTATTTTTACTTGTTGAATCATAGTTTCTAATAACTCTATGAGAAAAAATGAGCAAAAAAACCACTTTTCTTGTTAAAAAAGTGAAAAATTCGACTTGAAGAGAATTTGAGTTTTTTGGGCCGGGCCGGCAATTTTTGCTTATGGGCTCCCTAGGACCGGGCCGGGAGGCCGAGAGGTTAACGGGCCGGCCCTCGCACAAGCCTGCTTCCTGGGAATCGATGGCTCATAAATTATGCCTAGTTTGGCGATTCCAAGAGCCGGAATATAAATCAATCCAAAGCTTCATAGACATACAGTACCGTCAGAGAAGATACGAAAAAACGCGACTTTCTTGCAAGGAATTCGATCTTCCTAGAAGTTTCTGAAGCTGCGTTTTTTTTTTCTGTGAGCTGAAACTACATCAGAGTGTTAAAAATAACGGCCATGAGGACTCCAGAAAGTTTCAGGAAGATTGAACTGCTTGCAAGAGAGTTCTGACCGAAACCCCGATTTTTGAGGAACCTGTAAAAAACTCTAATTTCCTCCAAAGTTCAAAAACCCGCAGTGGATTTTTTTTTTCACAAAATCTAGTCTTTTTCATAGAATCTTCATCTAGTAAGTCGATAAAACTGAAAATATGTTAGCTCAAGTAAAAATGAACTTCCTTAGAGGAGATCAACTACTTTTCTCCTCATTTTTCCTTTTGATTAAATGATTTTTTCGAATCCCTAAAATTGTTTCATAAATCGACGTGTTAAAAGGGGCAGTAAAAAGTTTGATAAAAAAAATGCCGTTTTTAGAGCACTTTCCTGTCGAAGGGTGAACTTGGAAACGTACAGAACTTCCTAGTTTTGAAGAAATTCAAAGTCGGAGAGTGAAAATTTCCCGCCAAAAGGGCGTTTTGCAGTAAAGTTGCTCTAAGGACAACAAGCTTCGCCATTTTTCGGATTTTCGCTTTTTTCTTCGTTTGTTTCAAATTTCAATTTTTTCTGTTCTCACGGCTTTTTAATGAACTTTTTCAAGGTCAATTTTTAAATCCTGAAGGTTTAAAATAGTTCGCCAACTACACTTGAGAAAAGATCGGATTTCCTCGGTCAAAGGTTCAGCTATTTTCATCCTTTTGACGGACAAGAAGCACTTGGTCGTCGGTCGACTTTTTTTTTTTGTGATCACAATGCCGCCAAACAAATTAACTCACAACAGAGTGTTTGGTCGAAAGCCTCGAAACACTGTAGAAAGACGGCCGAACACTGCTTCGGGGGGTCGGTGCAACTGAACACACAAACCGTCTTTCCAGCATGTGGCATTTTGAGTGGCTTTCTATGAGTTTGTGCCAACGGCTCGCCATTTTCCCGTCTCTTCTTGAGCTCCTATTGAGCCCAGTCGTCTTATTTCATGACGCTCCTTTTATTTTTTTCAAAACATTGAGTTTTATTTTCTTCCTGCTTCCGGCTTTTTTTGCTTCTCATGCCTTCTTTCTTCAGATTTTTCCGCATTCCGCAGATCGTCACAACCACTTCTTTTGGGGGGGTTTTTAATAGCTTCCAAAAGTAAAGTAGGGCTTTGATGAGTTTTCAAGCATCTTCAAAATACACTTTTTTCAAGTTTTTCGGGGAGAGCTGTGAGAAAGAAAATGCAAAAATGATCTTGAGAATGGACTATAACAAAAATGAATATGTACCCCACAATGAACTCTGAAAAAAGGGCCCTTTTCGTTGATTTTCGGTGCATGTTGGACCTGGATGGCGTGCACCCCTGGGGCAACCGGACGGAAATTTGAGCTACTGTAACAGCCTCCCCTTCAAGTACCACCTCTACGCGGTGATGGGGAGGCAACGCCATTTATGGCGGCTAACGGTACACCGGTCACGCAATTCGGCTTGCTTCTGCTAACAGAATGGGCGGTCTTTTTTAGCCCTGGCAAGGCAAAAAGGATAATAAGACCACAATTAAGCTATAACACGTTCAACACCACGGATGGAACTTTTTCGCAAGAATACCAGTCAACCAGGACGACAACACTGGATGACCGATTGCATAAGATCTCCTGGAAAACGTGTGGTCCACGCTTCGATCAATAAAAGGCACTAAAAGGCAATAAAAGGTCGAAAGCGAAGATGGACCATCTAAGTATCTAAGTATCTAAGTAAGTAAGTAACAGCCTAGGAGGATACTGTAGAAAATGGAGATATTGGAAAAAGAATCTCTTCAAAGTCGTGTACGGAATGAGCATCTGGTTACACTGCGCGGTGCACCGAGGGTCTACTCGGGGTGCACCACAACTTGGGGTGCGCCGCAACTTTTCTGTAGAATGTAATGTATTTTTAGTAAATGTTTTATAGCGGCCCATTTTCCATAGCAAAGTTTTCAACTACTCAATAAGCTTCAATACAAGTTTCCTGAGAGGAACACGGATGAAAATTACCCGGAAGCCTTGGGAAACCCCATCGCAGATATATTTCCCTGAGGAGCTCTCAGCTGACGACGGAGGGCGGTCAGCATGGCAAGTTGCCAGTGTAAGCAAGTCAGCTGCCAGTTGAAATTAACAGTTATTTGCTGGACATCCATCTCCTAGCCTTTAATGACCCCCGACGTCGTTAACGAACTGATGCAAAATTCGTTTTAATGTAGATTTTTATGGAACGTAGTACTAATTTTCAGTAACAACTGCTGGTTTCAGAGAGTTCGTATTGATTTTTTCTGGACTTTTTTGTGTCGTAACAAGGAATGTCATTTTACTCTGTGGTTGGGAATTTCCTTAAATTCGGTCAGAACACTCCTCGACGTCCAAAAAAAGATTCTGAGCATCTACAAACTCTTAGTTTTTGTGAGAAAAAATCTTAAAAATTCGTCAAAAAGGCCATTTTTGAGGTTTTGAGTTCTTATTTCTTGAAAACTAGGAAGCTTTGCAGGGTAGGGCCTTAATTTGATATTTTAAAAATATGGTGGAAAAAAAGGATCCATATAAAGGTACCTTTTTTGTCCGTTTCATCGCCCCTTATCCACCCTTTTTCCATCATTTCTTGAGCCTAAAATGCCAAAAAAAAAGCTCCTTTTGCTGCCTTTTTTGAGTCTCTATCGAGTTTCATTACTGTTCAGAACCTTTTCACTCAATTCCGTAACGGTACTTTTTTCATATACGCTGCATTTGATTGGCCACAGAAAGAGGAAGCATCTGAAGAACGAGTGCTCGAAGGGTACACGTGCGCCGGAAACGCACGAACGGCACACTGGAGTGGCCAGTGTAAAGAGATCAATCGGCGGCTGAAGCAGTGGACATCGGGCTGTTTCCAGGCTGCGTCTTGACCGCTTCAGGCCGATTTCTGGCCGCTTTCACGTGTTCTCTCTGTTTTTAAGACTTTTTATTGCATCTTCAATATAAGAATACATGTGCAATCGACTTTCATTGATTTTACTGTGTTTAAACGGTGGAAGGAGCTGTGGCTTAGGCAGAGAAGTTGTGAATTTCGCTCGTAGAACGTCAGGTACAAGAGAGGTCGTAGGAATAAGTACTGTGCCGGCTTTCCAAAGGCCGATGGCAGAGATTGAGCTTTTTCGCTGCATGCAGCTCCCAATTTTATCTACCCCGGAGGGATGAAAGGCTTGGTCGACCTCGGGGGGACTCGAACCTACGACCTTGCGGACGTTAAAAATGAGTTATGCCAAGTGAGCTATGCCGCCCCGTTCCAGAGTGATCTCTCTATCATCTTCGAATTAGAAGAGTTCCTTTTTTTTTATTTATTTCACGACTCCTAGTGTTTTTTGAAACTCCAGAAAGTGCTGAAAATCGGGATAGCTTCTAAAAAAAGGTCACTTTTCCCAAAAATCTCTTTTCTTTCTTCTTTTTTGAAACACTTAAAAAGTGTGAAAGATGAGTCACAACAGCTGGCCGGTGTTTTTGAAGGCTCAGTGTAGTAGAAATTAACACCAGCAAGGGCTTTTCCACGTTCTTTCGGGCTTTTCGGCGAGTTGAATCAATTATACCAACTTAGAGATTCCAGAGTGGTCCCTATAGAGGTTAGGGAAACAACCCCTATAGGGGCCGTGAAAGTGGTCCATATAGGGGTCATTCAAATTCATTTAATAAACTCTTATTTATTGAGTTTTTCACATGGAAATGCTTCTTCGCTTAGAGTTCATCATGTCCCCTAAAGGGACCACTAAGTAAAACCTCTATAGGGACCACTTTTGCAAACTATAGTGCAAGCACTTAGAAATTAAAAGTGGTCCCTATGGGGTTTAGGGTCTGATCCCTTAGCCTGTAAAGCTCAAGTGGATCCTATAGGGGTCTTTCGATTTCATTCAAAAAACGCTTTTTTTCAGTTTTCCCATGAAAATGCTTCTTCGCCCGGAGTTCATAACAATTACCGACATGTTCCTTATAGGGTCCACTTGTGCACGCTTTAGTGGCCCCTATAGGAGTTGGGAAAGTGGTCCCTAGAGGGCACTCTTCAAGGACCAAATGGTTGCCCCTCTGGAACTTTTGAACTGGTGAACGTTTTCCTGACTATCTCTTCACACATCTTCTGGACATCAGAGAAGTAAAAACAAAGAAGAATGAGATTAGATCCGTTCCGCTAGTTAGGATCGTTGGACCTTCATGCTCTCTTCTTCTCGTTACTTCTTCTTTTTTTTTACTTTGTTTTCTCTTTTTCTTCCCATTTTTTTCTTACTTCTATCTTCCGGGTGGGCATAGATAGAGGGATAGAGCATCGAGGGATTGAATTAATTCAGTCTTTTGCTCTTGGAGCATCTCTAATGATTCTCGGGGGTTATTGAAAAATGTCATTTGTCGTTCGAGCGTATTTCTTCTGCAACTCGTCTCGTTCTTACAACACAAGGAGATGGCTGTCATGTCGAAAGACATGGGAGAAGGACCTCCCAGGATTTGGCTATTTTTTTTAAATTTTGAACCTTTTTTTTGGAAATTGAGGAGCCCGAAAATTCCTTTGTTGTTTTCGTCTGCTAAATTTGTATTGAAAAGAGAAATCCGACATAGCAAAAAGTTTTTCTGCAATTTCATCTCTTTTCCTTGATTGATGTTCTCTTTATTTGAGCTACTTCTATTTTTTTCTTTAAAAAAACTCAACTTTTTTTGAATTTCAGGAAATACTCTAGGCTTTTTTTCCCGATACCAAAAAGTCGTCATGAGTTGGGTTTAGTTGACATTTGTAAGAAATTTATTTTTTTCGTCTGAAATTTCAAAAGAAGAAAAAAAGTTTCTTTTCCTTTTTTTATTTTTTTGTTTTTTTCCTCCTACATTCTCTTTTTTTGCGCATTGCTCACGTGTGTTGGCTGAATTTTCCGTCCGAGCGGACATGGGAAATTGGATAATTTTCGGAAACTTTAAAAATTTTTCGTTGATCATTTCAAAAAAGTTCAAACTTCAGCTCCATCTTGACCCAAACCATGTTGCGAATACTTAAGTGCCCACTAAAAATCTTAACCTGTTTTATGATTTAACTTTTCTTTGAGTTCTTGATAAATTTGCTGTATCCAAAATTGAAATCACTCGGACGCGAAACGGACGTTTCAGTGCAACTCTAGGGATCACTTAAAAGTGCTGACACTACTAAAGTGGTCACTAGAAATTCCCAAACACATCCGTTTCGCGTTTCCCGAGTAATAGAGAAAAAATACTTTAAAAAAAAGATCGATCAGAATTTGACTTCAATTTGACAGAACCGTGCTGAGAAGTCCAGGAATTCTTGAAAATGCTCTGAACTTTATTTTCGAGCTTCCTTTCTGAGTCGAATTTTACTAATATCGACTTATTCATGTGAAATTTTTCAGTAGCAAGTATCTGAGCGCGGAAATGAAGCAGCCGTTGCGGTCGCAGTCCTTCAAACACCGCGCCAAGCCGGCCGTCGAGGTCAGTCAAGAAGGCGTCCCTCCATCGAGATGTTTTTGAGGTACGAAGAATGGCCAAAGATGACGTGAACACGGATGAACGCCGTCGGAGCACCCCCACGGTCAGCCGTCGTCCCAGCATTCAGAGGTCCGGCCAAACTCCTCTATTCCAATCTTTTCATGCATATTTGTCTGTTTATTCAATGAAGCTCCCGTGCGGCTGTGCTGACCACATGTCAGAAGAGAGAAAAAAGTCCAAATTTTAAGGCTCACGCTTCTCTTTTTTCTATGTTCTTTGTCCTTCTATTTTGTTTTGATTAAACATACCCTTTGTAGAAGAGTGATGGAACCTAGAACCGACGTTTGGCCTGAGCCCAAGTCCGCCAGCGGCCTCGAAGAACGCTTTTTGAAGCTACCCGACAGTGAAGACTACACCAGGTGACTAATAATCTTCTCACCGAATCGAATTTTATGATTATTACAGAGTGAGACAGTTCAAAATTGACGAAAAAGGCGCTGTCGTCTCACGTGGAGATAGTTTTCGACGCAAGCGCAATGGCAAAAGTGAGTTGGCAAAAATATTCAGCTTTCTTGAGAATATTTTCCCTGCTAATATCAATTTTTGAAGATATGATAATTTTCAAATTTTCACAGTATTCAATACTTTTTAAGAGCTTTTTGAAAATGTGTGTGGCGGAGTAAATAGGACGTTCTCATGGAGAAATTGATGATGCCGGAGTTAAAGGAACGTTGAAAATTATAATAGAATTATTCCCACAATCACAGAAAAAATCGCGCATTCTCAAAGTTGAAAGGTACTTTAAAAACGACATAGGCAAAATCGGAAAAGGCTCTTAGGGTGAGAAAGGTTCCTTTTTTCTGCCATTTTTGTTGCCTCTTTCTACTATTTCTTGAGCCGTCAGAATCCCCGAAAAAAAAAATGGAAGGCTCGATAAAGGCACTCTTTTTGCTGCTTTTTTTGAGCCTCTTACTTTCAGCGGTCATTATCCACAATTCCGACTTTGCCCGAGGATGTGATAATTGAAAAGTTTTCTCAGGTGAGAACAAATCGCCATCGCCTTTCCCGGTGTCTGTGTCGACGGACTCTGCACGCGGATCTCCGAGCGAGAGTGAAGAAAGCTCCGTCGACGATGCCGCCAAAACGGTCCTAGGCATGGAAGAAAAACTACCAACCACCAGTCATAAGACCTACAAGGTAGCCCCCGACATCTATTCTTTTTGTCTTGAACACTTTCAATATCTTTCGGCATGCTCAAAGAAACATTCCAGATCTATGTCGTTGGTGAGACTGGAACCGGAAAAAGCTCTCTGATTTCTCAACTCATCACTTCTGAGTACAAAAACGCTTTCGCCGACGAGATTCGTTAGTTTCATAGGAAATGTCGTTATATTTTGAAGAAATTACAGAAGACTACGAAAACACGGTGTCAATCAGTATCGGAGGCGTCGAATGCGATTTAGTATTCTTTGAAAGCGACTTGGTTTGGAGCTGCGAAAGAGGATTCAGTTTGAAGGTTGAAATTCAGAACACGTCGTGTTGGTTGACGCCCGACATTCACTCATTCCTGGTCGTCTACAGTATCGACTCACGGACGTCTTGGAAGCAAGCCATCGGTGCCATCGAGGTCGGTGATCATACGGGAATCTTTTTGAATCGAGGATGGTTCAGATGATCAGAGAGTGTCGCGAATGTCGCAACATTCCGATCCTTGTTGCTGGCAACAAGGTTGATCTCGAGCGGAAAAGGACCGTCAACAAAAGCGGCGAGTTGCGAGAGACTCAATTTGATGAGGTTTCTGGTTTTCAGAAGTGCGGTCAGCGAAAGCGACACTCGGGTTTGAGCACTTTGAGATCTCCGTCGCCCTCGACCACGATGTCGATGATCTTTTGGTTGGTCTCGTCGCTGAGATCCAAGAAGCCTTCTGCACAGAAGTCGTCCCGGAGAAGGTTGCCAAATATCATTAAGCCGGAAAGTAAATTGAAGATTTTTCAGCCTTCGCCTAGGAAGGTCGACGACTTCCACAGCGCAATTAGAAGATATTCTCAAAGAAAAAAGAAGGTGCAACCGTCAAATATTGAAGACGGTGGGTTCAGAGAAATGGAGGAAAATAATTCAATTTTTTTAGGCAAGTGCTCGGTTCTTTCTCCGGCAGCGATTTTTTCCCGGTTTAAAAATTGGCGCCGCGGAAGTTCGCCACGAATAGAGACCAATTGATTTTCTTTCCGATGATGCCAGAATACAACAAAAAAGCGGTTATATCACACTGAAAGAAGTGCGATTCGAAGAAGACAGTTACAAAAAAACATTGTATTATAAACTTAATAATTATTGCCAACTGCACAATCACTCTTGGAAGTTTCTTTTTTATTTGTGTCTAGCGTTCATGATGTTATCAATTTGAAAAGAAGGAATAATAAAAGATTATTGCTCTATCCGTTGAACACGTGTATCGAATCCGGAGCGAACCCAACTTCTTCTAGCGCTCTTCAAACGTTTTGTTATGGAAATTCGATGGATATGGTAAAAAATGGTAATGACCTCATATAGAAATGTAAAAAAAGAACCATCATCGTCGGAAAATCTTTTTTTTTTTTGGGATCGTTATATATTTCTCAAGGTTTTCGAAACTTCCACTTTCAATCTTGCAGATTTTTTCGTTACTCCAGTATTTCTCTGAACATAGGAACTCCAGATTGGTCCTCTGGAGTTCCTATGTTCAGAGAAATATGTTCAGAGAATCTCTTAAGGAGGCACCTTAGAGGTTCTTGGAGGGTTCCTTTTTGAGACCGCTTTATTCTATAGGAGATCATAAAGCTTGCAAAAGTAGTCCCCATTGGGGTTTCAGTTAGTGGCCCCTATAGGGGACATGATAGTCGATATATGAACTCTGAGCGAAGAAGCATTGCCATGGGGAAAACTGAAAAAATAAGCCTTTTTTGAATGAAATTGAAAGGCCCCTATAGGGTCCACTTAAGCTTTAGGGGATAAGGGGTCAGATCCTATACCCCTATAGGAACCACCTTAATTTTACCTCTATAGGGTCCACTTTTTCAGTCCATGTGGAGGCTGTTTTCGCCCTCACCCCTATGGGGACCACTCTAAAATTCCTAAGGAATCTCAAATATAGATTCAAAACAAACTCTTTGGCAGCCACAATGAAGCCGTCAGGTCCGCATATGAAGGCTTTTCTGGATGCCTGTGAAGACTTCTCGATTCCTAGCCGTATGAGCAGATCTGCATGGACCCGTCCAACATCGTAGAGCTCGTCGTTTCTATCCGACGGCACGCTCAGAACGTCTCGCACCTCAAGAAAGCTCTTTTTTTCAGTGGGACCTTTCACGGAACTCACAAAGAATCCTTCCTCGACGTTCGTAGACCAAGAAGGTACGGTCCAATCAACTTCCGACCTCGTGAACAAATCTTTCTCCGTCTTGTTGAACAACACCACGAAAGTTTGCGCGTTTATTTCTCTAGAAAAATTTGAATAAAAGAAATTTACGTGAAAAATCTTAGGGGTCCTTCTAGGGCCAATTTAGCGACCACATTACCAACCCCTGTAAGGGCCACTAAAAATTTTATGAACTCTGTGCGAAGAAGCATTTTCATGCAAAAAAATAAACAAATTACTTTATTTGGATCAAATTGAAGACCCCTATGGGGACCACTTAAGCTTTAGGGGATAAAGGGGCAGATCCTAAACTCCTATAGGGACCACTTTTTAGCCCCTATGAAGGCTGTTTCCCCCCAACCTCTATAAGGACCACTATAAAATTCCTAAAGTTCTACTTACTCTATTCACAGACCCTCATTTTTAGAGGCTTGATATTAACTCTGGAGCGAGATTTTTTGAGATTTTGAAATCCCGAACCTTTGACGTTTGCGTCGTTGCTGGACCAAATCAACCATCGGCGTGATTCCTGAGCCGGCGGCCAAGAAAACTGCGACTTGGGCGTCGCTCATCCATCCGACGAAATCGCGAGTTCCGATCGGATCGCTCAGTTCTAATCTATCGCCTGAACGTTCTTTATATGGCCAGAAGCCCGTCGGAGCCTCACCAACAGCTAGAGCTTCCAAAGACGGTGTACAGATCCCATCGTTGTAGATTTTCAAGAAAAGATGCGTCTTGCTGGATGGAGAGCCAGGTCCGTGTGTTCTATGAAAGCGAGAAATGAAGAGAGCCACAAGTCTTACTCTTCGGAGTCATTTCCCACAGCCGAACACCGATCGTTCATGATTGGAGTGTATGGACGGTAGAGGGTCGCTCCTGAATAAAAAGGCTTGTTTGTACACGGGCAAAGTCCAAGGGGCCTCTAAAGGACTTTTGTAAAAGAGGCCACAAAGGCGCCTTTTTTTCTAGATCTATTAAGGAGGAATAAAAAAACGAGGCCGAGAAAATTTTGACACATTTTTAGGAGCTCAAAAAGAAGCTTTTGAGGTCGTTTGGACATTGCCTGTGTGATAGTTTTCTGCCTTTTTGGAAGCTTTACTTTAAATTCTATACTATTTTTAAAAAAATACTGAAAAAAAGGGTCGTCGCCTCGAGACCTCGTTCTAATTTTTTTCTTATTAATTTTTTTGTTTTGAATGTATCAAAACAATTGGCAAGATTTCTTTAAAAAAATATATATATACCTAAACTTTTTTTACTGACTTCTCCTCTGATTGGAATAAACAAAAAATAATAAGAAATCAAAAAAAAAACATCAACCAGAAAAAAATTGTTAAAGCGATTTTTTTAAACGGCGTTTTCCACGCAGGGGCGAAAAATTCTCTAAATTATTGGCAGCTTTCTATTTCAATAAAAAAATTCGATTTTTTCCGAGTATTGTTCGTTTTTACATTGAATAAATGAGCAACTAACAATTGTTCCCCTTTCTTAGCTTTCAAAATTCATTTTTGTTCATCAATTAAAAAACTTCGGAAGTACAGTACTGGCCATAAAGGTATTTCAAAGTGGTTATTCGAGCATAACTTCTCTGAAAGTGACTCAAATGACTTGAAACTTCGCACAGATTTTGAATAGCTACGCAGTAACTATTTCTCAGAAGGAGAACTCATTTGTTCAAGTCAGACAGGATTTGAGAGCAAAAAAACCGAAAATCGTGAAAAATGAAGATTTTTTTCTTTAGAGATTCGAAAAAAATCATATCTTCAAAGAAACTTCGATTTTTCAATTAGAAACTTTTTTTCCCCCAGTAAAACAAGTCTTCGACTTTCCAAAAAACCTAATCAGCCCCCTATCAACCCGATAGCAAGAGCGTAGTGACTTTTTCTCCGAAAGGCCTTTGCGTTTTGACGCCTCGTCATTCAAATGGACTATACGAGGTCAATTTTGTTCGAGAACACCCTGTATCATGTTGAAAAACTTCAAAACCTCCTCAAGAATAGTTTCACACTGTTTTCCTCAGCTTTCTCACTTTACCCGCTCTTCAGAACTCACTAACTTCTCTGGGACCGATTTTGAACCTCTGATTTGAAGCGGTTATGCTCGTTTTTCAAAATCAGAACACTCTCGATTTCTCATTTCAGATTCCAAAGCTTTTCCAGAACCTTAATGAATGAAAATAAAAGGAGACTCACTGTGTTTCGCTTACTTATTCAAAAGATATAGTGAGTTATAATGAGTTCCTCCAAGTTCTCAAAACTCCGTTTAAGCAAGTGTTGCTTAGAAGGCTCCAAATCTTGTGAAAGATGATAAAAACCCCTTTTTCATATTTTTAAATGTTTTAGATCATTAGATAAATTTGTAACTCCTCTTCCTAGCTCTCAGATAGAAAAAATAGGCACTGTAAAAATGTTTCTTTAAATCTTATGGAAAAATAAGTTTTTTTGGTCTTGTGAAACTAATGCTTCAGCAAAAAAATTAGCAGTCTTTAGAAAGTAGGAGCCTGCAATTTATTCATTATTTATTTTCGATTTCACGATTGAAAAAGCGACTGATCAGATAAAAAAACTCCTTTGAATGCCCGAAAGTCCAGAAAAAAACTGTTCGAATCAGAGGTTCAAAAATCGGTCCCAGAGAAGTTAGTGAGTTCTGAAGAGCGGGTAAAGTGAGAAAGCTGAGGAAAAACAGTGTGAAACTATTCTTGAGGAGGTTTTGAAGTTTTTTTCAACATGATACAGGGTGTTCTCGAACAAAATTGACCTCGTATAGTCCATTTGAATGACGAGGCGTCAAAACGCAAAGGCCTTTCGAAGAAAAAGTCACTACGCTCTTGCTATCGGGTTGATAGGGGGCTGATTAGGTTTTTTGGAAAGTCGAAGATTTGTTTTACTGGGGAAAAAAGTTTCTAATTGAAAATCGAAGTTTCTTTGAAGATATGATTTTTCGAACCTCTAGAGAAAAATCTTCATTTTCACGATTTTTGGTTTTTTGCTTTCAAATCCTGTTTGACTCAAGCAAGTAAGTTCTTCTTCTGAGAAAATGTTACTGCGTAGCTATTTAAAATCTGTGCGAAGTTTCAAGTCATTTGAGTCACTTTCAGAGAAGTTATGCTCGAATAACCACTTTGAAATACCTTTATGGCCAGTACTGTATGTAAAATTTCGGGTGCATTCACTAGAAACATCATATCTGACGGGAAACGCCGTGTAAAATGTGACCTTTTTTCTACCGTTTTTCGAAAGCTCTTGTTTTTTTTAACGGAATAAAAAGGCGAAACCTCCTTTGCGGACTTTCACAGAAACATGATGGCCGCAGGGGATCCGGAAAAATGTCGCCGGCGGCAGGTCGAGCTCGTAGAGGAAAACGTCGTGGGTCAGTCGCTGCTTGGAGATGATTTCGCAGGTGTGGTAGGAAACGCCTGGAACTTCTCCTGCACAAAAGCCAAGGACATGAAACCGACCTGGTCTCCGTTGAACGTCACAAGAAAAGTCATCAAGAACTTTGGCGAGATCCTCATTTTGCTCTGGTTCCTCAAAAGTGAAGGTTCAAACTTTTTTCGAACGACATTTCAAGGGGGACCGAGTCAAGATGCAACGTACACGTCAAACAGAGAATAGATAATTTCTGATCAAAACGGAGAAATTTTTGAAAAATCACGTTTTAACGAATGAAATTGGGGGCCTCTTCAGTTTTAAGAAAGAGTTTTTTTTATTAAAATTCAACATTTTTCCTATATTTCTTCCAAAAATAATTTTCGTTGGAAGGATTCGAACCCTGACCATAGCGTGCAAGCACGTTAGCCACTACGCTAAGCGACCAACTTTCTGACAAGGCTCGTTTGCGTGACACATTACTTCTTGCTGCGTTCCAATCTTCTCACTTGCAAACTTTGAGCCGTCATAACTCGACTACCAGGCGAAATTCAAGAAAATTCATGTTTGATTTGGACTCATCATGCCTTAAAGTACATCCCTGCGAAGTTTCGTCAAAAGTTCAACCTAAAAACAGTTCTCTTGTAAACTGCATACCTCACTCGACAGGAAAGTTATTTCGACGCCTTTCGAAATAACCGCGACTCGATAGTACCTACCGCCCAAGAACTTCTTGGCGTTCTCTAGAAAGCATAGTTCAGAAGCATCAAACCAGAACAAGGTTACTCCAAATGAACTCCATCGGTGGCTTGTCGAAGGGACGGACCAAAACACGGAAGGAGTCTCCAGAAGAAACGACGACATTCTGTTGTTGTATCTCCATCCACTCGTCTGATACGAGTTTCACGCCATTAGAAAACGACTCGATTCTTGGAAGGGAATAATTTACAGATTCGAAAAATGGACTGACTTTGCTCCGAAACGGGACCTATTGAGCGGCGGCTGCGCGATTGCTCCGACGCTCAGAAAATTGGAAGAAGTCGGCACAAAGTCTTCAGTGGTTGTCGGAGGGTCACAGGGTTTCACTGAAAGAAGCTAGGATCAAGTCAAAGGCGAAGAGCATTTTGGGAGGGGAGTCATTCTGAAATGGGAGGGGGCTTGTACGAATAAGCTCTGGGAGGGGGATTCTAAAATTCTGGAATTTTTTTTTTCCAAAGGCGAGAACTGACGATTGGAAAGATTTCCGGAGAACCGTCCGACTAAACAAGACTTGAGCATACTCTCGTAGTTGACCCAGGCATGGTACTGGTTGAACAGCGGAGTGCCGTCTGAAAAAGTTAATTCCTTATAACCGAGAATTCCGATATGGACCTCTTCCAGCAGCTCTCATGAGTTCATCGACGCCGCCAGGGTGGAATTCCAAATAAGGTGTCACGTCGTAAACCTAAAACTTTTAATGTTCGCTATATTCTAGTTATTGTAGAAAACTTGGCCGAAAATGTGAATCCAGCAATCGGATCGCTTGTTGTGTCGTGACAATTCAACGTCATCTACGGACTGAAGCCTCTTTTTTTCGCTAGTACCTGAAAAAGATCCAATGAGGAAATGATTGGAAATTCGCTTGAATTATTTTGCAAAAATTTATAAATCTTAAAAATCTAAAAAATCCAAAAAAAAAAACGAAAGGTATTCAAAAAAATTAAACTCACGTTCTGAAGAAATCGATAAATTGAACACATTTCAAACAGTAGATGTAAAGAAAAAAATCTTGGCTCTTCATTTTTCTCTTTGAGAAAAAAAGTTAGTGAGTATAGCTTTATTTCGGTGATTTAGGAAATTGTGTAGGGCGGAGAAAGCTTTTCAATTAAGGCGCTCAATGGAAGAAAGCGCCATAGTTAAAGCAGACATGATTAAATGGGAAAAGTGAGAGAGCAAGAGTGGTGGGAAAATCGAATTGAACGAAAGGTCGCACCTTGCTGGACGTCAGTCGCACCCAATCGAGAAAGCCTTTGCCCGGCGGTAGAGCAACTTTCACGCGACCATACTCGCTTCGTCCAATCTGCGGTTTCTAAATAAAAAAATTGCAAGTAAGCTCGGATAGAGGGAAAAAAAACGATTTATAAGCCTTATAATGCAAATAATAAAAACTTACTGCAGACAATGAATTGACTCCGAGGTTGTTCATGCGCCCAGGACAACCTCAGAAAACGTAGGAAGACCTAATTCAGAGCTCCGATGAACAATAAAAACTACAATTGAAGGCTAGAAACAGATTTTGACAGTTTTCAATAGGAACTGAATCCAAAAGAAAAAAGCACTTTTCAGCAAGTTCGCGCCACCGAACAAGAAAATTTTATTGAAGCCCGCGGGATTGTGCGGGAAAAATTGGAAAGTTGTTCAATTTCCTTGAAAAGTTGTTCATTCTCCCCTCTTTTAGAATTCTGATGCTGATAAGTTTTTTTAATATTATTACTTGTCAATGATAAAATCTCTCGAAAAAAATCAAAAAAACGATTTGATAAGTAAATTTTGCAAATAGACACGTTTCGAAAACACAATAACTGAATCAACCCTTCTTGATGTTATAGAAAAATCCAACAGTAAAGAAATTTATTTAAACCAATAAAAAAGTTGTTTACGGGAAAGTTCAAATCGATTTCGAGGTGTCTTTAGAAACATCGTCACTGCTAGCGAAAGAGCTGCTTCCGGACCGAGAACTGGAATCGGTGCTCGTGTCGGAAGAAGCGCTCGGAAGGGAGTTTAGTGCTGTGTCGTTCCAAATTTCAGCCGTCTTCAAGTCGTCGACAGCTTCTTTGGCTGCGCTTTCCCGCAGGACCAGGTCGTCCTCAAAGAGTTGAAGGTCTTCCTCGGATCCTACGTGCACGTAGGAGACCAAGAACCAAATGAATTCTTTTTTGGCCTGAAAAAAAGTTTCAAAAAGAACTTATCAAGAACTCAACCTCCTCTTGCAAGATTTTCGTCGCCTCGGAACATGTCGCACTTTCTAGACTTCGATCGTTCACCGCAACGATGGTATCACCGATTCGTAACTGCAAATATAGTCTGTGTATAGTCTGTGTGCCACGACTTGAAATTTCCCCAGACGACATTCCGCGGTGCCGCTGCGCGCCTTTGCGAACCTCGGTCGCGCTTCTAATTTTTTTTTTTCTTTCATCAAAGTACTCTACTTTTATGTGCTACCACAGCAATAACAATCAATTGAAAGCGTGACCTAGATTCGAAAGACGCTTCGCACGCAGCGGAACAGCGGAATGTCGTTCGATGAAATTTCAAGTCATAGCACACAGACTATAGTACTTGATTTTACGAGAACAAGGGTTTTCCGAGATTCATACGGTAAAAATACATAGTTTTAAAAAAATATTCAGTCTTGTAGAGCGTTGTCGATTACATAGGTTTTCAGAAACAGTTGATTTTTAAAGTGGGACTTTAGCTAGTATAAACGCCTCAAAACCGTTTTTGCAACAAAAAAATCGTCATTTTGGTGGCGTGAAGGGGCGGGGCTTTGCGCCCCCTATTCATACCTTACTGGCGTCGGCAACTGAGCCTTTCAGTTTGTTGCTGATAATAATGGGAAGACACCGATCGACTCCGCCCTAGGAGAATTACTGCCATTAAAGCTTCCTTTATTGAACCGAGAAACCATAATTTCAATTCCAAGGCCTTGGTTTTGTTTTGTTTTCGAAATGAAGACGCTTCTGATGCCGCCCATCTTCACGGCTCGGCTACCCGTGTCGTTCACAACTTCAGTTTTATCGGTGTTGGCGACCCTCAAAAAAAATTATATTTCAAAAGAGTCATAGCTTCGGAATACTCAGAAAGTTCAGACCTATTGGAAATAACGACCGTCTTCAGCTTCTGGACGTTCATCTCCGTGTCGAGCTGCTTCCAAACGCGAGTTTTTTCTTCGACGTCCAGCTTGGTGTTTTGCAACAGTTCTATTTGTTGAACTCGACCGGCCATTTCCTGAATAAAACAAGAAGAAGTCTCAAAAAGCGAATGAAAAAAAAAACCGTGCTCAAGTATTTTGTTTTCAGTTCTTCCATCAAAAGTCGACGCTTGTAGTCTTTAATCTCCTGGTTTAGTCTTAAAATAAATGAATTTAAGAAGACGTCGATTCTGAGCAACTTTTTGTTTCTCTGCTCCAGCTCCTGGACGACAGTACTCAGATAGTTCATTTCGGCAAACTTGGCCATTTTGCTTTCCTCGGCCTCTTTCTAAAAAGGAAGGAGTCCAGTCTCCTTTGATTTCCAACAAACGAGGCTCCTGAGAACGATCCCGCCGGCACTGTCGTGCGCCTCGGCCATCTGGTTCATCAGGACGTGGATCTTCAGAATCGCGTCGTCGTAACACTTGGAGATGAAGTCGGAACGGACGCGCTCGAGGTCGCTTTTCTCGAGTTTCTTCTCGAGAACGGAGACGCGGTGGGAGCAGCAGTTGCCCAAGAAGACGCTCTGAAGAAATCCGAGTGGAATAAGAAGAGGAGGCTCACGTGGCTGAAGGCAGCGGCCATGTCGTTGGTGGTCCTGACGAACGACTCCAAATCCTCTACATTCTAGAATTTCCTAGCTACATTCCAGAACTTTCTCCTTCTTCGTCAACCTTGCCCGTATTCGCGAATTTGAGCATCATTTGATATAAATGTCCGAAAGATTTATCAAAGTCGCTCTGAAGTTGCTCAAAGATTCGAATTTCCACCAGACTCTCATCTTCGGAACGCTGAAATTGAACAAATTCTCTAAAGAAAAAAGAATTTTTCGGAAGTGAGGTATTTATACTTTTAGCCGATTCACTGCTAACTTGGGACGCTAAGGGGGCGTGGTCTGTATGCGCTCTCCACCAACCAGGCGCTGTCTCTTTTATTATCGTGTCAGGACCCTTTTTCCGCTGGCTCAAGCCAGCCGTGTTATTTTTTGTACGAAAAAACTCGTTCTAAGAAGATATCGCCCAAAAAACCGCGACCGGTGTATGCAGAATTCGAACATACAGTGTGCCAAACCGGCGGTTTCTCAGAGAAGGTAAAACATATTATCTTTGCTTTTAAGGATTCGAAAACAAGCACTCTTCGTTCAGACTACAGCGCTACAGTGTTAAGTTTGCACATACCCTCCTTTTTTTGGCGACGCCTCGCCTATATTTTTTCCGTAAAGTGTAGTGTGTCGTGTGCATGCACCTCGGCGCTCTCGCACGTGCCACGTTAAAAATTTTTTTCGCGGACACGGCGTTCTGCGTAGTGGAAGAAAATGTAAAAATTTTGAAAATGCGGAGCGGCTTTGAAAGGTTGCTCCACCTAGAGTTACGGTAGACAGCTTGCGCGCGAACATTTGAATTTCTTGTTGCTCAAGTGCTTCAGGTGATTTTTCATGTTTATTTCAGTTGTATCTTTATCTGTTTTGTTCTGATTTACGGTAATTATTTTTTATTGCGACAGCAAAATGCGAAGGAACTTTTTTTTTCAATTTTCAATGTTAACTGCTGGGTTTTGACAAAATTTCCCCTTTAAAGCAAAAAAAAAGCCTTTCATACGCATTTTCAGTGTCAAATTAAATTTTTTATTCGAATCAATCAATCTCTTCATTTTCGCAACATCAGAATGGTATGGCGATGTTGCAGAGGAGAAAAAAGTACCACTAGGTGGATGAACTAAACTAAATCTGTGAAGAAAACCTTTTTTTAATATTTTTAATATGTGCGGAAAGACACATAACCACAATAAGTCCTTTTCGGCACAAAATTTCACGTTTTTCACTGAAAAAAAGGACTATAACTAATTTTGAGGGTGAAAGGTATAAAAGTGTTCAGAAAATAAGAAAAACTTTCACCCAAATGTTTTTTTGTCAACTAGAAAAGGAATTGTTAAAGGATCGATTTTTTTCAAGTCTGTAATTTTGAGAAAAACGCTATTTTTCGAGGAAAAAAATTATTTTCGAATTTAATGAGTATGCAAGTTAGCGTCGCTCTGTGTATGCACCAAAGACGTCAAATATTACGGAAATTGTGGGAGGGGCGTCGTCAAAAGAACGCCGTGCGGAATTATACATTTTATCTTAATTTCTGATATTCAGTTATGTTTTCACTCTCTGGTGGCTATTTTGAATTTCGCGGAATCACTTTCAACACTGCATGTGTTTGAAAAAAAAAATTAAACAGAAAAATCGCGTTTTTTTTAAAGGAGACATATATTTTCCTTATGTCCCATTTATGCGCCTTTCATATTTCCTGTAGTTTAAGCGTTTTCCCCATGACGTCACATGGGAACGGCGGACGTTTTGACCACGCCCCCTTAATTTTTGGTTTTGTATTTTCTTCCACTAACAAAAACGCCGTGCCTCGTTTTGAACTCTTTTAAGTTACCGATGAATGAACAAACATTTGTTTCCAAACTATGCTTAACCTCATATTCTTCATGAAAAAAACAAAACCCACCACAAGCTCGGCAAAGCTCCTTGACATTTTTATTTGAAATAGGCTCCTTTTTTAAAAATTGCAAAACCACGTTTCACGTACGTTTTAATCTTATTCCCATGTTGCAAAAATAATACAATGAATAATTCATTTCTTACATGAAAAGTAGCACCGTTTAATTTGTAAAGCACTGAAGTGGCGATTTTGGCGCGAGGTTCTTGGGGAAGAATTCGCGGTGAGACCCGTTGCGGCTGAGACCCGTGAGAAGTTCGTCAACGTCAAGTGCTCTTCGTCTCTTCAGAGTTTGGTTGCGATACCGTCGACGATCGGCTGGAAGACGGCTCCTCCACGATGTTATTGTACAGGTTGTATCTGAAAAAAGTTGCTTGGAGGTGAAAAAAAATTCCCGTGAATAGACAGGACCCTTTACGGGCCCCTTGGGATCAAAAGGCTTTTATAAGATTCTCCTAAACGGGTGGCAACGGTTTCCTTTTTACTGCCTTTTTCCGTCCTTTCATCGACCTTCATCCATCTTTTTTGGACCCTTTTGAGAAATATAATGCCGTGTTCAAAGTAATTTCCGCGAAATGCAAAATGATCTCTGACTCTCCAAAATTTAGTGATCTTTTCCTTTCTCTAACGGGTATTTTGCATTTCGCGGAAATTACTTTGAACACGGCATAAATGTTTTTAAATTGAGAAGGATTTTTACCTGAGACTGTGTATGCACCAAAATACGCTACAAAAATTAAAAAGGCGGCTCACAAAGCTCCGTCGCAGTGCTCGATCATCACTGTCCCGTCGTCGTCGCTGTCCTCGTCCGGACAAACAAAAACCAACTCCAAGTCGAGATCTCCTTGCTGCAGAAAACTGTGTGATATGGAACTTCTGTTCACCAACTTGTCCACTCAGAATATCTACAGCTTCTTGATGTTTCACGCTCCTCAGATCGTAGCCATTGACGGAAAGGATTGCGTCGCCGACGAAAACCTTGAAAAATGAAATAATGAGTCACAAAAGGCATAGGAATCCTTTCCTCAGCCGTCACATTTTTGAAAGAAGTTAAGCTTGTCTGCGCACTTTTTTCATAGGGTTTTTTTTTTCACAGAGTCGACTTCAACTTTAAGATCTCCTAAAGGGGCAACCATAGGGCCCAAAGAGTCCCCTCTAGGGCTACTATAGTAACTCTTATAGGGCTCACTAAAGCTTGGGAAAGTGGTCCCTATAGGGGGCGTTCTAGTCGATAACTGTTATGAACTCTAAGCTGAGAAGCATTTCCATGGGAAAAATGAATAAATCAGCGTTTTTTGAATGAAGTTGAAAGTCTCCTATAGGGTCCACTTGTGGTTTAGGTGCTAAGGGGTCACACTCTCAACCCCTACAGAGACCTTAATTTAACCCTATAGGAACCACTTTTTCGGCCCCTATGGAACTCCTAAGTATAGAGCAACTTCGAAAGAACAAACCTGTCCGCAGCGATCGGCAGGTTGACCAGGTTGGATTTCCGAAATGACGATGGGCAGCGCATGTTCGGACCCTCCCTGCAAACTTGCGGTTGATCCGTCTCGAAAAAGGACTCGCCGTGATGGAGATGCCGAGGCCTTCGTGAGGCTGCTTGGGCAGCGTCACCTTGCGAGGCTTGCCGACGCCGTTCCGTCTCCGCAGAGTCTTGTAGTCGTGTCGCAGCGGCGCTCCGAGGCCTTTGGTCGTGCCGCGGCCGCGACACGCGCGGATCACCGTTTTGTGGCGATGCAGGTGGATCTCCGCTTCGAGTTGGTTCCAGAGTCGGTCATGCTCCACGCCTCGCATGTTGCGACCTAGCAACTGGATTTGTTGGATCCGTCCCGCGAGCTCCTGAAGAAGTGCTGATTACTACTCAGGCGAATTCTGCAAAGGTGTTGGGAAGGTAACCAGCAGGAGGTTATAAGGTTTATGGAAGCTACAAGGTCATAGAAGGTACAAAAGGTAAAAAATAAGAAATGGCTGACAGAAGCCTTCCAGCAGGCGTCTGCAAGGCTTCTGGCAGGTTTTTTCCTGATTTCTCGAAAAAAAGATACTTCTAAGTAAAACCGAATAGGAATAAAGTTTCAAAAAGATACCTTGTCAAGATATTTCGCCGCCAGCCTTGCTCCAAAAACTTCCGTCTCCAACGCCGATATAGTCTTTTTCTGTCTGAAAACTTTATTTTTAGTTTTATCAAAGAAACTTTTCTGTGATTCCTCAAAATAACAACGAACTTTCGGTAAATCATCGCTCAAAAATAGTTATCGTGATTTTGAGTCTTGAAAAATTTGGCAACAACTCGGGCAAAGTCGGAATGGTGGATAATTGCCGCAAAAAGGGTGAGGCTCAAAAAATGTCGCAGAAAGGCAGAAAAAATGCAGCAAAAAAGGAGCCTTTCTCATCCTAAAAGGAACATTTCTATGGAGCCTTTTCCGACTTTTCCTATGAAAACTTAACGATTATAAGTCCAGTGAGTAAGATCGATAAAAAAATTTAGATGCCGAGGAAAGAGCAACTTGGTTGAATTTTATGAAAATCTCAATTTACAGAGAAAAACTATTTTTCGAGAAAACTTGTAAGAAGAAAGACCTTTCACAATCTTTTCTGGTAATTTCCAACTCGCATTCGGTTCGCAGCGCCGGCATCAAATCGTTTCGAAACTGCGTCAGCTGGCCTTCCTGTGAATAGGTATGAAAATGTGAATAGGTATGAAAATCGGTATTTTTGTTCCTATAGATTTTTGTGTTGGAACGTCTTCAAGTTCTATTTGAAGGGAAAAAAAATCACTCAGTTTCTCGGGTAAGAGCACTCGTGGGAAAGACAGTACCTATAAATACCGAAAAAGTGGTCCGTGTAAGGGTTTAGGGTCTGACTCTTTAGCCCCTAAAGCTTAAGTGGACCCTATAGGGGTCTTTCATTTTTGAAAACTTATATTTATTCAGTTATTCCCATGGAAATGCTTATTCACCTAGAGTTTATAACAATTATCCTAGCATGCAAGGTTTAGGGCCCCCTAGAGGGGTTGGTAAAGTGGTCCCTAGAGCGGACCCTCCAAGAGCTCCTAAAGTTGTCCCTATAGGAACCACTCTGGAGTTCCTTAGTGATAGTTCTCAACGGTTCTCACCAGCTTCTTCTTGATCATGTCGGACTCGTGCGGGGCAGTTTTGGCGTGGAGTTGACACTGGAGACTGTGTACCTGCAGCATCAGCTGTTCCATTTGCTTTTCCACGGCGATCTGCAGGCCGCGCGACTCGGCCAACTCTCTCCGAAGGTGCGACATCTCCTGGGAAATATTAAAGTTCTGCAGTAACACTGGCGGGGGGTTGTAAATTTCATAATATATTCTTTGACCTTTTAGGTAGAGATCCTGGAAGCACACAAGTACAACCGACGGGCTCCGGACGTCTCTGGGCATTTCTAGTGACCACTTTAGTAGCGTCAACACTCTTAAGTGATCCCTAGAGCTGCCCAGAAAGGTCCGTTCCGCGTTACGAATGTCCAAGCATACAAAAAATTTTTAACGCGTTTTTCAGTTTTATTGATCCAAGCTCGAACTTTCCTTTCAAACTGAAGGAGAGAGAGAAACTCTTTGATATTCTAGGTTGAGGTCCTGGAAGTACACAAGTACAACGGACGCGCTCGAGAGAGAAAAGAACAGACCTTGTCCTGCTTGGCGATGGTGTGCTGCAGCGCCTGAGTCTTGTGCATCATCTGGGCGAAGCAGCCACTGAGCGTCGTCATTTTCTGCCGCCCTTCGTAGGTGATCTCCACCTGCAGCCTCTGAGCACGGCGCTCTCCAGACAGCCTTCTCACCTGGTCAGAGTCGATTTCGCCGAGGAGCAGGTCCAAGGAGACGAACGCCTTGTCGAAGTCCTTCTCCAGCGACTCGCTCCAAACGAGCGACCCGCCTTCCATCTGCAACTTTTTATAGTAAGAAGAGAAAATAAATGTTGGCGGACCGAAAGAATCAAATCGATAGCAGATTTTCGTGGGAATTTTCTCACCGACAACAAAATAACAGTCGGAATCATCGATTTTGAAGAGAAACGAGAAGATTTATTTTATTTTCAAGCAGAGTTTCCAACAAAAATTAGCTTTTTATGAACCTCATTGGCTATGAACTGAGAAATTTGGCTTTTCTCACCAAAGGTATAAAAGCTAAATAAAAGTGGCCCCAGTAAAACAGAAGCGGATTTGAGAGGTCAAAACGGTGCAAAAAGCATAGTGGTCCCTATAGGGGCTGTAGGGCAAAAATGGCTGAGAAAATGGCGCAAAAAGGCAGCAAAAAGGGAACCTTTATGGACTCTAAGAGGCTTCTTCCGACTTTGCCTATGTAAAAGGACCGGAAAAGTGGTCCCTATGAGGGTATATTTAAGGTGGTCCTTATAGGGGTTTAGCGTCTGACCCCTTAGCCCGTAAAGCTTAAGTGGGCCCTATAGGGGCCTTTCGATTTCATTCAAAAACGCTTATTTATTCAGTTTTCCCTATGGAAATGCTTATTCGCTTAGAGTTCATAACCATTATCGACCCCTTTAGGGGCCAATTTCGCAAGTTTCAGAGCCCCTGTAGGGGTTGGTAAAGTGGACCCTAGATGGTACCCTCCAAGGGCTCTATCGGAACCACTCCGGAGTTGCTAAGATGGGAATAAACATTCTTTCAACGAAGTTTCAGAATTAACTCAGCCGGCAGAGCTGGGTGCTGTCTCCGAGGGCCCCTATAGGGAGCACTTTGGAGTTCCTAGGGGCGATAAAGTAAAAATAGACTGTATAATGAATAGAACCATCTGCTGGAGACGACAAAAACCCTCGCAACCACAGAAATCTCTTCCATCAGTCCGTTGGCTTGAGAAGATATCAAACCAACTTCTCTACCAACACGTCTCAGATGAAAGGTTGATGCGGACCTACCGCATCGTGCGATGCAAAATAGGCCGACTGCTGGTCGACCCGCAGGATGTGGCTCCGGTTGGCGTGAGCCTCGCACATGCTCTGATTTTCGTAGAGCCGGTAGGCAACACACGGAATGGACGGAATATGGAAGAAGACGAAAAGCGGGTTAGGCGAAAAGAGTTGAAATAATCAAATTTGGCGCCGCACGCCGGCAGATGTGCTTCTGCATTGGGATGCGTCGCCGTGACCCCGCCGACATAGGGCTTTTCCAGCAGCTAATTGCATTCAGTCCGTGTCGGAAGCCGAAAAAAACAGGACCGACGCTTTGTTTTCCCTTGTCGTTTTTCGAATAATTTCTGTTTGATCAACAAAATGTGCTCTCCAAATCAGAAACCGAGTAGACGCTTCGGGGTTTCTTTTTTTTTTGTGGCTGAATTCAGGAGAAGATTCTCAATTTCTGCCGGAAGAAAAATTATTACAATCCTTATCCCCTAGGAATCCCAGAGTGGTCCCTATAGGGATTAGAAGGGAAAACAACCCCTGTAGGGGTGAAAAAAGTGGTCTCTATAGGGACGAGATCAAAGTGACCCCTATAGGGGTTTTTCAAAACTCGGTTTTTTTTTCCCACGGAATTGCTTCTTCGTTTAGAGTTCATAACAACATAAAAATCATCGACTAGCATGATCCCTATAGGGACCACTTTTTCAAGATTAAGTGGCCCCTATAGGGGTTGGTAAAGTGATCTCTGCGGTTGTCCCTATAGGGACCACTCTAGAGTTCCTGAGCGGCTCTAAAAGTTCTTTGTTCACCGCCCAGTCTATTAAATTTATCAATGAGAGAAAAAAAATGTATGCGTTTCTACAGAATTTCAGAAAAATCTTATTTCTTTTCTCAAACTAGTGATTGGCAAGGTTCAGAGACAAGTAACTCGCTTCTCAAGCAAAATGAAAGAAATCTCAATTTTTCAATAACCACAAGGTTTCCATAACCAGATGGTTGTCCAAAATCAAAACTATAGTTGGCTGATTACCTGCTCTTTGGAAAAATTAACCTTGAACTTCCTTTTATCTCATGTAGTTAATTTTTCAAAAAAACCGTCGAAATAATCCTTCCAGCAACCAAAATCGAAGAAGCCTAAAACTCACAGCAGAGACGAAAATTCGCAAGAATTGAGTGTATGAGTACCCCGGCCAGCGTTGTTCGACGATGCCGATGGATTCTGGCGGTGGCGACGGCGACCTTGAAGACGACGACGACGCCATTTTCCGGTCAACGCATCGAGAAAGAGAAAAACCAGGCTTGCAAGAAGAGTTCTTCTTCGGAAGATGGGAGGAGCCGCCGATCGATGACAACAAAATTATGATCCCTTCTTCGTCGTGGGGCACGACTTCAAAAACAGCTAACAAGAGTCGAAGTAATCTCTGACTCCTCATTAATAGACGATGTTTTTATGCAACTTATAATTGTTTCTTTCCGAGTTTCAGTGAATCAAAATTAGATTAGGGAACATTTTCTTGGCGTTTGATTTATTATCTAGGGTTGTCCACATCGCCGGCATTACTGTGGTAAATATAATTAACCAAAATTTACAAAGACGTAAATATTTCGGCTTCCAGAGAAAAGAAAGAGAGCTGTTCTTATTCATCGCGACAACTGAGAAAGAAATAGGAAGTGAGCAGCCGAGGAAGTTCGAAAAGCATTCGAATTTTGCCTTGCGATCGAAAAACAAGTATGAACCTTATTAATTGAAGGAAAAATGCAGCAGAAAGTGTTCAACACTTTTAAGTAATCATCGAGGCAATTAATCACAGAGCAAAATGATAATTAAGCTATAATAACAAGCTTCTCACTAGAAAACTTTTTTAGTCCCTTGAACTTTTAATGAAACTTCGCTAAAGTTTACGAAGTCATTTTGGAATTTTCTACAGATTCTCAAAAACTTTCTGAATGTCTAGGAAAAAATCCATCATAGCCGCTACCTTGGCAAAATTCTAGTTTTTGAAATATTATTTTTCAAATCTCGCGTTTAACACAGAATAAGTCCCCATAAGGAGGCCATATATAGACTATTCACGGCTAGCTTGGGACGCAAAAAGGCGTGGCCTGTCTGCACTCTCCACCAAACAGGGCACTGTCTCGTCTCTTTTCGTGGCAGGACCCTTTTCTCGATGGCTCAAGCCAGCCGTGAATCAGCTATAACCTCTTGGAATTTTCTAGAATTTTGCTTGAAAAATCTTCAAAGGTTTATATGAAGAACCATTAAATTTTCAACTCGCGCCAGCTTCTAGTTTTTGAAACAATCAATTTTAAAGTTCGAAAAATTAACCTTTTTCGCAAATTTCGAAAAATCATATCTCAAAAATTAGAGGTTTGCGCAGGTAGGAAGTATCAGGAATTTTCATACGGACATTCAGAGAGTGTTTGAGGAAATTTGTAGAAACCGCAAAGTGAAATTACCTCCTTGTTAGGACCTCCTGATTCCAGAAAATGAAAAAAATTTCGCGCAATGGATCTTTCTTTCGATTTATGGAGTTTCAAAGCCCAAATAATGATGAAAAAGTTGTATTTCAAGCTATTTCAACTGTAAAAACAGATCAAGAAACTTTTTTTGTTCTGAAATAAGGTGTTCTTGAAGTACACTTCCGACAAGTTCCTTCAAAAGTTCAACTGGGATGCAAAAGTCCGACATTTCTCCATCTGGAAACTTCAAAAGATGGTCATAGGCAAAGAAATTCCCATAAAAAAACTCCAAAAAGACCTTTTCCAGCTCGAAACCCATAAGTAGCGGCGATCAAGTCTCATAAACTACTTGGACACAAGGAAAAGAGAACGCGAAGAAATGACACTGAAGGACCAAAAAAAGGACGAACGATGGGCGGAATATAAAGCCGCCGATGAAAGATTTCCGTTTTGTCTGGCGCAAATTGAGAAAACCGGCGAAGAGTGAATGGCATAAGACGGACAAAGTGATGAAAACGGGCGGCCCAATTCGCCGAGCTTGATGAATGGTCTTTGGGCTCGGCATATTGCGCGGTAATGACACCTCGGGTGAAATACCGCCGCACATCGGCCGCAATTTCTCGTCGAGGTTTACGGAATTTATCATTTTTGACCTTAATTGAGAAAGTTCAGTCCTTTTCTTGGTTTTTTTTTTCTCGCCTTGCTTTTGATTGATCTCCTTTTTTCTAAAAACACAATTGAAGAAGTGTTTTTAGGCACAGGGAGAAGCTTACAAGGATAAAATGACAAGGAAAGGCGTCTATTGTTTCTTTTTTTACCTATAAGATAGTTCATAAATTTAGTTGAAAAAGTGAGAAAAATCAAAAAAATTTTTAGTACAGGGGCATGAACACGGAATTTTTTTTTTATTTGAGAGACTTTTAATGAACTTAGGAACTCCAGAATGATCCCTATAGGGGCAATCTTAGAGACCACTTTTATCAACCCCTATAGGGGCCATTAAAAGCTTACAAAAGTGGTCCCTATATGGGGTTTAGTTATTGGCCAGGCTAATCGATATATTTTATGAAATCATGCCAATAAGAATTTTCATGAGAAAAACTAAAAAAAATAATCTTTTTTGAATAAAATTGAACGATCCCTATAAGGTCCACTCATGCTTTAAGGGGCTAAGGAGGCAGACCCTAAACCCCTATAGGAACCACCTTGATTTTACCCCTATAGGGACCACTCTCTTCCGGTCAAACCTTCAGTGAAGATGCAACCACAGTCCTCCAAGTTGAGATTGACTCGAGATTTTCAAAGCTTTCGAACCAGTTTTACACGACCAAAAAAAATGTTTTAAATGAGACTGTAAGGTAGTTGATGCTTTAGAAAGACTCACAAAATCAAGGAGAGCTTCAAAAAACCGATTAATGTTAAACTTAAAGAAAAAAACTGCCAAGAGACACAAAAGGCTCTGAAACTGCCAAAAACGGTGGCTCTCTGAAGGCAGTTCCCACGGATTTCCACTCTCCGGTGGTTTTGGGCGTCCATTAGCCGTCGTTTCGCCTTTCAACTGCTTTGAAAACGGCTTTTCGGATGGAGCCATTTGGACGCCGTATCGCTGGCCGCATCTTTCTGCCGTCACGACCTTTTGCGTTCTCCGGAGTCAGGAAAGTTGGAGATAGTTTCCCCGAAAATAAGTGGATGGCTTGATTTGAATTCAGTCCTGACAAGGAAGGTTGCTTTCATTGACATAGGAAGTCATTTTAGTGTAGGTTTCAGGGTTTTGAACGATTTTTGATGGACCGTGAGTCAATCCCACATAGTCGCTACCTGCGCAAAACTCTAAACTCCAGAGTGGTCCCTATAGTGGCAACCTTAAGAACCCTTGGAAGGTCCCATTTAGGGACCATTAAACCTTGCAAAAGTGATCCCTAGAGGGGTTTTGGTTAGTGGTCCCGACCCCTATAGGGGCCACTAAAGCTTGCAAAAAAACGGTTCCTATAGGGGAAATGCTAGTCGATAATTGTTATGTTGTTATGAACTCTAAACAAAGAAGCATTTCCATGGGAAAAAAAAACTGGACTTTGAAAGACCTCTATAGGGTCCACTTGGGCTTTAGAGGCCAAGAGGTCAGACCTAAAACCCTGTAGGGACCACTTTTTCCGCCCCTACACGGGCCGCTCTGAAATTCCTTGGCGTACTGAAATCGTCCGAATAGGCAATATCTCGTCCAGTTTTTGAAGTTTCAACTGTCGGAATAAGTTGAAGTTGAGCAGGTACCCACCAGGATTTAAAAACCAACTATCAATCATCAGACAATCGAGAAGAGTGCCAGTGAAAAGGGTTTTCGAACGCTTTTAAAGCGACAAGCCGGCAGAGGAGGCACAATAGAGTGCATTATCAAGTCGGCGTGAATGGGGGGATGTGCCTGGAATGCGGCGGCCTCCTCTAATTGTCGAGCTGACGACGTCGAGCCGACGCCGGCTAACCGCATCAGAACAAGTGGATTGGTCAAGCATCGACCTGCCACACTCAGAACAACACAACTCAGGCACAAAACAGATGACTAGGAACGAAGGAACAACGGTATACTGTCTAGCGTTGCAGACCAAACACTTCAATTTACGCTAATAAAAAGCTTGCTTTCTATTGGAGTCAGATGAAGGTTGAAAGAGAAAATATCCTCTACATCTATTATCAAACTAGGTTAAAGTCCGTTTTTGCGACTTGAAAGGGCGGGACTTCTCTGCGCTCTCCTAATCTCTCGACATCTCTCTCATGTTTACGTGCTATTTCCATGTTTCTCTGACCTCGCCGGTGAGGGAACAGAGAGACGCAGACACGCGAAAACTGTCAAAACTACTTTTAGTTGAAACTTTACAGCAATAACCATAGCCAAAGTCGGAAAGGATCGAAAGAGGCTCCATAGAAATTGTTCATTTTAAGGCGATAAAGGTTCCTTTTTTGCTGCTTTTTTGCGCCATTCCATCGGCTCTTGTGCACCATTTTTGCTGCTTCTCCCTTTTTCCACCATTTCTTGAACCTTTGAAATTCCAGAAAAAGTGGAAGGATCGATGGAAAGACCTTTTTTGCTGCCTTTCTGCGGCCTTTTTTGAACTGCTCCCTTTTTTGTGGCCATTATCCACCATTCCGACATTTCCCGAGCAGGCTGCTTGAAAGACTGCCTTTTTGAAAACGAAAACTACTTTTTGGAATCAGCTTCTTAAAAAAGTTAAAAGTTTGATGGCCAAGGTTTTACAATATAAAAATATCATATAGAAGGTTGATTTTCCATGAAGTTGAGAAATACAGAAAATTTTTACAAGAAAAAACAGTATTTCATTTAAAAAAATTTTAATTGAATGGGATGATGATGGAAATTTCAAAAATTAACGCGTAGCCGTTTTAAAAAGTGATAAAAAAACGAAAAAAAGAAACCAACAATCATTTAAAAATCATGAAAAGGAAAAAAGAATATTAAACTACCATAATCCATAAATAGAAGTTGTGATGGAAAGGATAAGGTCAATTGATCTGTGGTCAGAGGTGCAGCCAATTATAGGGCCCGAAAAAGTGGTTCCTATAGTGGTAAAATTAAAGTTATCCCTATAGGGATTTAGGGCCTGACCCCTGAAAAAACAGAACTGAAGAATCATGGTTGCCCGATAATCGGCCAGAAACAGAAAGTGATCGTTTAAGGCCAGAAAACAGAGAGAAGTATCAAAGCAAGCCAACTACAAAACAAAGAACGACAAGTGGATAGAAGGTCGACGAGAGAAGGGACTCGAGAATTCGCCTACTCGAAGCTCTCTTCCGAAGCGGCGGAAGAAGGCGTGGAGCCTGGAGGCGACGCGGGCAAGTGTTTACATTTGAGGGTCCGAAAAAGGGAGGAAGACGATGTCAAACGAACCGGAGAATGATATGAACGGCTCCCCAGAGACCGTTCCAAGCCCATAAAAGGAAGCGTAGCCTGCAAGCAAAGATGGAGCCGATTCCCACAAGCTTCTCTCTTTGATTGTCTCCCAAGGCTTCCGTCATTGACAGTGGTTCGGAGCATCATTAGAAGTTCAACAGGCAGATTGATGAGAAAAGTGAGAATGTTAAAAGATTCTCCCAAAGAAGGTGAGAAGTCTGAAAAAGCATCGAAAAAGTAGCATTAAAAAATCCATATGGTCCAAAATCCAAAATCCAAAAAATATAATAACTTCTTAGACACTCCAGAGTGGTCCCTAAAGGGGCAACCTTCTAGGGACCATTTTACAAACCCCTAACGTTTGAAAAGTAGTCCCTTTAGGGGTTTTTAGTTAGTGGCCCCTATAGGGGGCAAGCTAGTCGATAAATTTTTTTTTACTTCATGCGAAGAAGCATTTTCATGCGAGAAACCAAATAAAAAAGAGTTTTTCTATAAAATTGAAAGAACCCTATAGGGACCACTCAAGCTTTAGGGGCTAACTGGTCAGACCTCAAACCCCTATAAGGACCATCTTAATTTTACCCCTATAGGGGCTGTTTATCCCCCTAACCTCTATAGGAATCACTCTAAAACTCCCAACGGATCTTTCTGGCCAGAATTCTGTGATTTTCAAAAAAGCCGGTCTAATGTTCTTCGATGTACTGACCCAAGCACATGGCCCAAACTTTGCAATTTTGAAAATCCTAAGCTTTTTCCTGTTAATAGATCGGTACCATGACAGGGGATAGAATATATATACCAAAAAAGCAGATTTTTTTTATCGATTGGTTAAATGAAGCAAACTAAAAAGTTCTGTTTGAGCCATTGATTGGATTATCTTGAAAAAAGCAGTTAACTTTTTTTTCAAAACGTTGTGACGATTTTATTTTCCAAGCCGATTTCTTAAAAACTCGAGAAGAACTTATTGACTATCAGACACTTGAAGGAAAATCTTGAGAAATGGAAAGTTCGTTAGCAGACGTGTGGCGTTCTCGAGTGGCGTGGGCCCTCAGGAAGGAGCGAAAGGAGCCGTTGACGGCACGCGAAGCAGGAGCTCTTCACAGAGCTACCGTAGCCTTTCGGGAGGGTTCGGGCCCAATTTCCCAGCTAAGACCTTTAATCACGCGGATTAACCCAACGACGTCCAAACTTCCGGAGCCACAAGTTACTTTTCAAGACACTTCATTCTCCACTTTTTGAAAGGAAGTCTTGCTGTAGGAACGAAACATGTACAGCTGCGTCATAAATATTTATAACAACATATATTCCGACGATTGTTCAAGTTCCCCGGAGCATCGTTACATCGACACGGCATAAAACATCTTGCAGGAAATAAAAACTCCCATAATTCAGAGAGAACATAAACTTCGGAGACCCCTATCAAACTGCTATAAATGGCAGAAACACAAGTGATGTTAAAGTTCACAACCGACCGAGAATGATATCGAAAATGACTATAGATGGCACAACCTAAAAAACGACGTCTACATGGTTGAATTAGACTAAACCCAAAAATGAACAGATTTTTAAAGCTTTACCCCCTGAAGCTTATTATCAGAAAAAGAAGCAGCCCTCAAACTGATTAAACTGAAACATCGCCCTCGAAATTGAAAAATCAGTTAGGATGAAATGGAGATACATGCAATAGAGAACGTGTGAAGAATTATAAAAAGTTAGAAAGAAAAGTTACTTATCGACGTATTCGATTTCCCGAGAGTCTGCATCGAAATGAACGGGTCGTATGGGCGGCACGATTTCGACTTTCTTCTGCTCCGAGCCCGGAAACAGCGAAGAAGCCTGAAGCTGACTTTTCAGACCTCGAGCCCCCGAAGAAACATACAGAAACAAGTCCGAAGTTTGATTTCGATATCACGTCGTTCACCATCGTCACGACTTCTTTGTTTGCAAACTGGATATTTATTCGGCTGGAAATTCATAATTTCTATACTTTGATTCAAACCAAACTTTGAGAAAAAACAAACTTTTCAGGATTCAAAATTCCGCAGCTCGACATCTTCTCACAGATTGTTTTGTTGAGTTGCGCATTGAACAATGGAACTCCGAAGACACAGTCCAGGAGCACGTAGTCGTCGAAAGAAGAGCCTTCAGGCAGCTTCCTACAGTTCGAATCAGTATAGAAAATCTCGAAGGTCGAATCGGACGTGTCGGGGCATTTTTAGTGACCACTTTAGTAGGGTCAGCGCTCTTAAGTGGTTGCTACGACAAGAGCGAGTTTTCCATTTGCCGAGAGTACTGTATGCGAATATGCGCATTGCGTGCATGCACTTTGTGTGTATACACTTTTGTTGCGTGACCTCACCGCATCGTACAACTATTTTTTATCGTGCAAATATCATAGAGAAAAATTCAAATCTTGAAAAAAAAAGCGAAAAAAAAATGGAAACAAAAAACGCGCAGAAATACGATGCGGTGACGTCACGCAAAAATAGTGTAAACACACAAAGCGCAAGCATATTCGCATACCGTACTCTTCGCAAATGGAAAAATCGTTCTTGTCGTAGAACCCTTAAATGATCTCTAGAAATGCTCAGAAACGTCCGGAGAATGTCCGGTTTTCGTTACCGAGGTCCGAAATGTAGCTCGTCGCGGTTTATACGGCCCCAAAAACCCAAAAATGAAATCCAAAAATGCCTCACTCACTCCAAGATTGAATTCTTAGCGCTGCCTGGTTCAGCGTCAGCTCCCCCCGCGATACCGCCCAACTCGGCGAACGCTTCGTCGACCCGCATTCGGGCGGCGATGTCGCGGCCGCCGACGTTGTCGCGAGCCACCACCTTGTTCTTCAGCAGCACGACGTAGCCCGCCAAGTGCCGCAATCCGATACGTTCGGTGAGAATTAGGATGGCCGGGTGTTTGCAAAAGGAATCTGCGAGCGCCTGGGTAACAATTTTTGCGAGCAAAATGATACTTCACCCTCTGTTTCTAGTTCGGCCTCGTTGAATGGGAATGGGACAAAAACGATCAGGTCCGACTCGTCTGTCGAAGGAGGGTAGTTCTGGAAACGAATAGATGAGAATTGAGAAATAATAAACAGCGGCTAACAAGGGAGATCATTTTACTTTGTGGTTGGGAACTTTTAAATTGGCCAGAACCCTTCTTGATGTACCAGATAAAGATCCTGAAAGTCTCAACCTGCACAATTTCCTAGTTTTCGAGAAATAAGGGCTAAAAGCCTCAAAATAGCCTATTTTTATAGGTCTGAAGGGTTTTCTTTGACTTTGAGGCCTTTTTCCAAAAATTGAGAAGGCTGTGCAAGTTGAAATTTCCAGAATCTTCTTCTGGTACATCAAGAAGCATTCTGGCCAGTTTTTTTAGAAAAAAATCCCAACCGCAAAGTAAAAAAATAAATAAAATGCCAAACTTTTACAACCGCCAGCTACGAGATAAGTTGATGCGGGAAAAAAATATTTACAAAAATCTGAGCTAGAATAATCGAGAAGAAAAATGAATCTCCGCTCTATCTTTTTTTGAAAACTTTTAAGTCTTTGTGTTTCATGACATGCAGCGAAAGTGTGATGATGAGCGATATATCAGATTTTCCACAAAAAAATGGAATAAAAATAAAACTTCTATTTGGAAGTTAACCTCAGGTCTTACTCAATAATATCTAACTTTCCGCAGGACCCTCTTACAGTGTCTCTAGGCTTGTGCGTCAGACCGGGCGGCCTGGGCTTCGGACCTCTTTTTTGAGAAAAAGAAAATTTGAGCTTTTTAGAGGGCCGTCCATTTTTTCTTGAGGCCTTCCTAAGGCCTCGCCGGGCCGATAGGCTGACGGGCCGACTCTCTCACAAGCCTAAGGATCTCATCGTTGCAAAGAACGAAAAAAAAATTCTAGAGCCGAGGACCTGAACGAAAACGGCGCTGTTGGAGAGCAAGTCGTTGAGAGCGAGGAGAGCGTGTTGGACGGCGACGAGGTGAGGCTCGTGCTTGGGACTAGAAACCAGGATCCGACCGTTCGTCGCCAGGTTGTCGTTCTCGTCGCCAAGAAGCGCCTGCGGCAGAGTGGTCAGCCTCGTTCCCTGCGGCAGGTAGATCGAGGCGGGGCCGCTGCGGGTCGCTCCGTAAATCGCCAGGCGGAACCAAGGTGAGCAAGTCTGAACTGGCCGTGTACTTTTCTCAAAAATACACGAAGCCTCTTCTTTGGAAATTTCTTTTGAATGAAAGTTGTTTTTTAGAAGCAAAAAAGCTTCAGAGGAAGAAAAAGTCGGATTTTTAATAGAAAATTCTTATCGAATAAATACATCTATCCCTCTCTTCTCTGAAATTTCGTAAAATCTCTTTTTCTTCTGTAAATTTGAACCGTATGAATCTCAGAGTAGTCCCTATAGGGGTTAGGAGGAAAAAACAGCCATTATAAGGGCCGAAAAAGTGGTCCCTATAATGGTGAAATCAAGATGTTCCCTATAGGGGTTCAAGATCTGACAACTTAGCCCCTAAAACTTATAGGGGTCTTTCAATTTTATTCAAAAAATATTATTTTTTTTAGTACATAGAAATTATCGACTAGAATTTTTCCTATAGTAGCCACTAAAAAACCTTATAAGGATCACTTTTGGAAGCTTTATTGACCGCTATAGGGGTTGGTAAAGTGATCCCTACAGAGGTCCCTCCAAGGGCCTTTAAGGTTGCCCCTATAGACACCTCTCTGGAGAGCCTTAGAGAGCATGAAAATTTCAAGTTTCACGGAATAATATAAGAAATTTTTCAAGATTTTCTTGAATATAAAAGAGCGCTGAAAAGTCTTCAAAGAAACCATTAAAGAATCAGAAGTTTACCTCAGCATTCGGCGGTCCAATAAAAGGAATCGAGGAGATGGGTACCGTACACGCCTCTAACAACAAAGGTGCCATGGCCACCAGAATTCTGAGAATGAAGATTGGGAAAAAAGAGCGAGGAAGATCGAACCCGTAGCTTTTGGCCAAGACTCGAACGCGGCTGCTCTCGTCGAGTGTCAGAAGACTTTCTCCTCTCAACAAGTCGGCCTCTCTGCCCTGTCGAAGGCTTCGTAGAGAGTCGAGCAACGCCGTCGCATGGGCCGAATACCTCTGAGCTTCTCCTTCGGCAAACTGGTTCACCTTTAAGAAAAAGAGCGACTTTCGACAAAACTCAGATCAGTACACATTCCAGCTGCTCCAAAAAATCTCTCATCTGCTCGTCCGCCAGCTTCCCGACTTCGAACAATGTCACTGCGTGTCCCTATAACAAACCAGCGAATTTTTCTTTTATTTAATTTACAATTCGTGAATCTTCTTTTTCTGATTTTTTTTTCTATGAAAGTAGATGACAAAGTTTTAGAAGAAGTGATATAAAATAAATGAGGCATGCAAATAATTTCTGAAAACTTAAGACTTATTCATTTTTTCAATCATCTCTTAGGAACTCCAGAGTGATCCCTATAGGGGCTACTTTAAGGGCCCTTTGAGGGACGTTAGTGGGTTATCCAAACCCTATATGGGTCACTGAAGCTTGCAAAAGTGGGTTCTATGAGGATTTCAGTTAGTGACCTTTATAGGGAACATGCTAGCCGCTTTTTCGACTCCTACAAGGACTGTTTTCCCCCTAAACCCTGTAGGGACCACTCTGGAATTTCTAAGCTTCATCCGACAGCATACTGTCAGTTTTCTAAATCAACAAACTTTCAACGAAGCCGACAAATTGCCCATCATGAGAAAAGCAGCGAGTGAGGAGTCGAAAACGAAAGCGGCTCTGTTGCTCGTCCCAACGTCTGACGTGGGTAACGAAGAAGAAGTCGATGAGGTCATTGACTGAAAATTTGCTCCTAAGTTTCTTTCAGATGACTTCTCTCACTCCTTCTTTTGTGAGCGTCGGTGGTTGCGGAGAGAAGCCTCGAAGCATAGGAGCAGAGTCGTTGGAAGACGGCGACTGCGCCTCTTCGGATTCATCGTCGTCCAACGACGTCAAGTTGGTCGAGAACTCATTCAGGTCGACGCCTGTCGATATGTCTTCCCTAGAAGATTCAGGGTTCAGTTTCGAAACTAGATTCGAAAGAATACTGCGTAGGAGAAGTCGGAGAGTTTATAGCGCTTCCGGAAGTTGGAGTTCCTGTGGAGACTAGGCCAGCCCAGGAGAAGTGCAGCTTCAGGTTCTCAGCTCCGGTCACTCGTTTTCTCGCGAAACCCAGCCGGCAGAACAGGGAAATCGCGTTTTTCACTAGCTGGGTATCGATGTGCAGGATTTGGGCCATCTGTCGTTGAAGTTATAATCTTCATCTCCTGTGAAAAAAACCTCTTTGACAGTAGTTTGATCGTCGATGGCGACAAATATTTTGTAAAGAAGTGTTTCGAAATAGTCGCCAAGAACCCGGTTCATGACAAACCCGTCGAGGGGAGCCACTATAAGAGAGATTTGAAGAGGAGTTTCAAGAAGATTCTGACCAAAGACGTAGTCGTTGTCTTCGACGGGCACTTCGAAGTAGACGAGGCCCCTGTTGTACAGAGCCGTGATCACGTTGACGGGCATCGTGCCGGCCGATTGCGGCCCGGAGTCGAAAAGTCGGTCGATGACCTTTCTTTCCTCCTCGGTCAGCATCTTCAAATCGAGACTTTCACTTTCCTTGAAGAGAAATTGACAAAACCTTGACATCGGACTCTAGAACCGAGCCTATACTGACGGTCCACCACGGTTCAAACGACAGCTAGAGATATTTGAGCCACAAAGAAATATGAGAAAATGCACCTTAGCTGGCTTTTGAGGGAGCAACTCTCGGGTCGTTCTATTCCTTCGCAAGAACTTTCGGTTGGACCTTTATAAACAAACTTTTGAAAAATGAATATGTTTCACTTTGAACCTCGTTTGATTCATTAGATCTATGTATTGATTCCTACCAATCCCTAGTAACCGAACCGCATCAGCCGCCGTGAAGTTGGGGAGCGAGTCGTACGACTTTTCTTGATTCAACATATCCTGGAAGCACATCCAACCCAACGTAGGAAAGCACTTACAGAGAGAATATTGATGTAATAATTGAAGGGCGAGGTTCGGAGTTCGCGGACAATGATGTCGGACAAATGGTAGGGGAAGAGCATGAGGTGCGACTCCGAGAAGCGAATCAAATGGTCGTAGTACAGCTCTTCGCTCTTTTTCACATGTCTAACTGCAAAATTCAGAGGCATACATGCTGAATGAGTGAATAGCTTATTCACGGCTGGCTTTAGCCATCGAAAAAAGGGTCCTGACACGATAATGCACGTGATAGCGCCTGGATCGTGGAGAGCGCAGACATGACACGCCCCCTTAGCGTTCCAAGCTGGCCGTGAATCAGCTTTACCGAATCATATCAATGTATACCTTTTAAACAGCTGAAATGTAAAAAAAAAACCGGGCCAATGTGCTATAGGCCATTCCGCGCAAGCTTGTTTCCGTTCGAAGCGCGCGAGATTTTCCTCTGCCTGTGTCTTTTATTTGGCCTAAAATTCCCTTTATACTAAAGGCGCAAGCAGAGATAATACAGCTGAATCACGGCTGGAACGCTAAGGGGCGTGGCTTGTCTGCGCTCTCCACGAGTCAGGCACTACCTCGTACAAAATCGCGTCAGGACCCTTTTCAGAAGGCTCAAGCCAGCCGTGAAGCAGCTGTATCGCGCGCATCGAAAGGAAGCTCAGAGAAAACGAAAATCGTGACAAGCTGGCGCGGAATGGGCTATATATTAAAGGAAAAATAGCCGTAAATACAGCCCTTGCTCTACAAAAATTCTAAAATACAGCAAAAAACAAAGGTTTCGAAGCGAAGATGCTCAATGTTGATATAATTTTTTATACTGTAATTTTGGCGGAAACGTGACAAGCTGGCGCGGAATAGACTATAATTCTTTATATCCAAATTTTATTCTTCAGTCCAAACTAAAATTATTCATGTTAAATTTTTGATAGAATCTGTGAGAAAAATCTTCTCATTCAGCTCAAATGTCACAGTTTCGTTTTCAGATTTCCACCGTTCCATACCTAAATTTCCTTTATAGCGAAGCTGATTGCGAATCGAATAGTCGAAAACGCGTTTCTCGTACTCCTTGGAGGAGTTTCCGAGCAATATGCGTACATCTTCGGGAAGCTTGGGCCATGCAATATTCTCCCGTATGCACGTCTCAACGTCCATATAAGGAAGGAACTGGGAAAATCAGGTTGAAAGAAGAAAATTGGATTTTGAAATATGAAGCGAATAAACGCAGAGTAAATATAAAAAGGATGATGAAAAATGATTTAATCATGTTCTGCAGGAACACCCGTATGATTGGAAAGAAAGCAAATAAAATACATTGATAAATATATCCACATCTATTTTTTGTTTAGACGAAAGCATCAACGGTGGCGATTCCATGAACATTTTTCAGATGCAGCTGGTAACGTTCAGGGCGCCAGAACCTGAACAGGGAGCAATAAATAGGGGGAAAAAAAAATTTTAAGATAATTCTCTCGGCTTTTTCTTTTTTGAATACAAAAAACTGGAGAAATTTTTAAGTGGTCATTATAGTAGTCAAATTAATGGACACTAGAGGTTAAAACTCAGTGGCCACTATAGAGTTCCAAGTGGTACTACTAGATGATTAAAACTACTACAGTTGCCAATAATGAACAAAATAGTGGCCTCTATAAAGGTTGTTTTAGTGGCCACTTCAGTGTCCTCTTCAAATAGTCCTTGAGGAGCCTCTATAGTTGCCACTAAAAGGCCAAAAACCACGAAGACATTGATCACCTGGCGTTGCAGCCTTCGACAGTGCAGGTAACTTGTTGCAGCTGCAAATGTTGCCGGTAAACGTGGGTGTCCATGTTTTTCTTGTCAGCGTACGAGACGCCACACTTCTTGCAGCTGTACGGTTTTTCGCCTGGAAACAGAGCTCAAAAAAGTCAATATTCGCCCAACTCGACTATTTGTGTCCATAATAATCTTACCAATCGGGAAAGTTATATCTTTTGAGGAAATGGATTAGTTTTTGAAAATACTTCTCAAATCAGCTTTCTTTTATAAAAATTGAACGCAAAAAGGTGTCATAGCCAACGTCGGAAGGGTGGAAAAAAGGTCCATAGAAATATTCCTTTTTTGCTGCCTTTTTGGGCCCTTTCATCGGCTGTTATGGACCATTTTTGCGGTCTCTCCCTTTTTCCACTATTTCTTGCGCCTTTAAAACACCGGAAAAATAGAAGGATCGATAAGGGAGCCTTTTTGCTGCCTTTCTGCGACCTTTTTCAAGCCTCCAAAAATAGACAAAGAATTCTTGAAAACGAAAAAAATAATTTTCCCTGAAAAAATACGTGAAACAGTGAAGCAATCAATAAAATATGACTAAGATACCTGTGTGAGATCGGATGTGACGCATCAGATTACTCTGAATCTTGAAACTCTTGCCACAGTACTCGCACTTGTAAGGAGTTTCATGGGTGTGCATACAGCTGAAAAATCAAGTTTCTGACAGATACATTTTTTTTTTGGGAAGAGGTTGTTCTTTGAAATTTTTCAAACTGAATCTGGGCTTTCGACTTTTTTTTTTCTGATGGCTTTTTTCGCAATGGAATATGTTTGGAAAAAAAACTGAACAAAGGGATTTTTAAGCCATATTTTCCGTTTTGTCAGTTCACTAAAAATTCCTCTCGATTTTCTCGTGATAAAATAATTTCTACGTCTTTTTTTTTTTGATCCAAATTCCTCAAAAAGTCTTGCAAGGTACCGATAAAACTGAACAAAGCACTTTGCCAGTACATAAAGTTCGTCTTCATTCCTTCTAAAAAGCCAAAAAACATAGGCAAAGGGTAGAAAACCGCTCCAAAAATGTTCCTTTTTGCAGCCTTTCTGCGCCATTTTATCGGCTTTATGTACCATTTTTTGAAAAGTTCTAAAAAGAGACTCTTTTAGCAGCCTTTCTGCGGCCTTTTTTTGCCTTCTAGCGGCCATTTATTCACCATTCCGACTTTGCCCGAGAAGATCATGATTAATAAAAACTGGAAACCGACCGGATGTGTTTCTGGATGGAGCTCCTCTCTCTAGAACGATGGTCGCAAAAGTTGCATTTATAAGGTTTTTGCATCATCTCCTGGAGGAAGAGGTCGAGTGAAAAGAAGAGAGGTTGGGCAGAACTTCCTGGTCGCCAACGATGAGGGGGACGGTGAAGTCGTTGCGAGACACGACTTCCGGAAGGCCGTAGCCGAAGCTGTCGAGAGGCCTTTTGCGAGAGAACTCGGCCGGGATTCGCGTCACGTTCACCGCTGGGATCGGCTTCCCGTCTTCAGATTTATCCTCTGAAAACCACTTCTAGGAGGTTTCAGGAAAAAATGAATTTGCCTTCATAGACGACCGGGCCTTTGACTTGGATCTCATTGATTGGCAGCAGCCCAACAGTTCTTCTGTTTCTTTTCGGACCTTCGACGTAGTTTTCGTAGATTCTTGACAAAATTATTGAGCAAATGAATGAAATAGGAGTTATATAGCCTGTGTACGACTTGAAATTCACCGAACGACATTCCGCTGTGACACTGCGCGCCTTTGCAAACCTTGGTCGCGTTCTTTTAATTTTTTTTTTTATCAAGGTACTCTACTTTCATGTGCTCCCACAGCAATAATAATAAATTGAAAGCGTGACCTAGATTCGAAAGACGCTTCGCGAACGCGCGCAGCGGAACAGCGGAATGTCGTTCCGTGAAATTTCAAATCGTGGCACATAGACCACACCTGTTATAGTCGCTGGAAACTGGATCTCCTGGCAAGTTATCGCTAGAGCTATCGATTTGAAAGCCTGAGAGGCCGTTTGAACGAATGATATGACTGTGGTCGAACATCAATTCCTCTAAAAATGTGCAATCGAAGAAGGAAAGAAGAAAGAACCAACCAGTAGCCGAAGGCAAATCTTTCTCCTTCTGTTGAGCGTCTGCAATGCACTTTGAAATGATACCAACAAGACCCTTGGAATTCTCATTTATATTGTTCTCTCGGGGGAAAATCTCAAAATACATGGATCTCAAGCCGTTCAGCCGGGATTCGCATCAGTTTCAGACGTCGATCTTTCCTGGTGGTTCTCAGAAATCCCAAGTACATGAAACTGACGATTTCGTAAGCATCATGTCTAAGAAAAAAGGTAGTTTTAAAATAGAGGGAGCCCAAACTTGGACATAAAAATAGCTTTGGGATCGATGTCTAGTGTGACCAGAGCACGCTGTCCGACTGAAAGTATAAGATTCTGCAGGACTTTCGAGTAGGCGACCAGAACACACCGATGAGCCCAGACACGGCCAACCTGAGGCAATATGAAAAATGATGGATGGATATTGAAAAAGTGCATGATAGGAGGCTCAGGAGGAGAACGGCATGCATCAGTTCAGAGAGCACGGTAAACTTGGAGTGACCAGACTCGTACCCTCCTCGCTCTGCACACTGTCTGAGGACCTGCACGCTGGCATGTCAAAAAGGAAACGGCAGAGTCTGGTCTCTCCAAGTACACCGTGCTCTCTAAACTGATGCAAGCGCGCTGGTATGCCGTGCTAACGATTCTAGAAGCACTATACAGTGCTAACGATTCTAGAATGCCTAGGAAATCCGTTAATCTTCAAGGTTCACCCCAAGAATTTTTTTTTTCTTCGTACCACCATCACCTACATTGACATTGATGATGCAGTCGAGAAGGATGCGATCGCGTCTCATCCTGTCGAACTCCCTCAAGACGTCGAGGGCGTGATCGTCGTTCCTGATGCTCCGAGTGGACAGCTCCACCAAGCACTTGACGTCGGGGAAGCTGACCCTCTTCTTGCTTCCGCACGCTTGGATTCCCACTCATGAGGGATATTTAGAAAGTTCGTACCTTCTTCTAAACCCTCTTCCGACCAGGAATCCATGGGACCAGCAACGACTTCGATCAAAGAAGTTGAAAACTGAAGAGAGACTGTTAGAAACTCTGGAAAGATGAACTCCGGAACCTTTTCCAGTTTGGCGCACTGCAAGGCCTTGGCAGCTCTCCAGAGCTTCTCATCCACTTCCACAGCGCCGGTGTACATGTAACGGATCACTTTGAGGAGAGAATTCCGGTCCACATCTAGAAAGTCCTTGTGAAGAGAAAACCTTCAAACAAAGGCTTCTGTAGCCGCAAAAAACTCTCTATATCAACATACAGTACCGTCAGAAAAGATACTAAAAATTTTCGCTCGCCATTTCCTCGTATGAAGCTTAATTTTTTTTTGAAACTTTCTAGGCTGCGTTTTTTTTTCTGCGACTGAAATTCCATCAGGGGGTTAAAAATAACAGTAATTACTACTCCAGAAGTTTTCAAGAAGATTAAGAAAGTTTTTTTGATCAAGAATGTTGATTTTTTTCGTATCTTTTCTGACGGTACTGTAGGTAAAATATAAAACTCATGTAAATTCAAGAGCGAAAAAGAAGATCGATAAATTAATCTTTATAATATTCGAATTAAAAAAAGAGCGCAAACTGACTTTTAAAAAAATACATCTTGTTGCATGTTGAAAAAAATTTTTTTTAAAGGATTATCCTATACAATAGAAAAAAAAAATCATAAATCGGAAAAGTTATGATAAAAATTAATAACTAGGCTCATTTTTTTCCAGTTTGCTTTATTCTCATTTTTATTTTGCTGCTATTAATCGATATGGAGTGGATGGTAATGGCCGCTAAAAGGAAGAAGCTCAAAAAGGCCGCAAAAATGCAGCAAAAAGGGTCCCTTTATCGATCTTTCGTTTTTCTAGAATTTTTAAGACTCAAAAAATGTTGGAAAAAGGGAACAGCAGCAAAAATGATGCATAAAAGCCCATTAAATGGCGCAAAAAAGCAGCAAAAAGGAATTTTTTCGGATCTTTTTTCCACCCTTTCCGACTTTGCCTATGTTCTAACACAATTTTCGAATATATTCATGAGATGAGAAAAGTTGATTCATACTAGTTAGGGCAAAGAATTCTAAGGCATTGGTTAATTTGGATCATATCTTGATATGAACGAATTATTATCATATTACAGACCTACGATAGACGTGTCGAGATCGAGCGTGATTTGCGAAGTGGGCGGATGGATACAAACGAGGGTCGACTCGAAGAAAGTGCTGCACGCCGCCAACAACGCTCCGTGAGCTTTGACGACGGGTTCGCCATCGACTTCGATCGTCACGTTACACAAGGGATGGTCGGCTTCCTGGGAAAGACGAATGATATTCGCGTCGTTCTCGAGACCAACGAAACCTCTTGAGCTTTTTGCAAGGAGTTCAGGAGGACTGTAGCGTGACTCTTCGAGGAGTAATGGAAGTCCTCTGGTTGATCAGCAACGTCCAAATTTGTCGCTTCCTCCCATTTGGCAGGGAGAGTCGAGCTCGACGGCTTCATCCAGTGCTAATTCTGGAAAAAGACCTTTCTAGAAACATAGTGGAAAATAGTGAAATATACGTCAAAACCCAATTTTGATAGAGTTCACGTCATCGCGACGACAAAAGAAATACAATGAGAGACACAAAAAAGCCAGAAATTTCTGTTTTTTTTTCTTCTTCCAATGAGAATACCCTTTTCTGGCTTCTCTATGCTCTCGCTATAAATTCATAGTAGCGTAAACTCCATACGTCCGAATCGACAGAGTGAAACGCGCTTGGAATGGCTTTTTCGTCTGCTTTTCTGCACTCTCTCGCTTGAGCACAAAAAAATTTCAATTCTAATACGTTTTCTAATCAATCAACTCGTATTACGCCAAAAGATTGTTTCGAAGGAACAAATAAACTAAATAATTTCGCACAATTTCAAAACGCCTTTAAAAATACTTCTAATTATGTCAGAACCTAAAATTTTCCGCTTTATTTTTTTATCATATTGGCTTTAAATTCACGACAAAAAAATGAAGAATAAAATAGTGAAAGACAATAACATTATTCTTGAAAAAAATGAGTTTAGAAAAAACAAATAAATTGGAACGCTTTTTTTCTAGAAAATTATTCGCTACATAAAAAAATAATTACGTCTCTTAAAACTAAAAAAACAGCTTAAAAGAAGCAACTGAGCTTTTTGAGGCCTCTGAAGTTAACTATAAAAAAATTTCTGAAACTTCAGTTTCACAAAGATTTTTTGAACACTACGAACTGGATTGCCAGCCCCAGCAGATGAAATAAACTACTTGCAACTCATAACTGTCAAGTTTTAGTGCTTAAAAAGCGTCAATCGTTTGATAAGGTTCAAAAAAATGGGAAAAGCTCACTAAATTTATCGAATAATAATTTTTCAGCCGTCGTAAATTGTTTCTGTGCAACCACAGTTTGCTATGAACTTTGCTGAATACAGTAGACTTCCAAAAATAAAAATTTCCGCGCGCGAAGACAGCTTGCGTTTAAAAATTATTAATAAAATATATTTTAATTATTACAAAAATAATTTTTTTTGCGAATTCAAGTTTATAAAGATGTCATTGTAACAGAAGTAATTTTTTTCTATTATTTTTAAAAAAATTTTAAAAAAATTCAAAAAAATGCTCTAAAAACTTCAACTTTTGGTTTTCTTTTTTTAGTTTTACCATAAATTTATGCTTGTTTCAAAATTTTTTTAATTCTGTGTCTTGTTCCTTTACAGGTGACAGAGCTTGTATTTATTTTTTTCTATTTTGTTTTTTTTAATTATTACCGTCATTCGGACCATAAACCTTTCTCTAAATTTTAGCCCATGAACGTCCCTCCTCCACTTTAACGACATTTTATTTTTTTCAAACACATCTTTTCTGTTTTAGAAATCTCTGGTCACAGTTTTGTTGGTGAGCCGAATATTTTCGTTTTTCGTTCCCAACGTTTCTTTCACGTAATTTCTATTTGTGATTAATTTTATAATAATTAATTTTTTTCAGGTTCTGTTTCAAATTTCGAGAACCGCAAGAGTGCCTGAAGCTTTGTTCAGGTCAGTTTTTCTTATGGTCTTTTTTTAGTTTTTTTGAAAAATAAGTCTATTAAAAAAAGTGCCCCAGTTAGCTTTTTTTTCTTGACTTGAAGTAGATATTGAAATATGATTCTGATTCAATTTTGTCAACTTTTCGATTCCTACAATCAAGAATTGTAGTCTAATTACCAGAACTTTCATATCATAACAATGACGCGAACAAGCAATCTTTTTTTCTCTTTCAAAATCTTTTTATTCACGCATTTCGAGCAGATTGTAGTTTTTTTTCGAACTCATTCGATTTCTCCTCTATTTTTTGTTGAAATTCAAACTCTGTTATTGTTTGGATTCCACTAGTGAGGATTGTTTTCTGTATTCTGCATCGAAAACATGATGGGTTTTTTCGACGCGAAGACCTCTTCTGACCGCCTTTTGCATGACGTGATGCATGGTTTTGGCTTGTTTTCTTGTCCGTTCCTCTCATTATGTGACCGCCATGAGAAACGACGTCTTGTTGCCGTTTGGAAATTCCTGCTCTCTCGAATCGTTAATGTCGAATTTGGGATATTGGGAGAAACATCAGCGGCGCTCCTGCATGGAAGAATCGACTAGGCGTATACAAACTGACGATTTAATTTTAGAACACATACACATACACGGAGAGGCTCTTGGCCCCCCGGAGGAGCGCAGTCGTCGTCGACTTTCCAGAGAAGAAAAGATGTCGAGAAGGCGCGAGGATTTGAGTGCGAGATGAAGAGCCAGTGGCCCTTCGTCTGCAACTTGCCTTGGCCTGCAGATGAATCTTTGTCTAAACTCTCCAGGAGGCGGCGCCTTCGTTAAATCTTTTCCCTTGATCTTATCCGCTTCTCATTCGCTTATCGGGTTTGATTAACGAGGAAAAAGAGCTTTCACAGGGAACTGATTTTACTTTGCGGTTGGGAATTTCCTGAGAATTGGCCCTTCTTGAGGAAGATCCTGAAAGTCTCAACCTGCACAACTTCCTAGTTTCGGAGAGATAAGGGCCTAAAGTATCAAAATAGCCGATTTTTATGAGTTTTAAGGGGTTTCTTTGACTTTAAAGGCGTCTAAAACGAGGAAGTTGTGCAGGTTGAGACTTCTAGAATATTCTTCTGGTACATCAAGGAGTGTTCTGGCCAATTTTCAGGAAAATCCCATCCGCAAAGTAAAATGACCTCCCTTGTGAGTCTGTAGCCCAAGAATCGAAGTTCTGAGAGAACACAGTTGAGAGCTTTTCCATTTCATTTTTTTTCGCATACTTTTGAAAAAGGGGAACACGCTTCTTATTCTTTGATTTTTTTTCTACTGGGTGCTTCCATTTTTCGATTTTCAACTTCAAATAAAACCGCAGAAAACGGTTGAAATGCATCATATAATCATTATAATTCATTAAAAAATTGAAATAAAGAGCAGATTATCTTTTTGAAAGAACCCGTTCTTGTTTTATCACATTTTACCGATGTATCGAGGTTTTTGAAAAGGATCCAATCAGATGAGAAAAAATTCAGTGAAAAAACGGCCAAGGCATTTCCAAATTTCAGGAAATCATCAACAATTTATTGCAGATAAATAACTTTTTTTCAAGTGAAAAGGACGTATAAAAGTTTTTATTTAGCCTTTTTTCAGTTCATAAATAAATTTCTCAAGTTCAAAGAAAAAGGCAATTTTCCAATCAAAAATTCTTGTTTCATTTTCTTTTCCTACAAGTTAAATTTAGAAAATTGAATTTTTACGGCTAATTTACTTTGATTGAGGCGGTTTTTGCACGAGTAATTAGGCAAAAAAAGAAGAAATCGGAATAATGAGCAGGAGAGATCCACTTGTGGGTGGAGCTTCGCGAAGCTAATACTCATTAATGAAGTTAATTTAATTGACTGATACGAATAAAAAGTATTAACGATAAAAAAATAAGCTAATAAACGCTTTGAAAGTTGAGAATTTCTTCAAGTATTTTATTTTTTGAGTCAGTTTTCATAATCATTCACGATCTCCACATCCAAAAACGTCTGAAAAGGCTGTTCGAGATATTTTTGCTTTTTTTAAATATTTGCTAGCTTGACATCTTTGAAAAAAACAGTGGAGAATAAAGTTTTAAAAAGCATCTAATTTTGTTAAACATCTCTTTTTATTTTTTGCTAGCCCAGTTCAGGTTCTTTTTTTAATTGAAAGGAATTTATCATGATCCATCAAGTTAGAATGGTCTTTTGTAGTGGATAAGAATAAATCGGTATTTATTCGATTTTTAATCAACTTATCTGGATTTCATCGTTAAAAAAACTTTGGAGGTTATAAGGAATTCCAGAGTGGTTCTTATAGGGACCGAAAACGTGATCCCTATAGGGCTAAAATCAAGAAGGGCTGTAGGCGCCATTAACTAAAAACGCTATAAGATCCACTTTATAAAGTTTTATAGCCCCTATAGGGGTTGGTAAAGTGGTCCCTAGAGGGCCCTTAAGGTTTGCCCCTATAGGAAACACTCTGGAGTTACGAAGTTTCTTATAAGAGAACTTTCATCAAGTTCCGATTTTTTGAGTGTAGTTTCTCAATGCTCACTCTCTTTTGCAAAAAAAAGCTAAAAAAAAAATCTAGGATTTTTTTAAAAAAATGCGTTTTTTCCTGGACAAAAGTTCATAAGTATCTATTTTCTTTTATTTATTCTGATAGCTTTATTTGGAGCTTAACTGCATTTTCTCTAAGACATTCAATAAAGTTTTTTTTTTTCGTAGAAAAATGCCTTTTTTCAGTCTCTCTTTCGAAAAAGAAGATCCTTCACCAACGACTAGGCATTGTTGTCGAAGTTTAACAAGGCGATAAAATTTGACAAGAGCATTTTTGTTCCTCCATCTTCTTTTTTTCATTTCTCGGCGCCGCAGACTTGCACTGACTCTAGCACATTTCATTTATTTATTCCGTTTTCTCAGTCCTTGTTGATCCGAGGCTTTATCGTAAGTTCCTATATCTTTCGGTTGGAACAATCTGAAAGAAAAAAAAAGCCGTGGAGCGGTTTAGACCATGAGATGCCCTAATTTTGCACACGTTTCGCTTGCCTTTTTTTGGTTCTCGGACGAACAGATTTGACCTCCTAAGGCGATATTTTTTTGTGGTGTTCCGACCTGAAAAATGTGGGTTCTCCGACACGCAATTTGCGCGTTCGTGAAACTTCCATAAGAGAAAGGTGAGCTGTCTTTTTGGAGGTATTGTTTGTTCCAAACAAAATCTTTTAATGGGGAGGACCTTTTTTTGCTTGTTACAGAAAGCCCTTTTTTGAATCTAAATCACCAAGTAGATCTATTCTTTCAGGCAAAGTCCAAACGACCTCAAAGAGTCTTTAAAAAAAAGAGCCTAGAGCTACTTTTTGAGCTCCTAAAAGATGTCAAAAGCTCCTCGAAACCTCCTTTTTTCCGCCTTCTTTTTTAATCTCCCTAAAAGGTCCTTTTCAGAAAAAGGTCCAGAAAAAAAGCGTCTTTGAGGCCTTTTAAAAAATTTTTTTTCCAAAAGTCCTTTTTGAGACCTTTTGAACTTTTCCCCTGTAAAGAAGAGCCTAAAGCTTCTTTTTAAGTCAAAATTTTCTCGGAACCTCCTTTTTTTCGTCTTCTTTTTTAACCTCCCTAAAAGATCCTTTTAAGATAAAGGTCCAGAAAAAAAGGCGTCTTTTTCCAAAAGTCCTTTTGAACTTTTCTCGTGTAATAGAAGAGCCTAAAGCTTCTTTTTGAGTCGAAAGTTTCTCGGAACCTCTTTTTTTCCACCTTTTTCCGTCTACTTTTTTTAAACCTTCTTTAAAGAAAAGGTGCAGAAAAAAGGCGAAAGTCCAAAGTCCTTTTTAAGACCTTTTGGACTTTTCCCGTGTGAAAATGACCTTTATTAACCTTTTGGCGAGTTTTAACTTCATTTTAGCAACATCGGGATGGTACGGTGATGTTGCAGAGTTTGAACGCGAATTTCTCTTATATTCACTAGACAAAGACTCTGCGATGCCCTGAATATGGGCGCGAAAAACGTGAGTAAAGTGGAAACAACAGCAGCCTTCGGTGGGTGCGGCGAAACCAAGAAGGAACGAACCTGTTCCGAGGGAAAAGCCGCGACGCGCGACCGCCTCGCTCGTGTCTGCCGTCTCCACAAAGGCGGTGGTCTCTCGCGCCCGCCGACGTCGCTAATCGTTATTATATACCCATCCCTCCATATAGTCGCACCCTCTCGTCGCCGACTCTCTCTCGTTGAATTGTGCATGCTTCCTTGATGGTCGCTGTCAATTGCGAATCAACGTCTCGCGCCTCCCCTCGTTTAATATGTGCTATTACTGTTCTAATCTTTCTCTCTGCTGCACTCTTTCAGCTGATTAAGCTCTGTTTTTTTTTAATAGATTCCCTTTTTTCCCTCTCGTTCGTAACTGCCTTGCAACGCCTTTTGGTAAACAAAGATGTCGAAACACATGATTTCCTTCTTTTACTTGTTCAAAGCCATGGGAATTATTAGATGTTAGATTTGGTTCATTCAATCGAATAATTGAAGTTAGTGTCTCTTAATTAAACTTAATTAAATCATTGAGCGTGAATAATACTTTGATTTTTTTCATGCAAATTGATTGCTCTTTAACTTATTAGACTGGAAAGCGTGCGAACGAGTTAATCATGTTAATTGACGTGAGAAAAAAGTACGCAGTGTCCTTTTAAAGGTGTAAGCTGAGCAATACGATTTTTGTCATTAGCTTTTCCCTATTTAATAAGATTTATGTTGCACTTTTTCCAGATATTATTTTTTCTATGAAATTAATTAAACTTGTCAGGTAACGCGGAAATTTGAAAATTTTTCGAGTTTTTGAGTATTTTTAACAGATTTTTTTTTGAATATTATTCTTGATCTTTCAAAGAGATATACCTTCTCATGCTTCAAAAAAAAAAAAATCTAGAACGCCAGAGATTTTTTTAAAAAAACTTCATGACATCTGATTTCTTTCTTCTAACACTGATACATTTGTAATTCGTGTTGCTTGAAACTTTCTGCTCTTTTTGCATCTTTTTTCACTTCTTCTTCTTCTCCTTTCATTTCTCGTTCACCGGCACATTAAGAGCGGAAAACCACCTCGCGCCGTTGCGTTTTCCAACTAAAAGTGTCGGAAATTCAGATAGAAGTCTTGCTCGAAATCCAAACAAATCAAAGTGATTGTGTGTGTTGTCGAGCGGCGAAAGAAAAACAAAAAAGGCGGATAAAGAAATCGCTGGAAGATGTCTTGAAAGAAGATGGGCCTCGAAGCGGTTCCGTGTCTGTTCACCAGGCCGGAGGAGCCGGCCCGAGGGAAACAATGCTTCGGATACTTGATTCGCGAAAAGCCCGCTGATGTCTCTGAGGTAACTCCCATGTTGTCTGTCGTGTTTGAAGATGGTTTTTCGAGAGTTCAGCTCATTTATAATCAGCTTCATTCAGTTGAAAATGAGAAAATTTTTCAAGTTTGCTATAATCGTTTGAAAATTCAAAGCGAACTTGGCTTATCTAATTGGGGACTTCTATTCGCTTCCAAAACTCTCAGAATTCTGCAAATAGTACTTGGGAATTTCAGAGTGGTCACTATAGGGGTTAGGGGGGAAAACAACCCCAAAAGGGGTCCCTATAGGGGTAAAATTAAGGTGGTCCCTCCTTAGCCCCTAAGGCTCAAGTGGACCCTAGAGGGGTTTTTCAGTTCCATTTAAAACGCTTTATTTAGTTTTCCCGATGGAAATGCTTTTTCGCTTAGAGCTCATAGCAATTTTCGACTAGCATGTCCCCTAGAGGGGCCACCAACTGAAAGGGATCACTTTTGCAAGCTTTAGTGGCCCCATAGAGGTTGTTAAAGTGAGCTCTAAAGGCAACCCTCCAACGGCTCCTATAGGGACCACTCTGAAGTTCCTAAGGAAGATCTACTGAGGTTCTTTCGCATTTTCGCAAATATTTCGGTAATCCTGAAGCTTCTGAGAAAATTTCAGATTCCTTTCCATGTGACTTAGAAACCGGTTTCAAAGAGAAAAGCTGAAACTTCTGGGGCTGAATTTTCATGAACTTGTTGTTTTGCTCGCCTTTTCTCCGTTTCGATACCTCGATTGCACAGCCATCTGCCGCGTCACTCCATGTTTTCATTTTTGTTTTTCTTTCTTTAACCTGCCGGATGGCCCTCACGTGACTGTTCCCTCATAACTCTTTCCTAATTCATTGGGTTTTTGGTATGTCTGCATGTCCTTTTTTGTATACTTATTTGGGATTTCCAAGTATGAGTAGGGGAGAAGGATAATCAACTAATCAACAATTTATCAAGTTAAAAATTTTTTTGAACTTTCTTTCATGAAAAGTTTAAAGTTTGCAAACGAAAAATTTTTTTAAATTAGGAGAGAAATTCACACTGCTTGTTTATGCCCTTTGGTGTCCTACTTAGGAATTTTAGAGTGGTCTCTATAGGGGTTAGGGAGAAGAAGAGCCTCTACAAGGGTTGGTAAAGTGGTCCCTACAGGGGTCGTTCATTTTTTTTCAAAAAAGGTAATTTTCCTAGTTTTTCTCATGGTAGTGCTTCTTCGAATAGAGCTCTCAGAAATTATCGAGTAGCATGTGCCCTATAGGGACCACTTTTGCAAGCTTTAGTGGCGTCTATAGGGGCTGCTGAAGAAGCTCTTAGAGGGACCCTTCAAGGGCCTTTAAGGTTGCCCCTATAGGGACCACTCGAGAGTTAATAAGCAAGATATATTTGGTTCTTTCGCATGTTTGCAAACATCTCGGTAATCCTGAAGCTTTCGTGTAATTTGATCATCTCTTATCATTTTGTGTTTTGGTAGCAACTGCCTAGGGTTCAATTTTAAGTTCATCTGCCACCGGAAAGATCCGCTTAACAGCTTGTGTGTTGCTAATAGATTTACCTCAGTTGTCAATTTAGTGCTGAGAAGCGCTTCGGATATCAGTTTTTGCGTTTTACAGACCCCGTCGACTTCTGGGACGCCATCCTATCGGATTCTTCCGTCGACGTCGAAGCCCCTCATGGTGGGCGGCGACACCAGCGCGCCAAAGGTTTCTTTTTCCACTTTAGCAGAAAACAATATAAGTTTTGTAGGTTCTGCTGCCTGCCGGGAAAATGAAACTGTCGGCGGCGGAGGCGAATGGCGTCGCGATGTCTGCGGCGCCGAGCCAGTGGCCCAACGGCGTCGTTCCCAAGGTTCGAACTTTCCAGCTTCCGGCGCGTTTCTCTTTTTCCATAAGAAGTCGTGTCGAGTGTCATTTTGAGCGAAAAATTTAGTTATTTTGCTATTTTTCATCAATTCAAAGCAATTATTTAGTTGTTTTAGGCAGATGTTATTGACTAGGCGGTGAACAAGAACTTTGAAATCCGCATTTGGCAAGCTAAAAGTCGAAACATGTAGTTGATCAAGTTGAAAGCATGGTCTTATGGTCTTCTGCGCGTAGTTCCTTCAGTTAAGCTCAGAATGTAGCGGATCTTGTGCTAGAGCCCGTTCTCCAGGTGGAAGGCTCAGAATTTTATTAAATCAAACTTAGGAGTTTTCATAAAAAGTTCGTACGAGTGTTATTCTGAACAGAAAGTTTATTTATTTGACCATTTTTTTTAAATCAATTTTTCAAACTAGTATAACGGTTAAAAAAATCGTTAAAATGAGACGCTTATACGACCTTGCAAGAAGTTTAAGAGAAAAAAACAAAAAAATTTTTTTCGAATCCTCCTCTCAAATCCTTCCTTTTTTTTGACAAGTTGTTGCCTACTATCATCCCTTCAACAACCTGATAATTATAATTTTGAAGATCATATCAATAAATGGACAAATCGCGTCGAACGGACCCAACATCTCTTCGCCGACTCCTTCACAGGTTTTTTATATTTTCTTTCATTCCAATTTTTCTAATCGATATGAATTTATAAGCTGAAATTCGTGTAGTTTTAGAGATTATGTAGGAAATCTAACTTGGAAAGAGACGTTCGGTTTTTTTTCGACTTTTGAAGAAATCAGTGAGGCGATTTATGATTGGCAAAATGAGTTTAGAAATTTTCTTGATGTGAGAATTGTTCTTCCAATGAGATTAAATTTTAGTTTTGCAGATGATTTTTTGCTATGTTTTGATAAGCTTTATTAGATTTTCACATTATTAAAGTTTTCGATAAGAGGTTAGGCCAATCTACCAGTTTCTACATAAAATTTTAACGTGGCTCTTTTTTATTTGATAAAATTGGTACTGTAGGTTTAGTTTTCTGTTTCTGGGTGAGCTTTCTTATAAACTGGTTCACCCATTAATTTCGAAATCAGTAACTGAAAAATGAATTTTAAAATGTGTAATGTTGATAATATTTCTTATATATACCGAGCAAAAATTATTAGAAAACGCTCTTGAGGACTTTCATAGCTTAAGGAACTGCATAGGCAAAGTCGGAAAGTGTGGAAAAAGTTTCATAAAAATGTTCTTTTTAAGATGACAAAGGCTCAATTTTGCTGCCTTTTTGCGCCATTTTATCGGCTCTTTCGCACCATTTTTGCTGCTTATCCCTTTTCCACCATTTCTTAAGCCTTTTAATTTCCTCAAAAAATGGGAGGCTCGATAAAGGGACTTTTCTGCAGCCTTTTTTGAGCCACTCCCTTTTAACGACCATTATCCACCATTCCGACTTTGCCCGAGTGGTTTTTCTTGATGGTTACAAGTTTCATGTGGCTTCTTTCTGTCCATTCACCTACGAGAGGAAGCTTTTGTGAAGGAGATATAATATAATAATCTAAGAATCATTTGAATGTTGGTTATCCTTTAAAACATTTTTACTGTTTCTTCTCACGAAACTTATTTTTCTTTATCCTAACTTGAGTTTCAGCCGAGAAGCGCGTCGGTCTGCTCGTCGTCTTCTGTCAACGAAACGTCGCCCATGTCTCCTTCACCCATGGTTCTCCATCGACAGGTGCGTAATATTCGATAGAAAAGACATTTTACCTTTAAAAATCTCCTAATCTTGTTAATTCCAGGAGCGCAGAAACGGGCCTTCCATGACGATGCCCAACTTCGGCTCTTGTATCCCGCCTCCTGGAACAACGTGGGTCGTCTCCACGGCTCCTGGATCTTCCGGAATGACGTCGAACGGCCACTTCCTGATGAGCGACTCTTCGACGACGCCCGATTCGGGAATCCAGTCCGTGCCGACGTCGCCTCCCAACAGCAATACTTCCATCGTTGGCGTCAGTTCTGAGAATATTCTCTTTGATCGCTCATCTTGGTCTCAAAAAACGACAAACTAAGTTTTCGGGAAGAGCTGTAAGAAAGGGAATGACCATTTTACACAGGTTATCCTGAGAATTAACTATAACAAGAATGAGTGTGTAAACCGCAGTAAGCCTCGAAAAAAGTTAGCTTTTCTTTGATTTTTTCGGAGTACCCCGCGTTCGACCTGGCTGGCGTGTACTCCTGGGGCAACCAATCGAAAAAAAAGCCTTCTTTGAGCTACCTTATTAACAACTTAGGATAAACCTGTTGAAAATGGTGATATTGGAAAACAAACCACTTCGCAATCATGTACGGAATAAGTTCCTTAATAGACCTTTAAAGATAAACGAAGGACACCCCTGGTTACACTGCGGGGTGCACCGCAACTATTGTTGGAATGTGTTTTTTTTTTAGCGTATTTACGTTTTATTTTTCATGAGCAGTAGGAGAGTGAGCCACGTTTAAAAAAATGAGATGGTTCTGAGACACTTTTTTGATTCTCGCATACCATTTCTCTTCCTTTTCACTTTTCATTTCATCTTCATTGTGGGCGAAGAAAGTTACTTTTTGCAGATGGAGACGTGTTACTCGGTGTGTGAAGAGAAGGAGTTCGAAGACTACGCGGATATGCCGCGGCTGCTGCCGGCGGACCAGGAGGACGAGGAGGAACAGTCGGCGACGTGAGTGGGACTTCTTAACCACAGAAAGAAACTCTGTGTTTTGAGGGTACCTCCACCGCTGCTTCTGAGCCGAGAAGACGGCGCCTCTCACGGCTCAGAATGCGAAACGGCCGCCGCCCCTTCCATCTCCATTTCACCCTCGATGCCTTCTGATGAGATCGTCAACCGGTTACTCGCTCTCGACCCGGAAAAGGTATTCTTTTTTCGTTTCTTTTAAAAAATTGATTTACTTGAATTATTTTATCTCTTATGGTAGTTTTAAGTTCGTAGTGAAAATTTGACATTTTTATAGAGATCTTTTGATGAATTTAGTCTATAATATTGAACGTTTTCATATTTAAAATTGATCCATTTAGGCAAAAAAATCGCCAATACTTCCTCCTAAGTATTTTGAATTTAAAGTCATTTACATAACAATGGATGTCTTTTTACTTTATGAATTTCCTGAAAATTGGCCAGAACCCTTCTTGTTGTACCAAATGAAGATCATGAACGTCTCAACCAGCACAACTTCCTAGTTTTCGAGAAAGTAGGGCCTAGAGTCTCAAAATAGCCTATTTTTATGGGTTTTGAGGTTTCTATTTGACCTTGAGGAAGTTGTGCAGGTTGGGACTTCTAGAACCTTCTTTTGGTACATGAAGAAGGGTTCTGGCTAAATCTCAGGAAATCCCCAACCGCAAAGTACAATTACCTCTCTTGTGAGGTTAAAATCTGTTTTTCTTTTTGCCAGAAATAGCCTCCCTGAGATATTATTTTTATTCGCTTTTATGGTCCTTTTTTTAAAGTCAACCCCTCTTACTGAACGAGAGGATTTATTTATTTATTTTTTTATTTCACTCAGAATTGAAAATATAAAATATTTGAAAAGGAAGTATTTGAGTGAGTTCTCCACTTGCCCGTGTATGCTTTTAATTCGAGAAAACTACGAAACCTAGTGATTTTAAATGAAAAAAAACGTAGAGATTGAAAGTCGTCCATCTAAATATTAAAAAAAAATTTTTCAGTCAACCAACCTTTTTTAAGTTTGAATGATTCAGTTAACATAGGCAAAGTCGGAAAGGGGGGAAAAGCTCCATTGAATTTCTCCTTTTAAGTGAAAAGGGTTCCTTTTTTGCTCCCTTTTTGCGCCATTTAATAGGCTGTTATGTACCATTTTTGCGGTCTCTCCTTTTTTCCATCATTCCTTGAGCCCCCCAGAAAAATGGAAGGCTTGATAATGGGACTCTTTTTGGTGCCTTTTTGCTGCCCTTTTGGCGGCTATTCCGACTTTGCCGCAGAAGGCTGATTCATATCAAACGATAGTGTGTTCTTTATCTAAATTATCCTTCCTATTGGAATGAATTCCAGGCGTCGGCAATTGCTGCTCTGATCAAGAAAAAGACACAACGAAAACGACGCAGCGGAACGAACGAAAAGAATGACGATTCAGTCAGTTGCACTTCTAACGTTCCTGTTAGAAATAAACGTTTTCCAGCCGCCGAGGTCGTCTCCCAAGGCGAAGAAGGCTCGAACCCAACCTCCGTCCCTGCGGAAAAACACGAAAAGCTCGGCGACGACCGACCAGGAAGACGTCGTTGTGCTCCAAGAGACGTCCGACCAGACGGCCGACCTTCAGAATACTCTGGTCGTCCTCCTGAGCGACGACGTGTCGCCTGCCGAGGACGAGAAGCCCAGCTGTTCCACCGCTAACGTACGTTTTGCTTCTGATTTTGTTTTTAATTAGTTTGAGCTTTTTTTTCTTGTTCCTTGGAGTCGAAACCAGAGTTTACATTTTTAAATGCATCATATTTGAAAAAAAATCCTTTGAGATAGTTTTTTCTGAACGTAAAAATGACCCCTGCTATTTTTGAATCCTTCTCAGATGGCTTCTTTTCCGAAAGTATTTCAAAGCGTATTTACTTATTATATTATATTTTTTTCATTTATTTACGTATTTTGGTCGTCCCTTTTTTTCGTCCTAATATCCATTCGTAACACAACAACTTTTTTTAAATCTTTATATTTTTTTCAATCAAAAAAAGTACAGATTAGCAATGTACGGTCTCTGTTGGTTTGGCTATTTGGAGAATTTTGAGATGAGCTGGTAACATTTTAAAGCAAATTTTTGATTGTTAGAGCTAAATTCTTCTTTTTTCTAATTTTTCAAAAATATAAATTTTTTTCAATTTTTTCCTCTTTCCTTATCAATTCGTTATCTTGTCTAATTATACTCGAGAACCGCCTGAAATTCAAAAACAACGTTTTTTTCCTTTTCTCCTAAATGCCCTTTATGCTTCTAAAGTTTTTCTTGATATTCCCGGGAAACTAGAAATGATTTTTTTTTCGGATCAAGAAGAGAAAAAGGTTTTGTAGACCCTTGTTTTAGGCACCATGCTTTTTCAAAAAAATTATTTTGAAAAAGCTATTTTCGTAATAGAAAATTTTGCTGTTGCCTCACTTTTCCTAAAACTTTTTTCGAATGTTTCAAATCTTTTCAGGTCGAACCACTTTTCGAAGAACCAGTGGTTGAAGAGATAGAAGAAGAAACGAAGCAAGAGAGGAACAGGAAGCGGAAATCGTCGAAGCCGATACAGGAATCTCAAAAAGACGACGAGGAAATCGAGGAAGAAGAAAATGAAGAACAGGTCGCCGTGCAGTATCGTTTGGCTGTGCAGAAGAGTTTGGAAAATGCGGTTCGTTTTTTTTTTCTGATTTTATGGTCAAAAAAAGATACCTTGTCATTTTGTATTTTCCTTGTACTCTACTCGGGTAAATTCGGAAAAAAGGCCTCACAAAGGCAGCAAAAAGGTCGCAGAAAGAACGCAAAAAGGCACCAAAAAGGCAGCAAAAAGAGTCAAACCATTTATTCTGCGATTTTAAAAGCTCAAGAAATGATGGAAAACGGGAGAGGCAGCAAAATTCGTGCATAAGAGCCGATAAAATGGCCTAAAAATGCGGCAAAAAGGAGCCTTTTTCACTCTAAAAAGAAAATTTTTATCAGCCTTTTTTGAGCCTTTCCGACGTTGCCCGTAGAGCAATTTTTGCTTACGCCGTTTTTTTTTCTTTTTTTGTAAAAAAATATTTTTTCAGCTGATGAGAGAAGTGGAATTGTGCATCACCGACATGCAAGCTCTGAATCTCGGTCCCATCACTAAAAATCCTCGGTAAGTTTCCGAAAATCAACTTTTAGTACTGTTTGGGAACTTTTAAGAGACAAGAAAACTTCGTGGCTCTATCAATTAGATCAGCTCAAAAAGCGATGGGCGAAGGTGAAACACAGCGGCGGCGGAGGAAAACTCAGAGAAGAAAAACAAAGAATCGAGAAGCTCCAGCAGGATCTGGCGGCAGAAAAGGAAGTTTCCGGAGACGTCAAGTGCCGAAAATCCAAAAAGCCGACGAGGAAAGTCGAAAAGAAGCCGATGAAACCGGCGAAGAAAGAGCCGCCGAAGACAACCAAGCGGGGGTTCGTTTCAATGTTCATTAGAGGGAACCTTTACTCGAATCTCTGCAGACGCATTCTTGTGAAGCCGTCGATGACGTCAGCCAGTCCGAGCTCGACGCATTCTGGCGATTTCTCCGCCGAGTTCCATGGACCCGTCAAGAACCCGACCGACGAGTTTGAAGAAATTCCTAGAAGTCGGTTTTTAAGAGTTTGAAGGATGTTTTTGCTACTCCGTTAGAAAATAAGCCATGGATCCCACCCCCGGGTGGATAAATCGCGGCCTACTTAGAAACTCCAGAGTCTTCCCTATAGGGGCAATCTTAGAGGCCCCCTCTAAAGACCACTTTGCCGATCCTTATAGGGTACATGCTAGTCGATAATTTTCATGTATCCTATGCGAAGAATGACCCTAAAGCCCTATTGGGAGCACCTTGATTTTACCCCTTAGTAACCTTTTTTCGGACCCTTTAGGGTTTTTTCCCCCTGACCCTTATAAGGGCCACTCTGGAATTTTTGAACACCCCCGAAAAGTGCGGCCTATTTCAGTACATTTTTGAATATTTTTTTCGCGCGTAAAAGTATGTTTGGATGGTAAATTAGTCCTACCTACACCGGATGTCAAAGAAACAGGGAAATGTTTGAGGCGTGGCCTGCGACGAGACGGAAGTGCCGCAAGGCTGGGAGGCGCCGTCGCTGCAATGCGGCTGCACCCGCGGGGCCTGCACCTCGGACGCCGAATGCGTCAACCGCGCCCTCCGCATTCGCTGCAGTTCCAACTGTTCGGTTCAGCTATGTGCCAATAAGGTATGTATTTATGGAGGATAGACACAAGCTAGGTTTCCAAAAAAAAAAAGAAACTTATGCCGTGTTCAATTTGATTCCGCGAAATGCAAAATACCCGTTAGAGAAAGGAAAAGATCACTAAATTTTGGAGAGTCAGAGATCATTCTGCATTTCGCGGAATCAAATTGAACACTAAAAACTAAAAATAAAAGTATTTAAGAATAAGCCAAAAAATATTTAAATTCTTTTGAAAATCAACTTCATCTGACTTGTCTCGAAGTGAAAACGTTCAGGTTCTCAGGCAAAAAACGTACCAGAAGTTCATTTTTACTTCCAGAAGTTCTGGCGAGAGGACACGTCGAGACTGATGGTGTCCTACAACGCGGCCAATCAGAGAGTCTTGCGAACGCGACATTCGCGTCACGCCGGCGAATTCCTTTGCGAATTCGTCGGCGAGGTGATAACCTACGCGGAAGCACGAAGACGTGCCGCCGCCTTCGCTGACGACGAACATACCTCGCGGATCCTTTGCCTCAACTCGCGGCTTTTCATCGACGCCTCGCACAAATCCTCCATCTCTCGTTACATCCGCCACTCGTGTCGTCCCAATTCCCGTCTTGAAGTTTGGTCAGTTCCCTTCGAAAGCCTCTTCGAAAATATTCCATTTTCAGGGCCTCCAATGGAAGGTACCGCGCCGGAATCTTCTCACTTTTCGAGATCGCTTCCGGCTCTGAAATCACGATCGACAAAAACAACTTGCTGGTCGCACCTGTGAATTGCTCCTGCGAGTCGGGCATCTGTTGCAGGCGAATCAGTGCTGCTCGATACCCGGTATGTAGAAGATCACGGCGTTTTTGTTAGTGGAAAACTAAAAATGAAGGTGGCGGAGTCAAAACCGCCGCCGTTCCCATGTGACGTCATGATAAACAAGCGTAAACAATAAGTATTATTAAAGGCGCATGTTCAATGAGTCATGAGACGAATCGATTTCTCATTTAAACGGCATTTTTCTGTTGCCGTGTTCAAAGGGTTTCCGCGAAATTCGAAGTAGCCGTCAGAGAGTGAAAAATATAACTGAACTCCTGAATTTCAGAGATAATATTGAATTTCGCGAAAATTCCTTTGAACACGGCATGTGCGAAAGCGCCGCAGTGCATGCACACGATACACTAAACTTTACGCGGAAAATGGGCGAGCCGTCGTCAAAAAACTCCGTGAAGAACCTTAAAAGTTTAACGAATATACGTTTGCAGATGGTGGCAGCGGATGAAAACGACATGAGCCGACAGGAGGAGCGAGTGGCTCGCCAAAGAAAAGTTCTCCTGATGCGCAATCGCCGGAGAGTCGTCGAAGGGGCTCAGCGAACAGGCAAGTCTTCTTCCGACGTCTTCTGACTTTCTGACCATTTTCAGGTCTGCCTGCGAGTTGGGCGTGTCCGGTTACTGGCTTGAACAACGGAGAACTTCCCGCTCTGAGAAAACTTTTCGACGCAGTCGCTTATAGGTTTTTTTTTGTTCGAAGAATTATGTTAATCTCCGCATGAAGGTGTCAGACAGAGTTTTTTTTTCATAGTTAAAATATGTTCATTAAAACGTCCACCAGGCTGAAAAATTGTTTTATCCTTTTCTTCCGTCTATATAATATTTTTAGTACTCCTCAAAAAAAAAAGCAAAATTTAAGAGCTCACCTTTCTCCGTAATGACAGATGCTCACATCAGATAACTTTCTGCTTCATGTTAAAATATGAAAATGTTCATTGGCAGGATCCGAAGAGTTGACGGCTCATTCCCGTTTCACGCCATCAAAGGCTACAATGCTCTGCGAAAGTTCCTGTCGAACATTCCCGTTTCTCCGACGGATGCCTTGGAAACCTACGACAATCTGATGCGTGCCTGGCTTGATGCCGTCGACGATGACGACGTCGAAACTTCCTTTGTGTGAGTTTTTTGTCTTGCGTCTAGGGAATCGATCGAAAATACGATTTTGGAAATTTCCCGAAAAAAAAGGGGCTACTAAAGCTTGCAAGAGAGTCCATATAGGGCTTATGGTTAGTGGTCCCTATAGGGGACATGCCTAGTCGATAATTGTTATGAGCTCTAAGCGAAGAAGCATTTTCATGAGATAAACTGAACAAATAAGCGTTTTTGAATGAAACAGAAAGATCCCTATAGGGTCCACTTGAGCTTTAGGGGCTATGGGGTCAGTTCCTGAGTTCCTAGGGACCACTTTTTCGGCCGATATAGGGTTGTTTTCCTTCCTAACCCCTATAGAGACCACTGGCATTTTTAAGAATGCTTGTGTCCAGCGTAAAATTTTTTTTATTTGATATTCTTGCTTGCAAACTTTTATTCTACTCTACTTTTCAAGTGATTATGAAATAACTATTTTTATCACTGTTTTTAAAAAGGGTTCTCCAATGAAGATTTTGAGAGAACTTCTTTTTTGAACTCGACAGACTTTTTTTCAGAGCTCTGCGGTCGAAAGTGATTGAAGTCGAGCTGCCGGCTGCACAGTCCGACGCCGTTGCTGCAGATGCTCACAATAAGAAGACGCCGTCGAAAAGACCTTCGCTGACGTCTTCCACGACGACTTCCCTCGTCCCGGCCCCCGGTTCCGTCCGCGTTATCAGCAAACAGACGGACTTGGCCTATCTCCATTCAGATCACCCGGTTTGAAACTACCCTCTTGATCCTTATAACAAGGACTTTTTTCAGGTTGGCAGTTACGATCCGGATGAAGTCTGGCCGCGAGAGAAAGCCGAAGTCGCAGATAATGCTGTTAGATTTTTTTTTTCATTTTCAAGTTATAATTTTTCGTCCGTCTTAATTTTTTTGGTCATCGGCCTTCGTCCCGTCCTTAGTTCTGGATTTCTCATATTGTTGTAAACGCTTCATTCAATAATTTAGAGCTTAGCGGTCTTAGGAACTCCAGAGTGGTCTCTATAGGGACCATTAACCCCTATAGTGGTCACTAAATCTTGCAAGAGAGTCCATATAAGGGTTATAGTTAGTGGCCCCTATAGGGGACACGCTAGGGATAATTGTTATGAACTCCATAGGAAAAAACTGAATAGATAAGCGTTTTTGAATGAAGTTGAGAGACCCCTATAGGGTCCACTTAGCTTTAGGGGCCAGATCTTAAACCCCTATAGGGACCACCAAAACGTTACCTTTATATGGAACACTTTTTTGGCCCCTATGGGATCACTCTGAAATTCCTAAGATGATAGGAATTGAAAATTTCTCAAAACGGGGTTAAGATTCTTGTTACGGGAAAATTGAAAAAAAAAACTCAAAAGATTGTACAATTGAATAATGTTTTTGTTTCATGTCGTTCTTATTTTCCTTTTCAATAGGCTTAATAACTTTTAACATTCTTGTAAATTTCAAAGGTACGGTTGACAGTGTTGTCGGGGACCGTAATTAAAGTATGAGTGAATTTCAAAAATTATCATGGCGATCGGGCAAGCTAATCGGGGGGGAATGTCATTAACAAGGGCTTGTTGAAGGTTCGCTGCATTTGTGGGTCTCTGGAGGAGGACGGCGACATGTTGCAATGCGACACCTGCCATTTCTGGCTCCACATCGACTGCGTCGGCGGCGAAGTTAACCTCGAAGACGTTAGATTTGACATTCATTTGAAACCAGGGAGAAAATTGTCATTTTCAATTTGTCCACTAACTCATATCAACTCAAATTATCTAAAACGCAATAGAAGAGGGTGAATAATTTAAATCGCTCTTCTTTTTTATTTGTTTAACTTCAAAATAATGTCTGTTGAAAGTTTTGGCTTATAAATTACATGCGGGCTGGTTTTCTGAACGTACAAAGGCAAAAAGCCGTTTCTAGTGATATTTTTGAGAAGTTCTACTCATTTAACCACGTCAACAAGGACTTCTAAGCAGAATAGTTACAAGAAAAAGAGATCAAGAGCAAATTTTTTTGATGTCAAACGAATTTTTGCGAACTCGGACATCGGTAACGCGAAACGAACATGCTCCGGACGTTTCTGAGCACTTCTAGGTGTCACTTAAGAGTTCTGATGCTACTAAAGTGGTCACTAGAAATGCCCCGACACGTCCGGTTCGCGTCACCATGTCCGAGAAGAGTAAGAATTACAGCTCTTCAAAAAAGTCTCTTTGCAGGACTACACGTGTCAGTTCTGCAACAACTCGATCCCCGTAGGCGGTCCCTCGACCGACGTCAGACTCCGCGTCCAGCCGACAGTTCGCTTCGATCAATGCGTCTACTACCGCGCCCTCATGAATCGACGGCCTCTGCAGGTCCGCCTCAACGAGACCGTCTTCGTGAAAAAAGTCCTTGACGATGAGGTTGGAATAAATCCTCACGACGCTTCAAATGTTAGCCCCTTTCAGCACAAGAAAATCCTGCGGAAACTCGTCGAAATCAGTGACCACAAAAAGAAGAAAGGAGGCGACGTCAAAAGAGAAGAGACCAAGTGTAAAGCCATCCCGAAAGCTGAGGACTCGCCTCTCCCGCGCGAAACTTTTAACAGAGAGGTTCCTTTTTTAATTCAAAAACTTAGGAAGGCTTTAAAATTCAGCAAATGACTTATTTGATAGAATTCTACCTGTTGGGAGCTTACTTAGGAACTCCAGAGTGGTCCCTATAGGGGCCCTTGGAGGGTCCCCTCAATGGAGCACTTTACCAACCCTTATAGGATCCACTGAAGCTTGCAAAAGCGGTCCCTATAGAAGTTTTAGGTAGTGGCCCCTTTAGAGTCGATAATTTTTATGAGCTCTATGCGAAGGAACATTGAAAAAACTTTTAAAAAATTGAAAGACCCCTTTAGAGACCACTCGAGCTTTTGAGGCTAACGGGTCAGGCCCTCAATCCCTCTAGGGACCACCTTGATTTTACCCCTACAGGGACCACTTTTTCGGTTCCTCTAGAAGCTCTTTTTTCCTCCTAGCTCCTATAGGGAACTCTCTAAAATTCCTGAGTACCGCTTTATCTTCGCGAATCCCAAGAAAATTCGCTTCAAAAATTTTGCTTCGTTTTGAAGAAGTCTCATTAATTTTTAATGGGTTTTGTTGATATCTATTCAGTAATTTTCTGTCAATTTTATAAGAAAATTCCGAAACTGAATTATTTTTTTTTCCTTTTAAAAATCTCATGTTTGCAGGACTTGCGTATTTTCCGTGTTGAGCGAATTTTCACGGCTCCCGGCAACAATCGTTTCGTCTTCGGATTCTACTACGCTTGGCCACACGAAACTTTCTGTGACTCGCAGAGATTCTTCCACCCAAATGAAGTGAGAAACAAAGGATTTCACGGGATTCTAAGGATTCTTCCAGGTTTTCGCGACACCGCTGTACGACACGCTGCCCCTGGACGCGGTCGTCGGCCGCTGCGTCGTTCTGGAGCCCAGCGCCTACTGCTCCGGTCGGCCCATCGTCCCGCTTTTCAAGGTTTCTTTACCCACTCAATTGAAAAAAAAAATGGAAAGAAATTTCCAAATTTTCTGATCGTTTTTTTTAAATAATGATACATAGCAAACTAAGAAAAATTGAGTGGTAAAAATAATCAAATAAAAAAAATGCAGTAGAATAACGAGCAACGGGAATTAATCCACCCTAATGAGTAGACTCTGACCCGGATTATAGCTCATTCCGCGTTAGCTTGTCACTTTTTTATTCCAAAATTTCGCCGCGGTCGAAATCTCAATAAGAACGTCTATCATAAGCAAAGTCGGAAAGGTTAAAAAAAGCTTCAAAGAAATTTCCCTTTAGGGTGCCAAAGGCTCCTTTTTTGCGCCATTTCATCGGCTTTTACGCACCATTTTTGCTGCCTCTTCCTTTTTCCACCATTTCTTGAGCCTTTGATATTCTAAAAAAATAAATGGCTCCATAAAGGAACTCTGTTTGCTGCCTTTTTGCGGCTTTTTTTGAGCCTCTTCCTTTTAGCCGCCACTTTCCCCGAGATGATATGACATTGCTATAAAAGTTGCCGAAGTTTTTTCCCATCTTTCTACTCATCGAGTAATCTCAGGAAGAGGACGTCTACATATGCGAGTACCAGATTGACCGTAGCCAACGGAGCTTCGAGAAAATCCCCTCTAAGAACCGCTATCCAATCAACACGCAGCCCTACGTCTTCGAAAAGTTCGACAGGCCTCGTGCCTTGAAACGAGACTTTACGGTAGCCTTTTCGTCGGTCGAACGAACTTCATTTTCATTTTTGCAGCCCTTTGTTGTAACTGATCGCTCAGTGACGTCATCGTCGGGAAGGTCGTCGACGAAGCTGAACATCTCGCCGAACGTCGACTCTCGTAGATTCGACAGAAATAAGAAAAACGTAATATCATTTTCATTTTAAGGTAAATTAAAGTTTTTGCAGGCTATTCGAAACTTGGGAAACATCATCGAGAAGCTCAAGACCAATCCTTAAGTTTCTTCTTTTCTTTACAATTATACTTTTTTCCTGTAGATATGGATAGTTTTCAAAATAAGTCCTTGTAAAGCTTTTCATTGCGAATCGAATATGACTACTTCTATAGAAAATCGCGATTTTATTCCCCCTCCATTATATTTTGAACTATGCTTTGGATCGGTGTACAAAAAAATTACCCATTAAAAGTTTTTGTGAAGAAAACAACTTCGGTGACAACAGAAAAAGTTTAAAACTGAGAAAAACAAACAAAAAGCGAAAATCAGAAGAATTGCGATGACTATTGTCCATGGAGCAACTTTACTGCAAAAGCCTTCAAACTTTTTTTCTCTATGATTTCGAGTGACTTTTTCTCCGAAAATAGGAACTTCCATAAATTTTCAAGTATACCGTTCGATTCGCAATGAAAATGTCTACAAGATATTGCTTTCACCTGTAATTCCGTTTTTTATTTGCCCCTATGCCTTTAAGAGACCCTCCCTATCACATATATGTTGCACCCCTTTTTATTTCTATACCTCCCGGTGTGATAGCCTTCAGAATGAGTAGTAAACCATCAAAATTCGTGTACCCTTATGCCTTTTCTCGAGCAAAATGTTCTCATCCCAACGTGCTTAAATGTATTTCGTTTGTGCCAATCACCAGTTCACTCAGTTGCAATCTCAAGCCTTTACAGTTGTGTTTTGATTTCCAAGTGCCAACTTGTTCTTCTTTTTTTTTGTTGCAATCGTTAAAATCAGCCACAATATTCCGTTGAGCATTACCTACACCTGTGATTTTGCCTTTACATTATCGCATTCCTCAACAAAATTCTTTATTGCCGTGTCAAAAGCTGAAAATATATTCCGAGAGTTTTTTCCCTCTCTTTTTCATTCTAATCGATTTTTTTTGTATCAAAAAAAAATCACCAGATGTATATATCCGTAAAAACTTCGAATAGAGACTGGCGCTCCACACATAATCTTCGCATTTTCTTGCATTTTCCTCATCCTTACAAATATAATCAATCATAATACGGCTATGTTAATCGTTGTTGTTCCTCATACATAATGGTCAAATCTAATATGGCGTAACTTTAATGAAAATGTATATCTTTAATTTTTTTTAATATTCATTTCATATAAGAAAGAAAACAAGAAGAGAAACCCGTGAAAAAAAGAGAAGACGATAGGGAGAAAAGATGATAAATGCTCTTTTCGATAGAGGGGCATGCTGGAAAAAGTCGCTTTTTTTATGATTTTTTTCAAGTTTTTTTAGAAGTTTTTTTAGATTGTATTAAGACATTTAGAACTAAAAAAAAACTTCACAATTTTCAAAAAATGACGACTTTTAAAAATTGGCCGAACTTTTTCAGCATGCCGATAGAGAAAAACAGATTAATAAGTCCCAGAGAAAGTGTTGAGTAGTTAACTTAAAACATTGAAAAGTGAAATATGCGATAAAATTTGGCAGTGATAGGAAAATGCACAGTTTTGCAATGGCAGGATTTCAACCAAAATTGCTAGAAATTTAACAAAACAAGGATACAAGAAGAAGTTGCCCTCACGGTGAATATTATTTGGAGATCACTCGGATGGGGGAGAAGCCAACATAATACGTGATGAAGTTGTGGTTGGGGCTGAAACAGTGGGGAAAACACCGTTTGAATCGTCAAACAGAAACATTTAAAGCGTGGGATTGTGCGAGGTACGATCACTTAAAGCTGGTTTTTGTCTCGCTCTACAACTTATTACGCTTTGATAAAAGCACAAGACAAGAAAAATTGGTAGGCACCAGGGTATATAATCACTGGGTTGGATGGATTATGGAAACGTAGCTCACGAAAATTGAGCCGACGCAAAACTTCGGATCTCACTTTTTTTCGGTGCATGAAATTTGCAAAATCAAAACCACGACTCGGCTCAATTTTCACAAACTTTTAAGAGTCCATAACGAAATCAGAATATCCTAGTCGTCGTTGACGTTGACGAGAGGCGCCGGGCTGTCGGAAGAAGGCGTCGGCCGTTGTGGCGACCCTTCAGACGTCTCCGGCTGAACGACGATGACCGATGAAGATCTCTTGACGATCGCTGCGTCGTTGGCCTGGTCCGAAGACGGCACCAGGATCGAGACCATCTGAAAGCACTTTCTTTTTCACGGTCCAGAAGCTTCTTCTGAAAATGAAAGGGTAAAAGGCTGGTTTCAACTTCAGAAAAGAAATCATTTCCGATAATTGGAAAATGCTACACACCTAGGAACTCTAGAACGGTCCCTATAGGGGAAACCTCAGGGAAACTTGGAGGGTCCCTTCTAGGGCCACTTTACCAACCCCTAAAGGGGCCACTAAAAATTGCAAATCCCGATAAGGGTTTTAGTTAGTGGCCCCTATTGGGAACATTGAAAGACCCCTATAGGGACCATTCAAGCTTTATTGGCTGAGTGGTCAAACCGTACCGATTCTCGGTAGATCTTGACGCGATGGGATGGAATATCACGGTAGGCCTGCAAATCCGTGTCGTCTGTTCCTAGAGATCCGTCTCCGTCGTAGGAAATCGTCTCTGCTGTAATTATTCATTGGGAAAGAGTCTCCCTTCGACAGGTCCTACCAATACTATTCCGACGCAATTTCACCGGCTGGTAGTCTGGACTGTCTCGCATTATTGTCACTCGATCAGAACCTAAAGATATTTTTTTAGAGGGACTTCTGACTAGAGTCCAACCGCTGCCTGTACGCCGACGTCCCTTCTTTCGGAAGAAGCAAGAGTAGCACAGTATACACAGAAGGATCAGAAGGCAGAGCAGAATGGTCAGCGCCATCGAATAGAGAAGCCACCGAGCGGATACTGAAACCAGGAGATACTGCTTGATGGAAAGGGAAACGCACAGAGTTGCTCAGGGACGTAGGCGTCTGGGGTGTAGGCGACGACTTGGCCGTACGGAGACGGCTGCCAATCTTCTTCGGCGTCGTCTTCGACCGCGTCTCCGACAAAGATCGGCCTCTCCCAAAGCGAGGGATCAAGCACGCCGACTTTATTCAGGTCCGGCTTTCGGAACTGGTAGGGTAGCAGAAGCGAGTGGACGTCCACCTGGTGCACCTGGTTAGACGGATGGTGGAGGAAGGAGTGCTCGTCGTAGTCATACGCCAGTCCAAAGTCTTAAACGAAATAAATAGTCTCCTCGGGTTCTGCAGACCTTACCATGTACTATCACGGAGTTCAGCTCGTCAGACGGATCCATGCCGTCGTTCGTCACAATCGAGATGTTGTTGAGAGGAAGCTTGCCGATGTCGGCGACGACTTGGTGCCATCCATCGACGAAGAGGTCATACTTCCGAGCGTTGTGCCGCGTCCCCAAGGGCGTCCTCCGTTGCAGAATGAGCAGATGAACTCGGTCATCTAGCAGGTCGAGTTTCCCTAAGAATATTATTGTTCAAAGTAAGAGAGGCATGTCCACTTGATGCGCTGCCTTCGGCGTCTTGAGGAAGAACTTGAACTTGCAAGAAGCCGTTCGCGTCGATGAGAATGCGGAACCTAAGAGTTTCCTTTCTCAAAAGCATTGTGCTGGACCAACTGACAATGGTTCCCTGTGGGAATTGAACTCGGCGATCGCGACCTCGTTGATGAGGCTCTTCGGAGCCTGGAACTTGATCCAGACCTTGCTGACGACGGCTTTCGTGTTCTCGACCGGCAGCACGATGTTTGGCTCTGTCAAAAAAGCCGGCGACAGAACGACCGGCTCGTCATCTGAAGTCCATCATGAACGGGTTTTTTTACGCGGCTTCTAACCACGAATCCCGCTGCAGACGCCTTCAGAAGAGTTGAACTGCTGTACGTCGGAGCAGTCACAAACAAGTTGGGCTGGCCGAAGAGGAGCTCGGGCTCTGCAACGGACATCCTTGGGACACTTCGGCTCGCAGGTTGGGCATCCATACTGGAATTTTCGAAGGTTTTTCGTTTTTTGCTATCAATTTCGAGACATCGCTGGTTCCGAAAGAAAAAATTGCAAACTAAAATAATCTTTGATCTGAGTTCAGTTTCATTCTGAGTTAGAAACTAATTCAAACTTCATTTTTAACAGAACACTATCTATATAAATTTATAATAGTTCAGTGTTTTTTTGAAATCAGAGGAGCTTCATGTGATAGGGAGTCCTGAAGGGCTAGCAAAAGACCCAAAAAGAACCTTTTTTTCCTGACCTTATTCTAAAAGGAACCATTTTTAAAAGAAAAAATAAGGCGAAAAAATTTCGAAAAAAGAAGATTCCAAGAAAAATTTGACACCAAAAGGTCTCTAGGTTTTTTTTTAAGGCCTCATCGTTCGGGCCATCCAGGAATCAAAATTAGGATTTTTATTTACCAAAGACTGGTTCGGTCATGATTGGCTCTAATTATGCACGCGGTGACGCAACAAAGAGGGCAAGCAGCTGCGGAATCCGGCAAAAACGAACTCGGATGGCAAAAGACGTCGAGTCACTCGCGTCGACCAACATCGATCCCTTCTGTTTTTCGTAGACGGAGAGCAGGTCGACCTTTTGGCCTTTGATGAAGACGTCCTTGACGCAGCCCTGAACGTGAACGTCTTGGTTTGGAGTTGGACAGTGACAAACTCTGAGCGATGGGGCTTTCTCTCGGGTGTTTTCGAAGAACTGATGTTCCACGTCGGACCGATAAATTCCACGGCGCTTTTTCTCGTAGAATGTGCCGCCTATGAAAACGCCGCTTCCGTGAGCAAACGCCGGCACTGCGTAGACTTCTGGAAAGGCAAAAATCTTGACTTGTGTTTCTTAAAGAATCAAGGAAGAAGAGCTATTCTCCGTTTTATTTCAAGACCGTTTTCTGATTTTGAAAACGACTAGAAAGGACTTTTTGACGCATGATACAAATGCTGTGTCAAGAAATTTTTTAATTTCATCCAAGTTATCGATTTTTCTTTTTTTCCCTGAAACATAAAAAAAAAGTCCACTGAACTCGGAATTTTCAAATTTTCGATATTTTGCAATAAAAAACTTTTCTCCACAATCTATAAATCATTCAGTTTGAATAAAAATATTGCTTCACAAATCGTTAGGAACTTCAGATTGATACCTATAGAGATTAGGGGGAAAACAACCCCCATAAGGGTTGGTAAAGTGGTCCCGAGAGGGTAAGATCAAGGCGGTCCCTATAGGAGTTTAGGGTCTGACCCTTAGCCTCTCAAGCTCAAGTGGCCCCTATAGTGGTCTCTTAATTTCATATAAAAAACGGTCGTTTATTGAGTTCTTTGCATGGAAATGCTTCTTTGCATAGAGTTCATAAAAATTATTGACTAGCTAGTCCCCTATAGCGACCACTTTTGAAATTCTTAGTGATCCCTATAGGGTTCGGTAAAGTGGTCCCTAGAGCGGACCCCCTCAGGTCGCCCCTATAGGGACCACTCAGGAGCTCCTAAGCAAGGTATGTGCCAATAAAATGGATTTATCGTTGACAAACCGGCAGAGCTGATATTGTTGACTTGGCCGACGGGGTCTAGTCGGCAGATCCGTCCGTCGGCCACCAGATGAAGCTCGTCTCCAGCCCCGAAGAACGCGGTTCGAACCCACTTTTCGTCTCCGAAACCTGAGAAAATTCTTATAAAAGAAGAAGAAAAGTAAGAAAAGAACCTTTTCTGTCCTGGATGCTACACGCCATGCAGTGTTCTTGGCCATTGTGTTGACAATAAATGGCGGTCAGACGGTCAAAGTGGAAGAAGACTTGGAACCTGCCTTTGAGGAGCTCATTGTGCCAAAATCCGAAAAAGACCAAGCCGGTGTCCTGAAAAGAGTTTTATGAAGGTTTATGAGGGTGGAAAATCCGCACCGAGTCACTTTTGAAGGTGGCCGAAATGGCAACAATCGCCGCTCCGTTGTCGTCGATCTCAAGACCATTTTCCACGTAAAGGAACGACAGTCGTTCCGGATCTCGGTAGAAAGAAAAGGCTGAAGTTTCTGATGATGAAAGGACGAATATCTTCCGTGGAAACCTTGTTCATTCTCAGGTTGACATACACCTGAGGGAAGTCTGTCGAAAACGTGGGAAAGAGTTGGACACTCGCACTCTTCGCACAACGAGTGAGAGGCCACGGTTCTGAATAAGACATTGAAATTGAACCAAATCATTTTTAGAGCTTTCCACACTTTATCAGTTTCATTTTATCTCTCTCTACCTAAAAAGGTGAATCGGGAGGTTAATCCAAGTAGTTCCCGGGTAGCTACTTATTACCTATTTTCCTGGTACCGGAAACCATCCGCTGGTCAGAGACCATTTTTGGTAGCATCGCGATACCTCTCCGGTAGTATCCAGGTACCGTAAAAATGGTACCCGGTGCATATAAACGGCCACCAATAATCATACCCCGATTGACTTCAAGTTGCTACCCGGTACCTACTTTTATTGACCTCCCGACCAGTGTACTTTTTTTGGTTGAACTGACTCGTGCAAACGACGGCGCTGGTTGAAGTTGACCACACAGTCATCTTTCACATCGCTGGGATCGATCAACATCACGTCGCCAACTGTTTTGATCTCCAAAGTTTTCACTCTGAAAAAAATTCTCGCGTTATTTTTTATTAGCTAAAAGAGGTCATATATTCGAAATAAGGAGTTTTTGCTCAGGCAAATGCTGAGAAGATTCTGGGATTGTAACCAGTAGGATTTTGGATGGTGAATGGAAGCTAGAAGATCTCGAGAAGGCCTTGGGAAGGTGTTCAGAAGGTAAGTGGAAGATTTTTAGAAGGTAAAAGCTTGTAAATGTCTGCCAAAATTCTTCTAGAAGGCTTCTGGAAAGTAAATAAAAGTGTTGGGAAGGTATGTGTGAGACATTTGACCACTTTCTAGAAAGCTTCCAAAAGCCTTCCGATGAACCTAAAGAGGCTTTCCAACTTTTACCAGAGTACAGGTAGCGATTTGCAAGTTTCGAGAAAGCCTGACGCTCTGAGGCATTCCACCACTCCATCATTTGAAATCCTCGAATTCTCACCGGAAGTTCTTGGCAACCAGCAAAGCTGCAGAGTTATCGACGGCAAACGAAACGCGTCCTCGGACCGAATGGACGACGATCGTGTGCCAACGGGCGTCCGACAGAAGTCCCACGGGCACCGGAGCCGCAGAGTCGACTCGGATGAAAAAGTCTGCAGAAGACATTTTTTATCTACCACAGAGTGAGGGTGGAAAGCGTCAAAGAAATCCAGATGCCAAAAAGACCAACAAGTTCTCTTCCTAGTTAAATATCCTTTCTTTAACATAGTTCTTCCTCTACTGATTTTTGTTCTAAATGATCTTCGAAAGAAGACGAACCATTCTCAAGACGAATCGGAAGCGTCGTCGACTCAGAAGTGTGGAAGGCGACGAGAGTCTGATTGGCCTGGTCGGTGCGGAAAGCGAATTCGTAAGTCCAGTCGGAGTTGACGTCGAGGTCGACCTCGACCTTGCCGCGGACCAGACACGCGTCGAGGACGTCGTGCCGACAGACGAGACTGGACGCCGAGATGGTCGGGGAGAGTTGGTAGTGATCCTCGTTGGGAAGGATGTGACGGACACCAGCCATCAGTCCGTCCAGGGTCACCTTTTGCACAGGTTGCTCTGGAAAATAGGATTAGTTTCAGGAAGCTTTGAATTCAAATAATTCTCACAAGGTTGGGTCGAAGGTAAAAGTTCTAAAAGCTGACATTTTTCCGCCCTCCCTTTTCTTACAATGGATAACTTCCGATTAAACTGAACGAGATTTTCAGCGCTACTCTAACGTTCTTTCCAATAACAAAGAAAAATGAGATATCGCAAAAAATCCCAAGGTTCAACTGCTTCAAGAAGAAGAAATAAAAAAAGAGGATATTCAAAAGATCATCCGAAAAAAAAACTACCTGGTTCATAGTCGATCACCAGACTTGAATTGAGCAAAGAAACAATAGTGAAACTGCCTCTGGAAACACATATTCATTAGAAATAAAAAACAGAATAAAATACTTCTCGAGATCCGGAGGCGTGCTCCAAACGACGGTCAAAGTCTGTTCGCACTGGGATTTGGACACCAGATCCCGCAAGTGGTTCAGGTCTTCAATCCTAAAAATTCTTGTTTTTTTTTGAGGTTTCAAAAATTTCAAAGGAATCAGAAAAACTTCTAGCAATGAAAAAGTTTTGCAAACTTTCTTTTCCCAAGAAAAAAAAATTTGTTGACACGTATTTAAACAAATTCTTTGAGTTTTGAACAATATTTAGAAGGATTCATAGACTAAAAAAATGAATTCTTTAATTTCTTCTCAAACTCAAAAAGTCTAGGGAAGCTTACAAAAAAAGGATTTTTTATATTAAAACTCACAAAAGTCATTGAATCAAGATTTCAAATCCTCACTTTAAAAAATAACTCAAATCGGACTGACTTTTCAGTTTGATAACTGAAATCCAAACTACTTATTCGATAAAATGCGAGATGAAGAAAAAAAAAATCAAAATTTCCGAAACGGTTGCGCTAAAAAAATTTCAAAATCATCCCATTTTATTCAAACTCGTTTCTTAAAGTAAACAATTGATATAATAATATTCTCCGTTTCAAAAATTAGCACAGAGAGAGTTTGATGCTCAGGTAGAAAAAGGCCTTGACGTGGGTTGAAAAAAAAAGAATTATCGTCAACACCGGAACAACTCATCACCTCAACGTCCGTAATTAAACCTAGATGATTTCTCATTTCTCATTTTTTTTTTTCCGCAGACGTTCAATTATCGGTTTGACCGTGGCGCGGCCTTGTCCACAACGACCCAAGCCATTTTTTGTTCGGGAGTTTCTTCTGACTATTAGAATTGTAACTGACTGAAAGTTAACGCTCCGCTTCTGCTGTACAAAGTGTGGCAATTCGAGAGCTGAATGGATTTCTGTCGAGATCCCTTTCGAGTCGTTCATGTGGCACATCACTCTAGAAACCGTGCCGTCTGGGTGTCCTGAAACTAGCGTTTTTGAAAGGGATTGAATGATAAAGTAACCTCGAATTGGCATCACTCCAGACGCCCTCAGTCCTGCGAGAAAGTGATGACGGCAAGACCATCGTGGAGGTATTGAAGAAGTCTCTACAATTATTACTTATAGTATCGTAGAGTTCGATATTTTATGGACTGGGAATCGACCCCACATAGTCACTATCTGCACAAACTTCTAGTTTTAAAGATTTGATTTTTCAAGTTTTTATCCTTAATCATTTGACGCCGTTTGGAAGGAGTGTGATCGCGCCACCAACCATATCATGAGCTAGGAGCGTAGTGCAGTGGCTAGCGTGTTAGCCTGCGGAGCATACGATGAAGGTTCGAATCCTTTTACCGCTAATTTTTTTTTTGCCATCATTTTTTTTCAAGAATTCTGATGAGAACATTGAAATTTTACGAGTATAACCGTTCCAAATAAGTTTGATAGCCATTTTCTCTCTAAATCGTTTTTTGAGTTGTGGCAGACTTCACATATTAAAGAACATTTGTTTGAACTTTCAAATCAAAATCTTTATGAATTCCTGAAATTTGGAAAAAAAAAACATCCGGAGTAAGATAGTTTTTGCGTTGATCAGTTGCTCTGAGATAACTTTCTCATCTCAAACTTTTTTCCACTGGTCAATTTTCTCGAAGGAACGCGAAACTTCTTTTATCGCTTTAATCCTGGTCTTCGCACTGTCAAATTGATCCCGAAACATCAATTTCCTTGTCAGATCGGAAGGGAAACAAGGTGTCAGTGTGTCGCAAATGACAGGGATCGTCAAATCCCGAGGCCCTATTTACGCAAGTGCGATCGAGTCGATGGGTCTGTCTCCGAGTCTTGCGAGGCCTTACGGAGGACACGCGCAATTGTCCATAGAGCAAGATTACCGTTCTGAGGTTCAGCCGATTATTGTGGTTCTCAAAGGCCACAGAACCAATCAAAGGTAATATGTTCAACTTCTACGCGGCAACCGTTTCAAGAAAAACATACCGACAGTTGTGCAAATCTGAAGCAATAGAAGGAGTTCCAGTAGAATTCGGACCCTCCGCCGCCCAAAAACGGACGGCATCCGCGGTCTGCAATTTCTCAATATAAAAAAATCTCAGAAGGAAAGCGATCAATTTAACAGCCGGCTATTCATTTTTGATGTGAAATGGGAGCTGGAGAATGAAACAAGAAAAGTTGAAAGTGGCCAAAAAACGAGGTAAACTTTATAAAAAGCAGGACAAAAATTTGTATTTCCAAGACTTTCAGTCATTTTTAAAAAAACGACTGCACAAATTCGAAGAAAATAAAAATGTTTGAACTCATCCACAAATGAAGATAAGACACAAGAAAACTTCAAAGATTCTTACAAAGGACATCAGGAAGTGTTTGGACTAACTAGGGATCGTTTTCAACCACCCCCCAAAAAAATTTCTCGCAATAGGTTTCCTTTTTCGAGTTAAGACACTCCAAAAAAGCTTAAAAATAGCGCTTTTTTGTATCAATTTGTGTATTTTGGGGAGTTTGAAGATTCATAACTCGAAAAAAGATCTATTGTGAGAAAAAATTTTAGAAAGAAATAAAAATAGTTTCCTAGAAAACTTCAGAAAATCACAGATCCAGATGAACATCCATATGCTACGAATGTGTATAAATACAGTGTAGATGAGGAGCGGAACGTCCTTTTTTGGAACGTTTTCACTGGGAATAAATGGACGCGCGGCGGCTCACCAACAAAGGACGATCCGAAGAACTGACTAACAGATCAAAATGCGATGGCCGGCTGGGACGTCCGATTGCGCGAACACCAACCGACGGATTTGCATACGGACGGCCGTCAAAAGCGAGTGATATAACCACGACGTACACGCGACACGAAGCCGAGAAGCGCGCTTTATCGTTTTCTCGGCCGGCCAACAGAAGTTGGATCGCATGTGGTCGGCTTCATAACCATGGCTCGTTGGCAGACTTTTTTTTTGACACAGATGCTACATCCATGTAATAACGAAAGCATATGAAATATAAAATTGAGCTTGACGGAAAAAAAAAAGATTTCTCATGATATAGTCTGTTCAGATTTCAAGCAGCTAACTCCGCCCCTTCCGGCACAGTACCGCCAATTTTTTATCGCGCGGGACGATTTTTAATCTTTTTTGTTCTAAAAGAGTGAAAAAGTTCTCAAAAAATGCAGCTGTTAAAGGTTCATGGTCATCTGCGATGAAAAATTGACGCAAAAAATATTTTAGATTTGTGAGCGGAGTTAGCTGCTTGACATGCAAAATCTGAACATACTGGGAAAATTTTTAGTGGCCACTATAGAGGCTCACGAAGGACTACTTGGAGAGGACACTAAAGCGGCCACTAAATCCACCTTTATAGTGGCCACTATTTACCGTTTTAGTGGCCACTTCAGTAGTTTTTCATCCAGTATTCCTTCCAGTAACTCTGATAATTAAAAAAAAACAGATTGGACCAATTATGTTGATCCATTCACCCCTAAAATGGCCACTAAATGTTTTGTGGTTTAGTAGTAGCACTGAGACCTCTATAGTGGCCACTAATTTTTAACCACTTAAGTGATCACTAACTTGACTACTATAGTGGTCACTAAAACGTCAAGACCCTATAGTGGCCACTAAAAATTTTCCCCAGTACTATAGATACCAGTCAGGAAGAATTTGAAAGACTGGAGAAAAATAGGTGAATCCGAGCGGCAAGTCCAAAGAGGCAGGTGGAGTTCGACCCCGGAAGTCAGCTGGAGTGAGCAGGTGGGGATTACTTTCACTCTTCCAAAACAGCTCGGAGTTGCAAAAAAGGCGCGAATTCTCAAAATCGTTTTGGTTTCTTCTGGAAGGGCGCCAGATTGAGTGTGCGAGGCCAGAAATTATTCATTTCTTAAGCGTCTGGCACTCTGCGAGCCTAAGCGCCAGTTTATGATTTCCCCTAAATAGTGCATTTTTTGCTTTTAATGCGCTCTTACATGAAAGAAAAACAACAAAAACAACAAAAAGAAGCAGTCAGTTCATAATATGACAAAATATCATTTTTCTGAAATTTTCAAGATCCTAACAAGGAGGTCATTTTACTTTTTGGTTGGGATTTTCCTATAAATCGGCCAGATTATTTCTAGCTCTACCAGATGAATATTCTGAAAGTCTCAACCAGCAAAACTCCCTAGTTTTCGAGAAAAGACCCTTAAAAGTCGAACGAAATTCTCAAAAATAAGCCATTTTGGGGCTCTGGGCCCTTGATTCTCAAAAATAAAAATTTCTGCAGGTTGATACTTTCAGGATCATTTTCTGGTACATCAAAAAATATTCTGACCAATTTTTAAGAAATTCCCGACCTAAAAGTAAAATGACCTTGCTTGCAAGCTTCTAGCCTGGTTACGAAAAAAATAATAATAAAATAAAAATTTTGTCTTGATATTCAGTATACTTCAGACTTCAATCGAAAAATTTTTTTGTTTGTATACTCTAACTCCGCCTTTAAAGAGTTTTTTTTGTTAATCTATCGACTTTTTTTTTTAAAATATTCTTATTGTAAACTAAACCTTAAAACTTGAAATTTATAAAAATCTGATAAACTTATCCTGGCTCCAATACAAGATCATTAGGAAAGTTAAGTTCGGAACAAGAAGAAATGCAAAATTTCGAGAATAACTGAGGGATAGTTCATTCACCGATGGCTTGAACTAAAAAAAGTAAGGAAGGGTCTAAAAAAACACTTTTTCGTATACATACCTCTACATAGACCTTCTGAATGAAGCATATTGACCGGTTTTTCTGAAACGTATCAAAGTTGGAAATGAGCCGAGGATGGGAGATTGTCAGCCGCACGCAAGGGCTCTTCTCAACGCGATACTCGCCAGTGTTGACACATTGGCGAGCGGCAAAATCCTCCACTGGCACCGCCGGACAGGAAAAAGATTACCGTCAAGAAGTGCCGCAATTCAGACGCGCAAAAGAAGAAAAAAAATGACAAAGGCAATGAGAAAAATGAAATCGAGACGTTTGTCGGAGGAGTGGGCGGCGGGGACAGCTCTAATCCGAGTCGGCCTGAGGAGTTTGGTCGCCCAACAAAAGTTTCACTGGTTTCAAATACGTGTTTTCTAAATTTTCATAGTCTCATAAAACTCGGCGACATTCCTCTCCTTATAGTTATTCCTGCAATGTTTGCCAAAACGACGCCCACGAACGTAATAATTTATGGAAATTTTTTCAATTCTCCGCCATGCGCTCGACGTGATTGATACGGTTTTGTTTGGATTTGCGGCCAGGTCGAAAGGTAAGTCTAACGGTCCAAAAGTAAGAAGATGGAAAAGTCCGGGTCTCACGATCTGAAAAAGGCCTTAAAAGGAAGAGCCTAAAGCTCCTTTTTGAGTCAAAAGTTTCTCGGAACCTTCTTTTTCAAATTCTTTTTTAAACCTCCTCAAAAAGTCCTTTTCAGAAAAAGGTCTAAAAAAAGCGCCTATTTCCAAAAATTTTGAGACCTTTTTGGACTTTGCCCGTGGACAGGAACTTCAAAATGAATAAAAATGTCTAGCTAGATATTTAAAATTAATCAAAAAGGGTAAGAGATGAGAGGGTCCAGACATGTCATACTGTTTTTAATTCTCATTTAAAAAAAGGTGAAGAAATATAAAAAAACTGTGATTCGATGTGCAAATAATGATAAGGAATAATCGTAAAACAATTTTTTTGAGAATCTGATTTTTGCTTTAAAATAGGAATATTTTGGTTAAAAAAAGGAAAATTCTTTGAAAATTCAGTTTTTCTCATTGAAAACGATCCTATAGCTTTTTGAAAATACAGGCAAAATACAAAAGGTCTCCAAAAGAACTTTCGGCAAAAAGGCTTTTTTCTTAACCTTCTTCTGAGAAGAACCTTTTGAGGAGATTCCGAGAAACTTTTGACACCTCTTCAAGATCTCAAAAAGGAGCTTTAGGCCTTTTTGAGGTCGTTTGGAATTCGCCTGAATCTAGAAAAAATATGATTCTAGAGGCTCTTAAGAGTCTAAAAACCGTTATTCAAGCGAAAATCATCAAAAATTAGTCGAGAACAGTTCAAACGGAAGAATGATATGAGAGAATGAATAATAACCCCGCCTTGAGACGAATGGGTTTGGTAACAACGGAGGGTCGTAAACCCAGGGAATGGTCGAGAAGCCGTTGTCGTCTTGAGGTACACAAAGAGCAGAAAAGGTTATCATCGATTCTGGAACCATGCAAAGCGGAAAGAAGAACAATTGGCGAAAGCCCCCCACAAATACGCGTGTAATTCGCACGTTTGCCGCTCGTTGCCGCTTGTACGCAGACAGAACAAATAGGCTTGGCGTCCTCAATCGTCAGCTCGCTATTTGTTGATTGTTGCTCGAGGTTTCCGAGCTACAGAATATTACTGTCATATGGGAGATGTTTCGAAGGCTCAGGCTCTTCGATGGGAGGTCGAGAATAGGTTGACAAACTTTGTTGGACCAAAATTTGCAGAGTTTAAAGGCGCAGAAGACGGATTTTACTTCCAATAACGGATCTCTTAACCTTCAAACAATTAGGCTATTGAACATACTGGGAAAATTTTTAGTGGCCACTTAAAGGGTTAAAAATTTGTGACCACTATAAGGGTCTCAGTGCTACTACTAAACCACTAAAAATTTTAGTGGCCACTATAGGGTTTTGACGTTTTAGTGGCCACTGTAGTAGTCGAATCAGTGACCACTTAAGGGGTTAAAAATTAGTGGCCACTTGAGAGATCTAAGTGCTACTACTGGACAACTAAAAATTTTAGTGGCCACTTTAGGGTTCAATGGATCATCATAACTGGTCGAATATGTTTGTTTTAAAATCATCAGAGTTACTGGAAGGAATACTGGATAAAAAACTACTGAAGTGGCCACTAAAATGGAAAATAGTAGCCACTGTAGAGGTATGTTTAGTGGCTTTAAGTCCCCTCCAAGTAGTCCTTGGTGAGCCTCTATATTAGTCCTTGGTGGGCCACTAAAAATTTTCCCAGTAGTAAAAAAAGATTCTCGCCTTTCGAGCGACGCGGTGAAGAAATACATGCAGGAAACCTTTTAAAAAGCGAGTTACTTGGATTTACGACATGTCAGAAATGGTCATACTGTGCCGAAAAAGAAGCACAGAAGTCAATATGGGGCTCGAGGGCAGATAATTGGAGGCAATGAGTGCGGAAAAAAACGTCGTCTCCGGCTCGGAAACGCGAGACGTCGGCTCTTCATATTTCTCAAATCGCAGGTGCCAAATTTGCATTTTTTGGGACCGACGCTTCCTCTCCCGTGGGAATCGCCTACAGAAAACGGTGTGAATAGAGCCGTTTTTCGATTTGAATGCCTCTTTTGTCTTGTGGGAGCCCAATTGATTGCATTCGAATGAACCTGTGGGATTCTTTTCACCGGATTCTGATCGCATCGAGAAGGACAACGACTTGAAAACTGGTTGCACCTTACTTCAAAAAACTCTTTAACTAGACTTATAAAGCTAGCTCTTGCTCAGGTAAATCCTGGGAAGGTGTTGGGAAGGTAACCAACAGTAGGTTGAAAGATGGTAGCTAGAAGGTCTTAAGAAAGCCTTTGCAAGGCATTCGGAAAGTGAAAATGGAAGTTGCCCGCCAGAAGCCTGCTGGAAAGCTTCTGGAAGGCTACCGGCAAGCCTTTTCTTGTAGAAGGGGTTGGGAGGCTACGCTGAAAAGCTCCAAGCGCCTTCCGAGAAACCGAAAGCAGAAGCTTCCCAACTTTCCTGAGTGGGATGTCCAACTGTTGAGTTTTTCAAAGATCTCCAAAATTCTTTAAATGCGTGGAAAAGTCTTCTTGATTCAAAATCAATGTTCTATTGCGATGAATAAAGTAGGAAAAGAATGAAAAATCCCCGTGGTCCAAAAATTTTTTTTTAGTCAAATTAGATCGGAACGAAAATTGTAAAAGTTATACAATGCGGCTGAACTTGTCTAAAACAGAAAGTTGAAAAACCGCTTAGTAAAAGTTTCAATTACAAGTACGTGGGCAGAAAAAAAGAGACAAAGGTTCTAATCAATAAAAACGTGAAGTATAATGTGGTCGTGAGAAAAGCGAAAAGTCCGAGAGTGAAACTTTGAGGTTGACCTGTAAGGAAAATAAGCTTTCTGAACAAGTTTGAAAGACAGGTAGCAAGTGTTGAAAATAATATTCTTGTAGAAAATGTATTTTGAAAAAAATGGTCAATGATTGAACGTGGGATCGCTTGACGTGTAAAGGCGACACGAAGTTTTAAAAAAAGCTGATTCTGACTATGTCCGACCCAAAAAGAGTAGGCATGATAAGCAACGGAGTAAGTTACAGCGACTCTGACAAGGAAGATCTTTTTGGGCTTTAAGCCCTCATTTCTCAAAAACTAGGAAGTTGTGCAGGTTGACACTTCCAGCATCTTCATTAGGCACGCCTCGAACTGTTCTGGCCAAATTTAAAGCAAGTCCCAATAGCAAAGTGAAATGACCTCCCTTGTGAAAACCATTACAAGATCTAACGCGTCTTTTTTCGAAGAAAATAATAATTGGAAGCAATCTGCAGGAGATAATCTGCAAATAACGTAGGCTGCCAATAGCGCCAGCCAGCGGGCAGATCAAAAAAGGAGCGATTGGAAATGGGAGAGCAGCCGGCAGGTCAGCGGCCGGTGTCAGGAGTCAATTACCTCTACCTGCTTGGCTGCCCCCCGTCGACACCTGAACCGTGGACAGTCCGTATGGGTGCATAATTACCATCGAGGTTGGCTAATCGGCACGTGTGCCGCGGTTGACGGCAGTGGTCCGTTGTTTTTTTTTTCTCCTTCTTCCGATCCGATCATCGTGTGAACTGTCACTCAATATCTGCAGTCATGCCTCGCTGCGCTTTTCCCTTTCACGCACTTTTTTCGGGAATATCCGATTAGAAAGAGCAAACAAAAACACACACACACAAAGGGTTTCTGTGTCACGTCCTCCACAAAAGGAACATTTGACTTGATAGCAAGTCTGTTTGCTCAAAAGTTTACGTGAAGATAGGACAGCCAAATCGATTCAAACTCAAAGCAATCGTCTTCCAAAAAAAAGAATTTTTTGAAAAAAACTTCAGTTGCAATCGATAGGAAAGTTGAGTTGACGTGAAGACATTGCGTAACATGAGCAACATTGCGCAAAAAACATTTTTTGGAAAAAGCTTCAGTTGCAATCGATAGGAAAGTTAGGTTGACGTGAAGACATTGCGTAACATGAGCAACATTGCGCAACACTCCCAGAACTCTTCAATGTTTGCAGTGGCGCCGTGCCAATCATACCTCGTACTTTTGACACGAACGCGCCTGGATGTCAAGGCTGCGGTCGAGGGGCGAAGACGTCGATCGGATCGTCTGATCGACATCTTTATGTCTTCTTTGTGTTGACGGACGCCTCGAAACGATCCGCTTCAAACCAAGGAAAGAAGAATGAAGCGAGTGTCTGCTGAGATGCATGAAAGGAGGATGGAAAAAAGAATTCAAAACTGCGCAGCTTGAAAAAATAACTATTGATTAGCACGTTCATATGATTCCGGGCATGATCAAACTTGAAATTTTTCAAAAATCTACTTTGTAGCCCCAGAAAAGCAGTTCTTGCGAAGTTTCTCTTTTGAAGATCTGACAAGAGAGGTCATTTTGCGCTTGAGAAATTCCTGAAAATTGGCCAGGACACTTCTTGATGTACCAGTTGAAGATTCTAAGTCTCAACCTGCCCAACTTCTTAGCTTTCGAGAAACAAGGGCCTAAAGTCTCAAAACAGCCTATTTTATGGGGTTTCATTAACTTTAAAGACGTCTCTTCCCAAAAACGAGGAAGTTGTGCAGGTTGAGACTTTTAGAATCTTCTTTTGGTACGTCAAGGAGATTCCTGGCCAGATTTCAGGAAATTTCCAAGCGCAAGGTGAAATGATCACCTTGTGAGTAATTTCCTGACAAAAAAAAAATATTTTTTGGACTTTTATTTAAATTCGAAAAAATTTCATCTTTCAGGTTTTTCAGAGGCCATAAATTCTCTAAAAAAACTCCACGTCCACTTTCAAGCTAACAAACTTGGATTATTTGGAATCAGTAACCTTGATAAGACCAAAAAAAAGATTGTGGTAAATTGTTTTAAGCCTTCAAAGCTGTTTTAAGTTCGTAAATGTTGATTTAAAGTCCGTAAAAAACAGTTCGTAAATAAGTGAAAGCCTGCTTTTCCTTGTTAAGATTCAAAGAGTGTACTTCTTCAGAAATTTTTTCATAAAAATAAGAGAAAGAAACTATGATAAATTATAAGTTCTAAAGAACAAATTATAAAGGATTGAGAAAAAAATGTGTTACAGTTGTCCTTGAACCAGCTTCCAAATCAAGAAGCAAGAGGAAAAAATGTTTTGGAGGAAAGGCAATGATGTGCGAAAATGGGCAAGCATTTTGGCGCCTTTCCAATGAGATCAACGTGAACGGTGAAGTGTCGATTTGAGTGTTTGCGGGGGAAAAAAAAGTGGCGGAAAATGCAAATGGGCGGAACATCATTTGGAGGGCTAATGTTAAGAAAAGGCGAGTTTCAGACGCTGGCCGACACTTATTCTGTGGCGGCCGTGTGAAAAAACAGCGCCCTGCAAATTGGCCTCTCCTTGTCGCATTTCTTCTGATATTTCTTCTGATATGATTATACTGATACTTTGAGCTTTCACTAAAAATGAAATGAACCTTTCATGATCAAATGAGCTGATAATGGAAAGTTCGGGAAAGTGATAAATTGAAACCTTGAACCATAATTCAAAATAAATCATCTTGCCAAACTGTATTTGTTCAACAACTCGGGTAAAGTCGGAATGGTGGATACAGGCGCCAAAAGGGAGGGGCTCAAAAAAAGGCTGCAGAAAGGCTGCAAAATGGCCGCTCAAAGGTTCCGTTTTGCGGCCTTTATTGAGCCTTTCTTTCTTTTTCTTCGGGCTGAAAAGCTTCAAAAAAGGTTAAGAAAGAGTGAGGGTGCAAAAAGGGTGCTGAAAGTCTAGGCCATTAATTATTTCCGATTTATTATTGTAGCCTTATTTGGTTCACACACAGTCACTGGTAAAAATTATTCTCAATTTAAAATAGCTGGGTGTTTTTCAAAAGGGTCCAAAAAGGGTGGATGAAGGCCGATGAATGGACGGAAAAAGGCAGTAAAAAGGAAACCATTGCCATCCGTTTAGGAACAATTTTGCACCCATAACGGACGCTAAAAGGGCCCGTATGATATTAGAAAATTGTAAGAAGAACAAGTCGAAAATATTTCTTGGTAAGAAAAATAGAAGCAATGCTTCCGCAGACTCCAAATGAATGAAGAATCTGTCAACATTGTACCCGGAAAATCTAGAGGAAAAGCAGGAGCAAATATGCTCGGGAGGCATTATGAAATGATAGAAAAAAAGACGCGGCTGATCGGCGCATCAATAAACAAATTATGAAAAGTTTTCTGCGCAAAAAGCTGGTCTTAAGAAGGTCTGGGATGCTTCGAAAGGCGGAAAACAATAACCACAGGAACGAGCTTTGATTTTTCTGCGGTACAAATAAATGACATAATTGTAAACACCGTGATAAAGAAGAAAAATCAGTTTGAACCATTCAAAGAGCAAAGTTTGCGGTGGAAAAGGAAAAACGAAATGATGGCGGGAAATATCAAAAGTGTTCGTTGTGAGGGCGGTCCATAACGAGGACGTGAGAACGTCTCGAAGAATGATGAGTTGAGGCTCCCTGAAGACTTGTCAGTCGTCTTCCAGAGTACATTCTCCTCGGTAAACTTTTGCTTTTTCTCTCTCTTCAATAATAAACTTTGATGTGAGAGAAAAAATCTCAGGTTTCATTCCACCTCTAACAAGTTTTTCTCCGTAACTTAATTGCCCTGATTCGATTAAGCGAGCTTAATTTGCCACGGTCACCTGCAAAATGAAAAAAAGGGACAAACTTAGAAATTATAGAGTGGTCCCTATAGGGGTAAAATTAAAGTGGTCCTTATGAGGGTTAAGGATCTGACCCCTAAGCCGCTTAAGCTTAAGTGGTCCCTATAGGGGTCTCTCAATTTCATTCAAAAAACGCTTATTTATTTTTTTTTATAAATGCGTCTTCGCTTAGAGTTCAAAATTTCCCTATAGGGGTCACTAACTAAAACACCTATAAGGAGCACTTTTACAACCTTCAGTGGCCTCTATAGGGGTTCGTGAAGTGGTCTGCAAGGGCCCTAAGGTTACCACTAGAGGTACCACTCTGGAGCTCCTACGAAATTCAGAAAAATATTTCGAAACAACAGCAAACAGAAGAACACTTCGAGGCACGATCAATGCATGGAAACAATCAGTTCCTGAACGCGCTACTATCTTATCAAACTGCACGCCGAAAATATTTTTCACGGGACGAAGGCGACAAAAATAGCTGCGACCAGCTCTTTTGTGCCCCATTAAAAGGGCCTAGAATACCAGATCACAGCTTGCGTGCTTTATTTCTCACGCAATACTGCGCGTCGGCAAAATATGGGTCGTAAAGTTGTTTTAGGCCTTTCATAAAGGAGAGGAAGACGAGCCGAAAAAACAACTATTGGTCTCCAAGAGTTGTGATCTTACTCATCGATAATGCTAAAAGGACATTTGTGTGTCCCGAGTGGTCGCTATAGGGGCAACCTTATGGGCGGTTGGAGGGACTCTCTAGGGACCACTTTACCAGCCCTTATAGGGGGCACTATAGGGGACATGGTAACCGATAATTTTTATGAACTCCAAGCGAAGAACCATTTCCATGGCAAAAATGAACAAATAAGCGGTTTTTGAATGAAATTGGAAGATCCCTATAGGGTCCACTTCAGCTTTAGCGACTCTAAAGTCAGACCCAAAACTCAAAATTCAGATCACTTTTTCGGCCTCTATAGGGATTTTTTTCCCCCTAACCCCTATAGGAACTACTCTGGAATCCCTAAGAGAGAAAAAATACAGAAACATATTTCTTTTTCCGGGGAGAGAAAACGGTGATGGATAGCTTTGGCATTCAATATGTTGAATATTTTTCTACTATTGAAAGGGACGATTGTTGGGAAAGGCAGGTGATTCACATCAGAGCAAAAAAACTACAAAAATCGTTCAACAAAAATTTTTTTTTCTGGGAACAACGGGAGGGAAAAAGCAGAGTTTGGTGTCGGGACTTGCTAATTTGGCCATTCGGAGGGAACATTTTGACGGAACATTCCTAGAAAAAAGACTGCAATCTTCTCGCTAATTCAAACTTTTCTTTGAAAGGACTTTCTGTTAGGAGCAATTCTTCAGAAATCTGAGAGGAGTACGATTAGAAGAGTCGTAAACAAGAAGTGAGGATGATCGGAGAAGACGTCTGGCTAGCCGGATCGTCGATTTCCAACCGGGCCGCCAGTAATCAATTTGCGAATTCGGAGCCGACGGAGGGCAACGAAAAGGGGGCGAAAAAAATTGCGTTGATTGGTTTTGGCGACTGAAGGACGTTCGCTTTTGTGTCGGAGCCGGGGCGCTTCCCAGATGCGTTTGACCGATGGCCTCCAGACAAGTTCTTCTGGTGGGGGGATACCGGTGAGGATACTCGGAAAGCTCAACTCAAGGCAAGAATCGGAGGGACAAAGGCGTCAGCCGACGCTAATGAAAATCCGCCTGGAAATGATCCGTGAAATTGGCTGCAGACCGGCAGGTTCACACAAATGAAATGTCGAGCACAGCGTTTCAAATACCACACGAAAAATTCAACTTTCTTGATTTTTAGGTTGATAAAGGAACATTACTTGATTTATACTCTCTTTTAATTACTCTTCTTTGAACTTCAAAGAAAAAAGAACAAATTAAAATATTTTTTTTTTTTCGATTAATCGAACAATGGAAGCGTTTCATGAGAAAATGGCATGTTAGAAAAATCAAAAAGAAAATAATTTTTCGTGTAAAGTTATCCTGAAACTTCAGAGTTCTGCTTTACAAATTTAAAAAAAATTCCTTTTTTAGAGCTTTGTTAAATTTTCATTTCAGTGAAAAAAGAAACGAAGAGAAGAGCACGATGAAAAATCAGTCCGAAAAAAGAGCTCATTTTCTCAATTTTCCAGTTTAAAAAATGTTCTTCAAGCCTTTCTAGGCCCTATAAGGACAAGTGATGTAGAGGTTGACGCTATCAAAGTTTCGTGATTATTCTTATTTTGGCCTGAAACTTTTTTTCAAGAGAACATTTGATGGAAAAAAAAAGCAAAAGACAAAAAAGGATGAGCGAGGTGCGAAAAGAAGGATGACTCGACCACGATTTGGCGACCGTCAAGACGCGTTGACAGGCGATGACATCACCGCTTCGCGCGCTCATCACCGTCGAGAGCACGACAAATATGGAGAGGCCAGTGGGCTCTGTGCCAAGAGCCCAAAAATTATCAGACGTCTTCTCGTGTCACTTAAAAACTGCAGAGTGGCCTCTATAGGGGCAACCTTAGGAGCCATTAAGGACCACTTTACCAACTCTTATAGGGGCCACTAAAGCTTGAAAAAGTGGTCCCTTAAGGGGAAATTCTAGTCGATATTTTTTCCGACAGCATTTCCATGAGAAAATCTGTAAAACCAGCGTTTTTTGAATGAGACCCCTATAGGGTACACTTGAGCTTTAATGGCTAACGGGTAAGATTCTAAACCACTGTATAGACCACTTTAATTTTACCCCTACAGGGACCCCTTTTTCGACCTCTATAGCCTATAGACTATAGGGGTTGCTTTCCCCCTAACCCCTATATTGATCACTCTAGAATTCCTAATTATATTTATCGACCCGGAAAGAAAAAAATCTGAATTTGAGGTAAATGAAACATGTGAGACTTGGTGCCCGGCACACACAAAAAATTTAGTTCCAGAAGAAAAAAAAAAGAGCAAAAAAAGGGCGGCAAAAGCTCGTTTCCGACTAAACAGTTCCGGAGGCTGGACTGGCAGATTTGTTGGATCAGCTGCGCGGCTCTTCGGAGCCCCGAGTACCTTGTTCGGCTTGATTACAAACGTGTATGACTGACCAGGCGGATGAGAAAACATTAGGGAGAGTAGCAGAATAGAGAAGAAGGACAAATATAAACTAAAATGATAGAATAAAAAAGGAAGAAATGACTGAGACGACCCCCCTAATGCAACAGTCAACACGTGTCTCTCGCAATCAACCGTTGAAATCGGCGCAAATCGAGGAACGAGGGCACCCGAAACGTATTAATTTCTTTGAAAAAAGCTCCTGCGCAAGCACAAAAAATAGCCTCTGAATCATTTTTTACCTTAGTCAATTGCTTCAAGTAAGAACTGAAAGAGTGAAAAAGACTGTGTTCGAACCTTTTAGCACGCGTTACTCTGCCTTAAAGAAGACGCCGACCGACAATGGATAAAAGCAAACGCCGCTGTTTGCCGTGGCGCTTTTTGCCGCAACGGATATTTGACCTACAAGCTCATGCAATAAACTGATCTATCAATGGCCAAATGGGATTTTTTTTTGATCAACAAAGGATTAATTATTCAATAACTTCTAAGATTTGTTAACATAGCGATAGCAATTATGGATGGTTGAGCTCAAAAAATCAAGAAAAACTACAGCAATAAGGGGGTTTTTATCCAGTTTTGATGAAAAAAGCAAGTTTGAATGTTTTTACAAATATTTATTTGCTTTTTTTAAAAAAATATAAAAAAATTTCCAAAAAAAGTGTTTCAGAAAGACTTTCTAACTAATAAACTCCAGACCTCTAGGGACCTCTTTACCAACTCCTATAGGGGACACTAAAGTTTGCAAAAGTGGCCCCTAAAAGGAAAAGTGGCCGCTATAGGGACATGCTACGCGAAGAAGCATTTCCATGCGAAAAATTGAATAAATGAGCGTTTTAAAATGAAATTGGAAGACCCCTATAGGGACCACCCAAGATCTTGAAACCGCATAGGGACCACCTTGATTTACCCCTATAGGGACCACTTTTTCGCCCCCCTTCTTTCCTCCTAACCTCTACAGGGGCCACTCTGGAATTCCTCAGTAAAGATTTTTTTAAATTTTCCCAGATTTCTGGAGTGATATTAAGTTTATATCCAGTTTTCATTCAGAAACTTTCAAGAAAAGTGAAAAAAATTTTTTCAGCAAGATAACAGTGGGAATAGCGTCCATATGTCAAACTTTACATTGTGAGGACTGAATATTTTGAAAAATTATGAGAAGCGCAGAAACGGTTATTGATACTCGGACATTGATAAGGACGTTTTTGGTCATTTCTAGTGACCATTTTAGTAGCGTCAGCACTCTTAAGTGAGCCCTAGAACTGCCCAGAAACGTCCGGAGCACATCCGTTTCGCTTTACCAATATCCGAGTAATGATAAAGTGATATACGGAGACCGAAAACCTCGAAGTGGATGTGTTGCAATACGTAGCAAACACACAGCCTATCCAAACACACGACTTCATACAGAACCGGCGAATTTCGCCCATATATGGCCTGCGTGTGTTTGCGTAATGGAAAGAGCTTGTTCTAACATGCTATGTTCTGATGGTGGTCAACAAAGTTCGCCAAGAGACCCGAATTAAGAGACCGCCAGGGGGGGACGTCGACAATTAAGCGTCTTTTTCACTAATTTTTGGATTCTCGAGAGTTTGATGATATTGGAGCGTTTAGAAGAGCCATAGCGATTCTTGTTAGTTTTATAGAGATTTTCGTGGCAAGAGTTCAATTTTAATTAAGTGAATAAATAACGAAATAAGAAAAAAATTCATCGTCCAAATTTTTTTCTTTTTGCTTTCTTCCGGGAAGGTACTTATACGCTCCAAAAGATATTTAAGGATGATAAAGAAGTAAGAAAAGGTGAAATAATTAGAAATAAAGAGCATAATGGTCAATAATGGGAAGAGCCGTGGTCAGAGGCCGATTAAAATATATTTTTAATAGAGTCAATCCAATTTTAGTTATTATAATAATGTAGAATTTTTTTGATTTTTTTTTGGAATAATTGTTTTTTTACGATATTAGAACTCATCAAAAAAATTATGAAACTTGTATAATAAATTCACCGAAAAAGATATGATATATAATTTTCCATCCGAAGACTTTGTTATGTGTTTCATTTTTTTAAAAAAGTCTATTCTATTTCTTTAAAAAAATATTTTAGTTCTGCAAAATGATTTCGTAATTTGAAAAGCTTTTTACCTGATGGTCATATGTTGAAAAAGCTGTTAAGAAATCTATATTTTTTTCTGTCTATAAAGTTTCCTAATTATAGACTTACTCTTGCCGCGCCAGCTGCAGTCAAAGCCAGAGAGCTAAAAAGTCTTGAAAAAGCCAAGAGAAAAATTTTCGAATGTGATCGATTTCGAAATCAGATCAAGTTTAAAGCGGCGTGTGAAAGTGAAAAAAGGAAACTCGCCAGGAGAACAAAGTCGAAATTTTATTTATCATAAAATAGTCTGGTGAGAGCTCAAAAAGTAGTCAGAAACTTGTTTTTTTGTTGATGGGCTCATAATCGAGACTAGCAAACACGCCCTTCGCGAAAATTAGAGACTCAAGAAAATTATTATCAACTATGATTTTTGAGACAGAGCTTGAAAAACACTGAGCTTTTGTGATTTGCCTCTTCCTATTCAGGTTAAACCAAATTCAAGCTTTCACGCTGATTGGAAGTCCCACAAATCGTTTTTGGAGCGTAAAATCCTTCAAATTAAGTTTCATCACAAACCCTATTGGTTTTTTTCAGACGAGGATGGAACTCGATTTGCTTTGATTTCTCCATCGCACATTTTGAGAGTGAACATCCAAAAAACGACCGCTTTCAATTTAGTTTGGCAAAATTTCGGGAAATCCTCATAGTTAGACAATATTTTTAATGAAAAAAATCTGCTGAGAGCGTATAGTCACAAAAAAAAGCGGTGAGAAAAAGTCTGTCTACAGAAGGAGTTATATGGGGTGTGAAACCAACGGCGCGGATACGAAAGGCCAACGACGTGTGCAGAATCACTTTTCTGTAGACTAGTAAGTACTGAAGATTTCAGCGAACACGAAAGAAAACAACAAAAGTTAATTTTCATAAAATCTTAATGATCATAAAAATTTTAAACTTCATATGAAAAAAAAAAGATAATTATTATACGATTTAAAAAACCAACCTAGTTTCAAACTGTTCGGTGCTAAATGATGTGGTTCAATCCAAAACATTTCTTGCTCAGTGATCAAGCAAAATGGCTGCAAAAATCCTAATTAATCGATAAAAAAAATTGCGCTATCCTGGGGAAACTTTTAGTGGCCACTTTAGGGTTTTGACGTTTTAGTGGCCGCTTTAGGGTTTTGACGTTTTAGTGGCCACTACAGTGGTCAAATTAGTGGCCACTTGAAGGGTTAAAAATTAGTGGCCACTGTAGAGATCTAAGTGCTACTACTAGACCACTAAAAATTTTAGTGGCCACTTTAGGGATCAATGGATCAACATAACTGGTCCAATTTGTTTGTTTTGAATTTATCAGAGTTACTGAAAGGAATACTGGATGCAAAACTACTGAAGTGGCCACTAAATATAGAACCTCTATAGTGGCCGTTAAAACGGAAAAATATGGCCTTAGCGAGCCTCTACAGTGGCCACTAGAAAATTTCCTAGTCATAAAAAAGGCTCCGGTATTTGTACAGCTTCACACACGTAAATTGACAAGAGATTAATCCTTCATCAGATAAAAAATAATAGATAGAAAGCAGAAATTTAAAAAAAAAGCTTGTATGGCGGAATGTTTAATCAAGTTCGGAAAGCAAAAAAACTAGAAAAACAATGCCAATCAGATTATTTATATAAAAAAACTTTCAACTGCATTAGCAAATTCAATTTGGCTCAAAGTTACACGAAAAAGGTTTTAAAATACGTCAAAGGGACTATAGAGAATAACAGAGTAAAAACTTCATTCTCTGCAAAAAAAAAAAACGTGAACCCGTGGCAAAGGTTTCATTTTCCTGATTTCGAAAAAATTAACACTTATAAAAAACCACGTGACGACGTGTCATTTCATTTTTGTATGACCTGGGTTCAAAGTTTCATTCTTGCTTCCTCCACGAATCGTCTTTCTTCTGCAGTCAACTTCAAAGATAAGTTTTGTATCTCCCTTAAACTTCTAACTTCTAAATAAATTTTATGAGTTATAAGCGCTAGTAGATTAGGCCCGTGGGACTCCCGGAGTGCCGATCCTTTTTGCTTGCAAATTGGATACGCAAAGTCACGCCGAAGCCCATTCCGGTGGCCGAGGCACAAACTGTTGGCAGCGCGATGCTGACAAAGCGATGATGGGACCCCCGCGGAAAATGCCGTCACGGCTTTCGGCGTCTAGGAATTTTAGTACTGACAAGGCCGAGCGGAGCTCTAGCGCGCCGCCCAGTTAGTTCTTCTGACTGAATAAGGCTTTCCTAACTAGCTTTTGACTACATAGCTAATCATTCAAAAATTTTTGATTTGAATAACGCAGTTGAATCGCTTTTTTCAATATTCAACATATTGCAGGAAGCTTTCGATGAAACTGTTCTGATCAGTTCATGGGGATTCGACGACAATTTCGAATAGTGCAGTATGATATTTGAAAAATTCTTTCTTAATCATTTTCTTTTAGAAGGAACGTCTGGAGCACACGATTAAAAATTGGAAACGAAAAAGCGTATCGGAAAAAATCAATCGACTACTACTGGAACAATTGATGTTAGGTTTCAAAAGTTTTAATTTCGAAAAATTTTACAATGAGAAAAAAGAAGGCTCAGTGTGCACAAAATTTTATCGCGATCGCGATAAATAATCGATTATGATTCAAGGCCGCAGACACTTTGTCTGCGGAAACGTGATAAAACTCTACGAGCAACTATTTTTGATTCAACTTTTTGTATGTATATCCTCTTTTTCCGCATTTTAAAGTCTTTGAAAATTCAGTTAATCGCGATAATGAAAAATGCGCCTTCTCTGATCAAAGTCGCGACGACTTTTTCGAAATTGATCGATGGCGGAAGGAGTGTGATCAACTACGAAACGGGCTAAACAATACCAGGTACCAGCCCAATGCTCTTAAAAGCAGCTGAGGGTTTTTTGTTCTGTGTTAAATTGCAAAGGAGGAAAGAAATCACAATAAATACACAAAGACTGAAATCGCTAGAAGAAAAAGAAATGAATCAAACTTGTATGAAGAAGCGCGCCCTAATGATAAATCTCTTGTCAATTTACGTGAGGCAAGCTGTACAAGTACCGAATATATATATAAAAACACATCAAAAATAACCTAATGGCGTGTTCATCGGGCAAAACGAATGGCGCGAACACGTTTTTCGTTTTGAAGCATGTTCCGTTTCTCCGATGAACACGCCATAAATTAATAAATTAAATGAAAACGAAGAAAAAATGAGAAAAATATGATGTCAGGTTTTCCTTGCTTATCTTTTGTACGGTACTTATAAATTCTGTTCACACGGCGACGCGATCGTTGATGAAATAGCGTTTTTTTTTCTTAAAATTTTTTATCCGAGAACTTAATTTATTGATAAATTTGGGGTTTTGCAGCTCTTCCACTTGATCATTGAACACTCAAATTTTTCCGAAAACTGCATCATTCAGCGCCAGAATCTGTGCGTCAATTTTTTTTCTCATCGAAATTTCTCTCAGTTTTTTTTTATTTTTTAAATCCTTTAACTCTAGTAGAAACCGATTCAGTAACTTTTTTTCTAGACCGACGGTGTAATTTAATCAATCCATTTTTCAATTTTTTTTGTGTTAGTCATAAGTCAAATTGACATGCTTATGGACATGAACTTTGGAAAAGTATTGAAACAGCGCCTTTCGAGAAAACATGACCTTACGGTCCTTAGTTCATTCAGTTACACCTTCACAAGTTCAGAATATAGCAGGAGTTGAAGCTGAACCCAGAAAACCGTATTCTAGAAGCAACCCTCGAAATGGGAGCGAACCCAGAACCCTTGAGACTTAACACGGAATCTAACCGAACTGATTGAATGGAAAAAAGAAAACTTCGCAAAAAAATTACATGTTTCTTTCAAAGTTTTTAATCGGAAATGCGTGAGAGAGTCTGAAAGCAGAGGTCGTAAAACGGCACCCTCGGGCAGCAAAAGGACACAAATGAAGAGCATAAATGGACAGTGGCTCTCGTGTGGGAAGAGTTCTCGAGTGTCTTCGCTTGGCACTTCAGTTGCCACCGAAATACAAGACCTTGTCGCTCGGGCGTGACTACTCCTGGCTTGGATTTCATCGTCGGTTCATGCAAGGATGGGTTGCATCTCCACTCAATCTCATATTTTGCTCTCTTTTGAATTATTCTTGTTTTCTGTTTTCTTGATTTCTTGCATTCAGCTTTTTTTTTTGTTCTAGGCCAAAAATAGAACGCGTCAACTCAGAGAAGACATTAAAAAAATGCTTGTGAGAAAAAAAAAGTTGTCAGAATTAAAAAAAATGTATTTTATTAAGCACAAATTTGAAACAGTCTGATCCATCTACTTAGAAGCTCCAGAGTGGTTCCTATAGGGGTTTCATTAGAGGTCCCTATAGGGAACATGCTAGTCGATAATTTTTATGTAATCTAATCGAAAAGCTTTTGCATGCGAAAAATTAAATAAATAAGCGTTTTTTTTGAATGAAGCCGAAAGACCCCTATGGAGACCACTTAAGCTTTAGAGGCTAAGGGGTCAAACCCTAAATCCCTATAAAGACCATTTTGATTCTACCCCTGTAGGGACCACTTTTTCGGCTTATAGACTATAAGGGCTGTTTTTCCGGTAACTATTTTTCCTTAAACCCTATAGGGACCACTCGGGATTTCTTGAGTACATTTCCCATTCTCACCTGTCGTCACAATGGAAAGCAAGTACTCTAGTGCGAAAACTTAAACGAGAGGGTAGACACGTCAGAATTTTTCAAGCGGATAAATAAGTAAAGAAGGTTTACGAAAAAAGTGCTGACATGTACAAAAAGTTTAAAACTAGTATGAAAGTTTCAGAAAACCCTATTAACTCCATTAATCGCTGTCTTTGCAATAAAAGAGGCAAGAGAGAAAAAAAAAAATGATGAGGAAACGATTCACCTGGGAGGACTTTGGCTTTCGAGACACACGGCGGCCATCGAGGCGCGGCAGATGTTCGGACAACAAAACATTTTGAATAATTCAAGCGTGTTAGGACGGACACATAATATGGGACGCTTATAACTCGTCGTTCTGAGTGACTTTCTGGCCGTGACCGCGGATGATTGTTCTCCCGCTTCCGGCCCGCCGTTTTGCATATCTAGAGGGGGATGTACTTTGAAAAAAGTTTATTCGATCTTTTCAGAAGTCTTTTATTTTACCCTCCGAATATTTTTACTATCTTGAATCAGAATCAAACATTCAACCTAAACCATATTTTCTTAATCGCTTATCATTAGATTAGTCATCAATCGCAAAAATCAAGAACTTCTTATATAAACTTAGAATGTTTTTTATTATATTTTTGCCTCGCTTTTTTTACCACTTCCCTGATGGAGTTCATTTTGAGATATTGAGAAATTTTTTTATTACACAGGCCAGGAAAATTATGTAGGGAATTATGTACAGACCAACGTGTGTTATTCAGAAAATTATTTATTTCCTTTTAACGGTTTTTGAGAAAATGGAAAACCTTCTTTTCTCATTTTCAAAAGATTATCATTGGTCTGAAAAAATCTCCGCCGTTCCCACGTTATGTCATGAGAAAGGTAAAGACTTTTTTGCGCTAATAGTCTTAATGAAAAAGCATTTTAAAGACGCAGGCCGCCGTATTTCCAGAGATCTTTGAGACGAATTGAACTCTCTCTTCATGAACTCAATTTTTCTGCTCGAATGCGGCGTAGTGCATGCACACGACACACGAAACTTCACGGAGAAAAAGTGGGCGTGGCGTCGTCGAAACAACGCCGTGCACAACCTCTTTGATTTTTTAGGAACCAAATTTCGAAGTTTCATGAAAAACCGCTAGTCGATTTCAAGAAAAAAAATTCATTTAGCAGCGACAAAAAATCAATTTAGTAAAAATGACGCAAGAAAGATCCAGAGTGATGATTCCTGAAACGGGTTTGAAAGTTTTCATTATCCATTAAAATTATAAATGAGGAGTTTTGCATTTTGGATTGACCAAACACTGTTTGATTAATAAAGATTAAGTTTTCGACACTTTCAAAAAAAAATCGAATAAAATAGGTCCTTTGTTATTAGTAGTAGAGACAAAAATGCATTTTTCAGATAAAGGAAAAACTTCAAGCAAAAAACGATAATGGTTTGTGCAGCGTATAAAATCAAAAAAAGTTACACTTCATTCGCCAAAACTGAAAAAAGTCTGATCTGTCTGTGCTCTCTTTTCCCTCGGCGACGTTCTTATTTTTTCGGGCTGATCCCTGATTATATGACCTCGCGGGTGAGGGAGAAGAAACGCAGGCAGGTCAGAGTTTTTTCTTGCATGGCCAATCGAAAAACAGTTAGAAAAAGGAGTCGGGCCGTGATTGGATGTACGGCCGCATATTGGGCAGGGTCTCGAAACGACTACAGTAGCCGCGAAGATTGTCAAAGTGTCCCAGATAGAAGCTATCGTAACATTGCTGGAATCTCGTCAGCAGTTCTATCAACGCGATGTCTGCCCAAGAGTACTGAAAAAACGTTTTTCTTTGGTTATTCCCTGTAGTCTGACCTGCGAACCAACGACGAACATGTTTGTCGCAAGTTTCTCTTCGTACTTCGCCAGCTTATCGTTCATCGTTTCTACTTTGAATGTGTTCCACGCCTCTTTCTACAAAGATTCAAAAGCTCAGAAAATACAAAGGACTCTCACTCTGGCGTCGTAGTTCTTGGCGAGTGTGGCTCTGATGACCGGGTTCAGATTGGTGTTGAGCTCCTCCAGATCTCGGATCACCTCGTCGATTTTCTCTTGGTCTCCGCTAGAACTACCGTACAGTCCTGCAGAAAAATTTCACTTCATGGCTCAAATATCAGATTTAGAACTTTAATTCAACTATTTATTAATTAAAAGTTCTATTATTTTAACTCCCCTTGCAAAATTCACAAGGCTTTTTATTGATTATAAACTAAACACACGGTTACAATCACCGTTTTATCACGGCGACACCAAATCGACGCCAGGCGGCGGAAAAATAAAATGTGTTGTACGCAATGCACGCTATGCATAAAAAGCGACGCGCAAAAAAGAAAAAAATGGAATTTTTATTATGAAAAAAATTATTTTATAGCTGTTGTTCATACAAAAATCGCCGAAAAAAATTCTGTTGAAATTTTTGAAAAAAATAACATCTCGAACTCAAACAGAGAGAGATCCTTCTTGAACTAATATTATTTTTTTCACTCCCCAAAAATTTTTTTCTGAGTTCCAAACACTGGTGAAAAACCTCGCATTTGAAAATACAAAAAAATTAATTAATCAAGCAGTTTCACGCGCGATAGCCCCCGTGGCTGTAAGTCTGTCACTAGTTGAAAAAAGGTTGTAAATTACTTTCCCCTCTAGGAGATTACTTCCCAACTTCCATGCAGAAGCCAAGCTTTTGACAAGTTATGAAAAGATACCAAAGGAAAGAGCGATGTATCGCGAGATATCGAGGACGCCAATGATTTTCTTGTTGTCGTTGACTTTCATCACTGGCAGTTTCGTGTCCTCGTTGAATCCCTCTGTAAATTTTCCCGATTAAATTTTAGTTTTTGGACCCAAATGATCTATTCTGAAGTTGACTCAGATCTTAATTTTATAATTGTGACAGTGAAGGATTACAAAAACCATCTCTCCGACGCAACTTCCAGTGAGCGATTGTGGTCCGCGTGTCGAGGTAGTTTTTCCCGACGTAGGTCAGCCTAGAATTTAACTGGCAAAGTGATTTCAGATCAAAAAAACTGCAAACATCATCCTGATGGTCTCTGCGCGACTGCGGCCAGGTAACGAGATCAGTTCGATTTTGTCTTTGGTGCCCATTGCGGAGTCTTCTGGATTCAATTATATACGTTTTGGTTTCCCAGATTTGAAAGAAAGCGATGAAAAAAGAACGATTCAAAGGATCCTCCCAAGCTTCGAGTACTTTAATTATACCTGCTCAACCTCAAATGAAAATTTTAGAAAGTTTTTGAATATTAACAATTTTTTTAATATAGTTTTGAAAGAAAGAAAGCACCTTAGACAGTGTGTAGAACGAGGAGAGTACAAGACTAGTCTCTCCTATTTTGCCATGCTCTCTAAGCTGATGTATGCTCGCTGGCAAGCCGTTCACTTTTTTTTGACTCGCGCCCTGACCGACCGTTTTTTTGTTTGCGTTAATCGGATCACGGAGCCTTTTTTACTTGATTTTTTAATCATATATTCGGTTGTAGGTCACTTATTTTGAGATTATTTTTAGGCGGAGTTACAAAAATATACTGTATATATACAAGTTAGAAGTCGTCTTCTTTGAGGTTTATCGTAATATTCTTCAGTTTTTGAATGAACTAATGGGGAGAAAATTGTGTAAAAGTGTTCTCGCATTATCTTATGAACGATGATTATGGAAATCTATCAAAATTCGCTTGCCAATTTCAAGTGACCTTGGAACTGAAACCCAATTTTTGAAAATAAAAACTAGCAAATTTGCTTTTTCGGAGCTTTTTTAAAAAAGCTCCGAATTTCGGCGACGCCGGCGCCAAAGAGCTCAGCGCCTGTATACACGGCTCTACACACGAAAAAGTCAATTGAAACAGGAATAAAATTAATAAATTACTTTCTTATTTTGAAAGGAGCGTGCTTTTGGGTCAATACTTTCTTGCTAGTAAACGGCAATTAAAAATTGAAAAAAAAATTAATGACTGAGAGATTAATGGAAAAAAAGGCAAAAAACATGTTAAACGAGATTTGGAAATAGCGCCGACGTAGTAAAGGAGATCGAGCCGTACTGTGATGGCAGGCCAGAAGAATAAACAAGGAGGCAGGCAGCGACTCGAGAGCTTCCGAGCTTTTCGCATCCTCCGCTGAATCGTCAACTCAACCTATTTAACATGTTTTGAAGAGCTGGTAGCTGAAAAAAAAATTCGGGAACTGTTCGTTTCGGTCTTTGTTCCCAAAAAAAACTTTCATTGAGCGCTTAGAAAATTTTCCTGTTTTTGAAATTTCCAGACCGCACTCTACTCTCAGTATAATACTTGAGTAGGGAAAGTTTGTGAAGATTAAGATCTTCTTCCCATTTTCGAAGAACCTGAGTTAGCTCAGATAGGACAATATTTGTTTTTAAATTTCATAAATTTTGAGCGATGCAATCATGTAAATTATTTTGAATTATTTTCTTACTGTATTGTTTCAGTGTTCTTCGGAACACCAAGCGCTATATTTGACGACTAATCGTAATTCATTCACCCGCCAAATATATTTTTTGAGGCATTTTTTACTTTGAATTCTAATGAAATTGAGCCAATTTTGTTAAGATTTTTTTGAGCACATAAATTTATATAACATAGTTGGAGTTCTGGTAAGTATTTTACATAAAAAAATCACAGGTCAATAAGATTTGCTTGTTCAAAAAAACTTTTTTTGGTTTAGCCGCCTTTCTACTTATTCTTTATAACTCAAAAAAACAGTTTTCAAACTATCAAACTTCAAATTAAGCGTGTTTTTATTTTATTTTGAGAAGGAATGCTTATTTCGGCTAGTTTTAGCTTTGCATATATACGCTAACTTCAATTGGCTTTATTTTTTTAAATCCCATTCATATTTTGAATTGTATAAAAATTCACAGAAAGTTTGAAGAGCCGTCTGTTGAAGTCGTTATCTAGAATCCGAATCTCTTTTTGGCTGGAAAGGACTTCGTTTTGCGAGAGTTCATGAGTGTGGACGTGGTCAGTAATATTAAATAGAAGTTTCAATCGTGATTTGTTAAGGCTGTTATTATTCCTGTGAAAAACGGAGAGGTGTTCATCCAGGAGACTTTCGATGCCATTTTGAGACAAACTTCTTTATCACAAAACATCACTCTTGAGGTAGTGAAGCGGAGAAAAAAAAAAACATTTCTTCCTATTTTAAATACATCGATAATTTAGATTTGTGTTTATGATGACGGTAGTGAGGACGAAACGTGGAGAATATTGAGTACTTTCACAGAGAAATTAGACGAAAGAAAAATAGGATTTAAGCGAGCTCGAGGACTTTCTTCAAAAGGTTTGGGTTCTTTTTACTTTTTTTTCATTCCCCAGTATTCTTAAGGTGTGGGTTTTGCGAAAAACAGAGCCGTAGAGTTGTCTTCTGCCAAATACCTCTGCTTTTGCGATGTCGATGACGTTAGTAGTCCTAACAGGATTCTTGAGCAGTTCAATGAAGCGGAAAACCTTGCGAAAGACGGCAGACTAGTATTTTTAGGTAAGAGGAGTAGGAAAAGGTTCGTGTAATCATAAAAGTGTAGGAAGCCAGTTTCATCGTTTACCTCCTGGTTCTACTGCTCGTTATACAAACTGGGCGAACAAGTTGAATGACGAAGAAATAAAAACTCAGGTGCCTAATTAGTAAGTGATTGAAATACCTGGGATCTGAAGGTTTACACGTCGCACGGTCCAACTCTCGTTGCTCCAACTTGGTTTATTTCGCGTTCCATCTTTGAAACGGTCACCAAGTTCAACGAGGAGTTTCCACGCGGTTTCCCCGAAGACTTGGACTTTTTCTTTGCTTGCCTAAGAGACAAAAGAGTGATTTTCAAAAAGGTTTATATGCCCAAAGGCACAGGTGATAGTGATGACTTCAGGTTGAGTCTGACTTGGTCATGTATCGTTATCATCCTGGATGTGCTACTTTGGGTGTCTCGGAATCGGCCATCTGGGATCTTCGGCTTGGGGAGCTTAGACGTCGAGTTTTGTGCAACTGGGATCAGTTTACGGTTTGGAGCGCCGGAAAACAAGGGAAAAGATTTTACAAGTGAGTTTCTCAGGACAGTCCGTAGGCAAAGTGGGAATTACCCTTGACGGGCATATTGAGCGTCCGTTATGGATCAAAAGGTTTCCAATGATTGTTCCTAAACGGATGACAACGGTTTTCTTTTTACTGCGTTTTCCGTCTTTCCATCGGCCTTCATCAACCCTTTTGGGTCCTTTTTGAGAAACAAACAATTTTTTTTTAATTGAGAATAATCTTTACCAGCGACTTTGTATGAAACAAAAAGTACTACAGCGATAACATCGGAAATCATCAATGGCCGATTCTTCTTTCAGCCTACGCCCTTGTTTCAACCTTTTCTAGGCTTTTTAGTCCACCAAGAAAGAAAGGCTCAATAAAGGCCGCAAAACGAAATCTTTTCAGCTGCCATTTTGCAGTCACTTCCTTTTTGCACCCGTTTTCCGCTCTTTCGGTTTTAGCAGTGGTGGAGAATTTGTTCATGAAGTTGAGCGTTCATTTTTGGGTGGTATGAAAAAAGCACCAGCGAAAATTCAAACAGCGTTTTTTCCGATTTTTTCATATCGCTAGGGAACTTTCCGACGGCCACCTTTCCGACGAATCTTTTTCCGACTTTTTTTCTCGATAAAATCTTCGTTTTCAATCTTGCTATATAAAGTAGGTAGTTGGTTAATGATTAAAACACAAAGAAATAGGAAAAAAAAGTAAATAGATGTCTTATAAACCGAAAAATATAAAGGAAAAAAGTCGGAAAAAGTTTCGTCGGAAAGGTGGCCGTCGGAAAGTTCCCTAGCGATATGAAAAAATCGGAAAAGTCGCCGTTTGAATTTTCGCTGGTGTTCTTTTCATACCACCCATTTTTGTCCAAATTCACTGACTTATTTGGATAAGTTTTCTCCGATTTTATGTTTTCAGTGATTTCTGGGCAGTATTTTTTTTTTTGAAGCCTTTATATTACTTCCTATCGTTAAACACAACTTTTTTTTTCTTAATAGGAAAAATTAGCTGTAACCCGGCACGGAACAAGCCGTGGATGAATAATTGTTAAAATAATTTCTTACACAGATGGCTCTGAAAGTAAATGGTCGAATTAACCGTTAAAAAATCACAGTTTCATGCGATATTAAATTGAATTTCCCTCTCGATCAAGGTCACTGAGCGGCAATGAAAGAAGCAAGGTTACGGCCTTCTGCGACGTTGACAATCGCAAAATACAGCGTGGTTGGCACGAAGAATTCGACACGGAGACGCGAAAGATAACAAGTCGCGTTCCTATCATTCACGTGAAGTTCTTGAGCGCTCGTCTTCTTTGAATATGACTTTTCTTTTTTGAGAGAGGCGCATCCGCCATTGGTCGTCTGCGTGAAGCTCGACTTGACGGATGGCGACTTGGAGAATTTGGTTTTGGAATCGGGATGGATCGAAGGACGTGATATAGTTTTCTTCGGATGATCCCAGGTTCGTTCATAGCGTGGGAAATCTAGGAAAAATCCAATGGGAGTCCTTTTCTTTCCTTATTTTTCCCCTTAAATTCTGTGATACTACTGCTCAAGGTTTCTTTGGAAAATTCACGAAAGCTCGTTTTCCGTAACGGGATGTAATTGAGCTCTGTGTATTTTTTTTTCTCTTCATTTTCCTGAATTTTTTAAATGAAAATTTTGAAAAATGATTTTTATATCAATCAGAAGCTTCTTCCTCTCTTTCTTCTTATCCATCAAAATGTAAAAAGATGATTTTGAGCTTTTTTTTTTAGACGTTTTGGTATTATCTGAGTCAGTTATTCACCCAGATTACGTTATATTTGGTTTGCACTGTCCTTGCGATTCTTTTTTGTTACAATTAGACGTTCAGAGAACACAATTTGAACCTAATCTTTCTATTCTTCCTATTTTTGATTTTTTTTTTTTCCCCCGGATTTTTTTGTAACTGTGAAAGTTTGACCTTTTGTGAAATATAATATTTTTCCTCACAACTGACTTTCAGGATCTTTTTTTGCTTACTTATTTGAAGAAAAAATTTTGAAATTTTATGTTTTTACACTGTTTAGGTTTTTTTGAAAGTTATCGTTATTTCAAGACGTGATAACTTTTTTTCTGAAAAGCCATTCTTTTTGCTTACTTTTTTTATTGTATGCTAGATCGGTTGATATTTTAAAGTAATGCTTGCATCAGGCCATCCCTGGTTCAATGAGTTGTTCGATAGAGAGAGTGGCACGATGTTATCGACCATCCACCCGACCCAGCCAAGTAAACAATAAACACTTTTTTTCATGTTGTCTACCGTTTCGATGCTCATATCTTTCTTGTCAATTTTTTTCTAATAAAAATTCTGAAATCTGCTCCTCATTAATTTCTTAATGTATAATCATGATTCTAACACAAATACGTTTATCGAACAAAATTGGAAAATGCATTAGTCCCGAATTTCGACTATAGTTTTTTTTTTACATAGAAGAGGAAGGAAAGCAGAATGCGGACGCTAATTACGGCTTTGACGCGTGCTCCCATTTGTGCAAAAGTTGCTCCAACGGCGTTTTTGAGCCGACGGTAAACATTTTTGTTTTTGATTCATTTCTTTTATTTGCTTTCTCTTTCATGTTTACGTTTCGTCTTGAGTTTTTTGATAGTTGAAACCCGTTTTTAATGGTAATCGCCATTCTTCTGAAATGCCTACTTTCGATTCAAATTATATTAAAAATATTGTTTTTTTAGCGACGATTTTTTTATCCCTAATCTACGAAAAATCTCAAATCTTCTGATGCGGCAACTTTTGCGCTTTTCTTTTCGCCTCCACAGCTTTACCTTATCGATTATTTTTGTGAGTAGTGGCAGGCTAGTGCGCTCATTGCTTCAATTTTGTCTACGCCATTTTTTTATTATTTTTTTTTCGGTCTTGATGAAAAGTTGAAAAAGTTTTTTTTCCAGAATGGTTTTCACTCCGGTACACAAGGATGAACAACTTTTTGTCGACACTGCTTTAAATCTAGTCAAACAAGCTGGAACTGTTGGTTTGTATGTTGAGAAAGATGTTTTTTTTTTGATTGCAGTTAGTTCGCATGGCTTTCGAAGCGAAAGAATGTGCAGTGAACACGAAAGCTTCTGACACCGACCTCGTAACAGAGACGGACCAAGCCGTCGAGAAACTTCTTATCGAAGGGCTTTCTACCTCTTTTCCTGACCACAAGTGCTTTTTAATCAGTAAATGTACAGAACGAAGAAATTGTTCAGGTTCATCGGCGAAGAATCCGTTTCTGGCGGAGCCAAAACCGAATGGACGAATGCTCCCACGTGGATGATTGACCCGATCGATGGAACCACCAACTTTGTTCATAGGTTATACTTCTTTGATTTCTTTTAATTGGGACTAAACATGGGACAGTATTTTTTGGCAACAAAGAGGATAATTTTTTGACTATTGAGGTTTTTTTTTCCTGGTTTTTGCTCATTTCAATCTTTAAATATGATCACTAACTTCAAATTTTGAAGCTCCTTGAATGAGATAATAACTGAAATATATCTTTGTGGGGGTCTTGTCCTGCCTATTTCTAATTGTTTCAGAATTCCAATGATTGCAATTTGCGTTGGGTTGGCCATCGACAAGCAACTGCGAGCGGGAATCGTCTACAATCCAATAACTCATGAACTATATCACGCCCAGGTACCGAAGCGAAAGGCCAACTTCAACCTTGATAATTATTCAGGTCGGTATGGGAGCCTTCAAAAACGGATTCCGCATCCATGCGTCGGCCACTAAAGGTTTTTCTTCCTCCATCTGCATGGTTACGAGAATTACTGCTGCTTTTCGATTCTTAATAGATATTTTTTTCTGCTGCTCAGATATAAAAAAGGAAAATATCAAGCGCTGTGTTTGATACATTAGTTGTAGGCCTATGTGAATTTTTCTTCCGCTAAAAGATTGCTACTAATTCCCTTCCTACTTTTCGAAAAAAGTCGATTCAACTAAATTTGAGCTGATTTACGTCTTTTTTTGACACTCAAACCTTTTTTGTCATCAGGCAGATTTTGGAGAAATTTGTAGAGCTGTGCCGTTCGGTTTTGTGTCTTTCGATGGGAATTCACAACAGGACCATATTTGGAGATTCATGGCTCGATAAGGCAGCCTCCAACATGCGGAATCAGATCCTTGCCGGCGTCCGTGGGTTAGTGGAAGCCATGGATATATTGCGATGCCCTAGGTTTCCCCAAGCAGCAGTAGTACTCGAAAAAAAAGAACATAGTGATATTGCCCAAGTGATGTGCCGAGTTCCCAAGCACGTCTCTTGGCCCTGTAAGAGTGCAATCGAGCTGCTTGCAGAGATCTCGCGCAGCGTAGTGATCACGCAGTTGGGAACCCTGCGGAGTAGCGAAATGGCTAAGTCTTACCTCCAAACGTATAGTTCGCTGATGTTTGACAAAAACTGTCATGGGTAACGATTTCTTCGCACTTTGGCTTTAGTTAGCGTGTTTGCACCATTTTTTTGAAATTACACTCTCAGAAACAATAATTTTCAAAATTTTGAAAAAAAAATTGTTGGTGTTTTTTTTTATACTGAGGAAATTTTGTCAGAATTCATAATCATATGCAAATCACCAAATTTGAAACTTTTTTTTTCCTTTTTTTATGAGGTTAACTGCTTCGAAAAATATCACTGGGATTGATGGTAGGAAGGAATTTTTCGCGAATATTCGTGAGTGTGAAGTGTGTATACACCAAATCTTCTTTTTATAAATTTTCCTAGTTTTTTGTGAACAGAAGTTGATGGAGAATGCAAACAGAAAGAATAATGCCGTGTTCAAAGTAATTTCCGCGAAATGCAAAATGGTCTCTGACCCTCCAAAATTTAGTTATCTTTCTCTTTCTCTGACGGCTATTTTGAATTTCGCGGAATCACTTTGAACACGGCATAAAAATAAGAATGACGTTCTGCAGCGATTTTTTTGACTGTGTGTATGCGGGAAAGACGCATTATTCGATGAAAAGGGGGTTGAAAAAATTAAAGTGTTCTTGTGGTCGAAACACGATATACTCACAATAAAACAACAAACGAGAAAAATTGAAAAAAAAAAGATAAAAAAATCAAAAAAGAGGTGCATATTCCCAAGGATCGTTTTCCAAGATAGGTGTGTGCACAATTCACGCTCACGAATGTTCGCGGACTCAAAATTCCTTCCTACCATCCGGTGATTATAATCAGGCAAAACTTGAAGAGGCAACTTTGAATTAAAATTATTTGGAGGGCGACTGCGACGCGTTGCCTCTATTTTCGAGCACTTTCACCACTTTGCAAGTCTTTGCGAAATTCGAGCATAAAAATCATTGTTTTCAAAGTCTTTCTAACTCAGAAAAATCCCGTTTTAGTTCACATTTGAAAAAGATCATTTTCGTTACGAGACTCTTAATTTTGAGGCGATTTCTTCTTATGTTCAGACTGTCAGAAAAATTTTAATGATGATTTCAATAATTCAGACATCGATCATTCGGGTCAGCCGCTATAAACATGGTGATGGTGGCGCAAGGGAGCTGCGACGGCTATTTGGAGTACGGAATACATTCCTGGGACGTCGCCGCAGCTTCGGTCATTGTCAGCGAAGCTGGTGGCGTAATGCTCGATCCCACCGGTAAACTTTTTCTTCGCGACTTTTATGTCCTTCAATTGGCTATTTTCAGGTGCACCCTTTGACGTGATGTCGCGGAAGATCCTCTGTGCCGGCACCCCTGAACTTGCCAAGGAGCTCATCTCCACCCTCACTCACGTCGAGTACGACCGCGAAGCATAATCTTCTTCTGAAATATCACCAAATGCCAATTTATCCCACTGATGTTCAGTGATCTCTCCCCTGTTTTTTTTCCTCATTGTAGTATAAATTGATAAAGTTATTTTATTATACTAGTGGTTTTCATTTATTAAACTCTATGCGTCGAAAATCGTAAACTCATATTACGTCTCTCCCGAGGGTGCGAAGTCATTGTTGAAAAAAAAGGGCGTCAGGATGGCACTGCCGCACGAAGAAGTGAACGCAATCGCCAAGCAGGTACTGGAAGACGTCATCGGCAACAAGCCGTACGCTCACAAGGACAGCGTCGACTGGAATCAGAAGGTCGTCGAGAACATCACCAAGAAACTCGTCAGCGCCGGAAAACCTTACAAATACATCGGTATGTCTCTTTTTCCTATCTTTTGCATGAATGTTCAAAGTAATTTTCGCCAAATGCGAAATTGTCTCTGACACTCCAGGATTTAGTTATCTTCTCCTTTCTCTGACGGCTATTTTGAATTTCGCGGAATCACTTTGAACACGAAATTATGCAGCGTATAGCCTGTTCTGCGCCAAATTGTCACGTTTTTCGTTTTCCTCTGAGCTACCGAACCCTTCCCTTCGGTGCGCGCAATATTATTTCTGCCTGCGCCTTTAATTAAAATAAATTTTTAGGCTAACTAAAAAACGCAGACAGAGAAACTTCCAGTGTATTTTGAACGGAATAGTTCGGATGGAAACAAAATTCGTGACAGCGCGGATATAAAAAGAGCTTTTAAAGCAGCTGAACTTAAAGAATCGAAGTGTCGAATAGAAATGAAAAAGTTAAAAAAAGTTTAAAGGTAAACGTCAAAAAAATCACAAATTCGTAGCCTTTGAACTTCCAAGCACATCACTTCATTTAACTGACGCAATGAAAGAAAAATAATTGGCAATCATGGAATCAAATACGTCAAAATATAGAAGATTAAAAAAACATTGAACATTATTTGCATTAACAAAGAGTCTGACAATGAGAATGAGTTTTAATACAAAGAAGCTTGAAGTTAACATGTCCTCCAAGTTTGAGGATTTGAAAATTATCGAAATCGATACAGTTGTGATTCACAAGAGCAGCGTTTGGCGAAAGGAAAGAAAAATGTTCCCAGCTATAATCAAGTTTTCGTTAAACGTTGTGATGTGTTGTGCAAGGGGACGGTGTCGAAAAATGTTTTTTTCATATCTGTTTGTTTGAAAATGTGTTTTTCAGCTTTTGAATTTCATTTAATATTGAAGGATGTTTTGAATCTTTGTAGCAATGAAATTATTGAATTTTCTTTAAGTAACATCTTCTCTCCTTCAAATCGCCAACGGGTCGGGTCTCAATGTCAGCACGATATCGTATTGGAATAAGAATCTCGATGGTCAGTTTATTTTTTTTTGTTAACTTATATCATAAATGGATGGCTATATTAAAAACGAATTTAACGTGAATCACAAAAATTATCTAACAAAAAAATCTTTTTGTAATCTATTCATTGCTACCTTAGGACAAGAGTACTATAAAAAAACGTTCAAACATAGTCTTTTTCGTCGAATTTTTTTCGTTAATAGTTTATAAAGGCCTTCAATTCTTTTTCTCTATGATCTGATCGACAGAATATATTTTTAGAAAGAAACTTACATCATCATTTTTTTGAGTTTTTTTCCAATCTCATCTCAAACAAAGGAAAAGATACAAAAACTGAACTTTTTTTTTGAACCCATGATATAAGGCTATCAGTATATAACTTTAACCCGCATCTGGATTCATTTTACCGTTCCTACTTGAAATTTCTGCTAAATTTGCGCTTTGATGGACTTAGAATCCCAAGCTACATAGTCGCAATCTGCAAAAATTTCTAGTTTTGCAAATTTTTTAAGGTTTTCATCGTTAAACACGCGAGTTTTCTTCTTTTCAAACTCTATTCAAATTTTGTCCAATCTATGAGAAAAATTGATCGAAATCTTTCAAAGTTTTATTCGGCCAGAAAAACGCTGCGAATTTTTTTCAGTGTCGTACATGTACCGATGGGAATCCAAGCACATGTTGGCGATAGTCTACGTTTTCGCCGTCGCAATCTGACCACACCCGCCATTTCCATTGCTATTTTTACTCGATGTTCCCGCAAATCCTTCTAGGCAAAACATAAGGTAGCTTTTAAAGGGCGCACCTTATCCGTTCACTTTTCTAGATATTTACATCATTCTAATCGTTGTCGATAAGTTAGAGAGAGAGAGAAAATGATTTTTTTTTCTTCAAAAATTTGTCCTTAATCTCTCTTTTTATTTACTGGTTGCCGTTTTGGCCAACTTCTTGTTTTATCGCCTTTCTCAGTGGTTGAGTTTGTACACATTTTATGAACTATGAAATTTTTATTTAACTTTTAACAGGAAAGCAAAAAACTTATTGCAGCTTTTGACGATACACGTGTTGGGCGAAAAAATGAGACACTCGAGTGATAATACTCTTCTGTTTCGCCAATTCTTCGATTCTCTCGTGATCCTTCAAAGTATAATACATTTTTTGAAAGTGGCTAGAAGAACTTCGAGACCTTTAATAGGGCGTTTATTTCGTTTTCCATACGCGCTTGCTCTTCTTTACGCGCCTGCATCATGGAGTGGAGGTCGTTGGGTTGCTGAAATCAAAAAAATATTTTTTTCTTACTCATAACAAAAAAACAGAATATTGAAGCTCTTGTAGGTGTACGTAGTCAGTGTCGTTGCGACGTAGGGAACTTTTTATGTTGTTCCTTGCGTCTGTGAATTGAGCAGATATAGCCTGCAAGGAAGGACTTTTCGATCAGCTTTTTTTTTACTTTTTTAAAGTTCCATACTAAATTTTAAGCTTTTTTAATGTTTTCAAAACCTTTCAAAAGGACGGTTCGAAGTTCCTGACTAGGGAACGTTTTTTTTTGGATCTTTTGATGAAACTTCGTTGAAGTGTACTTTAAGACCTTCTTATTCCAAAATACTAAAAAAAATTTCGCAATAGATCTCGTTTTAAAGTTAGGACCCTTCAAAAGCTTGAAATAGCGCATTTTGTCATAATTTGCGTTTTTTGCGGACTTCGAAACTTCATAACTCGAAAAAAAAACCTCTTCCAAAATCTCAATTTTCTCTTTTTCTGCAATCAGGAGGTCCTTCAGCGAAGTTTCATCAAATTTCAACCGCAGGGTAAAAAACGTTCCCTAGTGAGTCTAAAATAATACCCAAAGTTCTGAATTTTACCGCGACGGCTTCGATGAGCGCCTTGGCTTCGTTGAGTTTGTGTTCATCTTGTCCGGATTGCCGCTGAAGTTCTTTAAGCTTTCTGCAGTTGCAAAGTCAACATGCGGACAGTCAGACAGAAGGTTAAGACAACAATTCGGGGTGGGGATGACCTTTCTCCTTCGCGAATCTGTCTTTTCTTCATCGACAAAGTGATCTCGGCGCCTTTCTCTGTGTTTTTGACCGTCGTCGGCTTCGGCGCTTTGGTTTCTTTGATCTTGACTGACGGCGCCTTCGGCTTTTCTGGCGGTGGCGCTGGTGCCACTTTTTCCTGCAGTTATCTCTTCCCAGGAAGTTGTTTTGACCGAACCTTGACGACTTTAGTAGACGTGACGATACACTTTGAAATTTGAATTTCACTTTCCTTCATCATGTTCTCCGCCGACTTGCTCTTGCTACGTCGCTTCTCCGACGTCGAAGATTCACAATCAGAGCCTTTCTCTGAAATCATAGTTGGCCATGCAATGGGAATTCTTGTTCACTTCTGTGCATGAACGGAGAGAGCATCTTGAAAGCATTCTGGATTGACTTCAGTTTGCTGAACGCAATATAAAAATCTTGTGAATGATTTCCCCAACTTTTTCTTCTTCGTATTTTCGTCGGACATCTTTGACGGCCGTCTGGCAATGCTCTCGATGCTTCAAAATGTGTGAATTGTACACGTTTTTTTTTTTCATATTTTTCACTTCTGCAGAGATTTATGTTAAAATTCTAATACTTAAAATGTTTATTAAATCAAAATTTTAAATAAATAAATATTGAAAAAAATACACGTGTCTAGAATCCATTAGATACATCAAAACATCGGTTGAAAAACAATAACTCGTATAAGTAAAAAACAAATATTAATAGCCGATCCTTGGAACAACACCAGGTGGAACTTCCCCGCTTGAGAGTATGTATGGTAAAACAACGTTTAAATAAGGGATATTATCGGGACATGCTGAAAAAAGTGCAGTGCCCGTTGAAAAATAAATACTGAGATAACAAAAGCTCGCAATAAGTTTAAGATTACAAGTATTGAGAACGAATCCTGATTTGAGAAAAAATGCCTGATAAGTACTACGATTAAAGTAATAGGTCCCGGAAATACAAAGTTTCGAAAATCATTGTTCAACATCGAGCTCTTCGTGTTCTTCAGAACAAGTCTCCATGGAAGTTGGCGAAGCAAGCGGAACGGTTGGAGAAGCCAGCAGAGACGTCTGAAATTAGGAACTTTTCAATGAGATACTAATGTTCTGTTGACAGTGAGGGAAGAAAGTACTAACCAAAGAAGCGAGGTAGACCGGCGCCAACGGCGATTGGAGAGCCATAAGAGCAGCTTGAAGGTCGAAAGGGGACTGGAGCAATGAGTTCTAAGGAGGATCGAATTGCAAAATGATTTGAAAAGATCATGAATACCTCAAAGATAGTGGGAGAGATCATGGGCGTCTGGAGTTGCAGTGGCGAGAAAAGGGAGAAGGGCGCCGACGAGGGCAGACCGAGTGGCGTTTCCGGAGTCTCCGTCTCATCGACGTCCATATTAACGCCGCTGTCTCCAGAAGAGTTGCTCTCGCAGGGAGAGTGCGCTGCTGAAGAATTCAAAAATAATCTCCGAGTTCATGGTCAAGTACCTTTGTCGTGGAGGTAGTTGGGGATGACGTTGAAAACAATCTCGTAAGATGGACACGAGCGACCGGAGTGACCAAGGGCCGCCTGGAGGTCGTCGAACTGGTCGCCGCATCGACAGACGTAGGGAGAGGTGTCGTGGAGACGTCTCACATGCTGCGTCAGAACGGACACGCGCTCGTCTTCGAAGCCGCAAAGGACGCAACGATAGGAGACTCCGGAGACGGAGTTGCACACGCGTTTCTCCTTCGGCGGCGCTGGAGACTCGACGTCACTTGAAGAAGAGGAAGAAGACGAGTATGGCAACGGACTCTGCAAGTAGACGGGTGAGCCTTCAGTGCTTAGGAGAGGTTAAACCTTGCTGCTCAGGTCCATTTCGCAGTCTTGTCTGTCTGAAGCGAAGTCACCTCCATTGCTCTTGTTGAAGATTGCAGATGAGTCGAAAGTCTTCGAGCGGCTGTACTTCGAAACCACTCTTATTCCATGTGTCTCTGCAAAGGCCAAATAAAATTTGGAGGACTCTGAAGTAGAATATCGCAAAATGGTCTTGAACGATGGGAAAACTAATTTTGATAACGGAACGATTATAAAATATTAGGAATTTTAGAGTGATCCCTATAGGGGTTAGGGGGGAAAAGCTCCTCTACGGGCCGAACAAGTGGTTTCTATAGGGGTAGGTGTCCCTGGAAAGGACCCTCCAAGAGCCCTTAAGGTTGTCCCTATAGAGACCACTCTGGAGTTCCTAAAGCCGCTACCTGACAGTTTTCGCGTGTCTGCGGCTCTCTGTTCTCTCGCCGACGAGGTCAGGGAATCATGGAAATAGCACGTAAACATGAGAGAGACGTCGAGAGATCAGGAGGGCGCAGAGAAACCCTTTCAAGTTACAATAAACGGACTATAATTTTGTGAAATCGATAGTTACTCACTGGCAACGTGACGGATGAGGTCGGCCTTCCATTTGCTGGTTCGAGAGCAGTAACGACATTTGAAGGGCCTTTCGCTTGTGTGAACACGCTTGTGACGGATCATTTCGGAGACCCATTTTCCCTGGTAGCCACAGGTGGAGCATGTCCGCGTCGACACGTCTGGATCGTGCTCCATCTTCTTCATCTCAATCTCGTCGTCGGGTCCTTCGATGGCTTCTTGCTCGCTGAGGTAGCGCTTCTCGAACGGCTGCGTGCAGTCATCAGCCTTTCGTGCCACCAGAGCGTCCAATGTGTTGGCTGGGTTTGCCACTTCTCCACGGCGACGCTTGCGACGGACTTCCAACCCTTTGTCATCCTAAAATAAACATTCTCAGGTGGATTTGAAGTGAGATATAAGATAAATTGCTTTGGAAACATTTACGAACCGAAGACTGAAGAAATTCGGTCTGCAACTGCAACGCATTGGTCAGTAGAGCATTCATGTCGAGTTTGCCGACGTTGGCCAAAGAAGCGACGATTGCCGCGCAACTCATATCTGAACATTTGGAGATTACGAAGCCTAACTTTGAGAGTTCGATACACGTTGAAAAAGGGGGAAAAATGGACGGTAGAATATTGAGATTGTTACAGAAGTTTGAAAAGGGCATAGCAACGAATAATTCTCAAAGAAAAGGTGATAAATTGCTACAAGAAGCTGGAAAAAAAAATTCGCTTCTCGCAAAGTTTACTGTGAATCGAGGCCTTTATGAATACTCTATAAAAATAATAAATTTTGTGAAAAAGGGCGCGAAAATTCAAAGGTGTTTGATATATATCTGAAAAGAATGAACATGGACAGATTTTCATTTTTAGTGTTCCGGAAAGTTTTTAGAGGAGTAGAAAGTTTCGAAAATTATAAATAAATGAGAACTTGATGTAGTATTACATCGAGAGTGCAAGGAAATGTCGAATGATCATGAAGCAAGTAAGATTTGACCCATCAGAAGGCTTAGCAATTTATTAGAGCAGAAGGTCACAGAAAGAAGGAATCAGAAGCCCTTGAGGTCGAACTTAAAGAATAAGTGAAGAGATTAGAGCCAGGTTTGGACGGTGTGGTCCTGGACCACGGCTGCCTGCAGATGTGACGGCACGTTTCAGAGACGATAGGCGGATCCTCCGACACGTCGGACCCCGGAAGACACAAGTACCATGAAAACGGGAAGCCGCTGGTGCCGCCTTGCTCCAGCCGCCGCGTGTTGACAGGCCGAGAATCTCGGAAAGGAACTGTGCGGATGGAGAGAGTCGCGAGTGTGTGCGCAAGGGGGCAGCAGAGGTCTCTGGGATCGCAGGCGTAAAAAAGGACTGTTGGCTGCTCTTGTGCAACTTCCGGCCCGCGAGCCACACCGAAGGTATTGTTAGTTAAATAAACACAAATACGATTTGGTCTTCGCGACGTTTTTGGATGCTTTTACCTTCGAGAAAACTTCCTTCTTCTGGATTGTGGTCCTAGAAGCCATTGACTGAACGTTTCCCCCTGAAATTTTGCTGAAACATCGTTGAAGTGTACTTTAGAACCCCCTGATTCCAGAACACAAAGAAGATTTCTCGCAATAGATCTCGTTTTCGAGTAAGGACACTTCAAAAGCTCGAAATAGCGCTTTTTTGGCCTAATTGACACTTTGAAGCTCCATAACTCGGAAAAAAGATCTATTGTGAGAAATCTTTTTCTTGATCTGCTATCAGGGGTCCTGAAATACGCTTCAGCAAAGTTTCAGCAAAAGTTCAAGCGGGGGGTAAAAAAGTTTCCCGGTGAGCAAGGTAATCGAAGATTTTCTCGTTTGTACTTCTATTCAGAAGGCGATTCGAAAGTTGGACATAGGCCAGACTTCTCGCAACATTTCGGAAGCGGTTTCAAGCACCAAACTCTATTTTTTCGATAGTCGAGGTTCAGAGCGCTCTCGGACATTGGAAGCAAACAAAAGTTTTTGAGAAGGGGCCAACTTTGTATGAGATGGATCGCGTCCAGACAAACAATAAAACTATCTGGAATTTAAAAATCTTTTGAACAGGCTGTTTATTTCAGACGATAACTCTCTTATCAGTAAAAGTGCGACTGATCTTCAAATTTGATGCGCCAGCTTTTTCGAGAACGATAAGTTGGACGTTATTCGGTTATCAGGAGCACTGAAGCAAGTTTAAAGGAAATTTGTTGGGGATCGAACGAATTCAGGAAAAAATGTATCCCAGTTCTCACTTCATCAGGTACTTTCCAGAACATTTTTTAAAAAAGTTATTGATCGAAGAGCGAAAAAAATAGACGCAAAATAGGCGTAACCTCTGCAAAAACGACTATTTTTTCCTTGTTCTTTTCAAAACTTCAATAGAAGCTTGGGAATTCCAGAGTGGTGGACACTCACTAAAAACTTTATAAGGACCACTTAGTGGTCCCTATAGGGGTTGGTAAAGTGATCCCTAGAGGCCCCTTATGCCCCTATAGGGACCACTCTGGAGTTCCTAAGAAATACGTTTATTGATACATCATGAATATAATATTATTATTCAGAAAACCATAAAACTCTACGAATTTAGACTCCAAAGAACCGTTTGTGAGGTCACTCAAGCACCTAAAAACGATACTTCCTTCTGCACCTACCCCCATTTTTTTCCTTCCATTCTGCAATATTTGCGTTTGTTCGTTCAAACAGTTTCCGCGCGAGTAGAGATTCGAGAGCCAAATAGGAACAACCTGGCACGGAAAGGAAAATCGTCTGGGAGACCCAACAAAAAACTGAAGCAAAATCTGAAAGCTGCAAAGGGCATTCCGAGGACGGCCCGATAGTTCTTTCCTCTTTTTGCCGTCGTCAGCATCGTTCCTGGCATCTGCTTGCACCAACGACGTGAGAAAACGGGCAGTTATCGGCCGTGTGGTGCCGTCCCAGGCCTTCTTCAGCCATTACCCTCCAAAAAGGACAATGCTGAATCAGCAGCGCCCCCAAAGGACGTCTTGATACCGGCGAACGTGCTGATAACGTTGCTGAAGACGATTTTCAGTGACCTGCATAAGCAGAAGGAGAAACTCACAGAAAAAAAGGGATTTTTTGGTTTGGTTGGTGGAAAGAAACGCTTTCTGAGCCTTCAGATCTGACAAGAGAGGTCATTGTACTTTTCGGTTGGGATTTTCCTGTTGTACTTTTCGGTTGGGATTTTGCTGAAAGTTGGCCAGAACACTCATTGATGTACCTGAAAAACATTCAGAAAGTCTCAACCTGCACAGTTATCTAGTTTTCGAGAAATGAAAGCTTAAAGCCTTAAAATAGCCTATTTAATGGGCTTTCTGTGACTTTGAAGTTTCCTTTTTCAAAAACTAAAAATTTGTGCAGGTTGGAACTTTCAGGATTTTCATCTGGTACATCCAGAAGCGTTCTGGCCAATTTTTAGGAAATTTCCAACCGCAAAGAAAAATGACTTCTCTTGTGAGAAAAAAAGACGAAACCTTTTCGGAGGATCCAAAAAGAGATTTACGTGTTATTAAATGATGGGGTGTTTTGATTGTATGTTGTTTATTTAGATCTTGATTTATTTTTTCTCTAGACTGAGCCTCCATTAAAAGAAAAAACTTTGGATTGCCGAATAATCCTGAATTTTAGTTGTCTGGGAAAGTTCAGATTGTCCATAATGTGTTCACTAATCCCTCAAATTCGTTTATCACATCCCGTGGCAATAACAGGAACACATTGTCTAAACTGAAAGTTTCTTCCAGAAGTAAAAAAAAAAAGGTTGATGTCCACAAGAAAGGGCAAGCGGGGCCAAAAAAGAACACGGCAGTTCAAGCATTTATTGACAAAAAAGTGCAAATTTCAGTGCGAGAGAGGAAGTGCGAGATGGCGCGCAACTTCGTTCAAGTCCGTGCAAGTCGGTGACACTGCGGTGTCACTGTTCATACAGAAACCCCTCGAAGCGTTTATTTCCTGAAATTCGGTCTCTGGGGCTATTATGTTTTGTAAACTTAGGAACTGAGTTTTTTTTTTCACCGATCTTTATATTCCCTAGAATCAATCAATTTTAGTTAAAAGCAAATCAAAGACTTCCGACCCTTACATAAATATACAGCTTAAAGTAATTTGAAAAGGTGAAAATTATTGAAATTACGAGGGGAGCAAGGAATTTTCAATACACAAAGCCGTAAAAAATCATAAAATCGTCACAGCTTGTATTGACGATACGTACGGTCAATATGAAAAAAGATGTGAAAAGATTTAATTGAAAGCTTCTCTTTAAACTCTGATAAGAGAAGCGAGAAAAAGAAAGTCGAGAAAACGGGGGAAAATGATGATGATTCGTTCAAAGCTAATTTGACGCGCAGTGAAACAGTTTTTCTGGTTCAAAAGCTTGAGTCGAAACGCAGCATGATTGGATGACCTTGATTTTTCGGAACATTCCAATATTACTTTTCTTTTAAAACTTCATTTCTTGCCAAATGGGCGGAGCCGACCAATCATTCTGTGGGAATCTGCGGCGTTCCTAGCGATTCAGCTCGTCCTTTTGAACGAGAAAAACTGTTTTGCCACGCGCGTCAATTCAGTTTTTGACCAGGGTTGTGCGAGATCTCGTCTCGAAATATCTCAAAATTTTCGAAAAATGAGGAGGTGATAAAAAACCACGGTACACAAAATGGCACACGTTTCAGTGTTTTGTCCGAGGCGAACACAAAACAACAAAATCGACGCGCAAAAAGGGACTTTTTAGAATTATTTTAAACTATTCTATTATTTTTTTAATTTACATGTTTTCAAAGTGAGTGACATGTTTAAAGGGATTTCGGAAAATCCGTTTCTCGCTCGATCTTGTCTCGATTTTTCGAGACGGGTCTTGGAAAATTTCTCGTCTCGAAAGATCGAGAAAACACGGTCTCGATCTCATGAGCTTATCTCGTTTTCAAAAAGTCCAATCTCGCAAAAACCTTGCTTTGAACGCAGCCTCAAAAAAATTAACGTTTTGCGTAATTTTTTTAAATTTATGAAGTGAATTTCACACGCTCTAACTTATTTATAAAAACATTAAAAAAACTCAGGAAAAAGCGAAGTGAGATAGAAATTATTTGAAATCCCGCAAATTAGGCGCAAAACTAAGTGCGCAATATTTTTATCTGCAACAGAGATTCTATATTCTACTGTAGCGGTTTGAAAATTAAGGGGAAGTGTGAAATACGTCAACGTGTCATAATATAACACAATTGTATTTAAATTTGCGTTTCGCGTATAAAACTTTCGATTTGTGTCTCTTTAAGAGTTCAGATTCGATCTTGACTGGTCTAATGCCATGCGAAGAAGCTTCTCCATGTTTCAACGTGGAAGAGAGACGAGAGATTCTTCGGCATCTTGCAGAAGTGGAGTATAGAATCTCTGTTGCAGATAAATGTACTGAATTTTTTTAACGCATGTTTTTATTTTCTTTTAGTTGTTTTTAATCTCCTCGACGAGTTAGAACGCGTCCGTCAGTTGTGGGCAAGCTCTGAACAGACGAAAAATGAGGCAATTCAAGTTTTCGAGGGTCAAAAACGGTCTGTGTCGTTTTTTTTTCGATTTTTTGAAAATAAATCCAGGACGTTCGAACAAAAATGTCGTCGGTTGGAAGTCGATATGGAACTGACGGCCGAAGAAGTTCAACAGCTGAGAAAAGACAAAAGCGTGCTGATGAGAAAATTTCAAACTTACGAGGAATGGCAGCATCTCTTTGAAAGTGTCATGTTCAAGGTTATAAATAATTTTAGTTTCGCTTTTCCTATCAATTTTTTTCAGTACAACGTTTGGGATTATTTGACTGGTGATGAACGATCTCAGTTTCATCATTTGAAACACGAGCTAGACGAGAGGTCTTTGAAAACAGACACGAAGGTTAGTTTTCACCTTTTTTTAAAATGAGCCTGAACAAGTCTGCGCCAAATTGTATTAGGGTGGCCGGTTTTGAAAAATATTACTCATAGTTTCTCTTTACAGTTGGAGATTTTATTGATAATTGAGATTAAGGAAGTTTCTTACAGCACGAAAGCGTTATAATAACATTAGAAATGATCCACGACCTAGGGAGGCGCTTAAAACGTCATAAATTATTGAATAACTGAAAAATGACAGTTTTTGAGCATATATTTCATGATTAATGTTTTTACAAAATACATGAAAGTTGGTTTTTTTTTGTGTCTAATTCAACCTTTACAGGTCGCAGATCCACAAGTACTAGATAGCACAAACGAAGATTCTGAAACAGACGAAACTATTGTAACGATTCCCAGGTAATCATAATTTTTGAGCTTTTGTTGAATTTTCAAAAATAAAAGAAAGTAGAAGCGTGTTCTTGAGTGTTTGTTTTTTAAAGTTGCGCTCTAGCGAACAAAGCTTTTGATTTTTTTCGGTTTTGCTTCAATTGAGCTGATCAGAGCCTCCTTGGATGATGAAAATCTACAAACACGACAAGAAAAGAAATGAGAAGCACACTGATATAAAAGTTCAAGGTCACCTTCCCCTGTTAGACGAAGAGGCCGTCGATCGGTTTCAGTTCATGCGCGCCTTGCTTCCAGAAGACGCAGCAGAAGTCGTCCCGCGTCTGTCATAACAGTCGAGGAAATAGACGTTTGTTTCCTCCACCTTTACCGAATTTCATTTTATGAGTTCCAGCCGGAGTTTTCCCCTCCGAAGCGACCACGTACGGATCTGAAGAAAGAAGTTTTGTCGAGAAACTCGCGTCATACTACAGCCGTGGATTCGGAAGACCTGCGTGTGATTTTGCGCAAGGACTCTTCGGAGATCACGGCAAAAAGGACTGTCCGGAAAAGCATGAGTTTGGACAGTGTTCCGGTCGTCAAGGTGCGCTTTGAAGTCATTTCCCGGCGATACCCGATTTATTAGCCGATGACTCCTTTCCGTCTTAATCCTGAAAATGACCTACGAATATTGCGCCAACCTGCTGTCTGGTGCCGAGATGTTGAGAACGTAGCTCCATTCCGTCTTCACAGATTCCAACCTCAGAATTTTGTTCGTTAGCAATCAATTTGAAACTTTTCTTTTTTAGCAGCTAAAAATGCAAAAATGCGATGAGTGTCAGATGATTGTGCTTCCAATGAGCAACGGTAGTCGATGCGTCGACTGTCACCAAGTTGTGCACAGAAAGTGCGAGCGGTGAGTCTGAAATCTTTTCCAAACCTCGAGCAGTGTTTCTACAGAAAGCTCTACACTCCATGTGTTCCCAGGAAAAAAGACATTCCCAACACGAGAAGAACCCGGAATGCCATTGTGAAAAGTTTGAAACTCCAGGTAAACTGCTTAGGAACTCCAGACTGGTCCCTATAGAGGCGACCTTAGGGGCCACGAAAGCTTGCAAAAGTGGTCCCTATAAGAGGCATGCTAGTCTATAATTTTTATGACCTATAATCGTAGAAGCATTTCCATGAGAAAGACTGAATGAATAGGCGTTTTTGAACAAAATTGAAAAATCCTTATAGGGTACGCTTGAGCTTCAGGCGCTAAGGGGTCAGACCCTAAACCCCTGGAGGGACCACCTTAGTTTCATCCCTATAGGGACCACTTTTCCCCCTAACTCCTATAGGATCACTCTGGTATTCCTAAGTTAAGCTATGAATTCAGATATTTGAAACTAGTCTCAAAGATATTATCAATCGAATCTGGATTCAAACAGTCGAAAATCCTACAAGTGGAAGTGCTTCAGAATTACTGTACCGATGCTCAGCCCATGATTCCCTTTCTTGTGATCCACGTTGTCGTCGCGATCGAAAAAAAGGGCTTGCATATCGAAAACTTGTACCTTGCTCCTGGACAGATGAACGCTGTGAGACATTGAATCCAACTATTTTGGTTTTCGTGAACTTCTCTCAGACCCTCTGCGTTTTGGACGAGTTGCTCACATCCGTAAAGGTCCCACGACTTGACCTCCGCGATCCGGAAATCCTCACCGAGGTGTTAAAAGCGTTTTTGGACGGTCTTCAGGTAGCTTTTTCTCGGGTTCGCTCTCTATTATTCTTTGGCATCACAGGATCCTCTTGTTCCGAGGACTTCGAGAGAAGAATTCATCGCCGCCGCGGACCTGTTCTTCCGCGACGAGCAGGAAGGCGTCGTGCAACTTGATAAGGCAATTTGCGAACTTCCGCCGCCCAATAGAGACACCTTGTCTTATCTTTTCGTCCATTGGAAAAAAGTTTTCTAGTTGTCGAGGGTTGCCGACCAAAGACCGTTTTCAGCTTTCAGAAGCATCTGAACGTAGAGAAGAGATCTTGGCTCGCTGCCTCGCTCAGCACGTCATGGGCCGGTCGACTACTCTCCGGACAGGTCGCACCCTTGAACGAGACCGAGTCTGCTGCGAGAAAGTCTTGCAGGCTCTCTTCAATTTTGATCTGGTACGCATTTTTTCTGTCTGAAATCGCCGTGAAAGTAACGGCTTATCTTAAGCGATGACATACTTGGAGGAAAGGTTCGAAAATGACTTAAAAAACTTTTGGTTCCATTTTGCTGCCTTTCTGAGGCCTTCTTGCTGCCTTTCTGGGGCCTTTTTGCTGCCTCTCTGAGGCCTTTTTGCTGCCTTTCTGGGGCCTTTTTGCTGCTTTTCCACGGCCTTTTTCGAGCCTCTACCTTTTAGCGGTCATTATCCGCCATTCCCACCATGCCCGAGTGTTTAAAAAATAATTCACTTTTATCTGAAAAATTTATGAACGCGGCTTTTCGAAAAAATGGCAAAAAACTTGACAAGATTCTCGAAGTTCGTGAAAGAATTAATGTCAACCCTTTACCATTAAAATTTTCATCAGCCAAAATATCTTCCTGACCCAGCCAGTTCTTCTATTGCCTAATGTGAGCTTCCTAAAATTAACATCTTTCATACTCTTCCTTTTATCACAATTTCAAATTTTTACTTTTGCCTTTTTAGCATCGTTTTGACAGAAATTCCGAAACTGTTACTTTTTTATTTATCATTTTATTAATGTAGATTTTAGTCGTATTGGCGCCAGTTCCTCCTTCTCGAAACAAACTCGACAGGATCAAAAAGGCTCCCTCCCAGAAAGTAGAACTTCTTAACGACGATTGATATTCTTTTTTCGAAAATTAAAATTTTCCCCATGTATAGAACATATTCGGTGAGATTACTAACCAAACGACTTGTAAATTACCTATTTTTGATGATTGTCACGAGTGAACCATATTGAAGAGCTTACCATGTATTTTCTTGAATCTATAGATATTCCTTGGTTTATGAGCCCGAACTTACTCGTTTTTTCCACTATTGACCACGGCTTCTTTGAAGTTTTATTCAACCATTCATGTCATAACTTTCTTGTGAATAAATTTTTCATATTTATCTTTAGCCATTCTCTTCCAAACAAAACTGGATTTTTGGTTTTTTTTTTTCTTCATTTTTTTCATTCTAATAATAGAAGGTTATGAAGATCAAAACGGCGCTTTCAAATGATTTCACGTTTGAGCGAGCTGCGTGTGAAGACTACTACGGGGGGAGAGCAACGCACCTGGAGGAGAATAATCTCCCTGTGAGGCCGAGACGGATAGGGGCAAGGCAAAAGCTGGCCGACTGCGAGCCGACGACCGCCCCCTTTCTGCGACTAGTGTTTTCGTTTTTGTCGTTTCTTCGATTGTCATTCTCTTCCCATTTTCTCCCCAATTAATTTTACACCTTTATCGATTTTTGATTTCATTTTAGGCTAGTAGGAAAGCACTTCCATAGTGGTAGAGACACAGGGAAAGTCCAACGAACCTTAAAAAGGCCTTAAAAAGAGCCTAAAGATCCGTTTCGAGTTACTGAAAAGGTGTCAAAAGTTTCTCGGAATCTCCTTTTTTCCGCCTTTTTTTACACCTCCTTAAAAGATCCTTTTCAGAAAAAGGTCTATAAAAAGGCCTTTTTCCGAAAGTTTTTTTCGAGACCTTTTGAACTTTTCCTGTGTCAGCTAAATCATTAACGACCGTTTTTTCTATTATAATTTTTTTTGGTGACTTTTTTGAACCTTTCAAGTCGAAAAATGTGATCCTATTTTTAGAATGCGGCTGAGGCTGGTATCGCTAGTCTTTTTTCTAGCGTTGCAGCCGACGAGCGACGTTGTGGCTGTCGACGTCTTCTGCGGAGAGCTGAGCGTCTTCGAAGAACAGAGATTCGGTCGCGGCGCCGTCACTCTCTCTTCTCAGACGACGTCTGACCTGAAGCAGTGCCTCGACATCTGCTGTTCTATCCCAAGTCAGCTTTCTTTGGTTACATCGGAACCTAGTTCTTCATTTGTGCTTGGAATGATATATAATTTTTTTTGACTGATATTATATCAGTTTGCGAAAAAAAAATCTCTTGATTGAACCGGCTTTTTCTTGTGGATAAGTATGAAAAAATGTCTCCAGGTTTTGTGTCTTGAAAAAAATGTCTCCAACTTCAAATCTGTAATGAACATGGTCCAACAAGAGCTGATCACTGGAAAAAAATGGTTCAAAAATATATTCTAAATGTCTTTTTCATACTTCTTTATCACAAAATGAAAAACTGAGGAATTCGAGGTCCTAAAAGCTTGCCAAAAATGTGATAAAATTTCTGGAAAGTAGCTTTTGCTTCTACAGCTCTCTTTTCAAATTTTCAAAACTTTTTGTTTTTTATTACAAGTGGCTTGAAATCCTTTTTCGCAACCATGTCCAAAAGCAAGATTGTCAAAATCTGAAGGGTATATGACGATATTTTTGAAAGAAACTGATCAAGCTTCATGTAAGGAATAATAATGTCCTCCAGAAATTCAATGTCTCCGCAAATCTTCAAAGAACGTGAACAAGCGCATAGTTTCCTTTTTATTTTCTTTCATGTTCGGAAGTGCCAAGAAACAAGATGCATAGTTCTGAGAGATCTCGAGTGAACGGCATGCACTTGCGCCCTTGATCCGGTCTCTCCGACGTTTTTTTGTTTTGCTTTTTCATATGCCCATCCGTGACTTTATCTCTTTTCACTTGAAATTGAAAAGAGAAGTAAATCTTTTGACCACACTCTGCCTTTTTGTTCAGTTGGTGACACCTATCCCGAATTTGCTTGCTCTATTGTCCAATCTTGCGAAACAATACCAGTGAAAGAAGCTTTAAGCGGACGCGCGTCCTGAGCCAATTGTTCAACATAACCATAGATAGGGTCTCGGTTTCGGCCTTTCAAATCGTTGTCTTGACAACAACCTCACCCAGGGTCCTTAATGACCGCAGGACTGCAGCCGACCAAACAGTGGGGAACGGTCATTAACCTTCGAGATCACCTGTTGCGTTGACAGCGGTTTCTTGGCGTATTTTTCTGAGAGGTTAACCTAAAAAAAAAGCCGCTTTTTTTTAAAGAAGAAATGATTTTATATACGATGGATTTGAAATAAAAAGTAATAGGTTGGATTATGATCTTCAAATCAGAAAATACGGCTCGGAATTAAAAGAAAAATATCCCAGATTCTTCCCCTATAGGGGCCACTGAAGCTTGCAAAAGTGGTCCCTATAGGGGTTTCAGTTAGGGGCCTCTATAGGGGACATGCTAGTCGAAAATTTTTATGAACTCTATGCGACAAAAAAGATGAATAAGCTTTTTCTAAATGAAGTTGAAAAACCTCTATAGGGACCACTTAAGATTTGAGGACAAAGGAGTTAGACCCTAAACCCCATAGAGACTACCTTAATTTCACCCCTATAGAGACCACTTTTGGAGAGAATGGTAAAAAAGGTAGAAGCAGCAAAAATAGTGCAGGAGAAACGATGAAATGGCGCAAAAAGAAGCCTTTTTCATCCTAAAAAAATGTTTATAGGGACTTTTTCGACCCTTTCAGAATTTGCCTATGGTCTAACAGCCTTTTATGCTGAACTGGCTAAACTTTTTTATTTGCAGACTGTGAAGGGGTGACTTTCGAAGGGATCCTGATAGAAGGCGAAGATTCCAACTGTCTGCTCGTCGGCTGCAACTCGGTGTGCACATTGAACGAGCCTCGGCGCTTCGCTGACGGCGTCGTCTCAGTTCTCGTCGCCCGAAAGGTTTGTTTGTTGCATTTCCGCCGTCATTATCCATGCACATATTCCAATATACGGCTTTTCTTTTGCCGCAGAACCAATTAGCGTCGCGGGTCGAGTAGCAACATCGAATAATCTTTGTTCCCGATTTTCTCTTCAAAATATGTACAGTGAAATTTTCATTTCCAGGATAGGCTAGAAAAAGTGAACGAAAAATTTTTTTTTGCTAATTTTACAAGCAGGGATGTCGCCTTCATGCTGAAAAAAAGTACAAGAAAAATTTCAATATTAGCTTTCCTTCAGGTATTTTTGCGATAGAACCAGCCTCAAATAACGTTTTCAATCGATTAAGGAAATAAGTCTTTAAAACGAGATTTAAAGACAAGAAAGCAAATTTTGACTTGAACATGTTATAGATGATGCTCTTAGGAAAAAAAATGGTCCCTATCGGGCGAACTTAGGAGCTCTTGGAGGGTTCTCTCTAGGGACCACTTCACCAACCCCTTTTAGGGGTCACTAAAGCTTGCAAAAGTGGTCCCTATAGGAGGCATGTTAGTCGATAATTGTTATGAACTTTATTCGAAGAAGCATTTCCATGGGAAAACTGAATAAACAAACGTTTTTGAATGGAATTGAGAAACCCCTTTAGGGTCCACTTGAGCTTTACGGGCTAAAGGGTCAGACCCTAAACCCCTATAGGGAACACCTTGATTTTACCTCTACATGGAACACTTTTTGGCTCCTATAGGGATTTTTCTTCCTAACCCCTATAGGGACCACTCTGGAATTCCTAAGATTTATATGGACCAACTTTGGGCCGCTATGGTTGTTCTCTATGAATTCTAGGGTATTCCCCAAAAATTGAAGCTGTTCAATAGTCTTGATACTTTTTCATTTAAGGCCTAACTTTGTTTAGATTTGGTTTGGAATTGTTATTTCGGATCTATTTTACGCTTCAAAACAAAGATTTCAAGTTATTCGTGAACGAACTGTAAAATAGGTGTAAGCACAATCGCGATACCCATGTAACCATTTTTTCGAGTGGCTCCGCAAGAGTTCGGAGGTTGTTTGGGGAAGGTTCTGAGCGGCCGCTTCCCACACACAACTGACCGATGTCATCCCATCGAGTGTGCGCGAGAGCCTATAAGTTGGCTGTGTTTGTCCGGCGCGCAGAAACGTCAAGCTCATCGGTCCCTCCTGTCAGAAACCGCGAGCTCAGGGTCGATAGAGTCTCCAAATTAATTTGTTTTCAGAACAAATAAAAAAAAAACACTCGTGCGATTAAAAAAACGACAGGAAGTCAAGGAAGAAAGAAATTTTGATTTATAGCCAATTTACGGCTGGATTGAACCATCGAGAAATGGGTCCTGCCACGAAAAGAGAAGAGATAGTGCCTGGTTGGTGGAGAGTGCAGACAGGTCACGCCTTTTTGCGTCCCACGCTAGCCGTGAATACGGCTTGGGACCCTAAGGGGGCGTGGCGTGTCTGCCCTCTCTACCAACCAGGCACTATCTTTTTTTTTACTGTGTCAGGACCCTTTTTTGCTCAAGCCAGCCGTGAATCAGCTATAAGTTCCCAAGCGACAACTCGGGCAAATTGGGAATGGTCGATAATGGCCGCAAAAAGGCTCAAAAAAGGCCGTGAAGCGGCTGTTTTTTTCTGGGGGGCTCAAGAAATGGTGGAAAACGGGAGAGGCAGCAAAAATGGTGCATAAAATCTGATAAAATGGCGCAAAAAGGCCGTAAAGCGGCTGCAAAAAAGTCCCTTCCATTTTTCTAGAACTTTAAAGGCTCAAGAAATCGTGGAGAAGGGAGAGGCAGCAAAAATGGTGCATAAAAGCCGATGAAATGGCGCAAAAAGGTAGCGAAAAGGAACATTTCTATGAAGCCTTTTCCACCCTTTCCGACTTTGCCTATGCATGCATTCAGAGAAAAAAATGGCATTTTTCAAAAATGTTTTTAAACATTTGACCAATCAAATTTCAGAAAGAAGCATCTTCAAACAAAACAGCGGTTCTGACTGACCTCTCTTCGAACTCGACGAGGCCGTCGTTGATCGGCGAGGTGGTGCTTCGAAGCCGTCTGACGCCGATTTGGGTGCTCGCTATCGCCATTTCCGTGGCTGTCGTCTGCGTCGGCCTGAACGTCGCCCTATTCCTCGCCTACTGTTGCTACTGTCGCCGGAAGCGACGAAGCCAGAAAGCCCACATTTCAACTCCGAAGGCCGGTCCCACCCTTCACGCCTACAACCCATCCGTTTGAATCTTCTTTCAGCCTCAAATTTCAATTCATTTGAATCTTTTCGAACTCTGAGATTTTGATTTGCCATTCCTCCACATATACTTATTCCTGTTGAGGTGCTGTTCCATTGTGATTTTCGATCTTTATTTCTCATTTGGAGAGTTTAGAAACAGCGCCGGCTGTTGGATACTTCACTTCTTCAGTTTCTTCTGATCAAACCGACGCGACAGTGTCACTCCAATCAATAATCGGTTCTAGTTTTACGGGTCATCTGAATTATTTCACCTTGCCCTTTGAATTTTTTCAAGCTTCTTCAAAGGTATTTTTCTATTCAATAAAAACTTCTATTTTTCAATTTTTTTTTGTTTATGTATAAAACTTTATATAGCTGATTCACGGCTAGCTTGGGACGCTAAGGGGGCGTGTCCTGTCTGCGCTCTCCATGAACCAGGAGCTATCTCGTGCATTATCGTGTCAGGACACTTTTTTCGATGGCTCAAGCCTTTTGGAATTTGCTTTGACAAACTTCAAAAAAAGCTGAATCCAAATCAAAAAAAAAGTCCAAAATGCTTCTGAACTGAGCATAAACGTCAAAATTATTCCTGCCCAAAGAATGTGAGAAAATCTTTTCAACAGCGTGGCGTCTCGGAATTCATTCAATGACGGATAGTGTTCCTCCAGAGACTCGAGGACTCTTCGTCCGAATAGAAAATGTGAGCGATAAATTATTTCGAAATAGTTTTCTTTGGTAACTTCTTGCTGCGCGTCCGTACTTATTACATGCTTGAAAACACTAAAGTGGCCACTATTTTCTGTTTTAGTGGCCACCATAGAGGTACTCTATTGAGTGGCCACTTCAGCAGTTTTTGATCCAATATTCCTTCCAGTAACTCTGATAATTTCAAAACAAACATATTGGACCAGTTATGATGATCCATTGACCCCTAAAGTGGACGCTAAATTTTTTTGGGGTCTAGTAGTAGCACTGAGACCTCTATAGTGGCCACTTGTTTTCAACTCCTTAAGTGGCTGCTAATTTGACTACTATAATGGCCACTAAAACGTCAAATCCCTATAGTGGCGACTAAAAAATTTCCCAGTGATATAAAAAGTGAGAACAAACTCGTTTTGAGGTCTAAGCAAAAGTCATAGACAGTTAAGCATTGCGTTTATAGTCTGTTCAGATTTTGAATCTCAAGTAGAATGACGTCATTCGAAAACGCTCTGTGGATGGCTCTTTTTCTGATTGGCTTATCGCACCATTAGGGGGCGGAGCTTCAGCGAGGACTTGACATTTGAAATCTGAACAGACTATATCTTTTTCCGGCATACGGCTTTTGCTTCAAACTCATTTATGTCATAAGATTTACGCTGAGTGAACGCTCCTGCTCATTTTCCATTTTCAAAGAAGAGCTTTCCAAAGATTATCATATCATTTATTCAGTTTTCATAATTTATTCTCTTTCTTTGTTGGAAAAAAGGTTATTTTCGAGTCTTCCGCAAAATTCATGATGATACGTCGACTAAAGAAGCCGTTCGAACTGCGTTCGGGTAAACAACAGGGAGGTAACCACGAGTTACGCATTCCTTTGCGAAGCTCCGCCACCCGAGATTCGATTTTTAATGAGGCGAGTAGAAGTAGTAGAAGGCGTTGCTCGGCGGCTCCTATCGACTTTTGCTCGTTTTTCCGCGCTCCTTTTCGTCTCTTTACGCAGTTTTCTGTTGACGATTTTCTCTTCTTCACACGCTGTCGTGGAATCTTCAGTTTTCTTTTCCTTTTTTGCACTTACTTTATAATTACCCGAAAGTTTGGAGAAAAAATCTAGATTTTGTTCTTTTTAGCTTTTGACTCGATGATCTGAAGTTTGAACTTCCGGCCATTTGATGATCTCTGAGAAGATTAATTTTTTCTTCAATTTTCTCATGTTCTCTTCTCGTCAACCTAATATTTTTACAATATAGGAGCAAACTGCTTCAATGTGGTTGTAATCCTTTGAATATTGAAAAAAAAGATACGAATTGAATATTTTTTTCCAAATTCTAGGAGTTCTCCGGAACAACAAAAACTTAGGAAGTCCTGAGTGGTCCCTAGGTTTCTTGGAGGGTTCCCTCTAGGGACCAATTCCTTTATAGGAGCCACTAAAGACTTTAGTCTAAAGCTTGCAAAAGTGGTCGCTATAGGGGTTTCATTTAGTGACCCCTATAGGGGTCATGCTGGCTTTGAACGAAGAGCATTTCCATGAGAAAAACTGAAAAATAAGCGTTTTTTGAATGAATTTGAAAGACCCCTATAGGGTCCACTTGAGGTTTAGGGGCTAAGGGGTCAGAACCTAAACCACCTTGATTATACCCCTATAGTGACCACTTTTTCGGTCTTTGTAGAGGCTGTTTTCCCCCTAACCCCTATAGAGGCCACTGTGGAACTCTTGAGGTTCTCATGGACCCGCTGTTTTCAAAAATGTGAAGAACTTGTCAAAGTTTGAATATTAGAACCTACCTGACTTCGGTAAAATCCACTTAAACCAGAGACAAAAAAAGGTATGTTTTTTTTCCCGACACAAGTCTGTTTTATATATTTCATTTTTAAATTATTCACACGTTTCCCTGTGAAACAGCAGTAGTTGCGCGGACTCGGATGCTCGAAAAAAGCTCGGAGTTGCTGGCTTGCAAAATTCGGATTTCACGGAGGAACAAAAGATTTTTTCTCGCCAGCGAAAAAAAAAATAGTGATGACGTTCGATCACTTCTCGCCAGACATATTGAATTTCACGGAGCCTCGCCGATTAAAACCTCGCCGAGCAGAAATATGGCTCGAGGCGGGAAAAAAAAAAATTCAGGGCGGTTCGAGCGAGGGATTTCTGGGGTTTCAGCTCTCGAAGAGGCCCATATTTCCTGGCCGGTGCGCCGACTTCCTTTCCTTTTTTTTCCTCCCATAGAAATTTTTTTCGTTTCTACTCATCGTATAAAATTCAAAAATCTTGTTAGTTTGACGCAACTTGATTGCAACCCTAAATTATACCATAATCCTTGCAAAACCCTCATTTTACGTCATCAAATCAATGCCTTGAGGCCGTAATTGCCGCTTCGGAGTCGTTGCGAGAGTTATCCCTCCCGACTGCGTCAGTCTCTCATTTCAGATTCTTCTCCGTTGCAAACGAAGATGGCGTTCCTCAGCCAGTTACAAGGCGGAATTCAGCAGCTGAAGCAGAAAACAACTTCTCTCGTCGAGAACGCTTCCATCGGCGCGCACATTCAGTCGATCAAGGTGATTCGTGTTTCAATGATTTTTCAAAAGACAAAAAGGCCAAGACCAAGTTATTTCTTGATCTTTTTGCGAAAAAATTAAACCAGAAAGAGGTATCAAAAAAAAATCGGATTATTCATTCGCAAGTCTGCATTTTTAAATTTTTAACGAGCTGGAGGTCAACAAAATCATCCGAATCTGCAATTTGTGCTTGCTTCTACCTAGTAAAAAAAGACGCAAAAAAATTTCACTGTAAAGTGGGTTCTTCCTATAGAAAAAGTGCAAAATTCAAAAAAAGCCCGAGGAAAATCAATTTTTTTCGGTAAGAAAAAAAACAATCAAAAAGAAGTTTGTACACAATAAATGTTAAAATTATCACTTGCTTTCAAAAAAAGTTCAATTTGATTTGGACGACGGAGGAAAACACGGCGCTTTTTTGACGCCTCGTCCATATTTTTTCAGTAAAGTGTAGTGTGTCGTGTGCATGCACGGCGGCGCTCTTAAACATAGCGAGTTTAGAGTAATTTTCGCGAAATTCAAAAAAATGAGAAACCAGTTCGTCTCATGACCCGTTGAACATGCGCCTTTAATATTCCCTGTGACGTCACATGGGAACGGCGGAGATTTTGACCATTTTTTTTGCATTTCTCCCACTGACAAAAACGCAGTGATTTTCTTTGGTGTTTTCCCTACCGTAATCCTAAAAAGGGGCCGTGCTTCTCAAAATCCTACTTAAAATCTTCAAGACCTTGTGTAGTCATTGAGAGCACAATATGAGCTCAGAAAATCCAACCTGAAATTTTTGTATAATACTGTTTCGCCGTTTCTCTCGAGGAACGTGTGTTAAACAATTCCTTCGCGATCGTTAACGTGGTTCCACTGAACTTTTTAACTTTTAAAAGAGTTAGGTCAGCTTTTTTTTTACTATGCTTATGATCAGGATGGCGCTCCGAAGCTCATGGAGTCGGCGTTCAACAACGGTCTGCTCAACAAAGTGAAGCTCGATTCGTTGGGGAAGGTTCTGAACGTGCCTTCCTTGGGTCGCTGCCAGTCGCCCATCGACATTGTCCCTGTCATCACTTCCTTCGGGGAACATCTTCAGAATGCTCAGTTTCAGTAGGCGATCATTTTCTCTTGTTTTTCCTGATAAGGCTGCTACTTTAGACATTATTCGAAGAAAAATTACAAAAAATACGATTTTTTTTTTCTTCCTAAATGCGATTTTTTCAAATTAGATCACTTATTAATAAGGCTGGCGTTTGCAAAAACTTGAGTGTTAAAAGTAAATTTTTTTTTTAGAATGTACGGTACAAGAAACTCGTTATTAAGAAAGGTATTGCCCAATAACCGCGATCGGTGTATACACAATTTAAACCTACAGTGTGCCAAACCAGACGGGCTGACCTTTTGAGGAAATTATCCTCTTTTGTTCAACGAAAAGGCCAAATCACCTTTTTTATTAAGAACTCTGATGTAAACTGAACAATTTCAAGGAGCTGGAATGAGCCGCCATAACTTTTTGACGACTGACAGGGCTCTATAATTATTCTCTCGATTTCCTCTCACCAGTCTTTTTTTTTCAGCGTGGAGTACGAGGGATCTGGGGAGTTTCGAGTGATGAACGACGGAAACTCAAGTTATTTTCAATTTTTATGCGGATTGAAACGTATTTTGCAGTTTGGCTGATTCGCGAGGGCAACAGTTCCGAACTGGCAATCTCTTTCCTGCCTGAGGAGCAGTATCACCTCGATGCGATCAATTTCCACTGGGCCACTGAACCCATGAACGGTTCTGAGCACACCATTGGGGGTAACGGAAATATTTCTTACCGAGTGAAAAAGAAAAGTTCAGGTGTTGGATATGCGGGAGAGATGCACTTGATTCACAGGAACACACGATTCGCCTCCATGGCCGACGCTTTGAAACAGCCGAAAGGCGTTCTTTCTTTCGCCATCTTTCTCAACGTTCACTTGTAATCTTAACACGGACAACTTTTTTCCTTCATTCAGGAGTCTCACGACGATAACCTGGCTCTGAAACCTCTGGTAGACGTTCTTCAAAACGTGATTTACAAAGGCAGCGAGTGCAAGCTGTCGTCTTTCAACTTCCAGGCATTCTTCCCTGTGGCTGGTCCGTTTCCCAACTTCTGCCATCTCTCATTTCTTTGGCAGAAAAAGCGAAAGAGTTCTGGATGTACGACGGTTCGGAGACAACGGATCCTTTTCGCGAAACTGTCAGCTGGATCGTCATGCGCTCAGCCATTCCCATCAGTTCTCACCAGGTAAATTCAGCCTTTTTCTCTTTTTTTTTTGTTCCTTTCAAAAACGATCCTGCATAGTCTCCCAGCGGAAGAAAACTCTTTTGAATCGATTTTAGAAAAAAAAGTGTTTTGGCGCCTTGTGAGTATTTCATCAGGCTTCTTAGTGAGTTAGTGACTGATATGATATTCAAAAATATTGATTTTTGCAACTCCTGAAATATTTTTGTTTTCGGGCAAAGTCGGAAGGGTGTATAAAAGCTGCAAAAAGAGAGAGGCTCAAAAAAGGCCCTACAAAGGCTCGAAAGAGGCCCTACAAAGGCTCAAAATAGCAGCAAAAATAATACAAAAGTAAAGTGGCCCCTTTAGGGGTTTCAGTTAGTGGCCCCTATAGGGGACATACTAGTCGATAACTATTATGGACTGTAAGCCAAAAATCATGAGAAAAACTAAATACATAAGCGTTTTGAATGATTTTGAAAGACCCCGATAGGGTCTACTTACGCTTTTTAGAGGCTTAGGGTCAGACTTTCAACCACTACAGGAACCACTTCGATTTTACCCCTAAAGAAACCACTTCTTCGGCCTCTACATGGGTTGTTTTACCCCCTAACCCCTATAAGGACCATTCTGGAATCACTAAGGACGCTTTTTGGTTTCAGCTCGACAAGCTGCGTGAAGTGCGCGCGGGTCGCTACGACGAGGAGTCTTCGGACAGGGTGGCGATGAAGCCGTTGCGGAGCATCCAGCCGGCCAACTCGCGCACCATTCTCTCTAGCTTCCGATCGGTGGCCGGAGCGCCTGACCTTGGCTTCCGACAGTGACCATCCTCGGAATCTCATTATCTTCTTCCATTCAGTATTTATTTGTTTTTATAAGTTTTTTGTAGTCTTTGCACCGATTCGAAACTATTACTAGCAGCGATTTCTAATAATTGTCTTGCTCAAATTGTCAAGTTCGAGAAAACTTTTCATGCACTCGCACCTAGAAGTAGGAAGCTCTCTTCACTCTTTTGTTCAATGATAACAATCTTTAATAATTTATTCCTTTTCGCTACTTTTATGAGCATCCAAATTCTTTTTTTTTCACCACTAGTTTGAAACAAGAAACTTACGAAAATTCTGTTTTTATACTTTCCCATTGTTTTTTAAAAAATATATTAATAAGTCGAGTGATCGCTTCGAAGCCTGAATCAATTACTTAGGAACTCCAGAGTGGTCTCTATAGGGGCTACCTAGGACCCCTTGGAGGGTACCCTCTCGGAACAACTTTACCAACCCCTATAGGGGCCACTAAAGCTTGCAAAAGTGGTCCCTATAGGGGACGTGCTAGTCGAATGAACCCTATAGGGACCACTTGAGCTTTATGGGCTAAGGGGTCAGACCCTACACTCCTATAGGGACCACTTTTTCGGCCCCTTTAGGGTTGTTTTCTGCCCTAGTCCCTATAGGGACCACTCTGGAGATCCTAAAGAAATATTGAATTTTTTCCTTTTAAAATTCCAAAATGAGAATCTTCCTCTTGTAAATCTTCAAACCACATACTCAAACTCAATTCACTTCCAAACATTTATTGTTGAAACGACTTGAAATGAATACAATGAAAGTTTTAGAACAAGGGTTTTTGCAAAGAAAGACATTTTTCCACCAAAAGATGACGAAAAGATTTTGTCCTGAGTATCGGATTAAATGAAAGGAGAAAAGTTGGAATTCTTTTGAAAAAGACGTGGATTCTGGCCGAAAGGTGTGATGAATGGACGAGGCGATAAGTTGATAGCAGTTGGCTGAGAGTGCGAGAAAAAAAAAAGGGGGGAAATGACAAATTGCAACTGTGGCGGTGTCTCTTTGAAGCGGCGGAAAACATGCGGCGACCTGTAGTCGACCAACTTCTTTCTGATTTTTTCTGCTGGTCAGTGTGGCGCGTGCAGTGCCTCTAGATATTCGTGTAGATAGGTGCAGACTTTCCTGGCCGCGCCCTGCAGCCCATTTTCTTCGATCACCATCTCGAACTGTAATTCCAATGAGGTATTTGGGAGCGTCCTGGGCAGCTTGAGAACCTGACAAGGGAGGTCATTGTACTTTTCGGTTGGGAATTTTCCGGAAATTAGTCAGATAATCTCTTGGAGTACTAAAACACGGCGTTCCCAAACGGGGTGGGAAGACGTCAAAAGAATTTTGGCGCGAAATTTGTAATCTTAAGTACGCAGCCAAATGTATTCTTCATGCCGTTGAATACTCAGTTTTATTTGCAACGATAAGTAGCTTTGACGTCCTTTTATCCGAAGCGCGCACTTACTATTTTTTTCTAAATTTAGAAACTTTGACGCCTCGCTCACCTTCCCTCACCCCATTAGGAATGCAGTGAAAATAAGGTCCTGAAAATCTTAACATGCAAAACTCCCTAGTTTTCAAGAAATAAGAGCTCAAAAATGGTTTTTTTGACGAATTTTGAAAATCTTCTTTGATTATGAGGTGTTCTCTCACGAAAAATAGGTAGTTGTAGAATTTCAGAATTTTTTTTATGGTACTTTAAGGAGACCAGTTTTCAGAAAAATCCCGACCACAAAGAAAAATAACCTTCCTTGTGAGAGCCCTACTACCCGAAACAAAATCTGAAAACTTCTTAAGGATAAGAAAAAGAGGCTGTGCTCTGGATTCAAGCCTTTTCAGTTTTTTTTTTGGCATTTCTTCTGATTCAGACTCTCATGACACACTCGGACATTTTTAACGCTCCGGAGAATTTCTAGGGACCACTTTAGTAGCGTCCGCACTCTTAAGTGATCCCTAGAACTGCCCAGAAACGAGCACGTCTGTTTCGCGGACGATCCTGGGCATTTCTAGTGACCACTTCAGTAGCGTCATCACTCTTAAGTGATCTCTAGAATTGCCTAGAAACGTCCGTTTCGCGTTACCAATGTCCAAGTATACAGTAAAACAACTAACTTCTTTTCTCATTCAGTTTCTTCAAACCAGTGAACTTTACAAGTTTTCTGAGCCGAGTCGTGGACTCACGCCTCCGTGGACAGGGCCAACATTGGCGACGACGTCTTCATCCGCTTCCTCGTCCTTCTTCCCATCATCACCTACTCTGTCATCGTTCATGTTCATCAGAGTGTTGGCGACCTCGATTTCGTGAGCTACGCGGGAGCTGTTCGTCTGTCGAAGCAACCGCAGCAGGATCTACAATCGAAAGATTGGTTGTTAGTCAGCGGTTTCATACGTTGGAATCTGAGACGCGGATCAGGAAGAAGATGGGCGCTAGCGGCAAGTGCTGTACGTCGTCAGGAGTGTGGATGTTGGGCGAGTCGAGCAGGAGAAGATGAAGTCGCGACGTGAGCCGCCACATCGTCTCGACTTCTCTCTGTTCGTCGTCCTCCCGATTCTCCCTAGCCGTCCTGAAACCTTCTCGCAGCCACCGCGTCGGATGCCGAGATGAACGTTCTCTGCCAGGAGCCCCAGAGCCATTCCCAATGTCAGACTTGAGGTAGCGTATCTGGTCGCCGAAGTGCTTCAGGATCTCTTCTCTGCAAAGCTCTGCCGTACATCTCTCTTTCTCACAAAGTTACCGAAGAGCAAGATGCAGCAGCTGAGTGAGTCGAGAATTTGGAGAAGTCGGGCCGAGAAGAACGATCGGCCTTGTCGAAGGCACCACCGTGTAAGGACATGGAGGCTCCCAGATGTCTTTTTCCTTGCTGAACGAGCCACACTCCTGGTGATAACATTACCCTTCCTCACCCTTGTGCCGGAGATTCCTCAACTTCGCTGACCATGTAGCCGGCGAGCCTGCGAGGAGTTGGCACGAACCCAAACGGTGAACCGACTTTCACTAGTCTCCCAATCCACCAATAATCGTTATATCGCTTCAAGCGCGATAAATATTTGGTCGAGGGAACAAACCAAATGAATATGGATGAACTCCTGCGCGGCGAAAGATATGACGGCTTCTTTGAGCGGCGTTTTCTGGTCGAGGGATCCGTCGTAGTCCCGCTGAGCCTGGACGGCAAACGCCGCAGGTACATCCTTACAAAAACGGGTGAAAAAAAAAATTAAAGAAGGGCGAATTTCCCATTTTTTTTTTTTGCAGATCCTTAAAATTTTCCAACGAATCCTGTTCCGACTTTTTCTGTTTTTATCTGATTTTTTAGAGTTTTCCTGTTTCTTTGTTTACTCCCTAGTTTGGAACTCCAGATTGGTCCCATATGGGGGCCGCTAACAAGAGACCTAAAAATTAGAAGGCTTACAAAAGCGGCCCCTCTAGATGTTTCAGTTAGTGGCCCCTATAGGGGCATACTAGTCGATAATTGTTACGAACTCTAAGCAAAGAAGCATGGGAAAAATCTGAAAAAAAGCCTTTTTCTAATGAAATTTAATGACCCTTATAGGGTCCACTTGAGCTTTGAGAGCTAAGGGGGCAGACTCTAAACCCCTATGGGGACCAATTTTTCGGCCCCTTTAAGGGTTGTTTTTCCTAAATCCCTATAGTGATTACTCTGGAAATTCATTTTCAGAAATCGGCAAAAAAGAGTGATCAGAAAATCCTCTGTCGGAAAGCTCTCCCTGATATGAACAAAAAATCCGACCTTGACGTCTCGGAGGGCTTGTACTGCGGCTCTGTGAGCCCTGTGCTTCTTCCACTTGTCGTCCGCCGCGCTGTTGTGCACCAGAGGAGTTCCTTGCTTAAAACGATAAGTTTTCTCCGGATTTTTAAATTGACAAATTGACGAGAATGAATGAAGTATATCCTCTTTGGTGCACAACTAGTCCGGAAAAGACTTTTTTTTAATAGTCCGTCGAAGCTACTTACTTTAAAACAATCTTTATTTCCGTTGCTCTTTTTTTGCAAGAAGACCTGTTCTATTGTTTTCATAGAGAAAAGTTTCGAAACAAGTGAAAATTCGTGATTTTTTTTTCTCGGAAAACGGGATTAATTGCTAACGGATTCAGGACAAGTGCGACTCAATTATTTCATTAGTTCGACTGAAATACCAATTAGCATTGATTACAGAAAATCATCAATACATTTTAGAGGAAGAAAAATTATATTTGATTTCGCAAATCGCGCTAACTTGGTTAGGAACTCCAGAGTGGTCCCTATAGGGGCAACCTAAGGGGCTCTAGGAGGGTCCTCTTTAGGGTCCTGTTTATCAACCCCTATAGGGGCCACTATAGCTTGCAGAAGTGGTCCCTATAGGGGCATGATGAACTCAAAGCGAAGAAGCACCTACATGAGAAAAACTGAATAAAAAGACGTTTTTGGATGAAATTGAAAGGCCCCTATAAGGTCCATTTGAGTTTTAGGGGGTAAGGGGGCAGACTCTAAACCCCTATAGGGACCACTTTTCCGACCCCTGTAAGACCTTTTTCCCCAAACCCCTATAGGGACCACTCTGAAATACCTATGCTTGTCATCCGACCGCATACTGTCAGGTTTATATAGGGGTCAGCTTAATTTTAACCATATTGGGACCACTACTTTGGAACCTAACTTCTATAGGGACCACTCTAGAGTTCCTGAGTAAGCTAAGGCCATTCTTTATGTTTGCTCAACATCAATAAGAGGACATAACAAAAGAGAAAAGTATGTAATTACTCTCAAATTTTCTTGCCATTTTCTCCCATAAAAGCTATGAAGTTCAGTGGATTCTAAAAGAGAAAGTATCATCGGACCTCTCTGGTTGAGTACTTGTAGGCGTTGAGATAGGCCTGGAAGTGTTCCCGTGCGGCGCTATGCATGCTGCTCGGTCCTGCACTCGGGAGATGATCGCCTTTGACAAGCGACAATTCATCTTCTGGCTCTTACCTCACAAATTTTTCCTCAGGGATTACAAGCAGATCGATGGTGGGAGGGCGCCTTCCGTCGTCCGGAGCCGACTGAATGTGTCTTCGGCCGGCCGCCGCCGCCCCGACGACGCTTCTGATTTTGATTTGATTTGTCCATATTTTGTCTTCCCAGACCAATTCCAGCCGTTTTCCGCTCAATTTCACGCGCTGGCACCTTTCTTTAGTCTATCGTGTTGGTTCCTCAGCTATCTGGTTGATGAGTTTTGGATATTTTGAATTTTCTTTCCAACTTTTTTTTAAATATTTCAAACTTGAAGCTTCCTGGATTACTAGGGTTTTCCAAGACTCGAACTCGTCTCGAAATGAAATTCTTACTTCACGATCTCGTCTCCAGGCTTGTTTAGGAATTTTAGAGTGATCCCCATAGGGGTTACATGTAAAAACAGCCCCTACAGGGGCCAAAAAAGTAATACCTATAGGGTCAAAACCAAGATGGTCCCTATAGGGGTTTAGGGTCTGACCTCTCAGCCCCTAAAGCTTAAGTGATCCCTATAGGGATCTTCGAATTTTTTTCAATAAACGCTTATTTTTTTTTTCCATAGAAATGCGTCTTCGCTTAGAGTTCAAAATTTCCCTATAGGAGCCACTAACTGAAACCCCTATAGGAACCACTTTTGCAAGCCTTGGTGGCCTCTATATGGGTTGGTAAAGTAGGCCCCTAAGCCTGCCCCTATAGAAACCACTCTGGAGTTCCCCAGTGCTTCTAGTCTCAAAATTTTTTACATGATTCTCTCGTTTCGATCGCATTTTACAGCCCTAAAATGAACCCTCAAAAAGCTCTACGCCAGTTTTCGAAAGACTTTAACAAGCGTTTTTGAGCATAATATGAAAGAAACGCATTCGCATGGAACGACCGACGGTTAGGCCTAAGATGATTTGAACGCGTACAGAAAATTTGGCGCCAAGTTGTCCTCGCGAAGACCGCCCATTGGCCACGCCTCCCTCGTCATCGTAACTCCACAGGCTTCTTTTCGGCTTTCGAATTTCTGGTCCCTTCTTTCTCAGTATACGGACAGGGTCTGTCATTTTTTCTGAAAACAATATTTTTTTCTTGAATTTTTTTCAAACGAGCCGACTTTTTCCTGAAAACCTTACCAGTGCAATCTGTTGATGTTTCTTGGGGTTGGTCACGCCTGATTTCAGATTTTTTTTCTTTCTTTTCTTCCTAGATCTCCCTTCTTCATTCTGCCTATGTTATAATGTTCCTCGAAAGATATTCAATTCCATTAATCCAAATATAGAAACTTATCGAAACCGACTTCTTCTTTTTCGATGAAACGATTTGAATTTGGCGGTCCAAAAACAAACGTGTCACCCACAGAGACAACACGGTCGACACTAATCAGCCGCGATGATCTAGTGGCAAATTAGCGTCGCAAGGGTGCCGCTCCGAAAAAGTAGGCGTGGTCATCACCGCGAAGCACGTGCACCCTGGCGCCGAATTCAAAAAATACGGCGTTTTCCTTTCAAGGTGTGACGCAGACCAGAGAAAAGACATTCGTTTTTTAATGCAACAGGTAAGGCGATCCCTCGGGTAGCATTCGAAATTTTTTTTTTGGGGCTAAGAACAATGAATGCTTTTTGAGAGAGACTCGAGTCAGAAATTAGTTCTCTCCATTTGAGTTTGAGATGGGATTTTTTTAGAATTATTATTGTGGAATCCTTAGATAAATAACAGCTTGAAAATAATTTCATTCGAAATAAAAAATAAATTTCGCTTTTTGCGCGTCGCTTTCTGTGCAAAGTGTTCCCTGCGTACAAAACATTTTATTTTACGCCGCTGGCCTATTTTTCCGCTGACCTGGTGATAAAATCTATTGAGCAAGTTCTCAAACGGTTCAGTTCTATCCACTCTTCATGCAATTTCACATACTCTCTAAAAAAGGAATATTTCCGTGTGGATCACATATCATAGTTGATAATTCGTTTGGATTCTCTATAAAGAAGCCGCGCATTTACCTTTCACCTGGTCACAGCTGCAGCACCGGAAAATAGCGAGAGTGGCGGAAAAATTCAAATAGGTTGTCGCGTGAGAGACCCTTGCTGTTTTTGGCCGCAGCTGTGTGTGTGAGCACTGCGAAGACAGGCCCAGATGGTGGCGTCCTTTCGCGTTTGAATCGCAATTAGCATCGCCGTGAGATGGAGACCCTGCCTGAATGCGGCGGAACCAAGAGGTGCTGGTAGCGTTGCACACCGCCACGCAACGCCATTTATGATCGCGGCCTCGGTCCGCTCCTTTTGTTGTACTCTTCTTTCTTCGGGTTCACCCGTCACTTGGGCATTTCCGCTGGTTTTTCGCATGCAAATATCATCTTGCTCTGCTCTCTATCTAATTTTGCTCTTTTCGAAATTGGTCGTAATAAAAAAGTGATTTTTTTGTTTCTGCAGTTTTAACTTTTGCGCTCTAGTTTATGCCGTGTTCAAAGTAATGCAAGATTATCTCTGGCGTTCCAAAATTTAGTTATCTTTTACTTTCTCTGACGGTTATTTTAGATTTCGCGGAATAACCAAAAACTTAGCTTCTGATGAATGATTGTGCGAAAAATTCGTAGTGGTTCAATTAAAAATAGAATGCGAATGAATTGCTCTTCCGAGATTATCATCACGATCGACAAGGTCGTTCTGAAACCAACTGGGAATGAAAGCAACTCGCGAGAACATGAATCAAATCGCGCCGCCATCAATTTGTCAGCAGCTCTCGTGGGCCAACATAATCTCCTTGGTCCATCTTCCCCATTTCGTTTAATTTGTCCATCTCGCCTTTTTTTTGCGATAATGACCACATTTCCTTGGATGCGTTGTTTCAATTCGGGGAATTCAAATGCAACGGCTCCTGTCTCACTTTTTCTTCTTCTTGACGCCGACGATGAATCGGGAACGGCTCTAAGTTATTTGGAATGTATAAGTTATATAGGATGTATCTGAAAATCTTTAAACAAGGGGTTGGCTTGATTAAGATAGTATGACGAAGATTTTGTTTGAAATACTTGAAATAATCATTTTTAATTGATGTATTTCAGTTTACTAAGTTCTTACTTTCCTAAGAAATTTAAAAGAATATGACAACGCTAAGAAAATTCAAAATTATCCCGGACAACATTCTCGGACCTCGGTAACGCGAACCTGACGCGAATCGGACGTGTCGGGGCATTTCTAGTGATCACTTTAGTAGTGTCAGCACTCTTTAGTGATCCCTAGAATTGCTCAAAAATGTTCGGTTTTCCTTACCGAGTTCCGAGTTTCAAGAAAGTTTCTGTGGCGCGTATTCGAAAAAGAATGGCTGAAATCAAAGGAAAGTACGCTCTAAAGAACTTTTTGAAAAAATCATGTTTTTTTTTTCTTATTCCAAATTTTCAATATTGTTACTCAATTTATTTCTATCAGCTTTCTTTGAATTTTCTCGGCGCAGTATTTGTTTATTGCAACCAGAAACGAGAAATCTTTCTGTAAACGTCGTAATTTCTGTTAATTTTTTTTTTCATCTGATGGGCTAACCCCATGAAGCGTGATTTTTGTAGAATTTCCGATCTCGTCCCTTTGTTTTTGTATTTCCTAAGAGTTCGAATTTTTTGTTGGTCTCAGTCTATGCTGGATACTTATTGAACGAGTTCAGTGGTGGAAACAAAACATGCTTTTTGATAAACTACGTAAAATATTTTTAATAAAGTTATATTTCTTTGGTCCCGATGAGCAAAGAGTTCGATAACGTTTGAAAAGTCTTCTTGAATTTTTAGGATATGTGCAGAACTGCATCTAATTTTTAAAAGATTAATCAAAAAGGTTTGTTTTTTTGTAAATTTTAACTTGAAATGTGAAATTTATGTTAATAATTTCCAAATTTTATCTTTTTTGGATCATATTTTTGTAGAGTTTCCTTTTCGTAAAGCCGCTCCTAAAGTTCTATCCACTTCCTGACGCGGTTCTCCCTGATTCAAACGTAGCTCCTTGCCAGAGAAGGCGGCTGAAACGCGCAAGGTACGGCGGATCGCTTACAGTGCCTGTGCGCATTGTCTCAAGTTTCAAAGCGACACGGCAACCTGGGTCAGCCGTCGTCTTTTTTTGTGCCTGCGAAGAACCTAACGTTCCCTTGTTCGAAGCAACTGTGCAGCTTTCTGTCTTTTTGAATTTCCTCGATTTTTCGTTCAGAGGCTACTCTGATCTCTCACAGTACCTTCTTCTTTCCTTGCCAATGTGTTTTCTGTTTGATATCCTAGGAAACCATACTGACAAGCGTACTACGACTTGTTTTGAGATGACCTCTTTAGCAGGTGACCGCTTTGATTTATGAGGTTCCGTTAGTGTTTGTCGGCTTTTTTTTTCGAAGCTTTGATAAATGATAAGATTTCCTCACTTCGTATCAAATGAATGGATGGATATATTTCTGCTTAACCTAATAAGAGTTATTTTCTCGAGTTTGAAGCCACATGTGTGATATAATAAACAAGGCCATGTGGGTGCGTAAACCGTAAGCGATATTTGCGAGAGGTCATCCTTCAATTTTTTGGCCCGGCTTCTGCCTGCGCAATGGTTTACGTATCGAGTAGCTCTTATGTGCAATGTCCCTATAAACATTGGCGGCCGACGAACGGCATATAATCGCCGGGAATAAACGCAACAAACGTCGCTTCGAAACGGCACACGGTGAACTCTTGCCACGAACGCTGCTCTGTCATTTACTTTCTCTTCCAAGAGCTTTTGAGTTTGGTTTTCGAACTGTATCTATCATCAGCTGCTTCCGTTTTTTGAGTAGTTCCAGCTATAATTCTTTCATCTGAAAAACCTTTCACTTTTTTTGTTTTAGTTATGTTTTTAATGTTTGGACTGCAGTATTAAAGGTTTTAATGTTCAACCTCATTTGAAAGTTTGATTTTGAAGTTAACGAAATTGGATTTAGGCTTTTCTCTAAAAGTTATATATAGTCTGTGTACCACGACTTGGAATTTCACGGAACGACATTCCGCTGTACCGCTGCGCGCCTTTGCGAACCTTGGTCGCGCTTTTAATTTTTTTATTAAGGTACTCTAATTTCATGGGCTATCACAGCAATAACAATCAATTGAAAGCGTGACCAAGATTCGAAAGACGCTTCGCGAACGCACGCAGCGGAGCAGCGGAATGTCGTTCCGTGAAAGTCGTGGCACATAGACTATATACGGCGAATGACTCCGGGAACAAATATTTTCTCGTTTTTCCGCGTTGGTTTTTTAACTTTTTCAAAAACCAGTGTTTCAAGTTATTCAAGTTATGAATTTGAAGATAGATTCGTATTTACTTAACCTTTGATAACAAGCAAAAAGTTAATCAGGACGAATCGTTTTACAAATTTCATTTTTAAAATCAATTTATCTAGAGTTGAAGCGAGGCAAAGTTGTGACAAATACCTGGATGAGTGTCCAAATTTGAATTGCGGCGTTGTCCTCGTGTTTCACACGCCATTCTTCAGGCCAGAGCGACGTCGAACGGTGAATGCGGTTCCCAGCAGCGCTTGCATCCTCCTATCTCCTCGTGTTATTTTATGACTCGCAACGTCGCACAGTCAAATTTGCATGCACCTCGTACCTTTGTATCGGTTCTCCTTTCCACGCCAATTTTGTCCGGCGGCGTACATCAAAGAGTCCTTCGCGGCCGGCGACCTGTCCGGCTACCTTCTTTTCCTCTTTACCTAACTCTCGATGGCTCAATTTTCCGCTTGGTGTTGTTTTTCAGAGAAATTCTCACAGAAATTGCAAAACTGAACGCCGAAACAGCGACTAGATCCAACCTGCTCTTCATACCGTAGACTCTTGTTTTTGCTCGGCTCGAACAAGACTCCCGCTGAGAAGCGTTCTGCTTTCATTTCCACTCGAACCGTATCTGTTTAGAAAATGGCTCTATTTTGACGCCGACGGATGTGCGAGGCGCGTTTTGTCTCCACGCCACTCATTTCCCACTACCAAACACGGCAATTATCATTTTTCGATGCGAAGTAGCACCTCCGACGTGCCTTTGGCAGAATGCCTCAAGGTGACGACGACTCCTTCCTCCGTTGCCAAACGGTTATTTGCCTTCACTTAGTGCTTCGTCCTCAGCGACAGGTGCGGCCGCCAGATTGCTCAATACAGCTTGACCCATCGCCGCCTCTTTCATTACCTACCTACCACTTGTACGCTTCATTTCCATTCTCTCTTTTTTTCGGGCGCTTATCAAGGTTTCTTTTTTTGGGATTTCCTTTTGGTCTGTGATTCATATAGAGTAGTTGGATTTCCAACCTGACTTTAGTAGATTTCTATTCTGAAAGTTTACTTCAAGTTTCGCCTGGCTCTGATCATCGTGTTCCCGTGCAATCAGTGGCTCAGATTTTATCTCTTCTCCTTTTTCTTGTAAATGTCTTGGAAATTAGCTTCTTCCAACGATCTTTTATTCGAGCAAGCCAATTTTAAATTCTATACGTTCTGAGCTTCAATTTTCCCATTCATAATCAGCATCCTTTCCTATTTTCATATCATTTCTTGACTAAAAATTTTATTTAAGGTCAAAAAACTATTTTTTTTAATTTTTCGCAAAAGTCACAAGAAGGTTGAATGTGATGTAGGATCTCTTTTTTTCCGAACCATCCATAAAATCCTTAATATGTTGTTCTTTTCGAAAAAAGTTCGCATGCAATGTTGTACGTAGATAATTTTGTGTGAGACTTTTGAAGAACACCAGATATGGGAAGTTTTCCATTCATGATTTGACGAATGTTTTCGCCCAGTATAACTGATATCCAACATAACAGATTTTCGCGCCTTTCACGCCGAGTCCTCCATGGTGACGACCATCTCTTGTATGTGTACGCCCCTCACGGCTTTCACAGTTGCTCTTCGTCAATCTACAGTTCGTTAGCACGTCGTCGACGTTCGCAGCAGAAAAGAAGACAGGCGCGGTGCGTGTGTGGACGTTAGAGGCGTTTGATTTACTACCGCGCACTCACACCGATTTTTCCATCGCCGCTGCCGCTGCCGACCAAGTCCGTCGCACGTCAACACTTCTTCAAAAAATTTACGCGTTTCCTGCTTTTCGTAACTGTCTCCGAGATTTATGGACAGTGACCCTGCAGCAGCAGTTTTGCTCTGCGAGATCCAAGCCTCTGTCTCCTTATCACAGTACTCTTAAGCTTGAGAATCCGTCATAACCACTTTATTTCTCGTTGTTCTCCTTGGTATACTTGTTCAGTATCAGTTCGGAGCTCTCACTTCATGGTGTGAACTTAAAATAAGAACAGTATTTATGGGTTCTCTCTCCGTGGAATGGTTTTACCAAACGAATTTCGATTCAAATGTTATCTTGTCTTCTGAGAAAATAATGAAGAAGGAGTTTTTTGGTAATCTAAAGTTTGAGCGTTTACAATCGATACTACCATATAAAAATAACTTCATCTTGTTTTTGATTCAAATAGCTTTTTCATCTTCTTAAAATACATTCAAAGGTACGCAAAAAATCCGCAAAAAAAGATACTTATTTACTTAGGAATTCCAAAGTGGTTAGGGGTTAGGAGCCGAAAAGTGGTCCTTATAGGGTAAAAATCAAAGTGGTCCCTATACGAGCCTGACCCTTTAGCTCCTAAAGCTCAAGTGGTCCCTATAGGGGTCTCTCGATTTCATTCAAAAAACGCTTATTCATTCAGTTTTTCCCATGTGAGTGCTTCAAGAAGCGTTTTTTTTCAAAGCTCTTCATACTGAAAATAGTTTGTAAAGTTTCTCGTAATTTATTTCACCTCCTCTTGTTCCGAATTACCTTCTTCACTTTTTTTGGATGCTTAAAATGAAATAGTGTCAAAGCCTGACACCGTTTTTGCACGGAATCGGAAGGTCTCATGTTCTAGATGACTTTTTTTCGAGATTTTAATCGCCGGCCGTAATTTCGAAGCGACTCGAGGCCGTTTTGATCTTGATTAGGTTTGTCACTGGCCGCTTGTCATCTGCCATCCCAGGCCCTTGTGATCTATCGAGCAGCACCCTCAATTGACGCCTGGATTGTCAGATTAGGCCGACGAACATTTGAATTTTGGAGGCCGCCGCCGCCGCTGTTTGCCCTGCCTCTTCTTAGGTGGTTCTTCGCCCTGGTTATTAACGTCTTGAGGATTAAGAACCAACTGTGCCTTCAAACTTTTGCGATTCGATTGAATCGAAGACTTTTTCTATTCAGTTTCAGCTCTTAGGAGTTCCAGAGAGGTCCCTATAGGGTTTAGGGGGAAAAACAGCCCTTCTAGGGTCCGAAAAAGTGGTTCCTATAGGGGTTAAATCAAGGTGGTCTTTATAGGATTTTTCAATTTTATTCGAAAACGCTTATTTATTAAGTTTTTCTCATGGAAATGCCTCTTCGCTTTTAGTTCATAAAAGTTATCGACTAGAATGACCACTATAGGGGCCCCCGACTAAAAATCCCTACAGGAACCACATTTTGCAAGCTTTTGCGGCCCCTTTAGGGGCACTGTATGTTTTTTTCGTTTCAAATTTTGGTTTTCTTATGCAGGAAAAAATTTTTTTATTTTTGAACTTGCTCATATTGAAAAATCCTCTCATGACTGTTCCTTACCATTTCCGTTTTAAAATTATCTTTTGAGCATTTGGATCTCTTTCACAATTTTATTTCTCAATAGTCACATTTATTAAAGTTATCTTTTTCAGTTTTTCTTTCAAAAATTCTCATGTGTACGATGTTTTTCATTCGCAGCACATTGATATTTATAGATATGTCTTTTCGCGAATCTTTCTTTTCTTCTATCATTCAACTTTTTGTTTCCCAATTTTCATTTTCTTTCTTTCATTTAAGTCTTGAAATCATAACTGTTTCCAAGTTTAATTTCAATAATTGATAATGTTAGAAAAATTTCATTCAAGTATTGAGTTCCATCAGGTGTTTTGAACGTCTTTCATCTAATATTTCTCCCAAATAGTTATTTTTTTTGAAATTAAAATTTCACAAACCGAATTCTAGGAGTTAGAAAAACGGCTTTTACTAAGTGAAAAAAAGAACAATTTTATTTTCAATAATATTTCTTTTCTAACGAAAAAAATTCAAAAAATTTAGTTATTCAAAAAAACTCCGCATTTTCTTTGATACCAAATTGATGTATCTTTTGAAAAACTTAATGTTAAGGTTATTATCTTCATAAACCTTTGAAGAATTTTGTTTTATTATTTTTCAATCATTCGAATCTTTTCGCTAGCTGCCGAGCACCATTTTTTTTTTCTCAACGCCGTTTCTCTCTACGGTAGCTTGTTAGTTGTGGGCGGAAAGGGAAAAAAAAAGGGAAAAGTGGCGCGAGAATGGTTCCTTGGGTGTAGAACCAATGGTAGACGGCAGGCCGTTTGGCGTTGGGTGGGACAGAGACGCAGCGATGGCGGCCGCCATTCCTTCTTTTGCACCACTGTATGGCTCATGTCGTTGGGTTCGTTTTTCGCCTTGGTCCACACACCCTATCTCTTTTTCTCCTCCTCTCTCTCTCTTTCATCTCTGTTCGCCGCGCCATCGCTTTCCCTCGCGTTATTTTTTTTTGAATTGGCGACCGCGGCAGTGCCCTCCCTGTATTACCTCGACGTATTTGTTGCTGATTAATATGACGTGATATCGTTGTCCAGCAAGAAGAGGGCAGAAGACGTCGCCCGAACATCATGATGGCGGACGAAGACGCCGTCGACGAGGTGAAGGTGTTCCGAAGCGAGGACACCGACGACGACACCATCGCCGAGTCTTCGCAACAGCTCGCCGACGACAAGAAAGATGTCGTCCTCGAGACAGAAATGGAGGCTGGTCGGCCGCCTGTCATTGGTCAGTTATTTTGAACTTTTTATGTTTTTTATTCGTTCATTTTTTACCTTTTCATCTCTTATTTCATTTTCAATTCCAACAGGAAATCGTAGGCCTTCCATTTTGAAATTTCAATTTGCACTTAATATAAGCAAAAAATTTTTTTCCTTGTGTTTCAAGTCTTCGCTCCATTTCAAATTGTGGAATTTTATGGTTATTTAATAGAAACCATAAATTTTCAATGAGATTGATATAAAAATACTCTTTTATTGAAATATTTTGAGTCACTTTTTTTAACAAGTTTTTTTAAATATAAAAATATAGTTTTATTCGTGTTTTTTTCCATTTTCGCTAGTTCACAGTTCCGTACTTTTCTTTTCATCTCCATCCATTTTTTTGAAAATCAATCTGAAAAATTGCGGAAGGTTTCTTAGTTTTGTTGATATATCTTTGCGTTTTTTATCGACTTATGAGCCATGAATGATGGAAAAAAAAACGAATGTGAACTTAAAATTTGAAAAAAACGTATTTTTTGCATCGATAATTTCTGTATGTCCCTCCAAAAACAATTTTTGCTTCTCAACTAGACAATTGATTGATAAACGGAACCGTTTTGTGCAGTATGCGTCATGAAAGAACACGTTGATGCTGCCGCTCGGCGCCCCTGTTGTTTCAACCCCGTGCCTCACATTGCCGTTTGATAACAATTGATAAGAATTGGGAGGTCCAATAGAAACGGCCTTTTTCAAAGAGTTTTATTAAGGATTACCCAGGAAAACTTTCAAATGTCAGAAATACTTCGAAATCATTTTCGCTTCCGTTCTCATTCAAATTTTCGGCCCAAGTTTTCGGAAGAAGGACCCCAGGCGGTTGCTCAGCGATACGCGCAGTGTGATAATGAGACAATATCGAGGCAATTGCATTGGGCCAAAAGCCTCGGCGAGAAGACAACAATATATGTAACAAACGTTTAAGCATCAGCTCGAGGTTTAGCGCGGTTTGATTGGGTTGCACGGGTTAGGGAAATAAAATTGAACCGGCGATAAATCGCTTCATTCCACGATTTTACGGCATCGCGCATCGATCGTTTCCGTGTACTTGGCGACGATTCAAATAGTCCATGAGGGTTGAAATCGTCTTTTCTTTGTAAGAAAAATTTTTGTATCATTGAAACGGGAAAGTGTGTGAGGTGAAAATTGCAGATCTTACCAAAACTTCTGTGGTAGGTAGTCCTAGATATGAAAATAACTATCTGCTTAGGTACGGAAAAAGCTCAAAAATTGATTTTCTTCGGTTTTTCGATTTCTATAAAGTCTACTGTTATTCCCTATCACATAACAAACACGAGAAAACAACTTTTTTTCACAAAAAAAGCGAAGAAAATACGTTTTGAGCCTTTTCTGTGCATTTTTGGCTACTTATCAGTATCCTATGGCGTTTAGAAGATGAATTTTTTTTTCGAATAATCATATCTGAACTTACCTAAAAGCAGTTTGAACCATATCTACCATGCTCACCTCACAAACTTCCCTCGTTAAAACCTATTTCTACTAGTTTATATTTTTTAGGCTTTTTCGATTCTTGGGTCAAAAAGGCTCTCGTTTCATAGGAAATTTCTCTAGGTCAAGCTCGTGATCTGTGTGAAAAATCCTCGACGATTAGCGATTCATAGTCTTTTATGAATTAATGCGACGATCCGTTGTTTGATGGTTCTCGAGTGGGAGATTGTATCGCGTGCTGCCAATGGCAAACAGCCGGGCGTAAGTAGAAGTAATTGGGACGTTGGTGCTCTTGCGCAACCTCTCTGAAAGATCAGTGCTAATCCCTCGACACCACTATCTTGAGATTGCAGGTCCTTTGGCTTTCTTCGGACCTTCTTCATGGGAAAAGATGGAATTATTACGTTTTTGGTTTAAGAAAGACGTTTTTTGTGGTCATGATTCTTGTCAAAAATTTGGTCATCAGTAGAAATTTTTTTTTCTTCTAATTCTTTCGGAAGGAGTTTCAAAGTGTTTCTCACATATGAATTATTCTTGCAAATGAAAAAAAAAAATAAAAACAATGGTTTACAGGGTCGAAAGGAGGCGCCTTCGTGAAGCCGTCGCCGTCGTTCCAGAACATGGCAGCGGGGCTGGCCGCCGGCGGCTTCAGTCCGAGCTATCCATTTCCCATGCTCATGCCCTGGTTCATGGTATGTTTTTCAAAAAGTTTTCTCGAAAAAGATGACAAATGAGGCGGTTAGATGAACCTATAGACACCTGGATACTATAGAAAAACTCGGAGCTTAGAAAAATTTTATTAAATCTTTCATAAAAATCTTTTGAAGTCAACTTTTCGGACCTTGGTAACGCTAGACGTGTCGTATCATTTCTAGTGACCACTTCAGTAGCCTAGGCGCTCTTAAGTGATCCCTAGAAATGGCCAGAAACGTCCGGTGTGCGTTACCGAGGTCCGAGCTATAACAGTTGCGTGAATTTTCGCTCTACTGACAAAGCCCGCGAAAATGAAGATTCAAATGCTTTAACCTGGAGTTCAAAGAATTTTTTCCCTTTTCGAATTAGACGTCGTTATAGTAGCTCTTAGAAATGTCAAAGCATTTTTTTGAATCCGTTAAAATTTTTTCCTTTTCATTTTTACGAAAGACTATTTGCCATTTAAAATTATCCTTCACTCTATTTTTTGTGTGAAATCTACAAGCTTCTCTCTTTTTTCAAATATCCACCAAGGTAGGATTTCTGTAGCCGGAACCTATATTGCTATTCTTAAAGAGGCGTTAGACACGGTCACCCTTTGCCTCTACAATTAGCGGTAGATTGGCCTCAGGGTGAATCTCGAGACCAATTGACAGAAGCGCCGAAAAAGGAAACCCGGGACTAGGACAAGACAATCTTCGCTCGGCATGTCATGTATTCTGAAGAAGAACACAGAGCGCATGGTCGATTTGTTCATATCCCATTCGATTTTTCGGTCCGCAAGAAATTTCGGCTCAATTGTCGAGCGGCACAACTCTTGACACACAAGATGGGCGGCGAACACGCGAGACCAGCTAATTGTTCTCCGGATTACTGTAATTGAGCAAGGCGAGCATTGTGTGTAGGCGCGCAGATCTGGTAGATGTACGGTTGAGGGGGTGAATGGTGATGTAATAACTGGGTTCGCAGAGAAAAGCTTCATTAATTGCCTCTTTCTTCTGAAAGTGTCAGATTATCTTGTCTTTCGGTCGAGAGCGGTGATGGAATTGAGTGAAAATTTCATTCTTGGATAATTTGTCAGGTCATGGCTTTAGATAAGCTTTTATAATGAGTTTAAAATCGACCAGGTGGATCCGATCTTTGTATCAAGTTTTGACTGTTTCGGAGGGATATATCCAACTTGTAATGGGACTTGGGCTTATGAAGAGCTATCTTGGAAAGTCTCGCTCAGACTTTGAAGATTTATCAAGCTTCTCCTTTTTTGTCTTACAGGGGAGGTCAATTAGCGGTTGGGAATTTCCTGAAAATTGCCCAGAACACTTCTTGATGTAACAGAGGAACATCCTGCAAGTCTCAACCTGCATAACTTCCTAGTTTTCGAGAAATAAGGGCTGTAAGACTCGAAGTAGCCTATTTTTATGGATTTTGAGGGTTTCCTTCGACTTTGAGGCGTCTCTTCCTGAAAACGAGAAAGTTGTGCAGTTTTATGCCGTGTTCAAAGTAATTTCCGCGAAATGCGAAATGGTCTCTGACCCTCCAAAATTCAGTTATCTTTCTCTTTCTCTGACGGCTATTTTGAATTTCGCGGAATCACTTTGAACAGACTATCAGAATCTTCTGGTACAACAAGGAGAGTTATGACCAATTTTTAAGAAAATCCCAACCGCTAAGTAAAATGACCTAATAGGTAAAAGATATCTTCGGCGATTAATCCCTGCTCATGCTAAGTTCATGCTTGCAGACGCCTGCCGCCTATGGGATCCGACCGGCATTGTCACCGAATCTGTGCTTCATGCCAGCCGCCCTGAGTCCATCCTTCAACATGTTCAACCCTGCAAGTCCGCTCTACGGGGCCGCGTTTGCCAAGCAGGCGATGGACTCCGTGCCACTGGCCCCAAACATGCGTGGCCATCCTCTCAACCCTGTAAGTGAACTCTTGCCAGTGGCTCATACCGTGACACTCGCAGTTGCAGCTGAACCAGATGCGGATGCCCTTCATGAACCCGATGATGGGGAACAACTCGCCCAAGGAGGACAAGCGTATGAGCGGCGGCGGCAAGTCCAAGAAGGACGATCACATCAAGAAACCTCTCAACGCCTTCATGTGGTTCATGAAAGAGAACCGGCCGAAGCTCATGGAGGAGCTCGGCAACAAGGAGAAACAGAGTGCCGAACTCAACAAAGAGCTTGGCAAGCGGTGGCAACACTTACCCAAAGAAGAGCAGCAAAGGTAAATTTTTCTTGTTCACCGTCAGTTTTTCTCTCCGTTTTAGGTATTTTGAAATGGCCAAGAAAGACCGAGAAGAGCACAAGCAGAAGTATCCGCAGTGGTCTGCGCGAGAAAATTATGCAGTCCACAAGAGGAAGAAGAAGCGACGGGACAAGAGTGTCGGTAGGTCTTTTTTTTGTCTCCTTTTCGAATATACTATGAAAAAATCCGAATTTGATTTTGAAGTCTGAGAGACTTGATGATTATTGTGTTTTCGTCTACCGCTTTGCCTAGTAATGTTTGAAGATCGGCTAATGACCGCTAAAGTGGCACCACTTGGCTAGCGGATCGTGTGGCGGAAGTGTGCGATACACGATGTATGATAGCCGGCGCATAAGCGGGACGTTGTTAGGCGTCGAGTGGGCTTTGCTTGGCGACAAGGAGTGGCTGTAGTCAGCTTCTTCTTCTTCTTCACCTTCCGACTCATATCAGCTCCCGTTGCACAGGCATTATAAGCGCTAAACATTGGCGCTTCTGTTTGTGCAGATATACGGTAGCCGGCGAATGAGCCGCGAAACAAGTGTCCTACTCGACTTGCGCAAACAATCTGCACGTTGAAACGGCTCACTTTCGTTCTCATTGATATACCGTACGCTTTGAAGGGGATCATACAGTAGAATTTCGTTTCACTAGATTTTTGGGGAATCAATTTCTTATTTTTTGATGTGTGTTCCTTTGACTATTTTGAGATGAGTACACCAGAAAATAGATTTTAGTTTTATTTTGTCCACATTCAGTCGATATTTTCATCACTTCTCTCTGTACAAAAGATATTCTATCAATCGAATACCTAAAGTGTTAGTAAAATAACTTTTCAATCTATAGCTGTAGGAAAAATCTTGTTCTCTTGGTTTTCACTTGACAAGAAAATAATCTAATTTAAGTTTTCGATTGTGAAATTAGCATAGTCTTTCTGAAAAGAGTCAAATTTTAGTTCTATCCAACTCCAAGAGCAAAAAAAACTTTCTCAGAGCCGAAACCTTCTGAGTAAGGTAATCGAGGGTGAACGAAAATCGTAGAACTAAGAAGGGAGACCATTTCACTTTACGGTTGGGATTTTCCTGTAAATTGGCCAGAAGCCTTGTTTAACCAGAAGAAGATTCTAGAAGTCTCAACTTGCCGAACTTGCTCGTTCTCGGAAAAGGACTCCCAAAGTCAATGGAAACCCTCAAACCCCATAAAATAGACTATTTTGAGACTTTAGGTCCGTATTTCTCGAAAACTAATAAGTTGTGTAGGTTTAGAGTCTCAGAACCTTAATCTGGTTGATCAGGAAGTATTCTGGCCAATTTCTCATTAAATTCCCAATATCAAAGTGAGTTGATTCCGATCTGTTAAAAGCGCGAAAGTTAAGACTCAAAAAAATTGTATAAAAAAATTGTTTTTTTCAAGACATAAATCATATTTAAAAATCTTTTGAAAAAAATTACATAAGTGTTTCATTCAGAAAGCGGCGAATCGAAAAAGTGTCGTGCGAGGTTCGGCGTGGACAACCAGGAGAAGTGGTGCAAGTTCTGCAAGAGGAAAAAGAAATGCGAGTACTCATCGGATAGGAGCGTCGACGGCCTCTCCATGGACTACAACGACCAAGGCAAGGATCTAAATACGTCGCTAGCTCTCATCCAAGGCCTTCTAGCTTTCGACGCGATGGCTGGCTCGAGTTCAACAGGACCCTCGCCACTGGCGTCGTCGGTCGGTCGGTCGCCGGTTGATGCGAACGCATCGGACAGCGAGTCTGACGTCGACGACGACGACGACGTCGACCCTACCTTCACCCAACAAATGCATGAAGTCGCCATGCAGGAGGAGGCCATCATCTAGCCCCGACTTATCTTTCAACTAGGCACCTAAGTACTGCTTCTGGAGAAGCGTTTTGTTGACTATTGTGACTTTGTTTATCATCACCTTCTCCGTTTTATGGTCGTTTCTCCAGAGGCAGCAATGAAAAAGAATCGAAGCCAAAAGTTGTTCATCCAGTGCCGTCCCCGTGCTCTGCCACTTCATCTTGTACCAATTTTATAGTTTTCACTAGTGGAGTCACAAATTTAACACAGATCGTTCTTCATGCGGGTTCAATTTTTCTTTTCAAATTGTTTTTTTTTTCTTCGACGAGATTCAGGCATCTTATCTCACTTGTTTTGTTTTTCCCCATCGCTCACTCATCAAGAATCCTCATCGAAATGCCGAGTAACTATTTATGTTGATAATTGGTCAGTCACTCTTCATCATGTGCTTTCTCTAGCAGTTTTCCGTGCATTTTATAACGAATGTGTTCATTACTTGAGACAGGTGCTTCGATTGAAATTTCCTCATTTTTTTTTTCTCGTTTTAGGGTTTTAACTTTCTCGATTGCCTTAACGCGGTTTTTTCGCTTAACAACGCCTAGATGACGGTCTAGAGAACTTCACAGTTTAATTTATGAATTTACTTACCTTGTTCATATGTAAAAACTAATATATTTTTTTTTGTCTGTTCCGTTAATTTTACTCTTATGTTTTCATCATGAAATGGAAAATTAAAAACTTCTCTCATTATGTCGTTCTGTTCGATTTGCTGTTTTTCCGGCAGGCTCACTACCGATGAAAGTTTTATTTGCGAAATCGGTAAAAGTGGAAGAAAGAGTCAATGACGCAACAGTTTGTTTTATAGTAAAGCAATATAGAGCCGAAATAGCAATTCCCGCAAACAAAAAAAAAGAGTGAGAAAACTTGATGGGATCAGAAATAACCTGTATAGAAGAAGTTCTGAGAAGAAAGGAAATGTAAATGTGCGAAACCCTTTGAAAAATTTGGATCAACCGTTGAGAAATATATTCTCGACTGCTTTCGAGAGAATGACCGTTATAGCCCATTCCGCGTTTAGCTTTTCACGTTTTTATTCCCGCCAAAAAGACGGTATACCAAACTTGATCAAATTCGCTTCAGGACCTTGTTTTTTTTGAAGTTTTGTAGAGTTCCGCGCGATGCGGTAATGTTTTAAAGAACTGCAAACGGCTTTTTTTTTTTTGCAGTTGTGCCCCAAAAAAACATAGGTCTTGAAGCGAAGTTGGTCAATTTTGATCTAATCTGGTATACGGTCTTTTTGGCGGAAAGAAAAATGTGACAAGCTTTCGCGGAATGGGCTATATACCTCAGAGTTGAAGTACATTTGTTTTTTTTTTTTGCCCTCTTTCGAATCATGTCGGTTGATAAGAAGAACTAGCCGGAAATTAGTGCGTAGTATAGAATGAACTATAAAATAAATCACAGATCCCAAAAAACCATTAAAAAAATAACTAAGCGTGAACAAAATACCAAATTTTATTTACAGCCCTATAATAGCGGAGGCAAAGATATGTGACCGATTAGTTGGTAATTAGTTCAACACGTGTTATCATAATCTTTGAGGCGAGTGAAAATAAGCGTTTCCTTCTGCTAAAGAAGAAATATGTACAAAAATTGCGAAGCAAACAATTGAATCGTTAAAAAAAAGAAGCTTGGTTTCACACCTATGACTGATTGCTCCGGAGCGATTTTTCCTTGAGCTTCTCCGCGTAGCTTTTCTTCGTTTCCGGTTTGGAGCTCTTCCTTCCAGCCGCGACAAAACTGAAAATGGTTCAATTTCGCAAAAATGAAAAAAAAAACTTGTTTAACAATAGCGAAAATGGGTTAGTCTTTTTTTGGTTTTCCATCCGTAACTTTGTCAAAATAATCATTTTGACCTGAAATTTCCACAAATCAAGTAAAATGAGGTTATTGACGATTTGAATTAGAAGCTTGAACCGATTCCAAAAAATTTCTCTTAAGAATATTCATCAAAATCGCAAAAATAATAAATATAAATTCAGCAAAAACCAGTAAACCGGTATAAAAGACAACTCAATGAGAAAAAAAAAGTCTAATACTTCGGGGGATCTTCTTCCAAACTTCTTCGATTTGCTTTTCCGAAATTTCAGGTCCAAAAAATCGTTTTTTTTTACAACAAACTTCTTCAAAATTCTAGGCCAAAACATTAATTTTTAACAAACTCGAATGCTGAGCAGGGTAACCCAGCCGTGCTAACACGGGGTCTCCGCGGGTGCCCCCGTATTAAACCCGTATAAGCCCAGCTGATAAAACTTTTGGCACTTTTTAGCCCAACTGAGACCCCGCTTTAGCCCAGCTGGGTTACATATTTTTCTTACACCCGTCGTTCCCCCGTTTTAGCCCAACTGAGACTAAAATACCCTCAGAAACACGGGTTTAATACGGGTACACCCGTTGAGACACCTGCTCAGCATGCGAGAAAGTTATGAAATTTAAACCAAAAAAAAAACCCATTTTTGCTCCTGTAAATGCAAAAATAAAGCTAACCTGAAGCTAAGTTTTTCGGTTGGTTTCTCGGGCTCCACTTTGGGAACTGAAAGGCTTGGAAAGGCTTGTTCTTCGAACGAATAGACCGAACTCGCGCTTTGCGATGAACGCTGTAAAGATGGAATTGTAATCAGAAAGAAAGCAAGCTTTTCATATAGTCTGTGTGCCACGACTTGAAATTTCACGAAACGACGTTCCACTGTTCCGCTGCGTGTGTTCGCGAAGCGTCTTTTGAATCTAGGTCACGCTTTTAATAGATTATTATTGCTGTGGGAGCACATGTAAGCAGAGTACCTAAAAAAAAAAAATTAAAAGCGCGACCAAGGTTCGCGAACACACGCAGCGGAACAGCGGAATGTCGTTCCGTGAAGTTCCAAGTCGTGGCACACAGACTATAGAAATTGTTACTAAACGAACTTTACGGTCGGTGGTGTCGCTCGTCGCTTCCTCCGTACAAGAGTCGAATTCTTTCAGAGTTGGCGTCGGCGTTATATTTCCACTTTCTTCTTCTTTTTCGCTCCCGGCTGTGCTATTCCGCGATCTGATTTTTTTATTTCCACTTTATAAATCTTTCAATTTCAGGTTTGCTCCTGCCCGCACTCTAGAACTACACTCCAGGTTGATACTTTGTGAGTTTTTTTTCTCATCGCTGTTTTCTTTCATTTTGAAAATAGGAAAATTGTGTCGAGTTCCAAAAATAAACCAAATTTTTCCCGAAAAAGAAGCTATGATTTTTTTTTTGTTAACGTTTTTGAAGGGATTCAACGGTAATGGAAAGTTATTGTGAAAAATATATAATGGGAAGCTATTGTGAAAATATATAATCTCATTTTGATTCTGAAAAAAAGTTTCTAAATTAGTCTTAAATTCTTGCTATGAGCAGGAATTAACGTTTAAAATAGTTGTAAAGAGATTCAGAAAGTTTAGAGAATGAGAAATTCCTCTTATCTTATTTTGACGGATTTTTCGAACCTCGAAAACATTTTAATCATTCTTCAATCTTTGGTCTAAAAACACAAAAGTTTTGATCAAAAGCGTCAAAAATAGAAAAATAGAAGCGAGGTTTGCGAGGTAAAAAGGCTCCCTAGTCAAGTTTTCATCTAATCAATTATATTTAAATCTTCGAAAAACGCACTTGATCGAGTAGGATGAATGGTTGCGATTGGTCCGCGATGATTCGGTCCCTCTGGCGATATTCCAGCCATTTGGTCCAATCGTCTGGGCTAATTCTCCGTCATAGGTCCGCTGCCTGCGGGCGTCGTTGTAGTAAGAGTTCCCACCGTTACGCCTTCCTCCTGAAGTGTTTCCTGGATTTTTTTATTCTTAGGTCCTTCATAGATAGAAGATTTTGCTTTCTGGGGTTTCCTTTGGAGAAAGTGGTCATGAGGAAATTAAAATTCGGCCTTCTCGCACTAAAAGAACAAGTCGAAATCCGCTTCAAGTTACTGAGAACCAGACTCATTCTGGACAGGTGCCTCGGCTAGGGTGAAAATTGCCAAAAGTTCTACCAGCTTGTACGGGTTTGATACGGGGGCACCCGCTGAGATACCGAGTTAGCATAAGACGAGGAACTACCTCCACTACTGCCGGTGATGCTGATTCCACTGCTCTGTCCTTGGCTCGACGCCACTCCTCCATTCCTTCGGTGTGAAGATTGCGCGTTGCGTTGCTCTTTCGGTTCTCTCGAGTCGCGTCCGTACCGACGATTATCGAAAGTGTTGGCGGCCGACGTGGTTCCATAGGAGGAGCAACCGGCTCCGTTGTAAACGCTGCCGTTCTGCGTCAAGCTGCGGCCCGACTGCGATTTTGGAGCGCCTGTAAATGTATTGGTCTCCGACTTTCTTCAAGAAAGGTCAGAAATGTAACTTTAGCTGGGGTTTTTTCTTTTCTCAAGGGTTATATTGGAAAAGAATTATAAAATATTTTCTATGGAATACCCTCGAAAGGCATTAGGAAGATTCCAAGCAAGTGGTCATACGTCTTCTAGATACCTTCTGAACACCTCTACTTACCTTCCAGAAGTCTGCTGGGAGGCTTCTGGTGGTCATTTTTAGTTTTTTACCTTCTAAAGACTTTCCAACTGCCTTCTGAACACCTTCCTAAGGCTTTCTTGAGAAGTTCTATCTTCTATTCACCTTCCAACCTCCTGGAATCGCCTGCGTTGTTGGTTTTTGACCAAAATTCACGCTCTACGCTGTCAATTTTAAGAACAACTGCGCGTTTATATTATAAAATTTCTATCCTCATCCAATTTTTTTCATATTTGTTGCTTAAAAATAGTTCCTTTTTCTCTAGACCTGAGATTGAACTAACCATTTCTTTGTACTCCTGTTCGGAACGGGTGTCTCCCTTGCATCGGTGTCCGTTCTTCTTCTTCGACATGAACGATGGTTTCTCCAGGTCGATATGTGGCCCGCGGCACATACCCATAGCTTGCCAGGACTGGTCCCAGATCCAATATGCTCGAGAAAATTTGCGTTTCGACCACTGGCGAAGGTGCCTGCTTTATCTGAGTTCTATCAAGGATTCTCTATGGCAGATCTTACTTGTGAAGGACTTCTCCTTTCCAAGTTTGCATGGTTTTCAGAGTTCGGAGGCCCGCCAGCCTTTATTCTAGCCTGTAAAGTATTTTTCAATCGAGTTAGAAATTCTTCAAGGAGTACTCACGCAAATTGGTTTATTGTTGAAGGTTACGTCGAGGTTCTGCAGGTGCATGTAGGCGTTTTGCGTCGCTTCTTCAGTGTCGTAGGTGACGTACCAGCTGTCGTTGAGTCCGTAGAGCAGCTCGGAGTATGGTGGTCCACCGGCGAGCATCTTCTCCAGCTCCTCAAAAGCTCGTTTGCCGAAGGATTTTGCGAAAAAGTCTCACTTCTCTATGTTGCTCAGGGATCTCGCGGAGAATTATCGTACATCTTCTGCTGAGTGGCCGAACTTTCTCTCCTCGTTCGTCCACTTCTACTTGGTTCGACTCTGTAATTTCATAATCATAGTTAAGAACTTCTGAGTGGTCCCTATAGTGAACCTTCAAGGTCCTTGGACCTTTTTGCCGACCTCTATAGGGTCGACTAAAGCTTGCAAAAGTGGTCCCTATAGGGGACATGGTAGTTGATAATTTTTATGAGCTCCATGCGAAAAAGCATTTTGATGCGGAAAACTAAGAAATTGACCTTTTTTCAATAAAATCGACTCATTCCTATAGGGAGCCTATTGATTTCACCCCCATAGGGACCACTTTTCGTCCCCTAACAAGGCTGTTTTCTCCTTAACTCCCTTCAGGGACCACTCCAAGTAAACTGAATCTGATGATTTCGGAATTTGATTCCGATTTTTTTTTTTAGTAAAACAAGATCTCAATAAAATGAGTAGTTTTAAACGTGTGGCTCATTTTTTATTCTATAACGTGGCAATTTTCCATTTCTCTTTTTGTTGAGTATAACCTACTGGCAAAAGAGGCAAAAGTCAATTTCCGGCAATGTGAAATAACAACCCGTCACACATATTATTTAGATGAGAGAAAAAAGGCTAAAATGAATGGAAACCAACCACGAAGAACTTGAAGGATCAGATTGTAGTCGTTGGTGAGCTGAGTGATTTTCCGAAACCCGGCAATCACGGTTATTGGAACGTATTGATCTTGGTCCATTTGACATCGCAAATATCGGTCCGTTATGAGGTTTTTCTCTGTAGATTTATTCAATTAGTGTATTTTTAATAAATATTTATATCACCTGGAAAAGTAGTACTCGAGCTGAGCCTTGAGCTGCTGCTTGAGGTCGGGCACCGGCATGGCCGTCGGTGGCGTCGGCGTGAAAGATCCCGAAGCTACACTTTGAGCCGGAGACTCACACTTGAGCATTTTCTCCTTGCATTCGCGCGTGAACCTGCGAAATACACTCATTACTCTTTTTTCAATCACGTACGGTGGATGGTTTTTTTTTTTGAGAAAACGTGAGATTTATATTTTCTGAGGTCTAAGTTATATTAGGAATTTCAGAGTGGTCCCTACAAAAATTTAGTTTTTCTCATAAAATGCTTCTTCGCTTGGAGTTCATAACAATTATCGAATAACATGTCCCCTATAGGGGGCACTAACTAAAAACTCCTCTAGGGACTACTTTTGCAAGCTTCAGTGGCCCCTATAAGGGTTGGTAAAGTAGTCCCTAGAGGGGACCCTGCAAGGGCCTTCATGGTTGCCCCTATAGGGACCCCTCTGGAGTTTCTAAGTAAATTTAAGGAAGTTTAGTCTGTCTACATTGAAAACATAGAAGGATTACTTTTTTCGAAACGAAAATCATCGAAAATAAAAATGAAGCACAGATTGGTTTTAATTTGAGAGCTACGAGAGAAAGCAGAGACATTATTTAGAGAGAGTCAATCGAGAAAATTGAAACCGATTGGACATTTTTCATGTGGGCCAACCAAAAACACGCTGATCGATATTTTGGATACGTTTTTGGGGAAACATGTCTTCATGGGAAACTATGAAATCTTTAATGAAAAAAAAAATCAGAAGACAGTTTCTCCACAATTCTCATAGCTCATTGATGAAGCTACTTTTAAAGAAATTTCATATAAATTATTTTTTTAAACGAAAAAAAGCTTGATTACGAACCAGTACGGGAGTGGAGGTGCGGGGGGCGCGTGAACGTATCCAGTGGAGCTGGAAGGCCCCGCGGCACTGCCGGCGGTCGCGCTGTTGCCTGCCGCGTTTTTCTCCAACTCTCCGACCATCCGTTCAATTTGCGATTTATCGATTTGTATCGCCTGCAGCACTTTTATTTATCACCATTTTTCGAGGGTTGGTATAGGGGAGGTGCGAGATTGAAGTTTCAAATTCTATCTTCTCGCTTGTAAAAATCTTTCATTAGCGAAAAGACTATGGAAGAAAAGATCCTTCAGTAACTGTATCCGGATGTTTCATACAAGAAAACCTTATTTTTTCGTCTTTTTTCATTCTAATAGTACACTGAATTCTCGGGCAAGGTCGGAATTGTGGATAATGCTCAAAGGGAGAAGCTCGAAAAAGGTCGCAGAAAGGTAGCCAAATGAGTCCCTTTATCGAGCCTTCCATTTTTTATAGGATTTCAAAGGCTCAAAAAATGGTGGAAAAAGGGAGAGGCAGCAAAAATGGTGCATAAGGGCCGATGAAATGGCGCAAAAAGGCAGCAAAATAGGAAAATTTCTATGGAGCCTTTATTTCATGCCAAAGCTTTCAAAAACCCCAAGAAGCTTTTGATGAGTCATTCTACTCGTAACCTTCTTCATTCAGTATAATTAATCTCAAGTTTCTCTAAAATTAGTGCGAGAAAACTGTTTTGAAAGAAAAAAATAACCAGAATGCAATGAAAGTACGACGCTTTTCATGGCTTTGCTGTCCCTACCTTTAGATGCTTTCCAAAAATCGCTGTAATGGACTTATGACGGTCTCACAAATATCATTTTTTAGTGACGTGTTTTTGACAGATTATGAAAAAAAACGACTTCGTCTTCAAACTTTGGGAACTTTCAATTTTCTCCATCCAACATTCCCATGACTATTTCGGAAACAAATAAACAACATGCGTATTATGATCCATGTGGCGTAAATTTTTTCCAGGCTTCTAAAATTTATACAAAGACAATCTTTTAGTTTTTACACGGGTAAAACCATAAACGATGCTGAAGAAATGATATGTTTTACGTACCAAAAGGTTTTTTTTTCAAAAATGAGTTGGGATTAACTTTGGACAAAAATAAACAGGCGCTCATTAATATTCTTGAAAGTACAGTTTAACGGGAGTGAAACTAAAAAGTTATATTGGAAGAACATTATTTTTTTAAAAAATTTCGAGCCTAACAAGAACCTAACAAACTCAAACTGAAAAAAATCTGTTTCGATTTTGTTCAAATAAATTTGTGAATTGAATATGGAATTCTCGAACCGGTTATTTTTTTATTAATTGTTTTATTTTTATACAGTAAGCTAAAAAAGATAAACTTTGTGAATACCTACTTTGATAAAAAAATATTATATCTTTGATAAAAAAACGTAAAAGACGGTTTAAAAAAACGTCGGAAACAAACTTTCAACTGTTTAAACTTGTTTTTTTATATCAAGTGATTTTTTTCCATCAAAAATGTTTCAACTGTTGCCCGCTTTAAATAGTCAAACGGTTGAAAAATCAACTGTTGAATAAAATATTTGACGGTTGAAGTTGACGAATATTGTATATATAAACATGAACGATAAAAGGTGAAAGGTGAGAAAATAATGCATATAGTCTCCTCTGCTCAAGAGCGTCGGTCTCTTCCAAAAAAAAAACCTTTTGCACGACGTAACAACGCGGCGAAAGTTCCGTGCAAATGTAGAAGGCGTCAGCGTCAAGTTCGAGCGAGTCCATCGCCGACGGAACGGTTCAGGCGAGAACTTGACTCGCCGATGTCGTCATGCAGTGACGTCGTGTGAGGAGCAAGTAGGGCTTCGGCTTCGGCTTCCCGAAGCGACGACGGCTCTTCTGGCTGGAAGTAGTCGCCCTGGGGCCAGTCGGCTGTCCCTTTTGCCTTCTCTCGTCGTCTCGTGCTGTGGAGGCGACCGAGTCGGCGCCTGTCTCTCTCGGTTTCGTTTCGCGCGTGAGCCTCTGTGGTTATTCCGCGAGGAACGGCGACCCTAACCGCGCCACACTCGCTCAGGCAAAGACGCAGGCCACACGTGGCGCTCTTTCCTTCTTCACGTCTCTCTTCTCTTTCTCTCTCTCGATTTTTGCCCTGAGGCAACGGAATAATAGCGTGGAGGTGACGGCTCTTCTGTATCCATCGTTTCAGGAGCGATTGCTCTGGGATTCACGGAGGGAATTCATGGAATTTAGTGAAAAGGAGTCGGAAAATTTTGGAAATTGGCACATTCAAATATTGTCTCTGATGTTCACCTTTTACATTTTCCCAAAAAAAAAAATTCCATCTCGAATCCCATTTCCGTTTATTTCTTGTGTGCAATTTGGAGTTTTCCAAGCATTATAGATAACCGTTGTGAGTTCTTCTTTAACAGTTTGAAGCACCTTGGACAAAAAAAGTATCATTTATCAAGCACTGGAAACTTTTTTACACGAACAAGAGCAAAATGTTCAAAAATTCTTGAGCTTTACAGAAAAGGTTATCATGATATAAATGAACAATGGGAACATATCTTCGTTTTGAAGCTCTTTCAAAAGTTCAGAAAGCATTTTTCAACATGTTGTAATGAGAATATTCCCAGAAAAGGTTTTACGGGACTAGCAAAATAAGAAAAAAGTTTCATTTTTGCAAAAATATGGGATATTTCTTTCATCTCAAAAATAGTCCACGTGTACTCGCTTTTTTTTAGGAATGTTTTTTTTTTGCCTAAAAAGAAAAAGGAAATGAACAAAGAGTTACGTCGGAAAATGTGGGCGGACCACTTTCCAAAAGCACTGACGTCACCGCTCTAATTTGAAATATGTTTCTGTGAAAAATTTCTCGAAAGCTGTTTTATCAGTGTTAGGTGATAGGAGAGAAAATATTGAAGAAACAAATGCGGTATTAATAATTTTGCATTCTAACTTTCTTGTAGGTACTAACTCATTTTTTTTTTAAATTTTTTGCCGTGGTTAAGGTTAGAAAAATATAATTACTGAGTAAAGCCGATTGGGGAAAGGGTCTTGACACGTATAAAAATCACTGAAAACATTTTATTTTTGGTAGAGAAGCAGTCGTGCAAATTTTTGAATGGGAAGATTTTTCTGTTAACTGGGCTTTGCTCAATTTTCCAGCATTTTCCCTTCTCTTCTAGGTTCATCAAGAAATATACAAGTATATGCAGAATCCTTTCTTTTTCCGTCGGTCTCTCTGTCGTTTTTTGTTTCTTTTAAAATCCCGGGTATATTGATGATAAGATCCATCTAATGCATTTCGTTCCGCTTTTCGAACGCGTTTAGAGGTTTTTTTTTGAGGAAATAAACAAGAGAAATCGCTTTGACGCTCTGGAAAACGATGTGAAAAAAGCATGTCGAAGAATCGAGAAAGCGAAAATTTTTTTCAGTTTTTTTAATAGGTTTAGAAAAGATTAAAAGCCTAATGTTAAAATTGGATCATTAGGAATTTGAGAAGTGGAAAAAGAAAATTTAAAAACGAACGAACCTGGTATTGCATAACATAAGTTAAGGCGGAGATCGGCGGAAATCCGAAAAAGAAAAGGATCGAGAAGCCTCGCCGGTGATGGACGTGTGGCACGCCAGTTTCGTGCAAATCTACGGGCGGCCGCCGTCGCTTAGCGACATCGCTCTCGCGCCGCCCCATATTAAAAGTGAGATCTCTTTTCCTTCAATTTTCCGATAAGGTTTTCGTCTAGGGAACTTCTTTGTGTCATATTTATCCATCCCCGTTTCAAACCTCTAGGTTTTTATCTCACATCTGGCTTTGAAGGCATAGGGTTTGGGGACAAAAATGACATGTTGTAGAGCTCTTTTTTTTCTGTCGAATGATGTTCTTGAAAACGTACAAAACTTCCTAGTTTTGGAGAGGGGAGGCCTTTTTTAGTTCCCGCCAAAAAAGCGTTTTGCAGCAAAGTTGCTCAATGGACAACACGAACGGCATTTTTCGGATTTTTGCTTTTTTGTTCGTTTCTCTCGAATTTCAACTTTTTTGTTGTCTTTAAAGTTCTTTTTCTCACGAAAACGGCCTATCCATGTATAATTTGCAAATTTTGAACTTAAAAAACTACTCTGGCGAAAAATGATGATTTTACACAGATTTCGGAATAGCGATTTTTTGTGTTTCCTTTATTCTCGATGTGTATTTTTTGTTTGACTAAATTTTTTTTCAAAAAAGAAACTCATAATTTGAAGCGAAAATCCAATAATTTCTCACAAAAGTGTGAGCCTAATGAAAAGTCCGCAAAATCGCGTGAACGGCTACTGTAAACAGTTTTCTGTACACCGATGTGAAGAAAATTAGAAGGCGGGAGAATAAAATCACGTTTTTCTTCAAAATTACTCATTTCTGTGCATTTTTGATTAGACCGTTCGGCAATGAAAACCTCTACAAAGTACCCATCCGTTTTTCCTGTCCCTATGCCTTTATTATCCAATTAATCTTCACAGAAAAATTCGTTGCAGAATTCATAATGCTCAGTTTTTCGATTTCAGAAGCTCTAGAAGAGACGAAGAAGAAAGAATGTTCTGTTGTGAAAACTCCTACAAAAAGAGGACCGAAGCGATCTTTAGCAACGGCTTTTCGGCTTGGAATGGTCGACGGCGAATCTGTGAGCCCTGCCAAAAAAAGGCCGCCTCCGAAGAACTGTGTTCGTCGCTTTCCTATCATACTCCGAAATGAATATTCCTGAGATTTTCAATCATTTTTCATCGAAAAAAAATTTCAACTTTAAGTTCAGTTCGATCTCGCCAGTACATTACTCAAGATTTTTTAAATTTCAGCCCTCATCTGAGTCGACTGAGAAAACAGTACCTATAAAGACGGTAGCTTCTCTGTGAGTCCTTTTTTTTGAAATACATTTTTCTCTTTGAAACTTGCAGACAATATTCAACTCCTACAAAAACGGCAGCTGAACGAAGATCTCCTCGAAAGGCGAGTTTTCAAAAAAGACATGATCAAAAAAATTTTTCTCAAAGAAAAAAAAAATTGAAGGTTCAAAATTTTTGAGAAAGGTTCACACCCAGGAAAGGTCCGAACGACCTCAAAAAAAAAAACTTTAAAAATTTGAGTCTAAAGCTCCTTTCTGGGTCCTTAGAATAGTGTCAAAAGTTTATCGGAATCTCCTTTCTTTCATACACCTCCTTGAAAGGTCCTTTTCAGAAAAAGGTCAAGAAAAAAGGTCCTTTGAGGGCTTTTTTGCAAAATTTTTTTTTGAGACCTTTTGGACGTGTTAGCGAAGCCAAAAGTTCAATGGTAGCTTACAAAAATGACAAGAGGTCGTGATAAAATCTTCTTTTACTATACAAGAAAAACTGGTATGGTTGTTAGAGAGGATTTGAACCATCAGTTGTCGAAAAACAGTTCTTTCTCTTCCATTTCACAGTACTTGTTGTAGACGTGCACACCCAGAGCCCGGACTCCGCTCAAAGAAAATCAGGACGGATTACTCGGACTGCAGTTCACTCCACCTCGAAGGAAGGCGGAGTTGGAGAGCGCCTTGAAGCCGCCTCTCAGAAGGATCACCAACAGAACCCTCGCCTCGACGACGCCAATAAAGTCGCCGCTGAAGCCGGTGGTCAAGAGAAACTTCATCAACAATGTTTGATTTGACTTCTTTGTCACGAGCCTTTTTTTCATTCAGCACATCTCGGCGTTACTGGAACCTACGCCTGAGAAAAGAGCACAAGAGCCGTTGGAAGTCTTTGAGGACGAGCTCCAAGAAAAGTTGGTATTTTTTCGGTAATCGTGGGTGATGGCTGCAAAAGGGCAGCAAAATGAGTCCCTTTATCGAGCCTTCCATTTTTTCTGTGATTTTAAAGGCTCAAGAAATGGTGGAAAAGGTGATCAAAAATGGTGAATAAGAGCCGATGAAATGGCCCAAAAAAGGAGCCTTCGTCATCCTAAAAGAAACTTTTCTATGGACCCTTTTTCCACCCTTTCCGACTCTGCCTATGTTTCGAAGTCTACGGAAAGTTTCACTGTTCAACTTCTGCTCCAAAAAATTTGCTATAAATGTTCAATTTCTCATAAAACTTATCAAAACGTCCGAAGCATTTGTGGTTTTTTTTCATGTCAGTGTTTTTTTTTTAGATACATGTCATAGGTCAATCATCCACAAACTAGTTTTTTTGACCTTGCAAAATTTTTACGGTTCCAGAGCTGAAACCGAAGACGGTGAAGTTTTGAAAACGAAAAAGAAGGCCCAGAAAAGGTCAGTTCACAACGTTCTAAATCACCTTTTAATCCTCTTCCAGATTAACAGCTGGCGAATCGACTTGCCCTAAAAAACCTGTGAGAAAAGCAAAGGAAAACTTTGTCAAGATCAACCTGCGCAAAAAGACTTTTGTTCGAGGAAAAGTTAGTCATTATTTCTGCAAGTTTCCATCCGTTTCTTTCAGGTCACAGCCGAACAAAAAAGAAAGTTCAAGCGGAAACAAATGTTCAAGAAGTTCTCCAAAGGTTGAGTTTTCAGCTTGACATAATTTTTTGTTTTTCATTTATATTTGTTGTGTATTTAATTTTGTTGAGCGTCTTTCACTTGAATAAAAAACTTTCAGTTTTTTTTTTTGCAAGCATTGACTTTTTCTCCCTGAAATCGATTACAAGGAAAATCGTTCCATTTTGAGAATTTTTCAAAAATTGGCCAGAACTTTCCTTGATGTACCAGGATAAGATCTTGAGAGTCTTGAACTGTAAAACTCCCTACTTTTCGTGAAATTAGGACTCAAAGCTCCAAAATAGCCTATTTTAACGTTTTAGCGTTTTCTTTGAGTTTGAGATGTCCATTCTCTGAAACTAGGAAGTTGGGCAGGTTGAGATTTTCTCGGTAGTTCAAGAAGTGCCCTGGCCAATTTTCAGGATAATCCCAACCGCAGAGTAGACCTTCCTTGCTAGTTTCTAGCCGTCCCATGGGATTTTAATTCATTTTCAATGTATAGTCCGTTTTTCCCGACTTGACAGGCCGGGGCATCTCTGCACCCTCCTCGTCTCTCGACGGCCCTCTCTTGTTCACGCGCTGTTTTCGCGTTTCTCTGACCTCGCCGGTGAGGGAGCAGAGAGACGCAGACGCGCGAAAACTGTCAAGGCGGACGGAATATACTTATCTCATGTTCTCTTTTGGTGAAGAAAAAAGTTATCATGAACCTGAAAACAAAGGGTTCAAATCCGTGAGTTGTTGATTTTCGCAAAAAGTCTTTTCCGACAAAAGAACAAGGCGGTCAAAGAGAAAGGCAAACAGAATATCAGCACATGATGATTCTTATCCGATTCGGCGGATATCAGTAGCCAAACAGTGTGCCTCTGGGCCTCGCACGAAACACAACGGCGGCCGACGGGCGAGGAAGCCGCCGGAAAGTGTAATGCGCCCACACCAGAGCTCCTTGGCACATCGCGACCTATCGGACCGCCCTTTCGGATCGTGCTCCTTTTGCGGAGATGCGCGTCGCATCCTTGCTCCTGCTCGCCGTCCTCCTTCTGCAGGTCGAGGCCCGCAAGAAGGACAAAAACCTCAAGGTATCATCTTCTCTCGAAAACTTGGTGCTGAAAAAAATGTCTTCACATTTTTCTCTGAATCTAGTTGTTCCGCGTCGCTGAAGCTCGTTTTATGCCGCAAATTTTCGTTTTGAAATACTCAGAATGAGTTTCTCAAGAGAAACAGGGACCTTTTTTTAATTTTTTTAAAACCTTTTTACAAAACTTATTTTTTTCTGAAACGACTTTTTGAGTTATAAATTTTGTGCCGAAGCCGCTCGATCATTTTTTTCCGTTTCTAAACGTTCAGTTTTTCAAGAGAACCGTCGAAATTTTTTTCCAAAAAAATTTTTCGGGACTTATAACGGCGAATTTTCCTGAAAACCCACATTTCCTATGATAAAACGTTTTGCAAAATCGATTTCGTTTATATTTCCTTTTCAATAGGCTCATCGTGTATAAAAATACATTCAAGCTATTCTAAAAGTTCGAAACATTATTTATCGCTATATTTCCATCCCGTAAATGCACAAGAATCGGCTCTCACTGTCGCGCCCCTTTGCAATAAGCCGCGCCCCCCTTGCATTTAGTCACCACATCCGCCCCCTTTTTGGCAATGTACCCCAGAAAAATATTCAGTGAGGCTAATCCCCATTTCATAAAAATTTTTATGTTGGCCGATTATTTTTAAACTTTGTAGCGATATTCATCACTCTATTTTTTTCCTGCAGTAAATCTCAAAAATATGAATTGTTGTAATTAAAGATTCTTCAAAAAAGTTTTGCTGCCTTTTCAAAATATTTTTTCAAACAAGAAATCTTTCTGTGCCGGAATGAAGCAATCTTTGGCGACGCAAGGCAGGAAATCCTTCAATTCTCCACAAATGCGACTAACTGAAAAAAAGTGCAAGGATTTCTTTATAGATTTTAGGAAATTCTGCGGAATTTGGAATGAAAAAAACTTTTATTAACGAGAAATAAACTTTTCGAAAAAAAGAAGTCAAATTCTATTTGAACAAATATTAACAATATGACATTCATAATTCACTTATAATGGCGTTTTTCAATGTAATTTCCGCGAAGTTCAAAGTTGTCTCTGGCTTTCCAAAGTTTATTTATTTATTTTCTTTCTCTGACGACCTTTTGAAATTCGCGGAATCACTTTGAACACGTCATTAGGCTCACAAATTAGGAACATTTTTTCTAGATTTTTAAAAAAAATTTGAACTACAAGACTCAGTCAGAATAGAATTTGAATATTTTGAGAAATTCACTACGACTTCATGTGAAAACATGTTTGTATTACTCTTTGAAAAACCAAAAATACACTCTGTTGAAACATTTCTCCGGCACTAGACATATTTTATTCACTTATTCCAGGTTACCGTAGCGGATGAGGTCCCTCCTCCGAAAAAAGCGGCGAAAGCAGACAAGAAAAGCTCTGCCAGAGCTGCCTCACCGCCGCCTCCACCGCCCAAAAATGTCAGTTGGTTCGAAATTTCGATGACATTGCTTCTCAGGTGCAACAACATCACGTTGACGACGACAACTCGATAGACGACGTCGACGAGGATCGAATCGACGAGATTCTACGCGACGCCACCAAGAACCTTGTCATTTTCTTGTGTTGGTTTTTTTTTTCGCAACCTGTTTACATTCTATGCACAGTCTGGTTTTATGGCTTTTTATTGTGCGTTCGAAGCTACGTTAAGAGATTTGAAAAAAACGCGGCGGTAAAGTAATCACTTAAGGACACCTGCATCCCTAAAGAAAACCCTTGAATCTAATTCACTGCGCGAGTAAAATCAGCTCCGACCTTTAGAACCCCATAGTGGTCCCTATAGGGATTAAGGCGAAAAACAGCCCCTAAGAGAAAGTGGTCCCTGTAGGGGTAAAATCAAGGTGCTCTTTATGGAGATTGAGGGTCTGAATCCTTAGCCCCTAAAGCTTAAGTGGTCCCTATAGGGGTCTTTCAATAATTCAAAAAACGCTTATTTTTTTAGTTTTCCGCATGGAAATGCTTTTTCGCATAGAGTACATGAAAAACCTGTAGGAAAAAAAATTCTATCTGAAACCCCTATAAGGATCACTTTTTCAAGCTTTAGGGGCTGATAAAGTGGTCAGTAGAGGGAGCCCTCCAATGGCCCCTATAGCTGCCCCTTTAGGGACCACTCTGGAATTCCTGAGGCGGCATTACCTTTCCTCGGCGGCGACATGTGAATCCTAAAAAACATGAATTTTCAAATAACGTTCATATTTTTTCATTCCAAGTCAAGGTAATTCATACGAAGCTTTTTGTACTCTACAAAAAAAAAAATGAAAAAACAAACTTCAGACGATGGAAAAGTCCCGTGTCCAACGTGTGCTGAAGCTCTGTCGGAGGTGGAAGAGATCGACGACGACATCGAAGCGACCGGCTACGTGCAAGTCGTCAAGACAGACGACCGTGCCGTGGCGCGAGAACTCGGCATCAACACGTTCCCTGCCCTTGTCTACTTCCGTCGCAAGAACCCCATCCTCTACGACGGTATGTTGAACTCGGCGCTGGGGTTTATCAAACCTAGAGTATTCCAGGAGACTTCAAAGACTCGGAAACGGTGCTCCGCTGGCTGCGCTCCCACGACGAAGTCGCCACTCTCGACCTGACCGACGACAACTTTGAGACAAGGTCTAACTAGAAAAATTTCCTTGAAAATCAAGGGATCTTCAGAACAGACTCGCATTCACCAGATGAAGGGGCTCTCGACTGGTTTGTCATGTTGTGAGTAGTGAGTCGGGGAAACTCTTATAATTGGTTCTTTTGAAGCTACGACGCGGACGAAGGATCGTGCAACTCGTTCATTCCGCTCTGGGAGACCGTTGCTCACAAGTTTGTTCAACATAGTTCATGTGGCAAAAAAAAACATATGGTTTTTTATAATCACCAACTTCCAAATTAACTTGCTCGTCCAATTTCCCTTCCTTCATAGGCAAAACCGGAAGGACCCTTTACGGGCCCTTTGAGCGGCCGTTATGGTTACAAAATGGTTCCTAAACGGATGGCAACGGTTTCCTTTTTACTGCCTTTTTGCGCCCTTTCATCAGTCTCATTCTACCCTTTTTGGACTTTTTTGAGAAACACAAATTTTTGAATTGAGAATGATCTTTGCCAGTGACTGTGTATGAACCAGAATGGGCTATAGTAATGAAATCGGAAATAATCAATGACCGAGACTTTCAGTACCCTTTTTCCACCCTTTTTGAGGTTTTTTAGCCCACCAAGAAAGAAAGGCTCGAAAAAGGCCGCAAAACGGGACCCTTCTAGCAGCCATTTTGCACCCGTTTTCCGCACTTTCGACTTTGGCTTTTAAATTTCGTCCTCAATGAAAATTCGGACCGGTTACAAAAATCTGATCGATGAACAACCCTGAACTGAAAGATGAAATACTTCCAAACAAAATATACTCGAAAAACTAAAAATCAGGCTTCGTGGACTCGTAAACGTTGGCAAGGTGGAGACGTCGGTGAACGACGACGTCTCCGAGCGATTCCACATCGACGACAAAGACTGCCCGGCATTCTTGTTGTGGGTTCACGATTCTGCTCTCCAGATCGACAATCCTTCAGGTTCCATCGCGGCAAGGTCTACCGATACAAGGATTCTGCCAAAGACGTCCGTAGTCTCACCAATTTCGCTTTGCACAAGTACAAAGAGCAGCGAGGTCACAGGTTGGGTTTTTTCCTGATAAGGGAATTTTGAGAAGCTGGATGGTTTCATGAGATATTGCTGACAACATTAAGGTCCCGAATAAGAAAATAAATGAGCTTAGAAGCTGCAGAGTGGTCCCCATAGGGACTACCTTAGGGGCCCTTACACGTGTTAGAAGGACCATTTTACCAACCCCTATAGGGGCCACCAAAGCTTGCAAAGGTGGTCCCTATAGGGGTTTTGGTTAGTGGCCCTTATAAGAAACATGTTAAAAAGAAACATTTCCATGGGATAAAACTGAATAAAGAAGCGTTTTTTGAATGAAATTGAAGCACCATTATAGGGTTTACTTGAGCTTTAGGGGCTAAGATGTCATACCCTAAACCCCTATAGGGACCACCCTGGAATTCCTAAGTATAGATTTTGAACAGCTACACGTTTTTCATATTTCAGGGTTCCCGAACCACCGACCGCCATCGAACACCTATACGAGTTTACTAAGGAAAAAGTTCTGGATATCATGGTAATTTTTTTTTTTAATCAAATGAGCCTATTCCTAGCTCCCCACACAAAAAGGTGAATTTCCAACGATCTGATCTATCTTCACCTTATCGCTTTATCTTAATTTTCCTTTTTCCTATTCAATGAAGATCAGATCAGAGCAGTGAGAACAACTGTTTGAAGCTGTAGAAGCTCAAGGAGTCTGTGTGTTTTTCTTAGGCTAAACCTTAAATTTATCTTTTTTTTTCTGGAATTATAATCTAGAGTGAACTCGTTATTCAGGACGACAGCCAGATGATGTCGGTGATCGGCGTCGGCGGACTGATTCTCGTCGTCGCCATCACTCTCGTCGTCAAAGCCTACCGTATCCGAGGAGAGAAACCCAAATCCGCATAATTAGGCATTTTATAGTTTATATACATAATTAAGTTGATAAAATACCTTTTTTTCTGATTATATCTCGGACATTGGTGGCGCGAAACGAACGGGGCTTATCTAGTGACCACTTTAGTAGCGTTAGCACTCTGAAGTGATCCCTAGAAACACTCAGAAACACCCGGTTTTCGTTACCGAGGTCCGGGTATAAATTGGAATTTTCTTAGTAATGCTGGTGGTTCAAATCATTTTCATCTGAAATCTTTTTTCTTTTCTCTTCACAATCGTAAACCTGATAAATGTCTTAGTTTTTTGTTTTTTGTTTCATCTCGAAAACTGCCAGAATTTCTTGTGGAAGACATTTTCTGTTCACGGAAATCTTATTTCTTGCCCCATGTTTGCCTTTCTTCTATTTTTCTCCCCACACTAGACACTTTTTTGTTTTGCCGGTGTTATCTTATTTTTTGACTCAGCAGCAAATTTAATGAAGTATGTGTGCATGAACTTTGTTCGATAGCCTTATTTTCGGAAAATATCGAATTTCCTAACTTTTTAGCTAATGAGAATAACTTGAAAATTATTATTAGAGCCTTTTTTTTGCTGCTCTTTATTGTCATACAACAACTTGTTTAAAAATTTTTGTTTTGAATAAATTCATATCCCGTTTAATTTTATTCATAACTACCAATAAAACATGTTGAAATAAGTATTTTTCTCTCAAATTTTTTTCTGATTCTCTGACAAGAATTAAACGAGAATTCTGATTTTTTTAAAAGCAGAACTAGCGAAAGGAGTTTTCATATTTTATAGTCTTCATGGTTTACTGTCCAAGGAGTAAAACCTGAAGCAATAAAGAGTTTTTTTTTAAAGCCAGAAGATCCTAGTAAGTGTTGTCTTCGAAAAAAACTGAATAGTAAAAAAAATTAAAACGAAACGAAAATGAAAATAAAAAAGAAAATTGAAAAGGACACGTGGTTGAAGTTCGCCCCACCGCTCTTTTATGGCGTTAGTTTAGTTGTTTGCGTATAAGACGCAGTAATTGACGACAATTTTTGTACTTGTAATTTTTGTAATTTTTGCAATGTATAATTTTTCGTATTTTCTATGCATAGATTTATGGCGTGTTCATAGGAAAAACGGAACATGCTTCAAAAAAAAAAATCGTGTTCATCCGCGCGCCAAAGTTGCTCCAAAACAGTTCGGATTTTTTTTTTGGGGCGATTTTTTCCGTTTCGAAGCGATTTTCGTTTGTCCAATGAACTCGCCATTAGTAATTTACAGTATTGTTCTGCGCCTACATAGAATTTTTCCTGAGTCATTTGTAGAATTTTTTGAAGGTCCTACCAAAAAATCGCAAAAAATAAAAACCGCTTTTAATGAGTGACTCATAAATTGGCAATGAAGGTCTATCACAATTAATTACCACAAAGTTGGGGTCAGGTGCTAAAAAACAGCGAGCGGAGACGTCCCGAATCTTTTCTTGTTTTAACATCTGGTCTTTCTTTTTTTTTTAATTTCCGATATATCGCGATATTTCCATACTTTTATCTGTTAATGTTTTTGTTTAGGGATCGTCCCGGCCCTTCATGCTCTCGCGTTTTGTTTGGCGGTAGAATCTGTACACTGCTGAACACTAGCGCTCAAAAGACGCCACGAAAACGCGCCCTCTGAGAATTGTTTGCGCCGTCAAGAACTAGTTAGAGGTTGGTTTTTTATGTACTGATTTAAATTTCTGGTATCATGGACATATCATATTTCAATTCTTTTGAATCTCGTTCTGTTTTTTTTTTCAAGACTATCAAATTTAAAATAAGGGAGGTTCACATTTGAGATCTTCAGTTAATTATGATCTTGATTCGATTGACTTTCAAAAACTTTGTTACTTGCAAGGGCTTTTTTTTCGTTTTGGTGCGATGCTATGTCTTCTCGCTTGGCGGCCCCTTATTGATTTTTTTAACGAAGGAACGCAGCATAAGTGCGTTTTTCCTAAAAAAATAATTTTTGAGTTCATTTTTTTCTCTTTCAATTTTCATTTCCACTCCAATTCTATCATTTTTTTGAATCTTTGGATTAATCGAAATTAGTTTTCTTTGAAAAATTGAGTTGAAACTAACCATGTTTTTGAAATTGTTCAATCCACTCAAGAGGCGCCTAAAATTTAGTCAACCATCTAGGAAAGCTCAAAACATTTTGTAGATTTTAAAACCGTCGAATTTTTCATGAAGAATTTTATTGAATTAGCATCAATTTTCTGAGGCTTTGAACCGAAGAGTTTACAAATTATTAGACCATTTTTCTTTTTTTTTTAATGGAAATTAGGTTGGACTTGATTTATGAGAGTAATGCAGTAATTTCCGCGAAATGCAAAATTGTCTTTGACTCTCCAAAATTTAGTTATCTTTTTCTTTCTCTGACTCTTCTCTTCGCGAACACGGCATAAAACCAACTTTTGACTGCTTAGAATTTCCACTCATTTTAAAATATTTCGGAAAAACACTGTTTTTTGGCGTTATTAAAGTTCTAGTGGAATTATATGTGAATCGAGGGCTTTAGCGATCGGGACGTTTCGGTACAGAAGCGTCACTGGCTGTGTAATGGTCTTGTGCAGTGCACGCGAAACGATCGAAAAAGAGAAAGTTAGCAAAAGGAAAGGAGACGTAGGAACAGAGGCGGTTAGAGAAACTTCTTAGACCCGACGAGTTCTCTTCTATCGTATTCACGTGCCTACAATTTCTTTTGTGTTCAGCTCATCGGATTTGGAAGGAGCTTTTTTTCACTAGTTTGAGTTAGATCCGGGGAAAAAAATACCTAGTTTCGTGTGTCCCTTACCTGACAATTTTCGAAACCGAAAAAAAAAAATAGAATATGAGCTTATGAAGGAGGCCGTTGCAGTCCAATTGAGGAACAGATTTTTTGGACATTTGAAAAAAAAAACTATATAAATATTTTTCAAGTCTACAATGTTTTTAGAACACATTGTCGATTCCCAGTTCTATTTCTATCCTATTTCAACGATTCGCAAAATCTTTATCTTTCTGAAAGGCACAAAACCATAGGCAAAGTAGGAAAATGTGGAAAGTGCTTCATAGATATGTTCCTTTTTGCTGCCTTTTTGCGCCATTTCATCGGCTTTTATGCATCATTTTTGCTGCCTCTCCTTTTTCCTCCTTTCCTTGAGCCTTTGAAGTTCTAGAAAAAATGTTTTTCTCGATAAAGGGACTTTTTTGCTGCCTTTTTTGAGCTGCTCCCTTTTAGCTGCCATTATCCACCATTCCGACTTTGCCCGAGACATTAACGACTCTAATTTTCATTTGATGTTGAAAACAAAATTAATGAGTGAATGAAATTTTTAATGAAGTATTGATAGCTAGAAAAAATCAATATTCAGTTTTTTCTCCTTTCCCAGGTGTTTCGAAAAAAGTTGAATCGTAACATTCTAGTTCAAAACTAAGAAGAAAAAGTCTTCTCTAATACCGTAGATTTGTTTCGTTTGTTCGTTTCGTTGGTTTTTTGCCAATTGTCTCTCAGCCGCTCTCTGCACGTCGGTTTCGCACCTTGATAAGTGCGATAAGGAGAAGTGGTGCCCGAGTGACTGATAGCAGGTTATTGGGACGTCGGTGGAACTCCCTGCCGTCTCAAAGAAATACAAATTTTCCGTTCCAAAATGAAAACGGGCAAGTCAACATGTTTCCTTTTCGATTTGTTCCCTATCTTTCATCTTCTCAGTTCTTCTTCTTCTCCTTTTTCCCATCTTTTGCCAGTTTCACAGTTTTTTTTTCTTATTCTTCTTCCCTGCTCTCTATTGAATTTTTCCATGTTTCCTCTTACCATGTGAAAATTAATCTCACGTCAGAGTCATTTCTCATTTCTTCTTCGATTGAAAAAAAAATAGAAAGTTTTCGATTCTACCCAGGTTTATGCATAGAAAACACGTAGAACTGTTGGCTAGGTTATGCCGGATTCGAAATGCCAAAAGAAAGACAAGTCCGAACATCGTTGGAACACGGATACGAGGGCAAGTCGATCGATTTCGCTTGGCCTCCACGCCCTCGTCTCTTGCATCAACAATATTCTACTGGAGCGCCCTTGTTGCAATTCACACACACACACACTCACGCTCGCACACGCACACAGAAACTCACGAATTTGCACTCAGGGCCCTGCGCTCACACAAGCACACCATTCACGGTTCTTACTGGCAAAGAAGATCTCGGCGCCGCTTCTTGCTCATTTTTCTCCAGAGAAGATTGCAGTTTTAAAAGAACAGTTTCTTACTAATTTTCTCATTCATTTCTTGACCCCAGGGAACGTTTTTTACACCCCCTGGTTGAACTTTTTATGGAACTTCGCTGAAGTGTACTTTAGGATCTTCTGATCCAAGAACAAGGAAAAAATTTCGCAAAACAGATTTTATTTTGGGATAAGCTTGAAATAACTTTTTTTGTCATTTGCATATTTTGCAGAATTTGAAGCTTCATAACTCGAAAACAAGATCTATTCCGATTTTTTTCTGTTCTGGAATCAGAAGGCCATAAAGTGCACTTCAGTAAAGTTACATCAAAAGTTCTGCTGCGGGGTAAAAACGTTCCCTATCAAGCATCTTTTTTTACGAAATAGTCCTGTGTTAAAGGATAAATATCTTCCCTTTCCAATACGGAAGCAAGCTTTCGTGATCATATTCATGTAAAACTACCTCGTTGTCTCAAATTTTTCGTCTCGTCTCTAGTCTAGAACCTCGAAATTTATATATGTTTCAGAGAGAAAAACACGGGTGCGTCTACGCGTTGGACGAAACTCAGCGTAGAGCGCTCCTTGTGTTGATACACGGAAAAGAGCGGTGAAAGTGGGATCCGGAGGCCTGATGGTGGAGTACTGAGTACAATAACAATAATCGTTTCTTCGGTGGCGTTCTGAGCACGGGTACACGACGCAACATGCCAACTTCTTGGGAAAAGATCTTCGAGTAAGTTTTCGGAGAGTAACGCTAGTTGTACCTGTAATCAGGTTTTTATGAAAAGACAATGAATTAATGAAAAAGGGAAGTATTTTCGGTTGATTTCGATAGAAAGGTAGTTATGAAATTCCTTCCCCGAAGACAGAAGGAGCAATGATAATGAAGCCTTCTAAAACCTTCTCCCTTTTGTTTCTTGGAAAAAAACCTGGCTGACAGAAAAAACTATGGCTGACAAAAGGTAGAGGCTCAAAAAAGGCTGGAGAAAGGTAGCAAAAAGAGTCCCTTTATCGAGCCTTCCATTTTTTTTGGGGGGTTTCAAAGGCTCAAGAAATGGTGGAAAAAGGGAGAGGCTACGAAAATGGTCCATAAGAGCCCATGAAATGACGCAAAAAGGCACCAAAAAGGAACATTTATGGAGCCTTTTTCCACCTTTCCGATTTCGCCTTTGTAAATCCCCGCTGAGAAAAGCTTTCATTTACAATATAGGTTTTTTTCTCCAATAGAAGCCTAGAATTTCTTCTACTTGCAAAATATTGCCAAACTGTAGCTTTTTCCCGATTGACCGATTCTCGATGAAGAGTTTTGACAGGCAGCCTTATCGCCTTTTACCGTATCAGTTCATTTTTTCATTTTTTTTTTCTGTCTGCAGCTACACCTCGCAGCATAACACCTACGATGATCTTCTTCGACAGACGATCAACCTTATCTTCTATGCGCCGGGCGCGTTGTCGCCTTGCGTCCGCCACTACATTGCACTTATGGTAATTGTCGTGGTTTTTCGGCAAAGATAACTTTTTTTGTGAAAAGAAAGTTCAGGAAAAGCAGGACCAAGGGTGGTCGTAAGACTGACTGAACAGTAGGAAAAGAAACTTGAAAAAAAAGGTTTAGTGGTGAAGTTTCTAGAATAGTTTGGCAAGCTTGGTTCTGCTTTTCCTAAATTTTCACTTCGCGGATCTTTTTTTCATAAGAACAGAATAGAGAATTTTTTCCTAAAGATTATTGCCGTTTTTAAACCGTTCATCAGTTTTAAGCAAAACAAATTTAAGGTTTCGAGGCACCTAGCCGAAAAATACGGAAATCGATATGACATAAGTTTAAGAAAATCGATATGGCAGAGTTTCATTCGTAAGGGGGGATGGAAAAAAATCGATATGATAACTTCTTGAAAGTTAACCAATAGCTTGAAAAAAATAATAGAAAGTTCAAATAGTGAATTTTGTTTTTCAAGAGGGAGGCGGTCAAAAAGATTATTTTTTTCGTTTCGTATTTATTCATTTGTTTTTTTCAAATGGTTATCATTGACTATAGATTAACAAAATTCAAGTTCTAAATGTTGGAAAGATGTTTAAAAACTCAAGAAGATAAATAAATTGGGAAAAAAAAATTCCAGTTGGGTGACGCCTATGTATAAATAAGGTTTTTTTCACCAGAAAGGCAGCCAGGATATTATACGTTATCTATAGTAAAACCACTGTAGGAAAGATTTCGAATCATAAATGAAAAAGCTTCAGTTGAAACAAATATTGCAGGCGGCGACTCGGCACCGTTGCTTCTTCTTGATCGATTTGCACAGGACCGAGTTCCTTCGCGAAGGCGGCGATCCGGACTGGCTCCAGGGACTGACGCATTCCGAGCCCAAGTTGATGGCTCTCGACGAGCTGAACATGATCTTGGCCCATCAGCCTTGGATGTGCACCGCAAATCTCATCAACGTAAGTTTTGTCACTGGAGGACATTGTATGAGATGTTATAACGACGAAGAATCATGAGAAAATGTCACCCAAGCAAGAAAAACTGTACAAGGGCTACACGGCGGTTTTTTTTTTGACGGCTCTCCGCCCATATTTTTTCCGTAAAGTGTAGTGTATAGTGTGCATGCACTGCGGCGCTCTCGCTCATACCGCGTTCAAAGTAATTTTCGCGAAATTGAAAATCATCTCTGAATTTCCGAAATTCGGTTATGTTTTTCTTACTCTGACGACAATTTCGCGGAATTTTTTTGAACACACAATGCAAAAAACGAAACAGAAAAATTGCGTAAACGAGAAATCGATTCGTTTTTTTTGTCCTTCAGTCAACTATAAAAAGAAACTAGGCTAGAATGAATTTTTTTTTTTCCATTTTCAAAGTTTCAAAAAATATCGAATTTCTGAAGAAAATATATTTTAATGAGTATGCTAGTTATCGCCGTTCTGTGTATGCACCAAAAGTGTCATATGTTACGTAATTTGTGGGCGAGGCCTCGTCAAAAACGGCATTCTTAATGAGGTGAGGGAAGGTGAGCGAGGCGTCGAAGTATTTGAATTTACAAAAAAAGTAAGTGCGCGCTCCGAATAAAATGACGTCATAATTAACGTGAGTTTTAAACGTTAATAACTTGTTAATTCGATCGCCTTCAACCGCGTACTTGAAATTTTAAAAATCGCGCCAAATTTTCTTTTTTTTTGACGTCCTCCCACCCCGTTTGGGAACGCCGTGCAAAAGAACGCTGTAGAAACAAAAATTCGAAATTTTCTAGTTTTTCAAACTTTCACTCTTTTTGAACCCAAGAAACAGCTCGTGTTGAATAACTGTTTGTTATACGACCCCCTGATAACGATAGTACGGCGCACTGGTCACTCTTTTGCGAGATAAGACACTTTATGCAAGAGAGTACAGGACAAACCCAGACCAATGGGCGCTTTTGTTCAATCAATTTTGGGGTTTAAAGTGATAATGCTTCTTTGATGAAAAAAAAAGCGAACGTTTAGGGACTGGCACGCCTGGGATCTCCATCGCCAGCCACGCAGTGGACTCTCGCCGAGCTGACACAGGCCGTTGTGATCATGGCCCAAACTCACGTCCTATGCTCTTTCGTATATGCCATCGGCGACATCGAGCCCACCAACTTGGCCCCGTCAGTTTTTGATTCAACAGCGAGAGTCGCATTTAAAAGTGGTTAAAAATCGTTGCGAACCGACCAAAAGCCTATTTTGTCCAGATTTTTCTGTCCGCGGTTAACAACAGGGTTGCATTGAAACTTTTCCGAAACGGTTCTAAACAAAACTACAACTTGAGATTAACTTGGTAGATGTTTCTCCTGTCGAAAAATCTCGGCTATTACCGGTTCGAAATAACTAAGAAATTGGAAACGCAAATCGTTGTCGGGACATTTCTAGTGACAACTTTAGTAGCGTCAGCATGCTTAAGTGATCCCTAGAAATGCACGCCCGGTTTTCCTTACCAAGGTGTGAGAACTATCATTTATTCGTAAGCTAGCGTCTGTATACTTATAGATCCAGATGAATTATGATTTTTTTGAACGGATGTTAACCTTCCCTAACTTTCCAGAGCGGAGATGCAGTTTTTGAAATGCGACGACGAAGAATATGTGGCCCGCAACAAGGAAAACTCGCAAGAATCTATCGGAGAGGTCCCGGAAATCCCGCATATCGAGAAGTCACTCGAGAAGATTCAGGTGGAAGAGCTGTTGCGTCGAATGGAAAATCTGGAAACGACGGTCACTGAGGGCGCCCAGCACGAAACGACCTTCAACAACGCCATATCCGACGGCTCAGGTTCCACCTGAGATCCCTAGGGAGTGTTCATCTCCTTCTCTGCAGATTCCACTGGCGGCGACTCTCCAGAATCTGACGATCGGGAGGTCGACGTCTCGCTGCCGGTTTTCTCCACCAACCCTCAGTTCGGATATGTCGACTTCAACAATCGACGTGACAAATCTATCAAGACGTTCAAAATTCATGTTTGTTCTAATCTTTGCGAAAGTTTTATGAACGATTCTTTCAGGAATTCTCCTGGGATCACGGCTTCAATCTGATCAGCGAGAGGAATCACGACCTTGGCTCTCTGCTCGACGCTAAATTCGCGCTTATCCAAAAGCTCACCTATTCTTTGTGAGTTGTCATTTTTTTGGGGCTTTGGGGTCTTACTCAAATCTATGTTATCCCATTCCGAAACTCAAAAAGATGGTTTCAGCATGGGAACCTACACCGACGTAAACACGCGTAAGTATCGTATGGCGGTCTGGAACTACATTCAGGCCTTGTACGGGATCCGCTACGACGACTACGAATACTCCGAGGTTCGTTGACCCCTTGAAAAGGCGCACGGATACCCCGGCACTAAGGTAAACGTGCTCCTCGACCGCCCCACCAAGACCTTCATCAAGCACGTCGCCTGTTCGCCGCACAAACTCAATGAAGACCTCCGGCACAACGTTATGAACGGTTTCAAAATATCTGAGAAGGTCAGTGGGAGTCATTGAGTGGAGTATATGGGTCACATTCCTTCGTTTTCAAAATAAGGGCTTCAAAATCTCTTTCTAATTTTTCTACGAGTTGATCTTTCAATAATACCGTTACCTTTAGTTTTGATGGGCAACTTTTAGAGTTGGTTTTGGTCAACACTTAGGAACTCCAGAGTGGTCCCTATAGTAGAAACTTTGATGGCCCTTGGAGGAACCTCTCTAGAGGCCACTAAAACTTGTAAGAGTGATCCCTGTAGCGGTTTTAGTTAGTGGCCCCTATAGGGAAAATTATAGTCAATAAATTTTGTGAACTATGAGCGAAGAAGCATTTCCATCGGAAAAACGGAATGAATAAGCGTTTTTGTAGGAAGTAAAAAGACCCCTATAGAGAGCACTTGAGCTTAAGGGGCTAGACCCAAAAATCCTATAGGGACTACTTTTTTGACCCCGACAGGGGTTATTTTCCCCCGTCACCCCTATAGGGACCACTCTGGAATTTCTCAGTATCCTTTGAAAGACAATAATTCCAAAACGGGTTTTATTAATAAAAGTTTTTTTCTCACCTTGATCCTAAGATTCTGCGGTTTGATTTTTTCATGAAAAAACAGTTTCGAAGAGAATCTGTATATATGAATTCAGGTTCACGTGATACTTATGGTGATAGAAGCACGTCTTCAAGCAACGATGCTCCACTTTACACGCGCCCTCACGAACTTTTACACTCTGACCATTCCCAAAGGAGTGCACCTTCGGCCTCTCGACTGAGCCCTACATAAAACATCCTTTCCATTTTTTTCATGTTAATAATCTTGTGCAACATTTGCATCATTTCGCTAGTAGTTTCATATTTATCGGTTTGCTTTACCTTTTCTTTGTTAAATTGTCTTTTGTGCTGTGTTAAATAGTTAGAGCGAGATGCGATCAAAGCTTACTACACTTTTTTTTTGTTTGTTTCGGTGACTTTTAAATCCTGAATCTCGTCGTCTAGATTTTTCATACACTGTAGCAACTCGTTGTTTTTATTCATTTTCGTGCACAGTTAATACAATTTTCGATGTGTTTTTGACCACGTTTCCTCACTTTGTTAGTTGTTGCATCCTTGTATTCGCATCTCAGGGAGTTTCGAATCCATTTTGCGTGTCCACTTTGGTTATATATGCCTATGCTAACTATAGTCGTTTTCTTTTCTAGCAAATAACCTTGGTTCAAACGGTTATGTTTTTTCAATTCCTATATGTATTCTCGATTTTGGTTTCCCTTCTCTCTTTTTTAACCATTTTTCAATTCATTTTCATTATGTTATCATTTTTTTTTTGATCGCTGATCTAATTCATTCCTGTGCTAATTATTATGTTAACGATAGTTTCTGGTTGATGATAGTTGCCCTCAATTCCGATTTTAGTTCCATCGCGGTGTTGTTTTTTTTTCCATTTGAAAATATTGGAGCCTTCTGTCCCATGTTTTCAGAACATTTGTAGATTCTTATCAGGCATAATTTTCTTTTTTCAAAAAACATTTGTTACTGACTTTTCAAAAAACTTTTCCAGCTAGTTTGGAGTTATTTTCACCGAAAACTGATACGAACTTTGAAAGTTTCGTTACAATGAAAGTTCGTTTCCAAGCTCGGAGATAGGTTCCAACTTCCAGTTCCCGAACAGCCTTGTACCTCGAAACCATTGTAGCTCAACGGAAAATCTTAGTTCCAAAGTTTCGAAGTTTCTATTGTCCAAGATATGATTTAGAATTCAGAAAATGCTGAACATTTTAAAACTCGATCACTTCTACTTTTTTCACCCCACTGTTTAGTTTTACAAGTTGTTAGCTGCAAATCGTCCCTGGCAAGTCCGTATTTAGCAAAGACTTGCTTTACGTTCGTCTACGTATATATATATATATATCCTTCTGGGTCGTAGTTTTGATTACTTGAATCTCTCCTTTTAGGGGTTGAAATCCGACTTTTAACGTCGTATTTTCCGTCTTCTCGTTTCTTTCATTTTTCTGTTCATACACCTTTTTCATGCTAATCGTTCACCACAAAACTAATCTTTTTGGTTTCGAGATCCGATTGAAAGAAGAAAACGGTGTCGAAAAGCTTTTCACCTACTCACTTAGCCGCAGTGAAAGTAGAATTTGAATGATGATGTTGTTTAGATTCTCTGTGTGTTCATGTGTGTTACTTTTTAGCCGTTTTTAACTCTTTTCCCGATAAATCTTCACTCCAAATTCTTTTTGATCTTACTGAAACTTATATGAACTTTGTATGCGATCACGGCGTTTCCAAACGAGGTGGGGAGACGTCGAAAAAAATTTGGCGCGAAAATTGAAATCTCAAATACGCAGCCAAAGGCGATCGAAAAAACCAGTGATTAACGTTAAATACTCATGTAATTTCTGACGTCATTTTATCCGGAGCGCGCACTTTACTTTTTTTGTAAAGCCTCGCTAACCTTCTCTCACTCCATTAGGATTGCCGTGGCGACCTGACAGTTTTCAATTGTCTGCGTCTCTCTGTTCCCTCACCGGCGAAGGTCAGAGAAAAGCGAAAATAGCGTGTCAACGAGAGAGGGTCGTCGAGAGACGAGGAGGGCGCAGAGAAGTCCCGCACTTTCAAGTCGCGAAAAACGGACTGAATGAAATGGCGTACCGAAATGAATGTCAACTCTAATTTCTTAGACTCCTAAACGGGATGAAATTCCTGATTCATTTCCAAAAATGGCGTTGGCAGTGGTCACGACGTCTTCCGTGCTGCAAGTGGAGCCAACAGCACACGAAGATTTTCCTGCCGACATTCTACAATTTATTCATTTCACCAAGTTTAACATTCGTAACGGGACCCATCATCGCGATGTCGTCTCTTTTTTGACAGTCTACGATATGTACTTCAGTGGCTGGTGAGACATTCTCATATTTGGAGCAGATCTTTTGAAGGCAAGTCCGCATTGGCAACGCCGATGATCGACCATTTCCCCTGGCCAATCGTAACAGATATTATGGAGTATGGTGGAATGGACAAAACAGAAATTGCATACACTTTTCAGATCGTGTTCGAACCTTCCTCGCTTCCTTTCCTCCACGATTCCCCGTTCATTCGAAGGCTAAGCTTCCGTCTGCGCGTCGTCGACGACGCCAGAGACGGTGAGTTGGATCTTTTTTAACGAAAATAAAGTATAGATACTGTTTATTGCAACCTCATACTTCTTATGGATATAGCTGATTCACGGTCAGCTTGGGACGCTAAGGGGCGTGTCCTGTCTGCGCTCTCCACGAGCCAGGCACTATCTCGTGTATTATCGTGTCAGGACCAATTTTCCGATGGCTCAAGCCAGCCGTGAATCAGCTATACAGTGCTCTCAAATGGACGGCAGCTGAGGTCAGTAGGCGTGGCTGACTGCAATAGCGGCACGGTTTATTGCAATGGGGGCGCGGAAATGAAACTGAAGTTTTTATGGATGGAAATTTTACTTTGTAGCCAATTCCTGAAAAACGTCCAGAATACTTCTTGATGTATCAGATGACTTAGGCAAAGTCGGAAAGGGCCCTTAGAAATGTTCCTTTTGAGGGTTCCTTTTTGCACTACTTTATCGGCTATTTTGCACTATTTTAGCTGCCTCTTCCCTTTTCCATCATTTCTCAAGCCTTCAAAACTTTAGAAAAAATGGAATGATAAAGGAACCCTTTTTGCAGTCTTTCTACGGCCTTTTTGCGGCCTTTTTGCAGCCCTTTTGCAGCCTTTCCGCGGCCTTTTTTGAGTCCCTTTTAGCCGCCACGATGCACCATTCCGACTCTGCCCGAGAAGGACTCTGAAAGTCTCAATCTGCACAACTTCCTATTTCTTAGGAAAATACGTCTGAAATTCGAGGAAAACCAACTAAATTCTAGAAAATTGGTCAATTTAGCGCCTCAAAAAATAGGATCTTGTGCAGGTTAAGACTGTCAGAGTCTTCAGCTGATACATCAAGGAATAATCTGGTCGAATCTTTGTTTTTGCAGCCGTCATCGCAAACTCGACCTTCGTCGTCGATTCGCCGATGCAAAATGTCGCCGACCCAACTTTCCGGACACCTCCCAATTCTGAGATTAACAATCTTCTGGCGCGCATCATCGCTTCACCAGAGTTCCGAGGTTGCTTCTATCGGAGTCACGAGCACGGATTCGCAAAACTGCAGGAAAATCTTACCAATTGGTGACGTCACTGGAGTTCACCTGTGCCGAGTACTGTCGTGAGCGTTCTTTTGAGCGAGCGGCACCTCCTATTCCGACCACTGTCGACTTTCGTTTCGACTGCATTTTTGACAAGTATGACTTCAAATCATCCTTTATAAAGTTCGCCTCAGTAGTTTGAAAAAAAAATCAATGTGAAAAAGACAGGAATAAGTCGTGTGGAAGAAAATGCGAAATTAAAAATGAAGGGAGCGGAGTCAAAATCTCTGCCGTTTCCATGTGACGTCATGGGAAAGAAGCGTAAAAACAGGGAATATTAAAGGCGCATGTTCAATGGGTCATGAGACGAATCGATTCCTCATTTAAAAAACTTAATTTTCCGGTGCCGTGTTCAAAGTGCGTGTGCGAGAGCGCCGCAGTGCGTGCACAAAACACACTACACTTTACGGAAAAAATATGGGCGATGCGCCAAAAAAAGCTGTGTACTGAGTAATTTTTATTGCACATATAGTTGATTCACGGCTGACTTGAGCCTTTGGATAAAGGGTCCTGACACAATAATGCGCGAGAGAGTGCCTGGCTCGTGGAGTGCACAGACAGGCCACGCTCTGTTAGCGTCCCAAGCTAGCCGTGAATCTAGGGACCGCAAAGCCACGCCCCTTTTCGCGATAGAAAAAGTGGCTTTTTTTTGGTTTTCAATTTTAATTTTGTTGTAGTTGCAAAATATGTGGAACTGGCTAATAAAATTTGACACACATGTACAAAAAAGCTTCCTCTTTCGTTTAAAAAATATTTCACGCTTTTTTGATGCGTTCTCGCGGAATGTCGTACAAAAAAACGTGAATAGAACTAAAAAAATTTTGTCGTTTTTTTGCTTTTTTTCATGTGTTTTTCAGGTCAGAACGCACTCTTTCTTTTTTTAAATAATGATTTTTGATTCAAGTAACGGTAATTTTAAAACAATAAAAATAAAAAAATTCGTCTTTGCCAAAAAAATTTTTAGGGAGCGCCGAAAGTCATAATTCAAAAATATCGTTAATAAGCGAATATAATCGAGTTTGTTGTTTTTTTAAATTTAGATCATGAGCTTACTTAAATTTTTTTCTCCACAGCATCTGTGCTTGAAAAAAAGTTGTTTAATACGCAAAAAAATGCTCTTGAAACTAGAGAATAAAACTAGCGGCGTTTATCACACAGAAAGCGGTCGAACGCAGGTTTTTTTCAAACGATTATATACATTTATTAGTAAAAAAATCTTTCAATTAAAAGAATAAAAATAAAAAAATTCGTCTTTGCCAAAAAAATTTACGGGGCCGTTTTAATGCAGCGATCGTTTAACGAGGCAAAAAAAGCACTAAAAAAACAGTTTTTTTCGAAGTGAATTTCCACGAAAAAGTTTGAGTAAAAAAATTTGCGAACATATTCTGATAAAAATAGCTAAATTACTTCAAATTTTTATTTTTGAAATAGGCAATCTGTGCTATCCAAAGCTCAAGGGTAAGGCGGATGGAAGCTCCCCTCGCTAGACCTTACAGCTTGGCGCAGTGCGTGCGCTGCGGATTGTCTTTTTGAGGTCGCGAGTTCGATACCCGCAAGCGTCAGTTTTTTGTTTTCTGGAAAATACCGACTTTTTCGGCAAACTAGCTGATTAGCATCATTTTAGCACTCTATTATAATTTGTTACATCATAGTAGACCAGTATCGAAACTTGTTCGAGAAGAAACATCGAGAAAAATGTCAAAAATGGATAATACCAAAATTTCAGTACTAAAAAAATGGTGCGCGGCGCGCCATATTTTCCGTCATAACTTTTTTCATCCTCAATATTTTTTGAAAAAATAAACGGTTCTGAGTTTTGAATCGAAACAGCTATCGAACCATACAAAGCTCAATGCTGAAAAAAAATTTTTGAAAATTCGTCTGCGGTCCCTACGTGAATCAGCTATATTTTGAACTCCATTAGAGACTCTTCCAAGCCCTGAAACAATATTAGAAAGAGACAACTTATGACTCGAAATGAAAAAAAGTTTTTCGTTTTCAGATCTCAACACGATCTTCGGATGTACATGGGCGGTAACTCGAATCAGTTTGAGACGGCGTCGCGACGCGCCCTCCATCTCAGCTCGCCTTATTTCCGGCTCGTGCTCCGTCCTAACGTCGACGTCTACACAGAGGAAATGGGCTGTTTGGAATCGCGAAGAACGGTAAACCGATGTTTCCCAAATAAAACGGAAATTAAACAATCATTCATAGTCGAATTTTTTCGTTTAGACAATCGCCTTCATGATGACAGGCTTCTATCAACCGCCTCCCTTCATGACACCCACAGTAGCCAAGAACATCCATGATCTAGCGACCAAGTTTTTCTGCATCATCCCAAGACGTGACGTCAACTTTTTGCAGATACCGTGTCCACGAGAAAATCGCCTTACGACAAGCCGTGGAGCGACATTGCTGCGAAGAGCTGCGCAAGGTCGGTTGCAGTTCTCGTCTCTTTGACAGAACTTCCAGGTGAACTCCGACCTGAAGGCAGTCGTGCTGTGGACGGTGGCGGCCAATGAGTCGGACATGAATCGTCTGTTTCAGAACTGCCTCGCCCTGCTTTGCGGCTCCTTGTTTGAAGAATACGTTCTCGAGTTTTCGCACGAAGCGGTTTCTTCCAATTTCGGTTACTTTGCTCCAACTTTTCTTCTCAGGCAAGGAATGCCCAGAATGCCGACCTCCACACGCGACTCAATGCACGTCCAGGAATGTTCAGGGCTTCCGTTCATGTAGGTTTTTCCGAGGGATTTATATTGATTTCAAGGCTCTAATATTCATAACTCCAGTTTATCCATCAAAGGAGGATTTAGCTGATCAATTTTCGGAATATTTTTGATCTGTTCAATCTGGCTCTGAACTCGGGCAAACTCGGAATGGGGGATAATGGCCGCAAAAAGGAAGGTCGCAGAAAGGGCTCCTTTATCGAGCCTTCCATTCATTCTGGGGATTTAAATGCTCAAGAAAGGATGAAAAAAGGGAGAGGCAGCAAAAATGGGGGCCAATGAAAGGGCGCAAAAAGGCAGCAAAAAAGAAAGCCTTTTAGCGACAAAGACTCCTTTTTTGCTGCTTTTTTGCGCCATTTTATCAGCTATTATGCACCATTTTTGCTGCCTCTTCCTTTAACCACCATTTATTGAGCCTTCGAAGTTCTAGAAAAAAAAAATGGAAGGGTCGATAAAGAGGCTCTTTTTGCAGCCTTTTTGCTGCCTTTCTGCGGCCTTTCTGCGGCCTTTTTTGAGCCTCTCCCTTTTAGCGGCCTTTCTCCATCATTCCGACTGTGCCTTAGTTGTTAGAATATTTCTTCTCAAGAGTGCGTCAAAACTTTAAAAAAATATTTTATTACAGACACGTGTAATTCGTTCAAGATCCATGACAAATAACGTGAGATGTGTGAAAAAATCAAGGATGCCGGTTTGAGATCAACTTCTCTTTCCAAAATGCTCAACAATGTCTTAGTAATCATTTTTGACGTGTTCTTTTTGCGTTGGTAACCATTCTCAGTCTTGGTTGGGTTTTTTGAAGAAGTGCTCCCAGGCAACAAAGAGAATCGTGCAGAGAAGTCCGCCAATCTGAAACTATTTTCCGTCGATTTCTCGATGATTCACACACCAAAATTATGAAAATGCCTCCGATGGACTCCCCATCGTCGGATTCTTTCCTTTTCGGAGCAGGGCAGACTGTGCTCTTATCCTGAAATTTTCATTTAATCTCGCTTTTCTCCGTTGTTTTTCTCACTTTCCACCATTTCTCCTTGAGTTCAGTCAACTCGGTCTTTTCCTGAAGTCGTAAAATAGCTGTAGAAATGAGGTCGCGATAGGGCGAGCCCTTGGGAAGCCCGATTCCATAGCCCTTCTGGTCGAGGAGTCCGCCAATTTGCATCAGTTCGCAGTCTCTTTCCACTGCGTATTCTAGCATCGACGACTCCATCAGATAGGCGTAGTCCGAACTCTTAATTCCATCCTTTATGTCTTCTGTTTTACCTCAGAACCTTGACGCGAGCGATTCCTTCTTTGGAAGACTGGACGAAAAGTCCAGGCTGACTAGACATCAGGTTCCACATTCGTTCATAGGTGTCTATTTTGGATTCCTGAATTGGAAAAGTGCTTCTCAGCTTTGAATATGCGCTACGTTGAAAAAAGACATTGTGGACCCACGTCCCAGGGTTCCGTATTTGATCTTGGTCTGTGCTGATAAGTCGTCGGCGTTTTCCACGGGCGTTGCCTGAAACCTGACTGCAGGTCACATATCGGCAAGTTTTCGCTCCCAACCATTCTTTGAGTCGTGAGAAAAGCAGCAAGATTGGCTGTGTACGAAGACAGGAGGATGAGAGTGAAGAACCACCAAACGGCGGTGAGGACTCGCGTGGAGGCCGTCCGCGGGCATATCTCGCTGCCTTGCTGCATCAGAGAGCAAACCGTGAACCAGAAAGAGTTCCGCAGCGAAAACTGGTTTTCGACTCTGTGAAACTCTCCGCTTGTCGTGTCTAGGACGTTCGATTCGAATGGCGACATCCTGAAATTATTTCGTTTTTTGATATTCGACGGGCTTCACTTGGCAATCAACCAGAGGGCCAACGACGTCGTCACGTAGGAGGCGAAGGTGGCCAGCCACACTTGCCAGTCTATCGGGTCCAGGAACTTGAACTTGTCCGACTCAGCGGCACGCGGCTTCTGAGGTAGCTTTTGATACTAGTTTTTTTTTTAGCTCATCCCAATAAAAGGGCTTTTTGGCGTCTTTGAGTCGATGGTTTGTCGAAAATTCAAAAAAGCGAAGAAAAGAACTGGATTGAAACCGTACGGGAGGAAGTAAAGAAAATCAGAAAAAGTGTCGAATCCGCTCAAGGACTTTAGAGAGGTCCCTGGAGCGGTTAGAGGGAAAAACAGCCTCTATAGGGGTCGAAGAAGTTGTCCCTATAGGGGTAAAATCAAGTTTGTCCATATAAGGGTGTTTCAATTTCATTCAAAAAGTTCATTTATTTAGTTTTTCGCATGGAAATGCTTTTTCCAATAGAATTCATAAAAATAAGCAACAGGAGCAGTTTTGCAAGCCTTAGTGGCCCCTAGAGATGACCCTCCAAGGGCCCCTTAGGCTGCCCCTATAGGGACGACTCTGCAGATCCTGAGTGAGCTCGCTTGAGAAAAAAAAAATTTAAACTTGAGCAAAAACCATTTTTTGAGAATTCAAAAGTTAAAATTGAGAACCTTGAACAGAATGGAGATACCGAGATGCATGTAGGGCACGCTAAAGTCAATAACTTCGCTGCGACTGTAGCTGATGGTGAGAGAAGCGACGGCCAGGTCGGCGTCCTGAAGCGATGGATTCTCATCCCTAAGGAGACCACTCACTCCGCGCTGCAACTCGCCCACCATCCCGTTCCACTTTCCGTTGGCTTCCTTTGACCCGTAGGCGTTGTCGTGCACTTTGTGGAGAGTGTAGTTGAACTTGAGAGAGTTGGCGATTTTCTGGGAGAAAATTTGCGCCAAGGAGATATTTTGATAGGTCGGTAACGCGAAACGGACGTGCTCCGGACCTTTCTGGGCACTTCTAGTGAACTCTTTAACAGCGTCAGCGATCTCAAGTAATCCCTAGAACTGCCCAGAAACGTCCGGAGCCATTCCACGTCACCAATGTCCGATAGAATACACTGCGACCCATAATTATGGACCCACCCTAATTTCTCCGATTTTAAGAAAGATTGAAAAACTTTCAGCCACCAAACTTTTTTTGTGATAAACCTTGTTGATAAGGAACATAATCATAATATAATTATAATTCTGGGTCGGTCAAAAAAATCAGATTTTCTCGTATCTTGAAAAAAACTTTTTCAACTGGGTGATTGAAAATTATGATATGATTATGTTCCTTATCAACAAGGTTTATCACAAAAAAAGTTTGGTGGCTCAAAGTTTTTCAATCTTTCTTAAAATCGGAGAAATTAGGGTGGGTCTATAATTATGGGTCGCAGTGTATCAGGAATTCAACAAACATTTTAGAATGGTTTTAAAAGCAAAAAAGGAAAAATACCTGGAGAAGATCGATGCAGTAGCCCTGATACTCGCCGTCGGCGGTCAACATGACAAAAGGCGCCTCCTGAGCAATATTCTAACCAGAAAATATATCCCAGAACTGACAAGGTACACAGTCACGTGCAGGTGCTTCCCTTCGAGAGTCTCCTTCTGCGAAGAGTTGGCGACGGCCACCACTTCTGCAGACAGAATCTGAAACCTTTTTTCGATAGATACACGAGAAACTCTCTCAGAAATACTCTTTTAAGATGACTGTTCCATTCGGCGTACTTGCTAAGGACGCCGTGTTTGCGACGATAAACGTGCACGGAGAAGTTGCTTCGGAGCCCGTTCGGCAACCACGTCACGTCCCCGGTAACTCCCCCTTTGGTCGCCTGAAAAAAGTCGTTCCATAAGTTGACGCGGGTATAGAGGAACCCTCAAAAGCTCTCGTTTGATGTCAGTTCCTTGGGGCCAGACTGAACCGCACTGTGGAGTGGTTGATGATGGAGAGTGCTCCAGCGCTCGGACGACCGCAGAGAGAGTGGAGATCCAAACGGCTGTTTTCGTCTGGAATGAGAAGCAGTTATAGAATATATAGTCAATACATCCCGACTTGGAAGGCGGAGGAGTATGCGGGACTCGTAGCGTGCGCGTACGCGGTTCTTGGCACGAGTTCATTTCAAGCGACTATTTTTGCGCTCGTTTATCGCTTTTTAAATCATTTATGTGCAAATATGTGCAATAAAAATTACTAAGTACACAGCTTTTTATTTGCGCATCACCTCTATTTCTTCCGTAAAGTGTAGTGTGTAGTGTGCATGCACTGCAGCGCTCTCGCACACTCCACGTTCAAAGTAATTTTCGCAAAATTCAGTTACACATTTTTCAAATTCATTTTTGCTTTTTTCCTTTTTGCAATGAGATAAATAGTAGAATAGATACAAAAAAAGCGATCCAAATAGTCAGTGGCGCTTGAATTGAACTCGTGCCAAGAACCGCTTGGCAAAGATGGCGCACGGTGCATTCTGCTTTTTTGCACTCTGGTGCGAAACTGGAGTCTGCGCCGTGCAGTTTTGGTGCTTTTTTGGTGTCGCACTGGTGCAGCACGCTAAAAGCACTGATTTGACACCTTTGCACCAAAAAGTCAACAAAATCGCACGGTGCAGACCCCAATTACGCACCAGAGTGCAAAAAAGCAGAATGCACCGTGTGGCATCCGTGCTGAGCGTACGCGCACGCTACGCGTCCAGCCTTTCAAGTCGGCAAAAATGACTATATTGTTAAAAATTTGCTATCTTCGAAGTAAAAATAGTAGAAAAAGACCATTTTATATCAAAATTTTGTTTTTTAGAAAGAAGGAAATTTTTTTTAAACCTAAATTACAACGAAAAACAGAAGGTCGGTGTAAATCAGACTCCCATATCCTGCCTAGTAAACGCAATTTTCTGGCAATATACTCTTTGGGAGTTGTCATCTACACTCACATTGATGCCTCGATGAGGGAGTCTGATGTGAGATTGCAATTTGATGCGATTTCGAAGCGCGACGACTTCTGCCGCCTCGACATCGTGCATGGCGAAGGTGGTGATGTTGCACTGCTCGATGCTGGAATAATCTTCGAGGTTGGATGTGGCCATGTCCTGTGTTGAGTGTTTCTTTTTTGTATCACAGCAACATCCCGACCATGTCTATCACGACGTAGTTGTACAAAACGCCGCACATTGAGAAACTGGCAGCTTCGTCGATGAAACGCAACGCGGCCGACAGCGGAATGTTGAGTATGATTTTGCTTCTGTCTTAAATTTGAAAATAAAAATGAGTGTCTTTTTTTTTCAAAATTCAAGACACAATAAAAGAAAGTTTTTTTGTGTGAAGTTTCTAACTTACTTTCTACAAATTTACTCATACACTCTTGAAGCTTCAAACAAAGTTTCTTAATGGTTTTGAATTACAGGCATTTTTTTGATAATCAAATCACGGCGTTTTTCTACGACGCCCCACCATATTTTGCGTGAAGTGTAGTGTTTTGTGTGCATGCACTGCGGCGCTCCCGCACATTTCGTGTTCAAAATTCATTTCGCGAAATGCAAAATTATCTTTGAATTTCCGGAATTCAGTTATATTTTTCACTCTCTGGCGGCTATTTTGAACTTCGCGGAATCACTTTGAGCACGGCAACAGAAAACTAGCGTTATTCTGAAAATGAAATCGATTCGTCTCATGATTTTTTGAAAATGCGCTTTTAATATTCCCTGTTGTATACGCTTGCTTCCCATGACGTCACATGAAAACGGTGGAGCTCTTGACTCCGCAAAAACGCCGTGGTATGTCAAAGTTGGCTCGAACCGAGTTTGTTGCGAATGTGTTTGAGGACACTGCCGTAATCGTCGTTGCTATCAATGCGAACCACTTGCGTACTGAAGGCCGGTGGAAAATGTCCAGCCGTTATCATCTCCGCCATTTCAAGAAGCTCTAAAAGTATGCTCTGAAGGTCTCAAAGTTCAATCCCACCGTCTTCTTCTCGGAAAACGACGACGACCTCGCGCCAGCGCTCACTTTTGATAAAGGCGGCAGCCGCCAGTGAGCTGATTTGCGACGGAGGAAAGAAATGGAACTTGCGATGCAGAGCTCGAGGTGAGGACAGTCGCACGTAGGGCACATTCGACGCCTAAACATTCGGAACCTGAACATGGCTGGAGAAACCAACGTTGAGAAGGCTCTCGACGATGGCGGCGGCCGCAGTCTTCGAAGACGTTTCTTCCGGCAAAACTACCAAGGAAGCTCCTTGTTTCAGCGTCTCGCATACTATTTTCCGACAATTATCTTTGTTTCGAACGATATAGCCTGTGTACCGCGACTTGGAATTTCACCAAACGACACTCCGCTGTGCCGCTGCGCGCCTTTGCGAACCTCGGTCGCGCTTTTTATTCATTTTTTCTTTTGTTCAGGTACTCTACTTTCATGTGCTCCCACAGCAAAAACAATCAATTGAAAGCGTGACCTAGATTCGAAAGACGCTTCGCGAACGCACGCAGCGGAACAGCGGAATGTCGTTCCGTGAAATTCCAAGTCATGGCACACAGAATATACAAGGGAGGTCATTTTTCTTTGCGGTTGGGAATTGCGAATTGGCTAGAGCACTTATTGACGTACCAGAAGAAGGTTCTAGAAGTGTCAACTTGAATAACTCTCTAGTTTTCGAAAAATAGGCGCTCAAAGCATCAAAATGGCTTACTTTCTGGTTTTTAGTGTTTTCTTCGACTTCAAGGTGTCCTTTCTCGAGGAATTTGTGCAGGGTGAGACTTTCAGGATCCTCATCTGGTACCTCAATGAGGGTTCTGGCCATTTTTCAGAAAATTTACAAGCGCAAAGTAAAATTACCTCCCGTGTTAGGACTTCAAGTCGAGAATCACGAAAACGTTTCAGACACAATTCCGTCAGTCGATGGTCTGGTGTATATCGTTCCAAGTGATCAACGTGCTCCTCATACTTATTCTCCTGTCGATGGCTTTCGTCCCACCCGAAGAATTCCACGGAGTCAGCTTCTGACGCCACCACCCAATTAACCAATTAACACAGCGTTTGCTCTCCCTCTTTTTCTTTTCTCGTTCTTCGAATGTGGACACTTCCTTCAATCCTTTTATATTTCTTTCAAGTTATTACTGTACAATCTAATAAAATTGGCAAGTCAAATGTTTCTTCCAAATTGTTACGTAATAGAATTTTTTAGCTGTACCCACAAACCTATCAAAAGAAACGGAAAGGATTTTAAAATTATTCGCGCACGAAATTGAAGTGATCTCCTACGAAACTTCTCCCATATATCACGTCGAAAAAAGAGGTAATATATAGTCTGTGTGTCACGACTTGAAATTTCACCGAACGACATTCCGCTGTTCCGCTGCGTGCGTTCGCGAAGCGTCTTTCGAATCTAGGTCACGCTTTCAACTGATTGTTATTGCTGTGGGAGCACATGAAAGTAGAGTACCTTAATAAAAGAAAAAGAAGATTAAAAGCGCGAGCAAGGTTCGCAAAGGCGCGCAGCGGCACAGCGGAATGTCGTTCGGTGAAATTCCAAGTCGTGGCACACAGGCTATAAATGATGTAATAACCCACTTGGATGCTTTGTCTACGCTGAAGCTCTTGACTTGCCGTCAACCTGCTTTCGACGACCCTTGTTTTACTGGAAATCTGCAGAGGCTTCTCTTCGGCTCGATTTTCATCGACCGTCATCAGAAAGACTCCTTCTTTGACCTGGTACTTGTTGCAGGACTTGCGCATACCGCGCAGAAATCCGATCGCCAACGCCGCCACGCACATTATAAAAACTTCCATCAGGTAGATCGCTGAAGACAGTTCTGACTTTAGAAGAAAAAAGTACTCACAAATCCATGCCACACTTGGTGTCTTTGGCAGCTTGTCCGACACTATTCCAAGCATGAAAACCAGAGCCAGAATCGCTCCCAAAGCCAAGCCGGTCTGAGTTTATTGAATATTTGGAATAGACTTTCCGGATACAAACAATGTCGTTAGACTGGTCTTCTTCCATTGGGACGAGAGCGCCAGTGATTGTGATGACGGCGATGAAGAAAGTGGGGAAGACGACCATCACCAAGTAGTAGGTCGGGTAACGCCGTAAGTGAGCCACGAACATGACCTACGAAATGAAAAAGCGATATAATGTCTGTATAGTCTGTGTGCCACGACTTGAAATTTCACGGAACGACATTCCGCTGTGGCGCCTTTGCGAACCTTGGTCGCGTTTTCAATATTTTTTCTTTTATTAAGGTACTCTACTTTCATGTGCTCCCACAGCTATAACAATCAATTGAAAGCGTGACCTAGATTCGAAAGACTATTCGCGAACGCACGCAGAGGAACAGCGGAATTTCGTTCGGTGAAATTTCAAGTCATGGCACACAGACTATATCAGACAAAAAAGCCTCCGGTATTTGTCCAGCTTTTCGAAACATGAGCACCAACCGATTCGTAGTTATTATTGTCGATGGAGTACTTCTTGATGTGGGTGGTGATGTTGATCAACGCAAACTCGCTGTTCCCCTGAAGCCAAGAAGTCTGAGAAGAAATAAACAGAACAGACTGACCGCCATGATGGCGCTTCTGAGAGGGTCATGGACCGGCGTGAGCTGCATCACCTCGATCGGCTCTACCGGAGAAGAAAAGGCGATGGCGCAGAATTGCGTGTCGAAAGGGAATCGCTTCACGTCGACTTCGCAGACGATGCTCGTGTACTGGGTTCGTCGCAGGACTACGTCTCCAGAAGGCGACACCTGCAAAATTTTTCTTTCTCAGAGATATGATTCAAACTATTGATTTGATGGGTACGTCTCATTTCATGGATTCAAATGTTCGTTTTTTTTTTTCAAATTTCATCCGTATTATTTGCAAAACAACTACTCGGGAAACGTCGGAATGATGGGTAATGGCCGCTGAAAGGCTCAAGAAAGGCCGCAAAAGGGCAGCAAAAAGGGTCCCTTCATCCAGCCTTCCATTTTTTCTAAGGTTTTGAAGGCTCAAAAAATGCTGAAAAAGGGACAGGCAGCAAAAATGGTGCATATGGGCTGAAAAAATGGCCCGAAAAGGCAACAAAAAGGGAACATTTTTATGAAGCCTTTTTCAACCTTCCTGAGTTTGTCTAGTTTTGATTAGTGTCACAACACCAGAAATTCAAGGACAACTAAATTTCAGTGCATTTTCAAACTCGTTCCCATTCCACGTCGAGCGTCGGAAGTGGAGCTAATTCAAGTTTTAAAAGTTGAAGGAATCCAACTAACAATGACATCGATGTTCTCGTCGTTGTTTCCGTAGGCTTCTCTCTGTTCGATCGAGTTGTAGACGAAAAACCTCGGCTTCCACACCTTAATTGGATATATAGGTGTTGTGAGTGAGCACCCTGACAGGTTGACTTACAAAATTTTGGAAAAAAAACTTTTTTTACAATTTTAAACAGAGTTGATGCGATCTCAAGCTCGAAAGAGCCATACTTTGGAACTCCAGAGTGGTCCCTATAGGGGCAACCTTAGGAACCGATAGAGGGCCCCCTCTAGGGGCCACTAACTTGGAAAAGTGGTCCCTATAGGGGACATGCTAGCCGATAGTTGTTATGAGCTTTGAGCGAAGAAGCATTTCCATGGGAAAAATTCAATAAATAAGCGTTTTTTGAATGAAATTGAGAGACCCCTTTAGGGTCCACTTGTGTTTGTGGAGGAGGTTGGGGCTAAGGGGTTAGAGCCCATATTAAACCACCTAAATTTTAACCCTATAGGGGCCACTTTTTTGACCCTTATAGGGATTTTTTCCCTCTAACCCCTGTAGGGACCACTCTAAAATTCCTAAGAATGTTGATTTGGGCTTTAATAATAATTCTTTTTCCTTTTTTTCAGTTGATAGCTCCTCATATAACCAAAAAAAAAAACCAGGCTGGCCGGAATGTAGACGACAGCTCCACTAGTGGAGTTGTATCTCAGCCGCTCATCCCGCCACTTCTGCAATCTTTTTGTTTTGTTTATCACTGGTGGCGGCAAAAATATCACCATTGTGTAAGAGTAGAGCCAGTCGGCCTGTCGTTCGTTTTCCTTCTGCAAACACGCTATCGGAAAAGTTCATCAGTGTAGTGTGAGGCTACGAAGAAAGTCCTGATAGGTTTTTTCGAACTAGTAATGTAAAACAATGGTGATTTTGAAAGTGCAAAGTCATCATGTAGACATTCAGAAAGTGATTAAGCAAACTTGAAGAAAATGTCAAGTCGCAAATTGAAATGACCTTGGGGGTCAGTGAATTTTTAAAAAAATTAAAAAGTCCAGTGCTTTCTGAGCAGCTGTTTTTTTGAGATTATAGCTCTCGGATAGGTTGATAAACACTGGATAACTCTAGAAAAACATTGCACTTCGATCAGAAAGCTATTTATAGTCTGTGTGAAACGACTTAAAATTTCACGGAACGACATTCCGCTGTTCCGCTGCGTGCGTTCGCGAAGCGTCTTTCGAATCTAGGTCACGCTTTCAAGTGATTGTTATTGCTGTGGGAGCCCATGAAAGTAGAGTACCTTGATAAAAGAAAAAAAATGGCCGAGGTTCGCAAAGGCGCGCAGCGGAACAGCGGAATGTCGTTCGGTGAAATTTACAGACTATAACCTTTTTTGAGAAAAATTTAATTTCTTTTAAGAAAAATAACTCACCACAGCTAGAAGGACAAGGAAAGGGACGGAAATGGTGACATCGATTTTTTGGATGGTTTCAGTGAAGGGACCAACGCTTCTGTCATAGTTCTCGGGAAGAATCTGCAAGGAGCTGCGGACCAGATGCGTAGACGTTACGAGGACCGCGTAGAAGAGCATGAGTCCCTTTGGAAGAAAGGCCGCTCGCGTCGAATGGACTCGGCGGCCGAGTGGTTGAGGAGTGTTACCGCACCCAACATGTCGTTGGGATCAAGACCACGCCCCTCAAACTGCTGCTCCTATTCATAACTTCCTTTCCGTTCTGATTTCATATCGATTCCGGCAAAATTCTGAGAAAATATTAAGCCTCAATAGATTTTTCAAGTACTCAAAGCTTCATTATTACAACTAACTGCAAAACTACTCAAAGTTTGCCAGAAAACAAAAAATTTTCAAGCTTTTTAAGGTTTTGGAAGGGACTCTCCGCTTTTAGAGAGTATTAAAGGGGATATTTGCTCTGAGTGCATGATAACTTTTTGGTTTTGGGAAATATTTCTCGGAAGATATATGTTATTCATGGCAAACACACGCTCACGAAACGACTCCTGAACAGCTTTTCGTTAGATTTTTTCTCAGGGTTGCGATATTTCTTCTCGAGTTGTTTCCATTTACACTAATTAAATTTCGATTCCTTTTTCAGAAAAAAAAAGCAAACTGAGAAAAACTCAAAATTGGTTTCAGAAAAAATAACTAAAAGCTCACCAAATTGAAAATATTTTTTCGGAAAACACGGCGACACGAAATCGACGCCACAACGGCGGGAAATAAAATGTGTTGTACGCAGTGCACGCGATGCATGAAAAGCTACGCGCAAAGAGCGAGATTGAACGTTTATAGTGAATAAAACCAATTTTCTGGCTGGTATAGTCTGTTCAGATTTTGAATGTCAAGTCGTCGCTCAAGCTCCGCCCCTAATGGCGCGATAAACCAATCAGAGAGCGAGCCATCCACAGAGTGTTTTTGAATGACGTCATTGCACTTGACAATAAAAATCTGAACAGACTATAATCGTCCAAGGATCGCTGGAAAAATTTTCTACAATATTATTATTCTAAGAAAAAAATCCCATCTAGAACTAAAATGAAAAATAAATAACTCCTTTTTAGAGATAATATTCTATTTCAACCTCCAAAGTTTTTTTCTGACCTCGAAAAGTTTCACGTTTTTCACGGCGTTTTTTTTTTCACCACGCCATTATTATTTCTGTAAAGCGTAGTGTGTCGTGTGCATGCACTGTGACGCTCTCTATGCCGTCTTCAAAGTAATTTTCGCGAAATTCAAAAATCATTTTTTTGAATTTTTCAAAATTCAGTTATATTTTTCAATTTCTGTCGGCTTTTTTGAATTTCGCGGAATCAAATTGAATATGACATATGCTTTAAAAAAAATGTAACAGAAAGTTTTTTTTTCAAATGAGGGATCGATTCGTCTCAAGACCCATTGAACATGCGCCTTTAATATTCTCTGTTTTTTACGCTTCTTTCCCATGACGTCACATGGGAACGGCAGAGCTTGACTCCACCCGCTTCATTTTTGATTTTGCATTTTATTCCGAAAGCTTTTTTAGATTGTTTCTGAGCCAGTACGAGCCGAACCACCTTCCGTCTTGCAATCGAAATTGCGCTTGTAATGAAGTTTTGCGCAGAAGTCCATTAGAAAAAAAGGTTATATTAAAAATTAATCACATTTCCAAACGTTTATAACGGCGCAAAGTGTTTCTTAGGAGATTTGGCGATATCAGATATGTGGAAGAAAAATCTCAAAATAAAAAGCTTTCTTTGGAAAGAAGTTAAGGTAAGGCCACTCTTTTCAGTTTGGCCTAATTCCTCTAATTTGAATAGGCAGCAGACAAAAGGCATTCTTTTCCTGCGAGACAAAAAAAGAAAGAAATAATATTTATTTTCAAGAATGGGGTATTGAGCAACTAAGTCTAGATTTTGATCCAAAAAGGTGACTTAATGCCGGATTTTGGATCCTGGGAACTGTTGATAGGAGTTGGGAGCAGGAGCAAGAACCGCTGGGGGAGGTCCAGGCTGGTAGGACGGCGGCGGAGGAGGAGGTCCATTGTATGCAGGAGCTGGAGCTGGAGCGAGGATGGCTGGAGGCGGCGGTGGTGGTCCGGCGGCGTAGGCTGGAGCTGGAGCCGGAGCCAAGAAAGCTGGAGGCGGCGGTGGCGGTGGTGGTGGGGCGAAGACTGCTGGCGGTGGCGCTGCGTACGACGGCGGCGGTGGTGGTGGAGGAAGGAAAGCTGGCGGTGGAGCCACTGCGTAGCCTGCGGGAGCTGCGTTGAACACTGGGGGAGGAGGACTGAAAATTTCATCAACTTTGAAAGATGCCATGAAATTTCTGATCGAAAGAGCGCTCTATATACCAACCTTAAGAATTCCAAAGGGGTCCCTATAGGGGAATCTTAGGGGCCCTTGTAGGGTCCTCTCTAGGGACCACTTTACCAACCCCTATGAGGGATATCAAAGTTTGCAGAAGTGATCCCTATAGGGGACATGCTAGTCGAGAAGCTTATTCATACGAAAAGCTAGAAAAGTTACCTTTTTTTAAATAAAATTGAACGACCCTTATAGGGACCACTTAAGCTTTTTAGGCTAAGAGGTCAGACTCTAAACCCCTATAGGGACCACTCTAAAATTCCTGAGACTGTTGACTTTCTAATGCCCGTCTTTCCTTCAGTTTTGCAATTTTATTTATCAATTTCCAAAATTTTTCAATTTTTTCACATAATAAGCTAATCGTAGAAGGCCTACTTTCAAAATTATGGTCAAAAGTTTTCGAATTTTGAGGAAAGACTTTTTGTTTTTTGATAAAACTGGGCAAAAATATTTTTCCGAGCAAAGAATCGTATCAAAAATCATTGTGAAAGCCAAAAACCCACCAAGGATTATAGCAAGATGGAGCAGCAGCACTGCAACAGGAGCTACCGCCGAAACAACTGTAAACGGCGGATGTTGAGACGGAGAGGACAAGAATTGCCACACGAAGACTCTGGAAAAGAATGTCTATTTTTTAGAAGGCCGTTAGAGCCAGTTACCATTGAAGAAGCTGAAGACGTCGGTCGGATGCTTTCGTCGAGGCTTCGTCAGCTTTTATAGCGTCGTTGTGGGCGCATCGGCGAGTATGATATACGCGGTGGATCCGCCTCGCCGGCGACTACTGTCGGCCCGAGAAAAAAAAAACCGTCGGAGAACATTGGAATAGCGACACTTTGGCACGGACTTATGACCGTGGAACCGTTTCATCCACTTTTTTTCGTTTCTTCGGCTTTCGTCAAAGTAATTCGTAACTTTTTTTTGATATTGTCAAGAAGCGTTTTTCATGGTTTCATAGGCAAAATTTGAAAAGGTGGAAAAAAGGTCCATAGAAAAGTTTCTTTTAGGGTGAGAAAGTCACCTTTTTGCTGCCTTTTTGCGCCATTTCAACGGCTATTATGAAACATTTTTGCTGCTTCTCCCTTTTTCCTTCATTTCTTGAGCCTTTGAAATCTCAGAAAAAATGGTAGGCTCAATAAATGGACTCATTTTGCGGCCTTTTTGCTGCCTTTCTATGGCCTCTCTTGAGCCATCCACCATTCCGACTTTGCCCGAGTTGATTTAGATGAAGATCAAAAGCCTTATGGTGGGAATTGAAATCTATTCACAGTTTTTTCCCGATTAAAAATTTCAAGACCTGTTTGGGACTCTATGGGGGCGTGTCTTGTCTGCGCTCTCCATGAGCCAGGCGCTATCTCGTGCATTTTCGTGTCAGGACTCTTTTTTCGATGGTGAGTCAGCTATAAAACCGATTTTTTAAGAACAAGGATTTGAGCAAATTCAAAGCCTTCTTCATGCAGTTTCCGCTCTTTTTTCTCATTATACTTTTTTGTGTCTTCAAATCTTAATAGCTTAGCAACTAGCCGAAGTCATAACGTTCCGCTCATCCGAACCCCTCGTTCGGTGATCTCCGTGTCGCATGAAATAGTTCAATTACGGATCAGCGTTCCCTTATCTCGGAACGCAAGCTAATGAGAACGACATTCTTGTGAGGATCTTCAGTTCTCAGTTGCTCAAATGCCATGGTGGCGCCGGTTTGAGAACGGTCCGACGTGCATAAATTGTCGCAGCGGGTGTTCTCGTATGCAACATTTGCATGCAAAGAAGCTTCTCCAGAAGCCAATTTTCTCAAGTTTCTTTCGTCGTAGCCTGAAGCTTTATTTCAAACGGAAAACACCGTGAAGTTTTGAGTATCTTGCTCCAAACAATCATCTAATATGTATGTGAAAATCATAGTTGTTTTTTTATTCATTTCATCGTATCCCAGGTGTTTTTATGTATGCCTGGCCTGAGCCTTTAATGGTGGTCCCCAGGCGAATCCAATAGTTTTTCAATTAGCTCATCAGGGATTTAATTATTTCATCGAGTTGCCATTCTCCAAATAAGCCTTTTAATCATTGAGCGAATAAAAATGGTTTTTACACCGAAAAGAAAAAAAAGGTCTGTCACAAACGAGTCACTTGGAAGGCATTGCTCAACCGCGCGTAATATCTGACGTTAGAACGTGAAAAGGGCAAAAAGCTTCGCGACGTCTTCAAGCCAAGTAACGACGCATATTACGGGTAGTTTTACACATCCAATTTTTTTTCGAAAAATGAAAACTTTTGGGAAAGACGAAAATTTTTCAATCAAAGTTGTAAAAGAAAGCTTTTTGATTATTTCAATCGCAAAATAGAACACTCAGGCAAGCTCGGAATGGTGGATAATGGCCGCTAAAAAAGAGAGGTTCAAAAAGGGCAACAAAAAGGTCGCAGAATGGCCGCAAAGAGGCAGCAAAAGGTAGCAAAGAGAGTCTATCGAATGTTCCATTTTTTTTCTGGGATTTCAAAGGCTCAAAAAATGGTCAAAAAAGAGAGAGGCAACAAAAATGGTACATAAGAGCTGATAAATTGGCGCAAAAAGGCAGCAAAAAAGGAGCCTCTTTCGCCCTAGAAGAAAAATTTCTACATTTCTATTTTCGAACCTTCCGCCCCTGCCTGTTTTCCGTATGAAAAGAAAAGAAGAGCAATTTTTTAGAAATATACAGTCAATTTTCTCCGAATCAAAAGGCGATATGAGCATATTAAAAACTTGTTTTTCATTAATGAAGTTTTACGGTTGTGACGCGCCATTCGACGGAAAAATTCACGTTTGAAAGCTATCGTAATGAAATTATGTAAAAAAAAGTTTTTATACTGTCCAACATGCATGTTAAAAGTTAACTATGAAAAAATGATCAAAAATCTACGGAAACATGAAAAAAAAAACAAAAAAAAATTTTCCACCAAGAGCCGCGTACGAAAACACTCCTCGGTTCATTTAAATTTGCGAAAAATTGAATTTAAAATTTTATATGAAGATTCATGGCACACAAGAACCATCGGCGCCGATTGGATAGAGTCGATCATAAGGGTAGCGGCAGCACAACTTTGTTCTGTCGTATTGCTGAATTATAAAAATTATTAATCTCTCAAAAAGTGAGTCTACAACATTATAAGTTGTTCGCAGAGAAAAATTAAAACATCCTTCATCAAAATTTCAAAAATACCCACTGATCTACTCTCAAAATCTATCAAAATTATATCCTAGATGGGACCCTTCAAAGATTGCCCCTATAGGGGCCCCTCTGGAGTTCCTAAGACAAAAGTTAAAGTGTAGACGTAACAGACCGTGAAAAAAGTAGTCAGTGATATCTGCAGACCCTTTTTATTGAATATATAGTTTTCAACCTGGGTGACGAGGACGTTGTTGATCCTCAAGTAACAACAAGAGGTGCTGGAAGATCGGGAGACGGCGCCATTGCAGCAAAAGTGCGTCTCCGCCTTGTAGGGAACCTGGCTGTCGTCGTTGAGCGTGCAGCAGGAGTCGAACTGTGACCTCTCGAAAACCTGAAACCATCCACTTTCGGGCTCCTCGACCTCAGTCGTACCTGCTCGCCACAGCAAATTTGTCGATGGCCGCCGTCGTAGACTGTGGCGCCGCAGCAGACGTCGTTGGCCGTGCTCATCCTGTTTTTCCGAGTATTTGAAGAAAAAGGTTAGAAAAACCTCGTGAGGGTCTGGTTGCAACAGCGATGGGTCGAGTCCAACTTGGAGTACACGGATTTGCCGCAGCAGTCGCCGTTGATCATGTTATGAACCTGGACAAGACTCTCATCAGCTTTATTCCTAGGCTCAAACTGACGACTCCCTCGCAGCACGTTTGATCATACCGCAAAACTTCTCGTCCGCAACATAACTCTGCGTAAGAACCGCCTCAAGAACATTTTTCCAAGAGCAATTCCTGCTAAATACCTTTATTCCGTTGCCTCACGACTCCTGAACAGCAAAGATTCGAAAAACTGTTAAAAGGTGTCGTGTCGCAGCAGGCGATTCCGAAAAGATCCTCGGCTCTCTCGAATCCGACGCAGTTCTGAATCGAGGTAGGAGTTGGCTTCTCCGTTGAGTTTGTGCAGCATGCGCGAATTTCTGAACTTTTTCAAAATTACTCGAATCGAAAAACCACTTGGCCCAACTTTGCCCCGAAAGGACGTCCAGAGGGGTCTCTGTAGGGGTTGGAAGGAAAATAACCCCTGAAGGGACCGAAAAAGTGGTTTCTATAGGGGTTTTTCGAACCCAGAGCCCCTAATGCTCAAGTGGCCTCTATAGGGGTTTAGAGTTCGACGCCTGAACCCCTAAAGCTCAAGTAGACCCTATAGAGCCTCTCGATTTCATTTAAAAAAACCTGTTTTTCAGTTTTTCTCATGGAAATGCTTCTTCGCGAAAATTTTTAGTGGCCACTGTAGAGGCTCACCAAGGACTACTTGGAGAGGACACGAAACCGACCTCTGCAGTGGCCACTATTTTCCGTTCTAGTGGCCACTATCACTAAGAATAACTGACGAGATAAACGCGAGGTCGGTGGCGGTACATTGACGAGCTCGCAAACATCTCGCTTTTTTCTAGGCGCGATCTCGCATTTCTTTCTGCGCGACCTCGCATTTTTCTTGGCGCCATCTCGCATTTATCTCGCATTTCGGAAATTTTCAAATTGCGAGAGAAATGCGAGCTCGCGCCTAGAAAAATGCGAGCTCGCGCCCAGAAAAATGCGAGACCGGCGCGAGAAAAAAAGCGAGATGTTTGCGAGCTCGTCAATGTACCGCCAGTGTCTCGCGTTTATCTCGGCAGTTATTCTTAGTGATAGAGGATCTCTATTTAATGGCCACTTCAGTAGTTTTTTCATCCAGTGTTCCTTCCAGTCACTCTGATAATTTTAAAACAAACATATTGGACCAGTTATGTTGATCCATTCACCCCTTAAGTGGCCACTAAAATTTTTAGTGACCTAGTAGTAGCACTTAGAACTTTATAGTGGCCACTAACTGTTCACCCCTTAAGTGGCCACTAATTTGACTGCTATGGTGGTCACTAAAACTTCAAAACCCTACAATGGCCACTAAAAATTTTCCCAGAAGTTTGGATCTTGTTTTCTCAAAAAAGAAGAAATTTCGCAGCTTCATCCTTCACCTTCATCTCGTACATAAAATAAAGTTTTTTGGGAATTTTCAAAAAATTCTGACGTTCCTATTAGAGTGATTACCCTTCTCAAAAACATTCGAGACCTGTTTTCATAAAGTATGACCCTTCAAAATGTCAAATGACTCATTTTGATAAACCACAGTGAAGAAATTTACCTAATCGATTGGCGAGCACAAGCGAGTCAAAAAAGGAGATGAGTAAAACGAAGGACAGGAACATTTTGTAGTGATTCAGAGGAACGAAGGCGGTCAAAGTGTTTGCACTGTTGCAGGTGAGGGAACCTCGGGGGGTGAAAAAGGCCTTTATTTTGAGATTCATTCGGATTTCTGTTTGTGGAGCCGGTAGATGGCCGCCGTGACGTCGCTGCACACGTTGTCGCCGGCGTTGGCTGCGATCAAGTTCAGAATGGTCGCGAGTTCTGGGTTCAGCGACAGGAATCGTTGGTACGCCAACTGCAACAGAACATATCCTAGGATGCGGGGCCGAAAAGATCACAATATCTTTTCGAATTTTCTCCCAAAATTACTCATTTCACAAGTTTCCCTTACCCCCAGAAAAAACTTTTTTTTCCAAAAATCCGTCCTGTCACGATAAAAAAGGAGATACTGACTGCTTGGTGGAGAGTCCCAAGTTAGCCGAGAATGAGCTATGAATAAAAGCTTCAAGCTTCAGAAAATGTTTTGATTATAGCCAATTCACGGCTAACTCGCTCAGCAACTCCAGAGTGGTCTCTTTAGGGGCAACCTTAGAAGCCCTTGGAGGGTCCCTCTAGAGATCATTCTACCAACACCTCTAGGGGCCACTAAAGCTTTCAAAGGTCCCTGTAGGAGACAATTTTTATGAACTCTACGTGACAAACTAAATAAATAATCTTCCTTGAATAAAATTGAAAGACCCCTATAGGGACCACTCAAGCTTTAGGAGATGAGGGGTCTGACCCTAAACCCCTATAGGGGCTGTTTCTCCCCTTAACCACTATAGAGACCACTCTGAAATTCCTGTGGGACGCTAAAGATGCGCTGCCTGTCTGCGCTCTACGTCAACCAGACACTATCTCCTTTTTTTTATCGTGTCAGGACCGATTTTTCGATTTTCACACTGATTTCAGCTTGAAGAAAAAATGTTGAGAGCCTACTCTGTCGTCGACTGGAGAGTGTGTTTCATAGAGAGGCGTCTTTTCGTCGTTGATCTGAAGATGCCCAGTTTTTCTTTTCATCTTTCTTTCCGTTCACCACAAGAGCTGGCGTCTGCAGGAAGGTGTCTCCATGTTCGCCCGCGGCTTTGAGCATTCGGCTGGCGAATTCGCGACGTTCGCGCGACGAGTACATGGATTGCATCCACAGGAAAGTGTTGACCACCGTAGCCTGCAATATCATGAGAAGATATATCCAAAGACATCCCAGAGGGCTCACAACAAGAAGGGCGAGGAGCCAGTAGAAAAGGAGCAAGAAGATTTTCTCGTTCACCATATTCATCGCCAAAACGCACTGCACACTGTACTTCTGCACGTTCCCTTTGGTTCGGATCTGAAGCGTGAAAAATCGATAAGAACTCTTCAAAGAATACTCACATCAAAGTCGCACATTGTCTGGCGCGGGAAGATCCCTGTGGATGCCCAGTCGGAGTTGAATCCGATCCGAAGTCCTGAGAAACCTCAAATTATTTGTCGAAGGAAAGGGTTCTCACGGAAAAAGTCGTTCCAGCTGAAGCCGAGAAACAGGTGAAGCAACATTATTTGAAAGATAATATTCAAAATGAAGAGAATTTTGGTCGCGAGGTACATCAGTGAAACCCAACTTTTCCTTAAACATGATTGGTTCAACCTTAGAGGCATAGGGGCAGTAAAAAACATTGTTTCCGTTAAAATCAGTACTTTTTAGAGCTTTTCATTGCGAATCGAACGGTTAACTTGGAAACGTACAGAAGCTCCTAGTTTTGAAGAAAAAATAATTCAAAATCGGAGAGAAGAAAGTTTGAGTTGCCGCGAAAAGGGCGCTTTGCAGTAAAGTTGCTCTATAGACAACGGGCTTCGCCATCTTCCGGAATTACGCTTATGCCGTGTTCAAAGTGATTCCGCGAAATTCAAAATAGCCGTCAGAGAAAGAGAAAGATAACTGAATTTTGGAGGGTCAGAGACCATTTCGCATTTTGCGGAAATTACTTTGAACACGGCATTATTTCTTCGTTTCTTTCAATTGTCAATTTTTTCTGTTGTCACCAAAGTTCTTTTCGTCACTAAAGCTTTCTTTTCACGTATAATTTGCAAACTTCGATCGCAAAAATGCTTTTCTAGTGAAAAATGATGATTTTACACAGGTTTCGATGGTTTTTTGTTTTCTTGATCAATTTTTCAATTTTTCAGAGTGGAAACCCTTGATTTAAAGCAGATATCCGGTTTTTTATCACAAAATGCGAGTCTAATGAGACGTCCGCAACATCGCGTGCAGGGCTACTGTAAACAGTTGTCCGTACACCGATCCAAAGCTTTTTTCAAAATTTAAAGGCGGAAAATTAAATCGCGTTTTTCTTCTAAAGTTGTCACATCTGTAATTTTTTAAGTACACCTTTGGATTCGCAAAGAAAAACTATACAAGATACTGATTTCACCTGAAACCCCGTTTTTTACTGCCCCTAAGAAAAAAACCTTCTTCTCGATTCGAATAAAGCAATGTGCTTGGCGACTTTGGTAATACTGTCATTCCGGGTGGCGAGCACCTTTTCCAGCGGCAATGGCTTGTCCTTTTCGATTCCAGCAGCGCTGGTTATCACGGCACGTACTTGGAGTCCTTAAGTGGTCGCTTGAAAATCAAAGAGGTCCAGCCTCGAGCACCTGACCACCAGTTCACAGATCGCCAGAACAGGTGCGGAGCGTAAAACAAGAACGCTTGAAACACGAGTATGAATTGGACCCACTGAAATGCAAAGTAGAAGTTATAGGGAGAAAAAAGGTACTTGGTAGTATGGAAGCTCTTGTTCTTCGCGGATCGTCCCCTCGGGCATGTCTGGGTCTTCTATCGGCACGAAATAAGTATTTTCGATCAGACAATAGTCTCTGGCATATTCAGTCCAACCTCAAATTAATCTGTTGGATGGAGAAAAACAAAACTGGGCACCTATGATTTGAAAATAAATAAAAAGAAATGTTAGAGTTTAATCGACCACTTCCTAAGGCAAAGGCGGATAGGGTGGAAAAAGCTGCGTAGAAAGAGTCACAAATGTTCCTTTTTGCTGCTTTTTTCTTGAGCCTCTCCCTTTTAGCGGTCATTATGCACCATTCCAATTTTGATCTCCCAAACTCGAAAAAATGTTCAAAAATGAGAAATTTTTATAGTGAAACTGAAAGATTCAAAGAGTCTTGTAATAAAAAAATACCTTTGGTAAACTCTGCTGGAACCCAACAGGTGATAGGATTGCCACCAAAGTATACCTGCAATTATGAAAATTTATTTTCCAATCGTTTTTAATGTCCTTTCTACATGTTAAGAATTTTAGACTGATCCCTATAGGGGCGATGGTAGAAAAACAGTCCCATAGAAGGGCCGAAAAAATGTTCCCTTTAGGGGTAATATGAAGATGGTCCATATAGGGGTTTCAGGTCTAATTTTTGGCCCCTAAAGCTTTAGTGGTCCTTATAGGGGTCTTTTAATTTTATTTAAAAAATGAAACTTATTTCTTTAGTTTCTCGCATAGAGTTAATAAAAATTATTGTGTCCCCCTATAGGCGCCACTAATACACTCCTATAGCCGCCACTAACTAAAACCCCTACAGTGGCCACTTTTGCAAGCTTTAGTGACTCATATAGGGGTTGGTTGGTAAAGTGGTTCGATAAAGTTCGAGCCCCCCAAGACCCCAAAGGTTCTGAAGCCCCTAAGATTTTAAAAAATTTAGCCTGTGTACCACGACTTGGAATTTTACCAAACGACATTCCGCTGTGCCGCTGCGCGCCTTTGCAAACCTAGGTCGCGCTTTTATTTATTTGTTTTTCTTTTATTAAGGTACTCTAATTACATATTCTCCCACAGCAATAACAATAAATTGAAAGCCTGACCTAGATTCGAAAGACGCTTCGCGAACGCACGCAGCGGAACAGCGGAATGTCGTTCCGTAACATTTCAAATCGTGGCACACATACTATACTATTTTTGATTGAGTTAAAAAAACCCATTGCGAAGCGTCATTGTAACATTTTAAAATAAAAAAATGCTATTCTTGAATTTTTAGAAACCTTTTTTTTGGCGAAAATTGCAAAACTCAAACTGACCTTGTACATGCCAACAAGAGCAGCGAAGGCGAAAAGGTGAGAAGTGTACTGGAAATTGAGACGATCGACGAAGTCTTCTTCATAACGTCGGCTGCCGTAGCTGCCGACCAACGACAGAACGTGCTCCATGGCTGGCAGAAGCGATCTTTCCGCTTTGACTCCACCGCCGTACGCCTTATCAGAAGAGGAGCAGGAGGACTCACGCCGTAGTACGCCTACGGAGTGGTTATCGGCGGGGCGCGTTATCAGCCTCGATCAGCGCGGCCGTGGTTAACGACACGGGCACAGCTTCACAGGGGATGCTGAGCAACATCAACAACTACGTCGGCTCCTTGAGAGCCATCTCGAAGCACGACGACGACGCCGTCGATCGGCTCAACTATGTCTACACGACGCGGATGCTACTTGCCCTTTCGGTCTTGCTCTTCACCAAGAACTACGTCGGCGAGCCTCTTCAGTGCTGGGTTCCCAAGCAGTTCACCGTGAGTCACCTTGTCTTCTTTTTTTTCTGTTTTTCTGTCTTTGGTGAAGCATATTTGAAAGAATTTTTCATTTTCAAATCGTGAAACTGAAGGTCTGATTAATACAGCTAACCAACTCAGGAACTTTGAGTGATCCCTATAGGGATTAGGGGAAAAACAGCTCATATAGGGGCCGAAAAAGTGGTCCCTTTGGGAGTCTAGGATCTGACCCTTTATCATCTAAAGCTGAAGTGGTCCCTATAGGCTCTTTCAATTTTATTCAAAAAATATTTATTTAGTTTTTCTCTCAGAAATGCTTCTTCGCTTAGAGTTCATAACAATTCTCGACTAGCCCCTATAGGGACTACTTCTGCAAGCTTTAACGGCCCCTATAGGGGTAGGTAAAGGGGCTACTAGAAAACCCCTAGGGTTGCCCCTAAAGGGACCCCTTTGGAGCTCCTAAAAATGTTTTACTTAGGAGTCATGGGAAGTCTACACGGAACAGTATTGTTTCATTGAAAACACATACTTCTCGCCGATGTCGGATGAGAATCTACCGCCAGCCGAAGCGCGAGCTTCTCGAGAAATGATTTATTATCAATGGGTACCTTTTATTCTGCTCGGCATGGCCTTTTTGTTCGGAGTGCCACGCGTCGTCTGGTCACTCTGTTCTACTTACAGCGGTAGACATATTCCGTTCTGTCCCTCTTGAGATGTGAAGTTCAGGCTTGGCGATAGCAGACCTCATGTCGGCCGCTCGAATGTCTGCGCGAGACATGAAGCCAGCCGGTGAGGTCATCGCCGAGGTCGCCCAGAGGGTCAATCGCAAGAAGCTCTACGGAGAAGCCAACGCCCACGTCAAGTTCGGCTCCAATCTCTTCAACGTCTACATAGTCATGAAGGTCTGCTGGGCATTTTTACAAAGAAAACTCATTTTCAGTCAATCAAAAAAAAAAAAAGAAATTCCGCCAGAACTGATCCCTAGATTTTTGGGAAGATGATTAATCTTTAATCTATGCAGCTTGGACTTTTCTCATAGGAATTCCAAACTGGTCCCTATAGGGGTTTGAAGGGAAAGCAACCGAACAAGTGGTAGCTATAGGGGCGAAATTAAAGTGGTCCCTATAATGGTTTAAGGTTTCACCCCTTAGCCCCCTAAATATCAAGTGGGCCCTACACGGGTCCCTTAATTTCATTCAAAAAAGGGCTATTAAATGAAACCCCTACAAGGGCCACTTTTTGAAGCTTTAACGGCGCGTATAAGTGTTGGTAAAGCGGGCCTACCCCTATAGGGACCACTCTGGAGTTCCTAAGCTACTTGATCAATGTAGGCAAAGTCCGGAAGACCAGAAAATGTGGAGAAAATCCGCTAAAAGTCTGCAAAAAAGCTCCTTCAACGATTTGGCTAGACTTGTGAAAGCTCAAAAAGTTGCAGGTTCTCATTCTGGTGAACGTCTTCCTGCAGTTCGTGCTTCTCAACCAGTTTCTGGGTACGCAGTACACGTTCTGGGGTCTCGGCGTTTTCTGGGACATGGTCAACGGCCGCCATTGGCAACAGAGCGGACATTTCCCTAGAGTAGGCAAAATGAAGGTTTCCCTTTCACACTCTTGCTCAGGTTGCCTTCTGTGATTTGAACGTCCGCGAGTTGGGCAACATCAACCACTGGACCGTCCAGTGCGTCTTGATGGTCAGTTCCACCAGCTTCTCAAAGAAATTCGATCCTCTCAGGTGAACATGTTCAACGAGAAGATTTTCATTTTCATCTGGTTCTGGTTCCTTTTTGTTTTACTTCTGACAGTCGCCAACGTTGGCAAGTGGTTGGTCCAAAGATTCAGCACGTCGTCGAGGAAAAACTTTGTCGCCACCCTTCTGGTGCGTTGGTTTACTCCTGGCCTCAAATATTGATAAAATTTCTCAAGGAAGACGCTCACGAAATGGAGCCGGAGGGCGACCCAGCCAGAGAAAACCGATTCTACGAAGTGGGGATTGTTGAAAAAGCACAGATCAAGAATTTGTCTTGAAGACGGTTCTGAAAGACGACGGCGTTCTTGCTGCTGCGGCTCCTCGACTCGAACAGCGGCCGTCTTCAGTCGTGCGACCTCATCGCCAAGATCTGGAATCTCACTTTCAAGGGTCAGTTATAGCCTGTATACCACGACTTGAAATTTCACCAAACGACATTCCGCTGTGCGGTTTTTCGAACCTTGGTTGCGCTTTTAATTTTTTTTTCCCTTTTATTAAGGTACTCTACTTTCATGTGCTCCCACAGCCATAAAAATCAATTGAAAACGTGATCTAGATTCGAAAGACGCTTCGCGAACGCAAGCAGCGGAACAGCGGAATGTCGTTCCGTGAAATTTCAAGTCGTAGCAAACAGACTATACTAAATTTTCCCGAAACAAAGTAGCTTGCGAACCCTTGTACGTTTCGGAAAGATTTTTTGCGGTTTTGTTCGATCTCATTGTTCGTTGAAGATACTGCCCAAAAATTTCCACGTCTAACATGGAAAAAATCAATTTTTCTATCAAAAAACTTGAGAGCATAGCTTTTTTTCTCATATTATCCCACCTTCATCGCCAACGATTTTTTCAAGAAACTCGACTAGTTCTGCTGACAAAATAACTCTCAAGGAAGGTCATTTTTCTTTTCGGTTGTGATTTCCTTTAAATTAAGCTAGAACAATCCTTGATATACCAGATGAAGATCCTGAAAGTCTCACGCCACGAGAAAAAAGGGCCCAAAATAGCCCATTTTTCTTGACTTTAAGACGTCTTTTCTCAAAAACTAGGAGTTTGAGCAGGTTGAAACTTCCAGAATCTTCTTCTGGTCCATCAAGGAGCGTTCCGGCCGATTTTCAGGAAAATCCCAACCGCAAAGTGTAATGACCTCCCTTGTCAGTTGAAGTATTTATTTTCCTCGAAATTTCCCCTTTTTCAGATGGAGCAACGTCGGAGGAGACGTCACCCACAAGCTCCAAATAAAGTTTTTCGCTAGTTTTTTTTTCTTTATCATTAAACATTTTACAGAATCGCCACTTTTCAACTTTCTACAAATCCTGCCGATGAATCTTTATTCAAATAAAAATTGAATTTTTTGATTTGTAGTTGGTTCCATGGTATCCTACCAAGAATTCTTATTTCTGTAGCATTTTATTCGTTCTTTTCATCAAGTCTGCAGATGTTGGTTGACTTGGGTGTCGCCAAATGGGACATCAAACTCACCTACGATGTCGATGCTGTCGACAGGTAAAACCTAGACTTTATTATTAACAGAAGAATTTGAGGCTAAAATACGTTTATACGGTGGCCCTTCTCAACCTCATGGCTCTTTTCGTCTTCAGCAAGCAGTACGTTGGAGAGTCCGTCCAATGTTGGGCTCCGCAGCATTTTTCCGTTTGTTGTTCTTTTGTTTCCTTTTGAACAAAGTTTTTAACTTTTGCCTCTGCTCAGACGAGTTTCAATTTAAAACTTCAATGGCTCTTAGAAAAAATATATATTAGCTTCTAAACCACATAGGCTTCTAAGAAAAAGCCCCCGATAAATCCAGGAAGAGTCCTGTACGCGCCGGAACCTTCTCGCCTCTATGAGGTGGCGTGGCGCAGTGGTTAGAGAGCCAGCCTCACGATTGAACTTTTTGGGCAAGTTCGATCCCTGTTGAGTGCAAACCCTTTTTGCATTTGTTTTTAATTCAAAAAAAGTTTTAAAAAGTGCAAAAATTTGAAAGTATTTGAAGTATTTATCCGACTGATTTTTCATTTTTGGAAGAATTCTCAAAAAAAATTCCCTAGAACGTTTAAAAAAAAAGTTGAGAGGCCTCATAGATTTCCATTTTCAGTACAACTATAGTTGTACTGAAAATGGAAATCTTTTTATTCGTTTGATTTTTTTTTAAACAGATGAATATAAAAATGATGTTCTCATCAACTTTATGTCTTAAATAAGGTTCGACTTGTCTTTAAGAAAAATGCAAAACAAGTACGCCCTCGACAGGAATCGAACTGATCCAAAAAGTTCAAACGTGAGGCTGGCTCTCTAACCACTGCGCCAGGCGACCTTGGTGAGACAGGAAGGTTCATGTGCGTACAGGACTCTTCCTGTATTTTTCCGAGATGCTTTTTTCAGAAGCCTATTTGGTATAGCAGATAATCTCTCTTGTTTCTAAGAGTACTTACTTAGGCATAGAAGTTTCAAATCTAAACTCGTCCCCGAGTAGTTCCCTACTGAGTTATGAATTACCTGAAAGTCTTCAGGGTTTCTGGGAACAATATGTGGAGCAGTATTGTTTGATCGAAAACACTTTTTTCGTATCAATGGACGATCAGAACATGCCGTCAACTCAACAACGGGAGAACTCGGAACTCCGCTATTACCAGGTATACATTTTTCTTCGCCTCTTCACCCAAAGAAATGGTTTAGTGGGTTCCTTTCCTTCTTGTGGCCCTTTCGGCGTTACTTTTCCTGCCGCGAATCGTGTGGAAGGCGATGCAGTCGTTGATCGGTACGCCCAGTCTGAAACAATCCCAAAACGGCTTTCAGGTCTCAAGATCTCTGACGTGACAGTGCACATGCGGAAATGCGCCAAGGCGTCGCTCGACGACGTCGACCACGAAAAGCTCGACGTTCAGCGCAAGAAGCTGACCAAACAGAGGCGAAGCAACAGTCAGCGACGTGAAAGTTCACAAGAAAGTGCACTTTTCAGAGGACATCGAGTGGGGAAATAGACTCACGCTGTGTCTTCTCACCACCAAGTTGCTCTCGCTTCTGGCTGTCGTCTTTACTCTCTTTTTCCTCGATTACTTCATGGATATCGGACCAGCCTATGGTCTTCAGGTGACTCGCTGCCTCAAGCAGAATCAAGTCGGATTTCAGGTTGTTGTCGACGTGCTCTCAGGACGTGAATGGAAGCAAAGCGGCAAATTTCCCAAGAGTGAGGACCTTTCTGCAAGCGAAATTCCAAACTTTCCTATTCAGACGACGTTCTGCGACTTTGAAGTTCGTGAGCTGGGCCAGGTCAACCGCTGGTCGCTGCAGTGTGTCCTCATGGTCAACATGTTCAACGAGAAAATCTTCGTGCTCCTCTGGTGGTGGTACCTCGGACTCTTCGTCGTCTCTGTATACGATCTCCTCGACTTTCTCCAAAGATGCACGGCTTCCCGCCAAACCCGTCTTGTTCGCTCTGTTCTGGTGAGGTCCATCGGAGACCTTTCCTGAAATCTGTTTCCAGTACTGCTGCGAAGGACCAGATGACATCAACGACGACGTCGTCGCCAGCTTCACGAGGAGCGTTCTGAAGACCGACGGCGTCAACCTTTTGCAGCTCATCATCAACAACTCGACAATCTTTCAGGTATTGGGCTTTAGAAAAACTTCTTTGATGAACTCCTAAGTATCAGGCTGCGGACTTCCTCAAACCTTTTTGGGAGAGCTACGCTCACACGTAATCGGTCTCTCGGTTGTAAATTCATTCCACTATCGTCTTGATAAATTCGTAAAATTTGTCCTTCGTTGCAATCAGCCGTTATCGCAGGGCAAAGATGTTGGCTGAAACCGATAACGAAAACCTAATTATACACGGCGTTTTTGTTGGTGGAAAAAAAAACGCGAAACCAACAATGAAAGGGGTGGAGTCAAAACCTCCGCCGTTCCCGTGTGACGTCATGAAAAACAAGCGTAAAAAACAGGGAATATTAAAGGCGCATGTTCAATGGGTCATAAGACGAATCGGATTCTCATTTTTTAAAAAAACGAAATTCCGCGAAATTCAAAATTGACGCCAAAGAGTGAAAAACTCGGAAATTCAGAGATAGTCTCGAATTTCGCGAAAATCACTTTGAACATGGCATGTGCGAGAGCGCCGCAGTGCGTGCACACAACACACTACACTTTACGGAAAAAAATATGTGCGGGCTTCCAAAAAAAGGGCGTGCGCCGTGTATGAAATTTTCGGTTCTAGTTTTTTTTAACTGAAACCATACTTTCAATTTTTTCAATCCTTTATAGGCTTTGACTTGAGAAAAAATGCTTTGACGGTTTCTTTTCTTCTTTTCAAAAAGAAAACTGATTCACTTCTCTTGTTAAGTCATAAATTCGTGTAGATTATGTTCATAATCAAGTCTAAAAAACGTACAGTTTCGCTAATATCGAAAAGATGACCGTGAAATAAGCCTAGTGTAATGCGATTATTCGAACACGTTATGAAAAACTACAACATGAACTGATTGAGGACCGAAAAATTGACATTTTATGAAATGAGCACGTACTTTTTGGCGAGTTTTTCATTTCCTGAATAGACAATTTTCCGCTTCTAATCAAAAGTATTCATTTTAATACTTTTCGATCGCAATTTTCATACAAAATGATTTATTTTGACTACGAAATCGGTCAAAAAAGACCTGTAAATCTGTTACATTATTTCTCGAAAACTTTTACTTCGTCAATTTGAATATCTGTGAGTTCAAGAAGCTTCGTTTCGAACATACCCATCGGAAAACAGTGAAAACATAACAAGCAAATATGGAAACTAGAAAAGCCAGAGAGGATGAGAGAGCTTGCTGAAGGGGACGCCTCGGTTGAGCTCGACCTGCGGCAGGGACGCGTACAGCTTCGAATTGAGCTTGATTGGATGCGCGGTCCTTCGACGTATCTCCTGAACACCTTTTTAGAGCTGCAGGTCGCACTGGACGACCTTCAGGACGCAGAAAAAGGCGGCTGGTTGGAAAGTCGAGGTAGAACTTGTGGGCGACGAGGTGTGGCTGCCGAATCAGCGTCGGCAAGTCGCCAACTCCGAAATACGCACGAGGCCGATTTCATCTTTCCTGAAGAGGCTTTTTTCTAACAAGCCATTCAGCTGGCCTTTGGAACTCCAGAGGGGTCCCTATAGGGGCAACCTTAACCACCTTTGGAAGGTCCCCTCTAGGGATCACTTTTACCAACCCCTATGGGGGGCATCAAATCTTGCAAAAGTGCCCATCTAGGGGTTGGTAAAATGGTCACTATAGGGGACATGATAGTCATTAATTTTTCTGAACTCTATGCGAAGAAGCTATTGGAACTCCACAGGGGTCCCTATAGGGGCAACAAACCCTAAATCCCTAAAGGGACCGCTTCTTCTTCTGGGACAGCTTCTTCGAAATACTCTAAACTGTCAGACCCGAAACCTCTTTAGGGACCACCTTGGTTTACCCCTATAGGGAATCCCTTTTTCGGAACCAATAGGGGTTGTTCTCCCCAAACCCCTTCAGGGACCACTCTGAAATCCCAAAGACCGACCTTTACAGCCGCTCATCCAGACTTGATATCGCGAAATGTAGTACCGCATCCGGACCTTCTCCGTATACTTTTTCACTGCCGCAGGATGCGCCTTGTAATATTTTGGCGCGGTAAATTAGGTACTTATTGCCGTCGATAGATCCCGGGAATAGGGAATTCTGAACGATCGATTTAACTCAGAAGCCTCATATTTCCTCGTTACTCTTTCTGTTTGCTCCAAGCGTGCTCCAGAATCCCTCGTCTGGAATCCCTGTCCCATTGAGGAACATCATGAGATCATGGGTTTTCTCGGATGAAACCTGAAAAATCGATAAAGCGACTAAATTAAGTTCATCTCACAATTTCTTCTGCAGCCGAGCGAGGGACAAGCGCAGAAAGGGAGGATTTGAACAGGGGCAACGGAGAATCGCTCATCTGTCTCCCGACAAACAGTTTCAGTCGTTCCTGCTCATCTGACCTTACATTTTTCTTTTTCAAGCGCCCCTTTTGGAAAGACTTTATCTCCGAGTTGAAAGTGCCGTTCATCGCTTTGAAAATCTGAACCATTTCGAGGTTTGTCTTGAGGAGGCGCGTCGACGCCTGATAGGTACTAGAAAAACATAATGAATGATGAAAAAAGATTTTTTCACCTGGAAGTATTGCCAATTCGACTTCTTTTTGGTCAACATCTCCATACAGCCGTAGGTCGCGTTTATTATCTCGAAGCTGCCCCAGAAGATTCGTCCCCGCTGCTGCAAAATTTTTTTTCTAGCAATTCATTTATTCACAGGCAAAGGCTTTTTCACCTTTTGGTACATTTTTTTCAGAAATATAATGTACATCAAGGTGAAAAAAGTAGCAGATAAACCCGCAAAAAAGATAAAAGGCTATTGAGGCCTTCACGAGACTCGAAGCCAGGGATATAGTCTGTGTACCACGACTTGGAATTTCATCCAACGACATTCCGCTATTCCGCTGCGTGCTCGGCCGCTTTTTAATTTTAAATTTTATTTAAAAACTCGACCAAAACGTGTTCCTAGTGGAACAGTCCATCTATCAGAAATGAGAACCAATTCAAAGCGAGACCGAGGTTCGCAAAGACGCTTCGCGACGCAGCGGAACAGCGGAATGTCGTTCAGTGAAATTTCAAGTCTTGGCACACAGACTGTAAAAACTATGATAAATAAAAATGAAAATGTCACGTTTTCAAGCCTTGATTCTAATAAATTCGATAGCTAACCATGAAGTGTACGTTTGGCCAACATCTGGAAAGATCCTTGGCCATATGCTGAAAAACGGCTTGGACGAGCCGCTCACGGCCAAACAGTACTCGTTTTGGGGATGGTAGAAAGAAGATAGCATCAATAATACCTAAAAGGAACTTTTTTTTTAATTGCAAAAGAGAAGTGAATGTGCAAAATTCACTCAATGGGACGCTCTTTTTGTTTATTCAATTATGGAGCTCCATCTTTTTAGCTCTGCTCTGCATTCTCGTAAAGACCCCAGAGCGGAAAAAGAATTTTTTTAATAATATAGGATCAACCTGAACAATATCTTTATAAACAATCATTCCGTAGGCAAGAGGATATGCAGCCTCTTCTGAAGACAAAGGTTCCTCGTTGAATCGGAACAAACGTTTCACCGTCGCACATCTGGAGTCCAAAAATCTTCGAGTACAAGAGTTGAAGGCCGACCTGTCGGTAGAGTACAGTATTTCTTCCTCGTAGCGTTCGGCATCGAAATTCCAGTTTGTGTACTCGCCAGCTATCTGACTATCATTCCCTAAGAAAAGACTCTGAAACTTTTTCCAAAAGTGAAACCGCTACAGTTTTTCCGCAAACTTCGCAGTTTATATCAATTCTATCAAGAATGTCGTTCGGAGGCGATCTTTCCAAATATTCTGACACAAAAAGAGTTCAAAAAGAGGCTTTGCAGAAGTAAGAACCTCCGAAAGTACTGAAGAAGCAAGGAGCAGAGAAACCAGGCCGCGACGACGTAGAAGGCCAAGAAGAAGAGCCGACCGAAGCGCTTGAGACCGAGCATCAGCTCCAGCTCCTCGAGGCTGGATCCGTCGTCTGGCCCTGCACAACTCTGTTTGAACAACTGAACGCGATTGGCGCCCCCCAAAAGCTGTCGATACATAAACAATCTCTTCAAACGCATAGTTACAGTTTATAAACTTGGTCTGGTGCAGATGTGGCCTCAGAGATGAGAGAGAGAGAGCAAGTCAGCTGCATCCAGACGTCTCAGTTTTCCATCTTGGTAATGATCCAAAAAGTTTAGAAACTCCAGAGTGGTCCCTATAGGGGTAACCTTGAGGACCACTTTGCCAACCCCTATAGGGGTCACTAAAGCTTGCAAAAGTGGTCCCGTTTGGGGGACATTCTAGTCGATGATTTTTATGAACTCTGAACAAAGAAGCATTTCCATGCGAAAAACTAAATAAGTAAGCGTTTTTTGAATAAAACTATAATACTCCTATAGGGACCACTCAAGCTTTAGGGGCTAAGTAGACTCCATAGGGACCAACTTGATTTTACCCCTATATGGACCACTTTTTCGGCCCCTGTAGGAGCTTTATTTCTTCCTAACCCCTATAGGGATCACTCTAAAAACTCCTGAGTAATCGTTGAAACATCATTAAATGATAATTTTTAAATCTTCTTTTTTTCAAAAATTAAATCATTTTTTTCTAAACTTTATTGATGATGGAACGTTAGACGTATTTTTCTCAGAAAAACTTTTGAAAAAAAAATCCGTGGTTTACTGTGAAATTTTTGTCTTTTTTGGAGATTTTTGTTCCTAAAACTTTAGAGAAGAAGCTCCTCTGGTGCTACTCGAAAAAGTTCCTTCCCAAATGTTCCGAAATAACTTGAACGAGAGAATCGCACTCTGCAGATTATAATGAAGCCTCTGCACACAAAACGTGAAACATAAACAGAAAAGAGCGGAATGAATGTTTCCACTGGAGACAATTCAATCCGTTCATGAGCCCCGAGGCCTCGTCTGTTCTCAATTTCTTGTCCCCAACACCCGACTTCCCACTCTCATACAATTGTCGAGCTGAAGAGGCATAGGGGCTGTAAAAAATGGGTTTGAAGATAAAGATGCCATTTTATAGAGCTCTTTCTTGTCTGTCGAACTGTGAACTTGGAAACGTACAGAACTGCCTAGTTTTCGAGAAAATATAATTAAAAGTCGGAGAGAGAAAAGTTGTCCCTGCTAAAAAGGCGCTTTTGCAGTAAAGTTGCTCTATGGATAACCGCCATTTTTCGGATTTTTGCTTTTTCTTCGTTTTTTAAAATTTCGATTTTTTTTTTTTCTGTTATCACCAAAGTTCTTTTCGTCGTGGAAGCTTTCTCTTTATCAAAAATTTGCAAATTGTTGATCGCAAAATGCTTGTAAAATGATGATTTTGCTCAGATTTCGATTGGGAAAGAGATATTTTAAGTTTTCTTCATTATCGATGTGTGTTTTTAGTTTGACTAAACCTTTTTTTTCAGGGAACAAGCCCTTAATTTGAAGCAAATAACCGGTTATTTCTCCGAGTATGCGAGTATAATGAAACGTCCGCAACATCGTTTTCTGTACACCGATAAAGCATATTTCAAAATTTTAAGGCGGGAAAATAAAATCACGTTTTTCTTCAAAAGGACTCATTTCTGTGTTTTTTTGAATAGACCATTCGAATCGCAACAGAAAGCTCTACAAGGTACTTCTTTCACATCAAACCCAGTTTTTGGAGTCTGTTTTCCCTGAATCATGCGCGATAGACTTTTGGTCTTCAAGGAAAAATGCATCGATAGTCAAATTACAACCACAGAGGCCAGCTGTGGAAACCACAAAGGATCGTGTCATTTTTATAACATGTTCATCTGACCAATTATACCATAAAACCTCGAATTGCCCAAACCGGACTTGTATTTACCGTCTCCGAATAAGAGTATTTTTTGTTTTCATTCCATTGTTGAATCTGGCCGCCGAACTCAAACTCATAGGGCATTCGAAAGATACAGTAGCCCGTGTTTGGCCACTTTTTTCTTTTTGATTCGAATGAAACAAGAAGAAAAAGAGATGAGCGGAAGTGTGCACGGATGCAAATCGGACCGGTGGGGGGTCCAGCGCTAATTGAAGTCGGCCGGTGACGCCGTCGCTCTGGCGCCGCTCATAAAACCTTCCGAAACGGACGACCATTCAGTAGCCGGCAAAAAAAAAAGCCTTACGATTCGAGGCGCCACCGTTTCAGTGGCCTGTCGAACCAAATAACGCTGAACATACCTCTTCAAAAATCGGAATATTTATTCTTAAAGAACGAAATGGAAACGAAAATACTCGTATGATTCAGGCACATGCGGACAATTTCGGTAGATGAACTTTTGGAACGAAATCAAATATTTTTGTTAACAAATGCTTTCTAAAAGCAAAATAGGGACGTAGACTCAATAAGTAAAGCTCATTATCAATTTTTTTAAATTGTTTGGGGGTGGATGAATTACGAAAAATATGAACAGAATTTAAAAACATCTCAAATTTTTGTGAATTCCTTTTTTCAATTTCAACTTTGATATGGGTACTGAAAGTATGAGGAAAATTTTTTAAACTGTTAAAATCCGTTTCGGATCATTATCTAAGTCAAAACCAACAAAACAAAAAACTCAAATCTTTGGCCCAGACATGATATTTTTCGAAAAAGCAAAACATTAGGATCAGGCTGTACCCATGGATAATGATCAGAAGATGAGGCTTTTCGGCGGCTCGCCATTGCAAGTAGAGATCCAGCGGTGCTGGATGCAGTCCTTGCACACGAGGTTGCAGCACCACACGAACTGACAGTCGCACTTCACCCGCACCACTTCGTGCCGGATCTCAAAAAAACCAGTTTTGTATTGAGCCAGTAAATTTTTTTCAGCATAAAAAAAGTGAAAAATGTTCAATCCAAAAACGTCTTTGACACAGAAAAATCAAATAAGACTCAAAAAAATTATTTTTGAAAAAAAGCAAAAAAACCTAGTGAAGTTTGTGGAATGAACAGAAAGAGTTAATTCTCGTCTACATGGACTTTTATAAAATTTCGAAAGAAATAAAAAAAGCTTCTACTCGGGCAAAGTCGGAATGGTGGATAATGGCCGTTAAGGGAGAGGCTCAAAAAGGCCGCAGGAAGACAGCAAGAAGCCTTCCATTTTTTTCAAAAATTGGTGCAAAAAGGGTGCATAAGAGCCGATGAAATGGCGCAAAACGGCAGCAAAAAAGGAGCCTTAATTATCCTCCATGGAGCCTTTTTAAACCCTTTCAGACTTTGCTTATGAATTCATCTCAAATCCAGTAGAATTGAGCCTTATAATCAGAATTAGCCTCTACATTCTTAATAAAAACCTATTACAGATTCTGCCATCGAAATTATTAAAAAATATCAAAAAGAACAGTCTGTTAAAAACTCCTAGCTTAAAAAAGCCTACACAAAGCTCTTGAAGGTCTCGATACGTTTTTTCAAATTTTATTCAGAATACTTCCAAGCCCTCAAACACCACAGAATGAACTTTTGATCAGACTTCGAAAAAGTTGTAGAAAGGTGCGATCCTTCCGTAACAATAATAATTATTTCATCAAAAAGTTCGTCATGATGCTAAACTTCAAAATCTTTCAGCCCTTTCCCATGGAAAGATAGCTATGTCAAAGGAATTCTCGTTCAACCCAGGAAGGCGAGAATACAATCTGAGCGGAGGTGAAAGGAACGCGCCATGCCATTCCAAACGATTCTTTGCATCTTTTTTCCCCTCCAATCTCATGCAAGTTCAATTTGTCATTGAAGGTAGAAAAAAGTTGAAGAATGTTTTGGAAGGGAAGAGAAACTGACGCTGAATCCGTTGCCGCAGCAGAGACGGTCGCAGTCGCCCTGCGTGTGGGTTTCGTTCCGCCAGGCGCAGACCCGTCCCGCCGTTGTTTTGCTCTGGAAACGGACATGAGCACTTTTTTCAAAAAACCACTGTTCAATCGGAAGAATGCAAAGTTAGTTCACCTTGCAAACGTCCGGCGACGCTTCTAAATAAACCAAGTCTCCACTTTTGATTGAACCTTCGTCGGTGAGTAACCTCGCTCTTGCGTACCTATAACCAAAGCTTCGAAAGTGAACTTCTGCAGTTTTTTTTTTACTTATTCCGGAATCAGATGTATCTCAAACTGGCTTTTCGAGAAGATATGTTGACAAATGAAAGTTAAACTGCTAAAGTCGGAAGTGCGGAGAAGGGGTGCAAAATGGCTGCTAAAGGGTTCCGTTTTTCGGCCTTTATTGAGCCTTTTATTATGTTGGTGGGCTAAAAAGCCTCAAAAAAGGGTGCAAAAAGGATGTTGAAATTCTTGGTCATTGATGATTCTCTGATTTTTTTACTGTTACATTTTATTACCTTTTTGGTTCACAGTCACTGGTAAAGATTATTCGCAATTTAAAGAATGTTGTGTTTCTCAAAAGGGTCCAAAAAGGCTGGATAAAAACCGATGAATGGACGGAAAACGGCAGTAAAAAGGAAATCGCTGGCACCCGTTTAGGAACAATTAATAGAAACCTTTTTGCAGCCATAACGGACGCTCAAAGGGCCTGTAAAGGGTCTTTCCGATTTTACCACTTGAACATGAACTTTTTTTGAAAGTGAATGATACGGAGGCTGATCGAGGACTGATTAGGTTTCTGGAAAGCCGAAGAATTTTTTTTCAAGGGGGGAAATTCCAGATTGAATATCAATGGCTCTCAGAAAATATGATCTCAACAGAAAAGTTTCACGGCTTTGGGTTTTTTGCTCACAAACCTGGTCTGACTCGAACAAATAAGTTCTGCTTGTGGAAAAAAGTTACTGAATAGCTACTTGAAATCTGTGCCAAGTTTCAAGGCTTTCAGAGAAGTTATACTCGAAAAACTACTTTGAAATATAATCCGTTTTTCGCGACTTGAAAGGCCGGGACTTCTCTGCCCCCTCTTGATCTCTCGACGTCTCTCTCTCTGGTTTACGCGCTATTTCCATGTTTCTCTGACCCCGCCGCTGAGAGAACAGAGAGACGCAGACACGCGAAAACTATCAAGTCGTGACGAACGGACTAGACACTTCCTACGTACTTACTGTACTGTATATTACTGTACATTCCTTTTATCGAAGTTATTCAAAAATAGGTTCCATTAACCTGCTGGACTCACTTTTCCACGAGATAGTCCGCGATGTAGTTGAGTTGCGCGGTGCGTTTCCAGCACGTCTTCTGCTGACAGCTGCCCGAAACGCCGTGGCACTTGCACGTGGAGATCAGCGTCTTTTTGACGGCCTTCAAATTTTTTATACTTTCTGATAGAACATCAGTAGAACTCACAAGCCGGCCCGCTTTCAGGTTGTGTTTCTCGACCTTCCGCAGCAAGCTGTTCGAAGATCCGGCCTTGGTGAGAAGCTTGCGGCTAGCCGTAACCCCGTGCTGCACGCCGAACGTGCAACTGAAAGTTGCGTAGGCACGCCACAAAAAATAGACCCGAACCCGCCAAACTCGAATCCCGGCTGTCCGGAAGGCGTGCAGGCACAGTCTTCGATCCAGCCTTGAGCACACGACGCCGCCACTCCCCAGGCCGCTCCGGCGGAAGACAGCGCCCACACGAGTGCCGATTCTCGGTAGCCTGAGTTATTCACTAGGCTTCTTCTCAGGTAAATCCTGAGAAGGTGTTGGAAAGGTAACCAGCAGGAGCTTCGAAGGTGTAGGAAGCTAGAAGGTCTTAAGAAAGCCTTCGGATGGTGTTTGGAAGGTAGTTGGAAGGTATTCGTAAAATGAAAATTGAAGGCTTTTTCCGGCAGGCTTTTTTCTAAGTAGAAGGTGTCGGGAAGCTATGTGGAAGGCTTGCTGGAAAGCTTCCAAACCCCTTGCGAGGGACCGAAAGCTTTCCAACCTTTACCCGAGTTCCGATCATTTTATTGTATAAACACAGGAAGCTTAGGCAACCTTACATAAAAAAGTACTTGTTTGTCAGTAACTAGCTCCATCTTCTGGCCATCAAAGCACAAGTCTGGAGAAGGAGCTGACAAAAAAAAATTTGAAAATACAAAGAATGGGGAGGGGCTTCAAAAACGGTAAAAAGCGTAACTCAACTCGAGGCTTTAGTTATTAAAAATGCACACAAGATTTTCAAACACTTTCCATTTATGTGAATTTTCAAAAATAATTTCAAAGATTGTTCTCGGAGTTGTCAGTACAGATTGGAGATTTGGGACTTTCTGAAATTTTTTTCAAAATTTCAATCCAAATGATTTTTTCCTTCCAGTTTTTTTACACTTCAAAGGTCGAACGATGTCTTGCCGATAACAGAAAAAGGATTTTAGCTTCTTCAAGTCGTCATAAATATTCTATTTCAAGGTGGAAATTTTCAGCAAGTTTCAAGTCTGCTTCAATTTGTATCTCTCCTTTTTACAAATTAATGAAATTTCACATACAGCATTTAATCTTCAAAAAAAATAAAGAACTCGGGCAAAGTCGAAATGGTGGATAATGGCCGCTAAAAGAGAGAGGCTCAAAAAAGACAGCAAAAAGGCAACGAACAGGTCGCCGAAAGGCCGCAAAAAGGCAGCAACAAGGTAGTAAAAAAAATCCCTTCATCGAGCCCTCCATTTTTTCTGGGATTTCAAAAGCTCAAGAAATGGTGAGAAAAAGAAAAGGCTGAAAAATTGTGCAAAACAGCCGATGAAACAACGACAGCAAAAATGAGCCTTTTTCACCCTCAACGGAACATTTCTATAGTCTTTTTCGACCCTTTCCGATGTAGTGAAGGTCATTTCTAGCCAAGGAGCTTTGAGGAAGCTTTAATAGGGTCTAGTTTCTGAGGAGGAACTTTTGAAGATACCGAACATTCGGCGGCACCCATCAGAAGGCCAACGAACCGGAACGAAGGAGCGGCGGATCGTGCATGATGTTGCCGGCCTCGGAGCAGTCCCACTGCTGGAAACGAAGCCGACTCGCGCAGTGTCCCAGGGCGTCCTGCGTCGGCAAGTCAGCAACGAGAGAGACGGTCTCCCACCTGGATCCCTTCGAAGGCCGACACGACGGTGGACGGATGCGTCCGACAGGCGACTTGAACTGCTCGGAGGGCTCGGGAATGCAGTAGATCCGGCGGGCAGCCCTCAAAGAGAATATTGACAACTTTTCTAGAGTTTTTTTAAAAATAGAAACCTAGATCTGATTATAAAACCTTCTGCATTGAATCCTACTCCTTGAGAACTACAGAAACAGAAAAATCCACCAAGATCTTGTTGAAACTTTGAAACTTTATTCAGTCTTCAGGGAAGGTACTCTGCTGAACCATGGAATAATTGAAGAGTTGTTCGTCAGTTTGCGAAACTGTCGTTGATCAAACGTAGACGGCGCGTAGAGCATCTCGTCTTTCTCGTGATAGTAGTAGACGACTTTCGAGCGTTTCCGACGATCACTGCTTCTCCATGTAGGAACGGTACGGCGCCCAGCTTGTCCAGGGCTGACGGGCGTCGGATTAAATCTCAGACGAGAGCGGAAATGAAGACCGACCACTCGGGTGGTAGAAATGAGATAAAAAAAAGATCTTGTTAAGACGTTTGAATCATTTCCTTTTACCGGTTGTTGAAAAGTGAGGTTATTCTCTGAAAATCTGTCAGAACATCTTTCGAAGTACCAAATCAAGGTCCTGAAAATCTTAACATGCAAAACTTCCTAGTTTTCAAGAAATAAAGCTCAAAGCCTCTTTTTGACGAATTTTGAAGGTTTTCTTTGACTTTGAGGTGTTCTCTCATAAAGAAGTGGAAGTTTTAGACTCTCAGAATCCTTTTTTGGTACATCAAGGAGTTTTCTGACCAATTTCCCGGAAATTCCCAGCCACTTGTCAGATGAAAAATAGAAAGGAAAAACTACAACTCGAGCAAAGTCGAAATAGTGCAAAATGACCGCAAAAAGGGAGAAACTCGAAAATTGTTGGAGAAAGGCAGCAAAAAGAGTCCCTTTATCAAGCCCTTTTTTTCCAGAACTTCAAAGGCTTGAGAACGGGTGAAAGAGGCAGCAAAAATGGTACATAAGAGTCGATGAAATGGTGCAAAAAGGCAGCAAAAAAGATCCTTTTTCCACCCTTTCCGACTTTGCCTATGAAAGTGAGCAAAAAAGCTTTATGTATTTTTTCCAACGGAAAAATTTCCGATGTTCATTTTCAAGGAGAGCAGGCCGTGCCAATCAAATGTTAAAAAGCTACTACAACTATTGATACACAAAGAAATAATGATGAAACGGGCACCTGTCTCAGCAGAAAAGGCTTCGGAGCTGGGGATGAATGGTGAACGGCGGCGGCGGCCAGACCAACAGCGGAAAACAAAAAGAAGCCGATGCCGGCCAGTTGAGCCGGCAGAAGTACGGCCTGCAGTCGAACTGAAACATTGGGAGCTTCTGACGTCGTTGGCGAGGAAGACGTTGTGCGGTGACGTGACACGCGCATCAAAGTCGAATGCGTCAGCGGAAGGCCCGGCCTCGTGTTATTTTCCACCGAAAGCTACAGTATCGGCTGGAGGAGGGGGCGGACTTGTGGGCGTGGTTTCCAGCGCACGGGAAAACGGTCAAATTTTAGTGGGTAACGCACCTTTGCGAGAAGTCGCCAGCCACAGAACAAGAAGGACGAAGTGGCTGGGGTTGTAAACGGAGTGCCGTTTACGACGTCGCCACCACAAAACGCACTCCCGTTTGGGGGATGCCATGAATGTATGACATTCTGCATGGAAGTTCAGAGACGTGCGAGCCGGGGACTTTCGTTAATCTCACAGCATTTTTCTCACTGCCAAAGTCGGGTGCAAAACGGCCGCTAAAAAGGTTTCCGTTTTGCGGCCTTTATTAAGCCTTTCTTACTTGGTGGGCAAAAAAGGGTGAAAAACCCTAGAAGCCGGAAAAGGGTGAAGAAAAGCTTTGAGAGGGTCTCGAAACGGTCCAAAAAGGGTGGAAAAAGGCCGACGAAAGGACGGAAAAGGCAGTAAAAAGACTTTTTTTTTTTGGAAACCTTTTTCCACCTATAACGGACGCTCAAAGGGTCCGTAAAGGGTCCTTCCGACTTTGCCTATGAGTACGAATGAGAGGGACTTCAGATCAAACTTCCATTCAACTGCGTACTTTTTTGAACAAGAAAACAGCCCTTTTTCCGATTCGAATATTACGAAATCCAATCAAAATTTTGATGCGAAATAAAAAAACTCGAATCTGAAATGCAATATTTTTTTATTTTCTTAGAAAATTGACGTCAAAAAAATCGATAAATTGTGATTTGAATCGATTTGCTTTGAAAACCTTTGTTCTTACACATAAAAAGAAAACAAATAAATAACAACCAACGCGAGAAAACGAAGTGAGAATCACTATGACCGGACATTTTTATTCTTGATGAGCTGTTTGAATTGGTCAAGGATCGCTTCTTCTTTTTTCTTCTTGGCGTCCTGTGAAACGCCGCTGAGTAGACGTTTCTCTTCGGCGGTCAGGATCTGAAGCAAAAGGGAGAAGGGACGATAATTGAGAAGGCGGGAAAACTCGCCTGGTTTTCCTTGCGCAGCCGAGTCGCCTCCATGGCCTTGTGACGCGAGCCGCTCATCACGTAGCCCCACTTTTCGTATTGTTCGATTTCCGATGACGACAAACCAATCTCGCCTGATTAAGCAGTTAGGACAGGCGGAAAGGAGAATCCTCACCTCGTCTAGGAATTCTTTCGCCACGCGCCACGTACGCCGCCATTCCGGCTCCTTCTCCTGCCAGGAGGTCTTTGCCGTATCTTCAAATGGGCTGTGTTAACAAATTTTCTATCGAGCGAAGCGCAGAAGGTCTCAAGAAGAACTTTTTGGAAAAAAAAAGCAAAAGGTGCCTTTTTTTTAGACTTTTTTCTGAAAAGACCTTTTAAGGAGGTAACAAAGAACGAAGAAAGGTGAAAAAAAGGAGATTGCGAGAAACTTTTTACACCTTTGAGGAACATAAAAAGGAGCTTCCGGCTCTTCTTTTTGAGGTCGTTTGGACTTCGCCCGAGAATTAAAAATTCTACGGATTCCTTCAAAAATGCTTTTCTTGATGTTGGAAGAACAAGGCGCAAGTCTTGAAAAGTTCGAGACAAGGAAATCGTTTTTTTATTTGGTTTTTAATCTTATTTACGGTCTATGAATTTAAATTCACGATTTTATAATTTCACGGCATTACGGTGTTTTATTTTTTTCAAAAACGACTAATAAAACCTAAATGCTAAATGAGCTTCTTTTCGGTGATTCCTTTGTAAATAAATTTTTTTTCATCTAACTAGTAAATTCACTTTTCTATTCTATAAGAAAGTCCTAGAACGTTTTATTAATTTTTTTCGTAACGAAACGCTCCCATTTAACTATGAAAAATGAAAATTCAAAAAAGCTTCTGAATGCGCTTCTGAGAACCAGACCTTGGGAACTGAACAGCAAAACGGAATATTACAATTTTTCCGATTTTGAGTGTCTGATAAATGTTATATTTCTTGGATTATACACGAAATAAATCTTCCAGAGATACTTTGATTTGTTTTTTTCTGACCTGGCTTCGGTGGGAATTTCAAAGGCGTGGTTCTCGCTGTCGTTCTTGGCCTTGATGTGCGATGGAATGGCGGGACCCGGCGACTGCTCGCCGCTGTCCTCGTCCTGCCCGTTTGGCGCCCGCTCTTCCCACTCATCGCTGCTTTCCTCCACTTTTTTCTAACACAAAATCGATGATTTTTTGGTGAAGTCCGAGAATTTACCTTTTCCTTCTTTTTCTTCTCCTTCTTCACTTTTTTCGCCTTCTTTTCTTTTTTGTGTTTCTTGCTTTTCTTTCGCTTTCTTACTTTTTTTCTTCTTGTCCTCATCACTAGAGTCCTCACTTTCTGATCCTGAAAAAAAAAACAAGTAAATGCATTTTTATTCCTCAATTTGAGACAATGAAACGGATGCCAAAAACGTACCGTCAGAAAAGTCGGCAGCCCGTTTCCGCTGTTCTTTGCGTCTCTCCTTCTCGCGCACTGCTTTCAGTTTAGCGCCTTCCATAGCTCTTTCCTTATCTATCTGATCAGCCTGTTCGTACCTCAAAAACACCTGAATTGGATTTTCAGAAGGTTTTCACTCACAGCTTGTAGACGTCCGCGATATCGCTGTGCGACGGAGACGAACCCCAAATCTGGCGTTCTCCTTTCCATTGGATATCGATTCGCGACTCTCGTCTTCTGCAAAAAAAAAATTCTATATGCATATTGAACTTCAACTCATACCTCTCCCATACAGGCTCATCATTGTTCGTCGGAGATCGTCCCCATCCCCTTAAATTCAGCGAAATTATCATTAGCAATGAAGGTTTTCAACGATAAGAAAAAAACCGTAAAATTATTGAAAATTTTATTTTAACAATGTAAAGGCTTACGTACGTAAAAAAATTAAAAAAAAGTACGTACTTTCCGATTCACGATAAACCTTTTTTTAATTTTTTTCCTTGAAAAAAAGCTTCAAAAAAATTCGTTTTTCTATGTTATTTGAAAGTCGATCCGTCAACTAGGAAGAATTTTTTTTCTTTAAAATATCTACCGTAACCCAGTGAGGGGGCGGAGCCTTTCAGTAACTAACCTAAAAGCTTACAAACTATTTCAAGTAACTGTGACAGTTCTTTCGAGTCTCAAAACGAAACTTTAAATTCTTGTCCCAACGCTTCACAGCAGTTCATCAAGTTTTTTCAGAAAGCGTGTGTTAAGAGAACTTATAATTCCTATAGTCTGTTCATCGAATTTTCGGGGTTCATGATATCTATTTTTATTTGATGAAAGCCTTGCTTGACCTCAAGGAAATAGGCCCATGCTCCTACGATAATTAGAAGAGCTTTGAACACTACTATGAATTGTAAGCCTCATAGAAGTAGGCTTTTTGACACTTTTTTGAAAATAAACTTCAAAAAAAAAATCAAATACGAGTAAAAATATCCAACCTTTTACGTTCATTTCGCCGGTCGGGAGATCTCTTGCGATATTCGGCCGGCGAAGGAGAACGATCGTCCTGGAATGAAGGAGTACGCTGACGTTCTGTCCTTCTTCTTGGAGGAGATCGTCGAGATCTACCGGCTGGAGAACGTCTTCTAGCGGGTGACCGGCGAGGAGAGAGATTCCGTCGAGGCGGAGAACTTCTAAGAGGCGATCGCTTTCGGGCAGATTTTAACGGAGAACTTTCTTCTGGGAGAAACGCTTCGAGATGCAGAACGACGCCGTCTTCTATCCGACGGACTTGGAGATCTGAGAAAATATCAAGTTTATTTTGAAATAGAAACTTCGAGGATTTTCGAAAAAATCTCTACTAAAACCATTCTCGCTTTTTTCCAAGACTAACTGATCGGTCGAACGATTTCTAATTTTACATCAATAAATAACCTAGAAGAAAAAAACTGTACAAACTCAAGAAGAAAATGAAAAAAAAACTCAATACCTGCTCTTATGACCCCACAGCGGGCGATCTTTAGAAGATTCAGATGAGGCATCTGATTCAGACGAGGAACGGGAAGTAGCTGAGCCACTTCGCTAAAAGATAGGTATAAAAAACCAACAATTCGATAAAATTGAAAAACCTTTCTTTGTCGTCGACGTCCAGTACTGTTTCTATCTGGAGAAGATGGCATGTACTGAAACTTAAATTTATATCCCTAAAAGTTTTTCAATCGCACTGATAAAACCTCAAAGATATCAATAAATTCTTCTGTTAAAAAGCTGCGAAACGATGAGTAAAATCAAACATGTGAAACGAAAAGTTTTTGTTCACATTTCCAACTTGGATGCGTAAAAACAGACACAACTACAGCTTGATATTCAGAAATACAGTTCTTAATTTCCAAATTTGAACAAATTTTCCTGTAATTTTCTTTGTGACAGAATACAACTTGAATTTTTGAGAAAACCCAAATGAGAAAAATTTTTTGAAAAATTTTCGAAGGGGGAAAAATAGCGTGCACAGTTTGCATTTGACACGCCTCTAATTGTCTGCCGCCACTTGCGGCGTTGCCGCGATTCTGGCCATGAGAACGCTGTGTTCAAAGCGATTTTCGAAGATAGAGCTCTTTTAAGTGTTGGGTTTATTTCAAAGCTGTTAAGCACCTTCCAGCGAACACCCAGATTGATAGTTCTCGGTTTTTCAAAATAACTTTGATCGCGACTTAGTTTTTTTTCAAATTCCAAATGTTGGAACTTCGAACGGATTTTATAAAATGGATACTAGTACTTTGTAATTGTTTTTATTTTTCTTTCGTTTAGGATATTTCTTAGTTTTTCACACTAATGGCGTGTTTATTCAAGAAACGGAGCATGTCTCAAAAAAGCAAAATGGCGTCCATTATCGCTCCAACTCAGGCACTGGGTCGCGCGTAACCCGTAACTCATTTTTTTTAAATTGATTGTTCAAAAATGCCTAATCAGTCTTTATTAAAACTAAAAACGGAATTGGAAGAGTTTTTTTCCCACCACTCGTAAGAAAGGAAATATAATAATAATAAAAGCCAGAATCTCGGCGCGTCTCCCACGGGTGCCTGAGAAAGTTGCTTGGGAACAATAATTTTGTTTGAAGCAATTTTTGTTTTTCTGATAAACACGTTATAAATATAATCTCGCGTTTTTGTAAACTGAAAATTTGTCGGATTCCAGATAAATGTATGAATCGGATGAAGACGCTGATCGCAGGCGCGACAAGTTTCGCCAGGGAGCGCGGGCGAGAGGATGACAGGTTTGAGGATTTTAAAATGCGTTCAATAATGTTTTTTGTAGACGTGGGGCGAACAACTTCTCGAGAGATTATTCGAGTCAGAAGAGAGGACCACCTCGTCGGGATGATTACGCAGCCAAACGTAGTCGTGTTGAGTGAGTCGTTTTCAAAAATAAATAGAAAATACTCGTTACTTGATAAAAAAAATTATGTTGACTCCTTGACATCCTCGTAGGTAACCCTAATAAAAATCTTTTTTTATTAATAGCAGAAATTGTATATGGTATATGCTTTCAATATAATTTTATACGCGATTATGATTAGTGTTTTATCGAATTGAAAGAGTTTCAGTTTGATTTCGGAGATAATATGAGAGATCGAAATGCGAATTTTTTTTTTCTCGGCCAGAGAGACTTTAATTTAGCAAAATTATTTTTACTTCATATTAATTGGAAAAAATCGACCATGGTGGCAATCCTGAAGGTATAGAACAAAAATGAGAGTTTTAAGTTGAACTGAAGATTTTTTATTTTGTATGTTAATACTCGGGCAAAACTGAAAAGTTCCTCAAGAGCTTTTCTCAATAAAAAGACTTTTTAAGACACCCCAGCAGACTTTTGTAATATATTTCATTTCATTTTCCCATCTTTTTCACATCCTTTCAACAAGAAGGATACTGGAAAGGAACTTATTAGACTAGGGGGGATGGATCCGCTCAGAATATGAAAAAAAAAAGCTGAAAAGTTTTTTTCACGTCATTTTAGGAGTGTTTAGAGGAACCTTTTTAGCTCCCTCTCAGATTCCATTGAGGACCCTTAAACGAAAATTTCAGTTTTACCTATGTAATAAAAACTGTAATTTCAGTGATGCGGCGGACTCCTATGACCCCGTGATCAGAAACGGAGAAGAAGATCCAATGAATGGCGCACCAACCGGACCCATGCTAACTTTCAAACGATTCCTTCTCAATCAAGAAGACGATATTTCCGATGAAGATGCCGTGAAGAAGTACAACGAGTACAAAATAGATTTCAAGAGGCAGCAACTGGAACGCTTTTTCCGAGCTCACAAAGAGGAAGAATGGTTCGAAATGTTATCGTCAAAGGCCAGAGGCGCATTATGCCGCGGTCAACCGGATTCCAAATCATTACTTTTTTTTTCCACTTGGCTAGGAGGCCCTTCAACCATTTCCACCGCTGAATGATTGATTTTGTTACTCATTTTGCTCTGTTTTATCATTTCAATTTGGAGTTCGAAGCTAGGAAACTCGACTAATTTCAGGTTCCGTCAAAAGTATAATCCGAAGACTCGAAAAAGGTCAAAGATTTGCAATTGACAAATGTCTTGCGAAGATTGGAGATTTTCAACGATTTGAAGAAGGCCGGAAACTTCGATGGACTCTCCCTGGAGCACAAAAATGCTGAGAAAATCATTCGTGCATTGGACGCTGGTTGGTCTTTTCCTGAATATTTGTGATATAATTGAACTTAAGTGGTTGTCAAATTGGAAGGAGGAACGGAAGAAGAGTTGGCAGCCGTTCTCGCACAGAAAATCGACGATGAATCGCTGGCAGAGTTGAAGGTGAAATTCTAGTTTTCATTCCAAAAAAACTCCACGTCTGTGTACATCAATGCGATAAAATGAAGGGGTTCAAAATCTAAAATTTCGAAAATTTTCAATATATTAAGAATTCCAGAGGGGTCCCTATAGGGGTTAGGGGTGAAAAAAACAGACCTTATAGGGCGTAAACTAAGGGTGTTCCTTCTAGGGGTTCAGAGTCCGAACCCTAAAGCTCAGGGGTCTTTCAGCTTCATTTAAAAAAAATGCTCACTTGTTTAATTTTTCGCATGGAAATGCTACTTTTTAGCATAGAGTGAAAAGTTATCGTCTAGCATGTTCCCTATAGGGCTCAATAACTAAACCTCCCTATTGGTACTACCTTTGTAAGCTTTAGTTGCTCCTAGAGGGGACCTTCAAGGGCTTCTAAGCTTGTAGCTTCTAAGCTTGTACCCCGGACCACTCACGCTGGAGTTCCTAAGTAGTTAGTAAGTAGTAAAATATGACTATTTGTTCAATAAAAATGTGTTTTCGCATCTAAAGATTGTAATAGTTGAAGGGACCGGCATCTTTATCATATTTTTAAACTCATTCTCATCATTTTGTCACTTCAGAAAGAGAAAAATGAAGGAGATTCTGGAAACGTGGACGTCGGTAACGAAAACAGCCAGACTGAACTTGAAGAAGGGGCTATTGAAGATGGTAACAGTTGTTTTTTACTACTGAAGTTCCGTTTTTTTCAGAAAATGACAAGCATTCGTCCAAAGTGAGCATTCACAAGACGAGTTCTGTTTTTCTGCGCAATATCCCGCCAAGTGTAACTTTTGAAGAGCTCGAAACGGTATATGATTAACAAAATCAACGAGTTATTCGTTTTGTTCCAGCTCTGCAAAAAGAGCCCCGGATTTTTGCGTTTGGCATTGTCGGACGCGATTTCAGAGAGGAAGTTTTATCGTCGTGGATGGGCGACTTTCAAGCGTGACGTCAACATCAAGGAGATTTGTTGGAATTTGAACTCTGTCAGGGTTAGTTGATTTCTGGAAATTTTAAAAAAGGATCTAGGAAAAAGTTTCTGATGAAAACCTTTCAAAAACTTGGTCTTGAGCGGGAAGTTAAAAAATTATTCGAAAATTTAGTTCTTTTAATAGAAAAATGCCTTTTGAGAGGGTCTTTTGTTGCCCAAAAAGGCCTAAAGCTAAATCATCATATTTTGTACGTAGGTTTTTTTGAAAAAGAATTTGAGATCGGGCTCTTTAAATTCTTCCTCACAAGTCCAAACGACCTCAAAAAGAAAAGCCAAAGCTCCTTTTTAAGTCCCTAAAAAGGTGTCAAAAGTTTTTTTGGAATCTCTTTTTCCTTTCTCTTCTTTTCCTCCTTTTAAAGGTCAAAAGAAAAAAGGTAATTTTTAGCCCTTTTTTCCAAAAGATTTTTTTGAGACCTTTTGGACTCTGCCCGTGCCTATAGCTTCTCTCTATTGCTCTTCAATTTCAGTGGTAGTTGTTTTTTTTAGATTCGCGACACCGACATGAATGGCATTATCAACCGCGACATTACCCGCCGCGTTCGGACAACAAATGGTATTTCTGGTCATCGACAAGTCGCTTCCAACGACTTGAAACTTGCCGTCAAGGTTTTGAGTTTTTTATCCCGGCAAGTTGATTTTTTGATTTTCAGTTGGTTTCGCTCTATGACAAAAGAGCTGGATTGTTCAATGCGGGTACCGAATCGGAAGAAGAACGAGAGAAGGTTTCCCCTCTTTTTGATTCTCCAGTAAATATTCTCTCAGGATATTCGTATGGGCGTCGACCTCGTCGGTGCAAATACCAATCCACTCCTCTTGGAAATCAGAAGATCTGTGAACATCTCAGAAATCAGCCCCGAAGAAGAAGAACTTCTCGGTAAACTAAAAATGATCATTTTTAATCAGTTTTCCAGGTCTCTCAACTGGGAACGAAAAGAACGGACTGGAAGAAAAGTCGCTCTACGTCAGAGACGACAAGATCCTGAAAGCTCTCGACTTGGTGATTCTGTATCTGCGCATAGTGCACTCGGTCGACTTCTACAACCACGGCCACTATGCAAACGAGGATGCGATGCCCAATCGGTAGCCCAAAATCCGTCAAACCATCTTCTAATCGAGTTTTTCCAGTTGCGGCCTTTTGCACGTTCGTGGACAGCCACCACCGCCTTCTCAGTTCGGTGCCGATGACAACGGAAATATCCTCCTTTCCAATAAATTCGTTCATGTAACTTGCTTTCAGAAGCTTTTCATCAAAACTATGCGACTTTCAGGATTTCATAGCTGGCTTCAACACTCGCATCGAAAAAAGTCTGGTAGAGCGCGTCTACGTCAGCGAAGAGGAGCAGGAAAAGTTGGGGAAGAAAGACGGCGACAAGTTTGTTTCCCAACGTCTTTTTATTCTTATCCTGTGACACAGAGAGATCGAAGCGTTCATCCAGAAAAACAGTGTCGAACTGGCCAAAGAAAAGTGGCTCTGTCCGCTCTCCGGCAAAAAGTTCAAGGGACCCGAGTTCATCCGGAAACACTTGCAATCGAAGCACGAGGACAAGCTGAACGAAGTCAAAGACGAGGTCTGAAGTGTTCTCCTCCTTTAATTTGTTTTCTAAGACCCCTAGGTATATTGACTAACTCCAGATTCAGGGAAAATTCCGGAGTCCCCCCTCACGTCCGAGCAAGCCCGTGTGTGTGTTCACAGCACAAACCCATGAACCTATAAACTATCCTCAAAACTTTTCTTGTCTTCTTCTGCCAATAATTCATGGTAAATGTCGTTCCAAAAGTTGATGCGATGTGATACGAAATTGAAGAAAATCATTGAAGGTTTCGTTCTTATTGACCTTTCCAGGCGGTCTTTTTCAACAATTACATCGCGGATGCGAGCAGACCAGTTGATGTCGACATCCGTCCCTCCGCCGTGTCTTCGACATCGAACCTACGCGATCGCGAGCGAGAAACGCCGGCGAATCGGGAACGCGAAGACGAACGAGACCGCTTCCGTCAGTACCATTTCATATAATACATTGAGTTTTCGAACTTTTGAGAAGGATTGATTTCGATTCGAACACCCTGATTTGGTTTCTTAGGCTGTTAAAATAATCTTAGCTCTGAAGTTTCTAATAATCAGGTTCTAATACGTAAGGAAGTTTGAAGCAGCAAAATGAAAAACTTTAGACAATCTTTATGATTTTCTTTGAAAAATTAACGGAAAAGACTGTTCCCCTTTTAATTTTGCACATATGAGAAAAAGAACAAAAATTTATCAAATAAGTCGTTTTTACTTGATTTTCCAGGAAAATCGTTTAATTTGCAAATTAATTTGATGGCCCTGAAGAATCCAGTGACAGATATTTGTAGCCCAAGTACTTTTGTAGATTAAACAAATGCTTTTTTTCATTAAATTTTCAAAGCTGACATTTATCTCACATTAAAACCCGAATTTTCTATCATTTTGATTGAAAACAGAGCAAAAAAGTTGAATATGTTCTCTGAAATTGTGAATTTAAGGACCAACTTCATATGATCGATCTCGAGGCGGCCCTCGAAATAGCTTCGGCTACGGGCGCGATTCGGGAAGACCTGGGAATGGACGGTGCGCATTTTCTCTTCGACAAACCTTTCATCCATTCTCCTCCTTTTCAGCTACTTCGAAGACCAGCCACAGCGACAGAATCGCCCACAAGTTTCGTATCGCGACCTCGATGCTCCCGAAGATATCCCGTAAACGTTTTTCATTCTTCAATTTTTGTTTAACCAAAATTTATATTCATTTATTTATTACCACCCTTTTTGTTCTTCTTCTGCAATTCATTCCCAGAAAGCTTGATGAAAGTTGTTTTTTTTTATCAATCTCTATATTAACATTATTAATTCTTTGTTATCTTCTTTTCTTGAGAATGAACTTTCGTCGAAAATAAGTGAGAAGCATTTTATGCAGAAAGGAAAATTAGGCAATATAACAAATACCTCGTAGTCTGAAAAGAAAAAAGAGGATTCCTGATGAATGCAATATGCTATTATAGACCAAGAATGTAGAAAAGAAAACGACTAGTTTTTTTTTATCGGATAGGTGGCAAGAGGTCTGTTGATTCGCCGTTGACAGTCGTGTCGTTGTAGATTTCCTGTTCGTAGGATGCGTTCGTGAACTGCGTCATCTGAATTCAAATCTCATCTCGTTCAGAAGAAGTTTCAGAAGGAACCTCGTGGGTGAACTCATCGCCCTCCAAGAGATACGCTGGATTGGAGAAGTGTTCCACGGGGGCGTCTTGGCTCTCCATTGGCCGATGTCGGAATTGTCTTATCAAATCGATTCTGAAAGATCATCATCTAAAAATGATCCACAGCTTTCTTCACCTTTTCGCCGCGAATCCGTATCCGACGAATCCCAAGAGTAGCACCAACGCTAAGGCTAAGAGCCAGAAGGTCCCTAAAATTCTCGGGTTACTTAGAAACTCGTGGTCCCCATAGGGGCAACCTTAGAAGCCCTTGGAGGGGCCACTTACGGTTGCAAAAGTGGTCCCTATACGGGTTTTAGTTAGTGGCGCTTATAGGGGATATGCTAGTCGATAATTTTTATGAACTCTGCGTTCCCATGGGAAAAATTGAATGAATAAGCGTTTTTGGATGAAATTGAAAGACCCCTGTAGGGTTCACTTGACCTTTGAGGGCAAAGGGGTCAGGTCCTACACCCCTATAGGGACCACATTTTCGTCCCCTATAGGGATTGTTTTTTACCCTAACCCCTACAGGGACCACTCTAGAAATCCTGAGTATCAACTTAATTTCAACACAACGCACCTGAAGTAACCCCTTGAGAGGCTTTTTCAAGTTCATAGTCGCGACTCGTGAATTCGCATCTTTCTCCGGAAAATCCACCACCACACCTGAACTCTCCTCATTATTTGAATTATGATTTTTTCACTCACTCGCAGCTCGGAAAATCGTTGAACATGCTGCAGTTTCCTTTGTTGAAGCAGAAAGATTCGCAGGACGGAGTTCTAGGTGAGAAAAGTCGTTCTTGATTTCTCTGCATTCACCAACCTGCAGACAAGGCCTGACCAGCCTGGAGGACAAATGCAAACAGGAGAGGTGCTCTCGAAAAACGTTGAGCAGACTCCTCCATTGGAGCATTCGATTGAGCCACACGATTGAGCCGCAATTCGGTCACACCTGAACTTTTTGTTCACTTCTTTGAAAACTTCAATTTCTTGACTTCTTTCTCTCGCTTTTTAGGGCGGCGCTCGGCGTTCCCAGAACATCAAAAAAAAAAAAAATTCGGCGCGAAAATCTCAAGTACGCAGCCAAAGGCGATCTAACAAACAAGTTATTAAGGTTGAATACTCATTTAATTTGTGACGTAGAATGACGTCATTTTTTCCGGAGCGCGCACTTTTTTTTTTGTAAATTCAGAAATCTTGACGCCTCGCTCACCTTCTCTTACCCCCTTAAGAATGCCGAGCAGCGTTCCGACAAGAGCCATTTTTCCATTGCGAAGAGTACTGTATGCGAATATCCGTGCATGCAGTTTGTGTGTTTACACTCTCGTTGCGTGACTTCACCGCGTCGTACAACTAGTAGTTAACTGTGAGCTTTGCATTTTTTTTTTCGACGATATTTGCACTATCCTCAAAAAACCGAAAAAAAAGTTCAGAAACAAAAACTCGTAGATGACGCGGAGACTGTAAATCCACAAAGTTCATGCACGCAATGCGCAAATTCGCATACAGTACTCTGTGCAAATAAAAAAACGCTCTTGCCGTAGCGACTTTAGGGCTTTATATAAACTCACAGATTTCTATCAATAAAAATATTTCAAGATTCCGTGTAAAATCTTCATTCCGTGTAAAATCTTCACTCGAAGTGGTAGCTCTCATTCCGAGGCTTCCACCTAGAGCACGGTCTCCGGGCTCCAGCACAACATCCGCTACATTCTGAGCTCGTCAAGGCGCAACTGGATGGACTACGCGCAGAAGGACGAGGCGAAGGACCGTAAGAACATGCTTTCAACTCTTTCGACTACACGTTTGGACTTCTAGTTCGCCAAAGGCGGTTGTTCGTTATAGCTTTTAAAGTTCTTGTTCACCGCCTAGTCGATACATCTATGACTAAACCAACAAAATAAATGATGATTTGAAGAGAGCCATTAAATATGTGATAAGAAATAGATCTGACCGATCGCCGCCGACGCCGACCGGACAACTGCAGACGGCACTGCCGTTGTCGAGCCGGGAACAGACTCCGCCGTTGAGACAGGCGCCGGCGTCGCAGCCTCCGTACTGTTCGCAGCGTGGGCCCAGGTAGCCACTGCGACAGCGGCACTCGAGGTGCGTCGCGTTCTTCGAGCACTCGCCGCCGTTCAAGCAGTACTCCGAGCATTCCACTTCTTTCTGGCAGCGCGGGCCTCTGAAGTTAGATTTTTTTTCGGTTCATCGTGCTCTAGTATATGGGTAGTCATGGACCCGAAGAATAAAACTACCATAGAATTCATTTCATTGTTCGCACTTACGAGAATCGCGAAGGACAACGACAGCTTCCAGGATTTCCGAGGGAATCCACGCATCTTCCACCATTCTGACACCAGTCGGGGCGCTTCTGACATATCGGGCGACAGTCTCGATTCGAAGCATCTTAAAGAAAGGCACTTGATTCGTAGGCTGATTGTTTCTGATACCTGCGGTCGGGGTGCAGAGGCAAGTGACGTCTTTAGAAGTCTTTGCCGCCTGGAATGCATCTGTGACCGTAGGGACAGGCTCCTGAAACGCAAGCTGAGAAATTATTTCTCTCCAAAATAACCGTCGCAGATGTTGACTTCGCAGTTGGGACCGTCGAAGCCAGGCGGACAGACGCAGCGCTGGCGGTCGACGCAGTGACCTCCGTTGAGGCAGCGCAGCAAGACGCCGTTGGACTTGTTGCAGTCTTCGCAGCGGCCTCCGGAGAATCCACGTGGGCACGCGCACCAGACCTGTTGCGAGTCTTGCGAGCTTCCGTATCCGCGGGTGCATTCGCCGCCGTTGAAGCAGTACCCCGGCTTCGCGCAGTCGTTTCCGACCTTTTCCAGACAAGAAGGACCTGTCCAGCCCTCATCGCAGACACAGGCCGTTTTCACCGGACATTTCGAAGAAAGACCTGAAAATGTGGGCTCATTGACCAATGGCTCGGAGAGGAAAAACCGGCAAGACAAGGAGCTGTCCGACAAGTCCCGTGAGGACCACAAACGACGTCGCACACGTGAGTCTCGCAACGCGAGCCCGTGTAGTTGCCGGGACATTGGCACTTCACAGAAATCTCCTCGTTCCCGTTGCCGACCACGCATTCAGCGCCGTTCAGACACGTGTCTTTGCAAACTTCGATCTCAACACAAATTATCAATTCTCTTTTTATTTTTATTTAAATATCGTTTTCAATTTTCTCTTACATACTCGGACATTGCTAACGCGAAACGAACGTGCTTCAGACTTTTCTGGGCATTTCTAGTGACCACTTCAGTAGCGTCAGCACTCTTAAGTGATCCTAGAAATGCCTAGAAACGTTCGGAGCACGTCCGTTTCGCGTTACCTTTGTCCTAGGTACTTTGAAATTCAAACGGGTGAGAAAACTGAATGTTTCACAAGACAATCCAAACTTTGAACGAAAACACTTTTTTAATACCTCACAGAAACGGCCGCCGAATCCGGGCCTACAATGACATTTCTTCAGCCATTTGTTGCAGTAAGCACCGTTGTAGCAGAAATAATCGAAACACTCTGCAAAGTTAAAAATTGGCAGACAATTCTCTTGAGAAACACGAACGATCTGCCATTTTGGGCTCTGGAACGATGAGTTTGCAGGACTTGGCGGCTTCGTCGTACTTCTTGTGCATCTCGCAGCGGCACTGGGATCGGAGGACGCCGTCGGGACTTCTCGACGGAATGCAGACGGATCCCGTCGGACAGGCTTTTTCCTTGCACGGCTTCTCGCCTCCAGCGCCGATAACGCTTTTCGCTGCTGAAAATTTTCACAGCTGCTTAGAGGAAACAAGCGAGCAATATTTCTAACGCGACCACACCGGCAAAGTTGGAAAGGGTGGAAAAAGGCTCCATAAAAATGTTAATTTTAGGGTGACGAAGGTTCCTGCCTTTTTTCACCATTTTTGCTGCCTCTTTCCACCATTTCTTGAGCCTTTAAAATCCCAGAAAAAATGGGATAAGGGGACTCTTTTTGCTGCCTTATTGCGGCCATTATAGTCCGTTCAGATTTTTAATGTCAAGTGCTATGACGTCATTCAAGAACACTCTGTGGATGGCTCGCTCTCTGATTGGTTTATCGCGCCATTAGGGGCGGAGCTTGAGCGACGATTCAAAATCTAAACTGACTATATCCATCATTCCCGACTTTGCCCAAAATTTTTAAACTTCTCCAGAGTTTTTTTTTCAAATGATCACAGAAAATTTTTCATTTTTATGTACTTTTTCAGGCATTTTCTGGAAATAAGGCAATAAAAATTGTTAAAAATGAATTTCCTAGACGTAGTTCTTGAACTTGTCAGTATATGACTCATAGACCAACCGAATCTTTTTGCTGGATTGACCACTTTGAGTAGGGCAAACGGCGAGCTTCTGAGCAGTCTTTGGATACTCGAGATTTCCGCTGTGAACTTGTGGATCCTGAGCAGGGAACCGTGGACATCAACGGCGTAGAGAAAGTCGCCGAGGACGTCTATCGACGTCGGCATGGCTGAAAAAACCTTGCAAAATGATCAAGATTAGGAGGTTGGAAACCTTCGGATCTTTTGAACTTTTTGACAACCCTACGGTTCTTCCCATCAAACAGTGACGATTCGATAGTTCTTTTGAAGGTATCGATCCAATAAATTCGTCTGAACAGATTATGTGTTCCTTCGCCGTTTTCTTCACTCACTCGTTAGGAACGTCTGCGATCAGAGATTTCGGTTGGAAGACACGGCGATCTATAATTGGAGAGATCTTCCCTTGCACTGGAGATCCATCGAGTTGCGTCGAGTAGATCAGAGCAACAGGCGTAGTCACGGACCAGAAAAGACGACTGAAACGTTTGCTTCAGTGAAAAGGATTGGCTAAAAAGGACAGACTTGTACTCAGGTGCCACTGTCAGAGCCGAAATTCTTCCTGTTGCATTGACAACTACCGTCCGCACTGGCTGAGAATTTTCTCGATAGTTCACGGCGAAAATGATGTCATAGGGGCTTCTGCAGTCAAAACACAGTGTTGGGGATCAGTCGGGTGGAAAAACTTGTGACTATCAGACTGGCTGACGTAGACGTTGCCATACACGTAATCCAGAGCCATGTAAGTTTCCATGAACAGGTTAGCCTAAAGAACCTCTTTGAAGAATGGAACAAAGGGACTGTTACAACTTTTTGAATAGCTTTTTTTGAGCTGCTCTCCACCTCGACCATTTCAACTTTCAAACCGTCGCTCGTGCTGCTGGCGACCGTCAGTTGCGTCTTTTTGGTGGCGTCGAAGAAGAAATCGAACGCGCTGATTGCGTTTTCTTTCCAGATTTTCTCCATTCTTTTCAACTGAGATCGAGAAGCTTGAATCAGAAAAGGATGAGTGCTGACCTTGGCGCCGTTTGTGACGTCGCCATCAAGTGAGACAAGCCAGTTCAGACCATCTCCATTGAGGACCAGGAACTCGGTGAAGTTGCTCACTGCGTTCGATGTGTTTGACAGGGGTTAAACTTATAGGACTCACTAGGAACACAAGAATTGGAAGGATGCCGTCCTCGGGTGTATCCGCGGGTGCAATGGCAACGAGGAGCATCCTTGTAGTCGCGCCAACAACGCTGAGAGCAGACGCCGAAGTGCTGGCACATTTCCCCTAGGGTTAGAGTCTGTCTCAAGAAGGGATCTTCTGGGGCGATACCACACGCTTCTTCGTCGCTCCCGTCCGAACAGTCACGGCGTCCATCGCAGACGAGGTCCTTCGAGATACAACGGCCGTTCGTGCAGCGAAACCCGTCACGACACGACCCTTCGCCTGAATATTCTTATCACCCTCTAGACTTGAATTAATAGTCTGTTCAGATTTTAAATGTCAAGCAGCAAACTCCGCCCCCATCAACACTCTGTAGATGGCTCGCTCTATGATTGGTTTGGTCTAAGCGTAAGGGGCGGAGCTTGAGCTTGGTTGTGGTACTCACACCGCTGTGGATGTTCGTCGCTTCCATCTACGCAGTCGGAAAAACCGTCACAGTGTGCAGCCAAGTCGTAGCATTGGTTCTTATCCTCGCACGCCGCCAGGTGAAGGCATTTCAGACGTCCTACGAACAACTTTCGAAGGCCGAGGTCAACTTTCTTACGATTAGAACAAGTGACGTTCGACTCATCTGCGCCATTGAGACAATGCCGAATTCCGTCGCACACGAAATACTCCTCGATCCATTGATTCTTGTCCATCAGCGAACTTCGTCCACAGAAAAAGCCACTTTCTTTCTTTTCTAAAAAAAAAGTGAATAGAGAGGCTCATGAAAAAACTACGAGAATCGAAAATTCAAACTTCATATGAATATAAATCTAACCAGCACCTTTTCGGCCTCATTCCAGGTATGGATCAGGTACAATTAAAAAAACTTGGCTGTTTTTAATCTTATTCGAGGAATATTTTTCGATATTCTTTCTCTAATTTTTACGTTTAAAAATTATATTCGCAAATTGCCAATTCTGCTAAATTGAGACGCTGAGGGGGCGTGGCGTCTCTGAGCTCTCCACCAACCAACCACTGTTTCTTTTATTATCATGTCAGGACATTTTTTTGAATGGCTCAAGTCAGCCGTGAATCAGCTATATATTGTGGGACACTTTTTTGAGTTTGATAAACAAAAAAGCTTTTTTAGATCCAAAAATTTCTCATGATGAGGTTTCAACTGACCACAAAATCTTTCGTCGCTTCCGTCGGCGCAGTCCGATTCTCCATTACAGAGCAAGTTCGCAGCGACGCAACTGCGCTCATCCGCACATTGCAACTTTCCAGAGCAATCTGAAACCGTTCGAGTGAGAAAGCACTCGGAAAAGACTCGCCGATCGGTTGGCAGTCCATCTCATCTTCTCCGTTCAGACAGTCCTTCTTGCCATCACAGCGGAGTCGTAGACAGGCCGTGTCGAACACATCTTTCCCGCCTTTGGCCGTGGCCAGACGTCGAAGGACGCAAGCTTCTTGAGACTCGTCGGTGCCGTCTCCGCAGTCGTTCTTGCCGTCGCACAAGTCTTCCTCCATGATGCACTCCGAACGGCACTTTAACAGACAGGAACCCGCGCACTCTGAAAAGATCTGCGTTTTCCACCACGCGACGCTTCTCACCGATCTCGTCGCTGCCGTCCCGACAATCGTGGACGCCGTCGCAGCGACGATGTTGAGCTATGCATTTCCCGCTGTCGCACTGGAACTGCTGCTGCGTGCACGTTTTCATCGCTATAAACAAAGAATGCTTGGGAAGGTCGATTGGGGCATTACCGCAGGTGTCCGGCTCGTCCTGGCCGCTGGGGCAGTCAGCTTCGCCGTCGCAGAAGAATTCGTTGGGGATACAGCGGTCGATGGTGCTCGACGTGTCATTCAAACATGCGAAGAATCCCGCTCCACAGTCTTTGATTTCTAAACTTTTTTTTAAGAGGCATCCTTTTAGTGAATTTCTACCTACAGCATTCTATATGGGTTTCTTAAAAACTAGAAATTATAGAACTTTATACTGCATAAGCCTAAGAAGCTTTCTTTATATTGCATTTTTCCACCAATAAAAGGCCCAAATTAAAACTTGCCACATTCACGCTCGTCGCTTCCATCGCCACAATCGTCTCGTCCGTCGCAAACCGCAGAAATGGAAATGCATTTTGCGCTTGTTCCCGCACTTGAAATGGCCGTCTCCACAGTCGAATTGCTCTGGAATTTCTCAGAATGAATTTTTTGTAGTCTGGGTCAGAATTGAAATCCAAAACCATGATGAGAATTCAGAGTTTCTTACCATTAGACGTTACCACACTGATTAGATTTGAAAAAGGAAAAATAATTTTCATATAGTTTTAGTTCACTAAACATCCTTATAGGGAAAGTTCAAAAAAAAATTTTCTTTTTGAATACTCAACCAGTTCGAGTTGAGAGCTTTCAAAAACTAATATGTTACAATTTTTTTCAATTTGAGACAAAAAAACAAATTTTTGCAGCTCATTTGTCTACTTGGGCAAAGTTGGAACGGTAGATGATGGTCGCTAAAAGTTAGAGGATCAAAAAAGGCAGCAAAAAGAGTCCCTTTATCAAGCCTTCCATTTTTTCTGGGATTTTAAAGGCTCAAGAAATGGTGAAAAAAGGGAGAGGCAGCAAAAAGAGACCTTTGTCACCCTAAAAAACGCATTTCTATGAGCCACCCTCTCTGACTTTAGTTATGACTTTTACACTGTTCTTTCTTTCAAGTTTACGAATTATATATTTGGCAAGCATTTTATCTTCAAAAGTACCACAGAAGGCGGGTTTCTCGTCGTCGTTGCCAGGACAGTCGCTGACGCCGTCGCAGAGCCTCGAAGCGTAGAGACAGACGCGAGTGTGGTTGGCAGCAGAGGTCGCCGCGCAGAGGAACTGTCCAGACTCGCAGGGGAAAGGCGGGCACACGTTGGGGTTGAAGAATCCCTCGTCTTGTCCGTCGCCGCAGTCGTCCTGACCGTCGCACCGCCACCACTGCGGGATGCATTTGTAGGTGTCTCGACAGACAAAGTCCAGCCTGACAACAAATCAAATTGATTCAAAGAGGACGTTCGCGGAAACTTCCAACTTCAGAGCAGTTCAAAAAGCATTTTCGTGAAATGAAAAAATTCTCAAGAATTTTTCGAAATCCTGTTTCATGATACAGGATATTCAAAGTGCTTACTCAGGAACTCCAGAGTGGTCCCATAGGGGTAACCTTAGGGTCCTTGGAGGGTCCCCTTTGGGAACCACTTCACCAACTCCTATAGGGGCCCCTGGGGCTTGCAATTATAGTCCCTTGAGGGGTTTTTGAACTCTATGCGAAGAAGCATTTCCATAAAAAATAAATTTTTTTCGAATCAAACTGAACGACCCCTATAGGGACCACTTGAGCTTCAGGGGCCAGGAGATCTGATCCTAAACCCCTATAGGAACCACCTTGATGTTACCCCTATAGGGACCCCTTTTTCGGTCCATATAGGGTTGTTTTCTCCCTAACCCCTTCAGGGACCACTCTGGAATTCCTAAGTAGTTCAAAAACATCTCGACGATTGATAAATCTATTCTCAAAAACTTCCCTAAATTTCCAAAAAGATTGAATTTGTTTAACAAAAAACAACGATTGTTTAAAAAAAAAACAGCTTTAAAAAGTGCTTTTCTTTTCATAAGACCTTCTATGGCAATTTTTCAACTGAAATTTAAATGTCACTGAAAAAAACGCATGTTTAGCTTCGAGAAAACGAAAAAAAACTGACGGCTTGCACTCAGACACGCAAGAACGACCTTCTGGTCGGAAGCCTTGGGCGCAGAGACAGGTGAAGTTCTCTGAAATCGCTGAAGTTCGCACTGCAGTTTTGTAGGAAATACCGTTTCGAGGTAGGGATGCAGAGATTGTCGCAACGGCCCGGCTTGGAGCATGGATGATTGGCGACGGAGCGACTTCCGAAGCTTTGAAGTCCTGGATGAACAACTTTGAGGCCCATTATACGGTATTGCTCATCGTGGATGATGACTTTTCGGTTCTCAGCTGTGATCTTGTGCGCCCTGGGACCAGGAAAAGGGATGGAATTGGATCGTTTCTTGTACCTCTCGACGGTGTGATTATGCCAGTCGGACCAATAAAGGTAGTCGTCGAACACGAACATGGAGAAGATGTGGCGGACGTTTCTCATCACGATTCGCCGACGAGAGCCGTCGTAATCGCACGAGCCGATGTAGTCGCGGTTGGCGTCGCCGAAGTAGAGACGGAGCGCCATCGCGTCCACCGCCAGGGCATTTGGCCAACGAATTGTACGATCCTGGACATGACAATAGTCAGAAACCAGAACTCATTCCGATATTTTTAGCAGACAGGAGGGTTTTTTTTTTCTACCTCAAAGCCCAGTTTTTAACTTCCAAGAAATCAAGGATAAGAGTGCCAAGATTGAGGAGAAAAAAAAGGGAAACCTGAAGGATGACGCGGAAATTCGTGCCGTCCATTGACATGCAGCCGACGTGAGCCGATGTTCCCCAGTCAGTCCAAAATAGAAGGCTGAAAGGGAACAGGATGAAATGTTTCAGTTTTCAGAATACCCTCGAGAAGGATCCAACGCGACGGCACGCGGATCGTTCAGAGGCGATCCTTTGAGAAGCACCCTGCTGTAACGTCCTTTCATGTCGCAGACCTGCAACATAGAACCCTAGTGAATGAATTTATTGATCTGACAAGAGTGATAAAAAAATCTTCTTCTTCCTAAGCCTTTGTACCACTTGAGCGGTGTCGGCGCCATGGATTTTCGGCCACAGTGATGCAAGTTCTAACCCCAGGAAGGTAGTATTAACTTTCATTCAGAGAAACTTGGGAAAAGGGGTTGGCGGCCTTAAAAAAGGTCTGCCCATGTATGGTCGGCGCTTCACATCGGTTAACCAAAATCCCATCCTGATATCAGTGATAATAAGTGGACTGGCTCTAGTGACATATTGCTGATACACGGGTGGCTCGAGCTATCGAAAAAGGGTCCTAACACGATAATAAAGGAGATAGTGCCTGGCAGGTGGAGAGCGCAGACAGGCCACGCCCTCGGTCGTGAATCGGCTATTTCTGTCCTAGTGCGTGACAGCTGGGGATTTTAGAAGTCTTGGTTTCCCACTACCGAAATTTCTTAAACCCCTTGGGTCGAGGCAGGGATCGAACTTGTGACCCTGTGGACCATAGACAGGCACACAACCTATTGCGCTACGGTGCGCCCCAAAAGTTATAACCCATGTACTCAGAATACTTGGAAGCTTTCGAAACGGTTAGAAAAATTACCGCGATGCAGTCTTGCTGTCGGTCCGTGTAGTAGACGTTACGGCCGATCCAATCGACTGCGATGCCGTCGACGCCTTTCGTGGGAAGGCCGTTCAAAACCTCGAAAAGAACCGTTCAAAATCTTCTTTCTAGATTAAGGGAGTAAAAAACAAGCTTGGATACTATAGCCAAAGAAAATTGAGCTTAGTGGTACAATAAGAATTCGAAAAAAAATTATTTTGATTTGAATGATTTTTAAAACTTCACGAAGCAGAGCTCTCAGTCCAACCTTTAACCAAAGTAAAAAATACTGAAAAAGGCCTAATTTTCTAAAAAGAAAACCTTGTAGCTGTGGGGCTCTCCACTCATGGAAACGACGCCGAATTTGTTGCCGCTTTTGTCGACGTCCGTCCAGTAGACGAGGCTCGTGCGTACGTCGTAGTCGACAGCGATTCCGTTGGTCAGATTCTCGAGCAAAATCGACTTCGAATGCCCGTCCAGTGTGTACATCTTTATTCGATGACCAAACGTGACTAGCAACTCAGGTTCGACTGAAAATTTATAATTTTTTGCACATCTCCCGCGTTCCTTCTTGCTAGCTGTTTGAAGGACTATCGGCGTTTTTGAGATTATATTTCTTCTTTTGTTTTTTTTTTTTTTGAGATTGAGATTATTATTTCAAACTTTCCGAATTTTTCACATCCGGTTTTTTCCTAGCAAAAAAAAAACGTTTTCACATCTAAAATTATCTAAAAATTCGTTTTAACGACACTGAGGCAAAAAGACGAAGACGGTACAGACCTTAAAAAAAGACGAAGACGGTTCAGACCTCCACAGTAGTCCCTAAAGGGGTTTTAGTTAGTGGCCCCTATAGGGGTCATGCTAGGCTATAAGTTTTATGAACTATATGTGTAGAAGCATTCCCAAGCGAAAATAAGTAAATAAGTTTTTTGAATGAAATTGAAAAACCCCTGTAGGAAGCACCTTGATTTTACCCCTATAGGGACCACTTCTTCGATCCCTAGAGAGGATTTTTTCCGCCTATTTCTCTATAGGGAGCACTTTTTCGGTTCCTATAGGGACCACTCTAAAATACCTTTGAATGATAAGTTTCAGAAGTTTCAGAAGTTCCAGAAAACAAGATCTCAACACTGATTTTTAAAATAACAATTTTCTAAAATCTTCTTTGACTCAGTTTCTCTTCCAATAGCGGATCTGATTGAGAGATGAATTCAGAACTGACTCGAGTCTTCACGCTTGCAGTCGTGTCCGTTCGGAGAAAGACGGTAGCCGGCGCCGCAGAGACATTGGCTTCCGCTGTTGGGACGGTCGACGCAGAGCTGCGAGCAGTTGGCTAACGGACACGATGGCGCACCTTCAACAACTCTTTTCCTAGCCTTCCTAACGGAAAGCCTTACGCAAGCAGGTCTTGCGGTCGTGGGGGCTCAGATGGAAGCCTTCTGTGCACTGGCATTCGTAACCGTTGGGGGTGTCGATGCAAATCTGGTCGCACAGATCGTGAGTCTGGTCCGCCAAACACTCATTCCTCCCACAGTTTTTCTCATCGTTTCTGAAACTCTTGTCGAGGTCGGGAAGGCCAAACGTACTGAATAAAAAGTCAGGGAACACATTTACACATTTCTTTAGTCTTCAGACGGGAGAATTACCGAACATCTTCAAGAATAAATAAATGAAACAAACCCATCGAGACAATCGACTTTCCCATCACACAGTTTCTGGTTGGGCAAGCAGGATATCGTGCCATTTTTCTGGACGCAGTGAGCTAAACCAGAGGAGCAGGCGCGAGTTGGAGGTTCGGAGTAGGAGCAGAGCTGAAAGGAATCCTCAGCTAGGACTGGCCGACGGACGAGCTCACCTCCGGCCACTCGTCGCTCCCGTCGACGCAGTCAACGCGCAGATCACACTGGCTCGTGCGACTGATGCACTGTCCGTTGGCGCACATGAACTGCGAAAGGCCACAGCTTCTGTCAGGGCCAGCTGAAAAAAAGGACGTCTTCTCAGAAATGCTATTTTTCGATGGAACAAGGCCGGATCGACTCTAACAAGATTTGCGGTGCACCTTGAAGTGTAGCCAGTGGCGCATCAATGAGTTCACGAGAATGAAAAAAAAAAAGAAAATGGTTCGGGTGCAGTAGAATGTGAAGAAAAAACCAAATTTTCTTTCAATTATAAAGTCCGTTCAGATTTTAATCTCAAGTAGAATGACATCATTCGAAAACGCTCTGTGGATGGCTCGTTCTCTGATTGGTTTATCGTGCCATTAGGGGCGGAGCTTGAGCGGGGACTTGACATTTAAAATCTGAACAGACCATATTTCGATCATCAACTAACCGCAATTTTGTTCATCAAAGCCGTCGGAGCAGTCGCGGATCCCGTCGCACAAAATGGCCGTCACTAAAACCAAATTAGATACATTCTAGCTGAAAAAAAAGATTACATTCGCAAGGAACTTCGTGATCACAACGTCCGCCTTCACACCGACCCGCGAAAATCGTGGAGCCTGAAGGTCATAAAACTTTCCGGAAGATGTATTCAGCCAACCTGCGCAGTCCATCTCATCGGTTCCTAGTCGACCGACGCCGTTGTCCATGCAGTCGTCGACGCCGTCACAGCGCCACGTCATCGGTATACACCGATGGTTGGTGCATCGGAAGGTGGTGTTGGCCTCGCCGGCACACTCGTTGCTGCGATTCGTCGGATTAGGGGAGAAACCGAGGGGAGCTTACTGCTCGCAGTCGAGCTCGTCTTCGCCATTGGGACAGTCCTGGTGTCCATTGCACTTTTCTTCGATCGCGATGCATCCACGCGACTTCGTGCACTCGAACTCGAACTTCGGACTACACGAGCTTTCTGAGAATCAGAAGTTCACGACGGCGGATGAGGGCGATACAAACGGCAATTCTGCTCGTCGCTGCCGTCAAAGCAGTCCGGGGAACCATCACAAACCCAATGACGGGGCATGCAAACTCGCGAAGCATTGCACCGGAATTCGGAAGGCTGACACTGCTGTGGCGGCGACACCTTGTCGCCATCAACTGCAAAACATTTGATGGCCAAAAATATACAATATACGTGAACCAGGAATAATACAGCGTGAGCCTTCAAACATATTTTAGGGAGACAAACGAACAAGTGAGGAAGCAATCGCGTTCGTCGCTGCCGTCCCAGCAGTCGTCGCGACCGTCGCACTTCCAAGAAGGCAAGATGCACTGCGTCGTCGTCTGACAGTTCACCATTTTCGCCCCCAGTTCCACAATCGCCGAGCAGTTGCGAGGTGCTTAAAGAATGTTTCTGAGCGAAAATGGTCCAAATTGAAGGGCTCACGACAGTCTTTCTCGTCGCTGGCATCGTTGCAGTCTTGTGTGAAGTCACATCGAGACTTTCCTGGAACACAGACACCCGAAGAACATCTGCAAAACGGCCAAGCTCAAGTAACCTTCTTTTTTAGTTTGGTAACAAAAGATGAACCAGAATACAGTCTGCCTCATCGTTTTCAAATTTGAAAAAGAAGACGTCAAAAAGACTCAATTGTGGTACTCAGGAATTTTTGAGTGATCCCTGTAGGGGTTGAGGGGAGAAACATTTTCCCATGAAAATGCTTCTTCACATAAAGTTCATAAAAATTATGGACTAGCATGTCCCCTATAGGGGCCAATAACTTCGCAAGACTTGATGACCCTTATAGGGGTTGCTAAAGTGGTCCGTAGAGGGGACCCTCCAAGGGATTCTAAGGTTGCCCCTACAGGGACCACTCTGGAGTTCCCAAGTATCTACTTACTTGAACTCATCTTCGCTGCATGTACAGTTGGCCTCGTCGGCAAAGTTGTAGCAATCGTTGACCCGGTTGCAGCGTTTCGACTCCGGGATGCACAGGCCTCCGTCGCCGCAAGAAAAGTAGCCAGGCCGGCAGACACGGGTCGCTGCAAGGTCCTTGGCGGTGCTTGCGACAGAACGAGAACCACTCACAGCAGTACTTGATGTCCTCGTCGTCAGAGAAAGGACAGTCGTTGTGGTCGTCGCAAGTCTCTTCGTAGGGGATGCACCTGTAGCTCGCCAAGCAGCTGAACTCGTTCTCCGCGCACTTGGTAGACGCTGAACATCGCTTTAGGTGAAAGTGCGCAGCTTGATTTTAAAAAAAGCAAAATTTTCTGGGAGGTGGCGTGGCCTGTCTGCGCTCTACGCCAACCAGGCTTCTTTTATCGTGCCATGACCCATTTTTCGATGGCTCAACCCAGCCGTGAATCATCCTTTCTATAATTTAATGATAGGTGTACTATGGGGAGAATTAAATCTGTTTCTGAAACGTCGACATTTCTTTTCACTCACTTAAAAAGGCACAGAAACATTAGATCGAAAAAGGATGGAATTTAGATGAATTAACGCGCAACCGTCTGGGGGTCTCTAAAATTGACGGTCTAGTGAGCGATATATCGTTCGAATTTTCCCTTTTGCCATCATTAGAAAATAATTCAGCAATTAAAATTGAGTTTTGTAACAACATTAAAATCTGAAAATTGAGTTTAGAATGAAGGTGATGAGGGCTATAATTGAGGTAAGCTGTACGTTTTTTGTAAAGTCTAGTGATGTATATTTATATCTATGAATAGAGTGTTTTTTCTCAATTCAATTAAAGAGAGTGCAATTTGAAAACTATTCCAATGCGAGCTTTTTTTGGTGTAAAAAGTTTTTCGCGTTGCTCATAGATGTTTCATGAATATTTAGTAAAAAGCAGTTTGAACTTTTCAGTTATACCCAAATAAACCAACCAGGATGGCAAGTCCGGTTGTCGCTTGACATTTTCCGCTCTCCAATGCAACCGCATTCCGGGCGTCCATCGGCCGTCAAACGGCAAACGTCGCCGCATTTTAGGTCGGCTGTGAGACACAAATCCGCAGGACCTGAACCGACGTCTTCCAGATGAAGTGAAACCGGAAGCTCTCACAATAGGTAGCCGATTGGTCCATGACGGCGAGGTCGAGAGGAATGCTGCTGAGGTTGGCCACAACTCGAAGTCCATCGCCTGTCAGCTTGTCCGCGGCTCCGATCCACCTATCAGATACTTTTAAAAACTATGAAACGCTGATTTTGGAACCATCTGTAGGCGTCCGTTGTTATCAGGTAGTCTTCATAGATGGCTATTCGAGATGGATAATTTGGACTGCCATTCAAGACGGTCTGGAAGAAAGGTTCGGGCTGGTCTCGAAATGGAGAGAACAGACCTCCACATTCGTGCCGTCGAGGTCAGAGCGAAGAACATCGGAAGAAGTTCGCTGTGTGTAGTAGAGTTTCTGCGATTTGACATCCACGAGTAAACCAGTGACTGGCCCGAGGCCATCTTCATGAATCACTTCCTGAAGACAACAGACACTGATACATTCGGCAAGAACTCGGAAACCCTCTTGAATCCGCTGTAATAAACACGTTCGATGAAGTTCACTCCATTGGACCCTTGCAGAGTGAAGTAAATGAGCATACGGCATGGATGAAGAGCTATCAGATAGGGCGAATTCTTGAAAAACGTCACGACAGGAGAGGCAGTAGTTGGGAATCTTAAAACATGATTGAAAACAGAATAGCTCCATTTCTTCACTTGGTTATTTCATTGTTCAGTTGAACCTTCCAAATGGATCCAGGATTCAATCGAGTGAAGAAAAGCTCCTGATGGACGTTGTCGTAGGCCATTCCTTCGACCATGTCCACGTCTGGATTCGGTCTTATGATTTCGGTTCTTCAGATTCCGAATACCTTCCACTACAACGAAACAGCCGGTGCCGTCGAAGTTCACCGCCGAAATACGGTGTTTCTCCGCGTCGGCAAAGTAAATGCGCGATCGCTTCGCATCTACAGCCAGTCTCCAGACTTTGCTGAACAGAAAAGACATTTTTGGAAGGCTCCAAGGGATTTGATATACTTCATATAACACTGTTCAGAAGTAATCGGTCGATTCGGTGGAGACGAAGTATGGTTGGAGTGAGGCAAATGAGCAAATTCAATTGAATGTAACCGTGAGAAAACAATAAACCCTTTGTAAGCTGAAAAAGAGTTGTTGGGGAGGGATATCTGTTTGAACCTACGTAGGCAAGAACCGTTAGCAGAAAGCTGAGAATGAGCACAAAGACACGTTTTGGAGACCCGTTTGTCATTTTTGTCGAAAGAAGTCAAGCACAAGTGCTCGCACCCGCCATTATAGTTAGAGCAAGCCGTGAAGAGTACTGAACAGGAAAGTGAGAAATAGGAGATAAAGCTCTCAAACCTCCGTTTTCCTTATCTAAAACAGACAAATCAAAAAGGCGCAGTTTCTGACGAGGTATTCGTTTTCGCACGGCTCCTTGTGCGACGAAAGTCCCGTCCGCAGCGCGTAAACACCTAATAATCGACCCTGATGCGTTGTACCTGCCAACGCCCCTTTAAAAAAAGTTTCTGACACGAGCAAACTTGTCAAAGAAAAAAAGTTCATCTCCATTAATTGTGAAAACAACAGACTCGCCCATTCCCTGAGGTCTGAACATGGCGACGTTCCGCTGAAATTTCGCGTTTTTTCTGCATTTTCTGAATCCCACAAGGTTACCTGGAGCCCTTCGCCTTCGTAATCTACACAGTCGACAGCAGATTTATCACTATCTACAAAAGCACAATCGCGAGGCTTTTTCGTCCACGGCAATGGCAGAGACGGCTAAAAGAGTGAAGGTTGGACATTCTTAGGATCTCCAGAGTTGTCATCATGGAGGGTCCACTCTAGGGGCTTTTTTACCAACCCCTATAGGCTTGCAAAAGTAGTCCCTACAGGGGTTTTAATAAGGGTCTTCTATAGGAAACATGCTATTCAATATAGTCTGTTCAGAGTTCGAATGTCAAGTCCGTCATTAGAAAACGCTCCGCGCATGTTCTGGTCTCTGATTGGTTTACTCAACAAATAAGCGTTTTTAAATGAAATTGAAAGGCCCCCATAGGGTCAACTTGAGCATTAGAAGCTAACAGGAACCCCTATAGGGACCACTTTTCCGGCCCCTATAGAGGCTGTTTTTAACCCTGCAGGGACCACTCTAAAATTCCTAAGTTCTGTGAATAGAACTTACCGCCATTGAAGATGCATCTAGGATTGCTTCCGTTGTACGATGCCGTTTTGATACAAGAAACACTGACCCAAAAAATTCGCCTGAAACTTTCCATATATGATTGGTTTCTCAACTCGTTGAAAACCCTCTAGGTGGGTCGACAGCGAAATCCAACGGGATTCTCTCGTGTTCTTCGACGATGACGACGCGAACGTCAGCCTCCGCTTTTGCAGGATCGAGGACCATGACGACTCCACCAGGTGCCGTCGTTGGCCGGGACAACATCAAAAGGTATCCTGGAAACTATTCTCAACCAAACGAGAGATGGTTCCACACCGGTTGTTTTGTCGACAACTAGTTTTGCCAATTTGTGGTTGCCTCCGTAGAAGACTCTTCGCGCCAGAGATCCGTTCCTCGTGGTCATCCACACCTCGTTTGTCTTCGTCAGGGCGTAAACCTCAAAAAAAAGCCAGCATTAAAATTGTTAAGAGCAAGAGACCGTTCAAAAAGAAAAAAATATTATTAACTGAGAAAAATTGTAATAATTCCTCTAAACTTCTTATGAAAAAAATCAATTTCATACACTAATGGTCGAGGGCTCATTAAAATTTTGCCTGATAAAACCAAAAATAGACTAATATTTTTTTTACTCACAAGAAGTTATTTTTATCATGATCAATAAACATAGGCAAAATCCGAAGGGTGCAGAAAGGCTCCATAGAAATGTTCTTTTCAAGGTGAAAAAGGCTCCTTCTTTGCTGCCTTTTTGGCCATTTCATCGGCTTTTATGCACCATTCTTTCTGCCTCGCTCTTTTTCCACCATTCCTTGAGCCTTTAAAATCTCAGAAAAAAAAATGGAAGTCTTGATACAGTCTGTTCAGTTTTTGAATGTCAAGAAGAATGACGTCATTCAAAAACGCTCTGTGGATGGCTCGCTCTCTGATTGGTTTATCGCGCCATTAGGGGCGGAGCTTGAGCTAGGACTTGACATTAAAAATCTGAACAGACTATAAAAAGACTCTATTTTGCTGCCTTTCTGCAACTTTTTTCGAGCCTCTCTCTTTCAGCGGCCATTATCAACCATTCCGACTTTGCCCGAGAATGATTATTCGATTTCATGTTCAGCTGGTTGGAATACTGACAAAGTCGCGTTTGGAGTCGACGGCAATCCTCAAAATGCGCTTGTTGGCCATTTCGGGGTGCAAAGAATGAACGACGAGCGTCTGTTCGCCTGATTTCTCGTCGATGCCAACAGAGTTGAGGGCGCCGTCTTCTGTCACGTAGAAGACCGTCTTGACCGGATCTGCAGTTAAGGCAAATTCAGATCCGAAATTTCGGTTTCGCGGAATAATTTTAAGACCAAGAAATTCGGTAGAAGATCGCTTTTATCTATCTTCGATTAATTGGAAACGAGACCAAATTGCATTTTGTGAACACCCCACCTTTACACGTGCCATCAACGAACTTGGCGCCTTGCCAACACTGGCAAATGCCTTTTGTCTCATCAGCTGAGCGAAGACAAAGGGCCGGACAATCTGGACATTCGAAGCGTTTCGAAGAGGTCATTCTCATCGGCACGTACTGGATGCCATCGCCAGGCGGAGCTGGAAGAGTCAAGTTGACTCCGAGGGATCTGTAAACACTCCGTTGTCGGACAACTTCTTCATCAGATACCGAAGCTCTTGCGAGTCCAAGGAGAACTTTTGGAAGACAGTTTTCGACCCGACTGTGTCCGATGCTAAAATGAGCACTTCCCGTGTTTTTGGAGTGAATGTGCAGGCTTTTGCGGTCATGCTGGATGGAAGCTCGAATGCCGAAATCTGTCAGAAAATCGGAGATAATAAGTCTTTCACAAGTAAGCCTACCTTTTCCTGTGCGACATCCAACGAAACTACTTTGTTCTCGCTTTTCGAGATCCAAATGACCAGATTCCTGTCAAAGTCCGCGATCGGAATCGTCATATTGCTTGTGAGCGTAGAGTTGATACCTGTGAGAACTTTTTTTTCCAAACTGATCAGACGAGTTTTTCTTCTTAGAATCTTCAGTCAAGTCTTAAAATCAGTTGAGTATGATACCGAAAAGTCACTCGAGTTGATTATTAAACCCACTTCGGAACTCCAGAGTGGTCCCTATAGGGGCAATTAGTGGCCCTTGGAGGGTCCTCTCTATGTACCATTTTACCAAACCCTTCGGGGGGCACTAAAGCTTGCAAAAGTGGTCCCTATAGGGGCATGTTAATCGATCAATTTTATGAGAAAAAGTTCTTCCATGTAACGAACTAAATGAATAAGCAATTTTGGAATGAAATTTAAAGACCCCTAAAGGGACCACTTTAGGTTTATGGGCTAAGAGGTCAGATCCTAAATTAAGAACCACTTTTTTGACCCCTATAAGGACCGCTCTGGAATTCCTAAGAGACTTTCAACGAAAAATATCCGTTTTCATCGAATCGGTGTAATGAAACCTACCTTTGCTAAAAATTTAAGGTAATTTATTTGTAAGAACTTTCCTATTTTAATTTAATTTTTCTAGCGGAAAGAAATTAACATGGTCGAAAAAAGATTTTGAGAAAATCGTCAACCTTTCTTTTGAGACTTACTGAGCTGCCGAGGATCCGAGCCGTCTCCCAAAACGGTGAAAAATCAAGGGAGGGCTGTAGTCTTCATCGAACCAGAAGAGTCGTCTAAATTTTTGTTTTTTTATTTTTTTCTTAGAGAAAAAAACCTCAAGCTATCGAAAAAGATAAGATCCCTGGGACGACGCAATTGAGGGAAATCAGAAGAATGAAGAATGCTCCGGCGGAATTTGCCCTCATTTGAGGCCACGTCAACTCGCGCGATTCCTTCAAGAATTATTGAAGAAATTACAGAAAGGAATCTTCAGAAACCATCAATTTTGAGTAAGTCTTTTAAAGCAAAAGAAAGGACACCTAAAAAAACTTTTCTCAATTTTTCCATGTTGATATCTTTAAGAACATGTACTCAAAAGGTGGAAAATTTTTTAAAAAAAACCGTCAGCAAAAGTGCTAAAGTAGAGGTTTCCCGTTGACGCATCCAAAGCCAATCCCTTCGAAGAAGTCAAGTCTAAAAAATTTTGTGTATTTTTTTGAGATTGAAAAATTCATTCACCTCCATTTACCAATACTTCTGGAGCGGTATTTTTCCGGAGATCTATCTGCAATTCAATAACTAAAGGTTCATAGGAAAATGATCAATCTTACCTTCGTTATAGCTTGTTTTTGAGAGTCCAGCACGTAAATCGTACAGTTGAGAGCGATAACGTTGCGCACATCTGAATCAGGTGAGAAAATCAAAATTGAAGAGGATGGATACCATCGAAAGCACGGCCCGCAACGGTCGGGAAGGCCTGCAGATGAGGTGGCTCGGCGTCGTAAATCCGAATCGCGTTCTTAGAAGCGGCGACGACGACGTGATCCAAGTCTGCAAAGACCTATTCTTCTCGGAACTCTTCTGGATACACACATTGACAGGTTCCGTCCTTGTCGGCCTTGGTCATTTGCGGGCAGACGCATCGCGAGCCCTTCGAGCCGTCGAGCAGACAGACGGCGCATTTGGCATCTTGACAAGGGTTGCGAAGCGGCTTCTTCTGCTTGCTTCGGTGGACGATTCGCAGCGAGAATGGCTGTGTGCCAACTCTTTCGATCAGCCCAAAGTTGGTTCCGTTCCACTTGTTCACCTGCCATTCATCCAGTTTTTACTTGAAATATATAGAAATTTTTATAGCCTATTCCGCGCCAGCTTTTCATGTTTTTCTTTTCGTCGAATTAAAACAAAATTGAGCCTTTTCGCTTCAAGGCCTTTGTTTTTTACAGTCTCTTTAGCAGTTTTTTAGAGCACAGGTTAGTGTTTACGGTACCTTTTTCTTTTCTGTTCTTTTAAAACGTGATTAGGGATAAAATCAAGGTGTCCTTAATAGGGGTTTACATTCTGAGCGCTGAGCCTTCAGAAAACGCTTTTTTCAGTTTTTCGCATGAAAAATTTATTCAGTTTTTCGCATGGAAATGCTTCGCACAGAACTCATAAAAATTATCGACCAGCATGTCCCCTGAAGGAGCCACTAACTAAAACCCCTATGGGAACCGCTCTTGCAGTCTTTAGAGGTCCCTATAGGGGTTGCTAAAATATTCCCTATAGGGACCACTCTGAAGTTCCTAAGTGTGCTTTATTTATAATAAATTGCTTTAAAGTGATTTTGAGCAGTTTAACATGCAATTCTGAAGCTATATATTAAATGAAGTACGATTTTTAAAAAATTGCAAAAAAAAAAACCAACCCTTCCGATGGTGTTAGTACGCCAATCAGAGAAGAACACGAAGTTGCCAAACACATCGATCGAAAAAGGATGGCCCAAGCGCTCGAGGTCCCGAGCGACTTCGACGTGGTCCTTGCCGTCGTAGGTCACCGTGTGGATGCTGTCCGACTTGGCGTCGACCCAGTAGACTCGTCGGGCGATCGTGTCGCAGGTGATGCCGTTCGGCCAGCCACCGCCTACGACACCAGACACGTTGAAAATCACGGTCCGATTGTTCCCAGACATCGTGGCTTTTTCCACACGCGGCCGACGCTCCTGCCAGTCGGTCCAGAACATGAGACCCTCACTGAAAAAACAGAATCCTAGAACCAAGAATCGGTGTTGTTTTTCCTCTGTATTCTTTCCACAATCAGAGAAAAACATATTTTTTCAGGAAATAACTCATAAGAAAAAAATGAGAGTGGGAGTTTTTTTGGCAATCAAAAACTTGTGCCTGAAAGCCCCTCTTCAAAAAGAAGAAAACAATCATTTTTTTTAATTAAATCCCAAAATCATTCTGGTTCTGATCAAGTTCCGCAACTTGAAACATTCCTCGGCTATTGGATTCTAGCTTTCTTTACAAAATCACACTATACGCCATTCAACGCCAGCTTTTCACGACTTTTAACGATTTTTGTCGAAAATTACTTTGTATGGCATGTGCGAATGCGCCGAAGTGCATGCACACGACACACTAAACTTCACGGAAAATAAACGGGCAGGGCGTCGTCAAAAAAAGGGGTTTTGTAGCTCAGAGAGAAACGAAAATCGTGACAAGCTGGCGCGGAATGGGCTATAACCATAAACTTCGAAAAAAAACACTTGTTGAGAAGACCTTATTTGGTGAAATAATGGACTAGCAACCCAAAGCATCCCTTCCAAATGTTATCAACCAACTACCGTCGAGAAAAAAGTATTACTTGGCATCGAGAGAGATGGAGCGAATGTTGGTGATATCCTCAGAAACGACGATGGCCCTTTCGCCCGCGGGAGTGGCAACCTCGATGTGATCCAGGCTGCTGTCCACCCAGTAGACGTTGCCCGTCACCCAATCCACAGCTATTCCTTCCGCGTTGTAGACGCCGAGCATGACCAGAGGTCTTACGTACGACACGACTGAACCGTGGAAATGAGACGGACCCTCTTTTTTTTGGTGAGTACCTCGATTTTCTATGAGTCCCGTGTAAATGACATCGCTGGCAAGGTCGCTCCAGTACACGGACACCGTTCCGTTGGTGTGAATGAAATAATCGAGCGCTATCGCATTTCGAAGTCTAAAAGAAGTAACGTAAGTGTCATTTCACTCATCATGACCCCAAATCAAAGTAGTGAATTTCTTTTTCGATCGTTTTTTTTCCTCAAAAATAATCCTATTGGGCGCTTGTGAAAAAAGCAGTTAATATCTTAGGAATTCCAGAGTAGTCCCTATGGGGTTAGGGGGATAAACAGCCCTTTAAGGGCCGAAAAAAGTGGTCCCTATAGGGGTGTACGGTCTAACCCTTTAGCCCGTAAAGCTTGACTGGTCCCTAGGTTCTTTCAATTTTATTCAAAAAAAAAAACGGTTATTCATTCATTTTTCCGCATGGAAATACTTATTCGCATAGAGTTCATAAAAATTATCGACTAGAATGTCTCCTATAACGGGTCACTAACTAAAACCCTATAGTGATCCTTTAGATGAAAGCTTTAATTTCCTCTACAAGGCTTGGTGAAGTGGTCTCTAGAAGGGGCCTCTCGAAGGGCCCTTAAGGTTTTCCCTATAAGGACCTCTCTGGAGATCCTAAGTAAATTTCGATTATCGGAAGATTTTTTCAAAGATTAAATTGGACCAAAAAATCATTTGGTGATTTCAGCAATCAGAATACTCTTCGAGTGCAAAAAAAAATAATTCCCCTTCCCCAAAAAAAAAAACGCCATTTGGAACCTTGTCAGAGCAGCAGAACTCCCTACTCGTCCTGCGTAAAGCTGACGAATTTCGTGGCGATTCGTGTACAACATGAACTCGACGTCCGGATCATCGGCAATACAGGTGAAACTTTAAAAAAAATTGAAATACTTAAAATCCTTAAGAAACTGTGAAAACCCGTCTTTATGCAATTTGAAGCCGTCATCGCAGTAACAGTGTTTGGTGGAACCATGGCGCAGACATCGCTGTGAACATTTCCCGAAGCGGCAAGGATCCTTCTCTGAATCCAGGAATATGTTGATGGTGGGGCCGAGGAGCAATCCTCACTAGTGCAGGAGAAGCCGTCGTCTTCGAGAGAATACCCAGGATGGCAAGAACAAACGGGACCGCTCGGGTGTTGGAAGCACTTCTGAGAGCAGCTGTTGCTACTGCATCTGAAAATATAAATTTATGAAAGACTTTCAATGATGTGGAAGTTGGGTAAAACCAATACATACTTTTGTTTGGAGTTTGATGCTAGCTTGTGAACAGAATTTTTCTCTTTTTCTCTGTTTTTGAGACAAAAAAAAACAACATAAAAATTCAAAATTCAAAAAAACGAACAAAAAGCGACTCTGACATGGAGCGCCAGAAGGGCGCCACAACTCTTTCTCTGACACACACTATTTCGTCGTTATCTAGCTGCGAGAAAACGGCGAAATAGTGTAGGTTAGAGAAAGAGTTGTGGCGCTCTTTTGGCGCCTCATTTCAGAGGAAAACCCGAAAAATTGCGATGATTGTTGTCCATAGAGCAACTTTACTGCTACACGCCCTTTTTGCGGAACTCAAACTTTTTTTCTCTTTGATTTCGATTAACGTCTCCGAAAATAGGAACTTCTGTCCATTTTCAAGTTCGATTCCCGATGAAAATCTCTACAAGGTACTGCTTTCACCTGAAACCCGGCTTTTACTGCCCTAGGCCATAGATCAATCTAGCTGTCGAGTTTCCGGAATTTTCAAAACATTATACTTACGAATCAAAAAAACACCAAAAATAAAGGTGTAATGTATTGAATTGACGAACTTTTTGGCGCACATCGGTCCTTCATCGTCGCCATTCGGACAATCTTTCTTGCCGTCGCAGACCTGATGATCCGTAATGCATTTGAAGCCGACTTCCAACTCGCAGCGATAAGCCGGCACCCGACATCTGGCTGGCGTTCCGTCGGAAGAAACAATATCTGAAAACTCTTTGGCTCCATTCAAATTCTGGCTGTGATTGGAAACAAGGCAAATTATGATCTACCCACCACCGCAGTTCAGTTCGTCGCTGCTGTCGGAGCAATCGTGGAATCCGTCACACAAAAACGATTTCGAAACACATTTTGAACCATCAGCACAAGCAAAATCCGTCGTCAAGTTACAAGCCGCCGTAGCTAAAAAGATGAAAACTAAAACTGTAAGATTAATGAGGACTCACGGCAGTTCAGTTCGTCTGCGCCGTCGATGCAATCCATGGTGCCATCACAAACCATTGCCCTTCTGATACATTTCTCGTTGGAGGGACAGAGGAACTCGTTAGCCTTGCTGCAGTAATCGCGGGGATCTGAAACAGTCTTCAGATGTACACGAACTCGGAAAGAGTTTGCCTTTGCAGAACTTCTGGTCTTCGTCGCTTCCATCTGAACAATCCCGAACGCCGTCACAGCGGAAGATCATGTCTAGACAAACGGAGCCACTGTCGCACCGGAACTGGTGTCCCTGGATGCAGCCCTGCAGAATTCTGGTCTTGAGCCTGATCGGAGAAGCCTGACCTCGTTGCAGTGAGCCTCATCTAGGCCATCTTTGCAGTTAGTGACTCCGTCACAAACTTGCGACTGATCGATACAAGCCCCTGTGCCGCATCTGAACTCCGTAGAAGCGCATTTCTCAACTGAAACTATTCGGTTCGGAAGGAATGTTGCTGTGGAATACAATGGCAGTCGGCTTCGTCCTCTCCGTTCGGACAGTCGCGGAAGCCATTGCACTTCATGGAAGCGTCAATGCAGGTGTTGTTGTCGCATTGAAACATGGAGAAGAAGCACTTCCGTGGTCCTGAACTTGTTTTTCTCTGATTTTTTGTTTCTTCAAATTATCCAAACTGTTTGAGCACATCTCGGCGTTTTCGTCAGAGCCGTCGACACAATCGCGAGAGCCATCGCAGACATACTCATTGGGGATGCAGTTGGTGCGGTCGCATTGGAAGTAGAGGCTGGAGCAGGTGAAGTCTTCTGAAACAGGGATGAACGGCAGTCGGACTCGCAACCAACTGCAGACGCCGGCCGGATCCTCGTCGCTGTTGTCCCCGCAGTCGTCGTCGCCGTCGCAGACTTGCGTCTTCGGGATGCACTTTTCATTCGAGGAGCAACTGAAGTGCGTCGTCGCATTACAAGGTATTCCGTCCATATAATCTTTGTCTTCTGAAGAGGAACTGGATCGATAAATCATTTTTCAGACTCACCGATGCACTTGGATTTATCGTCGGGGTTTGGTTTTTCGGAATCTCGACAGCCGCATTTTACAGGTTCACACCCAACGGCTCCTTTACAAGCCATGGAATAGCAAAGCTGCTCACATCCTCCATTATTCTTCGAGCAAGCCGATGTTTCTGTAGGAATAATCATGGCTAACTCCGAACACTGCCAAAGTAGGAAGGGCGGATAACGGGTGCAAAATGGCTGCTAAAAGGGTTCCGTTTTGCGGCCTTTATTGAGCCTTTCTATCTTCATGCGCCTCAAGAAAGGTTGAAAAAAAGAGAGAGGGGCAAGAAAGTCTCGATCATTGATTATCACCGATTTTATTACGGTAGCACGTTTTGGTTCATTCACAGTCACTGGTAGAGATTATTCCCAATTTTAAGATTTTCGTGTTTATCAAAGGGGTCCGAAATTGGTGGCACGGCGTTCCCAAACGGGGTGAGGAAACGTCAAAAAAATTTTAGCGCGAAATTTGAAATCTCAAGTACGCAGCCAAATGGGGAGTACGGTCTTCTTCATACCGTTGAATACTCAGTTTAATTTGCAACGTAGAGGTAGCTGTGACGTCACGGTCCTTTCATCCAGAGCGCGCACTTACTTTTTTTTTGTAAATTCAGAAACTTTGACGCCTCCTTCACCTTCCCTCACCCCATTAGGATTGCCGTGGTAAATGAGGGCCGATGAAAGGCCGGAAAAAGGCAGTGAAAAGGAAACCGTTGCCATCCGTTTAGGAACAATTTTGCACCCGTAACGGCCGCGCAAAGGGCCCGTAAAGGCTCCTTCCGACTTTGTCTATGAGGGGAAATGCAAACCTGCGCTTCTATCTGGATCATAGACGGTAACATCAAAAATTGATGAACTCTCGTTCAGAACTGTTTCAATTTCAGAAGCATTACTGATGGATGCTCGCTTTATCCTTCCTTTTTTCAATTCACTCCAGTAAAGCCATTTTCCAGAGAAGAAGATTCCATACGGATGCATCAGATTGGCGGCCCCTTGGACGATCTTCTGAGAGTGAAGAACTTGAGAAATAGAATAATTGAAGAGAACCTCTCTGTCGGCCCCATTGAATCGAACACGTTCAATCAAGTTGTGGTAGGCGTCACACCAGTACAGGTAGTCATTTTCGGCGTCGATCGTCAGTCCATTCACCCACATCACGTTTTTGTTGACCAAAGTCTAGAGCCGAAACTCCTCAACTTTTCGATCAGACCAACCTTCCGCTGACTGCCGTCAAGTTTGGCTCGTTCTATTTTGGCTGGAATCCCGTCCTGATTTCTCTCGCTCCAACTTCCCCAGAACATGTAGCTGAACAGGAATTTTTCAAAGAGCCGCAAAAGAAAAAAACCTTTTTGCGACGTGAATAACAATGGACCGAGGGAAGGTCATTCCTCCCTGTAGGAGTGTTTTCCTTTGGGTACTGTTTGAAAGCTTGAGGACGCCTACGGCAAATCGACCTTGAAAAGAGGATATTGCACATCATTTTCGACTTATTTCAACCTTGATCGGTATAGTATAGATTGTCACTAGAAGGATCGTAAGCAAGGCCTTCGCATTTTTGAATTCCTGAAGGATTGCCAACGTCAAAAGGTGTTTGACGACTGACCGAAGGCTGGAATCACGAGAGGAAGTTGGCGGTCGTCCTCGCTGTTGAGGTCGGAGACGAGGAACACGTGCTGTTCGTTGTCGAAAGATATGAGACGGCCGTTTTTGGCATCAACCGTCATTGCCGAAAGACCCTTGCTGCTCACAACCATTTCTACAGTTTTGTCCTGAAATCAGAGATGACAGAGAAGGAATTTCGAAAATACCTGTACCGTGGTAGTTTCGATCTTCATGGCTGCGACGGAAGGTGGTTTAAGACGAGCAAAAAGTAAGCGAGATTGCTTCTTCCACGACTTCAAGCACTGATTCTTCTTTTCCGCGCCTCTCTGATCAAGAAAAATGTTCTCTAACTTCACCGACGACACTCACCTCACAAAGACACACCGGTTGGGCGTTCCGATGCACACAGACTCCGTTGCAACTTCCACAAGAGCGATCTGAATACTTCTGTTGAGTGAGATTCAAAAAGCAGGGGGCACTTTTTTTTACGAGTGCCGCGTAGTCCACACGGGTGATGGCCATGAGTTTGGATACTTCTTCGGTCGACGAAGCGAAGATCTCGTGTCCTTTCTGATCGGGGAACAACGTCGTGTCGAAGACCTTCACCCGCCGTTGGGCCGCCGTGAAAAGTTTCCCTTCGGCGTAAGCGATCGACCGCACGTTCTTTAGCTAGAACCCGAGGATTTTTGTAGACAGAGCATTGATTCAAACTGTTCTCGAATCGACAACTATCCGCGGTTTGTGCTTCAACTCGTAATCTACAGCGAAGACGGTGTCGACAGTTCGGTCTCCGAAGAAAAGAGTCCCAGAGTAGATGTCCAAGGCCAAGCCTAGAAGTTGAAAATGCATCTCGGAAGAAAGACTAAGCTCAACCCGCTGGAGAAATCGTGGCTTGATGAGACATCAGCAGCCTCTCTCCCGTAACGATGTCCACCCGAAAGACTCCCAACGTCATCAGATCGCCATCGATGTAAAAGACGTAGCTGAAACGATTCCGATAGCTTTCGAAGGTTCCACTTGTGTATACCCAGCGACAGGGTCGTAGACGAAGCCTTCAACGAATCCCATTTCGCCGACGCCGAAGGTGTGGCAGACGCGAATGAGCTCCTCGTCGTGGCGACAGACGGCCATGAAAGTTCCGTCGCAAATCAACCAATTCGAGTGCATTTCGTCGAAAAGGATCCAGGGCTCTGTCGTCGCCGCTGCAATCTATCGTTTTTCGGAGACTCTTGTGGCTGGACTCACCAAAGATGGAGGCAGAAACGCCGGCGAGGCTCATTTTTGTTCGATACCGACGGCTTTGCGTTTCCGAAGAACAATGAATGTAGTTTTCATTCACTACGGTCTGAGAAAAGGAAATTTCCGTGAAATGAGATATTCAAACCGCGTTCACAAAACAGACGATGGGAAACCCAGTGAAATTCATTCCAGGAGCCTTTTGTAACAGGAAATGGCCGATATGCTTGCTGGCGTTGTAGTCGACGGGCGGCAGCTCAGTGTAGTTTTTCAACACAATGAGCTCTGTTTTCGTCGTGAATGCGATCGTAGGAGAGTCTGTAGCAGAAATTTGGTCAGGAAACTCGGCAAAATTGGTTCTCGTTTCTGTTTTTATTGACTATAGTCTATGTACCACGACATGGAATTTCACCGAACGACATTCCGCTGTTCCGCTGCGTGCTCGGCCGCGCCTTTAATTTTTTTTTTATTTTATCTAAAAATTCGACCAAAAAGTGTTCCTAGTGGAACAGTCCGTCTATCAGAAAAGAGAGCCGATTCAAAGCGAGACCGAGGCTCGCAAAAATGCTTCGCGACGCAGCGGAACAGCGGGATGTCGTTGGGTGAAATTCCAAGTCTTGGCTCACAGACTATACAGAAAACTCCAATTTTTATATTCTAATCGTTAAACTCACACGAAGGATCTAATACGCAGTATTTTCCATCAACAAGAGTCATCCGTCGGTCGACGCAAGAACATTGATGAGTAGCATTGTTTTCGAAAAAGTTGCAGCTCTGAGTGCAAACTGGTGGTAAGCCTAAGAATTTGACCACATGATAGCAAGAAAAAAAAACTCGAAAAACCTCTGCTCGCTTGTTGACAGGGGTTCTGAAACTGGCAGAAGCCATTCACCAGGCTTTTCCCGGCCGGACAAAAGCATTTGTAGCCGTCGAGAGTCATCACTCCGCTATAATCGCACGTCACAGATGCATCTAAACCAAACGATTGCGGTGATGGAAGGGAATTAACCTTTCTCGTGACATCGGACGTGTTCGTCTGACCCATCCTCACAATCGAGCGACTGGTCGCAGAACCTGCTCAAATGCACACACACCGGCGTTTTTAAACAGCGGTACTCGTTTGCCGGACACTCCACGAAATTATGGCCTAAAGATCAGTCAAATTGATAAGTTATTCACTGCTTAGGGATTCCAGAGTGGTAACTATAGGGGTTAGGGTGGAAAACAGCCCCTATAGGTGTAAAATTGAGGTGATCCTTATAGGGGTTTAGCGGTTGACCCTCTAGCTCTTATAGCTCGAGTGGACCCTATAGGGGTCTTTCAATTTCATTTGAAAGACGCTTATTTATTCAGTTTTTCGCATGGAAATGCATCTTCCCTCAGAGTTAACAAAAATTAATGACTAGAATTTCCCCGATAGGGATCACTTTTGCAAGCCTCAGTGGCCCCCATAGGGGTTGATAAAGTGATCCCTAGAAGGAGCCCTACAAGGACCTCTAAAATCGCCCCTATAAGGACCACTCTGGAGTTTCGAAGTGCGGCTTTCAGAGAAACTATTTGTTTCTTTGTTTCTAATGGCGCCCAACAGGTTCACTGTGCTAATTCTAATGAACTCAAACTTACAATATCTCGTTGCCAATATTTTACAACTTTATCCTAATTATATTAATGACGGAAAAACCTTCAAGTTTAAAGAAAAGCAGCATAAAAAATATTAAAATTTTAAAAATGATAAAAAGATGAAACGAACAGACATCCTATGGACCGAAACGAAAAGTAATGACATAAAAAGACTCCACCCACAAAAAGTTTCAGGAAACTCACAAACGGCGGGATCCTCGTCAGACATATCTTCGTCGCCATTGGGCAGACGGCCACAATCGCTCTCCCCGTCGCACATGTAGCCGCGTGCGAGGCAGCGGCCGGAGGCACATTTGAACTCGGTGTTGTTCTGGCATCGGCGGGCTTCTGAAACCCCGATCGCCTTGGTCAAAAAATGGAGCGATTTACCGCAGGTGGGTGGCTCGTCGGCGCCGTCTTCGCAGTCGCGCTGTCCGTCGCAAATCCATTCTTCTGGGTAGCACGTCGGAGGGTTCTTCCCTTGGTCGCATATCCTCATCGGAGGAAGACATCGCTCTGAAATTTCACGATTTCTATTATTTTTCCAATCATTTCCGTCTAGATATGTTAAGTTCGTATACTTGTTTTCGTGAGATAAATTTCAATTTGAAAAAGAAAAAAACTAAATTTATTTCGTCCTGCCTTGAAAAAAAGGTCGTCAAATATGATGTTTCTTGTGCATCTGCCGCCGACGAAAATTAACATACTGCCGAAATTTTTTTATAATTTTTTTAGACAGACAAAAATCAGTTAGAAAAAAAGAAGTTAAAAACAGTTTTGCACGAAGAAAATACTTCTCAGCAAAGATCCATCAGCCCAACGAATTTTTGATTTTCAATGATTTTCACCTGATTTAGTGTTGTAAGGTGTGTTGAACTTGGCGACGATGGGTGCAATTAAAAGCAACCGCAGAAATAGCATTGGACCGAGAGAGGGAGGTGCATCGGTTCCGAACGCTCTCTGAAACAACTTTCTGAGCTGGAAAGAACGGGTGAGAGTCTACTCAAAAACAAATCGAGACATTCAAGTTGATCCGAAATAAATGATTATGAAAGAAGAGAAGAAAAACTTTGTTAACGATTTGAAAACTTAGGCATGAGGAGTCTCGGGTAGTCGAAAAACCAGTTTCTCGTTCACTTGAATTTTGAACTTTTGAGAATCATAGGAGACTCGAAAAAGGGGAAACTCATCAATTTGAAAGGGGAACGCTTTTATTGAAGACATGTTCATTCTCACTTTCTCAGCTTCATTAAAAAAGCAACTCCACTTTTAAAAGTTATCAAGACAAAAACGAAAAAGGAAGCTTTGTTACAAACTATGTTTGTCTGCTCGATTACTGGATGAGCAGACAGGAAAGGAAGGTCGTAAATCAAATCAGCTTTTTCTCCTAGCACCGAACAAGAAAGATTTGAAGAAACAAATATAAAAGAGATTCTGCGAGAGAAAACTTCTGGATAGCCGTTACATTTACTTTTAAAGTTTATACTGAGGGACACTGGTTCAAACAAAAGGTCAATGAAGTTTGATTGCAAGTTTTCTCCCTCTCTCTCTCTTTCTCTTTCATCATGCGGTGTTCCGCGAAATTCAAGATAGCCATCAGAGAGGGAAAAATATAACTGATTTTTAAAGAATCAGAGATAGTTCGTATCCGAGGCTTTTTGTGAGAAAGGAATACATAAACATAAACATTGGCAAAGTCGGAAGGACCCTTTACGGGCCTTTTGAACGTCCGTTATGGGTGCAAAAAGGTGTTTATTAATTATTCCTAAATGGGTGGCAACGGTTTTCATTTAACGACCTTTTTCCGTCCTTTCATCCGTCTTTTTGCACCCGTTTTCCGCAATTCCGACTTTGGCAGTGAAATGACATTTACCGTGTTTACCCAGAAGTATGAATGAAAAAATTTTTTGGAAATAAACTCTTCAAGAGAAAAACAATAAAGAAAAATTCCTAGCAATTTAAAAAAACGCTCTGAGACGCTGAAAAAGAAACATTAAAAAGCTTTTTCCCGTCATTTTTGGAGCTTTAGAGGAATTTTTTTAGAGGTCCTCGAAAGAACTTTTGGTTTTTTTCCTATGCATAAAAAATTTCAAATTCATCAATTTGATAGGTAATTTATCTCAAACTTTTCCTTTTCCTTTCAAATACCTCAATTTACTAAAAATGAAAAGAAATTCGCTCGAAAGTCTATTAAAGGCTCACAATGTTTCTGGCAGAAGAAAGTTTTTGACTCATCATCGTTGAAAAAGCACAAGAATCATTATTTCCAGCCCGCAGCACATTTTGCAAAGACTTGAATAATTGGTCACAAGATTTTTTGAGCACGCTGTATTTATTCCAAGCTGTCTATTCAGTAGTTGAATGAAACGATGAGTATAAAAAAAATTTTATTTTCTTTAATAAAATTGAAAACAAGTATGAGGCTGCACAAAGAAAGAACATGAAGAAAAAAAAAATAGAAGAAGCGTAGGAGTCAAAGTCTAAAAATAATGGAAAGGCAAGACAGTTCGGAAGGAGGCTGTGGACGTCTGCTCGACGGCACATTCCCGCGGCGATCAGGCCTGGCTGACCCCAACTCGTTGCCTCTCCTCCCTTCACGCACTCTCTTCGCTCTTTCTGTCATCCGGCACGAGGCGCCGTTTTCAAACCACGCGTTCCTACCCATCGATCATGTACCGGCCGGAAGGGACTTTCTGGAAGTACCTAATTGGAAGAATCTCCGTTGGAGCACCTCCTCCGGTTACGGTAGACATGAACCAGCTCCGCCGCATCGCCTTTTTCTTTTGTTTGCTTTGAGGGCTATCCATGCGGCAAAGGTCAAACAAGAAAAACAAAAGAAAATGCGAAGTTTATTTTTATATAAAATAACATTACATCACAATTTCGCGTGCCCCACTTTCAAAACTCTTCTTTTTTGAAAAATCTCTGAAAAAAACTTTTTTTAAAATTAGAGCCCAACGGCGGATCTTTTGGGGCCAGCGGAAATTCAAAAACTATGCCCCGTGCAAAGTGATTCCGCGAAGGCCAAAATAGCCGTCAGACGTCAGAGAAAGAAAAAGATGACTAAATTCCGGAGAGTCGGAGATAATTTCGCCTTTTGCGTAAATTACTTTGAACCCAAAATAACGGCGCGAAATTCGAAATTATCTCTGATTCCGCGGAATTTTCAAAGTAATTTTCTACAAAATTCAAAATTCACAGGCGAATCGAGAAGGTACCATAATGTGTCCACAAAGGTACCTCTCAAAAAGGATCGTGTAGGCCCCATTGTGTGTCCATCGTGAGACCTCCGGCATACCTTTTAACTATATCTGAGCCATCTCGGAGGTACTTTAGTCTAAACTCTTTAGAGTCTCTCTCAAGTCCCTCTCATTTCGCTCAAAATCCTCAAAGGTATCCTCGAAGTACCATCGTGAGACTTCAGACCCTGCGATAAACCTCAGAGGGTCTCGCGATACCCTTTCCCGATCCGCCTATTTTTTATCCTGCTCTCCAAAATGAATTTATATTTTTTTAAATTTCTTCTGGTAATTTGTAATTTCGCATAACTTCAGCCTGCTTCGCGTCTGAGTTCAACGAAGAAATGCGGTTTAGAATGCGCCTTTCAAAGCAACTTATTTTGCCGTAAAATTAACTAGAAAATAGAAATGTGCCAGAATCAACTTTTCCCAAGTCTTTGCTTCTCAAAAAATTCCGATTTCATCATTTTTCGAACAAAAATGTTTAGTGCAATTCTGAGAACTGAGTATGCAAATTAGCGCCGTTCTGTGTATACACCAAAGACGTCTTATATTACGACAATCGTGGGCGGGGCTTCGTAAAAAGATTGCTGCAGCGCTGTGAATCCTACTTCTTTTCACATTTTTGTTGCCGAATGTTCTTTTTGTGTTCTTATTGTTTGTCAGTCTTGACTTCACATAAATTACTGCTTTAATCGAGGAAAAACGAAAAATTTCGCGAGTTTTTAAATTTTTTTTGCCGTGCATTTGACGTCTTTCTGCTTGATTTCCCTGCAGAAATTGTTTTTTTACAACCTCAAATTGTTTAAAAAGTTTTTTGGGTTAAAGGAATTTTTAAACTGGATTTTATGAAGTATTGTCAATCTTTGAGGGTCGTGTGCGAAAGGCTAAAATTTTGTAGTATGCCTGCTAATCTTCTATTTTAATAGCTGAAAATGTTCACACATGTGCACTGAAAAGGTTTTGTTGAATAAAATGTTTAAAAAAATTTTAGAGACCAACTGCGAAGATCGCAGAACTAGGTAAAAAATTTGTGTTGCTCGATCGCCATTTGATGATGTGATTTTTGTTAAAACTTCTCAACAATATTCATTTGAATATATTTTGTTTTTTCGTTTTTCTATGATTCTCCTACCTTTTAGAAAATAAATACCACAGGCTTGTCGCCGAAAAATTTTTTTGTAAAATTTTTTTGAAGAAGAAGCAATCATACGGATAATTACCTGTAAAAATTCACTGAATAACTAGCTTCATTGTGATTCAAAAGCTTCCAGTATCCCATGAAAACATTGTATCAGAAAAAGATATTATGAATACGAGGGAAACGTCCAAGCAGAAGATAACGAAACAACAGTTCAGACCTACAGATGCCTGCCCGGTTTGCACTGCGCCGTCTCCGCTGGCCATACTAGACCATTTTTGACCACACTACCCATTTGTGGAAATGAACACGGCTATTTTCGACATTATTGAAAAATTACAGAAAATACGATTTCTCGAATGAGACCATTTTTTAAAAATTTCTGGCGTTTGCAGAAATTAAATTTTTATCGTTTAATGTTCTAATGGGTTTTTCTTCAAATTAGTCTATTTTTCGTACAAAAAACTCATTATCAACGAAGGTATCGCTCAAAAACCGCGATCGGTGTATGCACAACTTAAACCTACAGTATGCCAAAGTGGACGGGCTGAGCAGATGTGCAAAAAAAAAAAAGAAATTTTAAGTAATTGCGGATGGTACGAATGACTTCTCAGACCTTGTTAACGCGACCCGCACGTTTCGGGCATTTCTAGTAACCACTTTAGTAACATCAGCACTCTTAAGTTAACACTAGAATTGCTCAGAAACTTCCGATTTGGCATGCTGAGGCCTCATTTTTGAGCCCTGCATGCGGGAAGAATTAGTTTGTTTTAAAAAACTAGGCCACGCCGTAAATGTGCTCCACGGAAGTCGTCAAAACTCGAACCAAGCAAATTCAATTTTCAAAACTTGGTTAGATGGAGACGACAATGTGAGACCAAGACATTTACCGTGTGAAGTTTTGCAAGGTTTTGAAGAATATTTAGCTTTGATTTAAAAAAAAACCAAAGTGAATAATCTATTTTCTTTTTGCTTCGTTTAATCCAAGGTACAGATCTTGAGCATCGACGATAACGATTCTATAAATTTACGTCGTTTGTTCAGAAAAAACCTCGATAAGCATATAGACTTATAAGCGTATGTTCTCCAAGTTTTTTCAAATTGGTTTTTGGAGGAAAAAACTTCATAATCTTTAAAGAAAAAAACGTTTATATGTCATTACCGAAGAGCGCAAAGTTCATTTTGAAAACATTCCAGTCAGAGGTGAAAAAGGAGAATTCAGGGATAAATAAATTTTTCAGTTTTTTTGAAACATATTTTAATAATGAAATTTGATATAATAATTATTCAGAGAACATTTAAAAAAACATCACGTTTTGCGAATGAATTGTACTATGTAGCCCTTGGAAGCCATAATAGATCTTCTTCGGACCCAAACAGAATAACGAGCTGCCCAAGTGGTTTCAAACAAAGGACAAATCGGAGGAGTTTGACCACGAAGTTCACAGAAGGTGTGAAAGATTTTGTTGGTGGGAAATGGGTTCGGGTCATTGTGAACTAGCAGCTGAACATCGTGGTCGTTGGCAAGTGACTGGAGTTCTGGAGGTACTTGACAACATCCATCTAAGCGGACGTGGTTGATGCTTGGCTTGGTGTCGAATGTTTCGATGATTTTGGACAACTGCGCTGCAGTGAAGTCGGCGACTCCGATGGATCCAATCTGAGACGACTCGACGAGCTTCGAAGCGGATTCGTAGAGTGGCTTCACTTTTTCGAACCAACGCTGGATTTCCTTTTCTTCAGACTCTCCTTCTACAACGTCCAGCTCGGGAAAAGACAGAATCAGAACTTCGATGTCTTTTGTTTTGAGCTGCTCTTTGAGACTGGAAATTGCTGCTTCGATTTGTGATGCTTCCCATGATGAAAGAAAAACTTTCATCGTTATTTTTATTTCCGCCCGCTCGTAGTCATCAATGTGTGCATTATCACATAGAAGTAAAGTAGTATCGTCTTTGAACTCGGATGTGAGCGGAGTTGATTGTAGTTGTAAATCGAGACATGCAGATAATTCTTCAGCAGAGTTTTCAAATCTTCTCAACTTGAGCTCGGTGTACGCGTTCACATTCCCAGTATGGAGGCGGAATTTGCTCAGCCTCGATAAGTTGTCGAGGAAGTTCTGACAAATCGTCATTTTCCTGAAAAAAGAAAACTTCGAAATGATCACAGGAGAGAAGTACAAAATAACCGGTTTTACGGTAGCTTTTTTTGGTTTTCTCAAAACATTACTGTTTAGAGCGGAACACACTATATTTCATTCTGAGGCATGGAGAAAAAGAAGAAATATTTCAGACTTTCACAAATTGCGACGATCGGATATTCCATGGGACAGTAACGATTAGCTCAGGACAGCTAATGGGCGGTTTAAATTTTGCGGCGAAAGTAAATATCCCGGCGACTACCCATGGTTTAATAATCTTCAATGAGAGTCCCATTAATGACTTATTTAATTTTATTTTTGAATTTCGTCGATTTTCAGAAAAATCTCAAAACTGATGAAATAAATTTGAATAAAAAAACGGAATGCAAAAAAAGAAACAGCAATAATCCATGAATAGGACTCCTAATTAAGGCGAATGTGGAGTCGCTATGATCTGACTTCGCCCCGTTAGCTCTTCCAATCCAGCCGTGAATGGAATAAACGGGTGAACGGCGGCAACATGCGCGGGTGCTACTGGCCAAGATTAGATATATAGACGAAAAGATAAACGAAAATATGTAATTTTTTCTTCTAGAGACTATTAAAGACAAAAAAGAAAGAAATAAGAGGTTATGTTTACATTTCTTTTGCGGTCAATTTATGGTTGCGGGATCAGAATCAGAAAAGAAAGTGGAATCAAAGGGAACAATAATCTGACAGAGAATAAAATTTTATTCAAATTCATTTTAAGGTACCAAAGTTTTATAAAGTTATGAGTGCGACTTCTGAGAGTTCATATAAAGATTAAACTTGGTCATAGTTAATAGATATTTATTTAAAACGATTCAAACAGCTTTTCTAGAATTTTAGAGAACGAGAGCGGTGTTACTTTTTGTCAGCATTTTTTTTTTATTTAACAACAAAAAAATGATGACAAATAGTGGTAACTCAGGCAACGCGGAAAGTATCTAGGAGTTCTTTTTAAAAAATTTATTGAGGATCGACTGCGCATATTTTCGAAAAATAAAGAAAAATTTTCTGTGATTTTTCTTGTTCGTTCGCTTCGATAAACACAAGGTTTCTAGAAAAATCGCAGAAAAAGTATGACAAAGGAATTCTAAAATAAAAAAGGTCCTGTGATACTGCAAAAAAGCAACTTCAGAAAAAAAAGCTGTTATATACTAAGAAGGGTTTTTCTTAAAAAAACCTTTGGGAAACTCGTCTATACTTTCTGTGATTTTTTTGAAAAAAAGAAAAATAAATGAATAAAATGTGCACATTTTTGCACAATGGAACGAGTTTAATGATACATAATAGAACTGACTACATTAGTTTCCATTCGTAAAAGGTCAAAGCGTTTTTTTTAAATTAATGTAAATTTTTGAAATGACATTCATGAAAGAAATGAGGAGCACATGTCTGGACAGGAAAAGATTTAAAAATCGAGTTTGAATGCGCGCTCAATGACTTTAGATGTGCAGGCAACTACAGTAAACGCATTCACGAAGACTATCGATTTTTTCTTCCGTTCGTTTTGTGAGAAAATTACTTCACGTGCGGCTCAGTTTCTGTAGATCGGCGATATTTTTTTCTCACTACATTATCAAAGTAGTTTTGCGTGTCCTCTTTTAGACCGTTCTGCCTGTATGTAAATGAAAAAACAGTATTAAAGAAACTAATGCGACTCTAAATCTTTGTTTCTTTTATTTTCCAAATTTTCAATTTATTTCTGGTTCTTTTTTTAAAGATTAAGTGTTGTTTACTTTGGCCTGCTTCCAAATTAGCTTTCGCATCGCTTCAAAAATTTTGATTTCATACAACCCCTTCTATTATCGTATTCTTTTAATTCACCTCAGCAGTTTTTCTGAAATAATGGCGTGTTCATCGGACAAAACGAAAATTGTTCCGAAACGCAAAAAAATTGCTTCAAAACAAAATTAGTACTGTTTTGGAGCAACTTTGGCGCGCCAATGTACACGATTTTTCGTTTCGAAGCATGTTCCGTTTCTCCAATGAACACGCCATAAGCGAATGAAAAAGTGCAAATTTTGAATGGCAGCTTTTAATTCGAAATAGTTTATAGAACTCGAATCAAAAAAATTTGAACGTGAAAGTAATTGAAAACCTTGTATTTTTACAAATTACTGCGAAACTCTATCATTTTTCTTATTCACTTTACTCGTCGTCAATGGATTTCTCGGAGTTAGTGGTTTGCCGTTCCATTTTGCGACGACAATTCAATTATTTCCGAAGCTAGAAAAATATGTAAGATTGCGAAATTTAATAATTATATATATATATATGCCATTCCGCGCCAGCTTGTAACCTTTTTTCCGCCAAAAGGCCAGGTCAAATATGACCAACTTCGCTTCAAGACCTTTGTTTCTTGCCGTTTTAAAAGAAGAATTGATAAGAAAGCTGTTTTTTAGTGTAGCCTTATTTCAGCTTCTCTTCAAAAACGTGACAGTCTCGCTCGGAATTTTCCATAACTGCAACAAAAAAAAACTAAAACAAAAACCGAATTCCGTGAAGCGAAGCAGGTCAAATTTAATCTAATTTGGTATACAGTCTTTTTGGCGGAAAGAAAAACGAAACAAGCTCGCGCGGAATAGGCTATAGTTTTTCGGACTTCACTATCGAATATTTTTGCCTTTAAAGGTCGAGGCATCTGTCTTTTAACTAAAATCAAAAGTATGAATATTTTCAAAATTTTTTTAGGCCAGCAGTTTTCTTGTTTTAAAGTATAAACCTGCCGCAATCAACAGCGTTTTAGATCGTTATTTGTAACATGAATCGTTTCCCACAGATTATTTTGTGAACAAGCTATATCATTAAAAGGAAAAAGGAATTTTTCTGAAAAAGGAAATACTTCGAAAACATACATTTATGGTGACGAAGACTAAACCATTTTTTTTCCTTATGGCGTGTTCGTCGGAGAAAAGAGAAACATGTTTCAAAACGAAAAATCGTGATCATAGGCTGCCGAAGTTGCTCAAAAACAGTATTAATTTTTGTTTCGAAGCATTTTTCGTTTTTTTTTTTTTCCGATGAACATGCCATGAAAAAGATTTCGCTCTGAAAAATTTGACGCGGGCAAAGAATTAAACAACTTTTCACTGTTTGGCGGCTAAAACCCAATTTTATGGACTATATTGTAGCGAGAGTAACAATGTAGCGCGGGGGAGCCGCGAGCAATGTCGCTCGCCTCTCGCTGCGACCTCGCAAACGTCTTGCGCTATATCGCTCTCTGAAAAAAAATTTTCAAAAATGTTTTTTTTTTTCGCCTGTCGCGATATAGGGAATTATGTTGGGTGTCCTTTAGTGACTTTTTCAGCCTAGTTTTCCGCGCGCGTAAAGTTAGTTTGCAACGCGACATATCAACTATTATTGTTTGACGTTTTTCGCATAATGCTGTGTTTAAAGTGCTCTCATGTTGGTTAGTTTCACCCGTGGATGCTACCGCCGATCTCCCATTGAACCCCAGCCGAGCACCCGAAACGCAATTTTTAGCCGCGCATAGACCCCGTTTAATTCCAGCGGATCTACGCAAACGCACAGTTCTCAGCACGGATGGCGCACGGTGCATTCTGCTTTTTTGCACTCTGGTGCATAACTGGAGTCTGCACCGTGCAGTTTTGGTGCTTTTTTGGTGTCGCACTGGTGCAGCGCGCTAAAAGCACTGATTTGACACCTTTGCACCAAAAAATCACCGAAATCGCACGGTGCAGACCCCAATTACGCACCAGAGTACAAAAAAGGAGAATGCACCGTGCGCCACCCTTGCCGAGTTCAAGCGCCGAGCCCCCGTTTAGGTCCAGGGAATTACCCGAAACGTTAAACACCGGGCTATCGACCGTAGCACCCGCTTTGCAAAATTATGACATATTGGACCGAATTTTGCTACCGGCCATCATGAGAGTGATTCATCGAAATCCAGGCTAGCCGTCAGAGAGAGAAAAATATAATTTTTGCATTTCGCGGAAATAACTTTGTACACGAGATAATGAAAAAAAAACCAATATCTTTTTCAAATTTATAGAAAAGTTGAAATGGCTTGCGGGCTCGCTCTCAAAAGACCTCACGAGTACGAAGCATACTTGAAAGACGACGGATATGGACCCGATCCCAAGCGTGCCAGAACAGCTTCTCATTGTTCTCCGTTTCGACCTCAAATGGGTACCATAGCTGCCAACTTGCCGTCATCGAGTACAAGTTTCTCACAACGGTCAAAGGTTCGTTTTTTTTTTTCATTATTGTTTTCTTGACTTTTTCGCCTGATGAAGTTATAAGTTTTATGTGCTATATATTCCTTGTTCGAGGCTAGTACTCCAACGAGCTCAGAATAGCACTAGATTATTGGCAGTATGCAACCAGAGTTGTTTTATTTAAGCATTTTTCTGTACTTAATACTGACTACATATTTTAAAGGAGGATGAAAGCTCGCCTTTTGCTGTTATTTCGGGACAATGTCAGCTTTCTTCGTCTCAGCTGGATGCTTACTTACGCTCGGAAATACGCTGCCTTCGAAGAAGAAAAATTCTTCCGAAGCGCTCTTTTCAGTCTGCGGCCGAAGCTGACACAAAATTAGTAGATGATCCTGTAGAAAGAAAGGAGTATCGGACGCCAAGCTCTCCCACTCACGTATGTTCTTTTTTTTTGTGGATTTTTCAAATATTTTATTCAGTCTGCTTCTGATTCCGACGGTGAAGGAACTTCGAATCAAACTCAGACCAAGAAAAATTTGCTTTACTCAAAGCCTCAATTCAGCCTCAAACAGGTTTGTTAAGGCCCAAGTTTAATTAAGCGTTCACTCTTTTTAGGTTCAAATAATTTGTGAACGCCTTTTGAAAGAGCAGGAGATGCGCCTCCGTCATGAATATGAGACCGCGCTCAACAAAAAGCTCAACGGTATTATATTTTCATTTTATTTTTTTGCGATTTCATTTAATCTTGCTGTAGTCGGGCTTTAAAAAGTATAACGTTCCGTAATATTTCGGTTTTTTCGAGAATTTACAGAAGTTGATAAGCTTCATAAAAATTTTTTCAGAGCAACATGAACAGTATGTACAGTTTGCCTCCGAACAACTTGCTCAACAGCGTGTCGATTCTTCCCACGGCGATTACGCTTTTTCTTACCTTTCATAGTCATTTAATAAAGTAAATAAAAGACTTGGGTTACTTTTCTATTCTCTTAACCTGCACTTACCTTTGTGCATTTAATTGTGATGAGTTGTTTCAAGTATCTTGATCACGTGTAATTCATTCAAGCGGATTTCCTTTGCTTTTAACAACTTCGGCGATTTACTTGCCATTCATGTAGATATTGCTAGAAATTCGCATTATGTCTTGTGCTTTCTCGTTGTCTTTTGGCCGTTGTGGCCTCATAGTTTATTCTCTTTTGTCACATTGCCGAAGTATGCTGGAATCGAATGAATAAAATATTTATTGAGCACATGCATCGAGTTACTAAAGTTTGATGCTAATAAGCGATTTTTATTTCTGCTCCATCAAAATTTTCGCCGTGAGAAGCAATAAAAAGTTTACTTTTTCTGAAGCGAAACTTCTTTACCATTTTAATTTTCAATTTTTTTTTTCAAATGAAAGCTGAGTATTCATTTTCAGTTTTATTCAACTTTCTCCATTAACAAGTTTAGACCTTACTCCAGATTTGGAGTTTAAGCAGTCACTTTGAACACGATCACGAGGGTAATTTTCCGTTTGTCTTTCGGAACGATTTTGTGATATGACGTTGATTTTATATAGGACTACTTCAAACTTTTATCTACTTTTAGATCGTTCCAAAATGTATCACTTGAAAAGCTAAAAAGAAGTTATAGACGATTCACGGCTAGCTTGGGACGCAAAAAGGCGTGGCCTGTCTGCACTCTCCACTAACCAGGGCACTGTCTCGTCTCTTTTCGTGACAGGACCCTTTTCTCGATGGCTCAAGCCAGCCGTGAATCAGCTATATCTTCGGCCTCGAGCTCTAAATATACATCAAAATTTAAAAATATTTCTTTTTCCTCCACCCACTGCTTTTGAAAATTTTTGAGCACCTTTTTTTGAGTATCTGAAAAGCCAGAAGTAGAAAAAAAGCCGTGTTCAAGGTTTAAAATAACAAACTACAGCGAAGGTTGAGATGGACATTGTCTGCTTGATTTCTGGCGGGAAAGACAGTTGCTACAACATGATGTGTGCCGTTAACGATGGACATCGGGTCGTCGCTTTAGCTAATTTACATCCTGCCGAAAGCTCCTTTGAACTCGATTCGTATATGTATCAAAGCGTTGGAGCAGAAGGAATCGAGGTATCTTTTTGCAACTTTATAATCGACAATGCATTCCGTTGACAAAAGAAAGACCATTCGATCTTGCACACTGTAGGTTTAAATTGTGCATTCACCGCCACGCGGTTCTTGTGCGATATATTCGTTACTAACGAGTTTTTTTGTACGAAAAAGTAGGTAAATTTTGAGAAAAACTCAATTAGAACCTTCAAAGAAACAATTTAAGTTTTTTTCAAACTAGAGAAAAAATGGTCTAGTATGGCCAGCGGCGACGAGGCAGTGGAAACCGAACGGGCCTTTGTAGGCCTGAGATGGTGTGAAAAACCGTATTTCGCGTTTTAATCTCTGATTGGCTGGTAATACTGGAAATTTTCGAGGTACTGCAACCCAGTCAATAAATCGTAAACTGAGCACTTGTAGAGCTGAAAAAACTGAGAAGTTCATAAGGTGGAAAGCAAAATTTATTAGCTGATATGAATCGAAAGCAGAAAATGAAAGAAGACCTCTGGCGCACGCGCCACCTTTGCATGAGTAAAAAAACGCCGTGAAATTGCAGCTATATAGTGAGGCGATGGGTGTCCCGCTCTATCGTAAAGCTATCAAAGGAACTCCCAAGAACATTGAAGCGACTTATGAGGTAATGACCCTCTCAAAAATTTTTTATTTTTTCTCTTCTAGGAAACATCAGGCGATGAGGTTGAAGATTTGTACGAGTTGCTGCAAGAAGTATTAAAATCACACCCCTCCATCAAAGGTGCTTTTCTCTGTCTTAACAAACTGAAAACTCAATTTTAGGCGTTTCCGCAGGCGCCATCCTCTCAAGCTATCAGACGGATCGAGTAAAGAACGTTTGTGTGCGCTTGAATTTAACTCCACTGTGTTACTTGTGGGGACGAGACCAGAATGTGAGAGAAAAAGGAAGCATACATTTAGCTGATTCACGGCTGGCTTGAGCCATCGAAAAAAGGTTCTGACACGATTATAAGAAAGAGGCTGGCTGGTAGAAAGCGCAAATAGGCCACGCCTCTTAGGTTCCCAAGCTAGCCGTGATTCGGCTATACCTACAGCATGAACAAGGTCCAATAAGGGTTCATGGCTTTTCAAAAAATCAAAAAGGAGTTCAGAGCTTCTACATTGAGCTTTCTTTCAAATTCAGGGACCTTTTCAATAAACTTGTCTTCCATAAGAATTTGGAAAGCTCGATTTTGACTTTGTCAGTTGATTAAAATCAGTGTTGTGAAAAAGCTTATCAATAAGATAATAACTATTCTGTTCAGGAACTTTTGGAAGAGATGATCGAAAGCAAAGTCGACGCAATTCTGATAAAAGTTGCCGCCTTAGGCTTGAACTCAAGTCACCTGGGCAAAACTCTGACAGAAGTTCGGATATTGATATTTTCCTCAGTCTTAAAGTGATTTCAGATGGCACCACTGATGAAAACTCTTCAAGAGAAATACGGTGTTCATCCATGCGGCGAGGGTGGCGAGTTCGAATCTTTCGTTCGCGACTGTCCCTTGTTCATTAAGAAAATCGTGGTGGACAAGTTCGAGGTTTGACTTTCCAATAGAACGCTGCCCACCATTCATTTCTAGATCGTTAAACATCAAGACAGTCCCTTCGCGCCGGTATTCTTTTTACGGTTAACAGAGCTTCACTTGGAAGACAAGTGAAGATACGCAAAATTTGCCCGCTCAACTTTTTCTTGTGAAATCTTATCGTGAATAAACTTTTAACTCAGCTCGTAAACCATGAAACCAGTGACCGAACTTGATTGAAAAAATTCAAAACCGAGATCATGCTCATGCACCGAGAAGAAGTACGTCAGGCATCCAAGTTAAGTCTCACAACAAATAAATATATTTTTTCAGTGAACTTCAGTAACAGAAAACAATAAACGGTTTTAAAAAACCAAGGTAAAAATTTGCAAGAAAACTATATACATAAATTTTGAATGGAGGCTTTAACAAAATAACAGTGATACCAGTGAGTGATGAGTTGATGTAAAGAAATATAAATTCAAAATTTTACATAGCCTAGTAGAGCCCAAAAGCCGGCAGACATGAACTCACGGAAAGAGCGTGGCTTCCGATTCTCCCTGTTTGTAGAATCATCTTCCTTAAAAAATCAACAAAATTTAATGTGCAACATGTTCAAAAAAAAAAATGAGGCACCAACCCCGTCGACGAAAGAATTCTGTATGTCGTTTTCTTTTTGCAGCGAGTTCAACTTCTTCTGAAAACAGTTAGAGGTTAGCCAAAAAAAAGTTGAATATTTGTTTTCTCTATTCGACGAATGCCGACGGTATTACATTAGATTAGAATTTTATTTATTTTTTTATTAAATCAATATTTTGATATTCATCGAGACGGTAATACTCTTGTTACGAAGAAAAAAAAATTCAGAAACAGTTGATTGTTTTTATGCCGCACCACTTGATATCCTATTTCCACTTTTTTAAAACTTACATCAATGTCAATATTAAAACCCTCGATAGACATTGCGAGTTTAAGAATGTGGTCGTTCATCGTTTCGACAACCCTCTCGTGGGCTTTCGCGATTGCCAGTTGCCGTTTTGAAGATCTCGCGCGTTTGATCAAGCTGGACATTCTCTCGAATTCCTGATTTTTTCGTTTTGAAATTAATCGATAACCATATGAATAAAACCGTCTCAAGATGAGCGACTATTTCGATGGTTCGCGTTGACTGAGAACGAAGCTCCATGAGATTTTTTTTAAGCATGCTGGTGGAAATGTCGGCTTGAAGCATGTGCTTATTGTAAGTCAGTTCGAGCTGTAAGATTTATTATTCGTTACAGACAGATTTTTCGATAACAATGATTCCTATAACTTCTATGTCGACTTCAAAAGTGAGGTCATTAACTTTGTCACCTAAAAAGATTGCTCTTTGAGGTACCAGATAAAGATCCTTGAAGTTTAAACCTGCATTCAGGCTTGTGCGAGGGCCGGCCCGGCTTTAGGGAGGCAAAAAATAAGAAAAAATCATTTTCCGAGCTAGCCCCGCCTTAGGGAGGCCTCAAGCAAAAATGGAAGGCGGGCCCAAAACGCTTAAACTTTTAAAAATTCCCTCATCCGTTTCAAACTGTTTCATACGTATTTATTGAAGAAAAACTCACTCGGACAGGAAGAAAGTCATACACGGTATGGCTATCGTTGTTATGTTTCTTGAAAATGCAAGAAGAGCAAATCGCCACGCAATTGACATCACCCTGAGTATGATTCCCGTTTATTCATAATGGGGGACATTCAAATGATTGAAAGCAAGCAAAACCCAACAAGATTCATTAGGGGCGTCAGATTGCCGTAGTTGAACACAAAGTCAAACTTTTTCTGAGTGCATTGGACACAAATATGGAATCTGAATTGATTGCTTTCTGACGGAAATGCTGAAAAATTAAATACTGTTTTTCGCCTGAAACATCATGGCATTCGATGCACTTGACGTGAAAAGCTTTCTCCTCCTTCGCATTATTTTCGTAAGATTCAACAACATCTGAAAACTTTCAATACATGAGCCAGAGCTGTGAGTTTTACCAATCAGTCGCAGTCGCGAACTTTTTTTCATCTCATTTCATAATTTACATAACATAAAATTTTCAAATAACAAGTTTTCGATCATTCACTACCCGATTTACACATCTGTGAATGAAAGAGAAAAAAAAGTTCGAAAAAAGGCAAATTTTCAACCGCTTTGCAACACTATGGCCGGCCTAGCGCAAAGCTCTGAGAGCAGCAGTGAGTTGAGATTTTGACCTTTACGCAATTTAAATATCAAATGCAACTAACGCTTTCACGTTTTTTGAAGTCTTGATTACAAAAAAAATACCGAGGAGCTGGAAGTTATTCCTCAAATTTTTCACATCATCGATGTTTGTGTAGACCTGAAGAAAAATAAGTAAATGTCGTATAAAGACAGAAAAATGCAACCTGGCACAACGGACATTTCAATTGTTGAACACCTTCGCCTTCTCCGACTATGTAGACACGCCTTGAAAAACTCAAAATTTTCTCTATATTCATCTAAAACTTTGAAAGCATCACTAATTCTTTGAAAAAGCTCAAACCTATGAAGAATATTGGTAACCTTAATTTCCAAGTAAAAAAATAGAAGATTCCGAATGAAGTGAAAAAAAAACTCACACATTCGAAAGAAGCGTAGTAATGCAATTCGAACAAATACTGTGGCCGCAGTCAAGAACTTTTGGGACGTTGTTTTGTCTGTCTATAGAAACGAAAAACTAACATGAATAAATAAAAAAGGAAGTACTAACTGAACTGAGAACAGCACACAGGACATTCGAAAGCGATCAGAACGTTGTTATTTGTTTCAATTGATTGGCACGCAACCGTGTTTATTGCCATGTCTGAAATTATGGATTGCTTCAGGAGTGCATTTTTCTTTTCAACGGATGGTCGAGCACGAAACAAAAAGCAAAAACAATTTTTTTCGGCGACGTATCACGTTTTGGTGGAAAAAGAGCATGTTTCAAAAATCAAAATTTCTATCATCGCTGCTTTAAAAATGCTTCGAAACCTAATAGGGCGAACATAACGTTTAAAAAGGCAGGAAAATAAGCTACAGTTCATACAACCTTTTGCTCGAGTAAGCTGCTAAAAATGAAGCAAGAAACCAAGGAATAGAAGCGAAATGGGGTCAAATTTGATTGTTTGGATTACGGTCTTTTTGGCAGGAAAAAATTGCGACAAGCTGGCGCGGAATGGGCTATATATTTTTTTTATGAGAAGTTTTTGTTGAGCTTAGAAACAGGTTTGGTTTTTTTTTAATGGAACGTTTTAAAATTCATTACCGAAAAACTTATCCTAACTACCGTAATATGACCTCGAACAGGCGTGCTGTGCACATCCGTCCTTTTGACGACGCCCCGCCCACCATTTTCGTAATATATGACGTCTTTGGTGCATACAAAGCACGACGCTAACTTGCACAATCATATTGATCCAAAAAAGTTTTTGTACTAAAAAATGATGGAATCGAATTGTTTTGAGCACTACAGACATGGAAAAAGTTGATTCAAGCACATTTATATTTTCTAGTTGATTTTACGAAAAAAGAAGTTGGGTTGAAAGTTTCTCTCCCTTTTTGAAAAAAATTATTTTCATACCCGTTCTCAAGTGATTGTGAAGTACTTTTTAAGTGTAGAACAACTGGATTTTACATGATAAACTGTTGCTGGCAATATCTTCAGCTCTACAAGTCAACTTCGGTTAAAAAAATTCGGATTAAAATGGCTACTTCAATCAAAAAATTAGTGAAACCAAAAAAAATGATGCGACTAATATTAGGAGCAGAAAAAAACCTAAAAGTTTTTTGGATTTTTTCTCGGCTTTCTCACAATCATAAAAGCTGTGTCATTCAAAGAAATAGGGAATTCAAATCAAAAAGAGCCGAAGGTTTACTTGTCTTGAACGTCTGATGATAAATGATAACGAGAAAGAAAAAAGTCGTAGATTAATTATTTGAACATAATCTAAAAAGTAAAACAAATAAAAAAATATTCAAATATAAGTAAGATGAGTGAAAATTGAAAAGAAAAAATTCAAAACAAGAAATATGAAAAAAATAGTGTTTGAATTTTTCGCGCGCGGTCATGTATGCAGGCTGGAATGGGTTTTCTCGCTGGAGCAACTTTCTTTTGCCGATTAGAATAATAAAAATGAGCGACAAATTTCTCCTGATTTTTTTCTGAGCTCAGCTGAGCAGGTTTTTTTATTTTTTATCAAAAAAATTCTTATGAATTGTATAAAGGATTCATGTCAAAAACATTAAGCTTAATTCTGAACATCTTTTAAAACGAAAAATAGATTCGAAAATGGTTCAAAATGCGCATAATGAAATTAAAAAATGCGTGCGACTGCGGGTTAACCGTGAAATATAGCCTCTAGTGGAACGCCTCGCGCGCTGACTTTTTGATTATAATTTTTTTTCTTAGTGGACCTTTTTTTAAAAACTAAACGGATTATTATTCCTTCATCGAATAATTCGAAGTAAAAACATAATTTTTGAATCACTTTGAAAATATGAGTTGTGGTTACGACATGTGAGTCTGCTTATCAGAAAACTAGTTCTGCGCAGATCGAAACTACCGTAGTCGTACTACGATTTTTTTCTTTTTTTGCCTTTTCTTCCAATGCTGAAAATGCCGTGAGTAAGATATAATCTTTTTCTAGTTCCTTTTACTACTTTTTGTCGTTTTTTGTCACCCCCTCAAAATAATCAGCCAGTAGTTTTGGACTCTAGAACCGCGGTCGATTGATCTGAGATGAAAGTCTGCCCAGATTCTGTGTAAACGTAGAGACTAGACGTCTGGAGCCACCTGCAAGTAGTAGGACGTCAGCCTTCGAAATTGTTATCCAACAGGAGGCCTCGTCTCCTGACACTGTTGACGGATGGCGTCTCCTGTGCAGCGGCACTCCCTCGCCGGCTCTTACCTCATTACAACTTGAACTTGGTCGCCTGGGGTTCACCGGTCTCGACACTATTTCCTCACCACGCGTCGCATTCAACATATGGCAGTCAGAAGAAAGTCATCCTCGTGCCCTCAACTCGTTCGGAAGCTCAATCGAGGCAGTTGCACCAGTCGGAATGATGGTTCGAGCGCGAGCAGCACGATTCGTGCTGATCTCGCTCCTGTTGCTGATCAGCGCCGGCAGCTGCGAAATCAAGGTCGTGGGCAACATGGCTGTCGTCGCCAACCCTATCGGGCACATCGGCACTCCTGACACTCAACTTTTTGCTGATATTGCAAATCTCTGGTGAGAAATTTGTCTGCTTCAAAGTTTTTATCAGTTTTTTTTTGAGGTGCGGCACACAGAAGCTGGGAGAACATGTCAATGTAGAGTACGGCGAATTCACCCGTCTCAAAGATGGTAAGGTGCGTCAACACTCTTGGTCTGAGAAAAATTTTCGATTCATTTGGTTTTTTCCAATTTTTGATGGAATGAGCACTTTTTTCGAGCACAAACTCTCATGCGGACCCGGGGTCTCGGCATGTATAAATTTGCCATTTTGTAGAGCTTTTTATTTCGTGTCGAACGGTGTACTTGAAAATGTACAGAAAGTCCTATTTTTGGAGAAAAAATAATTGAAAATTGTTGAGAGAAAATTTTTGCCGTCAAAAGGGCGTTTTGCAGTAAAGTTGCTCTATGGACAAAGAGCGTCGTCAATTTTCGGTTTTTTTCTTCGTTTCTTCAGCATTAAAAATTTTTTTCTGTTGTCACAAATTTTTTTGGTCTTGATAGCTTTCTAATTATATATAAGTTATAAATTTTTGGACGAAAATTGCTTTTCTGGTGAAAAAAATGATGATTTTGTAGAGATTTCGCTTGAAAAAAATTGCTGTGTTATGTTCTCTAGGGAATAATATATTATTTGGAATCGTAAAAAAATTCTTCACTCTCGACCTCTAGAATTTAGTCAACGGTTCATGTTGAAGAAGTTTTTTTCAATAAAAAAATTGAAAAATGAAATATATAAATTTGAAAAAAATCTACCCGCAAATGCTACGAATTTGTGAATTACTCATCGCAGAAAAATGTAGTTATGTCTTTTTTTATATTAATGTTCAAAGATCATTTCCAGGTCTTCGAGGGTCATGTTCAAACGGGAAAAGTTTACTTGGAAGTCGGCAGAGCACCTGTCAGCGTTGCCGGAAAATATCGCTGCGAAGTCCGTACCGTGGAGAAAAAGATTTACAGCGGCAACCTTATAATCTATCGTCAGTTTTAGTCAGACTCATTGTATTTTAAATCAAATTTTTATTTAGTTCCACCAGTGCTCACCTTTGATAAACCAATCAAGGCCAGAGAAGTCAATGATTCTCGTCCTCCACAAGTTATAGGTTCGTGAGAATGTTAGCTGTTTGACATTGATGAACAAACTTTATACCGCGCCAGCTTGATATGATTTGGTATCTCTCTGATATACAAAAATTATCTCTTCAATGCCCGCGGTCTCTGTATGCATGCGCCTTTGATGTAACAGAAGTTTCAGACCGGAAAAAAAGGCGCATGCACAAAAACAACCCGCGCGCTTCGAACGAAATGATTCTGTAAAAAAAAATTCCATGGAAAGCAATTTTCAGTTTTTTGCGGTCAACATTTTTTAGTTTCTTAGAATTATAAAACAGTTGCGGTAATTTACATCTTTCGCTCTGATTGATCATTATTTTCTTGTAAAAATTGAGTTGAATGAATAAGTATTAAAAAAATTAAACTTAACACGAAACTTTTGTGGAACCGCGAGAAAAAATTTGAGGAAAATTTTCAGGTGTTGAAAGAAGAGGGCTCGAAGGAGAAACTCTGACGCTCGAGTGTCCGGTAATATCATATCCAGAACCGATGGTTCGATGGGAAAAGGACAACACCACAATAGGTAATATTCCATCATAAAAATACCCCGAAATGCAAAATTATATCTGACTCTCTAAAATTTATTCATCTTTTTTTTTTTACTGCGACGGCTTTTTTATGCATGTTGAAAATTATTTCAGCGATTTCCAAATTGACGCGTTTTTCGTTCAAAAAGATTTCGCGAAATAAGAATTCCGGGAGCCCTTAAGAAAAACTACTAGAGCTTTTCAACGAAATATTCGAATTCGCGCGTAAAAAGCACCGTAGAAAGCACATCGTTGTAGTACCCTTTTTCAACGGCTCTGGAATTTAAAATTGCTTACTTCACGAAATAATTTTAGACGAATAACGCGTCGTGAAATCGCCGAAATTACTTTTCACTGACGGCTGCCAGAATTTAGAGAAAATTTTAACAAAGTACTAGAAAACTTTTGTTGTAATTTTCAAAAGCGCAGGCCCCATAAATGACCTAACATAGACTAGACGTTTCACTTTGTATGTCAGTCAGAAGTAGCTTGAAGCAACATTGTCAGACAACGAAAGGTAGATATTGATCATTTCAGTACCATCGAACACCACGACATACGATGGAAATAACCTCGTTCTGTCTCCTCTATCTGAAGAGCATATTGGAATGTACCGATGTATAGCGGACAACTCCTTCCCACTTTTCGTCGACGGTCCATCAATGCCTCATCAACTTTACTATGATCAATTTGTCAAAATATTGTAAAGAAAGTATTTTAAGAAGCAATAAAACTTCATTGGAACAAATATTAAAACAACAAAATTGTCAAACAGACAGCGCAACACAAGAGAACAACGTCAAAAATTGCTTAGTGAGCTGGCCTCAAGTATTCGTTGGTGCAGGAACAATTCTACCGTCTACTTCTTGGCGGCTCTCCTCTTTCGCTTCAGCCGACGCATACGCTTCTTACGCCACTAAAAAGACTTTTTTATTAAAACTTCCTTTTTCTGTTGTACAAACCTTTTCCCTCATACTTGCAGTACTTCCTAGTACGGTTGAGCGTACGCCGAAGTACTGAAAAAAATCCTCGAATTAGTCAAGAGAACAAAAATTAAAATAAGAGAAGAGTAGACATGGGAACGAGAAAAAATTTCTCAGAAATGTGTAATTCATCAAGATAAAAAATCTTATTTCTATTTACAATACTTTTCTAGCTGACCGGGCGAACAGAAATTTTCAGCCAATAAATTTATTTCCAATTACATATTTCGCTGAAGTCAACATTTCAAAGCATGTACGATACGTGCAAACGACCAAGATGATATATAGTTCGTTCAAAACTTTTAAACTAAAGTTCACCAGAAAAACATAAAAATCGGTCACCGTTATAAATTAATATCGAAATATTTCAATCAATATTTTTGTGCTGGAACGTAGAAATTTTGACTGCTTCGAAAAAAAAAAACATAAGAGTACTTCAAGGAAACTTTTCTTTTTTGACGTATTCCAAGGAATTTCAGCGATTTTAGGATAAAAATCTCGATATATCCGTGTAAAAAAAAAGTCAGCAAGTTTTTTTTTTTAAACAATCCGAGTTTTCTCGACCGATAAAAAAAAATAGGACCCATTTTTTTAATGATTCCAAAACGCTAATTTCCCGTGATCATTTTAAAAGCAAAACATGAGAATTTATAAATCATCAAAATCGCTCTGCTTCTTCCACAAATCTAGCAATAAAATCTGAAGATAAACTGAGATGGAGAGATTATTGATATAACCTAATCAAAACAGCTTGTCGCGGTGCTATAAACGAAGATTTAAATTTAATTTTTGGACTGCCACTCATATTTTTTTATCCTTTTTTTAATTACACAGAAAAATTAGATATAAAGATAGGAAAAATTTAAAGGACTAGAAAATTATTCGGAATGTGTAGCGCGTTCAAAGGGACGACTTAAAAAAAACTTTCGCATTTATGAGATTGGAATGAACGTGAAATCAATGTATGAATTAAAAAAATAATAGCAAAGAAAAATTTGAAAAACTCAAAGTGCGAGACGCGTTTTGGGATTCACCATACTACCGCCGTTCACATCAGCGGTCTTGACGCGGAGAATGCGGTCCCCGCCAATTTGAAATCTGGCGGTGGAAGGCTTTTTCAAAAATTGAACTGCCGCGCTTTTTACTCTTCATTTTCTAATCAGATTTTTTTCCTGTCAACAGGATCAATTGATCTGAAAAAAATAAACGATAAATATACTGAAAAAAATAAAAAAATTGTTAAAAAAATGAAATTTTTTTCGGAGCTACTTTTTGGACCGTAATGAACCATTTTTTTGGCGTTTTTGTAATTTGTTTCGTTTCTCTGAATGAACCACGAGTTCATGATGAAGATTCATGAATATTTTATTAGCCTGAAAAAAAAAAAAATTTTTCCGAAGCATTCCTATGAAAAAAATTCCACGTATAGCTTTTTTTGGTCAGTTTTTTTATGGGCTTTTTACTTTTTTTTCAGCTTTTTTTCATTGTTGTTGGTAACTATGAAAGTTAACGGATCAGACGGTTTATAATTAATTTTCGGAGAAGGCAGTTCTGTTTTGGATTTGTGAACCTTCAAGATATTTAGAACGCGTCCGGACGTCCGTTTTTCTTCCATTCTTATTGCAGTGTTCAAAGTGATTCCTCGGAATTCAAAATAGTAGTCAGATATTGAAAAAGGTAACCAAGTTCTGAGAAGTTAGATATGATTCTACGCTTCGCTGAATTTGTTTTGAATATGACATACAGCTCTTTCGTTTCTATCTGATCAGTTCAATATATTTTTTTCTTTTCATTTTGAACATTCGAATTTTTTTGGTTTTGAAGGAATTTACAATTTTGTTGATAGTTACCTGTTCGGTTTTATCAGTGTCACTCGATTTTATCACCCTTTACGCAATATAACAGAAAAATACGAGAAATTTCGATGTCTGAAAAAAATTTTTTTTTCGATAAATTAAGTGGAAAGGGAATGTGCAAATGTCAATCAAAAATATTTGGGAAAAAAATATCCATTCAATTTCATACTTTTTTTGTTGTTATTCTAACGAAAAATCAAACCAGCTTTTTTTCAAAAACGTTGCTCTTTAGCTGCAAATTCTCTTTTCGATTTTTCTAAGTCGTATACTTTTTCTAAGTAGGACTATGTTGCGATCGAAATGGAGGAGATAGGTGTGATAAATGGGGCTACGGAGGCGCAAGGCTGTCCTGGCTTTCTGATAAAGCATTTGGTACATCCTCACGTTCTCTTTCTCGATTTTTTTTTACGTTTTAGCTCTCGTGTATTTTTCTTGTTTCGCTGCATATTCATACGATTTGTTCTCTTTAATAACGAGAACCAGAACTTTTTAATATGCTAATTTGTTTTAATTTTTATGACAACTTCTCCCCACTTAAATATTTTTTTGAAACTTGTTTGAAAAAAAGTATAGTTCTGAAGTTTTTCCTTTAGTCTTGACGTTAATCGATGCAAACAGCTAGAGTGAGGAGTTTTTTTCAAGCTGTCTGTCTAGATTAACGATGTCTATTCGGCCGAGAGAACGACGGGGAGTTGCCAGTGATGGACCGATGCCATTTTTTTGTTTTTCAATTGGTTACCAAGCTTGCCGCGCGGAGTGTTAGTTCATATGTTTACTTTGTTCATATGCCATGGCCAGTGGCCGGTGACTGGCCAGACCACTCAAAACGGATAGAGAGTGCCAACGCGAATCCTCCGCATTTGCTTTCATTCCTTCATACTTAAGATTTCGCAGCCTCTTGTCACTTCAAATTCAATCATGTTCATTTTTCGTATTTCTGGGCGCAACTGAACAAGTTTCGGTGTTCACTTAAAATTTTCAGTCCTTTGCAAGTTTTTCCGCTCGATGTTAACGACTTACTTTCTATTCTTCTTGTGTCTGTTTGCAAATGAGATCTTTCGCGTCACTCGCCAATTCTTAGCTATTCCTCTTGCTCTTTTTCCTTTCCCGTTGCGTATGTTTTTTAGTGCCCGCAACTCAAGACTTTGCCTGCTCGTGGCGCATCGTTCCATATTCCAATTACCTTTTCCTTTGCTCTTCTTTTCCCGAATATCGCACTGTAAAATTGAATTATTCTAAATTTATTTTTTCAAAAGTTTTTGTAGGTCTAACGATGGACCCGGATGCTGAGTTCAACTCGTTAACTGGACTTTATCAAAGTGTTGTTCATGACATGAAAGTGGGTAATTTTGACTGTAACTTTTTCTCCTTTTGTATTTTTGTAGTGAGTATCTTAGTTACATCTAAGCTCCATCAAGGATAAATAGTTATAATCGGATTAAAAAAAGTGGGATATTGTTAAAGTTGTGGAGCGATTCAAGGTTAAGCGGGAAATTTTCTAGAAAAAAATGTTGGTCACGGGTTTTTTTGGCTTTTTTTATTCTATATCTATATATTATTTTTTTGAAGCGGTTAATATTTTTGAACTAGAGTTTTTTTAACTTCACTAAGAATAACTGCCGAGATAAACGCGAGACACTGGCGGTACATTGACGAGCTCGCAAACATCTCGCTTTTTTTCTCGCGCCGGCCTCGCATTTTTCTGGGCGCGAGCTCGCATTTTTCTAGGCGAGAGCTCGCATTTCTCTCGCAATTTGAAAATTTCCGAAATGCAAGATAAATGCGAGATGGCGCCGTGAAAAATGCGAGGTCGCGCCGAGAGAAATGCTCGATCGCGCCTAGAAAAAAGCGACATTTTTGCGAGTTAGTCAATGTACCGCCACCGAGCTCGCATTTATCTCGGCAGTTATTCTTAGTGTTAGTGAATCCTGAAATTTTTTGACACAGAGTGAGGATTGTCGATAACTGAGAATCAAAAATTTTCTTTTCAGCAAACCTATCCTGGTTGGGAAACCGTGAGTCTGAAAGCAATCAAGTTGGCTTCGCAGATAAAGGTGAATGAGAGAAGGATTTCTCGCATTAATTCGTACTTTGAAGGTCACAGCCCAGTATCTCTGTTCATTCGTCGACGCTATTCAAAGTGTGAGCGACCACGCTAATAATTTAAAAGGTCCGTGGAACTATAACAATCGAATCAGTTTTGATTTGATTCGAAAATGAGGGAATTCGAATTCAGGAGCCTCGCGAGACGTGGGAGCTTGCGTCACTCGAGTTTGCATCCGAGAACGAGCTCTGGAAAGTCGACTGCGAGCCTGGGCAGACGCTCTCAGCGACGAGATGGCCGTCAGCCTACAGCAACGCGCCGCCTACTGGAAATCGCGGACCAGTGAGCTGGACAAGGCTGCCTCGAAACACGTGAAAAAAGTTGGATCCGCAGCAGGCTCCCAGCATACCGTAAACCTCAGGTCCGTTCTCGGAAACATCGACCAGACCCCAACGCGATGAACGAACAGCGTGCTCTCTGCACCCAAATTCTCGCCGAACAACGTGCTCAGTTTGCTTTCTTCACGGGTACCTTGATGCCAGTTTTGGTTTGAAGTCATTAGTGATTGCTTAGAAATAGTCACTTTAGAACGCTCAAATCGGTGCTCTAGATGAAGGTTCTCATATTAGACAGGTGGTGGAAAGCTTGGATAGCACTGTGAAAGTTTGTTTGCCATCCGGTGTGCATCTCCTCGTTTCGGCTTTCAGCATGTGGACACGGAGAAGCTCATCTCAACAATTGTTTCCGACGTTTGTCAAGGTGCAGACAGCGCTTGGCGTGAATGTTTGGCAGCGGCTGGTCAAAAGTGGGAGTGAGACTGTTGTTTGGCGACCGTTGATGCCTCGATTTTAAGGGCATCTGAGGAAATTTATTCGATTGGGTCCATCCGAGATCTCTCAGCTTTCAATACGCCTACCTTAATTTCAAGAGGTTTTACATCTTTTTTTTTGTTGCGAGTAAATCGGAAAATTTCAGATGATCATTCTGACACGTTTTCCAGAGTCAGCGGCGACTTCAAGGACCGCTACATTCAGGAAAACAGAGAGTTAGTTTTTAAGAGTATACATTTTCTATCCGTTTCTTTCAATGTTCTAGTTATTTAGCAGTTTTTTTTTGTTCCAATCGTATTTTTCTCTTACTAGGGAATGGTCTCAGCGTCTTCTGAATGCAACTAGGTTCACTAGATCTAGTTTTTTACGCTTATTTCGAACTTGCTATCAAAAGATTTTCAAAGCTCCGACAAAAATGATTAGTGATGTTGTAGGTTCGTCCCCAAGCTACAAAATTTTTTTGAAATTGTTTCTTCTCTTGTTTAAATTTTCGTTGAAGTGCTATTTCTGAGTTTTGAATACATCAAAAAACTTTATGTAGAAAGATAATAGGTTTCATGTTATCCTCTAAAAATGAACTCAATCGAAGAAATTTTAAGTTTTCGAGAGCTCTCAACTTTTTCCAGAGACCTCGATGCCAACTTTTGAGGAAAGAATGAGCCTATAAAATTACATCTAGTAATCTTAGTCTGATTCAGAAGTCCCACTGTGAGCTGAGACTATGCTCTGGTTGGACTGCAACTGTGCCTTTGATTATGTTTTTCAGAGTACGAATTTTTAGACATCTTTATAAAAATTTTGTTAACGGTTTCTCAATATTCGGTTTATAGAAGGCGCTATCGCTCACCGTTGAACAGCTCGTTCATTCCGCCTGAACCGTCATGCAAAGACGTTGGCGAAAGCTGTGCCCTCAACGGCTTCGGCAAACCCCCGCTGCAACGTCGCACTAGTGAACGAAGCCTTGGAACTGTAAGTAATCCGCTTATTTTCTCTATAAAAATTTGGATAGGCTTCCATTTCTTCGCAGAACGATAGTTCCTATTCGACGGTTTTGAATAATGTGAGTGAAGAAAGACAGCGGATGTTCCAGTCAAATCTTCCTCCTCCGTATCATCACGTCATCCAACAGAGGTAATCTCATAGGTTTTTTTAAATGAATATTCAGCACTTTTCTTGTTTTTGGTATGGTTTAGGATCCGAAAATACGGCATTTCTTGAAATAGCATCATTTAGAGTTTCACTTTTGAGTACACCAGCAAAAAAACTTAATTAAAAAAATATTACAAGCTTTCTTTTTGAGTTATTTGTAAAAAAATCTGGAAATTTTTGAAATAAAAAAATTTTTTTTCTATAGCTTTCTATAGAGGTTTCGATTTGGAATTCTTCTCTATTTTCAGAAGTACCGAGCAAATCAATGGAAGGAACGCTATACAACGTCCTCAAAGCTTTGGCGGCGCTCTCCGAGTCAACTACACAACGGTAGTTCGCTCGAAATGTCATTCTACAATTTTGGACGTTTTAGCCGTCTTCCTGCCTCGGCTCGACTCCCATCTTTACGAATCCTATGTCGAATTCTTCTTGTAGTAGCTCCGACGCAGCTTCGTCTTCAGCGCTTCTCATAGCCGAAACTGTTCATCAAATAGGTTTCGCACACCTGAATATGTCGAATTTTTATTATTCTTGCAGATCAACTCGGAAGTGACCTTGAAAACTATTGTGCGATGAGTGATTCGCGTCTTCAAAGACAACCGTCGCTCTCGAACGTTTCACGGTCCGATGGCTCCAGGACGGGTGCTTTCCCATTTGGTTTTCTCTTCTTATAGTTGGTTTTTTAGTGGAGGACTTCTCCGGACCTCGAAATAACTTCAACATCCCTAGTCAGCAGGGGAACAATCTCGGAACTGTCAGGATAAGAACAGGTGAGAAAGTTCCGAGTGAAGCCAAAGTCATGCCTCTTTCTAGCTTCTTCGGGCTCTTCAAGACCTCCTCCGCCTACGCGAAGGTCCAGCCAGATAACTGCAGCCACGCCTACAGCTCCGTCGGTCGCCGAGACAAGGCTCAGTGCAAACTCCATCATGGGTTAGTAAATATCAAGATATCAATAATAAAAAGAAATAAGTTCAGAGTTTAAAAAAAATAACGTTAAAAAATTGACGGTACTCTATTTGCCACGACTTTGAAACAATCTGACCGCTCTGCGTTCTCGTTTTCCTCTTGACGAGAAAATAGATCTTGAACGGCCCAGAAAAAATCTGCAACTAACTAAGAAAATAGAAAGTAAAAACGGAAACTAGACTTTTTGTGTGATAGATCCTCTCCGAATGTCTGAAAATTTTCTCTGATTAAATTGAATTTTTCCAGGTAGTCGTCAATCACTGAATTCTACTGCTCTGTATAGTCAAAACGGCTCTACTCTCGACTTGTACATGTCTGCAGCTCCGAACAGAGCGGACAATTATAGGATATGAACTTATTTTTCAAATCTATGTGTCATCAAGAGTCAAATAGTTGCATGTGAAAATCCCTGACTAGTGCTCTCCGTCGGGTTCTCTCATTTTACTTCGCCTCCACTTCATCCTGCGCAATTTGAAATAAAGTCTTCTGCCTCAGACGATTTCACGCAAACCGCATGGTGCAAGTGACAGATCTGCATGAACTGACTTCATTCTGCCTTCGAAGTGAAATGGAGTCGAAAACCAAAATCTACATAGGACTGTTTCTCATCGGACCCGCCTTTCTGTATTTTATATTCTCTGTGAACAGCGCCAGACCCGAGCATCGTCTTGAAGTAAACTTGAAAAAGTTTCCTGAAATGTTTTTCAATAGGCACCCAAGCGGCGGCTTTTCGACTTGCCCTTAGTTTTTCCTCGGACTTTGTCGGCTGAACAAAAATTGGAAGCCTACAACTTATCAATAAGGTTAGTTTTGCTCTCAAGGGAACCCTCAAAGCAAAGTTTTGAACGCAGGTTCAACCAAGGTATATCCAAGGACGAGTGTCACGGGTAAGATTCGAGGCTCCCACTGAACTGATTATTTTGATTCAGGCCGCTGCTGGGGCTGAGTTTGCAAGCCGGCAGATGAAAATTGGATAAACTATTTTTTTTTCTGTTTTAAAAATTCAAACTTTTTAAATTTTCTTGAGTTCAATACATTTTTGGTTCTTTTTCACATTGAAATAAAGAAAATAATTTTCAAAAAATCGATCAATTTCCAAGGTTCGCTACTGCTGCCATATAATAAGGTGTCCGACTTTTTTTGATCCTTATAAGGTTTGTTTTCCCCCTAACCCTATAAGGACCACTCTGGAATTCCTAAGTAAGGAGCTCACTTGGATCTAAAATTTTGAAAAATAGATTGCGTTTTGGATGTGAAAAACTCATTTAATGGTAGAGTAGCCAGTTTTTTAAAGACGATTGAACTGAAATTTGAAATTGAGTTAGTTTCTAAAATTCCGTAATTTTTTTTTCAATTTCTGATGTGCGAAAAAAATGAACTTTCTGCTAATTTTATTACATAGTCATACCTTAGAAGACATCTAGAACTCTATAAAAAGAGTTAAAAAACGTTATTTTCTTTTGTTCTGCGAACTTAGGTTCTGTTTTGAGTTCATACAAAAGTTGCCTTAGAAAGCAAGGATATGCCAAAAGAAACCAACGGGCCCAAACATCTCAGAGTGCAGGAAATCAATCCATCAGGCATCATAATTCATGCGTTGGATCGGCCCTTATCATCCGAGATAGTCGTGTTTCCCAGTGACTTACGTCCTTCTACCGGCGGATCGGTCGGTTCATCTTGCACCCATATCAGCTGACCTCCAAGTCGTTTTTTGCTCTAGGTTCGCTCAACTTTACTTTCTTGGATAAAAGGACCGTTAAACCCGGTTTCTGCATTATTACCTAGAGTTGATAGTCAAATCTTCAAATCCATCCATCTTTGGAAAAATTTAATTTAGATACAGCATAGGCAATGTCGGAAAGTTTGGAAAAAGGCTCCATTTTTGCTGCCTTTTTGCGCCATTTCATCGGCTTTTTTGCACCATTTTTGCAGCCTCTTTCTTTTTCCACCATTTCTTGAGCCTTTAAAATATCACAAACAATGGAAGGCTCGATAAAGGGACCCTTTCTGCGGTCATTTTTGAACCTTTTAGCGGCTATTATCCACCATTCCGACTTTGCCCGAGTACTTGCAAAAAAAGAAAAATAAAGTATTTATGCCGGATTACAGTTTCACTGTTTTCGACTCAAACTCCTTTTAATTGTTTGTAGAAAGGGCCTGCGATAAAGCGTAAATGGGGTTTTTTTTTGTATCTCGAAAAAACATTCTGGTCAAAATATTTTCACTAGTGTGAGATTCTGGTAATCGAAAAATTGTGATTAATTTAAACCAAAAATGGAAAATTAGGCTAGCTTCAGTTTTAAAAAATAAATTTTTGTTATTGCGTCCTCTATGCAGTACTTTTTCATTGAGCTTTTCATGTTTCCAAATTTTTTCTAAAATACTTTCCCGATTTTTGGCTAATAAAAGTTCCAATATTTTGAAAAATTGACCTGCTTTGTCTATTTCTCAGACTGAATTTTGTTCTTATCTTTTTCAGGAGTGGATCTTTCTATAAAATAATCCTATATATTCAGAAACATCCAGAAGATCTTCCTATTCTCCGGATTCGTTTGCAAAGATAGTTTTTTTTGGTCGGACAACTAATTAATTATTTTTCATACTTTTTCGTTATTTATCCTAGTTTTTAGATTTTGTTTTCTGGAGTTGGAAACTTTAGAACGTATATTGAAATTTTGAACTCTCCCAGGGGAGGTCATTCCACTTTGCGATTAGGAATTTCCTGAAAATTGGCCAGAACCCTTATTGATGTACAAGAAGAAGATCCTGAAAGTCTCAACCTGAACAACTTCCTCGTTTTCGAGAAATAAGGGCCTAAAATCCCAGAACAGACTGTTTTAACGGATTTTGAGGGTTTTCTCTGACTTTGAGGCGTTTTTTTTTCTCAAAAACCAGGTTGAGAATTTCAAAATCTTCGTCTGGTACATCAAGGGGCGTTCTAACCGATTTTCAGGGAATCCCCAGCCACAAAATGTTGTACTGAAGACTGAGAAGATGACCAAAAAGAGTTATGACGCTTGGGCAGCGCCGGAAGGGCACGTGGGAAGTTTGGCGTCGAGGTCGCGAAGACGTCGCGCCGTCGGATGACGTCGAAGGGTCCCCGTGGCACGAACGCCTTCTCTCCTCGTGATCCACTTCCCGTTGCCACCTCACTTATCACTTTCTTTTCGTGGCTGCTGTTGTTTTCGTCTCTGCTTACCTTCTTTCAGTTTCTTCTTCTTCTTCCGATATCCAACTATTCGCAGTACATCTCTGTTTTCTTTTCTATAATTAGAAAGTTGATTCACCGCTGGGTTGTGTCAAAATTTGGTGGTATGAAAAAAAGACCAGCGAAAATTCAAACGGCGAGTTTTCCGATTTTTTCATATCGCTAGGGAAGTCGGAAAAAGATTCGTCGGAAAGGTGGCCGTCGGAAATTTTCCTAGCAATATGAAAAATCGGAAAAGTCGCCGTTTGAATTTTCGCTGATCTTTTTTTCATACCAACCAAAATTTTTGAAATCACTGAAATTCCACTTGAAAAGTATCGAATAACTTGAAAACAACTTGTGAAATTTCGTGAAAAGCTAGCGGTGAATTGAAAGACAAGGAGGTCATTCGTTCATAAGCCCAAATTACCTTAAAAACGACTTAAAAAGAAGAGTCTAAAGCTCCTTTTTGAGTTCCTTAAAGGTGTCAAAAGTTTCTCGAAATATCCATTTTCCGCCTCCTTTTTTTTTACCACCTCAAAAAGTACTTTTCAGAAAAAAGGCGCCTTTAAGGCGCCTTTTTTCTCCAAAAGTCCTTTTTGAGACCTTTAAACAAATTTCCAGGTGTTAGGAAACTCGAACTGAATGTAGAGAAAATGATAAAAAGTTCACTGTCATTTCATTTTCAAGTCATCGATTTTCCGCTCAATATGAGAAATTGAACTAATTCTTGATTTCAGAATGTCCGACATTGGGGATTCTCCGAAAAATGAGGATCCTGCGCCGCAAATTGAAGTTTTCGGTGCTGGTAGCTTTCGAAAATGTAAGTTGTCATTGCTTCATTCGTTCGTATTAATTTGATTCGGAAATAATTACCGGCTGACTTGAGCCATCGAAAAAAGGGTCCTGACACGATAATGCACGAGATAGTGCCTGGCTCGTGGAGAGCACAGACAGGCCACGCCCCTTAGCGTCCCAAATTAGCCGTGAATCAGCACAAGGAGTTCAATTTCAGCAAAAACGGACAAAATAGGAGATTCGGGCAAGCGAGGAATCTCGTTCACTGTCGAATCACTTGAAGATATTCCATCAAAAGTCGACGAAGAATCCTCGAAAGAGCTGAAAGAAGGTGAGACTACCTGGTTATAATCTGTTCGGATTGTGAATGTCAATTCATCGCTCAAACTCCGCCCCTTCTGCGTAGATCAAACCAAACGGGCTTAACCGACTATAGACATCGTTCATGACATGAACTTTCTCAGGAAAGTCATGGATTCGATACGTCGTGCTGACGGCGACAATCGTCTGTCTCTCTTCAATCATGGCCAACATCGTCTGCTTCAATTTCACGATTCTTTGCATGCCGCGTACCGGCGAAGTGTTGTCCGGCAACCACGTAACATTCGGTGCAACTTTCGGAGCTCATCCAGCTTTTCAGACAGCCTACGAAGGCTACACGAAGAACGAACGAACCTGGCTTTTCAGCGCAGTCGCCGTCGGAGCGCTGCTGGCCGTGGTTCCCGTGGCGCACGCGATCAGCACGATCGGCAGCAAGAAAGTTGGCTTATTTCGGTTTGTCACGTGACCACCAACGTCTCCAGGTTTTCTTCGCCGCTGGCATGCTCACTGGAGTGGCGACGGCGCTAGTTCCGGTGGCAGCCACCTTTGATCTGAACACGTTTCTCGCCCTGCGTTTCATCCAAGGGATCTCTTTCGCCGCATGCATGCCGACTGTCGGGTCGGTGACGTCATCTTGGGCTTCTCTTCACCAGCAAGGCCTTTTCATCGCCGTCCTCACGACCTTCGGACAACTCTCCTCTGTGTTCTCCATGCCCGTGTCCGGCCAGGTGCGGAACACAAAAAGATGAACCAGATTTTGGTTATAGCTTTGCACTTCTTCATTGGGCTGGCAGTCGGTGTACTATGTCCATGCGGGAATTTCTTTCGTTTCTTTCATCCTGTGGTTTGTGGTCTACACGGACACGCCAGGTAGGACCAAACGGGAGCTTGACTTTGGATCCGGCTGATTGCAGATCAGAACAAGATGGTAAAGACGCGGGAGCTAGCGGAGATCAACGCCGGAAAGTCTTCTTCGAGTCTTGTCGCGCAGAACAAGCCGACGGCGATTCCGTACCTCGAGATTGTGACGACGCCGAGCGTTTGGGGAGTCTGGGTCGGGGCTTTGGGCGACCTCGTAGCCGTGCAGGTGAGGCTCTTTCTTTAAGGATATCATTAGAAAATTCTTGGAAGATCAGTAGTATGTAGCCCCCCCCTGGCATTAGTACTGTAGTATTACTGTAGTAGTACTGTAGTCTACTAAGGTCATGTCATCTTTCATTCCTTACATTGATATTTGTTAAGTCCAAAAAAATTACTTAAATTTTTCCTTTATTCTGTCACATAGTGTGCTCAAGATCCTTACAGGCCAAAACATGAAAAGAATAAATCAATAGGTGTCTAAATATCCAAGTTTTCAAACGTGAAAAAGTTGCAGCTCATTCACACCTTCTCGCCACTTTACATCAGACAAGTTCTTCAATATTCGGTCAATCACACTGGCTTTGCTGCCGCCGTTCCGGTTCTCGTCCAATTTTGCGTTAAGGTTGCATTTTTTCCCTTTGTACGGCTTGAGCAGCCGCGAGTTGATTAGCCGAGGTCCTTTCTTGATATCAGTGATAATAAGCGTGCTGGTGACATATCCGTCCTTGTGTATGACGGCTGCAGATTTTTGTAGTCGTGTTCCCATTCTTAGAAACTCCGGAGTGTTCCCTAGAGAGGCAACCTTAGGGCCCTTGAAGAGTCCCGTCTTGGGACCACTTTGCCAACCCTTAACGCTTGAAAAAGTGGTCCCTATAGGGGTATCAGTTAGTGGCCCCTATAGGGGACATGCTAGTTCATAAATAAGCGTTTTTGAATGAACTTGGAAGGCTCCTATAGTGGCCACTTAAGCTTTAGTGGCTAAGGGGTCAGACGCGGAACCCCTATAGGGACTACCTTTATTTTAACCCTATAGTGACCCCTTTTTCGGCCCCCTTTTTATCCCTAAGGGATCATTTTAAACTTCCTAATCCACCAAAATTTCTCAAAATTAAGTGTAAAGCCTAGGGACCGCAAAGCCACGCCCCTTTTCGCGATAGAAAAAGTGGCTTTTTTTTGGTTTTCAACTTTCATTTTGCTGTAGTTGCAAAATATGTGGAACTGGCTAATAAAATTTGGCACACATGTACAGAAAAGCTTCCTCTATCGTTTAAAAAATGTTTCACGCTTTTTTGATGCGTTCGCGCGGAATGTCGTACAAAAACGTGAATGGGACTAAAAAATTTTGTCGTTTTTTGCTTTTTCATGTGTTTTCAGGTCGAACGCACTCTTTCTTTTTTTATATAATGATTTTTGATTCAAGTAACGGTAATTTTAAAACAATTAAATAAAAAAATTCGTCTTTGCCAAAAAAATTTTAGGGAGTGCCGAAAGTCATAATTCAAAAATATCGTTAATAAGCGAATATAATCGAGTTTTCGTTTTTTTCAAAAATTTAGACCATGGGCTTACCTAAATTTTTTTCTCCACAGAATATGTGCTTGAAAAAGTTGTTTAATACGCAAAAATGCTCTTGAAACTAGAGAATAAAATTAGCGGCGTTTATCACACCGAAAGCGGTCGAACGCAGGTTTTTCAAACGATTATATACATTTATTAGTAAAAAAATCTTTCAATTAAAAAGAATAAAATAAAAAAATTCGTCTTTGCCAAAAAAATTTACGGGGCCGTTTTAATGCAGCGATCGTTAAACGAGGCAAAAAAAGCACTAAAAAAACAGTTTTTTTCGAAGTGAATTTCCACGAAAAAGTTTGAGTAAAGATTTGCGAACATATTCTGATAAAAAAATAGCTTAATTACTTCAAGTTTTGAAATAGGCAATCTGTGCTATTTAAACGGCTCAAGGCTATGGGGGATGGAAACTCCCTTCGCTAGACCTAACAGCTTGGCGCAGCGCGTGCGCTGCGATTTTTCATTTTGAGGTCGCGAGTTCGATGCCCGCAAGCGCCAGTTTTTTGTTTTCTGGAAAATACCGACTTTTTCGGCAAACTAGCTGATTAGCATCATTTTAGCACTCTATTATGATTTGTTACATCATAATAGACCAGTATCAAAAACTTGTTCTAGAAAAAATCGAGAAAAAAATGTCAAAAAAATGGATAAGACCAAAATTTCAGTACTAAAAAAATGGCGCGCGGCGCGCCACATTTTTCGTCATAACTTTTTTCATCCTCAATCTTTTTCGAAAAACTAAACGGTTCTGAGTTTTGAATCGAAACAGCTATCAAACCATACAAAGCTCAATGCTGAAAAAATTTTTTTGAAAATTCGTCTGCGGTCCCTATGTAAAGCCCTTAATTTTGTCGAGGCGTGGATCGAACCCGTGACCTTGTGGACCGTAGACAGGCACACGACCTGTTGCGCTACGGCGCCCCTTTTAAATTACAACAGTTGAACAACTATGAAATGTATACTTTGAAGCTAAAATCGCTTCTTTTGGAGGTTTTCGCCGGGCATTCGAGCGACAAAATCCGCGGCGTTTCTGAAACGACCAAACTCCGCGTTTTCAACACCGTCGCCTTGGGCTTTAGCGCAGTGTTCTTGGCCGTTCTTGGCTTCGTTCAGAAAGGTTTCTTTTTTCTTTTCGTTCTCCCAAAATCCATTCCTCCTTCAAGGCCAAGGACTTCTCGGTCTGTCGCTGATCTCCTTGGCCACCGCCATGTTCGGATTCAACGGTGGTGGTTTCAACAAGGTTTGAGAACTTTTTCAAGAACTTTTTTTAAACTTTAATTTCCCAGTGCGCAACCATGGTCTCACGGCAATACAGCCATTTTGTCTTGGCGAATATTCAATTCATCTGGTGTCTCTCAATGCTTATTTGTCCAATATTGGTCAGTTTTTATCCTCTTATCACTTCTGAGATCAAAGAAGAAATGATATAATATCAATTTGTTGATATTCCGTACATTTCTAAATAGGAATTCATACATAGTAAAGCCGAAAAGGGTGGAAAAAGGGTCCATAGAAATTTTCCTTTTATGAGCCTTTATCTTTTAGCGACCGTTATCCACCGTTCCGATTTTGCCCGAGTTCAGGAACGCAGAAGCTTGCGTTATACTTTTATTTTTTATTTCGATTTTTTTTTTCTGGGTAAAGTAAGGAAAAAAGCTTGTAGATTTTTCAAAGTATAAGGAGTTAAGGAGAGGCAGCAAAAATGGTGCATAAGAGCCAATGAAATGGCGCAAAAAGGCAGCAAAAAGCCAGAAGCAAATGAATTACTGAATGAAATGTTTTGAGGTGTCGCTTCTGCTGCCGACGGGGTCGGTCGCCGAATGGCGGACTGTCTTTTTCGCCCACGCTGGTCTTCTCCTCGTGTCCAACGCCGTCTTCTGTGCCTTGGCTACGGCCAAGCCGGCGCCTTGGACCGACCGCGAGATCAAAAACCCCGCAGCCAAGAATACGCCCCTGTACCATCCCCACGTCAGCAACTGAAGTCATTTTTTCATTATTTATGAATCGCTCCATTTTATCCATTTTTAACTTATATTGTTTCCCCAGTTCATTTCTCGGCCCCTTTGCAAAACTCATCAAGCAAAAACGCCTTTCATTCTGACTTCCTCGATCTCTTCGTACTGGTTATCAGACAAAAAAAAATCGTTGAGTATAAAGCTTTTCGAATAACAAGTGGAAGAGAAGCCATGGCAACCAGACACACTGCTTATTAGCCGTTCTCGACACCTGGCCGAGCTTCATGTCGGTAAGTCAGCTGCAATTAAAAACATTGCTTGGAAATTACCCGTGAATGAATTTTCTTTCGAGGAGTTGAATGTTCATTGATTAAGTTAGCCAGAATTAAGAATAACAGGTGTTTTTGGAAATTATGAGATCAGAATCTCGAAATTTTCTTTCAAAAAATGAGATGAAGCTCGAAAAGAGCCAGCTTGTCACGATTTTTGTTTCCCTTCGAGCTAGAGAATTAGGCGTGTGCGAGAGCGCCGCAGTGCATGCACACTACACACTAAACTTCACGGAAAAATAGGAGCGGGGTGTCTCGAAAAAACGCCGTCTCTCAGCCTGCGTCTTTTATTTGACCGGAAAATTTCCGTTATATTAAAGGTGCAGGCAGAGATAATATCACGCGCATCGAAGGGTAGGGTTCTGTAGCTCAGATGAAAACGAAAATCGTGACAAGCTGGCGCGGGATGGGCTATGAAGAGCCAAAACTGGAACGTCGATCTTTTCAAATTTTCTTCTAACTAACCATCTGGAAGCGAAACCTTGCCGATTCACGGCTAGCTTGAGAAGCTAAGGGGGCGTGGCCTGTGCGCTCTTCACGCTCTCTTGTCGTGTCAGGGCACTTTTTTTTCGATAGCTCAAGCCAACCGTGAATCAGCTATAAGCTTCATTCAAAAAAAAAAAATAGAATGTCGTACTTTCTTCTCAACCATTATTAAGCATGGCGAAGAACCTTGCGACTTGTCTTTGAGCGATAATGAAAGATCCGCTCGTCAGGACTTCTACCGCGCAATCGAGAGGATGAACGAAGCCCGACTTCCGGTTATGGTAGCGACTCTTTCACATGGGGCCTTCGCAAAATGGAACTTCAGGCTTGTGTTCCGTGCCTGACGGTTTTCAAAGACGTGATCGTCTTCCGACTTCACGCCTCGCTGCACTCTTCGCAGACAGCTTGGCAGTGCGCCTTGTGCGGAGGCCTCTGTCGCGACCGTCGCTCCTTCCAGCAGCACGTCGTCTTCAACGCCCACGACGTCTGACAGGCCCGATTCCTCGCTTCCGTTTTGCTCTTGTGCTTGCATTTCTTTCTCCGCTGTAAATATGACACGGCTGCTTGGGCATTTTAGAGTGGTCCCTATAGGGGTTAGGGAAAAAAACCTCTATAAGAACTGAAAAAGTGGTCCCTTAAGGATCGAGATATAGTTGGTCCCTATAGGGTTATAAAGACCCTATAAAGACATTTTTGTTATGAAGACCTTATAAAGTTTGCAAGATTTAGTAGTCTCTATAGCGGTTGGTAAAGTGGTCCCTAGAGACCCTCCAATAGCCCTTAAGGTTGCCCCTATAGGGACCACTCTGGAGTTCCTAAGTACTCCGAATTCTCATTTAGCCATGAGAAACTTCCGAGAAAAACTTCTCTTTTCCTAACTACCTTATTTTCAACGTTCCTTTCTCGGCATGCCTTGTGTGAAAATCAATCAATGAAAGTTCACTTTGTCATTTGTTTGCATTGTACAAGCATTTTGAAATTAACAACGTTTTGTTTGTGCGACTAAACTCTAACTGGACAACTTTACCGTTGAAATTATGGGAAGGTGCGACACGCGAAAGGGGGGACAGTTTTCAGAAGTGCAAATAAAATCTCTTAAAAAGACGAAAAATGCACGAAAAAGCTTACATAGTGATTCGCGTGAAGATGAGAACCGTAATATGAGATCCATGTGAAAACACGAATTTAAAGAGAAGGGTTTAAGAAATAATAACATTAATTATGATGGAAAAAGGAAAACAATTACACAACACGCAAACTATCATACATCGACTCGTCAGACCGGATGAAAAAAAGAAAGAAAGAAAAAGAAAACAATCGAAAAAGCTTAGTTCGTTTGATTGCGCCATGGAACAACGTGCAAAGAAAAATTTGTTACACTTGGGAAAAGGTGGGAAATCTATTAGGAATTGAACAAGAATGGGTGACCGCGAAGCAAACGTCAATCCAACATGAAAATATCGCTTATTACTTCTATTCTTACCGAAATATTCTCACAAAAACATGAACAACAATCTAAAATATGAAGAGCAAAAGTCCTCAGAAACTAAAATAAAAAATTGAAAAAAATTGAAAAAAAACACATTACGGGACTAAATATTCAAACGAAACAAGAATTTCGATCTCACCGTAGTTAGACCAGCTAACTTGATTATTATGCAAAATTGCATCTCCAAAAAAATTATGTGACGCTGAATTTCAAATGAAAGGAAACATTGAAAAGGAAAAGATACCGACCATAATCGAAAGATCACCGATTTAAAGTTTTTCTTACATGTGAAGGTGTAAAACCTAATGAGAAACAAAAACCCTTGTTCAATATTTTGAAAAAAAATTCAATGAAGGGAGAGAGAGAACGGGGAATGCAGCTTTTGTTGAAAAAGAAAGCACGCAATATCGAAATAAAGCAAATTTTGAGGCAGAAAAAGTAAATCAACAAGAAAACGCAAAACAGATGCCGAAAAAGCAAGCCTCGAAAATCAACTTTGAAGAAGAAAAATCCTTGACTAGAACTATGAAAATCTGCAAAAACGGGATATTCTAACAAACTTGAAAAGCTGATAAGCCGCAAAATAAGAGGCAATGATTTCTCTGAATCAAATAACCTCACCGAATGAAAAAAAAATATCTCTCATTTTCGTCTTGCTCATGTCGATTGATATCATCTCAACTAATGAAAAAAAAAAAATTCATCTTGAGTTTGAACGATTGGTTTTGTAGCCATTTCTAGTTGGAAAATTTCGCGATGGCTAGAATGGAAAGCAAGGATTTTTCAGCGAAATAGGGACCAGGAGAGAAAAGAAGGCTCAGTTGGATCTAGCGGGGTTCGATGGAGCACCGAATTTACCCATGCGCGAGGCGATGATCTCATGAGGACTCATCACACTGCACGATGACGTCATGCCGGTGGAAGAAGGCGTCGGGGGTTGCGGAGCGTCGAAAAGAAGATGTTCGCCAGTTGGAGACGAGTGGTGCTGCTGCAGCGCCGTGTACCTCAAAAAGAATCCTTGTTTTGCAGTCCGAAAATCAGATTAGGCTCAAAATGTCAATCCTTCTCTAGGAAACTCAACATTTACGATTGAAACGAACTTTTTTGGGACGCGTCGTAGCGCAACAGGATGTGTGCCTGTCTAAGGTCCACAGGGTCACAAGTTCGATCCCCGCCTCGACCCAACTAAGGGATTTAGAGAAATTCTGGTAGCTTATGAATTTTAGATCACTATGAGGGTAAGGGGGATAAACAGCCCGTTGGTCCCTCTTCAAAAGCCCTATGGTTGCCACTATGGAGTTCCTAAGAATGGGAAAATCTCGACTTAAAAACCCCCAGCCCTCACACGCAAGGACGGATATGTCACTGATTATCCCTGATATCATGATATGACCTCGGCTAATCGACTAGGGGCGCCGAAGCGGCGCAGAAGCGTAGGAAGAAGAAGAAACGAACTTTTTCCAAGGAAAAGAACATGATGAGTCACTCACAAATAGTTGAGCGCTGTTTCGGCCGTTTTCGGCTGTTGAACGACCATCTGGTACGGCGGCGGCGCAGGAACGTTGTGGAGTTGTGGCGTCGGCGTCGAAGGAATCGGCGAGACCTGAAGACTTGAGATTGCATCGCCGATACTGACAGCAGCGTAGATTAGTTCTCACCCCTTCTTCTGATTTACTAGTTGGAGAGCAAAATATTTCATTTTTATGAGCGTTCTACGAAAAATGAAAAAAGGAGCCGACCTTTTCTCCGAAGGGAGAGCATTGGCGCGTCATGTTGATGTGAAGTGGCTGTTTTTGTTGCTGCGTCTGCTGCGTGCCATTTTGGTGTTCCAAATTGGCCTGAAATTAGAGATTCAACACATTTTAAAAACAAAAATGAAAGTTTTTACATTCCCGGTCAATCCTAGTTTTATTTGACGTGTAAATAAGTATTAAAGTTATCATTTCTAACTCGGGCAAAGTCGAAAAACGCTCAAAGGGAGAGGCTCAAAAAAAAGGCCGCAGAAAGGCAGAGAAAAGAGTTCTTTTATCGAGCCTTCCATTTTTTCTGAGATTTCGAAGGCTCAGAACTGGTGAAAAAAGAAAGAGGCAGCAAAATTGGGGCATAAAAGCTGGTGAAATGGCGCAAAAAGGTAGCAAAAAAGGAAAAGCCTTTTGGAGCCTTTTTTCACCCTCTCCGACTTTGCCTATTCTAACTACAAATTTTCTAACCTAAATTGCTTTTTGTGAGCTTCTTGAATACATAATTTCTGAATGAATTTTCGCACAACAAAGAAATTTTGAAGAATTTGATTTTTGAGGTCCCATAAGTGGTGCAGAAATTCATTTTGAGAAGAAAACAAGACGAAAAATACTCTGAAAGGATAAAAAAACTTTCCTAGAACTATATAGCTTATTCACGGTTAGCTTGGGACAAAAAAGCTTGGGGTGCCTGTCTGCGCTTTCCACCAAACAGGCCCTGTCTCCTTTTTTTTCGTGTCAGAACCCATTTTTCCATGGGTTTGTGAATCAACTACAGACGAGATTATCAAAATGAACGTTTTGATGGAAATCAGCGAATTAAATTCAAAGACGAACCAAATTGTCGTGCTGGAGATGATGATGTGGACTGATGGTGAACTCGTCTGAAGAGAAAGAGTCTGAGTGAAAAAGATGGCTCGACTGACCTTCCATCTCGGAGATCCGGTGTTCGAGGACCGCGTTGTTTGCCCGCGCGTCCCCCAAAGCACGGAACAACTCCTGCTTCAGCTTGTTCTCCGAAGCCAACGACGCTTCCAGATGCGAAAGCTTCTCTTTTTGGATCCGGAGCTCCATGTTCAACTCCTGAATCTCAAATTTTGATATCCGAAAATCTTGGGGAGGGGCGCGTCAAGTTTGAGAGTACATAAAAAGTTCAAAGTGAATATTTTCATGAATAAACAAAAATTTATACTCAAAGTTTTAACAACGAAAGAAGATTGGAGAAGATTGCAAAGTGGTTCAAAGTGGAAGGCCGTTTAACAGCGCGTTCAGAAGACTTTGTATAAAGAAAAATACAAATTAACTGCCAAATTAGGCTACGAACCAAGTTTACGGACTGTAATTTCCTTTACGGCATCGTATTCACTACCCCAAAATGTTCAAAAACGACCAGGGGCCAAATTTTCAAGCAAGAAAATTTTTTTTAGAGTTCTCCCTCCCATTATTTTTCCATGTACACTCACATCAATGTCATTCATTTCCTTGTACTTTCGCAGCTGTTGCAACTCGTTCTCCGTTTCAAGACTCTTTTCTTCTCTGACACGAGCCTCTGCACGCAGATTGTCCACCTGAAAAACGCAAATTCTCTCTTTTTCTTTTGATTTAAAAAATGAGGTATAGGCTTTTCCGCGTTGCCATGATTTCTGTTTCCCACCCAGCTAGAGAATCATTCCGCGCGGGATGTTTCTCTGCTTGCGTCGTTTATTTGGCCTAAAATTTCCGTTATTAAAGGCGCAGGCAGAGATAATATCGCGCGCTCCGAAGGGAAGGGTTTTGTAGCTCAGAGGGAGACAAAAATCGTGACAAGTTGGCGCGGAATGGGCAATAGAGATATTAAAAAGAACCAACCTCTCGTTCCAAAACACGTTCTTTCTCTCGCTGAAGTTCGTTAGAGTCGAGCCTGAAAGCAAAAAAATTTTTTATTATACTTTCAAAAGAGGGGGGTAGGCCGCGCTCCGGGGTGGGATCCAGCCGACGTATGAAGATGGGAAATGACTTTGAATGCTTCCCCAGTAAAGTTCTAACCTTTTCCCCCCGTCCTCCTTCCTCGCTTTCCGCTCGGACATGAGTTCTCTCTCGATGTCATTCTTGCGGTTGAGCAAGTCGGCGTACTTCTTCTCCAGCTGCGCCAGAGAGCTTCGGTCGACTTCTCGCAGCTTTTCCATCGTTGCATACCTGAAGGAGGGAACTTGATTTTCAGAACGAATGGAAAAACTAACTTGGCCTCAACTTGCTCGACTCGCGACCGCATCTGAGCCGCCTCCTGTCGTGCCGCCTTCTCGTTCCCTTCGTAGATGCTCAACTGAATCCGGGCGTCCGCTTCTGCCAGCTTCAGGTGGTTGATCTCGTTGCGCAACTTCTCAATTTCCAAGGCCAGTCTGCAAAGCCGACGCGTTCAGATGGGAAACAGAGAGAGGGGGAACCCTGCGGGATCGTTGTTGTTCTCGCTGGCCGCGAGCAGGTCGTGGCTGCTGTCGCGCGTCGACATCGACGAGTTGCCCAGGCTGTTTGTCGGCAAGTTGACTGCGGGCCGGTGGCCGTTAGACAATGGGGTAACAACAGCTGTCTGAAACTCAGAGACGTGAAAAAAAGGTATCAAAGTTGTTTTTAAAAAAAGTAAAAAGAACTGGAAGACAAAACTTCGAAAAATCTTGTTGGTTTCTACAAATTCACCTATCTCCGAGCAGAATGAGGCTCCTAAATTGATAATCCTAACTAGGGAACGTTTTTCTGCCTCCGGGTTGAACTTGATGAAAAGAAACTTCGCGGAAGTGTACTCTAGGACCTTCTGATTGCAGAACAAGGAAAAAACTTCTCGTTATGAATAAAGTTATGACGCTTCGAAGGCTTTTATTAGCGCTTTCTTTTAATTCTGGGAAATTTTTTAGTGGCTACTAGAGAGGCTCGCCAAGGACTACTTGGAGAGGACACTAAAGTGGTCACTAATCCCACCTCTATAGTGGCCACTTCAGTAGTTTTTCATCCAGTATTCCTTCTAGTGACTCTGATAATTTCAAAATAAACAGATTAGACCAATTATTTTGATCTATGGACCCCTAAAGTGGGCACTAAAATTTCTCAGTGGTCTAGTAGTAGCACTTAGATCTCTATAATGGCCACTAATTTTTAACCCCTTAAGTAGTCACTAAAACGTCAAAACCCTATAGTGGCCAGTAACCATTTTCCCAGTTTGCCTATTTTGCGGACTATGAATTTCTTTTTTATCTTTTTTTTTGCATTGGCTTGAAATCTTGATTCAATTTTCAAGAATATTAACCCAACATCAATCATTTCAAAAAAAAAAAAAACTCTTCAAAATGAGAAAAAAGACCGATTCTGAAAATACAAAGAACGGATGAAACTAGCCTTTTCAGGTTGCAGCTGCGGGAATTTCTCCTTCGTTTGCTGCTTGATCTTGTTCCTCTGACGCCCGCCAGCTGCGCCCAACATCATCGCCTGACGATTCTTGGCGTCGCCGTTGCGTTTCCGATCGTCGATGAGAAGGCTGTCGTCGTCGTCATCGTCGCCGTAGATGCTCCCGCCCTCTTCGCAATTCTGGAGGCTCCTGCGGCCACTGAACGTGCTGATGACGCCGGTCAGCCAGACGGCCATCTCCCAGGCTATCCGCACGATCGAAACGCTTCCAGGTGTTCTGCTGTGGCCGACAGCGCTCGTTGTTGATTCTTTCCATCCAAAGTCGTCTGAAAAACATTTTAAATTTTTGAAAAAGTTCATTTACAAGCCATTGATGGGCAATTACTGAGTCAGACCGGGAGGAGGGGTTGGCTTACAGAAATTTTTGAAAAAAATTAGAGAATTCTGGGAGGCAGTTTTGGTCACAAAAAGACAAGTTTCAGCCTCGAGAAGGTAGTATCATAATTAATTTAAGAATACTTGGGAGAAGGGTCGGTAAAAATGGTCTACCCATGTTACAAGCTCTGGTGAATAAAGTAAAGATTAAATTGAAAAAAAATTTTGATCGAAATATAAAGTTTTTTTAAAGATTGTGCAAGTGAAAAAATAATAAAGAGTATGAAAAAATCTGAAAGAAAAAAATTCTCAAGACAAAAAATGGCTGTGAAGATAATAAAGGATAAGAATAGTCAAATTAAAAAAAAAAAGACAAGGCAACGTAAAATTAAAACTGATGCCATGTTTGAAGTGACTTCGGCGATTTATCTCTGACTCTCCTAATTTTAGTTATCTTTTTCTTTCTCTGGTGGCTATTTTGTATTTCGCGTAATCACAAAAAGCGTGAAAGATGTACGATGTAAATGCATATTTTCAAATGTTTGAAATTTTGTTAGAAAATGCTCAAATCAATTCCAAAATTTTGAACTCGCGCGTAAAAGTTACAGTAAAAATCTTGCGATAAATCGTTGTAGGACTCATTTTTTCTGCTTCCTCCCAAAATTACACTTTTGCCTATTTCCCGAAACCATTTCAAACGAATTACGCGTCAATTTTGAAATCATTACTTTGAATATGGCATGACGCTCAAGTTGAAAATGCACAGTACATTTTAGAACCCTCCAGAAAAGAAAAAAAAACCTTCAGAGTCGTCGTCATCGCCTTCGTCTGATCTCTTGTGATCCCCTCTTTTCTTCTCGGTCGGTGGTGTTGTTTGCGAGGCATTTCCATTAACAGATCGGGGTTTCGCCGTTTTTTGCCGCGAACTTTGATACTAAACAATTCCGAAATTGCTCGCCAAAAACTGGAGATGGAAACTTTTGGTAATCCGTTCTTTTTGACGGCTCCATTTAGAGAAATTCCATTCTGCACGGGTGCAGGCAACGCCGGCACAATCGCTGAACCACTGTCCAGCAAGAAACATTCTGAAACCGAAGTTAAGCTACTCCTTCATCGAATGAAAAGCAACCTTCTTCTAAACAAGGTTTCGAAAAGTCTTTTGGACCGTCGTATTGCGCAGGTAGTGCTTCTACGAGAAGCCTGAATCGGAATATTCGAAATTATTCAGAGAGACTCGGGTTTTCCACTGACCTATTCAAATGTTCGTTACTTGAGGAAACTTCGCCCTGTTTCTTTCGCAGTCGCCATTCTCTGAAGAAAAAAGTTTGTCGAGTTGAAGCAAATTTTTTTTTGACGACGCCGTAAAATGTAGTGTATGGTGTGCACGCACTGCGACGCTATCCACATGTTTCAAAATAATTTTCGCGAAATTCAAAAATCCGAAGTCCAGTTATATTTTTCATTTTCTGGCGGATATTTTAAATTTCGCGAAATCACTTTGAACACGACAATGGAAAAATAGCTTTTTCGAGAAATCGATTCGGCTCAAGACCCATTGAACATGCGCCTTTATTATTTCCTGTTGTTTACGCGTTTTTCCCATGACCTCACATGGGAACGACGGATTTTTGACTCCGCCCTCTTCATTTTTTGTATTAAATTTTCTTCCACTAACCAAAACGCCACGGAATAAAAATTGAAAAAAAAACCTCATATAATATTTTAAGGAGAATCCGATGAGTACTATCGGATAGCCGAGGCAATGGGCGCCGAAAAAGGCGTTCATTCCTCGAGGAATTGTACTTGAGTGTAGACTGGGACACCCTTTGAAATCCGTGATATCTGAAAATCGTTTTTCGAAACTAATTTCAAAACGGAGGAAAAGCTCACCAACGAGAAAAATAGAAAATCCCGAAGCTGATCGAGTTGTCAAAGCGTGCCACATTACTGAAGGCAGATCGGCCAGCCGATTCCTGGAGAGTTGGGATTTGCAAGGTCGAGAGAAAAATCAATAAAAACCTTATCCGACAAGAGAACTCAAAGTAGAAGACCAACATCCACAATAAAACGAGTGGTATCGCTTGTGCCCGTTCCCCTGAAATACGATACAAATCTTTGGAATCTGCGAGGTATATCATGTTTTTTTTTTCAAAAACGTTGGATTTGAGAGATTGACAAAAGTTTCCGTTTTAGGCTGTCTGTACAAAAAAATATCTTATTCTCTTTTTCTAATCTCCAAAAATTCTTCTTATTTTTTTGGCATGATATAAAATGTATATAAAAAAGCGTTTCTTTATTTTATCTTTTTTTTTTACTCTTTCTGGGACTCTTTTTCAAATTTTGTATTTTTTTCCTATCTTTCCCATTAAAAAAAAAACAATACAAGAGATTACTACGGCAAAACTAAGAAATTCATTTTTTTTCAAAGTGAGACTCACATTGTGAGTGTCAAAAACACAAAAAAGATTCCACTATAGAGATTAAAAAACCATCGAAAAAAATCGGTGTTTTTTTAAACGAAATAACGAACATTTAAAAAACACCCGTATTTTATTAATTTGCAATGAAGCACAAGAAAAGCGGTCGCACCCGTCAAATTTTGAAAAACGCCCTAATTTTTCAACAGTTGCAAGATAAACCTAAAAAAAAATGAAAGCTCAAAAAATGTATAGATTGAGAAACAAAAACAAAAAGCTCAAAAAAATTATAGATTGAAAAACAAAATAATAGTAAAAGTTTAGCTTCAACTATCAATGTTATTTGATATTCAATCAAGTTCTCAACATATTCAGGAGATTAGTATCATAGACCTAAACTAAGAAAAAAAAAATACTAAAAGAAGACGGGGGAGAGAAAACCGACCAGCAACAGATGTGATGGAACGGACGACGCCATTGTGGGTGTGCCAGATCAGATGGATCCAGACATACGTACTCGAAAGAACGACGAGAATACGCACCGGAATGAACAGGTAGCATATGAGGTCCGAGGTGGCTGTCACACACACGAACAACACGGAGAACTTCTGAAATTCGTCTTTTTTTCGGCATCTCTTAAGGTAGTCAGTCCGCACACTAGAGAATGTTTTTACCCCATCCCGCCGGTTGAACTTTCGATGAATCTTCGTTAAGGTGTTCTTTAGGTCCTCTTGATTCCAGAAAAAAAAAGATCTGATTTTCGAGCTAAGACGCTTCAAAGGTCAAAATAACGCTTTTTCAACCATGATCCCTCTAATCAGCTCTGATTTGGATGGTTCGAGTTGAGAATTTAAAGAAAAACTTCCGGCAAAACTAGCTAAAAGTTTATTCGCTAAAAATTTTAGGTTCTTTTTTTGAACTGATTAAGGTGAATACTTTTCTGTTGATCAAACAGTATTCAAAAAAGTGAAAATTATCATTTTTCAAGAAAATTTCAAAGTAATTATTCAACTTTGTCAAGAGACTTATGCTTCCGTCGATGAGATATAGAAAATGCGAAAAATGGATCTCCAAAAGTTGAGCGATTTTTAGCACTTCGTGTAGTTCTCAAAAATTACAATTGCACAGTGAGCTCGAGCAAAATATCGAAAAAGTTATTATTTTCAATTTTCAACCCGTACCATCCTCTGAACAGGAATACCGCATTGGAAATGAATTTTGAGAGAGTAAACGAACGGCCGTGTTGTGGTTGGCGAGTGTGACGACGCTGCCTTGGCTCTTGTTCATGGCCTCATATCCGGAGCGCATGATCAGCCAGAAAGGCCAAAGGAGTTCGAAACGGAGGCCGAAAGCCGCCTCGAGGCCGATCAACGATACCCACATCAACAGGAGGCGCATGTACGCCAGCGACATCGACACTCTGAAATTGAATTCAGGAGAACATCTTGTGGTTTATTCAAAAAATTATTGTTATTATCATTACAAACCAAGAATTTCCATCAACTAACTAATTCAATCATTTCTACTGCATCTGTTGCGAAATGCACACATTTTCTGAGCATAGGAAAAGTCTCAAGACAAGAACTATCCTGACGAGGAAGGTAATTTTACTTTTAACTCCTTGAAGAAAACTCCTTGAAGAACCAAAATGGGATTCTAAAAGTCTCAACCTGCACAGCTTCTTAGTTTTTGAACAATGACACCTATAAATTGAAGAAAACCTTTAAAATCCGTCAAAAAGACCATGTTAGGGGCTTTGAGCCCTTGTTTCTTGAAAACTGTAAAGTTGTGTAGGTTAAGACTCTCAGGACCTGGATTTGGTACTTCACGGGATATTATGACAAATTTTCAGAAAACTCCCAACCACAAAGTAAAATTATTTTCCTCGTGAGTGTTCCCACTTCTTCTTCTACGAAAAACCAGAAAATCTACTTCTCAATGTGTACTCCGAAAAATTTTAGGAAAACCTCGTAATTTTATTTTCGAATCGAACCTTCTTATCAGTCACTCTGTGCTCCTCTGCCCTTTTGAAAAACCTATTCACTGAGACCAGAAAGCTGAAACTCGTTAAACGGGAGCACAATACATAGGCAAAGTCGTAAAGGGTGAGAAAGGCTCCATTTTTTCTCCCTTTTTGCGCCAGTTCATCGGCTTTTTTGGACCATTTTTGCTACCTTTCTCTTTTCCACCAATTCTTGAGCCCCAGAAAACGGAAGGCTCGATAAAGGGACTCTTTTTGCTGCCTTTCTGCGGCCTTTTTCGAGTCTATTCCTTTCAGCGGTCTTTATTCCCCATTCCGACCTTGCCCGAGTACAGAATAAGACAACTTTCTTTTTGCATTTCAACCATACTTTAACGAAGGCTAAAAATTTTGGAAGAAAAGAAAACTGACGAGTCTTTGACGGGATCTATCTGCCGGTTTCCACGTTTCATCGTACGCCGCATCTTTGTATCAACAGCTCGAGCGCGTTTCTGCATTTCGCGAACGCGCGCTGTTAGTCGTGTCTACAACGTCAAGTTGAAGAGGAATTCATATCGGATAAGAAAAAATTAATAAGAGATCAATAAAAAGCTCGGTCCGACAGAAAAAGTTCAAAGTCAACGAAAGAAACTCGGAAGTTGGCATGGTCAGTTCAAAAATCTTACTAAGATTCTAAAGAAAGTTTCATGGAGGCTTTCTTAGTTCTATTACAGAATCTATTGCGCCTCTGAAGTTGATGAGGAAAAAAATACTCAATCAAAACGTAGGCATTTATCAATATTTCAAATATTTTATGAAACTTAAAAAAACTACCAAGAAGTTTTTTTTGTCGATAAGATAAGGCGAAGAAAGCAACGAGGCAAAATGCGATTACTGCGGTGCAATCACAAATTGAAAGAGAATTGATCTTCCGTTTTATAATGGCTCATAATAGTTCAACCTACTGCGGAAAATGTTTGAAAACTTGTATTTCTTTGTGAAAATAATGAAAAAAATGGAATGAAAGAAGAAATGAAGCAATCTAGCCGAACAAAGTCCCAAACAGGAGAGAAATCCCAATCAAGGCTTGGAAAGCTCAACGCGGCAGGCCACAAACTCAATTGGATTACACAGGATATTTGCCTGGCGAGGCAGCGAGGCTCTGCCCGTTCCGCTGCCGACGGAGGCAAGGGCCGAGCAAGGGCCGGCCCGAGCGGCTCTTCCGGCCTTTCTGCTTCTTCTCCAATAGCCTTTTTCCTCAGCTTTTCTTTCTTTCAAGCTGTCCGCTGTCATCGGTCGCCACACTTGTTCACGCTCGAAAATCGATATTGTTGTGAGGCTCGCAAGAGCGTGCCTGGGCGGGTGAGTGTGAGCGTCTGTGAGTGTGCGAATATGAGCCTATATCTACGGCGAAATGCTTCGCAAAAACCGAATCTCCTGCCAGCTGAAATGAGTAGGTCGCCGTTCGGAAACTCATCTTGTCTTTTAAAGTCCTGACACTTTTTACTTGGAATCTAGATAGTTGAAAAAAAGTCTTCAGTTTCGTTTTTAACTAAAATTGAAATTATGAAACTCCTCACCAGAAATGGGCTCGAAACTAACAAACTCAAAATAGAAATGATAATTCACGGCCCAATGAAGTTTAAAAAAACTATACAAATATACAAAAAAGCATAGTTTTAACTTACGTTTTCAAGAATTCTAAAAATATATTTTTTGGAAAGGCTCAAACTTCGTAAATATATAATTTCACGTCTCGTAAATAAGGTATCCTACTGACTTGAGTGATATAAACATACAAATTTGTAACCATCCACAAGAGTTCTACTTTAGTTTCCAGCCTGTATACAGATATTCCAAAAAAGAGTAACAAAGAATGAAACCATGAGGAAGTTAGTGGGCTTGAAGAAGAAAACAGGAGAATGAAGACAGCATAAAGACGAGGGTTCGTCAGGCGAGGACTTGCGGTCCGCATCAATTACTCCGTTCCAGAAACGAGCGTGAATCGCCGCCTTGTTTGTGTGGCTCTTTCTAATTAACGCGACAGGACGGCGTTGAAAAAAGGTGTGAAAACGGAGTGATGAATTGGTCTCGAGAAGAATTCACATAGTCGCGCCGGTTTTCGCCTAAAAGCGCTTGCTAATAACTTAATAATACTGTAGTTCATTACCAAAGATGAAAAAAAGGATTCAAAAGTGAGAAGGAAAATATTTTCTTTTGAAAAATTGACGACTTCTGACAGAAGCCGCGTGGCAAAAAAAAGTCTAATCGATATTCCTAATGGCAAAAAAAAAAATGAAGCTTTGTATAAAATTTTCAAATTTTAAAAAGATTTCAAAAAACTCCTGGATATAAAATTCAGACTCTTAAAGGACTCTGGAAAGTACTGTAGGAATTTTTAAAGAGGTTCCCATTCATCGCCAAATTGCAACGCAAACGCGAATATTAAAATGTGAGAGCCTTCCATACAAACCGTTACGACGAGCGAAGAATTCAGAAATGAAAAAAATTATGTCAAAAAAATTATATTTTCATTTTTTTAAAAACTGTTTGTTTTCTTCGTTGAATGGACTTATTCCACAAACTTGCCTTCCTTTTGGCGAAAATATCAAATGTAGAACTGAAAATTAGGAAATTCTAACAGCCGCTGGGAGATTTAAATGAAATATTGGTTGCCTAGGACGACGTGAAATTTCCTACTGCATCTCCTAATTACCTGTCGCTCGGCTTCACAAAAAACTTTGAAGATTTCGCAGGAAAAAGGATCCTAAAGGAAAAAGAGAGGGAAAGGCTGTCTTTTTTCCTACAAAACAGTCATCAAGGATTTCTTTGTTGTATGACTAGTTTAAAAAAGCTTGAGTGATAGACATTTTTCGATACAATAATTGAGAAGGAGTGAAAATTTTCCAGTTGCAAAAATCTGAGCTTGAACGAAACTTTTTCAAAGTTTGTACTCCATTCGAAACTTTCTTCATAGGGCCTTTTAAGACGCAAGACATGTAATCCGAAGATTATCGCCCCGAGAAATGAGAAATTTTAAGTCTCGACCGTTTAAAATTAAAAAAATCTCAGTTTTCAAAAGGAGTCGAAGTTCTCAATGATTTGAACGTGCGTTATACGATAAAACTGAATAGCTGGGCTTTCAACTTCTTCCTAGAAGAGAGTGGAAGTCAAAAGCGAAAATGAAGTCTTCTACACCTAATGAGATGCATCCGAAAGATCGATTTCTAAACATAATTAATGAAAAAACAAGTCAAGACCCAACGCCCAAAACTTGAAAAGAAAAACAAAAATGGATGAGAGGTTATAGGCCGCTGTGGAAAAGAGCAAAGCATAACTGAAAATGGCACAAGAAGCCTACCGGACCAGATGCAAGGCCGGCTGTAGGAGAGCGCCCCAGGCCAGCACCTCTGCGTCTCTGTCTAGCCGGTAACACTCGGCCTCTCTAGTTTCCCTTTGCTTTCAAACCTCTTCTTTCTGCGCTCTTTCCTTCCTTTATGCGGAGCATAATTTTGATATATACTTAATTAGATTTTTCGGAGAGAACAAGAATAAAACTATTCCAGTTGTCAAGAGCAGGTTTTGAACGAACAAGATCTGGGGAAGAACAAAATACATTCACAAGGACTTCATTCAAAAGTGCAAAGCTACGGAAAGTTCTTTTCAGAACAATAGAAAACAAATGCGTTGATTACGCAACACTGTGCAAAAATGTTCAAAGTTCACTCGATTCTATTATAAGCAAAAGCATTGCTGAAACGACCTTTTCAAAAGAAAAAATTATGAATAAACATGTATAAAAAATGAACAAGATGGGAGGAAGACTCATGAGTACCTTGAATGATTTTCTCTTTTAACTGAACAAAGAAAGAAAGCACATTATCAAATACACATAAATGAGTTAGCAATAGAAAATTTGTATGAAAGACGGTGCTGTTTCCTTTTTTTTCATCATAAAGCAATGAAGAAAAAAGGCAGTTTTTCCTTTTATTTTTATGTCATAAAATTTGAAACCATAAAAAGAAGGGATCAATGCTTCTTGAAAAATTCAGAAAAAAATGATAATAAACAGAAAGAATTCAAACAAATATAAAAAATTGCCGTTTCAAAAGTTTAAAAAACGATTGTGATTTTTATGATGTCATGAAGGGCCAGTGCCGTCGAGTACGCTGTTTGCGTACGCGACGCAAAAATTGACGACTGTTTTTTTTTAACTGTTCTGTTTTTTTTTGTCTTTTATTTCTGCCAGATATATCACCAATATCATAGTATAAGGTATACAATATAAGTATACGATGGCGCATGTATGTTTATCGTCTCACGTTGCAAATGAACTCCGGATCAAAAATTCTCTGCAAGGCTTCTATTTTATTCCTTTTCTAAATCAGCTTTAATCGCTGATCATTAAAAAAAAAACTAGCTTCTCACCTCTTTCGTGAAGACTTTGCTTTTCTCGGGGTCTACAAATTTATTCTACTGGTTAAAAATTTTATTTCTATTCCTTTCTTTTTTTAGTAGAGAAGTTATTTTTTTTTTATACGATGGTTTAGAGCTCTCGATTTTTTTAAAAATTAGAAACCTAAGAATAGGAAAAATTTCGAAATGCGGTATTTCGGAAAGTTTAGCGTTAGACGCTGTTTGGTCGTTGTTGCGTGATTGTAATCACGGTCTTCCGCCGTCTCCCTCCCCCTCTTTTTGTTGCAATTAGTCTACTCTCGTATTTAATATACTTTTTCTCATACGATGGCTTGAATTTTGTTCATTTGAAACTAATTTATCATATTCCATTTCCAATATCGAGAAATTGAACAATTTAGCTTTGAAGTTGTTTTTATACATAAATTGGCTTCATGTCTTTTCAAAAGTTTATTTTTTTTTTTTTTTAGGAAATTTTTTTATTTGCCTTCTCATCATCTGTTTTTTCATATGAGAAGGAATTGCTTTCGTATACAGCGGCTACTCTGTGCCTGTCCGTTTCACCTTTCGATATCATATTTCTTGAGGTTTAAAAAAGCAACCCAGTGTCTCTTCGTTTATTCAATTTTCTCTTCTGTCGCTCTATACTTATTCGAGAGTTTGAAAAACTACTTCATGTTTAATTCTAATTCTACATCGAAAATCTTTCCTGAACATCAAGGAAGACGCGCATTCCAAATCGTTTTTCAACGTCCGTCGATTCTGCATGTAACGCTTTCTATGTTATATCTGAACTGGAAAACGTAAAATAAATATGAAAAATGCTTATTTCGGAGACGAAAGTTAACTTTAGCGGTCGCTGTCGTTAGGACGGCATCGGGATTGTACCGCAAGCCGGCCGAAATCCGGAGGAGAAGCCAGGTTTTTCCGTTCTCGTCATGCGTCAGCCGAGCGTCCGATCACCAATATCATAGCGAGAGGTTCACAAAAAACATACTTCTTGGAATTTCTGATTTTTTAGAAATGAATAGTGGTAATTTTAATCATTCGTCGCACTCGCTCGGCGGATTTCGTGTGTTAACTTCGAATTCAATGATTAGCGCAAATGGTCAAAAAGATTTGTTGTCACCTGGTGGGTTTTTCTGTGTTAATCTACCTTCTAATTTTGATTTTATTTTTTTTCAGGTAACGACGTTGTTGTAACTCGAACAGTTTCGCCGTCTTTTTATACCCATGGAATGCCAGTTCCAGATTCTGTTTTTCGCAAAGATGACGTCGTACGGATTGTCGCTCCTACGAGTGTTTGTCTCATTATTTTGTTTCTCCAGTTCATTTTTCCAGTATTTATTCTTTTAGTGCATTTCAAAATGTTTTGAATTTAAAGAAGTTGTAAGGGCGTAAGGGGAAATTTCAAAGTGAGAGAAAAATCGGTTCCTACAACGGTACATTGTGATACGGGACTTTTGCGCGCGAATTCAAAATTTTTGTCAAAAAACTCAAATGATTTCAAAATTTGGAGTTCGCGCGTAAAAGTCACATATCTTCGTCCAACGGCCCTTAGAAATCCCAATTTTACCAATTACGCGAATTCAAACGAATAACCTGTCAGTTTTGAAATCGCCCAATTTATTTTGAGAACGTCATCAAAAAAAAAATTTCGTAGAAAAAGTGGGCACTTGGACCACGATGACAAAAACCGGACGTTTCTGAGCATTTCTATGGATGACTTAAGAGTTCTGACGCTACTAAAGTGGTCACTAGTGTCCGAGTTGCCAGAAGATAAGGAAATAAAAATTTTCCCTTACAGGACCCAAGTTGGTTCCGAGCGAAGAATTCGAATCATGAAGAAGGGTTAGTGCACGTGGATTGCGTCCGCAGCAGGTATTCGGGGAAGCGACTCGAGAGTCCAAGGGATTGCTTTAGTGCTCCGTCTTCCTCCTTCGATGGACTCGTGCGGATGCGAGCGAACGCGACGCCGTCGATCCTGGATTCGCACGGAATGTCGGCGACGGCGTCGCATCACTCGATCGGCGGCTCTTCGACGGCTTCCGTCTCTTCCAACACCTACACCAATACCCCGCAGCCTTGGTTCCATTCCATGATCAGCCGCGAAAATGCTGAACGGTCTCTTCATTTCCAATCCGTTCTCTTCAACTATTGAGCTGCAGGTTTCTTCTTGGTAAATCGGATGGAACGTTTTTGGTTCGCGAATCGACCAATTACCCCGGCGATTATACTCTATCCATGTCTTATAGAGGAAAGGTCCGAATTTTTTCACAAGTTTTCGACTATATTTCTTAAAATGGTATTCTTGTAACTGGATGATGAGTTCCAGGTGGAACACTATCGGATATATCAAAGTTCCGGCGGCCAGATGACATGTGACAATGAAGAATTTTTTTCGAATCTAACACAACTAGTGTCGGTAAGTTGGCATTTCTATTTTGAGAGTTCTTTATTTTCTTATCACTGAAAAAATCATATTTCAAAATCCTCACTTCCCAAAAAAAGTCTTTGAAATTCTCTGCAACTCTTGAAATCATCATTTTTGATTTTGAAAAAATTTTAACCAGTTTCCCTCATCACGACGCATCTTTTTGAGCTATTCCCTCTTACTATAGCCGGGTTACGGTAGGTGGGTGACCGGCGTAGTTTAAAATTTATGTTTTTTCATGGAAAAGCTGTATATCAATCGATAGGTTATGCAATTTAGGAAAATTTTTCAGTACATATCATATTGGGTTACTGTAGAAATTTTAGAAATACGGTACTTTTTGTGTTTGCGAAGTTGGTTTTTTGGTCACCCTGAGCACCAATGCCATTAGCCGTTGAAGTTACTTTTTCTCAAAGATATGTCTTTCCATTAGCTACCGTTTAATAACGATTAATATAAAAAAATACATAAAACTTGAACTTTTTTTGATTTTTTTAAAAACTTTTTTTGCGGGCTACCCAATGAAAACTGCCTATTTCAGTACATTATCAAAAATTTTTTTCTTTGCGCGCAAAAAGACTGGGGTGGGATCCAGTTTTTTTAATATAGAAAAATGCAAAAATTATTGAGTAACTGTAAGATTTTTTAAATCAGGTTCAATGTGTTCAATATCGAAATAATCTCTCTTTTGCCATCCTTGAACATGATTTTCTGCGATATTGATTGCTTGGATGATGGAAAAACGCTATTCAGCACTACAAACGAGACGCAGACGGCCTCTGCCATCGGCTGGTGACGCCGATAATCTGCGAGTCGTACGCTTTTCCGACCAACGGCTCTTCCTCGGGCGTCACCGGCGTCGAGAGTCTCGAGGACAGGACCTCCGTCTTTCGGCAAGCCGGCCTCGTCATTCCCTCGAGCGACGTCCGACTGGGCGACATCATCGGACACGGGGAATTTGGAGGTTTCGCCCGTTTTCTAGCTCGTCGAAACAGTGGGTTCAGATGTCCGACTGGGGGTCTTCAAGGACCGCAAAGTGGCCCTGAAAGTGTCCAAGAGACATGGCAATGGAATGCTGGATTCTTTGCTCGACGAGGCCAAATTCATGGTGTAGGTTTTGGATAGTCCTCTTTTCACGTGGATTGAAAGAGAAAAAAAAAAAATAAAAAAAGAATTATTCGCTACATTTTTGAGCTCTCTTCTTGTTCTGATTCCATCATAATATGAAAAAGTTAATTTTTTCGCTTCCCCAAAAAGTCGGAAAATTTTGCGATGAGTTTTTCCTGGAAAAGTAGATCGCTTGGATGAAGCGAAGTTTTCATTATTGAAATCAGAACAAAAGTTTCGCTGAACTAGAAATAAATATGTCAAGTTGAAGCCTTTAATAATTTCCAAGGATTTTCCCTCATTTCATCACAAATTATCCAAATTTTCGAAAGTTTCATTTTCCGTCTTCCGCTTGGATTTTTTCTATTCTTGAGTCGCTAGGCAGTTCGATTGGCTTCCCTCTTGAAAAAGATCATTTTTTTTGTGGTTGGGATCTTTCTAGAAATTGGCCAGATTATTCCTCGATGTACAAGATAGAGATACAGAAAGTCTCAACCTTCGCAACTTTCTCATTTTCGAAAGGTCTTGAAGAAACCGTCGAAATTCCGTTTAAACGGGCTGTTTTCGAACTTACCGAAAGCTAGAACGTTATGCAGGTAAAGACTTTCAGAAACTTTATCTGGTACGCCAAGGAAGGTTCTGGTCAATTTTCAGGAAATTCCCAACCGCAAAGTAAAATGACCTCCCTTGTCAGGCTTCAGTGTCCACAGAAAACCGTTTCAGCGGCCTCGCTCATCGCAACCTCGTCACTCTGGTCGGCGTTGTCTTGGACGACGTCAACATCTACATGATCACCGAGTACATGGCCAACGGGAACCTCGTCGATCTGCTCAGGTCCCGCGGACGCCATCAGCTTGACAAACGACAGCTCATGCAGTTCGCCATGTGAGATATTTCATCGGCGATGAGCAGTTTTTTGAACCGACTTATTGACTCCCCTTAGAAGTTGAGAAATGTTTTTTTCAGCCTACTTTCGACTGAAGAACAAATATTTTTCTGTAATACGGATAGATTTTTGTTTTTTCATTGATAAAAAAGCTTGAAAATGACCCTGGCTTTTGTATAGCTGATTCACGGCTGGCCAGAGCCATAGAAAAGGGTCCTGACACGATAATAAAAGAGATAGTGTCTGGTTGGTGGAGAGCACAGACAAGCCACGCCCCCTTAGCTTCCCAAGCTACCCGTGAATCGACTATACCTATGCGAAAATTATTCAATTTTCGGGAAAAGTCGATCGATTCTGTATTGTTCTATTAACTGTAAGCGCTTCTGAAGCTGTAGACAGAAGAAAAATTTTGCAAATTTAATTCCTCCTTATTTTTACGCTGCTGGAAACTTAATGCATATTTCATGCAGAGTTTTAATATTTCAAAAGGTTTTTTGAACCAATTTTCGAAAATTTTGAATGGTATTATTATTGAACGAAAAGAAAAAGACGAGAAAACTAACAGGTTTTTTTGGCCCTTGGTTGAACTTTTGATGAAACTTCGCTGGAGTGTACTTTCGGTCCTCCTGATCACAGAAAAAGACAAAAATGTTCTCACAATAGATCTCGTTTCCGAGTTAGGATACTTCAAAAGCTCGAAATAACCCTTTTTGTCGTAATTTGTGTATTTTGCGGGCTTGAAACCTAAAAAACGTCTCCTATTGATCCTTTAAAAAGAAAATAAAGTATGGATTCTGGTTTACATATTTTTTGTAGCGACATTTGCGAAGGAATGTGCTACCTCGAGTCGCGGCAGATCGTCCATCGGGATCTCGCCGCGCGGAACGTGCTGCTCGACGAGAATTTCGTCGCCAAGATCAGCGACTTCGGCTTGGCCAAAAAGGCGACGTCGACCTCACACGACTCTGCGAGTGGAAAGTTCCCCATCAAGTGGACCGCTCCAGAAGCTCTCCGCAACAGCGTTAGATTTCTCTCTTGCTTTCCAATACTTTTATCGTTTTTGTAGTTGTTCACGACGAAGAGCGATGTCTGGTCGTTCGGAATCTTGCTGTGGGAGATTTTCTCTTTCGGTCGCATCCCATATCCTCGCATCGTAAGTTTCTGCGTTAACAAAAATTTTCAATTTGTGTCAAGGAAGCCTGATATTATCATCATTTTTGTTGATTTGTCGCTTTTAAACACTATTGATGTGGTTTTCAATGTGGACTCTGTTTCTCAAATGTGTTTTTAACATCTTATGTCCTGTGAATTTTGTTTTTCAGGGAACGGACGGCCGTTCGGTATGTTGTTTGAAGTGTGAAATGTGTCTTTTTGAACGTCCTGGCTTCTTTTTCCTTTTTGTCCTGATCTTTTTCTTTGCGAACCCGAGTTCTCCATTGGAGCTTCCACTTTCTGCATGCATGCGCAGAACTCTGACGTCCTCGTATACATATAAACAAGATATCTTGAAACTTTCAGAGTAGTTTCTCCAAAAAGGAAAGAGAGAACTTTTGAGGAATCTAAAAACTATAGTCCATTCACGGTTAGCTTGAGGCGACCTGTCTGCGCTTCCAATAATCAAGCACTCTCTCTATTTTCATCGTGTCAGGACCCTTTTTTTGATGGCTCAAGCCAGCCGTAAATCAGTTATATATGGAACTTGAGCTATGGAAATCTCATTCTGTCAAAATTCACAAGTTCGAACTATCGTGGTTTCAATGACCAGAAAAATGGCGTTAAGATAAAATTGATAATTTTCTATTCTGCATAATTTAGTATCTTATCAAAAGCTCTCGGTTTATGGGGCTTTCTAGTATATTTTTTCTTCCCATGTATGTTTTCCTTCTTCGTTTGGCCTCCCTTGCTCTAACCTGAATTTGCTTTTCAAAATCACTGGCTTATTAATCACTGTTGGCCTAACTACCATGGGTGTTGGTGTGTTTGAATCATCAAAAGTGCGGATTTCAGCCGATTCAAGACGTTGTTCGTCACATAGAACGCGGCTACCGAATGGAGGCGCCTGAGGGATGCCCGCCTGAAGTCGTCCGGGTCATGAACGACGCTTGGGCTCTTGCGCCCAACGATCGACCTCCTTTTGGACAGGTTTAAAAAAAATCAGTGACGAATAAAAAAAACGAGTGAACAAAAGAAATAAGATAAATGAGCTTTGGGTATATCGTCCCGAATTTCTTTGAAAAGCAAGGATTTGTGGAGAAAATTCATTCTCCACATAAACATTGATTAATGGAGGATATCTCTCGAAAAAAAATTTCTGGTGTTACAATGAAAGTATTGAAACGAGGGAAGTTGAAAAATTGTAACGATATTTTGGTTTTTTTAATTGGCAATTTGAGAAATTTATCAATAATTTTTAACAAGTTCATTGTTTTCAGATGCTTCAACGACTCATGGGAATTGTCCGGCGCCTTTCTGCTTAGTTCATTGAAAAAAATAAATAGATTTTTCATCACTCTATTTCAAAGAAAACGTTTTCTAGTCCTGCATATTCCAAAAATTTCATGAATTATAACCGATTATGTTTCTTTTTTTCCTTTTGTTCTAGTTCTTGACCATGTAATAAGTGTGTTTTAACTTTGCGTTTTAGAGAATTTATAATGATTTGCTCTTTCAGTAATATTGGTAAGTTTTCAATAGCTTTGCTCAATTATGGCCTACTTGTAAAATGAATTCTCAATTTTGTTTTTGTTCTTTGTACGGTTGTTGATTACTTTCTTATCCGACTCTGGTTTTTCTTCCTTTCTCGATATAATTGTCACTTCCGATCCCCATCGTCTTTTTTATATCAATAATTCATCGTTCGAATCGAAAATCAAACATAATCACGAGTAATACCGTACACGTTCTCTCAATTTATTGCGCGCATAATCGAACAATAATAAACTCCTTTCAGTCCCAAAATGTGTGTATTTTCTTCCGCTGTGTCTTGTTCACTTTATTCTGAAATCGAAGGATGTTCCAAGGAGGAGAGCAAAAATCAATAAGTTTCAGAAATGCCGACGATCAATGGCTGATTTCAAAAGTTTTGTCGATTACGATGGATCTCCGGTATTTGTTCCTTTCTTTTTAGGAATTGCAAAAAAAAACCTAGAGAATGAAATAGATAAAACTGTTTATGAGAATCTAGGGATTTTTAAATGAGTGTAGAAGCCAGAAATATTTTTTTCTTTGCATTGGTAATTTTCGAAATGAGAATTTTTAAGCCTTGTAGATTTTTTCAATGTTCAGCCGACGGTGGCTGCAGTTGCGGCCCGCGCTTCTCCTCTCCCAGAAGAAAAAGAGGAAATTTCTCTGTTTGAAGGTACGTACCAATATAAAAATATTGAAATTGTCATATATTTCGAAATTCTTGGTGATTATAATAAATTATTAGCTAACTTAGGACAATGTTTTCAATTTCAATTTCAATTTCAATTTGTTTATTTTTCGCAACATCGGGATGGTATGGTGATGTTGCAGGGAGGGAAAAAGACCACTAGGTGGATTAACTAACCCCACCTGTGAAGAAAAAGTTTTGTGTAAGAAAAAGAAACATAGAACCATAATAAGTAGATATTTAAAAACCAAGTTGATCATGGCACAAATCTGTGAACACTTGAAAGAATATGCTCGACGCCAACATCTTCTGCATACACTAAAAACATGTCCTTAAATTTTTTCTTGTCTTCCTCTGCCAATAATTCATGTTCAATGTCATTCCAAACATTAGTAATGCGATCTGATAAGAAATTGAAGAAAACCAGTGAAGGTTTCGTTTTTATTAATTTAAAACCATTTCCTCTGAGCTGACTGGGACGGTCAAAGATGTTATGTACCTGGATGGGAGAGTCTGACCAGCACTTATTATGCAAAAACTGATGTGATAATACCAGATCCTTAACTAAACGCCTAAACCAAAGAGGTTGAAGACCTAATAGTTTTAACCGTTCATTATATTCCATTCTTGGGGAAAGGCGCTTCGTGGGGAAAGGCGCTTCGAAACATAGAGATTTTGGCTGCATAGATTTTGGCTGCATAGATGTTAAAAAATTTTTATCTTAATAATGAGAAATATTTGCAAACTTTTGATATGTCAGATGGTTATTGAAAATTTAAATTTTTTCGCTGCTGATAAATGAACTGACAAGTTTTAGCAAATGATTCACTCAGGAAGAACTTTCACGAGTTAACAAAATCGTAGTTTTTTTCTCGTTTTGATTCAATTTTAGTTTCACACTGAATTAGTCACTATAGCTCATTCCGCACCAGCTTTTCACGTTTTACTTTCCGCCAAAAAGACCGTATATACTAAATTAGATCAAAATTAAGCATTTTCGCTTCAAAATATTTGTTCTTTGCTGTCTTTTTAGCAGTTTTGTAGAGCAAAAAGTTGTATTTTCGGTCGTAGTTAAAGTTCGAGAACTAATGAGAACAATAAACCAGGCGGAGGGGAGAGATCCCGACGACTTTGGAATATTTCAGAAGAAAAATGAAGTTTAAAGGTTGAAAATTCACCAGAACGCCCCTTGATGTACCAGTAGAATGTTCTAAAAGTCTCATCCTGCACAACTTCCTCGTTTTTAGGAAAGTACGCCTCAGAGTCAAAGAAACCCCTCAAAGACCATTAAAAAAAAGGCTATTTTGAGAAATTTGGCCCCTATTTCTCGAAAACTTGAGAGTTTTGCAGGTTGAGACTTTCAGAAACTTTTTCTGGTACGTCAAGGAGTGTTCTGGCTAAATTTCAAGGGATTCCCAATCGCAATGTAAAATGACCTCCCTTGTAATGGGGAAGGACAAAAATGTTAAACTGCGCAATCTTTTAAAAAAAAAAGGATTCAGATGAAATCGAAGGGACGGCCGTTGACAACGTCTCCTTCTACTTTCAGTTTGAACCGAGGCAAAAAGGTCGGGTCGTGTGCACAAAAGTCCGCCTGCGATTCACGCCAATAGTTCCGATACAAGTGATTTTCCGTTTTTCTCCAGCTGCAACTTTCTTGATTCAGCGCGAAATTCCTCGACGCAGTAGAATGATCGACGACTTTTACGACGTCCCTATTTGCTCTGTTGCTACCATCTACGTCGCCCTTGTCAAGAGTAATAATGATTCAAATTTATTATCGTATTTTGAATGGTCGTTTAATTGAGTCAACATAGGCAAAGGGTGGAAAAATTCTCCTTTTTTGCGCCATTTCACGGGCTCCTATGCACCCTTTTTCCACCATTTCTTGAGCCCTTGAAAAAGGCAAAAAGCACAAGCCTGTTGATAATCAAAGAGGATTCATAAAAAGAAATGTTTAGACGTTTCTCGTGGGAAACGGAAACTGGAACGGATGAGCGACACTCTGTCGGGAGTCGACGTCGTATCGCTGATCAGAATCGTCCTCAAGGACTTCCGGACGGTGACCGTCGACTTCGAAATGTCTCAGAACGGCACGTTGCTCGCCAACCAGATCCTTTTCTTCACCCGACCGGGCTCCTTGGAGATGTATCCGCAGTTGGGCGCTGGTCTACTCGAAAAAGGATCTCAGCTCAAGTGTACGTTTTTTCGGCGTTCCCCCCAGGGGCCACTTTACCAAACTCTATAGGGGTCTCCAAAGCTTGCAAAAGTGGCCTCTGTAGGGGACAATCAATACTTTTCACGAACTCGATGCGAAAAACTGAATAAAAAAGCGTTTTTTGAGAAAAATTGAAAGAACCCTAGAGGGTCCACTTAAGCTTTAGAATCTAAGAGGTCAGATTCTGAACCCCTATAGGAACCACTTTAGCTCCCCCCTATAGGGAATGTTTTTTTCACCCCTGTAGGGATCACTTAAAAAAATTTTTTTTCACCAGAAACGTGGTCGGCAAAAATGACCCCATTATAGACGATCAAAAGAGTTCTGCAGTTTCAATGTTTTTTCAAAAGCGAGTTTTTATTTTTTGAAAGATTTTGCGGATACAATTGAATTTATTCATAAATGCGCTGAAGCTATCAAAAAATGATGAAAAATGAGAAAAAATCACGTCTTTGGCCTCGACTTCTGTTAATTTTCATCAATTCTGTTACAGTGCCGTTCAACTCTCTGGAAAGCTGGAAACAAGAACTCCGACGATGCGGCCAGTCCGTCGAAACCGGGGCACCCTGGCGAGTGTGTTCTCTTCTGCGAGAAGGTCTACCGCAGATCACTCAAGGGTTTTTTTTCGTCTCAACTAGAAAGGACTAGGATTCCCACTTTAGGTATCCGACGCACGTCGTCGTCCCAGAGTTCCTCGCGCGTCCCGACATCGACAAACTGATTCGAAATTGGAAGCTCGGCCGTTTCCCAGTGAAGAGTTCTGTCAGAAAAAAGTAATCAAGGTCTTTTTTGAGGTCTGGGTGTGGTCCAAGGCCTCAACCGGCAACGCCAGTCTTCTCATTTCTGCCGAACACGAGAACAACCTCAGCACAGCCGATTTGGTTTTCAAGTAACCATATGCCTCTTTTTATTCAGGGAAATTCATTTAATAATGTCTTCGAAGCGTTTTATCCTTTCCAATAACTTTACCACTCTTAAAATGTTTTCTAATTGAAATTCCCACTTCAAGAAAGCGAGCTAGGCGTTTTTGAAGACAGCAGTCTTTAGAAAAGTTTTTTGTGACTTTGAGTAGGGTCCGCAAGCCATTTCTTCAAAACGATCCAAAAAATATGTTTTTTACTTTGTTCGATAGAGGAGACTGTCCATTTTCATAATCCGTTCAGTTTTAGAAAAAAGCTCCACTAAGAAAAAAGTTATGGCCAAAAAACTAGCGCGCGCGGCGTTCAACTGAAGGCAAAATCTCACGGTTTACCCGCTGCCGCACGCTTTCTTTTTAAATGTTTTTGCGCGTTTCTGAACCGTTTTCGAATCGGTTTTCTGTTCTGAGAGGTTGTCAGAACTGAGCTTCATGTTTTGGTATGAATCTTTTTGTACAATCCTCATAAGAATTTTTGATAAAAATATCAAAAAAACTACTTAGAAAAAAAGGTCAGAAGGAATTTTTCAGCTTATTTTTTTCTTTTTTTCTAATCAGAAAAAAATTATTATCATTTGGTTTGGAAAAAAAGAAAAAAATGAAAAAAATAATGTTATTTCGAAATAAAAACAGGAAAAATGTGCAATTTGACTCCAAAAAACGGCTCCTGCGACATTTAAAAGTGCGCATCGGTGTGTTTGACGCAAACACAGCTACGAACGATTGCACGAAATCTTCCAAAATTTCAAAAAAAATTGCCATTTTTTCGAGGTTTTCAAAGCCGTTATTTTTTTCGCGTCGTTTGATTTTTTTCATAATTTTTTCATTGATAGAGTTTTGAACGCTTAATAACCTGATCAAAAGTATAGACGCGATCCTATTCTCTCATGCGTCAACGAGGCAGGCGAAAAAAGGAGGTTTTGCTAAAATTCAAATATAATTCGATTCGCTGTCCCAATAATTATTTTTCATTCTGAATTTTTTTATTTTTTTGAACACATTGTGAGTTTTTAAATCAAATAAAAAAGTATACCATGTCGCTGAAAATTTTTTTCGCATTTCAGCTTCAAAGTTTGGTGTCACTTTACAAGCTTCGATTTTTCGCGTCGTTAGATTTTTTTAAATTTTTTTATTCAAAAAAATAAAGAAAGTGTTAATGTATAACATACTCAAAATTCGGAAGCGTTCCTCACTTGGTTTTCAGAAACGCGACGATTTTGTGAAACTTGTCAGTTTTTTTCGTGTTAAATCTTACTTTTTCGCTGATTGTTGAAAAAAATACATAGTGTAAAAAAATTTTTTTCAGTCTTGTAGAGCGTTGTCGATTACATAGATTAACAGAAACAGTTTATTTTTAAACTTGAACTTTAGCTAGTATAAACGCCTCAAAACCGTTTTTGCAACAAAAAAATCGTCATTTTGGTGGCGTGAAGGGGCGGGGCTTTGCGCCCCCTAACTTTGAGAAAGGTTGCTTGAAAACTCCAGAATGGTCTCTATAGGGGCAACCTTAGGTATCCTTGGAAGGACCCCTCTAGGAGTTACGTTACCAACCCCTATAGGGGCCACTAAAGCTTGCAGAAGTGGTCCCTATAGGGGACATGCTAATCGATGATTGTTATGTACTCTATGCGAAGAAGCGTTTCCATGCGAAAATTAAAAAAAAAACCATCGTTTTTTTAATGAAGTTGAAAGTCCCCTATAGGGACCACTTGATCTTTAGGGGGCTTAAAAGTCGGACCCTAAACCCCTATAGGGATCGCCTTCATTTTACCTCTATTGACCGCTTTTTTGGCCTCCAATCCTTATAGGGATCACTCTGGAATTCCTAAGTGTGTCTTCAAACTGCAATTTTTTGAATTTTCTTCGAAGTTTTGTAAGTTTTTCATTATCAGAAATAGTTTTGTAATCAGAATTTCCCGTCGCACAATGATTCAGTTATAACTTTGCCCATTCAGAGTTTCGGAGAGCGTCTCACGATGTCACAAAAAAGACGACAGACCATTTATTCTGCATCTGGATGAGAACTTCCTTCCTCGCGTCGGCAAGGCGTACGACTACCTCTTGAGACTTTGCTCGTTTGGTTTGTCGCGATCCTCTCCGTCGTTGAACGGTGTCCCCAGATTCGACGGAATCCTTCAAGTCCAGCGAGTCGAGTTGGCTCTCTTCCCTTCACAAAACGGGATGGCTGCACCTGATCCGCGACTGTTTTTCGGCGGCCAACGAGGCCATCGGCCACATCGTCGACCGCGACCGCAGCGTCATCTTGTGTGGTGCGACGGGCTCTCCTTTCTGCTATGATCCAGTTGTTTCAGAGTCGGAAGGCCGTGATATGTCGATTCTCGTCGCCAGTTTGGTACAGATCTGCTGCGATCGTTACTACCGTACTATAAGAGGTTTGATCAGAATATAGGCAAAGTCGGAAGGAGCCTCCGAGAGTCCACAAAGGTCCACAGAAATTTTTCTTTATGGTGATGAAGGCTCCCTTTTCGCTACCTTGTTGCGCCATTTCACCGGCTCTTATGCACCATTTTTTCTCGCCCTTTTCACCATTTCTTGAGCCTTTGAAGTCCCATAGAAAAAAAAAATAAAGGAACGATAATAGGGCTTTTTTTGGGTGCCGTCCTTTTTTTTTTTTGACCCTCTCCCTTTTAGCGGCCATTATTCAGCATTCCCACCCCGCCCGAATCTCTGAAACTGAATTTATCGGAGAAAAATCTGTAGAACTTCAGGAATGCGAAGTTTGGTGGAAAAGATGTGGATCGCTTTCGGACACCCGTTCGGAACCCGACTCCTCGGCCGTTCAGATTCGAATGCGTCGGCTGAACCGAAGAACCAGATATCGGAGAGCAGCTTCCACCCGACCTGGCTCATTTTCCTCGACTCGGTCGCCCAACTTCTGAAACTGTACCCAGTGCAGTGGGTCCGCTCTGAGATAGACAGTTGCAGTACAATGCCAACTTGTAGATTCGAGTATTCGGCGCAGCTTCTGATGTCGTTGTGGGACGTCTCGTTGACGGGAATGGCCCCGGCGTTGGTCTGCAACGACCTCCAGGAGCAACTCGCAGACCACGTCGGCGGCGGTCCGTTCCCCCTCGAGACGTACTTCCTGCGCAGCTACACGGCTCAGTTCCTCAACCCACTCCATGACGTCATCCCTTTCCTCGACTCTATCGCACAGAGTAGCGTCTATCTCAGTTTTGAAAGCTTCATTTCGGAATCATCAGAAAAGTCGATGTCATTGCGGCCGCTTCTTATCGAGGTTCTACGACCGCCCACGACGCTTTGCGACATTCGGTTATGGAACGAGTGCTACCTCAGATGGGTGCCCAGCGCTAACATGACGGTAAGACTTGGGGAGGGCTCGAAAAATCGGGTTTTCTGTTTATTCTCACTTTTTTTAATGGTTGATATGGTGAATATCAATTTCTCCCTTTTTTTCAAAGGCAAATAAAAGAGTGGAATATTTTTCTCCTTTGTATTATATACTTTCTTTTAGAAGCTTCAAATGATTTTTGCGAAATTAAAAAAAAATTTTCTTCTCGAGTTGAAACAGTCTGACTTGCCTGCGCCCTCTTTCCCTCACCAGTGAGTTCATAAAAACATTAAAGTAGCATCCGCGAGGGAGGAGAGAGGTCAAGGAACCAGGATTTCTCACTTTTTATGGATTGTTTTTTGAAATTATTTTTATTTTTCCAATACAATGTTGAAACTTTCCAGTGAGATCTTTCTTCCAAGCTACAGAGTTTAGACTCGTTTTTAGAAAATTTTCTCTTTGCGAGTGACATTTATATTTACGCTGCGTAACTGTTCTTGCGCATGGTTTTTGATCAGTCACGGTTAATATCTCGCATGCTGAGCAGGTGTCTCAACGGGTGTACCCGTATTAAACCCGTGTTTCTGAGGGTATTTTAGTCTCAGTTGTGCTAAAACGGGGGAACAACGGGTGTAAGAAAAATATGTAACCCAGCTGGGCTAAACCGGGGTCTCAATTGGGCTGAAAATTGCCAAAAGTTCTACCAACTGTGCTTATACATGTTTAATACGGGGGTACCCGCTGAGACCCCGTTTTAGCACGGCTGGGTTACCCTGCTCAGCATTCGAGTATCCAGAAAATTTTCTCTCATTTCGAAAATGATTTTTGAATTTGAAGAACACTGGCCGGAGAGATGAATGTTTCGCAGTTGACGAAGTAGTCGAGAATTTCGCTCGGAAAATGAAAATCAAGACGCCGAAGCGGCAGACGCCTTCACCGACAGAAGTAGGATAGGAACATAGGCAAAGTCGGAAAGGGTGGAAAAATGCTTCATAGAAATGTTCCTTTCAGGGGTCAAAGGCTCCTTTTTTGCAGCCTTTTAGCGCCATTTCATCGGCTATTATATAACATTTTCACAGCCTTTCCTTTTTTCCACCATTTCCTTTAAAAGTCCAAAAAAAAAAAAAGGAAGAGACCCTTTTTGCTTCCTTTCTGCAGCCTTTTGTGAGCCTCTCCCTTTCAGCGACCATTATCCACCATTCCGACTTTGCCCGAGAATGATCAAATCTGGAAACTTTCGTCTTTTCAGTACAGCTCGGCGTATCCCTATTCTGAGCCCGTACAGCGCGTCGAAGACTTTTCCTCTTCGGACTTTGAGATGGTCGAGCATCCGCGCGTCTACGAGGAGTTTGACCGTAGTTCTGTTGCGTCCATAAGCTCTTTCGCATTTCCGTCGTTCGGGGACGCCTCTTCGAGCAAAGTTTCCCCAATTTGATCCACTGGATTTCAAAAAAGAAAGCGTTACAGGACGCGACTTACAAGCTCGAATACATGCGAGAAGATTCGGCGACTAGTTTAACTGGGGATTCCAGAAAAGATTCTTCGGTGGAAGTGAAGCCCCGGCTGCAGCTCGCAAGTTTCTCAAATCGCGAATCGACGATCGGAGACATCGTTATTGCTCAAAGTGGAGCCAACAAAGTTACAGGGGAAAATAAGGTTACTGGTCATTGAAATTGACGTGTGAATATAAGAAAGACATGTAGACGATGCCTAGAGATAATATTTAATGTTGTACTGGCATTTTTTGGCTTGAATCCTCAGAACGATGAAAACCATGAACAAAAGTTACGTAGGCAAAGTCGGAAAGGGTGGAAAAAGGCTCCATATAAATGTTCCCTTTTTACGACATTTCATCGTCTCTTGTGCACTATTTTTGCTTCCTCTACCTTTTTTCACCATCCCAGAAAAATAAAATACTTGATGAAGGGACTCTTTTTTTGCTGCCTTTCTGCGGCCTTTTTCGTGCCTCTACCTTTTAGCGACCATTATCCACCTTTCCGACTTTGCCCGAGTAGTGTACTGTACTTTCAAAGCTTCTCCGATTCATGAATTTACTGTTCTCTTACTTGAAGGTGTCTGTTGCAGACCGCCGTCCCGACGCCGCGCAAGGAAAAGCCAGTCCCTCCGCCAAGACCTCCGGGCCTAACGCTAAATAGTACGAAATCCCAGAATCCTTCTTTCCAAGTGACACGCTTCTGATGATTTTCAAATTACAAATAACTTCTTGTCAAAAGATTTCATGTTCTTTTTGAAAATATGATTTATCGCATGAATAGAGCTCATCATGTTCTCTGCATTTTGGAATCTCGTTCTTGAACATTTCGCAGACTTCCTCTCGATTCTGTATATTCCTTGTAGTTAGCATTTTAAGCACTGGTTCTATTTTGTGATCCCGCTTGGACATAATTGCCTTCTCTCGCTCTTTTAGAGAAATTACCATAATCAATAATATTGTCATATATTTTTGTATACAACTTCAACTGTGATCTTTTATAAAAGTTTCAGCATTTTTTTCCTTTTTTTTCGAACTAAACCATCCCTTTTTCAAATGGGCCCTCGTGGTTTTTTTTGGATTAGTTTTATTTTTTCTGAAAAGTCAATTTCATTTTGAGATGGAGTCGGAAGTTATCAGTGATCCCGAAAAGAAAGAATCTTCTTCGATGAGCGAAGCAGAAGCTCGAGTCCGCCAGTACGTCGGGAAATGGGTACAGGTGACGTACTTTGAATGTTATTGAGAAGGATTCAATCGATAGTTTTAGTCTTTGAAACAGCTTACTTTCAATTTTCAGGTTATTTTGAGCGATGGACGTATGATAAATGGTAGAATCATCTGCACGGATAAGCATCCAAACATAATTTTGTCGAAGTAAGTCATCAAACAAATCCAAAGTTTTTCCTGGCTTACTCGTCTTAGGAGCTTCAGAGTGGTTCCTATAGGGACAACCTTGAAGGCCTTTCTAGGGACCACTGAAGCTTGCTAAAGTGGTTCCTATAAGGGAAACGCTAGTCGATAAATGTTATGAGTCTACTTGAGCTTCAGGGGTCAGACCCAAAACCCCTATAGGGACTACCTTGATTTTACCCCTTTAGGGACCACTTTTCTGGCCCCTATAGAGTCCTGTAGAGACCCCCCGAACTCCTAAAGGGGCCACTTGAGGATTCCTTAGTATGTCTTCAAACTTGAATTTTTTGAATTTCGAAATTGTCCTTCAAACCCCTATGGGGACCACCTTGATTTTAACCCTATAGGGACCACTTTTTCGGCCCTTATAGAGGTTGTTTTCAAGCCTCATTTTTTTTTAGACTGCCTAGTTATTTCCATTTACGAAAAAAAGAATAGTGGGAAAGAAAGCCAAATCATAGGGTTTTTGAAAATTCCTGATATGTAGAAAAATAACAACAATCAATTATGATGAACCAGAGCTGAAGAGCGTTGGGAAGAGGGCGACGAGCCGCGGTACATCGGACAAGCGATGGTGGCCCGCAAGCACATCACCAAGATGTACTTCCTCAAACGCAACGAGTCCTGTGTCTGATGCGTCGAACCCATATTTATATAGCCTTTTTTTGATCTCGTTTTTCTTCCAAGCTTTCAGGTGCCATGGTTGCGTGTTAATCTTTTCCTTTAGCTTGAGTGGGAGGAGATACCTCCAAATTTGTTTCAGTTTGAATATTCATTAAACGGTGACTAGGCTATCTGATATTTATTTATTGATTTATGTGCTCTTTCATCAATAAGTATGAAACGAATTGTACACGAAATTAAAGAGAAGTTACTTTTTGAGATTGATTTGAGCCGCATGGGACGATGATAACAACAAAAGAAAATTCAACAGAGAGAGATGGAAAAATCACGGGTGATTGGGAGAAAATCGAGGTGGTGGTACCGGTACTGAAACTGGTTTGAGCTCTTTTAGAGGAAACACATTTGCGTAGAGAGGGCTGTTCTGCGGCGCCGTCGGATCCGCATGCCCAAACGAGGACATCCGCAGGGCGCGCTCCGTGTCATTTGGTCGTGACCTGAAACTTCTCTTCTTAATTGAGAAGCTCCTCTAGAAATCAACGGACACGTAGACGATGGAATCGGCGTCGTCGTCAATGTGACGTATTGTACGCTCTTCGTCGCTGTCGACGTCGACCTCATCGCCATCAGACGGCGACTCCTGAGCAGTGAAATAGCCGGTGATCCCAGAAGATGTTAGACTCGCGCGGGGGGAGTGAGCTTTTTCGTCTTCCTGTTGCGATTTGCCTTGTTTCCGCCACCAAAAGTATGTTTCCCCAAGCGATAGAGGTGTGAGGTTGGATATGTGAGGGAAGAAAAGCAACGTCTACGATGGGATAAGTAGGGACTTCACGAATCGAGCGGAGAATGATTTCTCTGAAAGCTGCTGAATCTTCAGTTTTCAAAAATCATTTTCCGCTGGAGTGCATACGTCCTCAGATGTGAAGCGTAGAAGCAGCAGGACATCACAGCTTCGTAGAAGGCTTTGATCTATTGAACATTTTGTATGCCTAGCTGGGCACTAATTTCAATGGCGCTGCTCTGGAAAAGGAAACAGAGGTAAACTAGGACATCATAAGCTTTTCTTGTCGACGGACCCGGTTGAAGTCGACGTTCGGCGGCGGTAAGTGATAGTTGCTAGGAGCTGGATTATGCCGCGCTTAAATCAAATCGTAAAAGAAGGAAAATGAGAAGAACGCAACGAGGAGGACTCGGCTGTGGCGGGTAGTAGCTTGTAGGTTTCTTTCCGTTCAAAGGCTCATCTTCGTCTTGCGTCATTGCCGTGGCTCCTAGAATCGGAGAGTTTCTCCGAGTATTCAACTCATCTCCTTACTTGCTGATTCTCTACAGCAACATCGACGACATATGCAGAAAACGAGCAAAGTGAGGGCGATCAGAAAAACGATTGTCAGGAGCACCCAGAGAACTGTGAAACGACGAAATATTGTTAATATTGTTTCTCCAGCTCACAAGATGACGGCTCTCGTGTATTCTTAGAATCATCTTCGACCGCCCCGTGATAAACGTGTCTTCGGAAGTCAGTGTCCCATTCAGGCATTTCGATCAAGTTTTGATAGGCTGGAAAGTTAGTTTCACTCTGTTCGGCTTCATTCGAAACCTGGAATGGAGTTGGGCACTCGGAAAGACGGACACGCGCTTTTCACAACTCCATGGCTTGTGACGACGCCGTGCATTTCGTGACTCACATCATCGATGTAGCTTATGGGAACGAAGCGCAACTTCGACCCGTGCTGATAATCCAGCACAACGTCTGAGGAAGAGAAAGGGTTAGCACAGTCATCAAATTCTCAGACTTGTCACGTAGCCGTCGAAAGTTTGAAAGGGTAGAAGTTTGTCTCGGCTCGTGACGTTTCCTGCGATCTTGACTGAAGTCGCCTTCAAGAGGTCGAGATTCTCTCCGTTTGGTTTGAACGGAAAGTCTTGTCGGATGGAGTCGAGCTGATAGCAATTGATAACTCCATTTTTCAGATTTCCGCTTACCAAGATCGCTGTGGCGCTGAGTGGGTTACACTGCGCGACCAGGAAATGTCGGTAGCCATCAGAAAAATTCCCATTGAAGTTCAAGACCTCTGCGTGGCCTTTAGAGTTCAGAATTCCAACATTGATAGTTCCATTCTTGTTCAATTGAACGTCGAATTCTCTGGAATGGTTTTTCTTCCAAATGAGCTGTTATAGTCGGCTTCCTACCCGCCGTCGGAGAATTTGATCAGAACGATGCGCTGCTTGGCCGTTGGCGGCGAAGGTACAGCGAATGCAAACTGGAACAATTGCGCGATGCCTGTCTCTTGAACGAAGACGCGGGAAAGTTCTCGGCCCACGTCGAAGTTGAGCCATCCTCCTGCGCTCACCCGGATGCCTTCGTCTGAACGAAACCGTCTGAGGCAGGTCTGAGACTGGGAACCAACCGACAGTGCAGCTGGGGCCAGCGTAACTCGTGCGGGAGCAGTCGCACGTCGTCTTGCTCACAGTCGGGTCGTAGTTGCGCCAGCCGACGGAGCAGTGTCCGCCGTTGCGACAGTCGACCTCCGCACAGCGGACGTCGCAACCGGTTCTCACGAGCACTTAAAAAAATCGGAAACTCTTTTGGAAAGCTTTGGGAAGCTTCTGCTTCTCAAGTGAATCCTAGGAAGGCGTTGGGAAGGTTGAAAAGTGAATGGAAGTTCTTGAGAAAGCCTTGGGAAGATGTTCGGAAGGTCTTTAGAAAGAAAAAAAAAATGCCTGCCAGAAGCGGAAGCTTTCTAGCAAGTGGTCAAACTTCTTTACCATACCTTTCCAACAGCTCTACTTACCTTCCAGAATCCTGCTGGAAGGTCAACTTTTACCTTTCAAAGATCTTCCAACTACCTTCTGAACACCTTCCCGAGAACTTCTAGCTACTATTTACGTGCTGGTTGCCTTCCCAACACCTTCCCAGGAATCGCCCCGAGAAAAAAACTTTTAGAAGAAAAAGCATACATTTATCCAAGGGACGTGTTCCACGTTCTCTGTTCCTCAGATCAACGAACTCGCCCCCAATTTGAAGGCCTCTCACGCAGCCAAGTAACTTCGGAATCGTTGTTTCATATCTCGGAGCCAGAACTAAAGATCCGTCTGAAAAGAAAAAATGTCGAAAAACTTTAAAATTCGAATCTTGCCTCTGGACGGCGATCCTTGATCAACTCCGCCGATAAAAGTGAAAACAAACGGTGTAGGGTTGACGGAAGAGCTGAGTCCTACAGGCAGTTCAACAACATCTGCAAATCCAACTTCAGAAAAAGTCTGAAAACAAAACTAGCCAGTCTGAACATTGGAGAAACGTCTGATTGGTTTGACTGCCAGGCTGCGTTTCTCGCGGATCGAGCAGACTTCGTCTCCGACGCGGAGCATCGACGCCTCTGATCCGTGGCTGACGACCACCTGAGCCGGACTGATTGAGAAAATATCTTGGCTCGAACCTGGATCCACCGCATGTCGCTGTATTCTTGTCCCAAACGAGCTCGTACCGTGCAGGTGGCCACGACGTTTTCATTGTTGAGGGTTAGGGAAATGTTGACCTCATCCGAGAGGTGCACCTGAAATATCAGGCTTTTTTCTAAGTTTTTGAGCTATTCGAAAATTCAACTCGGCTCTTATATCTCGGCTCAAAATGCTCAGAATCAGTTTTCTATCATTTTCAGGGGTCCTCTTTCCCGTGGAACCATCTGGTACCCTCCAGAACCTATAGGGTTTCCGAGAAATCGACTTTTCCATCACTTGGGTCAGTTTTCTCACTTGGGTCTTCAAAATTAATATCTCGGATCAAAATGCTCAGAATCGGCTGAAATAAAGTTTTCTATCATTTTCAGAGGGTCTTTTTTTATGTAGAACCATCTAATACCCTCCAGAACCTATGGAGTTCACGATATATCGATTTTTCCTTGTTTTGGGTCAGTTTAGCAAACTTTAAAAATCAATATCTCGGCACAAAACGCTCAGAATCAGGTAGAGTAAAGTTTTTTATCGTGTTCGGAGGGTCTTCTTTCATATTGAACCATCTGAAACCCTCCAGAACCTATTGGGTTCACGAAAAATCGATTTTTCCATCATTCGTCTACCTGTAGAAAGTTGTTGTTGTGGTCATGGGAGAAAAGGAGCAAAGCGAGCGGCTGATCAGTCCGGAAGGAGAAATAAGTCGTCGACAGGAGAGCGTTGCCCACGTCTTCGTACTTGATGTAGCCTCCATGGAACGAGACCGACGAGTTCGAGTTGATGTCTGAAAAAGTTTCCTTCCAAGTTTTTCCGGGAAAGCGTACCAATTTCGCAGTTGGGACCGCTGTGAATCTCCGGATAGGAACACATGCAGAACGACTTCTCGTTGACGAAGTCGACGTGGCAGCGGGCGTCGTTAACGCAAGTCTGCTTCGCACAGTGGTCGTCACACGTCGTTTTCACAGCTGCAAGTCTCCAAAATGTCACGGAAATCTCTTTTTAGGTACTGGAATAGTCTCGAGCCAGTTCCTGCAGCGGCTGCCATTGTCCGTTGAGTCGCAGCGAGCGCGCGCATCCCACGAAGCCTCTGAATAACGGGTCATGACGGAAACTCTCGGTCCTCGTGCCTTTGGTTGTCGTTCAAGAAGAACCGTCCGTCCAAAGATCCCTCCACGTCGCCGACTTCGTTCAATCCGTCTACGCCAAAACGAACTTGTCCTTCGGAGACTTCAACTATAATCTGGTGCCACGCGCTGTCGTTCAATCTGAGCAGGAACTGCGCGGCGATCTTCCAAAGTGCTCACCTCTTCTGGGACTCCAAACGCAGAGACTTTCCCTCGTAGAGCAAAACCAAAGCATGTCCTACAAAATATATCAAAAACTTTACTTTTTCTTTGAAATACCATCTTTCAAGTGAGCCCTCAGGACCTCTCTTCCGTCCTTTTCAACGTAGAAAAGCGTCACATCTTTGTCATTGGTGCGGAAATGTACGTATGCATCTTTTCCTTCCCATTCGTTGATCTAAAAAAACCTTTTCTTCAAGGATGTATTGGAGAACTGACCATAATAGAAGTCTTTTCGACGAATCGGACCGGCTTATTGTCCATACCTGAATTCTGAGGTCTTTTTTACAAGAGGAGAACTTTACCATATCCGGAGCACTCAAGTCGGCCAATACTGAAAGCACCTTGGACGTCTCCGTCATTGTGCAGTGCGACTACCTAAAACTCAGCTTGAAGAAAAACCGGCTGTTCGGAATGTCCTTTTTGAAGTGTCTTCTTCGCCGATTTATTAGGAATAATAGATTTTTCACACTAAAACATCCTCTTCGGACCTCTGTGACGCAAACCGGACGTTTCTGGGAGCCTTTAGTGATCACTTAAGAGTGCTGACGCTACCAAAGTGTTCACTAAAAGTGCTTCGACACGTCCGATTCGTGTCCGTTTCTGGCATTTCTAGGGATCACTTAAGAGTGCTGACGCTACTAAAGTGATCACTAGAAATGTCCCGACACGTCCGTTTCGGGTTACCAAAGTCCGAGTCTTTTTCTAAAACCATTCAAATCTTATATTTTACTCCGAAATCTGTCAAAAAAGTACTATTAGTTTCTGTGAGACTCAAAACTTCGTAGTCGAAACGATCTTTTGTACTAATGTTCAAAAACTGGACTTCAGGGCACCCTATCCGCTTTTCAACGCACTTTTGTTATGCCGGCGTTGGATCCTTTCAGCACTCCAGTGTCCTCAGAGATGGCTCCCGAGTCGCAGTTGCACTTTCCTAGAAGAGAGTTGGGATATGGGATTCGAAGGGGAGGTGGAACCTCCTGACAAGCAGCCCGCGTCGATGCAGGAGCAGGACTGGGGCACATTTCCAATCTGAGTTATCTTTTCTTCAGGAGCAGACGAAGATTCGAACCACGTGTGTCCGTTTTCAAACCTAGTAATTTTCATCATTTTTTGTTTGAATCCTGGGGAAAGAAGGTTCAGAAAGGAGCAAACAAATCGTGATTTTCTATAGTCCGCCCGCCGCAACCTGACAGTTTTCGCGTGTCTGCGTCTCTCTGTTCTCTCCCCGGTCAGAGAAACATAGAAACAGCATGTAAACATGAGAGTAGGGACCGCAAAGCCACGCCCCTTTTTGCGATAGAAAAAAAGTGGCTTTTTTTGGTTTTCAACTTTCATTTTGTTTTAGTTGCAAAAATATATGGAACTGGATAATAAATTTTTGACACACATGTAGAGAAAAAGCTTCCTCTTTCGTTTAAAAAAATATTTCACGCTTTTTTTGATGCGTTCTCGCGGAATGTCGTACAAAAACGTGAATGCAACTAAAAAAATTTGTCATTTTTTGCTTTTTCATGTGTTTTTGAGGTCGAACGCACTCTTTCTTTTTTTAAATAATGATTTTGATTCAAGTAACGGTAATTTTAAAAACAATAAAATAAAAAAATTCGTCTTTGCCAAAACATTTTAGGGAGTGCCGAAAGTCATAATTCAAAAAAATCGTTAATAAACGAATATAATCGAGTTTTTTTGTTTTTTTCAAAATTTAGACCATGGGCTTATTTAAATTTTTTTCTCCACAGCATCTGTGTTTGAAAAAAAGTTGTTTAATACGCAAAAAAATGCTCTTGAAACTAGAGAATAAAATTAGCGGCGTTTATCACACAGAAAGCGGTCGAACGCAGGTTTTTTTAAAACGATTATATACATTTATTAGTAAAAAAATCTTTCAATTAAAAAGAATAAAAATAAAAAAATTCGTCTTTGCCGAAAAATATACGGGGCCGTTTTAGTGCAGCGATCGTTAAAAGAGGCAAAAAGCACTGAAAAAAACAGTTTTTTTCGAAGTGAATTTCCACGAAAAGTTTGAGTAAAGATTTGCGAACATATTCTGATAAAAATAGCTAAATTACTTCAAGTTTTTCTTTTTGAAATAGGCAATCTGTGCTATCCAAACGGCTCAAGGGTAAGGCGGATGGCAGCTCCCTTCGCTAAACCTGACAGCTTGGCGCAGCGCGTGCGCTGCGAGTTTTCGTTTTGAGGTCGCGAGTTCGATGCCCGCAAGCGTCAGTTTTTTGTTTTCTGGAAAATACCGACTTTTTCGGCAAACTAGCTGATGAGCATCATTTTAGCACTCTATTATGATTTGTTACATCATAATAGACCAGTATCAAAAACTTGTTCTAGAAGAAAAAAATCGAGAAAAAAATGTCAAAAAAATGGATAATACCAAAAATTTCAGTACTAAAAAATGGTGCGCGGCGCGCCACATTTTTCGTCATAACTTTTTTTCATCCTCAATCTTTTTCGAAAAAAACTAAACGGTTCTGAGTTTTTTTAATCGAAACAGCTATCAAACCATACATAGCTCAATGCTGAAAAAAAATTTTTTAAAAAGTTCGTTTGCGGTCCCTACATGAGAGAGGCGCCGAGAGATAAGGAGGGTGCAGAGAAGTCCCGCACTTTCAAAAGATACCTGAGCGGTGCTTTGTTGCAGCTGTACGAGACGTTTTGACGGCATTCGCTGGAGGATTCAACCAACTTGGTGAGTTGCGAGGGCTGGAAAGAAATATTTACTGAAGTCATTTCCATGGAAAACCTTGAAATCCCGGTAGCTTAAAATGAAAAGAGAATGATCGTGGAAGTCAGAAGATCTGGCGACTGTTTCCGGCTTCATATCATGTTGGACGATGGTTCTGAAGTCATTTGTTTTCCAGAAGACTGTGTGAGATGACTAACGTCCCATTGACGCAGAAAACGACGTTGGGCTCAGCGGAAGAAGATCCGTCGACGTCAAGTCTAGTGGGGCCATTCGGGAGTCCGTGGAAGTCGCGTGCTTCGGAGCAACTTCGAGGGAAGGTCACTACAATGTTACAACTTCTGACGGAAAAAAGGAAAAAATCTAACCAAACTGGCAGAATCGCCCGACAAAGCCGTGAGGGCATTTGCAGACGAACCCTTCATCGGCGAGTTTCTCGCAGTCGGCGCCGTTTTGACATCGGTAGCTCTGAGATTTCTCGCACGGAACCGCTGCTTTCCCCTTGGCTTCTGAAGGCCTTTTTCGTTTTACACCCGTATGACTATACCTTCTTGTGTAGCCGGGTGAGGAAAGAGAACCGCGTTCACTGGCTGAAGAAAAATTGGGACACTAAGAGAAGAAAAATCTTTCGACTTACCGATTTGTTCTCGTTCACCTTCTTACTTTCTTCATTCGTTTGCTGAAAGTTTTTTTTTGTTGATATATGTCAATCTTTTTTTTCTGTCCGCAGAGTGTTCTTAAAGAGGCGGCGGATGTGGTCATTGGGCGTGGTTAAACGCAATGGGGGCGCGGTTTATTGCAATAGGGGCGCGGTATTGAGAGACGATTTTTGTGCATTTACTGGATGGAAATATGGCGCTAGGTACGTTTTTCAAGGCTTTCTTAAACTTTTAGAACACCTTGGATGCTTTTAAACCGAAAAATAACCTATTAAAAAAGAAAAAACGGACGAAATCGCTTTTGCAAAACTATTTATCAACATCGAATGTCGTTTTAGATAGAATAAGTTGTATAAAACCTAGTAATTTGAAAAAAGCTATGGGCTTTTCTCAAAAAAAAAATCATTCTAAATATTTGGAACCAAAAGCATGAACCAAGCTTCTGTGAAAAAACTTATGCTTCAAAATGTCATTTTCGTCGAAATTTCGTGACCATCTCGGTCAAAAATTAACTCAAGTACCTCTTAAACGCATCAAGCACGGTTAAATTACGCAATAGTAAGTGGAACGAAACGAAAATCTGAAAAAATAAGCGAGAAAAAGAGGAAAATTAGATTTAAATTGAATAAAACGTTGAGTGGGTTGACACGCGCCGCACCGCGTTGCGTTAGAAGGAAATCGCGTTTTCGTCACTTTTTGACGCATTTTTTTGGCCTATGCTCCCCTTTTTTGAAACCCTGTGAGACATACGATTGACATAGGAAAATATCGAAGAAGAGAAACTGACGACGATAGGATCGGGATCAAACAAAGAGACGGCTTGTAAGTCAGAAACGAAGTCGTCGCCTTGGACACATGGTCGCAGTCGCGTTGCCAGAATCTACAAAAACCAGAGTAACAATTTTCTGTCCAGAATACCTTGGGATCTTTCTCGTACATCAGATGGATGACGTCATGATGGTCCACGTAGGTGTTTTTCAGGCAAGCCGTTATACCGACTTCCGAGGCACCTTCCGATGGCAGAGGCGCACCGAACTGCACCGTTTTGAAACTCAGGCGTCTTTTCAGAGTCACTTTCTAAAAAGGAAAGATTTAACCGGATATTGGTAAGAAGAAGGAATTTTTCCTTTCTTCCCTAAATCCATCTCTGATCAAAAACAAAAATAACAGAGTTCACGGCGTTTTTCGACGATGCCACGCCCACTCCCTCCGTAAAATGTCGTGTGTCATGTGCATGCACTGCGCCGCTTTCGCGCAGAGAAACTGCGTTTATGTAGAGAGATTTCGATTCGTCTTAAAGAACTCTGGCTATAAGACAGCCTGCGCCTTTAATATGCTCTGTTATTCACGCTCTTGGATCCGAAATCATGACGTCACGTGGGAACGATGGAGGTTTCGTCTCCGCCCACCCTGTTTTTGGTTTCGCATTTTCTTACACCAACAAAATCAGAAGGCATCTAACAGAACTAGTAACGAAAAAAAATATAAAGGTGGGAGCAGAACAGAACCTTTAAAAATTAGACAATAATTCGAAAAAATATTGGGGGTTGCTTTTTAAAAAGGTTCGGATCGTTCAGAACTATGACACCACTCCAAAAAAATCATTGGAAATAAGCGTTCTAGAACTGAAAAACAAAGCAAAAATCCTAATTCTTCTTTTGAACGCACCTGTTTCGTGCCATCGACTTCGAAAGTCAAAAAAGTAGAATCGAAGGATATGATGGTGCGGTGGAAGCTGAAATCGCGCAAATCGTTGCAAGACCTAAAAGTTTGAACCAACTCTTCCTGATCGGAGAAAGCAAAATTGAGCAGCGTCTCGTTGCCCAAGACGACGTTCCCTTTGGTGTCGACGACGTAGACCTTGAAGTGCTCCTCGGGTTCGGCGATTCCATGAATCAGGACTCCTTCTTTCGCTTCAGCACTTCCGAACTGAAACCTAGATCAGCTTCCGACGTTTCTCATGAGAACCTTGAAGTCCATGGCAATCATTTCAATCTCGCGGTCTTCAGGCCAGGGGATGAAAGCGACGAAACTGGAGTCTTCGTCGTCGCTGTTGCGGATTTTGGCCGTTCTCGCCGCTTCAAAAAAGGATGGTAAAGGGATCGCTACTGTTACTTACGTATACGGCAGTTGGGGCCAGTGAAAGAGGTCCCATAGCAGTTGCAAGTGGCGACTTCTTCCATAATGCAGGTACCCTTCAATTTTTCGTTTGAAAAATAACGTTTTTTTTTCCATTTTTTGAAAATTATCCTAACTCCTCTGATCGTATTCTCAACATAGAACATCAACAGCGAAAGTGCTAAGTTCTTAGGAATTTTATAGTGGTCCCTATAGGGGTTACAGGGAAGAAGAGCCCCTATAGGAACCGAAAAAGTGGTTACTATAGGGGTTAGAGGGAAAAAAAAACAACCGAAAAAGTGGTTACAATAGGGGTAAAATCGAGGTGGCCACTATAAGGGTAAAAACAAGATGGTCCCTATAGGGATTTAGGTTTTGACCTTTTAGCCCGTAAAGCCCAAGTGGTCCCTATAGGGGTCTATTTACTTAGTTTTTCGCATGTAAATGCTTACTTGCATAGAGCTCATAAAAATTATCGGCTAGCATGACCCCTATAGTATAGGCCCTATAGAGACCACGTTTGCAAGCTTTAGTGACCCTGAGATTGGTAAAGGGGTCTCTTGAGAGGACCCTTCTAGGGCCCATAAGGTTGCCCCTATTGGGGCCACTATGAAGTTTCTAAGAACATCATTTAAAGTAGTCCTGAAGACTAACAGAGTTGCAGTTCATGCTCTCGCAAGTCTGATCTGCCTCGTCCATCGGACATTCCTCGATGTCGCGATTCTCCACTTCGACGACGCCGGCTACGGGATCACCGCCGCCGACAGAAACGGCGATCAGGGAGACGCAGCCGACAATCGACCTGTCTAGAACAACGAAGTGAGTCAAAATCAAATGTGAAGAAACCTCCGCCGCCGAGGGTGACGACCAGAGTCGAGCCTCCCAGGTTCAGACTCCTGGAGAACTCGTAGTGAAGATCTGTTTGTGGCGTCATCCGTACCGTCAGCACCCCCGTCGTCGTATTGATGTTGATCGCCATGTTTTGATTGTTAAGGTCTAGACCAAGTTTGTCTCGCATCTCCAAAAATCTCACTGATTGGTTGGTTCCCGATAGGTTTGTTGAGAATGGTCGCTCCTGTGACGTCGAAGGCGTCCACTTGGAGATCTCCTGCCAGCACGCCAACTGTGACCTGAATGGATACGGATATTGAGACGGTTCATTTCTTATGCATTTACTTTTGCGATGAGAGCCCCATCATTCGAAATGAATCGGAGACTGAAGACCTGACCCACCGCGGTTCTCGCTTGAAGCTGAGCCGCCACCATAACCTCGTCCTCATTCTCTGTATTCATTTTTTTGTTTACTAGGAAGTCTAAAAATCGAGATAATAGAAAGTGAAATTCAATAGCTTTATGAAAATCCAACCGGAGAGCTCACAAAAAAAGTTCATGATACTCTTGGTTTCGAAATTCTGCCCAAATTGATCCGAGTACTTTGCGAGAATTTTTCGAATAATGAGGACTCAACGTTTCAGATGGTCTACTCAAACATCGTTTAGTATTTTTCAAAAACTAGAAATTTGTGCAGTTTGAGACTTGAAGAATCTCTTGTACATCAAATATTGTTCGCATTCAACTTCAGAGAACTTCAAAAAAAATTCTTCTCTTACGGGTTAGAAATACAAACCTGTATACACCATTTTTTCCAAGCATAAACATTTCTAACTAAGGTTCAATTTTTTTTTCGAACCTGTATTCTATGTGATATTTTCTATCTCAAATTTCCTACATATTCGAACTTTTTTTGGAGGTCTACCCCGCTGCATAACTATGACTGATTCTGCAAACAAAGAACAAGCTGTAAAAGTCACCCTTGACTTTCCAGGCGTCGGAAGTAAGATTGAGGAAAGACGAGGGAAACTTGAGTTGAACCCGTCGAGCGACGGACACGTTTTCTTCGCCAGGTTCTGGGAACGCCGACGCGCCCAGCAGCAGCGTCAGCAGCACCGCCACCCGCATCAACCTTGGCCTCTCGATCGGAAACCCTGAAGTGATATCTTCGATTTTACCAAAAGTGGTATTTGACGACAGATAACTTCTCAAAAGTTCCTTGGTCGTTTCCGAAGTCCCGTTAAGCGTGAAAAAGCATGCGAATAAATGAGATGAATAGTAAAAAAGTCCTTAGATTCTCGAGGATTTCGAGAACCTTCGAAAGCGATATTTGATATTTTCGAAAATTTCTATCGAAAGTCGATGACGAAGTTGCGACGCCTATCAATAGTGTTTACGCTCTGTTTTACGAGAGCTATCAATATTTCTCAAGCAATAAAGTTCAAAGTCTTCAGCGCCAAAAAATAGTTTAGGGAAAGCTTGACTATGTGAACAAGAAAAAAAAAATACTTCAGAAAAAATTAATCAGAAAAACTCTACAAAAAATTAAACCAAGTAAAATAATCGAATTGGAAAATTATAAGTTTTTGAAAAGAAAATAAAGTCTCAGCGGGTTTCTATCTTCAAATTTACTGCTTTAAACACTCAAAGTTTTCTTTCCTGCCAAAAAAAGCATAATCGAAACAACAATTTAGAGATAAAAAAAAGAGCGCGCGAAGTGTGGGGGCTCGCCGAGAACTGTGAGTCAGAACTATTGATAAGAAATTCAAACGACGCCGTGCATTGCGAATCGCCGTCATCGATTTATTCCTGGTGCCAGAGGTCGAATAGGAGGACGGGTACAGCGAGTCATTCAGAGAACTCAAACCTGCCTCACCAAATAGCTTCTAAGGCCTTTAGAGTTTCGGAAGTACGCGAAACGTATAGATGGCAGAGCCTCCCATCAAATTCATGACTTGAAAACGTACTGTGTTCATTTTATCAAACTGTTGAACAAACCTGCAGATCAACGGTTTAGAGTCTTTTTAGAAAAAAATTGTATCCCTAGTGGCGGGCCAAAAATGAAGAGCTAATTATGAAAAGTCGGATCTTCTACTCCCCCGGCGGCACGCTTCCGTCCGCTTCAACTTCGGACTTGAGAAATCTGTGTGCCGGTCGTTGTCGGTTCATGGTCATTGCATTATTCTCGAATTGGAGAATATTGGGCATTTTCCCGATTTGAGATGCGGATTTCGGCTGGTTCCATTGGTCGGAAAGAAACTTCGAAAAACAGTTCGGGTGGCGAAAAATGAAGAAGACCATAAAAGACTTATACTAAATTTCAACGTCCCGCGGACTTCGACTGAAATCTTCTCCGTTTGCGGAAAGCTTTAACTATGATTTAACTTTGAGAAAGATGAGAGCTAAGAAGGAACACAGGTTGAGGACTTCGAAACGGATGAAAACTCTTCGGTTAATCATATTTCACTAAAAATTTTTCAAGTAAATACTCAGGAAAAAGACGAAGAGTTTCTTAGCATCGCCGGCACTGATTTATATACACTTTTTTCTGTGTTAAGTCCATCCTTCTCGGTTGTTTTTGAATCTTTTCAATATCTTTTCCACACAGACACATCTAATTTTCGTCACGAAATGCATTACTTTTTATTCTCTCACTTTTCAGCCTAAAAAATAGCAGTTCCGTTGTCTGTTTTTTTGATTTCACAATAAGAAAATGCACTCATATTTTGTGCATACGTTTATTTATTTAGCAGAAACTTCAAAGCAATAAAATTTTTTGAAAATATCGATATGTGATATTGAGCTGACGTGCGCACACTAAAAACTTGGTCCTCGACGCGAAATTTGTGTTTATTTAAAAAGAAATGTTTACTCCTCTTTTAATCTGAATACTTTTAGCTTCTTTTTTGAAACGAGATGACAGCATTCGAAGAGTTTGGCGTAATTCCGCAACTTGGTGAAGCTGTCTCGCTACTTCATTGGGAGTGAGTGCTCAAATAGCATATTTTTCGATTCGTTTTTGTTTTAATTCGCAGACGGTTTTCAGGTTTCCCACTCCGATTCAGTCTGAAGCAATTCCAGCAATTCTCGGAGGTGGCGACGTTCTTATTGTAAGCTCGATTCTTTTAAGCTTTGTTCAATTGTTTCAAGGCGGCTGAAACGGGAAGTGGCAAGACTGGTGCTTTTTGTCTTCCTGTTGCCCAGGTTGTATGGGAAAGAAGAAAAGATGCTTTGGACCCTAAAGAGAAAAGTTTATTTTACATGGTACCTGTTGTAAAATAATTTTTTCCGAACGACATGTTGCCGAGAAGTTTGCTTTGAATATGGCGGATCGGGACGCCGGCCTTTCAATAGGCCCCGACGGGTTGTCCTGCGAAAGTCGCGTAGCCAAATCGTGGTTCGGCTCGCGGTGCCATGCAGGACTTCACACTAGAGGTTTTGCTGATTAATCACTAGTTTCACGCTTTCTTTCAGGAAAATACTACTACGAAGTGAAAATTGCTCGCGATGGTCTTTGCCGTATCGGCTGGTCTGCGCCTACGGCTTCTCTGAATATTGGTTCGATCTCTTTCTCTTCGGAGATATATTAAAATTCAGGAACTGACGACAAAAGTTTCGGCTTTGGAGGAACCGGAAAAAAGAGCAATTCGAGGAAGTTCGACGACTATGGTACTTCATTCACAACAAATGACGTCATCGGATGCTACCTCGATCTAGACAACCTGGAAATGTGGTGAGCACCTACTCTACTATCACGTGGATTAAAAAAGTGAGTCAGGTGGTCAAAAAATGGCGAAGAATTCCCGCGGGCGTACAATTTGCCAAAGGTCTTTGCCGATCCGTCGATGGCGTTGCATCCGGCAGTTCTTGTTCAAAACTCTTCCCTCAAAGTCAACTTTGGAGACTCGCCTTTTGATTTTCCTCCGAAGAAGGTTATTCTTCAGTGAAAAAATAAAATGCAGATGCATATTTCCAGGGATTTGTCGGCGTTTCATCGGCTTCGAAAGAATGCATCAATTGGTGGAAACCAGGTGTCGCGAGCTCAGAAGCCGCGGTAAGTCCTATTTTTGTTTGGAGAGTACTCTTCTCTTAGGATCAACGCTCACCACTGTGCGTGATTTTGGAACCCACACGAGAGCTGGTGGAACAGACCCACAACAACCTCATCACTTTCGCCAAGAAACTCGAAAACCCACCAGTCAGGTACAGGCTCACCAGGGTGCTGATGAGGGTGGCCCAGCCGTGCTAACACGGGGTCTCATGGGGTGCCCCGACCTCTAAAAAAAGTTGCGGTGCACCCCGCGTCGAACCCTCGGTGCACCCCGCAGTGTAACCAGGGGTGCCATATGCCTATTAAGGTACTTATTCCGTACACGACTTTGTTTCCATTCAAGGTGTGTCTCTGTGGCGGCGGGCGTGAACATGGCCAAGATGGTGGCGACGCTGAACGAAGGCGCTGACATCGTCACGGGAACGCCGTCGCGGATCGTCGACCTGGTCCAGTCGCGACAGCTTTCTCTTTCCGCTCTGCAGTTCCTGGTCATTGATGAAGCCGTCAGTTTCAACTTCCTCTCAAAATTTTGCGAAATTATTAGCATTCTGTACAAAAACTATTTTGAACTGATTATAGTACAGTACTTTCATATTTTTCTTATACAACTCATTTTAATTTTTACGAGCTGTTTTATTTGTGCTGATTTGATTGAAAAGTCTCCTCTCAGGACCAATTTCTAATGGACAAGGGTGGTGCGGCGAAGCTAATCGACACACTCTTCAATAATCTTCCTTTGCTTGCTTCTGATGGCTCACGTCGTCAAGTCATCGTGTGTTCAGCGACTCTGCATAACATGGAGATTGACAGATTTGCCGTGGGTCGCACTTGTGCTGACCAGAGGATTCAGTGGAGTTCAGGACCGTTACATGTCCTTCCCGCAGTGGATCGACCTCAAAGGGATGGACAGCGTCGCCGAGACCGTCCACCACGTCGTCTGCTACGTCGACGCCTTCTCCGATAAACAGTGGATCCGCATCAGACATCAGCCTAACCATCTCGAGGTTTTCAGATACATTTCATTTCTAACTAGGGAATCTGGCATATATAAATCTTTCGGTCTTTACCAAGACTCCCAGGGACATTCATCCATTTTTCGTTTTTGTGGAGAGTTTTGTAGTCGAAAAAAGGGAGAGGCTCAAAAAAGGCCCGAGAAAGGCAGCAAAAAGAGTCCCTTTATAGAGGCTTTGATTTTTTCTAGGATTTTAAAGGCTCAAGAAATGGTGAAAAAAGGGAAAGGTAGAAAAAATTGTAGCAAAAAAGAACCTCTTCCTGGAACCAAAAATGGTACCAAAAAGGGAACCTCTTCCTGGAACCAAAAATGGTACCAAAAAGGGAACCTCCCCCTCTAGCCAAAAATGGTACCAAAAAGGGAACCTCCCCCTGGAACCAAAAAGGGAACCTCCAACTGGAACCAAAAATATTACCAAAAAGGGAACCTCTCCCTGGAAAAGGAACCATTTCCAACTTTGCCTATGCAATTTCTTGATAACAACGGAATATTTTCAAGGACGATCACATCCACGACAAAGATGAAATCCGATGTGGAACTGACGAAAAGAATACATTGTCGCTTGGCACCAAAATTTTGAAAGGAGTCTACGTTTTGCAGGTTTTTTTGGAGCTTATTTTTTTGATGAATCGACTTGTTTGAATTAGGCCATCAAAGCGCTGGAAATGGACAAAGCGATGATTTTCTGCCGGACGAAGCAGCAGTGCGACCAGATGGAGGCATACATGAAGATGAACAGTGAGTCCTTACCTCGCTGTTCTTGAAATTCTCCTCTTGAGACGTGGACGCGATTTGCCTTCACGGTGATAGGTCGCCAGAGGAACGTTCAAAATCTCTTCACGCATTCAAGGTCCGTTTTCTTTTCTATCAATTGGAGAATGAGTCTAGGAACTCCAGAATGGTCCCTATAGGGCAAACTTAGAGGCCCTTGGAGAGCCTCTCTACGAACCACTTTGCCAACCCATATAGAGCCCTTAACGCTTGAAAAGTTGTTTTCCATAGGGAAAAAGCTAGTTGATATTTTTTATGAATTCTATGCAAAGAAGCATTTCCATGCGAAAAACTAAATAAATAAGCGTTTGAAAGACCCCTACAGAGACCATTTGAGATTTAGGAGCTAAAGAGTCAGACACTGAACCTCTATAGGGACCACCTTGATTTTACCTCTATGAGGACTACTTTTTCGGCCCCTATAGGGGTTGTTTATTTCTCTTAACCCTATAGGAATCACTCAGAAATTCCTAAGCTACCAACATTTCTTAAACCCCTTGCTTTGGTCGAGGCGGGGATCGAATTTGTGACCTTGTTTTCCATGAAAGATTTCGTTGCAGAACGATCAAGTCCGATTTTTGATTTGCACAGATGTTGCCGCTCGTGGAATCGATGTACACGGAGTTCCATTTGGTTTCTTTTTTTTCTCTCGCGATTCCAACTTTTTTTGATTTTCCAGTTATTAACGTCACTTTGCCTGATGAAAAGTCGATGTACGTTCATCGAATTGGCCGTGTTGGGCGAGCTGAACGGTTTTTACTTGTAATGATTGAGAAATTAACATGAAAACCCAGAATGGGCTTGTCCATTTCCCTGGTGTCGAGCCACGAAGAGAAGGTCTGGTTCCACAAGTGTCGTTCGCGCGGCGGCGTCGCCTGCAGCGACACCCGCGACTTGGCGAAGGGTGGCTGCTCGATTTGGTACAATGAGAAGAAGGTGAGTGCGACGCAAGAATGTGAACTGACGCGAGTGATGTCGCAGTTGCTCTCGGAGATCGAAGAACACCTGGGCGCGACGATTGCCGAGGTCGACACCGACTTCCGAGTCCCCGTCGATGAGTTCGACGGCAAGATCGTCTATGGATCACGGCGGACCGAAGGTGCGTGGGAGATCTTTTTTTTTTGTTCGAAAGCTCAACAGATGGCGTTCTTTTTCATTGGACGGCTGGTGCTATGAAACAAACACGCGAACAGCGTAAAAATCTGACACTTCTAAAAATAATACTGGCAAGCTTTTGCGGTCTATGTCAAGTTGGAATGGTCATGGAATATTGAATATAAACTTGAATTTTGCGGCTAGAACTTTTTTGACGTCCGTCTCCTACTATAAAAGTCTTCAGAAAAAGAAAAAAAAATCAGCTCGTGATTTTTGAGCTCTTCACTAGGAAAGATTTAGGGTATCTGAGCTCAAAAAAATAACAGTTTGAATTTTAGAGTTTAAAGCTCAAACTTTTGAGTCATTTTTCGTTCATTCGTAACTCGGGCAAAGTCGAAATAGGGAACAATGACCTCTGAAAGAGAGAGGCTCAAAAAAGGTTGCAGAAAGGCCGCAGAAAGGCAAAAAAAACCCTTCATCGAGCCTTCCATTGAGGCAGCAAAAAAGATGCATAAGAGCCGTTGAAATGGCGCAAAATGGCAACAAAAAAGAACCTTTGCCACCCTAAAAGGGACATTTTTATGGAGCCTTTTTCCATCCTTTTTGATCCTTTTCGGATCGAACTTCACTATGATTGTTTTTTGAATAAACTTCAAAGTTTTTCCTAGACTTTTTAGTTTAAAGTGTCACTGAGCTGAAATAGTCATTGACCCATTATGAAATCTTCTCGTCTTTGCTCTTAAACAATTGATTAGTTTTCTTTCTCTTCAAGTTTTTCCTCATTATAATAAATCTGACTCAAAAAATGTTCAAAGTGGACATGACACATGTTTAGGTGCAACATTCGCTGGCCACGCGCCAGAACTGGCAACGGCGGTCGCCCAACTCGCAGATCTCGAAACTTCAATGCAACTCGAGTACCTCCGGAATGTTTCTTCGCTGCATTCCGGGATGAAAGTCCTGTAGAGAGGTTCCTAGGAGACTCACCTTACAGGAATCTCTTTTCTAGTTTCTCCGAGTGATTTTTCTCTTGTTGATTTGTTTTTTTTTGCCAATAATTTTATTGTATTGGATCGTCAAATTCTTATATTTTACAGACCAAATCTAGAATGGAAGGCCTTCCCTCTTTATAAGAATCTTTCTTCGAGTAAAACTTAGAAAACTCTTCAATTTGTTCCATCTTTGCTTGACGGCAAAAGCTGAGTTTCAAATTTTATTCTCGAGTTTTCAAAAAAGGGAAGTGATCCTTCATTACTATGCGACCATGAGAAAGTAGAGCGTTTTCTAAAATTTCGACGATTCTTAAATTCTTCGTGATTGTAATTTATTGTAACTTACTATGGGTATTGTAATAAAGCGTTAAGTTTTCCTGGATTCTCAAAAAAGCTAAATGGATTCGAAGTTTTACCGTCAGGTAATCGTGGTTCTCGATGTCGTGGCAGAAAACGGCTCTCCACCGTGCTCCATGCTCTCCGCTCGTGGGCGGCCTATTTTAACAACTGATGAGTGTAAAGCTCCACCTCGGTTGGAGCAACCCGGCCTCAGCTCCCACACATACGGCATCTCTGCCAGCCGCCTCCCGCTTCTTTTTCTTCAACACCGTCGTCTCTTTTGTTTAGTCCTTCAAACTGAGTCGAATCATGACTTTTTCGTGAAGATTGCCTTGAAATTGTACTTCCATCGAGAAGATGAAGCCAAGTTGGCGTTGGAGACACCGGCGCGACTACCCCCAGTACCATCTTGCCTTTATCTAGCTTTTCTAACTTCAAAAATAAAATTTATGGTTCTGAATTGACGGCATCTGCGTCAATTTTCTAGCTAGGTTTGTATTTGGTCCCCTTGAAAAAATATTTTTTGATAAGCGAAATAGAAAATTTTTTCTAATGAAGGTGCTTTTTTTCTCAAATGTTTGTTAGTGCGCGACGATTCCTCTATGCACAGGGTTTTTATTTTTTTTAAGCCTCTATTAGTTTCGATTCATCTAATAATAACGTCTATTAAGTTCCGAGAATCATCAAGTCTCAATAAAGTGTGAGAACTTCGGTTCATTTTTCATAATTGACTTTTTCTTCACGTAAGTAGTTGCATAAATAGGCTAGTCCAGAGTTTCCTTTTTTCTGTTCAATTTTAAATCAACTTAAAACTTTTTTAGATTTTAAAATCTTAAATCTCGACTCTGAGAGCATTCCAGAAAGTTACAACACAGAAAAGCCATTTCCCCGGAAATTTTTCAGCGCTTTTTCTGCATCATCGTTCACTTTCATTGGCCGATTTCCCTTCTTTTGCTCAATATGCTGAACTTTCGTCGCCTTTTTTTTTGACGAATTTTCCAAATGACAGTGTATTTTCATTGCATGTCACTTCGAAAAAAAAAAACCTCAAATTGGTATCAGAAAAATTTTCGCTATCATTTTTTTTAGTTCACTAAGTTCTTCTCTGTCGATTTCAGCGTCTACTCTTTCTCTCACAAATTTTTGAGTCGTTAAAAATATATTTTTTATCTTTTTCTGAACTTTCCCCTCGTGAATAAGATCAAACTTTTTCGCCGGAAAAGGAGGAATATATGAAAAACCGTTTCGAAACGAAAGTAAATGAAGTGTTACAATGTAGAGTAAAAAAAAGAAGCTATTCCCTACGGCTCTCGGCTCCTCTTTCCACCTGTTTTCTTCGAAACCAACGGCTCACGCGTCCTCCTCTCACTTTACTGCAGAACAAACGATTTGATTGCAGGATGCCGCCGACCGAAGACACCCAGCAACAAGGTGAGGCTCTCCCCTTCTCGCCTACCGTAGCCTTTCTCGAGATAAAAAAAGTGTTGGAAGAAGTTGAACGGAGTTACTCTATGGGATGGACCAGCATTGATATGGATATATAGTTTTCACGACTGGCTTGAGCAATCGAAAAAGGGTCCTGACACGATAATAAACGAGAGAGTGTCTGGTTGGTGGAGAGCGCAGACATTCCCATTACCGCACTGACTTTGGCAGCACTTGTAATGCGACCTAGTGATTGTATTCCACTACTAAGAAGAGACTAATTCTCTGCTGACTTCAGCCATCGAAAAAGGGTCCTGACACGATAATGAACGAAATAGTGTCTGAAAGGTAGAGAGCGCAGGCATTCCCATCATTGGAAAAACTTTGACAGCATTTGTGATTTTATTCCGCCACTAAGAAGCTCATAGCTCATTCTCAGCTAGCTTGAGCCATCCAAAAAATGTTCCTGACACGATAATAAAAGAGTGCCTGGCAGGTGGAGAGCCCAGACAGGACATACCTCCAAAGCTAGCCGTGAATGTCCGTTTTTAGCCTCTTGAATCTCTGCGCCCTCCTCGTCTCTCGACGACCCTCTCTTGTTGACGCGCTGTTCCAATGTTTTTCTGACCTCGCCGGTTAGGGAACAGAGAGACGAGGACACGCGAAAACTGTCAAGTCGCGGCGAACGGACTTATATAGCTGTTTACCGTTTCAAATTCAACTCGGACGTGATCTATAAGGTCCTTTGAAAAGTTTGAATAAGTGATCTTCATCAGGGTCGAGCTCGCAAACTAACTTGATCGACAAATAAATTATTCAATAATTTGAGTTTCTCGAAGGGTCAGCGTTTCTCATAGCAAAAAAACTTATAATTGTATTGTTTTTTTATGAATTTTTCTCTGTCAAAACGGGTCAGGAAAAAAATATTGATCTTAATTTTTTTCTCAATTTTTTTGAAAAATTGCTTTTTCAGCTCAAACTTATAATGGAAGAAGTTCTTAAAGAGTTTTTAAACCGATACGATTTTCGTTGTGGGTTTTTAAAGCCTCTTTGACTATTTTTATATCATCGAACTTTTACTGATAGTATTTCAAGTCGTGTAAGGCTGAGCGAGGGTTCTGGAAAATATAGAACTTTCCAAAAAAGGAAAGCTCTGATTTCAAACTGAAAATCAGAACGCGACCTCTATTTACGGCTGTCGGATTGTGACACTTTTGCGAGCCTATTATGCACGAGGGGGGAAAATCAAACGGCGCAAAGGTTAATAGGGAGGAAAAGCTCGGGAAGTATTGCTAGTGCGCGGCTCCTCCTTCCTTCGGTAAACACGATTGTCGATCGTTTCAGCTCCTCACGTTTTTCCATTCCTCCTCACTCAGCGCCATCAACAGTCCGAACCGTCGGAGATCCACTCAAGACGATTCTCATCGGATCGGATCGGAACCGATCGGAACGCTTCTCGGCGCCTCCAACATTACTCTTGCCTCCTGTTTCCGGTTTCCCTGAAACCGCGCGGCGCGTTCTGCCAACAAGCGACTTCGCTAAGCACTTGACCCAACGTGTCACGCCCCTCAAAAACTTCTGTCGACGCCATCCGAGTCTGCCGTCATGCTCAGCTACACCGCGTCGTCCACCAACTTTGCCTCCTCGTCTTCCAAGTATGCGATACGCTCGCCGTCATCGAGCTCGCCCCACCAGCCGTTCCCGCAGCACTTCTACCCGGCTCCCTTCTCGGCTGACGAGACGTCGAAGCTGTCGCTGAGCCCACGGCAGGCCGAAGCGATCGAACGACAACGACAGCCGCGGCAACACCACATCCCGATCATTCGCGCCGATGACGTGCCGCTGGAGAACGCCGAGACGAAGGCGGCGGTCCCCAACAGCTACCGCGACTTCGTGGCCGCGCCACGCTCTCCTCGCGGCTTCGGCGACTATCCGGAGCTGACAGGACAGCCTACGCGGCAGCCAGCCGCTGTGCCCATCCACGTGGAGAGCGCTAACCAAAACTTGCCAAGTGTTGTGAGCCCTCACCCTGTTTACGTCTACGAAGGTGAAATATCTCAAGACTTGACTTTTCGACGAACAAGCAGAACACTTTTTCGTGTTTTTGAAGTTAAGGAAGATGGGAAAGTCAGATTATCAGTAACGTTAACACGGGAAACAAAAAAAGTATAAAGCTCATGGAAAATGATGATTAGCTGAACGTCATCAGAAAACTGAGAGGCTTTGAAAAAGTGCATTTTATATCAAGAATTCGTTTCAGTTTGGCTGGAAAATCATTCTAAAAAGGTGAAATTTCCCAAAAAGCTACTTCCCTTGTAAGTTATTTTCAGAAAAAAATCGAGTAGGACTTTAAAAATCAAACTAGACACTGCAAGTTTCAGAAGAGCAGCCAAATGCCACGATGGAGACCAAGGTCACCGGGCAGGGCCAGCCGAAGCGCGTCGGCCGCTGGAGTCTCGCCCAACTTCGCCAGACTGACGGTCCGTTTCCCCGTTCCTTTATTCAGCAAACCTGCCATTGCAGGTATTATTCCGAGCCAGGCCGGATGGAACAAGGGAGACTCGCAGAAGTTGATGACCAACTTCGGTACCCCAAGAAACACATCGACACGAGTCCGCGCCGAGAACTTGCAGGTGGAAAATTGATAAAACTGCCTGATCAACATCAGTTTCCAGGAGCTTCCGGAGGACATCGCCCAGCGTACGCACGGCGAAGTCCGACTTCAATCTGGAACCAACAAGTATGCCTCGCAACGCGGAATGACTGGCTTCGGTACTGGCCGCGACGTCTGCCGTGAAGGAAAGCACGTCTCTCAGAATCCCGCCGATCTGCAGGCTAGTTCTTTTTCTATATTCAATGTGTGATTGAACATGAAACAACCCGGTTTGATATAACTTGATTTTAGCAACAAAAAAAAAATGAAAGATAGGAATTTTTGAAATTTTTGAGTTTTCTTAAGATTTTTTTCGTTGGTACTGAAGAAAAACGTATGTAGAGTTAGCTATTTCCGCAAATCTAGAAGCATTAAACAATTTTTTTTTAAGAAAGGTTTTTGAAAAACTACTTTTATCGTCTACTACTATCACTTTGATTTTTTTATAAATAATGATTATAACATGTAGTATGCGAAAACAGAAAAGAAAAAAACGAAAAATTATTAAGAATAAGAGGAGAAAAAAACATATTTAGAACTAATCGAAAAAGCAAAACTTTTTTTGCCCTGAAAATTTTGTTATTTTTTTTCTCATGCAATCTGCGCGCACCCTTATTTGCAAGGGCGGCATGGTTTCATGAGCCAAAGTAGAAGGTTTTACGAGCTGTAATTCCACTTCACCATCACTTTCGTCTCAGTGACTGCACAACTTCAGCCTACAGTGCTTTTGAATCCCATGTATAAGTAATTTCTCCGACTTTTATTCACCTTTTTTTTTTTAAATTTTTTCGGCGACCTTGATTTTTCGATTTTATGGTTTTATTTTTTTTTGAAAAATTGAAAAACTCTTATAAATGTGTGAGAAAAAAACGTTGTACTACTTGTTAGAAGTCTACTACAGACTAATAATAGAACACGTTCTTTTTTAAGTGCAAAAAAAAATGAATCGATGCGTTTCGAGGAAGATTTCCCTCTCCGTAGGTACACATTTTCCGTGTCTGTTGGTTTTGTTTCTCTTTGCTGCTCCCACGCGGAACGGAAAAAGCCTGGCAACAACAGAGGTGAAAGAAAGAAGTTGAGAAGAAGCGCCTCTTAATTCTTGGCTGCTCTTGTTTGCATCGCCGATTATTAGTGCCTCAAGAATTTGCACGCAAAAGAAACGTCTTTAACCAGTGATCAAAACGGAGAACGCCCGTCGAAGCGGATTACCAATCTTGTTCCTCCCTTTTTTTGAGCCTTCTTTTTGTACCGAAAAAAAAAGAAACAGGGAAGAAGGAAGCTTTTTAGGAATTCCAGGGTATTTCCCATAGGGGTAAGGGGGTAAACAGTGGAGTGGTCCCTATAGGAGTAGAATCGAGGTAATTATTATAATTTTAAAAAAAGGTGGTCCCTATAGGGTTTTACTTAGGAATTCCCGAGTGGTCCCTATAGGGGTTAGGGGAGACAACAGCCTTTATAAGGGCCGAAAAAGTGGTCCCTATAGGGGTAAAATCAACGTGGTTCCTATAGGGGCTCAGGGTCTGACCCCTTAACCTCTAAAGCTCAAGTGGTCCCTTTAGGGGCCTTTAAAATTCATTTAGTTTTTCACATGGAAATGCTTCTACCCATCGTAAAAATATCGACCTATAGGGGACACTAACAAAAACCTCTATAAGGATCACCTTTGCTAGATTTAGTGGCCTCTATAGGGGTTGATAAAGTGGTCCCTAGAGCGGACCCTCCAAGGTCTTCAAAGTTTTCCCCTATAGGGACCACTCTGGAGATCTTAACTAGGTTATTCCGCGGTCGAGAAGATTAAATATGGGGACATTCTCTAAAAATATTATATTTTTGATTAACATATCGGTCTGCACTTCATGAAGAATTAAAATTCCGATTTTTTCGATAAAAAAACAAAATTGAGGCAGTGGAGGTCAATGCTTGGCGTTACTTCAAAATCACACATTTGAAGACAAGAAAACAAGATTTCAGGATCTGCCAGAGGAGAAAATCCGGCTGTCGGAAGGAATCGTCCGTCTCCAATCTGGTACCAACAAGTATGACTCGCAGAAGGTCGGTTCCACGATCTGGCAAGGCTCATCTCATCTTCCAGGGTATGACCGGCTTCGGTACCGGCCGTCGTGAGACAACCAAGATGGTCGACTCCAAGCATCCGGAGTACGATCACGAGAAGCCTGACCAGTCTGAGATTCCGCTCCAGTCCGGAACCAACAAGTTCGCTTCGCAGAAGGTTTTTCTTTTCTTCATTCGATAGGTTCACAGTTAAACAATTGAAACTTTTATATACGGATCGAAGATTTTTTAGACATTTTAGTGAACATTTCAAACATTGAATTCAGTGGAAAATATAACTGAACAGTTTTTTTTTTCCTTTTTTTCGGCTCCCTCTTTCCGTGAAAAATAATATTGAAGCGTTTCGAATGAGTATGCTATTCGGGCAAAGTCGGAATGGTGGATAATGGCTGCTAAGAGGCTCAAAAAAAAGCCGCAGAAAGGTTTTAAAAGGCAGCAAAAAGGCCCCAAAAAGAGCCTAGGATTTTAAAGGCTCAAGGAATGGTCGAAAAAGGGAGAGGCAGCAAAAATGGTTCATAAAGGCCGATGAAATGGTGCAAAAAGGCAGCAAAACAGGAAACTTTTTTACCCTGTAAGGAACATTTCTATGGACCCTTTTTGCAGCCTTTCCGACTTTGCCTATGTTCCGAAATTGCGAACTGATTCCAGGAGCCTCGAAAGTAAAACTGCCAAATGCAGTGGATGAAAAATCGTCTTCATTTTCTTTGTTAAGCCAAATTATTAATCTTGATCCTTTTTCACACAAGATAGATTCGAGTTATAAATGTGATTAACTGTAATTCCAGGGAATGATGGGCTTCGGTACGGCTCGTCGTGAAACGACCAAGATGGTCGACACGACTCACCCCGAGTACAGCCACGAGTCCTCGATCGACCAGACAACCATTCCTTCGCAGATGGGTTCCAACAAGTACGCGTCGCAGAAGGGCATGACCGGCTTCGGACAGCCTCGCTGGGAGGTTTATTGGAGTTTCTCCTACCTTTCAGTCCCAAAACCTTTAGGTCCTCGATCCCTCAATCTCGTGGCAGAACCGCAAGTCTCAAGGAATGGTTCGACTCCAGTCTGGAACCAACAGATTCGCTTCTCAAGCTGTTCGTGTTGTCCTTTGTTTGCAATTCAACAGTCGCTGAACTTCAGGGAATGATCGGATTCGGTACTGTCAGAAACACAACTTTCGAAGCCGAAGGTGGTGAGCTCCCATACGAAGCCATGAAGGTTTGTTGGCCAGCTGTTTTGGAGCATCTACATCCATTTTCAGGTCTCAGAGACGATCATCCCCAGCCAAGCCGGTTGGAACAAGGGAGACTCGCAAAAGGTGAATTTCATGGCCTTTTTATTCACGACATGTGTTTTCAGAGGATGACATCGTTCGGAGCACCTCGAGACGTCAAGGGAAAGCACTTGAAGAGAATCTGGGAGCTCGAGTATCCAGAAGAGGCCGAGGTTTGTCAAGACTCTAGAAACGTCTGAATACGATTTTCAGGTTTCGCTCGACCGTCTCTAAGCCCTTTTCCACCGTCCCGATGTTACCTGTTCATACGCCGCCAAAAAAAAGTCTTCGCTGTTCCGATTTCCGTTTCTCTCCGAGCATCTTCAAGTTTTTTGTGCCACCTTCGGCCGGGGGCAACGCTTGGCACAAGAAAACGCCCTTTCTCCATCCGATAACTGCTTTTTAGCTATAATAAAAACCTTTAAATTCCAGTTTATGTTGTTTTTTGTGACATATTATGCCTGAAAATTTTCAGCAATTTTCAAAGAAGCGAAAAAACAGATTTCTCTCTTCGAAAGGTGATCCCGACTAGAGAAAATAGGGCCGCGGAGGTGTGTTTATCCAACGCAGAAATTCACACTGGCCAAAACCGCAAACAGAAAAACCCAAGCAAACTTTTTACTTGGACTAATTGGATAAGTGTGCGCCGCGTTCTCTCGAGAAGTAGATTCGGATAAATCTCTTCAACGGCCATTCTCTCCGTCTCTTTACCCGAGGAAAGATTGGAGAGTTCAAAAAAAAAATGACAACAACAACTCGAAACGAATTCAATCGGATCATTTGTTTTGTTGTTTAATTCATATATGTAATTAACTAGGCGGTGAAAAAAAAAACTTTAAAAGATATAACGAACAACCGCCTTTGGCGAACTAGAAGTCCAAACGTGTAGTTGATCAAGTTAAAAGCATGGTCTTACGGTCCTTCTACGCGTAGTCCATTCAATTGCGCCTTGAGGAACTCAAAATGTAGCGAATGTTGTAGCTGGAGCCAGGAGACCGTGCTCTAGGTGGAAACCTCGAAATGAGAGCAACCTCTTCGAGTCAGGACTTTACACGGAATTTTTGAAAGAATAAGAAATTCCATTCTTTCTTAACCTTCTCAGTAATGTAACTGAAATAATTGAATGAAAAACTTGAGGGATAACGTCGTCATAAAATATTTGTTATCAAAGCAGACTTTATTTCGATAATCAGTCATCTAACTTTTTTTCTTTCAATAGCTCCAAATTCGAAGGATTAGATTTTTGAACCATGAAAAAAAAAAAAAAAAGCCCATTTTCGGATTCAAAAACGCTCTTTTTTTATAGTAGTTCACGTCTATGCATTTTTAATTATGACTTTAAAATTTATCACACCCTGGAAAAAAAAAGTAACTTTTTTCAAAAAAGCCTGTCAAAAAGAATTCGAAAATTACGTAAGTGAGAGAAATCTTTCGCAACTGAGGCTTATGAAAAAAAAGGCTGTTTAAACAAACTTTATTTATTCTCATTTATGTGCTCTCAAAAGTTTCCTAATTGAGGGCATGTATAATTCGAAAAACTCAAATGTGAACAATAACTTAATTCTACTCAATAAATTATTGCAGTATATTGGTTAAAAAATATTGGTATTTACTCTGGAAAACAAAAGAGAAGAAAAATCGTCAACTTTCTCCTCTATTATTCTGGATTATCTTCAAAACGTTTCTTTTTCTCCTTCCGCTGCTTTATCGCTAAACCATCCCGCTGTCGCGGCAAGTCCTTGATTGAATCCAAAAAAAAAATTTAGATCGGAGAAACTTTAGCATAATGCAATATTTGTATGAGCAATTTTCATGGTCTACCATTTTTTTTCGCCAATCAAAGATAGATTTTCCGTTGAGCCGAGCATCAGAGAGCTTAATCGATTTCACGTCAACTTTGTCAGCTCGTCTCTGATCGCTGGTTTCGAGTGTTTGCTCTCGCGCAACTTACAGCTCTAACCGGTTGTAATTTTGCGAGTAACGCATTTAGATAATAACCGTAATGGTCAGCAGAGCACTTCATCTAGAGTTGGAGAACGCATTTTCAGAGAATGAATATGGCTTGAGAAAAAAAAACTTTTTTTTGCGGTTCCTGGCATTCATGTGCTCATTCAACTTTTTGTTAAAATTTTTTTTTTCTGGAAAATCAGGTTCCAGCAGTTTTTAGAAGGACTTGTCGAGCCCAACCGAGAAATAATATTGTCGCCGAATTTTCAAAATCTTGGCAAAGGAAAATATCTGAGAACTTTTTTTAAGGAACTTTAGAGAGGACCCTATAGCGGTTACAGTCCCCATAGGGGCCGAAAAAGTGGTCTCTATAGGGGTAAAATCAAGGTGATCCTTATAGGGGTTGGTAAAGTGGTCCCTAGAGGAAACCCTCGAAGGGCCTTAAGGTTGCCCCTATAGGTTCCACTCAGGAGTTTTTAGGTTGCGCAATCACTCTTTTTTTAAATAGATATACAAAAAAATGGAGAGTTAGAACCTCGATTTAAAATAGAGAAGCCTCTCTTTTTTGTTTTCCGTGTGAGAAATATTTGAAAAAAAAACAACAGGCTATCATTTCGAAATAGTGCCAACCAATATTTTTCCCAGAGACGTTACACCAACGTCGATCCCACCAACTGCTGTTTTTTTTCTCGGCTTTACACCGATTGTCGTCAAACGCCAACAAAAAGCATTAGAAATGACCTTTGGTGAATTCTGCCGCCCACCTGAACGGCTTTCGAGCTTTCGTCACACCTGAAAACCATTTTAAATAGGTTTTTATAAAGATGAAACGGAAGACACTGCAAAAAAAAAGAAAGTTTTCTTATTTCTCTGAACTCGCGTTCTGCAGAAGACATTTTGTTTGAACAACGGTTACTTGGGTTTAGATGTTTCATCACTTTCGTTCATCTCTCACTGTGATTCGAGTCTCAATTCAAAGAAATTTTTCAATAAAAAAATAAAGGTTTCAAAAATTCACTTGAAGTTTGATCCAACTATATTTCGTGTCTAATCATGCATCACATGGAATACTTATTTTTAATTCGTCGGACAAAACGAAAATTGATTCGAAACGCAAAAATTGCTCGAAAATAAAAATCAGTACTGTTTTGGAGCAACTTTGGCGCGCCGATGAACGTTGTTCGAACACGATTTTTCGTTTTGAAGTTAAAAATATGCCCCAATGAGGAAAATAATCGAAAGAGGTAAGAAATGGGAAAAAAAAAAGTAACTCATACTCGCGTTATTTTGCTCAAAAAGAGCATAAGAAAAACGAAACTTTAAGCCGTTCAATGGCAGAAAGTGTATTAACTCTTTTTTTGAACACAATTATTCAATCTTTGTTTGAAATTTCTGTTTACGAGCACTTGCAGTGATCATTTTAATCTTTCATCTACTTTTGTGATGAGTTATTGTCTTTTTTTTTGAGATTTGATTGAAGTTAAACTATTCAATAAGGTATTTTGCACAGTTTTCACATGTTCCTTCTGGTACTCATCTCGATTGATACAATTTTCGAAGTTTCGCGATGCCCTGCGGCAGATGAATCACGTCGGCAGGTGGGCGAAGATCGGAGGAGCCGGTCGGAAAGCCACGCCCAGCCACTCGTCTCAGGCTCCGCCGCGCGATTACCTCTGTAGCCATTCTCCGCACATCCCGCCGTCTACCATGTCTGCAACTCCAGGTTGGCTTCAATTTTTTCATTCATATAGCTTTGAAAATTCTCCGACGTGATATAATGAACCACCATTCAAAACAAGAAGTCGGCGAATGAGAAAAAAAAAAGAAAACTGGTTGCGATTGGGAAGTAAGGCCGTGTTCAAAGTAGTTTTCGCGAAATGCAAAATCATCTCTGACTCTCCAAATTTAAGTTATCTCTTTATTTTTCTAACGGCTATTTTGCATTTCGCGGAATCACTTTGAACAGCATAATAAAGGAAAAAGTTCAAAGAAACTAATGGCGTGTTCATCGGACAGAACGAAAATTGCTCCAAAACAAAAATTAGTACTGTTTTGGAGCAACTTTGGCGCGCCGATGAACACGATTATTCGTTTTGCAGCATGTTCCGTTTCTCCGATGAACACGCCATAAGGAATTCCGGGAAAAATGAAAAAAAGTTCTGAGCTTAAATTCTGAAGTGCCTGCAACCAAAACGTTTTCTTGGCTTAATTTTACTAAAACAAATTGAATCATATATTTCGAGTGGAAACTTTCAGCAAGTTGCAAGAAAAAAAACATTGAAATTATCATCAAATGTTCAAATTACAAATCTCAGAAGCCGGATTGAAAATCGCAGCCGTCGAAGTTCCCAGCAACGAGTCCTTGGAAAGACGCACCCGCGATGGTTCGTTTCTTTTCCACGTTTATTTGAGTTTTTTTTTCCTAATCTAAAAAATGTTTTGCATTCCGAAATTAAAATTAATGCCGTTTCAAAATCGAATCTTGATCCCCGAAGTTCGCGAAAGTTAAACTAGCCGTCGAAGAGTGAAACAGGTGACTAGTTTTTGGCGAGTCTGAGATTTTATGCGCCATTTTTGCTGCCTCTCCCTTTTTCCATCATTTCTTGAACCTTTAAAATCTCAGAAAAATGCAAGGCTCGATAAAGATACCCTTTTCGCTGCCTTTTTGCCCCCTTTCTGTATCCTTTTACGAGCCTCTCCTTCTAGCGGCCATTATCCACCAATCCGACTTTGCCCGGGCCAAAGACCGATAGGACGAGTCGGTCATGGCACAAGCCTTTTCTTCACTGTTTAAATATATTTTCATTGAGTTCTTTTTGGATCATTCCTATTTTATTAACACTTCATAACCTTCCTTTTTTTCGAAAAATGCATAACTTCAATTTTTTTGAGAGAAATTAAAAACATAGCAGACTTAACTTTTCTAGGCTTTCAGATTTTGGGCGTTAATCCAGTTCCAATACGATTTTTCTTGCTTGAATCTCAAGATTTTTTCTGACGATATAAGATTATTACTGTCAAGGGTCTCCTTTATTTTTTCTTATCTGCAGAACATTTTTTTTTCTTCTTTTTTGATATAAAGTCCATTTTCTTTTTGAAAAGGGCATTTTAAAAACTGGCTCGAGTAAGGTCGTCTTTTTTCAACAGAAACGTTTCTTTTTCATGTCCTTCTTCATTATTTTGCTTCTGAAAATGCAGTGCTTTCGGTCTATTTCCTTAAAAATGACTATGATTTAGGAAAATGGACACTGAGACAGTTGCGCCAGACTGACGCCATCGTACCACTGCAGAGCGGAACGAATCAGTTCGACAGCCAACGGGTTAGATTTTTATTCCTCAGTTTTCACTCGGAAATATCGAGAGCGCTTATGTTGTGCACCAAAGAGTCAAACGAACGGGATTGACGCTTTTTTCCTGAGTTTGTACTCTTCCCTCCGTACGCACTTGAAGAGAGATCTCGTGGAGTTGATCCACAACTGGTTGTCCTCCGATCGATATGTTTGTGGGGAAGATCTACAGGGCAAGACGGGCTTTGGGATGCCGAGGAACACCCAGACAAAAGTCGAGTTTGCCGATGAGGACAAGCAATGGTCGATCGAGGAGCAGAAGCATCTTTCCGACGCCATCGTGAGACTGCAGTCCGGCACCAACCAGTACGAGAGCCAAAAGGTCTTCTGCTTCTCCTCCTTCGTCCTGCAACAAAGAAAAGCTCTCTTGCATGTGCTCTGCTGTCTCAGGACTGTGCGCGTGTCGGTCTGAATTGTGGAATATTGAATTTTAGTTTACGTTTTTCATTTGGTAGAGTTGGTAAAAATGGTCAAAAAAAAGTAATAAAATTCCTAAAGTACGTTAACTCAAAGGTTAAGGGAAAACAAATTTTTATAATACTCTTTCGAATTTTTATATAGACGATTCACGGCTAGCTTGGGACGCAAAAAGGCGTAGCCTGTCTGCACTCTCCACCAACCAGGGAACTGTCTCGTCTTTTTTTCGTGGCAGGACCCTTTTTCTCGATGGCTCAAGCCAGCCGTGAATCAGCTATAAAAGAACATTTTTTTGTTTCACAATATCACCATTCTCTACAGTTTCATTATAGGCTGTTACGGTAGCTCAAAAAAAAAAATATTTATTTTCGCCCGGTTTCCCAGGGATGCCCGCCATCCAGCTCCAACGCGGGGTGCACAAAAAACATCAACGAAAATTTGACTTTTTTTAGGGTTCACTATGGGTTACATCCTCATTTTCGTCAGAATAATACTATTAATTCAAGGCTATAGATATAAAATCTGATCAAACGATAACCCGAACATGAGAGATCGTTCGGAAGGAAAAAAATTTTATTAAAAAAATTTTCCTTTCCGAAGCACTGTCAGAGCTCACAGGCATTCGTACAGTTCTGCGCAAGCTGCATGAAAGAATCCTTCTGGAAAACCTTGAAAAATGCTCTCAAGCTGTTGAGAAAGGAGAAATGACCTTTTTTGTTACTTTTATCTGTCTTTCGCATGGAGTGTGTTCGTCTCTTTCAAATGTTGCAAGCACCACGTCGCTACAGGGCAAGACGGGCTTCGGAATGCCGAGGAACACCCAGACAAAGGTCGAGTTCGCCGATCAAGACAAGCAATGGTCGATCGAGGAGCAGAAGCATCTCTCCGACGCCATCGTGAGACTGCAGTCCGGCACCAACCAGTACGAGAGCCAGAAGGTCGGATCCTGATGCCCACTCAGTCGCATTTTCAGTCTTGATATGTGCTTTTTTGCGTGCTTTTATTCAATAATTCAACGTGAGCTGCCAGGGCAAGACGGGCTTCGGAATGCCGCGGAACACGCAGACCAAGGTGGACTTCTCAGACGGCGACAAGCGCTGGACGGTCGCCGACCAACATCCCTCTTCCGACGGCATCGTTCGTCTCCAGTCGGGCACCAACCAGTACGAGAGTCAGAAGGTCCCGTCTTTGTCTTTGTCGCTTTACCCAACATGTCTCCGTCCTTGTCGCGTCGTAGAAATATTCTAAATGATTTTTAAAAATCATTTAAATTTTTCTAAAAAGGGGCAAGCAGAAAGCCAAGAATTTCATTACATACTTTGATGCCCTCAAATCGGATTTCTTTTCGGGCTTTCTCATTATTTTCAAATGTGACCTCGCGGGTGGGAGTTGCAGACCAGTTAGACTGTTCAAAGTTTCGACTAAACAATCCTATAAGGTCGAAAATGCAACGAGGGAAGAAATAATAACAGTGGAAGTAAATTTATGAACATCCCCAAAAGTTTTTTTGCGTGACTCACAAGGAAAGTCATTTTACCTTGCGGTTGGAAATTTCCTGAAAATCGGTCAGAACTTTTCTCAGAGTACCTTATGAAACCCTCAGGCAGCTTAAACTTACTAGTTTTTGAGGAATGAGGACTCAAAGTCGAAGGAGACGTTTAAAATCCATTTTTCAGGAAATTTTAGATTTTGGCTCATTGAGACTTTCAAGACCCTGACTTGGTACTTCAAGGGATATTGTGACAAATTTCAAGAAAATCTCGACCGAAAAGTAAAGTGGCCTCCCTTGTCAGTATCGTAATACTCGGAGTTCCTAGACGATTATCTACAGATTCCAAAAACTCAGGATGGTATATCGCTGATTTTCAATATTGGATTATAGATATATTTCCAAAATTTCCGATAGTTGGAGTAGCGTAATCAGCGGGAACATATACTTAAAATTGATCAATTGAAGCGACAAGAGTCTTGAATTGCAGGGAATGACGTCGTTCGGAGCACCGCGAGACGTCAAGGGAAAGCACTTGAAGAGAATCTGGGAGCTGGAGTTCCCAGAAGAAGCGCTCGAGTCGCAGCCAGTCAACGGCAACCCCCAGTGAGCCTCGTCTTGGCCTCTCCTGTTTGTACGTTCGCCTTCTAGTCACTTTCGAGTCTCCGCTTCTTCCTCCTACGAGTAATTTCCCATTTACTTTTTGCGCAATCTTCATTTAAAATCTCCCCCTTACTTTTCCTATCTTTCATTTTTGTCTTCAATAAATCTCTTTTTCTTGACTATGTAAAAACATATCATCGTTCGATTCGACTTCTCCACATAATACTTGACTTTTTAAAAATGATGAGCGTAGGTTTTTTTCTTTTTATAGTCTTGGAAGGCTTCAAATTGCTCTCTCAGACCCGCCAAGGAGTTCTCCAAGTTCCATTAACTCGAAAATGCGCGGTTCCTCTCGACTAAGGGCAATAATATTCCAGCAATATGACGTGAGGACAGAAAATAAAGCAAGACTAACCTTCTCGAGACCCCCTTTTGAGCTTTTTGACAAAAAAAAAACGGAGCAGCAAATGGAAAATGAAAAAGCAACAGAAAATCTGGAATGGATGGGACAATTGGGAAAAGACGCATAACGGCAAACTCGATTTCGGCGGACCTTCTCTTTACATCTCGGCGCCTCCTTTTTGCGCTTCTCCGTCCTTTTCGCCTGAAAAATGCCCATGCAAATGGCTTTGCGTCTGGCCGTCCGTGCATAATTTTCAAGGTTCTGGCCATCGCCTGTTGGCCGCAGCTGATTCCGCAGCCGATTCTGTAGCAGTGTTGCGTCCATGTCCGGCTTCCATGCCCTTGTTGCCACTTTGCGCCGCGTGTCGTAAGTTTTTCGATATAAAGTCTACAGCAAAACAAAAAAGTATATATATATAATCCATTTGCAATGAAATAGTCTTACCTGTCTGCGTATTTCACTTCGAGGTTATAGAAACCAGAGAAAAGTGGTGACAGGACTCTTCCTATTTGTAACTTTCTTTAATTTTGACTTTTTGATGATCAAATATTATGACTTTTTCATCCTTCTAATGAAGAGTTTGTACGACAGCAAAAAACTAGTAATATATATAACTTCGGTTTCTGCGATCATTGCTTGTCAAACAGGGAAAGCACACGCAAGCCAAATTACCTAAAAAAACAATATTAGTTCTAAAAGGAATTATTTCTCTTTATTTAAGTTCTAGATGTGATTTTTCAAAAACACTAACGTTGTAGTAATTTCTTTCACTAATAACTGGATAAATAACAGCTAGAAAATAATTTGATTCATGAAACACTCAATTTCGCTTTTTGCGCGTCACTTTTTGTATGCATCGTGTGCACTGCGTACAAAACACTGTATTTTCCGCCGTTGCGGTGGGCGTGGCCTCAATTTGGTGTCGCCGTGGGGAGAAAATCGAAAAGCTTCACTCATCCAAAAAATTTTTGTAGTTTATGAAAAATGACGGCAAAAAACGATAGTCAGCGACAAGACAAAAAAAGGAAAATTTTCTGATTTCTTCTCGCCAACTCCTTTCAAGTAGGGGTTTTATTTTCGAGAAGCTGGAATTTTGAAAAATATTTTTAACAACAGAAAGTACAATCACGAGAACGTTTTTTTTTAAAAACAAGCTCTAAAATTAGCTTGTCATGACGTCACTAAGATTATACCTTGAATGTTAAACCCATAAGTAAAAGTTCCAGTGTTGGTGTCCGTGAGCGCAGAGTTCGATCCGTGTCTGTCGGTGCGTGGGACCAACATGAACTCTCTTGAGAACTTCGCGTCGCCAAACTTCCCCTCCAAGTGAGTCTGCCGAGAATCTAGAAACCGTCCGTCGCCAAGGTACCCGCCGAATCTGGACTGCGTCCGCGTCGTCCACTCTCGGCCTGGACACGACGTCCTCGTCACTTTCCACCACATGTTCCAGGTAACGAGTGCCTACGGTCTTTCAACCTGTTGTTTCAGATCGAATCCACATACGATAAACTTGAAGCCGGAACTGACTGTCCCAACGACTTCATCGTCAGTTTCTTTTATGATTTATAATCAAATGGTATCAATTATTCTCATCTTCTATTGAAAATCAATTTTTGACTCGAAACTCTTCTATTAAAATTTGTCAACCGCTGGCCGGCGACAGAACTTTTCGATTAACATGGAAGGTCGTTTTTGCCTAGGCCCTAGGGTTTGGAATTTTTTATAAATTTACTTTTATAATCTTTTATGGACTGGGAATCGATCCTACATAGCCGCTATTTCTTCTCGTTTTGTAGATATGTTTTTTTAAAGTTTTTATCCTTGAACACGGGACACCGTTTGGAAGAAATGTGTCCACGCCACCAGCCTTAGCAAGGATGCTAGGATCGTGGTGCAGTGGCTAGCTCGCTAGCCTGTCAACCATATGATGAAAGTTCGAAACTTTTTGCCGCTACCGTTTTTTGCCATTGTTTTTTGGCGGATTCTGACGCCGTTTTTTTAATTTAGTCTTTTTATACTATACACTGCAGTTGCAGGAGTTCCGAGATGGTCGCTATGGGTTTTCGCCGCTAATTGGGCGTTTTTGTGGACGTCAGCTTCCTTATGTCGAAATCAGAGCGGTTTCTGGTAAGAGCGGGAAATTGAAAGGATAAAGATTCTTTTTTTCTATCACTTTGCTCAAAACGACCATAACCAGTCAATCGATATTTATTTTTGAGGTGGTAACCAAGCACTTATTGAGCCATACCAAACATAAATAATTTGAAATTTTGATAATTTTGGAACGTTATTTTTAAAGGCTCATGTAAAGTTATGTGTTGCTCAATTTTCTCGACTTTTGATAAGCGAAAATGTAGGTTTCATGTGGATTCGGTTTCGGACGGATGCGATGCTCGAATATAGCGGGTTTTCGGCCAAAATAGCTCTGGTGCCAGCGAGAAATCGACGCGACAACATGCACCGTTCGTTTTTCTCTCTTTGTTTCTTTATTAAAATATTGAAGATCTAATTCAGAGTGCCTGATGGAGTATCTCAACGGTCTTGATGGCTTTGTGCGTACGCAGGACCTCATATCTTCATTAGTGAGTCGAATCTTGATCCAGACGGGAAAGACGACTTTGCAGCCCTTGAACGTGTCGGGAACCTTGGACTGCGTTTGGCGTTTATCTGTACCGGAAAATTACAAGTAGTAATTGGAAACTTTTGAATAGAAGATTTATTCGTTTAGAATCGCCTTGTATATCCACGAATTTGTGTTGACGGCTCCAAATCAGTGCGGACAGAATTTTTTAGAAGTTTACGCCGGAGGAACCGCCGACAAGCCGATTCGAAGGTGACTTTACACAGTTTCTCATTTTCCGAAAAAGGGCTCCACGTGGTTAATGAGGGAAGGTCAACGAGAGATGTCAGGTTTTGTGGATTGTCGGCGACTGACGTCTTTTCGCCGTCTTCCGAGGTGTTGGTGCGATTCTTCCTGTCAGATGTACGACTTCTCAACTCGACCAGAGTGACGGCCCTTTTTTCCTCCTACACAAGACGTATGCTTCCGCACACCTCAGGAAACAGCATTTCGGTTTCAGACAAAAACTGCTCCCAGCCCGGCCTATTCGCCTGTGGAGACGAGAACTGTGTGCCGGCGACGCTCGCCTGCAACAATCGAGCAAATTGTCCTTATGGAAGGGACGAAGCAGTCTGCCACGTCGGTATGTTCGTTGAACATATGCACGGCGACACCAAACCGACGCCACGCCCACCTCAGCGGGAAATAAAATGTTTTGTACGCAGTGCACACGTTGCACGTAAAGCGACGCGCAAAAAGCGAAATTGTTTTTTTTTTAATTATGAATAATATCATCTTCTAGCTTTTATTCATCCAGCTCATAGATTTGAAGCCAAAATTTAACGTTCGCCTTTCCTTCCTTCCCTATGTAAACAATTTAAAAAAAAAGCCTGTCTGGAGTTTCATACTTCTTGCCTTGAAGCCGATATGTGCCAAATTAAAACAACTTTCAGCGCAGGACAGGCTGTGGGTGTTCTTGACGAGCGGATTCGCCCCGTTAGTATCTTTAATTACCGCCGTGTTCATCGTCGTCGCTGTTGTATGCGTTTATACAATACGGAGTAACCGCTGCTGTCAGTTTTATTTTTCGTATTTATCAAGTCCTCTTGACAGTATAGCTGATTCACGGTTGGCTTGAGCAATCAAAATAAGGTTCCTGACGCGAAAATAAAAGAGACAGTGTCTGGTTGGCGGTGGGCGCTTTTGCGTCCTAAGCTAGCCCTGAGTCGGCTATGGCGTGAAGATGAAAGAAATTGAAGTGATTACTACTAGTAATTATCCTTAACCCTCAAACCCAACATTTAAAAAATCAAAAAAAATGTGTTCCACCTATGAAGGCCTCGTTTTAAAAACACAGAAAAAAAGAAAAAAAAGTTTCGACCTTAGATTAGCTTAAAAAAAGGATAGCGCTTTCCCAAAATTTCGGGAAAAAAAAGTTACCTTATCTTTCAGCGCTACCGCCGCTGTGATCTCGCCCATTCATTTCTCAACTTTTCATCTATTACGGCTGCTTCTGATGTGAACAAAGACGTCACTTCATGAATATATACACACTAAGAATAACTGCCCAGATAAACGCGAGACACTGGCGGTACATTGACGAGCTCGCAAACATCTCGCTTTTTTTCTCGCGCCGGTCTCGCATTTTTCTGGGCGCCAGCTCGCACTTTTCTAGGCGCGAGCTCGCATTTCTCTCGCAATTTGAAAATTTCCGAAATGCAAGATAAATGCGAGATGGCGCCGAGAAAAATGCGAGGTCGCGCCGAGAGAAATGCGGGATCGCGCCTAGAAAAAAGCGACATTTTTGCGAGTTAGTCAATGTACCGCCACCGAGCTCGCGTTTATCTCGTCAGTTATTCTTAGTGCATATATACAAACTATTTATTCAACCTCAAAATTTTGTACCTTTTTTATCCGCTAATGCTCTATCATTTTTGAACATTGTTGATTAATTTTTTGAATTCTCTCTTGTAGCTAAATTTTTTTTGCTGATTTTAAAATCCATATTTTATTGAAAATTATATTCGATAGCTCTTCTTTATGTTTCATGGGGAATAAAATATAATATGATTTTTTTGTTTTGTTTTCCCAAAAATTCGAACTCTTGTAAGTGAAACTGTTTCTGTCCGACCTTTTTTTCTGCAATTCAGTTTCTGAAAAAAAGGAAAAATATCGTTATCACCAAATAAATCTAATATCAGTCACTAAGAATAACTGCCGAGATAAACGCGAGACACTGGCGGTACATTGACGAGCTCGCAAACATCTCGCTTTTTTCTCGCGCCGGTCTCGCATTTTTCTGGGCGCCAGCTCGCACTTTTCTAGGCGCGAGCTCGCATTTCTCTCGCAATTTGAAAATTTCCGAAATGCGAGATAAATGCGAGATGGCGCCGAGAAAAATGCGAGGTCGCGCCGAGAGAAATGCTGGATCGCGCCTAGAAAAAAGCGACATTTTTGCGAGTTAGTCAATGTACCGCCACCGAGCTCGCGTTTATCTCGTCAGTTATTCTTAGTGAGTTCAGCCCGTCCAGTTTGGCACACTGTAGGTTTAAGTTGTGCATACACCGACCGATGTTTTTTTTTAGCGATCTTCATTAATTACGAGTTTTTTTGTACAAAAAGATAGGCAAATTTGGCATGTTCTAAAACACGAGCGGTTGTGGGGCACGAGCGGCACGACCGTTACTAAATCACGAGCGGTTTCATTTTCGCTCCTTCGCGAACGCTTCTAAATCACGAGCGTTTTTTTGGCTTATCGTTCTGTTCGAGCGTTTCTAAACCGCGAGCGTTTCATTTTAATCATTTTTCTTTATTACCATCCAAGTGTGTTTTTTTCATATTTCTACCTTCTTTTTCTCCTTGAATAAAAAAATTTTTGACGATCTTATATGCACATTTTTTTCGCTCAATTTGTTGATTGATTCACATTTGAGGTTCATATAATGGATTTTTTCTAAGTTTTTTTGCGGTCTCTATAATTTCACAGAAAAAAATTTTTGAGAGAAAGTATTAGAAAAAATTTTGCTATACGCAAAATTTGAGAAATATTGACTTTCATGCGAGACGTCTGTGAAATATTAGTTTATCATACGCAAAAATCTGTGAAATATTGAATATGAAAAATCAGATGAAATTATTAGAAAAAAATTTTGCCATACGCAGAATCTGTGAAATTATAGAGACCGCAAAAAAACTTAGAAAAAAATCCATTATATGAACCTCAAATGTGAATCAATTAACAAATTGAGCGAAAAAAATGTGCATATAAGATCGTCAAAAATTTTTTTATTCCAGGAGAAAAAAGAAGGTAGAAATATGAAAAAAACACACTTGGATGGTAATAAAGAAAAATGATTAAAATGAAACGCTCGCGGTTTAGAAACGCTCGAACAGAACGATAAGCCAAAAAAACGCTCGTGATTTAGAAGCGTTCGCGAAGGAGCGAAAATGAAACCGCTCGTGATTTAGTAACGGTCGTGCCGCTCGTGCCCCACAACCGCTCGTGTTTTTTAGAACATGCCGGCAAATTTGAAGAAAAAAACACAATAAGAACATTCGAAGATACAAATTTAGTTTCAAAAAAATTAGGTTTTTTTGCCAACGCCAGCAAGTCTTAAAAATATGACCTAATTTGAGAAATCCCTCTTTCGTAAGTAAAAAAAGTCGTTTTTTTCTGAAATTTTGTCATCTATTATGTCGAAAAATAGCCGTATTTATTTTTATTACATAGAAAAAAATGGTCAAACATTTTTTTAATATGACCAGCGGAGACGGCGCAGTGAAAAACCGGACGGGTCCCTGTAGGTCTTCGAAAAAAATGTTAAATTTCATTAAAAAAATTCTTTTTCATCCGATAAATAATTATTTATAATGGATTCTGTTTAGCTCTAGCCAGTACTAACAGTTTCTCTCTACAATTAATTATTTTTCAGCTTATTTTCAATGCTTTGAGAATATTTTTCGCCAATAGCTTCAGGACACTAAGGGCTATCGATATATTAAGTATGTACAAATCTTGAATGTCAAGCAGCAAACTCCGCCCTCAACAACGCTCTGTGGATGGTTCGCCCTCTGATTGGTTTGCGTAAGGGGCGGAGTTTGTGCAATGACTTGACATTTAAAAATCTGAATTTAGAATAGAAAAGAAAGGCGATCCGTTAACACCTTGCGGTACCTGGTCCGGCCGCCATACGGTTTTTTGGTGAAATGCGCTCTATTGATAAAAAAAACCAAATGAAAAATTGAAAAGTTTCTTTATTTATGCCGTGTTCAAAGTAATTTCCGCGAAATGCAAAATGATCTCTGACTCTCCAAAATTTAGTGATCTTTTCCTTTCTCTAACATGTATTTTGCATTTCGCGGAAATTAATTTGAACACGGCATAAGATTCTTTTTTCGTTTAAAAAAAAACCTTCGTTCTTGGTAAAAAAAAAATGACATGTCGTAAAATTTTACGAAGGGCCCTTCCAATCTAACAAAGTGCGGAAAATGTCGCGACATCTTGAATTATTCTCTTTTTCTCATTATTTTATGATCTTTATAATAATTTTTTCACTTTGTTTCATTGCAAGTTTCTTTCAAAAAGCGTTTACGTTTTCGATAAAATGGGAATGCATACGAAAACTTGGCGAAAAACGTTTTAATTTTTCCAATAACTAATCCAAAATTTTCTTACTGCTCTGAACATGCACTTTTTCGCGCAAAAATATTTTTCTGTACGCATTATCGATCTTTTTAATGCTAAAATTTTCCGTATCGACGTTTTGAATATTGAACATTTATCAGACTGATCAAGAAGTTTGCAGAGACATGGACAAGAAAAATAATTGGAAACCAAAACGTCATGCCGATGAGATTATGCGTCCTGCAGATTTGAAAAAGCAAAAAGTTTCTTTCTTTTCACAAAGACTTCTCTAATTTTTGTTCAGCAGGTACAGAGGCCGATTGGAGTAGCAGGACCTTCTTCAGTAAATACTTCTTCCGCTTCTGCGGTAACTAAACCTAAGCTAGATTTCCGTTCCACAACCGTTTCCAACTTTTCAAACAAACCTGTCAACTTGTTTAGCACCCAAGGTTTTTTTAAAATTCAAATAGCGACAAAGTTAGTTTTTGTAGCTCTTCCGGTTCAAACTCCTTCAGTCAGGCCGGTTCTTGACGACAAATGGAACGAATTCAGTGATAACATTGTTCTCGATCATTCTAATTTCAAACAGAGTCTTCAGGAGGCTGTGGAACAGGAAAAATTTAACAAGGTTAGTGGAGTTTTTTTCTACTCTGAAGTTCTCAATAAAAATTTTGGAGGTTGCCCGTTTAATGACTGCGTCTCTTCACCTTTTCATGACCAAGAAACCTGAGAAATTTCTAGCTGAATATCGCATTATCGGAAGTCTTTTGACCACTGTTAAGAAACATGGATCTCGGTTACACGTAAGCTCTTACTCAGTAGTAGTGCACAAATTGAGGTCTCCAGCACACGCCCTTACACAGAGGTCTAATCCAAATTCTTTGCTTGTCTCGTGGATTCACTTCTTCTTCACAAGAGCTTATCATTTCGCTCATAACAAGCCTTGTGGAGCAACAAACCGCCCTACTGGACAAGGCGTACTTGGTCGGATTTCTGCACGACGCCATAGGTTCTGGTTCCTCTTCTCTGGGCGGCCAGTTGAAGTGCACCTGGATCGAGAAGGTTGTTCTGTGTCGTTTCGCGACCAAAGTCCCATTTTGAGGCGTCCGCCAAGCGGTTAGTCGCATCTATCATCCGGCCATTGGGGACAGTCTTCCCGACTCGTGAAATGCTCAGTGAAGCAGAATTAGATACGCATTCTTCGCATAGTTATCCGAATTTGGTAAGAATAGATTAAATGGAAAAATGAACAGGTTTTCAGGAATTAGCGAAAGAACCTCCTCCGACACAGGCGGAAGTGTTCGTTGAGTATCTTCGCCCCTGGTTTGTACTGTGTTTGGAGATTTCTCGAGATGAATCGCCGTTTTTTGAAGGTTCGACTGCCTGCGCGGCGAAAATCCGCCGAGGTCTCTGTTGAGGACTCTGGGATGGCTGAGTGGCGTGCCCGAGGTTCGCCATTTCATCGCGACTCGCCTCGATATCTGGCTCCAAAATCCAAAGGTCTCAACCTTCGATCTACATGGTTTACTGTTTTTTCAGTACCAAAGGGATGCTCTTGAGCTTCTCCTGTTTCTCGGCTGCAATCTGACTATAAACAACGCTCTTGACAACGAAACTATTGATATCCTACTCAAGTTGCGAAATTTGAAGAGCCGTAATGTATGGATGCAATCAGGAATGGATACTAACGTTCATCTACAGGTTTTCTTGCCTTTCTCTCTGGCGCTGCGCAAATCGATAGCTCTCAACACGGAAAACGTCTACATCATTTTCAATTTGCTCGTGTCGAATGAACTTGGTGTCGTCCAGAATCGGTCAGATCGTTTTGGATGTTCTGACAAAGGAAATAGCTTGCAGAACGTCTACAAATATCAATATAATGACTTCTCTCTTGAGTTCCGTTCCTTCTCAAGCCATGATGGTATGTTCTTTTTGGGCTTCTTCTTGCTCAGTCGTCGCAAATTCAGGGATTTTCTCGAGTCTGCGCACAAATCCTGATAAGAAACGAAGACAGTGCCCGCACTCTCCGAGGCTTTCTTCGCGATTTGGTGAGTTTCGGAATACTTTGGGAAAGAAACGTGAAGGAGTATGCAAAATTCATCCCTTCGTGAAAAAGATAATAATAAACTGAGCAAAACCCAAACTAACCAGTATCCGTAGTAGGAAATTATAAAATAGGCAAAGTCGGAAACGGTTGAAAAAGGCTCCAGAGAAATGTTCCTTTTAGGATGAGAAAGGCTCCTTTTTTACTGTCTTTTGGGCCATTTTATCGGCTCTCATGGACCATTTTTACTGTCTCTTCCTTTTTCCACCCTTTCTTGAGCCTTCAAAAGCCCAGAAAAAAATAAAGAGACTCTTTTGCAACCTTTCTGCGGCCTTTTTTGAGCCTTTCAGCGGCCATTATCCACCAGCAGAAGCTCAAAAGTTCTTTTCTTCTGAAGACCTCTTCATTCCAGATCAAAATCTTTTCGAACTCTCGGAGCTGCGATTTTCTTTTTTCGATTTTTACTGCGGGATTCCTCACCGAAGTGATCACTCAGGCGCACGACAATGAACACGGACTCCAGGTTCTTCGGTCCATTTTTTCCCCACTTCAAGAAATTTAGGAACATGTGCCGATGCGAACCGCGGAACTTCTCTCGCAAATTCCGCTGATGGTTCTGATGAACACGCTGAACACTCGCGGCGACCTGTTCCCTCCCAAATCAGTGCGCTCTCTTCCCATCGAGCAGCTTGTCGGTTTCTTTTCTTCTCTCCTTAGGGCTAGACAAATTTGAAGAGAAAAAAAGTATTCATTAGTAATATTCTACATATATTTTATTCAAAGTTCTGTGAACCGTAATATAATGGCTAAAAATTAAAGCAAAAAAAGTACGGAGTAAGTTTTTTCAAAAGAGTATCTAACATTAGAGAAAATATGCCTGAGATTCATATTAGCCAATAGATTCAGTTACTGAACTGTAATTGATAAGTGAGGTTCAAAAAAGTGTACAAAGTTAAACCCCCACAATTTCCCTTTGAGGCTTGGAATTTTCTACAAGTTTGCTCAAATAATCTTCGAAAGTTTTTATGAAGTTCCGTCAAAGTCGCAACCCGGGCCAGCTTCTAGTTTTCGAGGTACATATTTATGAAGGGCGAATAATGAGGCCCCAACTTTGAAAAATCATAACTCAATAACTAGAATTTTGCGCAGGAAGCGACTTTGAGGAATTTTCATCTAGACCTTCAGAGAGTGTTTGAGCGAATTTGTAGAAAATTCCAACGTAAAATTACCTTTCTTGTGAGAAAAGTTTGATTTTCAGCCGTTGGAAATCAGAGCGGCGAGAGACCAGTTCGCAGGGGAGTTCCGACGGTACCTGGAAGTTGTCACGAAGTTTGAGAGTAGAGACTTCTTTTCATTATTTTATTCCGCAGATGGCTTGGAAAAGCTCGTCAAGTTCTTTTCGAAAACAAGGATTATTTGAGAGCCTATGACATGCTGCTTTATCTCGAGAAGGTGCGAAAATTCAAGCTCGCCGACTATTTTTGGTATTTTAGCGGCGAGAGCTCTACACGGCCATTGATTTTGCTGTGGTTAACGACGGAGATTTCGGCAACTGTCTCCGTATTTTTGGCGAGTGCGGAATGACCGAAGAAACTGTCTGGAATGTTCGTTTTGTTTCTTTTTTAGGGTCGTCAAGTTCTTTTTGTATAGTAGAAAAGCCCTTTTTTGAGTTTAAGAATACTAGGCATGGTTTCAGCGGTTTTTCGTGGCTCTCCTCAAATCAATCAATCAAATCATTTATTTTGTTGTTTTAGTCTGATGTAATCGACTAGGCGGTGAACAAGAACTTTGAAAGCTTTAACGAACAACCGCCTTTGGCGAGCTAGAAGTCCAAACGTGTAGTCGAAAGAGTTGAAAGCATGGTCTTACGGTCCTTCGCCTCGTCCTTCTGCGCGTAGTCCATCCAGTTGCGCCTTGACGAGCTCAGAATGTAGCAGATCTTGTGCTGGAGCCCGGAGTCCGTGCTCTAGGTGGAAGCCTCAGAATGAGAGCGACCACTTCGAGTGAAGATTTTACACGGAAGACCATGCTTTCAACTCTTCCTCATTTATTTTTCCATATACAGTACCGTCAGAAAAGAACAGGCTTTTTTGTAAGGAGTTCAATCATTCTTAAACTTTCTGGAGTTATGATGACTCTTATTTTGAACACCCTGATGAAATTTCAGTTCACAAAAACACAGCTTCAGAAACTTAAATAAAAAAAAAAAAATTTCGCTATAAACGTTGTTTCCGATTTATAAAGCTTTAAAGTTCCCAAAAAATTCAAAAAAAAAACGTTATTATAAGCTTTTGGACCGTCCTAACCCAAAAACCAGAACTATTGCGAAAAATTTTTCTCTTGAACCAGGAATTTCCAAAAATGTTCCATCAAAGTTCGATCAAAAATTCAACTAGAGGCAAAAAATCGTTCCCCAGTAATTCTGCAATACAGAAAAGGCCGCTTTTTAGGAGATTTCTCGGAACTATTCCATTTACTAACTCTCTGAAAAAATGAAGATTTTCAGCTGCTTGGCACTTCTTATTGTCCGATCTCGAGCGAAGAGGCTCTGAACATTTTGTGGCAGCTGACCGACCGATGCGCTTCCAATCATCGAACAATGAGTTTCTTTTTTCCCGTCTCTTTTCGATAAGAATACTTCCGTAGATCCCCTTTTGGACTTGGAAAACCCTGTCAAGCTCATAGAACGTCTTTTCGATGCGTGCGCTTATTCTCTGCCCATTCAGGAAAGGTTTTCTTCCTTGATTGTACTCATTTTCCAAGTTTCCGCTTTCAGAAAAAGCTTTTCTCGACAAATAGCCAAACGGCAACTTTATTGGACTGCTTGGCAAATAGCGCTGATGTGGACAGCAGGAGGTTGGGATATCTCAGGATTTATGGAATATTCTTGATTTAGGCGGTACATTTAATGAATTTGAGGAAGTTTACCACACTTTTCCCACTTTAAGATACCTTTTCCATGCGATTATGATAAGGTACGCTCTTGAGGGAAGTTTCTGAGGTAAAATTCGCAGAAATGGTTCATTCTGTGGTAGAAAAAAGAAATGTACAGTTAAAACTCAAAAACTATTTCTCTTTGGGTTTTTTTGTCGCAAAAGTTTCTTTCCCGTGTTTCTTATGATAAAGTGAATGACAGTAGACGTTTTAGAAATCGAAAAAAATTAGATTTTAAGCCTTTTCAGTACGTTTTCGATAGGCTATTTCTCAGTACCCTCTGACGGTCAAAAAATTTTTTTTTTATTTTCGAGTACTCTTACTTAGGACTATCTACCACAGAAGTTTGAACCAGGTCTGCAATGCTCACCTCACACAATTTTCTTGTGAGTTCCTTCAGAGCTATCATTTTTCTTTTTTGAGAAAATTTGAATTCCCGATGCGGTTTGAGAAACGTGCCGCTGGAGAGTTACTCGGTTCGTATTCCAAGTTGAAAAAAACGGAAGAAGAGGTAACAAATGAGAATATTCTTAACACAGTTTTTTTTTCTAGGCTATTGAGGAACATTTGGCTGTGCTGAAGAAGAGCGGCATACCTTTTGCGAGCAACTTTTCCGAAATTATGACGATTCTTGCACCGAAGTTGGTCCGATCGGCGATAACCTTTAAGATTGTGTCTGTTGAGGGACGTCGTACAGCCCCCCGAGAACTTCGCAGACATCCGTTCTTTGGCGGAGCGCCATTGCTTCGCCGCTCAACTGAGCCGTTGCTCCAAGCCACCGCTGCTCGACCTTCTGGTGAACCAGGTCGGGCCAGAACTCGCGATGCCTTCCATCAAGGTGAGTATACGGAAAGTTCGAGGTTTTATACTCGAGTCAGGAGCTCCTCACCATGGATCCGACAGCCGTCGAATCTCTCTCCGGAAGCTGTCTCAGTCATGCTCTTTTGCACTACGTAGGCGTCGGTAACGACCAGAACAACGCCGTCCGATCAGCGGTAATGGCGACTTTTCTTTGTTAAAAGAAAAACCCGCAGAAATCGATTCTATTCAAGTTTATTGATGAATCTGAATCGTTAAAGAAAAAAAGTCTTTCATTATCGAATTTATAAGTAACCAAGTTATAATAAAGAAATATCGAAAAAGGGCTGAAAAAAGAAATCGATCTTTGATTTTCATCAAAAATGAGTACTGGTTTGATCATTCCGCTCTTTACAGTTGTTCAAAGTTTTGTCTGAAATTGATGGTTTTTTTTTTTCTGAAGATGACTTTTATTGAGTAATGCCGTGCTCAAAGTAATTTCAGCGAAATGCAAAGTTATTTCTGCCTCTTCAAAATTTAGGTATCTCTTTCTTTCTCTGACGGCTATTTTGCATTTCGCGGAATCACTTTGAACACGGCAATAGAAAGTCATCAGAAGAATTTCCGGTTACAGCTGCTTGCTCGAGCCAACCATCACCTAACAAGCTCAAAAGCAGTCGAAGACGACGTTTTTCTGAAAACAATCATCGGAAAGCTGGCCTCTGGCGACGCCCGAAGTCGTCATGCTGCAGTTCTGATTCTCAACGAAGTATTTTCTGAGGTATCATCGTTTTTTTCTTACTTTTCTGATGAGAAAAAAAATTAGCCAAGTCGTCCTGAGAGCCCTGTGAAGTCCTCCTTTGACATTGAGAAGATCGCGCTCCTGCCACGCGTCGTCGCCAACAAAGAACTATTCCTGAAGACCCTGGCAGAGGCCGTGCTCGTCGAATGCGACGCCTTCACTGCCAGCCAATATCTGCAGTTTGTTTCACGGGCCATAGACCTGGACACTATGCACGACGTTTGTGGCGAATCTCGGATCGTTTCCAGAAATCTTTTCCAGGTTGCCGCGCTCGTAGCAAAACTAGTTGCGAGGGACAGGTTCTGCCTGCGCAACGGCATCTGCGAGTTCTACGTCAGATATCTCGACCTCGCCGACTCCAACTTTTCGTTGACCCAACCAAGCGAGGCGCTTACATTGGGAAAAGACTTTTGCGCGGTTCAATTTGGCGGAAAAGTCGTCCGGATCGTGAGTTTACCTGGAAGACGTTTCACATACTCATTTTTCAGATCAAATTGCATCGTTCTGTTCCTTCAGCTGTCCTCAAACTGCTAGCTACATTTCCACCGAACCCAAACGGAGATGTTCTCTCGAATCATTTCGACATGCTCGTCGAGGTATGCCCTTTGAAAATACATCTGCAGAGAATTTTTAAAGGCCGACGTGCCTTGCTCTCATCTGTTTCTGAATTAAACTTAATACTACCTCACTGAGGCTAAAACTGGGGCCAAAACTACCTCCTGGGGTTGAAACTCGATTTTGTTACTTATTTTCCGAAATTCTCGTAAGCCAACCCTTTCTCCCGAGCTGAATGAGTTCTGTATTTCCCCATCTGTCTTCAAAAAAAAAAAACAAAAGTTGCTGAGCCTATCAATATCCTGAAATGTTCAGCTTTGGCTAAGAAAGGACGCCGTTCCGCAAATATATGGTCGCACGGCTGATTCCATCGGTCCCACAGATGTATTGAAACTGCCGATGCGCAAGCTTATGCTCAGATCTGCGGATTCTAGAGTTGTTGAGGTTCCATGAGCCTTTTCTTGTGACCTTCTTTGTCACTTTTTGAGGCCGCTCTGTGGAATTTGAAAACGGAAGACGCCTTCGAATTCGCCTTCAACTCTCAAATGTCCAACCAAACGGCAAGCATTGTTTTAGAGAAGGCCGAACTTGTTAGTTGTCTTTTCCGCTAAATCAGCTCGTGGAGTTTACTTCAGATGAACGTCGATGAGTTGGATTTGAAAAAAGTTCAAAAGCTGTATCTCATCGTTAAAGGATATCACCTGAAAGGTGTGGTCTCTGGGCAGAAGGTAATAAATTCCCCATTCATGAGCTCATAACGTCTTTTTTGCAGTTGTTAGAAAAAGTCACCCAACGCATGAACGTTTTCAAAGAAAAGTTTGAGAACAAAACTGAGTTTGCAAAGGTCTGTCAAAGACAATTACGTCATTAAAATAAAGGTTAAGGTTGCTCCTTCCATCGAACCTCCTCCACGGGTATGTGTGTCTCCTCAATTCAATCTCAAAATGGAGAAAATGAATGCAAAAGAAATCGCGGCTTGGCTGAAAGCAAATGCAGTGATGGTTTGTCCAAAGTGTCATGCAAATTGGAAAACCGTTTTCAGGGCTCTCAGCAGCAAAACGCGGCTCAGAAAAAGGTTTTCACAGTGCCGATCGCGTTCATCAACGGAGTGATGCAGTCGGAAGAAGCGGCGCTGTTCTGCGTCTCCCATCTCGAGGCCAACCTCAAGTACTTTCTCGCCCAGCCCGACGCTTTCCAGTCCATCGTGTCCCTCGTCGACGCTTGCACCAAAAAGGTGAGACCTGCGCTCGGCTTTCAATCAAGTTATGAATCGTTTCATCGTCATTCTCGGGTTTATCGTTTCTCTGTCTTGCACCCGATTTGAGACCAGGGCGGCCTGGCTGGCCTTGGCGACCTGGCATTCCTGGCTTTCCGTCTTTTTTGCTGAAAGCTGGAACTTGGAAACAAGACGTGAACTTTATTGGACACCTGAGAACCTAAGATTTGTGCAAAGAGCAATGTCTCTGTTAGCTTTGGAAAAATTAGAAAAACGCCATTTTTCGAAAAAATGGACTCTTCCCTGCAGCCGGTTTTTAAATGGATATATTTAATGTATCAATCTTTGAAAACTTTGAATAGTAGAGACCTTTTCAGATTATAACCAAAAATAGAAAATTGCGCAATTTTTCAAGTGGCTCTATAATTATGTGGAGATGGGTACTTAAAAGAAAAGCTCAATTCTCACTGCGGACTCTTACTCTTCATTTTTTCAAACTATATTGCAAAGTTTCCATGCGCATTCGACGACGCTGAACTTGAAAAAAAAAGAAAAAAATATCCGATTTAGCAGAAAAACGCCGTTTTCCATTTAGCACACAGAATCATGGCTTTTACAGTATGCGAAACTCCGTATCCGCCTCGAGTCGCTGGCAGTCCGACTTCTGAAAAGTGTCTCGCCGCCGCCAAGCGTCGCCAGCGTACTTCGGAAACACGCCGCTGGAAAAACAGCTGTTACGGCCAAAAAACCTGCACTTGAACCGGTCTGCTCCCATCTCTATTTTCTTCAATTTCAATTTTTTCTTTTCAGATCACGTCAGTTTACCAGCTCTCGGGTACGCTGAAGAAAACTCCAAACAAGGAAAAACGGAAAAGGTTAGTTGGAAGTTTTTCTTTTGCTGTTTTGTTTCTTGAAAGATAAAAAAAAATCTTACAAAGAAATCCATATCTTCATCAAAAAAGTTATTCGGAATCGATTGCAAAACGAATATTTGGAGATTCTGAACATAGTTCGAAGATGTTATTTATAATTTTGGCTCCTCAAGTTATATAATATTGGCTCTTCAAATTTAAATTTTATGTATCGCGTCTCAAAATGGATGGCTGAGATCGTTACCCTTTCCAGCATTTATCCCGCCTGCTTTGAACCAAAGAATGTTTGAAATTTTGATTTTGACGCCTTTTCGAGTTTCTATGTACAAAAATGAATCCGAACTCATTTGAACGTTTTCTTGAGATCCAGCCAACTAAACTATGAAACCCCTTTTTGACATTTCAGCATGGTTTTTGACTTCATCAGCTCTTATTTCAATGAAAAAGAAGGCGAATCTTTGGATGTATCCGAACTTGTTGTTTTGGTAAGTTCTACACTTGGGACTTTTTTTTAATGAAAGTTCAGTTGAATGCACTAGTCGATGTCTGTGAAGACGTGGAGACGGCGGAGAGATGTGTTTCTGGACGCTGGTCGAGGGTCCTGCGCCAGGAGATTTGTTCCCAGCTACTCAAAGAGTTCCAACCAACGTTTGTACAGGCACCCATGAAACTTAATTTTTGAAAGATTCAGAATGAAAGCTCGCTTAGTTTGTCGCTTCATCAGCGAGTACTGCTCCTCGCACAAGGCTGGAGCTTTTCGCGAGCTCTTCTTGCTCAAAGATGGCCCAAGCTCTGCTAATTCAGTCGGAAAAGCCCCGATCGTTTTCAATTCGAATGCTATAATATCTCTCTCATTGTACTGCATTCAAATGGTTTCGACTCTATCAACCCGGCATTTTGATCGTTTTGTCCCCAGGTCAGAGATGACGACGAAACGAAGTTGGAGGCGGTGCAAATGATAAATAACATGGAGAAGTGCTCGACCGTCCACTTCACTGTCGCGTTCTGTCGAGAATCTGCGACCATCGTTAGTTCCGATAAGCCTCTGCCGCTGCGTCAGGCGGCCAAATCGTTGCTCGTTTCATTGCAAACCGAGTTCCCTTGTAAATTGTCGGCTTCTTCTCTCAATTTTACCCACCCCTTTCCAGACGTGAAGTATGACGAGACTGCAACTGGTGGAATCCGTGTCTGCGCTCCAATCGAAACTCGCGAGGCGTGTCACCGTCGCTGCGAGTGTTTGGTGGGCAAGTTCATCGAGATGGGACAGGAAGAGACGTTATTTGTGAGTCTCTCAAGCTGAGAAGGCTTCACGAAACTGATCAAGGAAGAAGACGTTTGCGAAGACGACGACGCCACCGACGAACCTGAAACTTCGGAGAAGGAGAAAATGGAGGAAGCAACGAGAGGAGACTCGCGGAAGCGACCAGCCAAAGAACGTTTTGAGCAAGGCCGCGACCACAAGCGTCCGAAGTTGCAGCCACCCGAGGTCTTTCTTTTTTCGAAGTTGTAATTTTTAGCACCGCGCCTCTGCTAAGCCTTTCAAGAACTAAAACGCAACGCTTTTCAGGAAGAAGGAGATCTTTCGGAAGATACGACAATTACGCTATTATACACCGTTCTGCGCAACCATCCGGACGTTTTGAAAACGTGAGCGATAGGCATTTGTCTTCAAATTTTTTTTTCCAGTAAGTTCCCTGTTCTTTCGCATTTCGTTTCTCAGCTGTCTGCCATGAATCGTCGACAACTGAAGGTGATTCCTTTTTTGTGCTCATTTTAGATGTATCTTAGGCGAAACGTAGGGTTGAAAAAGTCGTCTTGGTGATGAAAGCCGTGCAAACGCTCGTTGCTGAAATGAGCATCGAGGAGCTGATGAGTGTGGAAGCGGCGCTTATTCACTGCCTCGAGTTTTACCAGGTAATGTAAGCTATCTCTCTCCTCTCTTTCGAGTGTCTGCGTCTCTCTGTTCCCTCACCGGCGAGTCAGAGTAATATGAAAATAGCACGTAAAAATGACGAGAGACGAGGAGGGCGCAGAGAAGTCCCGCCTTTTCAATTCACGAAAAACGGACCATACAACAGATGATTTGAAGACGCACATAGAGGACGGACTCGTCAACGTGAGGGAGCAAGTCATCTTCGGCGACTCTTTGCTTCGCGCCTTTGTCTCCTACCTGCGCAGAAACGCCGGAGATGTCGTACGCCTCAAATTTCCATCATTCATGTATCTTTTTCAGGCCCGCGTTCTACTGCGCGAGAACCGCGCAGCTGTTGAAAGGCTCTGCAAACGATCTTCAGACCGTCTAGACGTCGAATTCGTCCTCGACAACATGCGATAATTTTCACAGGATATTTGTCAAATCTTTCATATTCTTTGAATCCTGTAACCAACTGGTCATTTATCACCGGTATGATCCTATGAAAAATATATCTTTCTTTTCTTGTATTTTTTGTCATAAATAAATTATTTACTTTTTTTCTAAGTCTATGATGCTACCAAAATGTTGAAAAAGCATCTTTTATCGTTGAAAAGTTTTTATGATTGCGTTCTCCTGACTATAATCTCTCCTGAATTCAAGTTGAGAATGAAGACTTTGTGGATAAGTAGACAAAAAGAAAAGTTCAAGCAATCCGGAAAAATGATATCCGCGAAATGATTAGAAACATGATCACATTCGCTTTTCTTTTTAAATCTTCTTTTGCATGTTTTTCGTTTAAAAAGCCGATTTTGGCAATCAGCTGATCCCATGAGATACTCCGCCTTTTTCGTGAGCAAGAGCGCCCCATCGTACACCGCTTTTTGAAAAATTGAAAAAAAAAACAAATTTGTAAACGGTATACAAACTTCAAGATTTTTTTGGTTAAATAATATTTAAAGATTAATAGCACGTTATAATTTCCCGATGCTCGAACAGATCTCTGACTTTTTTTTCTTCGTTTTGGTATTCTCTGACGTTCATTTAAATTTCGATGAGATTACTTTGCAAAAAATACGACGCCGTATACTTTGGCTTTCTATATATAGAAATAGTCATAGTTATTTATGAAATTCGTTTTCAAGAAGATTTCTTTCACGTTTTTCTTTCTCCAACACGTCTCATTCGAAAAACTTTATCAACCAAAAAGGTTTCTTGTTTTTTACAGGGTAATTGAGACAATCATGAGCGACGACTACATGGATGAAGACTACGGTTTTGTGAGTTCTTTCTTAATCATTTTCATTCAAACGTTAAAGTTAAGTTCAAAAAATTCAATGCCTTTTTTCCAGGAATACGAAGATGACAGCGGCTCGGAACCGGACGTTGACATGGAAAATCAGTATTATATCGCCAAACAGTTGAGAACTGAAAAAAAGCTGTCTGAAGCTCTCATGGCGTTTGAGAAGGTTTTTTTCACTTGAAAAAAAAAAATGTAATACTGCCTTTTAGGTTTTAGATTTGGAAACGGAGAAGGGTGAATGGGGGTTCAAGGCGCTCAAGCAAATGATAAAGATCACATTTGAAACTGTAAGTGCCCAAATGTTTTCAATTCACTTTAAATGAGTTTTAGAATGATTTGGAATTAATGTTGGAGTATTATCGCCGTCTACTCACCTATATTAAGTCAGCAGGTTCAGAAATACAACTCAAATAAGTGAAAAGAATCATTTTCCAGTGACCAAGAACTATTCCGAAAAGTCAATAAATGGGATTCTTGACCATATTTCAACGTCTCGTCGTATGGATCTGCTCCAACATTTTTACGAAACGACACTTGACGCTCTCAAAGTTAGTTTTTTGTTCATTTAAAGGCTCGAATAGTCTTTATAGGACGCGAAAAACGAACGTCTGTGGTTCAAAACGAATACAAAGCTCGGCAAGCTGTTCTTCGATTTACGAGAGTACGGAAAGTTAGAAAGGATATTGAAAGAACTGAAGAAATCCTGCAAGGTTTCCGCTAATTTTTTGTTGGTATGAAAGAAATTCCCAGGACGATCAAGGGGAAGAAGATCAGAGAAAAGGAACCCAACTTCTTGAAATTTACGCACTTGAGATTCAAATGCACACGGAACAAAAGAACAACAAGGTTCGAACTTTTAACAATCAATTTCATTAGCTTTTCCGTTTTTAAGGCCCTGAAATCGGTTTACGAGCTTGCCAAGCATGCGATCCACACAAAGTCCGCAATTCCTCATCCTTTGATTCTTGGAGTCATTAGAGGTAAATAAATCGTGTTTTCCAATGTCAATCAGAATAAATAGAATGCGGCGGTAAGATGCACTTACGAGAAGGAAGATTCGCCGAGGCACACACGGACTTTTTCGAAGCGTTCAAGGTAAATTTTTGGCCGTTGGCTGGTCAGTCGCCTAATGCAGAACTACGACGAATCGGGCTCTCCAAGACGGACAACCTGCCTTAAGTACCTCGTGCTGGCCAACATGCTCATCAAGTCCGACATCAACCCCTTTGATAGTCAAGAAGCCAAGCCTTTCAAGGTCCGTTTTGCACGCTCCCTTTTCCAGTTCGGCTTTTGCAGAACGAGCCGGACATTGTTGCGATGACCAAAATGGTACAAGCCTACCAGGACAATGACATTAAGGCTTTCGAAGAGATTCTCTCACAACATCAGTGAGTTTGCTCTTGAAAAACGTCAAAACACAAGAAGTTCAGAGAAAATATCATGGCAGATCCCTTCATACGTGAACATATCGAGGAATTGATGAACAATATTCGAACTCAGGTACTTTTCTTTCTGGTTTTTTTCAGACGAAGATTTTTGTTCATATTCATACTCTCAACATCAAAAAATAAGCTATCAAATATTGATTTTTTTTTCCTCGACTATCTTTTTTTAAACTGAGTTTCAAAGGTGCTGCTTCGTTTGATTCGTCCCTACACAAAAGTTCGCATTTCTTGGCTTTCCAAGAGGCTAAAGGTCTCGGAGAACGAAATACAACGCCTTCTCGTAGATGCTATCCTGGATGAAGGTTTGTTTTCCCTGTTTATTTCGTGTTGAAATTGAAAATCTTGCTCTTAGAAAAGCCTATTTATATCGCCCTTTCATATCCCTTTTCGCGGAAAACCCCTCGAAGGCATAAAGACAGTAAAAAATGGGGTTTGAGATGAATTTTTGATTTTGTAGAGCTCTTTATTGCGTGTCGAACAGTGTGCTTGATAATTTCCAGAACTATTGGAAAAAAATACTTGAAAATTCGGGAAAAGTATGGATGCCAGCTAAAAGCGCGTTTTGCAGTAAAGTTGCTCTATGGACAACATAGTCATTTTTCGCCTTTTTCATCGTTGCTATCATAATTTCAATTTTATCTGCTGTAATCAAGGTTTTTTCCGCCTTGAAAGATTCCTTATTTTATAGTTTATGAATTTTGAACGTAAAAAGGAAAAATGGTGATTTTCTACATTTTTTTTGTGAAATAGATATTTTGTGTCTCCTTCATTATCGCCGTGTGTATTTTGTTTACCCAAACGGTTATCCAGAGAGAACAACTCAGTTGCAAGTCTAATGACACGTCCGCAACTTCGCGTAACTTTCTGTACACCAAATTTCAAAATTAAAGGGCGGGAGAATGAAATCGCGCCTTGCTTTGAAAGTAACCATATCTGTGATTATTCAAGAGAAGGCAATAAAAAGCTTCGGGAGATACTGCTTTCACCTAAACCCTGTTTTTTTACTGCCTTTATGAGATTTTTTTTACTTTTTCTCGATGTACTCTGTCGCTTTGAGGGCTGGAAGCTCGAATAAGTGAGGAGACGGGAATGCTGTTGATGTCGCCGGCCTGCAAGCAGGTCAAGCCTCAGTGCTCCGCCCAGCCTACCGCCAACACCTCCGCCGCCAGCCCGGTTCCTTCGACCAACGTAGTCTTTTTTTCAGTAATTCGTAGAGCATAGTAAAATAGAAAGAATAGAAATTTTCGGAAGATTTATGAGTAGGAGACGTAGAAAAAAGGGGAACTTTACTTTTCTGAATGTTTCCTCACTGTTTGATTGCAGAAACATAGTCCATCCACATCAACGGCGACAAGCGAACCGAAGCGACTGTCGGAGGTGAAGGAAGAGACGGCGAACGCTGTCGCGACGCTCGACAGCGGCTACGACGTCGGCGGCTCCCAACAGAAACTCTCCCACGGCGAGCTCCGCAACTGGGCCGACCATCTTGCAGATCTTCAGAAAAAACTCGTCCCTCGATCCAAATGAATCCCGATATTCCCGAAATAATTATAAAATATTCTCAAAATTCTCTTTCATCTTTTTATAACACGAGTTTGATCTCTCGTCTATTTCCATTTCAAACCTCTAATCGAAAAAAAGTTTTTTTGTCTCTTAGGACATGACTAAAGACCAGCAGGATTTGAAGCGCGAACTGAGCGAGCTCATCAGAAAACGTGCAGAAATCGCGGTAACCAAGCTATAGCTCGTGCCTGGGAATTGAATTCTATGCTTTAGGAGACCCTTGAAGCTCTAGAAAATCAGATCTACAACTTTGAAGGCTCGTATCTAGAAGAGACCGCAGACTATGGCAACGTCATCAAAGGTTTTTTTTTGTTGCATTTTATTAAAACGTAATAATTCGAGGTTGGAACAACTTCGCCTCGTCTTTGCCTCCCTCGAAAGCCGTCCGAGTCGAAAAGAAGGCCGGGAAGAAAGCTGCTAGGTATTTTTTATTCTTCTCGGTTTGTTCAACTCGTTTCGAAGCCCATGAAAATATTACCGAACAGTATTGTAAATATTAAGTGGAATAGGTAGAAAACTTTTTTCAACTAGCTGATTTTCTTCTTACCTACAGAACCTTCTGTTCGGTTGTTTCTCAAGTATTTGAACATATTTCAACTTTTTTTTTTGTAGGTCTTTGATTATTCACGTTGTTAGGATGACTATCCTAGTTCAGAAAATCGAAGCTTGCCTTTTTTATCTCAGCTTCACAAATGGAAATGATGAACTTAGAAACGATCTTCATGTCTCTTTTTCCAATACGTCTTTTTTTCAAATTTGTGTTTCTGATAGTTTCTCCATCACTTTTCATGTTGTTGGCATTTTAGTTTAATAATCAAAAGTATTTTTTAATAAGGCACCTTTTTTCTAGACCTTTTTCTGAAAAGGACCTTATACGGAGGTAAAAAGTGAGGATACGGAAATGTGGAAATTCCGAGAGAAAAAAAACAAACTTGAAACCTTTTTAGGAACTCGAAATGTAGCTTTAGGCTCTTCTTTTTAAGGCCTTTTTGAGACCTTACGGACTTTGCCCATATACGGCGTCGACGTCTTAATATTTTTTTTTTCGTTATGATTTCCTGCATCGAATGATCTGTTTTTCGTTGTTCTATGTCTATTAGGAAAAAAAGTTATGCGTTTTTGAAGGACTTTTACACAACTTTTTCGCGGCTTTTATAGCTTCAAATCGGTTTATCTCGAGTTCTAGCAGATATACGACGTCGACGCCTTAATATTTTTGTTCGTTATGATCCCAACGTCCATTTTTCATTTGAAAGAAACTTTTTCAGAATCTCGGAGCGGCTTTTCTCTTCGAGCTCTCTGACGTCTCCGTCGGCCTTGAAGCAGTCCTCGGCGAGTTCGGCAGCTAACGGGATCTCCTACCTGTTGACGCCAAAGGAAGAAAACTCGACGGCCGACGACGACGCGGTGCGCTCCTCGAGAAGATTCCGTGTCAACTGACATTTTTTGCAGATGTCGGTTTCAAGCCGCGACCGGGATCGCGACCGCAAGGCTCCCAAGCGGCGATGAGCCTCTCCGCACTTCTTTTCCCGGGTCTTCCTTACTTTAACCTGTAACCTTCGATCTTCGATTCGTGTATCCTATATATTCCCTTCATTGCTAAAATAAAACCTTCTCCTTCATTTTCTCAGGCTTTTCTATTGATTCAAGTAGTCTTCTTGATAATTTATCTTGTTTTCTGATAAAATTTCTTGTTGTAACTCCCGTTTTCCAGATGCGCGCCAACCTTTCAGACGCGTTTTTGTATGTATATAGTTGCGATTTGCAGAACAATCTACAGGTTTGCCTCATCATCGTTTCATTCAAGATCCGTTTTTAGATAAAAATAAGCGAGTTAGAAGGCACTTTTCGGGATTTGGAGAATCCTATTCGTAAGATTTCGCAGGTGTTCGCTGAAGTCACGGTTAGCCGTTTCAATAAGTTTCAAATAAGGCGAAAGTTTTGCAGGTTTACTGTAATGATAGGCCGATTGGATATCCGGTGAGCACTTCTTTTCGACCAGTTCCCGAGCCAGGAGCTCGAACCAAACTTCTTCAGGCTTGGGGCGAATGGCTCACGTTGCCTGTGAGGTTTGTCTGCAGTTTGATTCTCGCCTAGAGTCATCTGCAGGTACTGCGACCTGAGCAGAAACGCCTTTTTGCACCTGTGCGTCTGGGAAATGGACATGGAAGCGACTCCGGAGTCCCCCCAAGCGCCATCTTCTCACATTGGCGCCGTCTCGTTTCCAAAGTTTCCATCGCACCCTAGTTTTCGTGATTATTGAAGTCTTCAGACGTCTTGTCGCCCAGTCCAATCTCTCTCTGTTCAGTAAAAGAGGAGCTCTTCGATCTGGAACCATCGACATTCAGGTCTTACCGAGTGTTCTTCAGCAACCAACGTTATTTAGGTCAACATTTCGTCGGTTCCGGACCCATTTTTCTGTTGTGAGCCCACTTGGAAGTTCTCTGAACCTCTTGAAGAAAACTTCGATGTTCTTTTCAAACAGGTCATTTTGCTGACCATTTCTTCTGATCTCTCGTATTCAGGTGAAACGACAGTCGCGCGGACTCGTCGAAGACGTTCCTTGGCTAGATCCCTTCACCTCCAAACGCATCGAAACCATCAGAGCAATGGTTTTCCTTTGTTCTCTGGTTCTTGCAACAGTTTTTCGTTTAGAAGAAATATCCACAGTCGAGTAGAAATCTATTTCTTGTGATTGAAATGCCCTCCATTCGGTTGGGAACCCATATCTACGAAGTTGTGTACTATGAGGACGACTTGAAAATTGTATGCTTTCCCAAGACGTGAAGCCAAAGAACAATTATTACCTTTTCAGCTCCGAATCAGCTCCTCGACTGCGGCAGGAGTCGTCAACGGGAGCCGGATGTACGCTGCGGATCCGGAACTGGGCCTGGAGTCTCTGGCCGAAGTGAAGCATTCGGCGATAATGCGAATGGTTCCGAAGGGCCGCGATGGGCTTGGCGATAAACACCTCAAACCCAACAAGCAGGCCAAAGACCGTCTCGAAACGATTATCAAGGTTCTCTAGGTTTCCTTTTCAATCTCCAACTGAACTCATAGATGCCGTCCTCTCAAGTGCTGACGTCAGAACAGCGAGACCTTGTTTGGAAGTTTAGATACTATCTGAAAGATGATCCACGAGCTCTCAATAAGTATCTGAGGTACTCGAGGGAATACGCGAGAAAAAGTGTCAATTGCGAAATTCCAGATCTGTGCGATGGTACCGTCCTGCCGAAGAACAAGCAGCTCTGACTTTAATGAAGTTTTTTGGCTCATTTTTTCCTTTTCACACTTTTTGTTCAGCGACTGGGCGCCTATCCAGGCAGAAGATGCTTTGGAACTTCTCTCTCCGGCGTTTACGCAAGTGAAAGTCAGGTAAATTCCGCTTATCGTTGATGGAAACTTGAACTGTCTTGGGGTGTGCCGTAGCGCAGCAGGTTGTGTGCCTTTCTACGGTCCACAGGATCACAAGTTCGATCCTTACCTCGACTTAACCAAGTTTTTTAAAGAAATTTTGGTAGTGGGCGACTTCAAAAGAAAAGCGTAGGAAGAAGAGGAAGAAAAATGCCGTGTTCAATTTGATCCCGCGAAACGCAAAATGATCTCTGACTCTCCAAAATTTAGTGATCTTTTCCTTTCTCTAACGGATATTTTGCATTTCGCGTAATCAAATTGAACACGGCAGAAGGAAACTTGAACAGTCTTCAGTTTAAAGATTTAATTCTGATTGGCTTATCGTTCAAGATTCTCAGACCTTAATTTAGAGCTTACGCAGTTTCCCGTCTCCTGGATGGCGCTTCACCCGACCAGGTCCTACTTTACCTTCCTCAGCTAGTTCAAGCACTGAAATACGAGCCAACGTCGGTGAGCGACACCTCTTTCGTCAACCAGGTTCCTAGGCTTCAGGCGGACTCGATTGAAAACTTCTTGTTTCAGAACAGCGATGCGAACGTCTCCAACGGCGAGAAAGACTTCGACGCTTTGACATCGGAGTCCTCACGGGCGAACAGCGAACTGGCCAGATTTCTCATCGAGTGAGGATTTTGAGTTGATCGTTTCGTAAAGATCTCCTCTTTCAGTTACGCTATATCCTCTCCGAGAGTTTCAAACTTTCTATTCTGGTACCTAAAAGTCGAAATAGAAGCTACGAAGAAGACGGACGAGGTCCTTTCAAGAGTGAGTGTTTTTTGCTCGAAATCGAAGGTTTTTCTTATTTTCAGATGTATTCGTGTCTGTTGGATAGACTGTTCGAAGAGCTTGTCAAACGTCCAGAAACTCGGTCACAAGGCGAAAACCTGAAAATACAAATGGTTCGAGCAAGCTATTTTCCAATATACGGGGAAGTTCTAGGAATTCGTGGAAGATCTGAAGATGTTGGTGGCCAAAGCGAAGGAAAGCCGGGGAATGGACGCTCGTGAATCTTCTCTGCGCACACTTCTCACCAACGCCAAACACATGACCGACCTCAAAGGCATTACCTTGCCTCTGGATCCGACAGTTCGGTTTCGTAATCCCTCTTTCTTGCAACCAACATCCTTCTCTTTGAAGACTCGGAGGCGTTTTGCCCAACACGGCCACGATGTTCAACTCCAACCTAGCGCCGGTGAAGCTCTCGTTCCGTGTCATGACACCACCCGGCGAGCGGAAAGATACATCTAAAGTAAGCTGCTTTTTTCTTTGAATTGAATGCTTTCTGAGACTAGATTATTTTGTCGATTTTCAAGCCTATATTCTGAAACAGTGCAAAAAACTGCAGATGAACCTCTTCTTACGCATGAACAGAGCCCTAGCCCGAGAAACTTCCAAATCAAAAAATTGCAGAACTTTTCGGAGAACGAATACACGTTGTTATTCAAACAAGGAGATGACTTGAGGTTTTTCTTAAACTTCTATGAATTCCTGAAAGGACAGTTAATTTTTAGACAAGATCAGCTAGTGATACAGATGATCAGGCTCATGGATACCCTGTTCAAAAAAGACCAACTCGACTTGAAGCTGACTCCTTACGCGGTGAGATTGTGAAGAGAAAATCACCCATCATAAGGTCTCAGGTCCTCTCGACGGGTGTTGATGAAGGGTTCGTGCAGTTCGTCAAAGCTTTGCCCTTGAGGGTTATTGTTAGCAAGTTCAGTGCTCACCGCTCTGACAGCATCAAGGTTTTTTTGTTCCTTCCGAAACTCATCATGGGATAATTTTCCAGGAAGCGATGAAGGAGCGAAGACCTGCTCCCAATGGTCCCTTTGGTATTGAAGCGAACGTCGTCGATAACTATGTGCGCTCATTGGCTGGGTAACCCCTTTTCCGTAACACAAACTGATTTCGTTTGAAGGTATTCGGTGATCAGCTATGTGCTCGGAATCGGTGACCGACATCTCGATAATCTTTTGCTCTGTGAAGATGGTAGGCAAAGAAAATCCGCTCTTATCTAAAAACTTTCCAGGAAAAATATTCCACGTTGATTTTGGATTCATCCTGGGTCGCGACCCGAAACCTATGCCTCCGCCGATGAAGCTGACTAGCGAAATGGTTCAGGCCATGGGCGGTGTGAAAAGGTTCCCGGAAATTCAAAAGTACTCAGAGTTTAACGCTTTCAACTTTACAGTAAACAGTTCCTCAAGTTCTGCCAGTATTGCGACTCGGCTTATCGAATTTTGCGACGTCATGCGAACGTGCTGCTCAATTTGTTCTCGCTGATGCTGGACGCCGGAATCCCCGACATCACGTCCGAGAGCGACAAAGCCGTCTTCAAGGTCGAGCAACGTCTTCGGCTCGAACTCAGCGACGAAGCCGCTTCCAAACACATTCTCAGTCAGGTCGAAGCCAGCATGACCGCCAAAATGCCCATCATTTCCGATATCATCCACGACATTAAACAAAACTACTTTTGATGTCCCCACTACGTGTACTCAGAGATTACGAGAGCAAAAAGATTTTTAGTAATAACTTGAGAAGCGGAATTGGTCCTTCACCTCTTTAGTGGTAACTTAGGACACCGACTTCCCCGCCGAGAAATTTGAAAAATTCAACTTTGATCAGATTTTAAGATTTTTGTGTCAAAAACTGTATTTATTGTATAAATGCATCCTACGGTTTTTTTTTCCAGTCTTTAATAAATATAATTGATGTAAATCAAACTGTCAAATTTTATTACTTCAATCTTCCTCTCGTTTTCTTATATTTCTTGTAGTCGTCTTCTTCTTGAACTCGATGGGCCCTTTGACCTAAAATTCAAAAGTTTAGCTTGAAAACTGCCTTCAACGGACTTTTTTGGTCATAGTGACTGCAGTCTTCTCTTCGAACTCGATTTTCGGCTCGTTGAGTTGCTCTTTCTGTCGTTGTTCTTCTTCCTTCTTCTGCTGCTCCTCCAGTTCCCGATATCGAGCTGTTAATGGGGACTCGAAAGGACCGTCGCTGTGAATGTCGGAGATTTGGGAAAACGGGAAAACTAGAGCTCACTTTTTCTCAGCAGCAGTGATTCGAACCCAACCGCCACGCGGATCGTAAGGTTTGGTGAAGTCGGGAGGAGGCGGGAAACTCTCGATTTCTGTCTTCACTGCTTCGGGTTGAACCTATAAGAATAAGTTTCAAGTAAGAATAGAATACTCTTAACCAACTTCGTTGGAATATTCTGAATCGCCGTTCGGCAGTTCTGGAAGATGAGAAAACGTGTCAGAACTCGAAGTTCCTTCTGAAAGACCATGAGACTTGAGATTCGACCCGTGAAAATTACCAGACGGCGGTAAAGGTATCTCTCCCATCGAAGAGCTGTCAAGATCCTCATTTTGGGGACTACCTTCTTCTGTTGGTTCTTCTTGGTCTTGCTCCTCTTTTCCTTGCCTTTGCTTCCATCGTTTCTCCCGTTCCGCCTTCTTTTTCTCCCACGCTTTCATTTTTTCCTTCTTCTTTTTGTTGAGTCCCAACTCTTCTCGGTTGTTCTCGACGGTGGACTCCATACCGCTTTCGGCTATCTTGCTTTGGATGTACTTTTCCAGGCCTGTATCAAGGATTTAACTTTGAAGTTGCTGGCTTTTGAAATACAGTAGCGGAAATGGATTTTATTTTCGTTTATGACTGCTAAAAACCATTGTTTTGACTTGAAATTTTGAAAAGCAAATGGAAGGAGGTCCCAATGAGCGTGTGGGACACACTTATTGAGTCGATGCCCCAAAGAAAAACCATTATTTCAAATTTTCAATATCATAAGTTTACTAAATTGGTTAACATCCCAGATCAAAATGATTGTTTTTGAAAAAGTTACGGGCGAAAAACAAAAAAATGCTCACTATTTTCCACTACTGTACCTAGATAGATCATTTTTCTTTCCCTTCGCAAAACATATTTTTTTTTAAAATCGAAGACAAACTTTTCTTTCCTTGGCGAACGGCCTTCACCTCATCCGTCCCGTAGTAATACTTGTCGCGAGCTTCTTCAAACTCTTTCACCTTCTTTTCGTACTGAGCCGCACTGTAGAAATAGGACGGTTGCTCCCAACGCGTCGCTTGAAAATAATAGTTTCGAACAGAAACTTTTCGCGGAACAAACTTTCATCAAAGATGTTCCAATAGTAAGTTCGCCCGTTCTGATCCTTGGCTTGAACCCAACTGATTTCACCGGTCTGGGTCTGTTGTTGTGGAAGATGTTGGATCACGTGAGAAGCTGGTAAAGCAGGGCCCGCTGCCGCTGGATTCGTTACTGAAAAATCGCTCGACTAGATTATCTAGGGCCTGACGACCCACGATCTCGGTAGGCCGAAGCGACGTCTTCTTTTGTGACTTTCGGTGTCGGCCCCACCATCCCTGGAGCAGCTCCAGATAACCCCTACAAATTCACTTGAGAAATGATGAGAAATCGGTTAAACCTTCCGCTTTGCGGCGCCATCTCGCCTTGCAGCCATCTCTTGCGCCATGGATCCAATATCTTTGTGCTGTTTTGGGTCGAAAATGTTCATTTTGAGGCCGGTGGCTGGAATTTTCCTGATTTGAAGATTATGAAGGAGTTGGAAGTTACTCGGAAGAGAAGGGCCGTGTGTCAAGGCTTCTCCATGCGCCATCATTGACGCAGCGGCCGCCGCCTCCATTTGGGCCAAAGTCGCGTTCATTTTGGCTTGCTGAATCCTTTCCAGATGATTATCACTAAAAAATCCCTCACAGCAAGTTCATCTTTTCTTGTCTTCATAGACGCCTCGCGGATTCTGTTGGCAAGAGCCGCTTTGTGCCGGTCTCCCCGTTCGTGATGTTCTTGGGATATTTTGTTATTTCCATACCAGCACTGAAATAGAAATAGAATTTTGAAGAGAGTATTTGCTAGCATGAATTTAAAAATAAAGGCTGTTTTATTATTTTTGTTCAATTTCCGAGTTTATTTCTGATGCAAGACGTTTTTCTTATGGTTCAGCAGCACATAGAGGCCAAAATTTCAAAGAGACGTAAGATACGTAAAATTCTAAATTGTACGAAAGAAAAATTTTCCTAAAGGAAGAAGGAACCCAAGAAGATATTTTAACGGTAAACTTTACTCCGAGCTTCTCTCTACCTCTATTATAAAAACTTATTAAAAAAATTATTAAAAATCCGTGCAACCATGGTAGATTTATAAAAAAACAATCAAGTTTCATAAGCAAAACCTATATTTACCTTGCAAATTTCGCAAAAACTTGCGGCCAGTGGAAATCCATACGTCCGCCATTTTTTTCAGAAATATATCTGAAAAACCCATAAAATTCTAGTGAAAAAAATTATTTCATTCTGTAAATACACAATTTTTCGCAAAAAAAGTATTAAGAAAAAAATATTGAGCCAAGAAGACGAAGTTTTTCAAGTTAAACATCTTGAAGCGCAAAAAGTTTTCAAAGAGATGAATAAACTTTATATAAAAACTATTTTACTTCCTAAATGAAGAAAAAAAAACTGAAAACATTTTCGCATTCATAGTTGCGCAATTGCGCCACCCTAGTTCTTCAACAAAACATCTTTTAGGAAATTTCGAAGAATATCATTGAAAGATCCCGTATCTTGAACCGTTGACTATTGGAAAACGAAAATTATAATTACCCTTCGACATCGAAACGAAAAAAGAAAAAAAAAGCAGCATTTTTTGTGTGGATTTACGCGGTCTCTGTGATTAGATTGACGCGCACAGGAACTTTGACGCGCAAATTTAAGTTCGAAAACTTTCTCAATTTTCGACTCCTTTCACAATAAGAAAAGTGGAGCAAGGAATCATAAATATATAAAAATATATTTAAAACTACCTATATATATATATATATATATAGGTCTAATTTTTCATAAAAAGAAAAAACATCTCTTCTTCACAGTAAGCAAAAAAGAAAAACGTTCTTTTGAGGACCCTCAAAGAAAGCTGAAAGGGTTAAAAGCTCCTGAAAGGACGGGAAAAAGTTTTTTAGCACCTTTTTCATATCTTCAAAAGATTCTTTCTGAATCCCTTGAAATTTTTTTAGTTACTTTCTAGCATCTTTTTATCAAAGTATGTGAGAAAGACGAAAAAGTGAAAAAAGAGAGATATATATATTGGTCTCTTTTTCTGTAAAAAAAGAATTTTTCCGAGTCTTTTCCCTAATAGCCATGAAAGAAGAACAGCTATATAGCCTATAACCAAGCTCTCGCGAATGAAAGTTAGGATAAGGATCACATCCAGATGTCATTCCGGAGGTATCACAAAGATGCTACTTGTCTCCTAATAAAGGACCAACAATTAGCTAGAATTTTGGAGTAGCTCCACGGTACCTACCTGTATCTTCCTCCCGATTCACTCATCCCCTGTTTTAAAACTCCAATTCTCCAGGTCCATAGGGTTACTCAATGTACTTCACGCCGTTTCTTCTCGAGCTTGATATTAAAATTTCATCTAAAGATGAGTAAAAATGTTGTAATAAGCTCCAAACAACACCTTGTTGTTTTTATTTGTCGAGTTGTGTAGATGAAAAAGCCGGGAGACGACGCATTGTTTGTGTTGCAATTTGGGTGTGCTTGCGGCGGAATTTCTTTGCCTGGACACCAATTCCTTGCACTCGCACGGCTACGATCTGTGGTCATATTAGTCCCTGGGGGGAAATGACAGTTGGCCGCAGGACGGTCGCATATTTGCACACAGATAATTGTCGTATCATTCCGTAATATGGGCAGCTTTCTTTCCTTCTTGCCGGCATCTCTTGTTTTTTGACTCTTCATCCAAGGCAAACAAAAGTTCTCAATCCGACGAAAGGTTCTCATTTTGCGCGACGTTTTGTGTGTTTAGAAGTATTTGTATACGTCTCCAGGCTGTTGCATCGAATTCGCGCATTTTCTGTTCCGGACATTGATTTTTGTCGGGGGAGACACGTCATTTTTGTACGATTCCTCTTTCATTTTTTTTTTCTTCATCCTTGCTTTTCCATAGGCAAACCTTGAAACTTCACCTCTCACCGTTTCATTTACCATTGAAATTTCAATTGGTTCTATATATAACAACAACTTTCCAGAGACACAACGGCGTTTCGGTGTTTGCTTTCCAATTGCCATTCTCTCTCTCTCTCCCTCCGCGGGAGCTATGAAATCGTCACCGAGGAGTCATGTCGTTATAAACATGAAGGTTAATCATTCATATCCTCACTAGGGAAATAATTTTACTTTGCGGTTGGGATTTCTCTTTCCTGAATATCAGCCAGAACACTTCTTGATGTACCAGATGAAGAACCTCAAACTCTTGGGCAAAGGCCTAAAGCCTAAAAATAGTCTATTTTAATAGACTTTGAGAGGTTTCTTGGATTTACGAGACGTCTTTACTGAAAAACTGAAAAGTTGTGTGGTTGGAGACTTTCAGAATCATCTTCTGGTACTTCAAGGAGCGTTCAGACTAGTTTTCAGGAAAATCTCAACCGCAAAGTAAAATTACCTCCCTTGTAGGTCGGTAAAACTGCCTATTTTTGGGAATAGACGTCTTAAAGCTCGTTTTCCTGGCATTAAAATATCTAACTCCCATAAAATTTGATCTAAAGTAATTTTACAGTTAGGCTAGCTTCTGAAATATTTAACTGGTTCGTTGAAAAATTTCAGACTAGTTCTCTGGAAATTATCAAATGGAAAGTTTCATCTGATACTTCCACTGAATATTAATGAGTCTAACTGAAAAAAAATCAAGATGACAGATTTCAGACGACCATAATGACACAAGGTGGACACAATGGGGTAATTTTCCATAGCGCCGTTCAATCAACACCTTCGACTTCAGCTGGTAAGATAAATTCTGTCAAAGAGTAAAATAAGAAGACAAAACACAATTCAAGGCAATGCTTGGAACTGGCAGCAGACGCGATTTCCGCCCCCAGAACCTAGTCTTCTGGCATTAGGACCATCAGCTGAACTGAACTTGTCTCAGGTAAAAATTCGGCTTTTTCTAAAACTTCTTGTGCAGTCGGAGATCCGAAGCCCGATGCCGATACAGACGCTGGCGAGTACAAGTCACGAAACTTTGGACTCAGGTTCTCGAGTCTCTGGTCAGAAAAAAAGAAGTTTCATTCCTAGGACCGTACTCTCCGATCAGCCGGCCTTTGCGCCACAGAGATTCTTCGCTGCCACCATTAGTTCAATTGCCCCTTCGTCCTCTTTCGCCCGTCTATTCTTTTCGAGTTAGAATTTTTTTCTTTTGATTTAATGTTTCTTTTTGTTTAGGTCAAGAGAAAATGATGTCTGTGAAAAAAACAAAAAGTCAATGCGTAGATTTTTTTCAAGTTTCTTTTTTTAATGTTTTACCTCGCATCAAAAATAATTTTTCTTTCTTTTTGAAAATTTTCCAGAAACTCAAAAAAATATGCTTCTTTGTCCCAAGTTATTTTTTTCGTCAAGGTTTAAAGTATAAAAAAACTATGTTATTGAGATTATTGCTCATGTTATAGAAATCGAGTTAACATGAAGAAAAAAAAACATGAAATTTGCGATATTTTGCTTTATTGCCGACAGAAAATATCAAGTAAATCTGAGAGGTAGGGTTCTTTTTTTTGTAAGATATGCGAACCATTAAATTTTATCTTGACCAGAAAAAAATGAATTTGAAGGGAAGAGACTCGCCACCCGACGAGTTCATTGAGCCAACAAAACTCGTGCTCAACGTCTTCAAGCCGGTGAGTATCATGAAATGTTTGTTTGTCAGCCTTGTTTGTCATTGACGTATCCGTTTCACACAAAACTTTGTGTCTATTTGTATAACTGCTCGAGAACAACAGCCTCCTGAAAATTGCCTCGTGCTCCAGTAGTGATGTACAAGTCGCACGAAACTGTTTCGATATATCTGCTAGAGAAAATTCAGCCGCCGCAGTATGACCGGGCCGTTGTCAGGGACGAGGGACTCCCACTTCTGCCCGACGCGTTCACTTCGGCGAGTAGCCTCGAAGTTTTCCGAGTACCTGTCAGTTTCCTTTTTGTTTTACCTAAAACTATCCTTTTTTCTTTATTTTTGAAGTATATGTAGCCTATGTACCATGACTTGCAATTTCACGGAACGAAATTTCGCTGTCCGCTGCGTGCCTTTGCGAACCTTGGTCGCGCTTTTAATTTTTTCTCTTTGATCAAAGTACTATATTTTCATGTGTTCCCACAGCAATAAAAATCAATTGAAAACGTGACCTATACTCGAAAGACGCTTCGCGAACGCACGCAGCGGAACAGCGGAATGTCGTTCTGGGAAATTTCAAGGCACACAGACTATATCATGACAGTTTTTTTTTGATGTTTTTTTTTAAATATTCAACGCTTCTCAAACGCCACTTAATCTACAGCACCCCATATTTTGTCATGAGAATTCCTTTTCAACAAGCTCATTTGTTCGAAAAAAAAAATTAATTGCTCCTTTGCAAGAAAATAATTTTAGAAGATATTTGCAGTCGCAGAACACAATTCCCACAGTGACAGAGGCTCCCAATCGCAGTACTTCGTACAATAACTGGACGAGGTAGGTATTGAGAATCTCAAATACAAAAAAAAAGATAAAACTAGTGTCATTCAATTTATTGCTTTTCAAACGTTAATAACTTGTTGATTGAGAGAAGCAAAATTGAAATACTTTTATTTGGAGCTTCGAAATTTGATTTGAGTTTCCAAAGTTATGTTAAAATTCAGAACGGAAACTTTATTGAACGATCCAACTCCAATCGCTTCAAAGGGAGTCCAATGGAAGGAAAGACTCGTCGAGGGTGTCTCAAGAACGGCAGAAATCGAGTTTCCAATACCGTGAACATTCATTTCACGATCTTTTTTTCAGTAGGTTCAGAGCATATGAATCGTCGACTTCAGAGGGCCTAAGATTGAACTCTCTATACGAAAGGTTTAGTTCTTTCTTGAAAATTTTTTTTTATTTCACCCTACAGTTTCATGCATCTATTTCTTTCTTCAATTTTGCCTTTAAAAGATAATTTTAGAGATTTTCACGAAACGGAAGTTCAAAACCCTTCTTCATCAAACGTCAGAAGGCTCCCAGTAACTGAATCACAATCAGTTTTACCGGAAAGATCAGAAACTTTGATGAGGCTCCTGAAAGAATAGTATGAATTCTAATTATAGTGCTTAAGGCCAACTGCGGGCTCTCCCGACTCTCTTTTGTCGGCTCTGCGACCTTACTCAAGCATATCCAACTTGGCTCAGAGAACTCCTAACTATGAAGAAAATCTTTTTCGTGAACAGAGACCCCTCAGTCCACTTTACATCATCCCAGACAGAAAACGGTATTTTGCTCCGGCAACTTCATACCAATATTATTTCTCAGATACGCGGATACGGAATTAGAGAGGAGAACTCAATTGGAAACTGTCAGGTAATATAGCTTTTGTGAAAAAGTAATGAAATATTTTTTTTTTAGAAGGAATGAGGCTTTCCAAAAACCACGAAGACACGCTCAAGGATACACCGAAGAAAGGTCTGAGTAGCTGGTCGACGCTAAGCAATGCAGTGATTACGCTGTGGTTCCTGAAGATACAATTGTTGATTCGAGAAGGAAATCACGAAGCTCTAGAAAAGGATCACGCAGATCTCGCAGTTCCGCAAGACAAGAATTAAATGAGCCTTTTCGAAGCCGAAGTATATCGCCTGCAGCCGATTTTCTGACGAGAGAACCCGAGCGTCCGGTAACGCCCATCGATCCAAACGACCTCCCGGGGCGCCCGAGTAGCGCTCGAAGTCAGGAGATATTCAATCTGTATCAAACCAGAGACGCTCTCAATAGAGTAGTCGACCAACTGTAACTGTTCTCCAAACAATAAAGGATTTGAGAAACTTTGTGACCTTTTTTCTTGTACAAACCAATATGTCGAAGTTCCTTTGAGAAAACGCGGCGAATTAAATGAAGAAATTACTTAACATACTTAACAGTTCTAGAAAGAATACTTGAATCAGTTTCTATGCGCGTGTTAAATTATTTTTGAACGCGAAAGCATTAAAAAAAAAGTTGAACGCGATAAAATTGAAAGAGAAATTTGATATTACCGCAATTTTTTTAAGCATTAATATCTATATGGTTCGGATGCATACAGAGCAGCAATATATTGAAATTTTCATATCGAATATGCTATATATTTGCTAAAACATATCCTTCGGCTCGCAACTGGCGGCGTGGTGTATTGTTAGTTGTCTTGTGCACGGTCCCCACTTTAACCAAAGTGAGAGTCCTTTTGGCGGAGCACAAAAAAATCGGTCGCATTTTATAAACGACCGCATTTTATAGCATGTTCTAACAAAGATAGTCTAATCAGCAACGCAACTCGTGCACGCATTTCAAAAATAAAACAGGCGAATAGAGAAAGTCTGCTGCAATGCAAATGGGTCCTGCGCAGAAGCGGTCATTTTAACATTCCTAAAATTCTCTATTTATTTAAAAATATTATGTGTAAATAAAAATCACGTTCATTACCCTTCAATATTTGTATAATTTACTAATTTTCTTGTTACCTTTCCGTTTTTTGATGTTTACGAAGTGTCTATACTCAATATTTTTAGGCTTTTTTTAATTCTTTGTGCAGATCGGTTTTCATTTTCAATTTTAAAAAAATGCTAGGTTTTCGCTTCCCTATTAAATTTAATTCTTTGTTCAAAGTGATTCCATGAAATTAAAAGACGCCTAAATTTTGAATAGGCGTAAACTTTTTTTATTCTTGCGTTATTTACTTTGAACTTTGCCTCTTGGAGAAACTTTATGCCAAATTTGCCGTTGTGTCTCTGTTCATGTTTTTTTCTCACTAAACCGAAGTATAACGCCTGTTTTTCACGATTTATAACTGTTTCATTTAGTCCCAAATGTTTCGAACTTCAGGTCTTTAAAACGCCAAACGATCCTTAATCCACCACGATGGTTAGGGAAGACAGGTCCACTTGGAAAGCGAACTATTTCGTTAAACTTGTCGAGCTTTTCGAAGAATACCCAAAGTGTTTCCTTGTTGGTGTAGACAATGTTGGCTCTAAGCAGATGCAGGAGATTCGTCAAGCGATGCGAGGTATGCTCAGAAATTTGAGAAAGAAAGCTCGTGTTTGTGGGTTCCTTAAGATGATAATTTTTAAAAAATTCCTAAAAAACAAAGAAAAAAAAATATCAAATGGTAGTTCACAAGCGTCAATGTCAAAAATCGAAATATAAAAAATGTGATTCTAGGGCATGGCGTGATTCTGATGGGTAAAAATACAATGATTCGCAAAGCTATTCGCGGTCATCTCCAAAAGAATCCGGCTCTAGAGAAGCTTTTGCCGTACATCGTTGAGAACGTTGGCTTCGTCTTCACGAAAGAAGATCTTGGAGAAATCCGTAAAAAGCTTCTGGAGAACAGAAGGGTGAGTATTTCTGAGTTTTGCTTTTGTCTGCAAAGAATCCTTATATATTTCTCCAAAGTTGGCGAGATATGGGGCATATTTCTAGGATCTGATGATGAATGCGGTTTAAGACACTTAACGCTTTCTGGGAGTTTTCTTCAGGAAAGTGAACGCTTTTAAAACTTGTAGCGATCAGTTAAGAGACTTTGAAGTCTTAAAATGAAAACTTTTCATGTATCGTTACCAGTTTCTGCAAATTGATTTTCTTATGTCATGTTAAAAGACGTCAATTTCCAAATTACTTCAAATATGGCATTAAAATAAACTTTCTTTTTTTTAGGGCGCCCCGGCCAAGGCTGGAGCCATTGCCCCGTGCGATGTCAAACTTCCAGCTCAAAATACTGGTATGGGTCCCGAAAAGACATCTTTCTTCCAAGCTCTTCAAATTCCTACCAAGATCGCCAGAGGAACAATCGAAATCTTGAACGAAGTTCATCTCATCAAGGAAGGCGACAAAGTCGGAGCATCCGAATCCGCTCTTCTCAACATGCTTGGCGTCACTCCGTTCTCATATGGTCTGGTAGTTCGTCAAGTCTACGATGACGGTACTCTCTACACGCCTGACGTTCTGGACATGACGACGGAAGAGCTCCGAAAACGTTTCTTGGCTGGAGTTGCGAACGTCGCGTCCGTTTCTCTCGCAATCAAATATCCAACTCTTGCCTCGGTCGCTCATTCTTTGGCTGGAGGACTCCAGAATATGCTCAGCATCGCTGCTGCTACTGACGTTACCTTCAAAGAAGCTGAACAGATCAAGGAATACTTGGCCGATCCCAGCAAGTTCGCCTCTGCTGCCGCTGCTCCGGCTGCGGCTGCCGCCAAAGAAGCGGCTCCTGCTGCCTCAGCGAAGAAAGAAGAGCCCGAAGAGGCATCTGATGAAGACATGGGCTTCGGACTGTTCGACTAATTTGTTATTTTTTCGTTAATAAATGTTGTTGTTTCATACTAATTTGATTCAATCATTGTCGTTCTCGATATGATATTTTTCCACATATTCACCCAACTGTCTTAACTCTTCCTTCAGACTGGCAACTTCCACGCAGAATGCTGATCTTCAAGGATGTTTTCACAGGTTCGTTTACATTCTGTTTCTCTAAATTGTCACATCCACGCACCTTGAGTTGTTTTGCTTGCTTCAGTTATAATTTGTTGGACTACCAACGTTGTTGGCGTTCTGTCGACACGGTGGCTGTACTACAGGTCATTCTTAAGTGAATAGCTAAACAACGAGTCAAGTCGTGGTAAATAAGAATTTTCATTATAACAAATTGTCAGGATGTTTTCTGATGCTTAGTTAATGATTATTACATTCAGATGATGAACTTTCATCGGACTCTTTCCCGATGAAGCTTGTTGACGACCTCGTCTATGAGTTCAAGGGCCGCCATGTGGTGCGAAAAGAAGGCGATATCGTTTTGGAGGGATCCAATCCGTCTGCAGAAGGAGGAGAAGATGATGGCTCTGACGAGCATGTGGAGCGCGGAATCGACATTGTTCTGAACCATAAACTTGTGGTTTGCTTTTATTTGCCCTTTCATTTGTTTTTAGTTTTTCAAATCTGTGTAAAACAAAATATTTTCAAGATTCGCCAAAATAACTAGGTTCGAACGCGCCAAAATTTTGACATTACGTGAATTGATCTTTTTTTTTCGAATCCAAGTTATAGATTAATTATAAATTGCATGTGACATAGTTTGCCTTTCTGTTTTTGATAAGATTTTAATTAAGGAGATGAATTGCTACGAGGATGCCAGCATGTTCAAATCATACATCAAAGGATTCATGAAGAAAGTGATTGATCATATGGAAAAAGAAAATCGATCGAAGGAAGATATAGACGCTTTCAAGAAGAAGATCCAAGGATGGGTTGTTTCCCTACTTGACAAACAACGCTTTAAGAACCTCGCTTTCTTTGTTGGTGAGTTTTTTTATTTATTTCGAATTCATGATTTTTGAAGAAAAGAAAACATTTACAGTGACTCCTGGCGAAGTCCGCTTTTTTATTCGTTTTTCATTCTAATTTTTTTAATCATTCTATTTAAAGCTTCAAAGTATTCAAACTAGAACAGCTATAACCTTTGATGAAAACTTGTACTGGTGATAGAAAAAAAGCAAATTGTTATTTAAAGGTAATGTACAATACTTTTAGGGGAACGACAAGCCGAAGGTCACGGTGAAGGGCAAGTAGCCATAATTGAATACAGAGATGTTGATGGACAAGAAGTACCGACGCTTATGCTTATCAAAGAAGCTATTTTATCTGAGAAAATCTAACCGCAACCACGCACTATACGGATTCACGCTTAATATAAATTTTTGCTACTGAATAAATTATTTATATTTTCATTGGTTTCTCTTACAATTAAAGTTGTGATCAAGTTATTATTATTTTGTGATATCTTCTCTATCTGTATCCGAATGGCGGAGCCGACCAATCACGCTGTGGAAATATGCCTACGACTCGGCTCATGCTTTTGAAACGAGAGAAACTGTTTTGCTACGCGCGTCAAGCTAGCTTTATATACGCGGTATTACGGAGTCCGACAGCATACTTTCGAAACTTCCTTATCCTGCGCAAATCCAGAGAGCATTGGAATAGTTTCGGAATGCTCACAAACATGATTTAAACAGCAGGCAGTTAGCCTCTGTATCCTGTTTATTGTTAGAATGTCAGCAAGTCTGGACGGAGTACGAGAGTGGACGCCTCCTTGTTAGCGAATTTTGTGGATACGCCGATTGACCACTGAAAGTTGATTTTTGTAATTTTTGACATTACTTGTATCGTTACTTATAACGGACTCTACACCTGTATCATCGAGCCTAAATCTTTAGAAGTTTGGAACGTGAGAACCGTACATTTTTTCTATATATGACTAGGTGGCAGAGTGAGACCCGAAATTTTTTATTTTTTTTTTGAATTTCTCATTATTCCATTTCAGATGGATGTCAGTGACTTGAACTATGTTCTAGAAACGTTTGATTGGCTCGTAACTTCTCGAAGCATTGATTACTTCACTCTAGGCCGTGGAGAAAACTTGTGTTCGTCATGGAAATCATGTTTTATGAAGAAGGTTCGTTAAAGGGAAGTTGATCCATGACTGGCTTGAGCAAATTTTAAAAAGGCTCTTGACGTGATAAAACGAATTGTGATAGAGAAAAGTGCTTCATGGTTCGTTTTGTAAAAAAACAGAAAAAAAAGAAGTTAGCCAGACGGAGAAGTTCTAATTGAAAAATTCTAAACAGTAAATTTCACTTCGGCTATCTATTTCCTCTTTTTCTTTTCAGCTTGATAATTGGGAAGAAATAATATCCGATGGATTTGAAGCCAGACAAGGATTGAAAAGAGAGCCGTTACCACTATCTTTCCTTTGCTTGCGTCAGTTTGTTTCCAAAATCTCGTTCTGCAGACGTCATCTTATTACTCCGAAGGAAGTGCTCAAGAAAGTCTGCGACAAGAAAGAATGTACGACCCAGGTTTTGGGAGTAGAATTCGTTCAGTTATAAATTTATTTTCAGTCCAATCGTTTTCCGAACAAGTTCGTTTCTCTTTCACAAAAGAAAGTGAAACTCAAGAAGTCTCACGAAGTCAACAGGCTGGTTGAGCTGATAGAGCAGATGCAAAAATGCAAGCACTTCTGCTCTGGAGGTTTTTGTCTCGGCGCCAGTTACATTAAGAGCAAGAGCGGAAAAGTGTAAAATTTGTTTAACTAGTAAAACTCGGCTGCGCCTTCAGAGGCTCAAATCTGACTAGGAAAAGTTTTTTACCCTCCGGTTGAACTTTTGATGAAACTTCGCTGAATTGTACTTTAGGACCTCCTGATTGCAGAACAAAAAAAGTTTTTGCAACAGATCTCGTTTTCGAGTTATGAATCTTCAAAGTCCCCAAAATACACAAATTATGATAAAAAATAATCAGAATGAGTACTGTACTGCAGAAATCGACAGTGTTATGGATATTGGCGCGGGCGTAGGACATCTTTCACGGTTGATCGCCCTAAACACTAATCTCCGGGTTTTGGCGATCGAGGGCAATCAGCAGGTCCAAACTTTTATGAGTCAAAAGACGGATCAGATCTCAGTTTTCCGAAGCCGCGACATCCTTCGATGAACAGTTGTCGGTGAAAGTTTCAGTACTAAAAGGTTAGTTCACTAAGTAACAACAACTCGATTCTATCTGCAGAACGATTGCCGATACGTGAGATCGGATTTGTTAATGAAAGGCTCGCACAGAAGATTGATGGTTTTTCGATTGGAGGTTTGCTCAATCAGGAACAAAAACTTTTTTGATTGTCGTTTAGTTCTCTACCTCACGCCGCCACAAAATTTATTTGTGCAAAATTGAATGAGTTGAAGGAAATTGAATTCGAGTTCAGGTGCGATTCTCGTCGGACTGCATGCCTGTGGGGATTTATCATCAACCATTTTGAAAGTATTTTTGAACTCTAAAAAATCACGAGAACTCGTTCTCGCCGGCTGTTGCTACCACAAGGAGTTTGATAACTTCCGCTTATTCGGGGAGCAGAGTACAACGTCGGTTGAATACGAAGTGAAGGCTTCTCAAAAGATCTGTGTAGTGATTGTTGAAAATAGGAACAAGAAAAGGCTCGCTGTGCTGCGAAATGTTCCGTTTTCCCGCTCAGTGAGAAATGGAAAGACACCAAACTCGGTTACTTGGCCCGAGAGCTCGCCTGTCACAACAACGAAAGCAACGTCGCCAACATTCAAAAGATTGTCGTTAGTCTTCATTTTTTTTTCTTCTTCCAGCTGAATACATATTTTTTGCCTAGAGATCCCGTTGTCATCCGCACCGAGGAGTTTTTCAAGATGCATTCAAATTGGATAGAGAACACCTTTCTTCCTTAATATTTGATATTTAGTCTAAATTTATTCAGATTACCTTCTTATAGCTCTCCACATAAAAAGTAATCGAGTGGTTGAAAACTATTGGACTCTAGGTTCAGGAGGGACAAACTGCTTACCATGGGCATTCATAAGGCTATTTTCAGACCTGATCGGCTCCGCCCACACTCAGTTTCCCTATAGTGCAAGACGAATATTAGAAGGAAATAATAAGCTTCAAGATTTTGATAGACTTAAAATATTCTTGCTTTCAAGAAATAATGATTATCAAAAAATGAAGCTCAAAAGAAAATCTCAGGAAAGCCAAACTGATTATTTTAATAATAGGTTCATTCACTGTATACTTAATGAAGATACGTAGTTGAAAGATTACAATACAAAAGTAGAATAACGGGAATTAGTCAACCCTAACGAGTAGACTCTGACGCGGAGTAAGAGAAATCGGGAAGGAAACGAGTGATCCGGATTTATTTTTTTTTAGAAAAGAGAGTCCAATATTCGGCTTTGATAAAGAAAAGTAAACTTGTTTGGGAGAAAAGTTTATAAAAATCATGTTCAGACGGGGTCTTATTCGCTTACTGCGAGAGCTCGCCTTGAAACGTTCATCGTGGCCGCTGCGGAACGAAGGGACGCCTGTGGTCTAGGACTTTGTGGCGTCAAGAATGTCCAAGAACTTCTTTTTGGGGACTACGTAGAGTTGGCAATGCGTCAAAAAGGAAAAGACTTGTACAATACGGTTGTAAAGGTATCAACTGTTTATGTACCTGGTTTTGGATGTGTTGAGATCATGAGCATATTTTTTTGAAAACTTCTTTTTCGAAACCCCCTCGTATCAGATTTTCAACTTTACAGTTCATTCGAAAATCGGACCCCGATGTTTTGAGCGTCCGAGTGGGAGAAATGGACAACAGCGGCGTTCTTTGCATGGAGCTTCTTCGTTCTTTGATCGCCCCACTAATCGAATCGGCGATAATTGATGACCGAATGAGTTATTTGCGTGAAAATGGATGCAAAGTTGAACTTTTACCCCTTTTTGACCCTACTATATCCGCTAGATCTTTGATAATTATTGCGTCCAAAAGCTAATAAATATATAAATTTACCATTTCTGTTGAGTCAAAAGAAGTTTTTGCTCTTGAGTATACTTTTTTTCAAATGTATTTCTTTTTGCGGAATAGGCTAGAAGGCAATATGGAAAATGAAGAGAATAAAAAAATGGCGCCAGAACAAAATATTCTGAAAAAGAAAGAACCTAGAAAATAATACGATTTTGAAAAGCTGAAAACCAATTTTTTAGTTTTGATCCTTATTTTGTAAATTACTTTGGCAGAAAATGCTTTGCAATCGAAAAAATTATGCATTTTTTTTTCTGCTCTCTGGTTTCTTCTGCTGCCTTTCCTTCTCACTTTGTCCTAATCATTCTGGCATACACCTGTTGATACAGGATGGTTGACCTGAAAATAATGGACGTCGACGTTAGTTTCCCGTTTGAGCCCTATGAGTGCCAAAAAGCTTTCATGTCGCAAGTCATCCAGGCTCTCCGAACGGTAAATCAAAATCGAAACTATTAATTTTCTGGCTCTAGAAAACAGATGCTGCTCTCGAAAGTCCCACCGGTACCGGCAAAACGCTCTCACTGCTGTGTTCGGTTCTGGCTTGGTTAGAAGCCAGAGAATGAAAGCGCCCGACTTTGAAAAAATGATGCAGCTCGCAAATAGTTAGAGTTGGCGATTATGGATATAGACGGTTGTTTTGAGAGTCCGAAGACGTCAAATTGGTCAACACAGTCTACTACTGCTCCAGGACTCACGGACAATTGGAGCAGGTCGTCCACGAACTTAACAGAACACCTTACAAATGGTAGTATCGTGTCCGCCCGTTCATCGCAAGTCTTTTCAGCGTTAAATCTGCAGTGATTGGTTCTCGCGAACAGTTTTGTATACATCCCAAAGTGCGAGCCATAAAAGAGCAACTCGTGCAGGTTTTTTCGTCTTGAAGATATAAAAAAATCGACTTTGCAGTCCCATGTGTGCCGAGGAATGGTCTCGAAAAGAACCTGTTCTTACTACAATCGTTTAGAAGGTAACAATGCCAAAAAAATTATTTTATTCTCTTTCCGGAATGAAAAGATATAATAAAAAAGTTCAAAATAAAAAAGCCAAAAAGAAAAAAAAAATTGAATATTCAGAAAATTTGTCAGACGTTCATGAATATGTTTTAAAGAGATTCCAAATTTTTTTATGAAAAAAAAAGAAACCAGAAGCTCGGGCCAAGTCCGAATGGCGGATAAAGGCCGCTAAAAGGGAGAGGCTCGGAAAAGGCCGCAGAAAAGCAGCAAAAAGAGTCCCTCTATGGAGTGTTAAAATTTTTCTAGAAATTTAAAGGCTTGAGAAGGGATGAGGTTGCAAAAATGGTGCATAGGAGCCGGTGAAAGGGCGCACAAAGGCAGCAAAAAAGGAGCCTTTGTCACCTTAAAAGGAAAATTTATATAGACCCTTTCTCCACTCTTTCCGACTTTGCCTGTGACTTTATTTTCAAGGTCTGGACAGCGAAAAATTCAAGGACATCTACGAGATGGGGCGTGCCGCTGACATCGAGGAGCTCGTTGGAATCGGCAAACATCACGGGCTCGTATCCCTACTATTTCCCTTCATTTTCTGAGTTTCAGGTGCTGTCCTTACTATGCCAACCGCAAGAAACAGGAAGAAGCAGAGATCGTGTTGCTCCCGTACAACTACATTATCGACCCGAAAATGCGCCGCAGATACAAGCTCGACTTGAACGATTCCGTCGTGATCTTCGATGAAGCTCATAACTTAGTGAGTGAGAAGACAATCGACGGATGAGCTGACATCTGCAGGAGTCGATCTGTGAGTCGAACTCATCGGCAGAACTGACGAGCACCCAGCTGGCGACAGCCATCGCCGAGATGCAGAAGGCTCTCGCTTTGCAAGTCGAAGAAGACCAAAATGTCCGCGCCGAAGCGGTTAGTTAGGAATGATCCTTTAGGAATAAATTAGCGATAAAAACCTGAGAATTTATAGAAAGTTTTGAGTAGAACCCATCCCGACTTAAAAGGAGCCATAAGCAAATTTCGCGCGACAAACCCGGGTCTGAAAATATACGATGAAGCCTTCATCCCAGGAAAATCATGGTGATGCTAAAGTAATTTTTTCCCGACTTGAAAGGCGAGGGAGACAGGGCGGGACGCGTAGCGTGTGCGTACGCGGTTCTTGGCACGAGTTCAATTCAAGCGCCACCGACTACTTAAAAAGTTCGGTGACCATAGTCGCTGGCGGTTGAGTTGAACTCGTGCCAAGAGCCGCGTACGCACATGCTACGCGTCCCGCACCGTTTCTTCGTCTCCTTTGCCTTTCAAGTCGGGATGGATTGACTATAAATCCAAATCAATGAAAAAAATTTTCTAAAGAAAAACGTTATTCTCATTTAAAATATTGATTCACTTATTTCACAGGATGCAAGCACTGCCGCTTTCGGTACAGAGAAAGTAAACAAAGAGAAAGAGTCTCTGAATACGACGGAAGTGGCAAAAGCACTGAGTCAGTTTTTCAATGTCTTGAATACATACACGCACCTTTCCATTCAGACAAACTTTTCCAACTGGAGGAAGCTTTTGAGAGTCTGTGGAAATGTCCTGCACTGAAAACAGTGGAGAATTTGGAGGGAAAAGTATGTCTTGGAAAATCTGTTACCTGAATCGTGATGATACACAGGCAGCCAGTGGTGAACATCTTCTGACGAGTCTCGAGGCGGCTGGCCTCGACGCTGTTTCGGCGAGTATCACTACTGACCTATTGAAACAAGTTGTAGATTACTTGCTTTTGAAAGGTTCATTTCTTTCTCTTCTTTCTTCCGTCACTACTTAGGTTTACTTCAGGCGAGGAGATGCCTTTGGCGGAAAAGGGCGACGGAATCGAACGCCTGCGCGATTTCCTTCTTGCCATTTTCACCACACACGCCCAAGAAGTTGCAGCTGTGGTGGGCGAGTCGTCCGTCAAGGTTCAAACCGAAAATATGGCGCATTGAATACGCAGAGACCCTTTTGCAGCTGGCTGACCGTATCAGTCCCAAAACGATCGCGCAGAACTGCAGGCTGTACATGAAAAAGGATGGCGAGAAGGTTCTCCATAGGAATTTCAAGAAAGAAAAAACTTCCCTTTGCAGACAATCATCAAATATTTCTGCTTCCAAGCATCAGTGTCTATGCGAATGTTGAAGATGAGGGGTGTCCGCAATGTGATTCTGGCCAGTGGGACTTTGTCCCCAATGGCCAACTTTACTGAAGTGATGGGACTGTTAGTTTTTCAGCAGCCGTTTTTGCAATATTAGGGAAACTCAAACTCTTACCTCACCACTTATTATTAGTTTAACGAAATTTCTTGCTGAAATCTTTTTTTTGATTTACGAGAACGAAATTCGTGTAATTTAGCTTACAAGGGAACGTTTCTAACCCCCCGGTTGAACTTTTGCTGAAACTTTGCTGAAGTGTACTTAGAACCCCCTTGCTTGTAGAACAAGAAGAAAATTTCTCGCAATAAATCTTGTTTCCGAATTATGGAGCTTCAACGTGTGCAAAATACGCAAATTAGTCCAAAAAAGCGCTTTTGAAGTGTCCTAACTCGAAAACGAGATCTATTGCGAGAAATTTTCTTTCTGGGAGGTAAAAAAAGTTCCCTAGTTAGAAAGCTCTTGCTTTTAAGAAAAAAAACGTAATAAGGAGCATTTTCTGAGTTTTTGAACGAAAAGAAACCTACCATTTATGCTCAGCAACTTCGGCGCCACCTTAGAAAACATGCATGCCGTGAAAGATGTCCCTGTAATAACTTCGATCGTGACAAAAGGACTTCATTCTTCTCTATCTGGTACATATGCAAATCGGTACGATCTCTTTCTCATCTCTTCATCGATTTTCGTTCAGAAATAATGATGTCTACAAAATGGAAGTTGGCGAGAGTTTGATAAGGGTAATAGAGAAAGTGCCTCAAGGTGCCTCTGTCCGTGGAGATCCTTCAAACTCTTTCCTTTCAGGAGTTCTTGCCTTTTTTCCGTCCTACGGACAAATGGACTCGTTTTTGACCTCTTGGAAGCAAATGAAGCGCGGCAGCTGTATGAATACTGTGTGGGAAAGGATGGGCCAATTGAAAGAAATTGTTATTGAGCCTCGGCTCAAGGTGGTTTTTTGATTTTTCATCAAAACTTTAAAATCCTTCCGAATCGGTAAACATTCGTTTTGATCGTTCAGCAACTATATGTTTGAAAGTTGCAAAATTTCTAACTAAAAAAAAAGAGTTAGTTTGGGGAGAGAATGCACTATAATATGGTCTATTCCGCGCCAGCTTGTCACGTTTTTCTTTCCGCCGAAAATAGATCAAAATTGAGTTCTTTCGCTTTAAGACCTCTGCTGTTTTTTATCACTTTTGTAGAGCAAAAGATTGTATTTACGGCAGCTTTTTTCTGTTCTTTAAAAACGTGACTATCTCGCGCGGAACGCACTATAACCAACTGCTTCATACGAAATTGCAGGAAGAGGTGGCGGCAGTGCGTGGCGCCTACGCCAAGGGTGTACAGTCCGGAAATGGTGCTATTATGTTTGCCGTCTGTAGAGGCAAAGTTGGTTTTCCTTCTCTTCCGGATGAAAGGAACTCAAATCACACTCTTCCCTACAGATGAGCGAAGGAATCGATTTTTGTGACGCAGAATCGCGAGGAGTCGTCGTCGTAGGGGTTCCCTATCCGCCTGTTCACGACGAACGCGTTGTACTCAAACGGATGTACCTTGATGAAAGGCTTCTCAAGAACAAAAAGGCAGATATTCGCTTTGAAGTCCCATTTATTTACTTGAAACGTTTCAGAGTATGAACTCCAAAGACTGGTATCAGATCGAAGCGTTGCGCGCCGTCAACCAAGCCATCGGACGTGTCTTGCGACATAAGGACGACTTCGGGGCAGTCGTGCTTTTGGACTCGAGGTAAGGATTGTTCCCGGGTTCCTTCTGCAATTTTTCCGGCTTAGATATTCCGGAATCTCTCAAACTATGTTTCCCAAGTGGCTGCGTAGGACTCTCAAAAGTGAGGAATTGACGTTGATGTTGCCTCGCATCAGCAAGTTCTTCACGGATCGAATCGAAGCAATCGAGGTGTGATATTTGTTTCACTGTACAAGCAGAAAAGAAAAGAAATATGAGAATCTCTTCTATATTTCTCATATCTTAGGATCTTTAGAGTGTCCCTTATAGACAATAGGAGAAAAACAGCTCTTATAGGGACCGAAAAGTGGTCCATATAGGTGTAAAATATAGGTGGTCCCTATATGGGTCTTTCAATTTTATTCAAAAAAGGTTATTTATTCAGTTTTCCTGCATGAAGATGCTTCTTCGCATAGAGTTCATAAAAATTATCGACTCGTGTGTCCGATATAGGAGCCACTAACTAAAACCCCTATAGCTTGCAAGCTTCAGTGGTCCCTAGCGGGACCCTGTAAGGGCCCCTAAGGTTGATCCAATAGGAGATCACTCTGGAGTTCCTAAGAAATTTGAAAAAATTAAGGTATCAAAAAAGAACTACGCGCCGTTCTCGGTGACCAGCCAAAAGAAGGAAAGACAAAACGCAAGAGTAAAGTTTTCTTGGTAAAGTCGCTGTGATTGTTTTGTTTTCCCCTAGGCAACAGGATCGCGACGTCATCACCGCATCAGAGTTGTTCGCAGACGCGGACCTGGAGGAAATCGTCGCCGGAAGTTTGTCTGTTGTACGGTCGGGCTGTTCCAGCGTCGCCAAAACAGCCTTCCTCTGGATTCCACTTGCCCACTGTAGGTTTTCGGCTCGAGACCAGCTACTCAAAGACGTCCTCACAGAACGAGGAGGAAATGCAGAAACGGGAACTCGGCACAGATGCTCCGATATTTCGCGGCTTCTCGGCCTACGTGAAACGTCCTGCTGGTCAGTCGACGCCGAAAGGTGCGCCGCCTCGAAAAAAAATTTTGCTTGTGGTCAGTTGATGGACTCTTGCTTTATTTATTATCTTGAACGCAAAGAAGCCGAAAAGTGAAACTTCGGAAGATAATGCAGCAACTCTTGAATTGCCTGACTTCTTCAATGAATCGTTGAAAATACCTTCATCGACATTGCTCGCTTGGGTACGTTCGTTAATTTTGAGAAAGATCTTGGGAAATTGTTTTACAGCTTCCGGAGAACAAGAAAGTTGCATTTTCATGTGCATTGAAAGGTTACAAGACGGGGGAAACTTCATTGGATCAGGTTCAAAACATTAATTAATTCATTGAGACTTCACCATAAAATTCCAGTTGATCCCTAAACTACAGTCGATTTTTCTCCCTGAAAGACCCGATCTTTTCATCAGTGAGTTGTTTTTTTTTGTGACCTGGTTTTCCGTGAAATTTCTGACAAAAAAAAGTCGGAAAGTGTGTTCAGAAAGAAAAAAACCTCAAAAAGAACAAACAAAATTCAGTTCTGCAACGACTTCATGTGTAGAAAGGATTTCTATTTCGAACATTTTTTACAGGTTGTTCTAACTTTTTGACCCGCGACAAAGTTCATCGCCAGCAATTTCTCACAGGCATCCAAAAACTCGACTTGAAATTCTGATAAATTTTTTCAACAATGATTAAATTCAAAAATATACATGAGAAATTTCCGGAAAAATGAAGACAGCATATAAATTGACGATAATAGATCTTGAAGCACACGTTGATAGGGAAGAATATATGGGAAAAAAAGAGATCACAGGTAATGCAAAACTAGACAAAGTGAAATGAATGTAGGAAGGGCAGCATGGGTAGTAGCCTCGAAATTAAAAACCGTGATTGGAAATGACAAAAATAAATTTCCGAATTTCATTAGTTTCTCTATCTGATTGGTTTGCAAATTTTCGAGTTAGCTATTTTTGATAGGTCCGGGCGAAAAATGGAACAGATGGCCTCCGGCGGCCATAGCTGCATTTGCAGTTTCTTTCAGTTCAACGGCGCGCGCCGGTTTCTGATACTCGACTTGGTCCTCTTCGTCGCTGCTTTCGTTTTCTGAACACCTCGTTATGACAGAAGCAGGGATTCAGAAAACCGTCGAATCCCTTGTACTTGGGACTCTTGTTGACGGTACTTCGAGGGATCGTCTGTCGGGGCTCGATCGGCACGTCCCAGGCAAAACCGCCAGGCTTATGCTTTCGCTTCATTTTCGGCTTGGCCGGGTCCAACATTTTGGTATTCCTCTCTTTGTCGCTTTTCCGCCTGGGAAAACTCACTGAGAGCGATATAGACAGCGGTTCAAACTTTCTCTTCTCCGCCGAGACGGACTTGACTTCCAGCTCGTTGATTATCCTTTCGGCCTCCGCCACGAGGTCCACGTTATTTTCGTCCCAATCAGGCGCTTCGACCTTATTAACCTGAAAGTAAATAAAAGGCTAGGGCGCGAAAATGAGAAACGGACATTTTTTCTGGAGTTCTTAGCTCGATTCCTCTTCTCCTCGAGCTCTTTCTGTAATAATGAATGTGTTTGCACCATTTTTCTCTTATGAAAACTAACTTCGATCTCGTCAGTCAACACAGCAACGCGAGTGTGTATGGACTCATCGAAGCGAACTGGCTTGCTTAATGTCTGGAGAAGGGAATAAAGGTTCTGTTCAAAAGAAACGAACCGCTTGTAATCGATCCCAGTGAAACTTCTCTTCGCGATTGAATTTGCTCTTGAGCTCGTTCCGCGCACGAGACGGGAAAAACTCGTGAATGAGCCCGAAATCAGGCCCCGTGCATTGCAATATCTCTGAAGTCACGAAACAGTTAGAAATTTTTAGAAAATTCGAAAAATACCATAGAAAAGGTCGGTTTCCTTCTCGGTCCAAGCAGTTCCTTTGCGCCACAAGCGGGTCCTAAAGGACATTGAGGAGACGTTACTCGCGTTTCTTCCCTAAAAATCGTCTGTTTATTTTTGACCAATGTATACCGGCGTGGTTAATAAAACTGAAATTAGTGAAAACCTCTTCGACTGTTTCCCAAATTGTAGAGTTTCCCGCGTTAGCTGCAATCACCAGGCTCGCCTCATCGATGATGAAGCGACCGTCAACGCCAATTTTCACCTGAAAAAAAAATGATTGATATTTTTTCTAATGAAGTTAAGAACTCCCTATAGGAAAAACCTTAGGGGCCCTTGGAGATTGCCCTCTAGGGACCACTAAAACTTACAAAAGTGATCGCTTGAGGAGCTTTAGTAAGTGGTCACTATAGGGGACCTGCTAGTCGACAATTATTATGAACTCTAAGAGCAGAAGCATACCCATGGGAAAAAAACTAAATGAATAAGCGTTTTTCGACTGAAATTGAAAGACCCCTATAGGGTCCAATTGAGCTTTGGGGGCTAAGGGGTCAGCCCTTAATTTTACCTTTATAGAGACCCCTTTTTCGGCCTCTATAGGGGTTGTTTTCCCCCTAATACCTATAGGGACCACTCTGGGATTCCTAAGAATGGATCCGCTGCGAAAAGTCCACATTTTTCGTAGAAGAACTTTGATCTTACTTGCGGAGCAGTTATCGTAGCGGGCTTTTCATCTTTCTGGTCAAGGGCAACAGAGGACAAGGTGGAATCGGCTCTCTCGCGTCTTAAACCACTCATCGTCACCATAAAAGAGTGCTTTTCCCTACTTTTTCAGCTTCTGCTCGCCCTTCGGATTCCAGTGTATCAGGTCCATCATGCGCATTGTCTTCGTATTCAACTGCTCCTCACCAGTGAACTTTTTCCTTTCCCTGAGGCTGGACTTGATGTTTGGAAGTTCGAATCAAAACGTACGGTCTGGAGAGGTTGTAGAAGTCGGAATCTCCAGAATGATATCTTTCTCTCCGTAGAACAAGCGTTTGGTTCGGAACACTGAACGTTTTCAATTTAAAAAATACTTTGAAATATTTATAACTGCGCGATTCTCCGCTGTGGAGCGAGTGGATCGACGCCTTCGAACTGCCGGCAGTTGGCTGCATCCTCGACCACGACTTCTGGAAAAAAAAAATATGTTCTGAGGGAAACGAATGGGAAAAAAACTTTGAACATCGTGACCCAAGTTCTCTGAAACTTCTTCATCGTCGTCTCCAATGATTACTTTCCGACTCTGGCACTCGTCAGACTCCCTGATCGACGTTGTCTCTCCGCCATTGTCGACTGTATCCGCGATCTCTTCGGGACGGGAGTTGCTTGCACCTCTGAAAAAAGGAACGGTCCGAATGACTAGTCGATTCGGGGTACGCAGTGGAAGGGACAGGCTCAAGAGGAGCTTCGGCTGGCGTCGTTTCGACGGCCGCAGCTGCCGGGACAATCGTCCGGCCGCCCTTGGAAATATTAGGTTTGATCTGGATCCGGTTACGTCGCATTTATCTGAATCTGCAATTTGATAATATTCAAAAACTGGAGGCATAAAAATAAAACTGGTACGGAAGCCATTACATGAGGTAAAAAAGAAACGAATAAATCGAAAATCTTCAATAATCTGTACATTAGAACCAACAACTTCGAACAAAAAAAAATCTAGACTAAATAAAATTTGTAAGATATAACAAAAATGAGACGTCCTATACATAAAGCGGATTCACGGCTGGCTCGAGCCGTCGAAAAAAGGGTCCTGGCAGGATAAGAAAAGAGGCAAATCTTGGCGTCTCTACCTAGCTGTGAAAACGGCTTCAAGACTACTTCCTAAAAACTTAAAATAATTTTTTCGTCAAATCAGGTAGAATTACAGTCCGAAAATCAAGTTTTCTTAAGTAGAAACAAGTTTACGGCGCTTGGATAGGTGTATCATGGTTTCTGAACGTTTCTAACTGAAGGATAGATCTGAACTGAATCGGAATGTGGAAGAGAGATAAGTTATATAAAAGAGAAAACAACAAAATATATATTTACACGATGAAAAATGACTAGAACGATAGAAAATACATAAATAATACTTGGAAGAATAATGTACATGTGGAAGGAGGAGAAAATTGAACATATATTGATGAGATAAATAAGGAGAATAAGAATGTAAAGTTCCGAGAGATCTACCAGAAAGGACACCAGCCGATGTAGCACTGACAGAGGTTCATGTGCATGGTGGCCTGCTCGACAAGTCTGTCCAGCTGTTCGCTCGTCGAGACTTCCCGGTTCAGCTCGAACTCCGTGCCTGAACAATGATGAGTTCACGCTCGCATTGAGATTTCAGCACCTGTGAGCTTCTGTTTGATCTTGTTGATGACGCCCTGCGACACAGCCCTCGGCGCTTCTTGAAGATTCATCTTGGAGAAGTCCTTCTTCTCGCCAGGAATCCGTTTGTTGCCTATTTATTGATTTGATTTCTTGGAAAACGCGTGGTTCTCTCACTGTCCAAGAGACGCCAGTTGATGACCGGGTCGTAGACGAAGGCCTCGAGGACAGCGAGCAGCGACTCGCGATTCGTTCGCAACACCTTCAGCACCTTTTCACACGTGAATCGGTAGGTGCCTTCGATTCCGGTTATCTCCATCGCCTGTAAAACCAATTCTCTAAGCTTACACGACTTGGGTCCGAAGTTTCTCACTCAGAATCTGAGAAACGGCAGGGTTATTCAGTGAAATTTAACAAAGTAATACAAATTAACTTTCGCTTTTTCAAAATTTTCAAGCCTTGTCAATGAAGTTAAAGATTGAAAACCATGAAAGCTGAGCAAAACTATTGGGTCTGAAAAATATGGGTGATGAAATGGAAAAAAAGAAAACAAGTAAAAATTTCCAGTGATTCCTTGAATGTTATTAAAAAAAAAATTACGATAGTCAACTTTTTCGGCAAGGATGACATTCAGAAAATTCAAAAATCAGAAAATTAGATATATGAAATCAACTTCCGAGTTAGAGGCATTTTTGACGGTTCGATGTTTGTTAATAAATGGTCCACAGTACAACGAACCTTGATGAGCATCCGAGTCAGGCGGAAGGGAATTTTCTCGGGGAACTTCTCTCTCGACATGGCCACCTCAAAACAGTCACCAAAGTCGATGTGCACGATTTTTCCAGTAAGTCGATCAAGCATCAAATTGGATGGATGTCTGAAGAAGATGAGAAGAGTTTCTGGGAGGCTCTTACCGATCTCCGAGCCCCAAAATGTAGCCGACCATAGACATGCAGGCCATCGACCTCGTGTAATTCGTTCTTCGGTCGAACCAAACCTCCGAACTGAAAGTCTCGCCGAGATTTGCAGGGAAGGGTCCGGAAACACTACCTGGGGCTCTTCAGCCAAAGAACCTGTCGGAGATCGTCTCCCGGCAGAACGGTGAGCGCTTTCTCGAAGATTTGCAGCTGAATTTTCCATTAGCATGGAGAATATTCATAAAAGTTCCAAGGGCATAACCAAAGTTTCTTGCATTCAGATATTTGAAATACATAAGAGTAGACTATTGATGGGAATAAATAAAAACCTTTTGCATGACCGTTAGATGTTCGGTGTCCGGCGTGAAGTACTGCAGCGTTTTGTGCTCGGCAGAGATCGAAACCTGAGAAAAATTGGAATTTCAATGAGCTTCCTGCGATTTCTGATGCATTGTTTGGAGTAATCTCTATGAGATGAAAAATTATCTCTGACTCTCTACAATTCAGTTATATTTTCCTTTTTAAGACTGCTATATTTCTCGCAATCGATCTCGTTTTCGAGTTAGGACACTTCAAAAACTTGAAATGTCATAATTTGCAGAGTTTTGAAAAACGTTTCCTAAAACTTTTTGAAAAAGAATCGATATATGCTGAAAGAAACCAAGTGAAACGCTACTTCGACAAGTTCAAAATGACACCTTCTTCTTTTTCTCGCGGTAGTCCTTGACGAGAGCGTGCAGCGTGTCGCAGTTGGGCACCCAGCCAATGAGACCCGAGTCTTTGCTCAGCGCGACAATCGAGTAGCGCTGAAAGAAGTGGAGAGAGCTGAGGGACGGGAAGTCGTCTCGAGACCTGGATGGTGAGATTGCGACGGCACGTCTCCGAGTTGTTGGCGAGCAGCGTGTTGACGAGTCCGAACAGCTGCATGACGCGTTCGTCTTGTCGCGGGTCTTCGTGGCCTTTCAGCAGGAAGTTGTACTCCAGGCCGTTGCTTCCTTAACTTCTATTTCTTCAACCTGAAAATTTCCTTATTTTCAACCTCGGATCATCATCTTTCTTGGACGTTGCTTGCTGGTGATAACCTGCAGAACACTCAATGAAAAAATGAAAAATGCTGGAAAATCACCGTCAGTCGGGTTCCAAAAGAGGCAATTCCCACAATCGGCGCAGTAGGATCGTAAGTTCCAGGTACCGACAATTCGAGGTCCTGTTATCCGGAGCGGAACTCAGAAAATCGGAAACCAATAAATACCTTAGCTCGCATCAGAGCCGGACTGACGTAGTTCAAGTCGAGGATCGTCAAATTTTGCAATTGGTCTCGCAACCGTTTGAAAACCTGTTCAAAAACGTATTAGAAGAGGGGAAAAAGGTTTCGAGACCCCGCAGTATATCTCCCAAGCCTGGTTCAGATCCTTGACGTTTTTGCTCCGCTCGTAGGCTTGGCAGAACTTTTGGGCGTCTTTCAGATCACAGTAGTACGTCTAGAAATTGAAGATCATCACATATAAGTTGAATCTTGAAAGTTGAGCCGACCTGATTGAAAGATTGTTCCTTCAGAGTCTTCGGCCCAATCTTCATCATCGTATGCAACTCGCGCAAAGCGTCAAACATCCCTTGAACATTGTTTTCCTGAAAAAAAACCCGGATCGAAGTGCAAAGTGAGAGGGCTGACGAACATGGAAGTAGAGACGGCTGGCTTCATCTAAGGCGTCGTGCCACTTCTCGTGCCACAAGATCGCGCATCGGACCAACTCTTCGGAAACCATTGCAGCCTGTATTACCAGTGGGAATCTCGAAAGAGAAAACCAAAGGGTACCTCTTCGACAAGACTGGGATGGTACTCGGCCATTTTGGACAGAATCGCTTGAGCATTTCTTGCACGATCTTCGTTTTGGCTTTTTGCGGCTACGGTCAGCGCGTAGACAAGCGCCTGAACGTCTTACTTGCTAGGGAATGGTCTCCATTCACAAAAGAGACTCTGAATGATACTAGGTTCACTAGATGTAATTTTTCACGCTGATTCCAAATATGGTCTCAAAAACTGTCCTCGAAGTCTGTGAAAAAGGTTATGGACCCTCAAAAGGCAAAAATATTAGTGTATCCGTTTGGGCTATAGCTCTTCTCACTGCTTCTCGCTGCCGTTTCTTCGACGGTCGCCGGCTCGCAATAGGACACGTTAGCATGCTTTTAACACGGGCCGAGCTTTGAAAAATCATAACTCGGCTTCAGAACCTTTTGAAAAAAATTGAATGGTTTTTCGTGACAAGGGGAACAAGGACTATATACCCTCCAAAAATAGCTCAATCTTTGAAACTTTTTAATTCTGAAAACCCCTAACTTTTTTCACAGACCTTGAGGGCCAGATTTGAAACCAACGTGAAAACTAAATCTAGTGAGCCTAGTCTTTTTCAAAAGTCCCACTGTGAATGGAGATCATCCCCTAGTTAGAGCACGACAGTTTCAGTATCTAACTGAAAAAAGGATTCAAAATAGCCCTTTGCTAGAAATCGCTTTTCTTCCCCTTTGTTTTATGAACCTATCTCTCTTGGAAAGATTGTTCTTGGTTCTCAAACTGAGAATTTCCGATTTCTGTTTCGGGGATTACCTGTGGCTGCTTTTTGGATATTTCGCAAACCACGTTGACGACCAGCTGAACAGGCTTATCTCTGGAGTCGAGACGAGCCATGAGTTGCGGCACGACCTTCAAAAACGTCGTTACAGAGTACTAATGATCCAAAAGCACTTCGAGCCAGGTATTGATGGGAAGTTCGCTGACGCATTCACTCAGGACGTTGTAGACCTCTTCCTGCTCGCCGTAGTCAAACCACAGCTGCATGAGCCGCAGCGTGTCTTCCAGCCGCGATCCTGAGATATTGGTTTCAAGGAGAAGTCGTCCGTTGAGAGCACCTGGGGCAAAGGTCAGAGCTTTGGAGAAGCATTTGATAGCACAAATGGCGTAAGAAATGTAAGTGCAGTTGGAAGAACTCAGTGGCGACGGAGCTCCGGGAGAGCCGATGCCAGAGAGGAGAGGCGAAAGGCCTGGCGGCGCCACCATCAGAGAGCCTTGCATCATAGACGACGTGGACGAGTGCGACATCAGAGGAGAAGGATTTGGGAGACCTTGGAGCGGACCCAAAGGCGGAGGCACAGTCAGCTCTGCAAGATCTTTCTTCAGAAATTCTGAACGAAACTTTTTTTGCCCAAAAGTCGAGCGGCTCTGATTATGGTAGCTTTTTCCACAGACTAAACACAAAAAAAAAGTCATTCCGCCTATATCTTTGCAGAATAGGTAAGACTTTAGGTTCTTTAATGCTTCATAACTCTACAAAATTCGGGCAAAGTCGGAATGGTGGATTATTGTCGCTAAAAGGCAGAGGCTCAAAAAGGGCCGCAGAAAAGCAGCAAAAAGGGTTCCTTTTTCGAGCTTTTTCTTTTTTCTGGGATTTTAAAGGCTCAAGAAATGATGAAAAAAAGGAGAGACAGCAAAAATGGCGCATAAGAGCCGATGAAATGGCCTAAAAAGACAGCAAAAGAAGAGCCTTTGAACCCTAAAAGGAAAATTTCTATGGAGCCTTCTCGACCCTTGCCTATGCAAGGAGCTATCTACATCAACCAAAATGAGCTTGATATATTTTTCAAAACTCGGGACCCCAGAAAACGAACCAGGCAACGGCTGCGTGAGAGGATTCTGGGAGCCTAGGAGCAACTGCGGGGGCGACATGAGCGGCCGCGGGGACATCGGCGAGCCGTGTCTCTTCTGCAGGCTCTGCACGGCTTCTCTCTCGCAGGAAGTCGCGTAGAAGTAGGCTGAAGCGAGCTTGTGCCAAGCCTTGTGCCACTTGGGATCGTAGTCGGTCGCCCGTCCGTAGTACCGGATCACCTTGGCCATGTTGGACATCGCTTCGTTCGGCGTCGACTTCTGTACGTATCCGGCAGGGATCTGAAAGAAAAACAAACATTTGAAAAAGCATAGGGATGAAGAAGGGCTAACCCGAACTTTTGCAGGCATCACCGGTGCCGAGTAGTCGCCATTGATACTGATCCCAGACTGAAAATATCACCAGAAAATTGGAGAACAAAAAAACGTTCTTATAAGATGTTGTGCCTACCCCAATGGACAAAATTCAGAAGTCCTACTGCCTCATTTGTTTTTCCAAAGCAACTTTACACGTTTGCGAATTTCAGACAACACTTCCAAATGATAATGATACGGCTGCTGACTTCTATTAGATCATTGAGTAAACTTTGAGGAAAATGTATCTTCCAAAAACTTCCGGCTGTTCAAAATGACCGTTAAGAGGACTTCAGAAGTAGCCATCTTGCACTAATTCAGAAAAGGATTGAAGGTTCTTTGAAAATTCCGTGTGAAGTCTTCACTCGAGCTCTCATTCCGAAGTTTCCGCCTAGAGCAGTCTCCAGGCTCCAGTACAGATCCGCTACATTCTGAGCCCAATAAGACGCAACTGAATGGGCTACTCGCAGATGTACGAGGCGAAGGACCGTGAGACCATGCTTTTAACTTGGTCAACTACAAGTTTGGACATAAACAGTACCGCTCAAAAGTATATTAAGTTTTGGTTTTTTGAGGATATCTCAGCGAGTACTTATCCGATTTATATATAACTTTCAGGGATAATGTAAAATATACTTTGAAACATATACGGTATACAAATACATGTCCGCAAACACTGTGACGCGTTTTATGAATTTTTTTTTGAATTCAATTTTTTTTGTTTTTCATGCTTTTATTTTTATTAAATTTTTCAAAAGTAATAATGTTGCCATATGTTTTTTTTTTCATGTTTTCAGACATGAGAAAAACCTCTGGAAAAAAGGATTTGACTGGTAACGACAAAAGAGCCGTCGTTGTGGGTCGTCAAAATGGACTGACCATGATGACGTTGGCAGGAATGTTCGACGTGACAGAGGCGTGAATTTCTCAGTTCCTGAAGCGTCGGAAAGCTCGAGATGGTTCTACTAAGAGCCAACGCACTGGAAGACCACGTGTCACTGATCTTAATGACGATAGAAACATTTTGAAGACGTCTAGAACCTTCGTAAATGTGATTTCTCTAGGGTGAACTATATTATGTCCTCTTTCAATTGGGACCGTCAGTTCAGTTATTTTCATCAGTAGAAAGCAAATTCTCTCATTTCTTGAAAATTTTTAACGAAACTGTTCGTGACTCTTGTTCTAGCTTCTTTAATCCTCCTATCAAACGTCGCCCATTCAACCATGATAATCGTATTCGCCGCCTCAATATCAAGAGAGCAAATCTTATACGTGCAAACCTTTTTTTAACAATGTCACTCGTCTGCAATTCAATTCATTATATAAAAAAATCAAAGCTCGCGCTTCTTCCATTTACTCAGCCCGTGAAACTTATATTGCCAACAACTTCAACCACGTCCAAATTTCCAAATACATTTCCAAAAAACTAAAATGCCACTCTTCTATCCCTAATATTGCCTTCAATAACTCTCTTATCTCTGATAGTTCGTCTAAAGCTGATGTTTTCGCCCAAATCTTCAGTGATAACTTTTCTAAAGAAAGTTACGATCTGATCCCTATCTTTCCTTCTCGAAAACCCATCAATTGCTCGATTATTTTCACGCCCGATCTTGTTTATAAGACACTCTCAGCTTTGCCCCCTAAATGTGGGTTTTCTCCTGACCTAATCAATCAACTTGTTTTGAAAAGGTGTTCAACATCTATTTCAATCCCTTTGTCTATCCTCTTTAATGAATCTTATTACTCCGGGTCCATTCCCTCGTCTTGGAAATCCACTACAGTTATTCCAGTCCTTGAATATTGCTCCGAGCTTTTCTCACCCGCTATTTCATCTGATGAATCCTACAAACTCGAGTCATCTCTCCGTCTCTTCAGTCGGAAAGTTTTCATCCGCTGTAATGTCAGCTTCTCTTCTTATTCCGATCGCCTCAATCAGTTTAATATCAAACCTTTGTTCATTCGCCGTAAAATTTGTGATATAATCACCCTACATAAAATTGTCTGTGGCTCTGATCATTGTCTCGATCGCAATAAGTATTTCACCCAATCCCTGTTACAGAGAAATCCACTTCGACTACGGACAGCTGGTCAGTTTTCTAATGACTACTTTTCTAGGACTATTCCTCTTTGGAACAAATTAACTTCATATTTAGATTTTAACGTCACCCCAGAAACCCTTCGGAACAAATTGAATAATCTTCCGAACCAAGCTTTTTATGAAAATATCCCTTCTCGCCTACTGTAAAAAATTTCTTCTTACTTCCGGGTACCTGTCAACTCGTTGGGGTTGACTCCTTCCCGCGTATTGTTATTCTCCTGCCCGTCATATGTTGATCACTTATAATTTTTCTATACTACCCAATGTTTTTTTTTATGGCAGTGAATAAACTATTATTCCTATTTTTTTAAACGTGGAAAAAAATATGTGACCCTTCTAACTATAGACCAATCTCGCTGACACATCCATTATCTCGCGTGTGTGAAAGAATTATCTGTAACATGATCCGTCATAGATTTTTCTACATTATTTTCTGATTCGCAATTCGGCTTTTTTTAAACAAACGATCCTGTAAACTCAACCTTCTATCTTGCCTTTCCTCGTGGCAAAAATTCTATTGCATCTAAAAAGGTTTGTAGATGTCATCTATTTTGATTTTGCTAAGGCATTCGATAAAGTTAACCATTCCTTGCTCCTTCTTAAGCTTCGAAGTTTTGGTCTTGATGAAACCGTTATTCGATGGTATGAAAACTTTCTGTCTGATCGTTGCTCTACTGTGCTCATTGATGGTTCTCGATCTACTTTTAATTATGCTAATATGTCTGGTGTCCTCCAAGGTACTGTATCTGGGCCTTTGCTTTTCTTGATATTTATCAACGACATTGTTAACTTGATCGACCCTGAAACCTCCATCTCACTATTTGCGGATGACATTAAAATTTACGGTTCTAACCCAGAATCTCTCCAACATAGTATAAACTCTATTTTTGAATGGTCATCTACCTGGGGCTTGCCCCTTGCCGCTAACAAAACATTTGCTATTCACCTGGGCCCTCGCAATCCTAAAACTATTTATTTGATTAATGGAGTTCCCATCCCTCCTAAATATGTTGTACGTGATCTTGGTGTACTAATCGATGAGAAACTCACTCTTGCTCCGCACATTAATAATATTGTTTCTCTTGCAACGCTGAGATCCAACCAAATTCTGCATTGTTTTCGTACAAAATCTCCGGCTCTTCTGTTTCAAATTTTCAACACCTACGTCAGACCTTTATTGGAATATTGTTCTGAAGTTTTTAACCCACCTATTAACTCTGACCTTTGCTACAAGCTTGAATCCCCACTCAGAATTTTTTCCCGTAAAGTTTACATTAGGTCGAACCTATCTTTTGATTCCTATTCAGATCGTCTAGAGCGATTTCAACAAACCCCACTTTACATTAGACGAGTTATTTCTGATCTCCTCACTCTCCAAAAAAATGTTTCTGGTCATGATCACTTTTCTCAATTCGAAAATTTTGCCCTCAGATCCAATTTAAGGCGAAATCCACTTCGGCTACGTTCTCAAGGTCAGTTTTCTAACAACTTTTTCTTCAAAACGATTCCTATTTGGAATAAACTTACATCCAAATATCAGTTCACCCTTCCACCTAATTCTTTGAAAAAATTATTGGTCTTTTTACCTCGCAAAGAATTTTTTACCTCTATTCCACCAAGACTTAACTGATCTCAATTTACTTCAACTTTTTTTCCTTATTTAAATTGTAGATCGAAGTGAACTCGTTGGGGTTCACACTGATCTGTGAATAAATTATTATTTTTATTAACCAATCCAAGACTCACCGTCCCTGCGATCAGACGGGAAGTTTTCTTGAATTCGCCATCTCCGCCATCCGTCTCGACCGTGAAACGACGTCTGAATGTTGCTGGAAGCATGGGAAGACGTTCAGTCAAGAAACCGCTGATTTCTGAAAAGAATCGAGCCGCCAGGGTGAAGTGGGCGAAGGAGCATTTCAACTGGACCCGTCAAGACTGGAACAAGATTCTGTGGTCCGACGAAAGCAAGTTCCTCCTCTTCGGAAGTGACGGAATTCAGTGGGTTCGTAGACCAATTGGGTCAAATGTCATCCGACATACCAACTACCCACTGTGAAACATGGTGGAGGACCGTTTCGTCGGACCACAGAATTTTGTTCCAGTCTTGACGGGTCCAGTTGAGATGCTCCTTCGCCCACTTCACCCTGGCGGCTCGATTCTTTTCAGAAATCAGCGGTTTCTTCACTGAACGTCTTCCCATGATTCCAGCAGCATTCAGACGTCGTTTCACGGTCGAGACGGATGGCGGAGATGGCGAATTCAAGAAAACTTCCCGTCTGATCGCCGGGACGGTGAGTCTTGGATTGGTTCTAGACGTCTTCAAAATGTTTCTATCGTCATTACGATCAGTGACACGTGGTCTTCCAGTGCGTTGGCTCTTAGTAGAACCATCTCGAGCTTTGCAACGCTTTAGGAACTGAGAAATGCACGCCTCTGTCACGCCGAACATTCCTGCCAACGTCATCATGGTCAGTCCATTTTGACGACCCACAACGATGGCTCTTTTGTCGTTATCAGTCAAATCCTTTTTTCCAGAGGTTCTTCCCATGTCTGAAAACATGAAAAAAAACATATGGCAACATTATTACTTTTTAAAAAAATTTAATAAAAAAATAAATAAAAAAATAAAAAGCATAAAAAAAAAAAAATGTTTCAAAGTATATTTTACATTATCCCTGAAAGTTATATATAAATCGGATAAGTACTCGCTGAGATATCCTCAAAAAACCAAAACTTAGTATACTTTTGAGCGGTACTGTAGTTCGCCAAAGGCGATTTTTCGTCATAATTTTAAAAGTTCTTGTCCACCGCCTAGTCAATCAAGTCCATGAATAAAGCAAAAAAATAAATGATTTAATTGATTGATTGAAAATAAACCCGACGAAACTGACCATAGACGGTCTGCTGGAAGTGAGAGCGGCTTCAGTCAAACACATAGTGTCGGTCCATTCCCCGAGCTTGGCAAAGACTTTGGCGCAGAGCCGCGACGCCTCCGGCGAGTGCAGATTCTTCGGGAGCCGTTCCAAATGTCGCGCCAGGGCTTCCAACGTGCTGATCGCGGCGCCCTTCATGTCGTCGGTCCACAGCTGCTTGCAGAGAGCCAGAACCTGTCACTCTTCATGAGAAAAAACCCGTCGACACATCATCTCACCAGCTGAGGCTTGTCCTGTGGTGCGTTGGCAGCGTAGAGCGGAGTGTCGGGCTCGAGTTCCAGTAATTCTCGGAGCACAGACCTCGACATGGAGAGTTTTCCCTGCTTTCGGCACAGAGACGCGAACTTGACTCGGAGCGGATGCATTTCCTGTGGCGACAAGACCAGCGCTCTGAAACCCGCATTTCTGGGGAATAGAGGTCGGTGATTCGAGAAACCTCAACATCAGAAGCCGTTGCCATTGTTCGACGTTCTGACGGCATCCCTGCAGCCGGCGGCTCCATAATAGCCCAATCCTGGGTCTTCGCTCCGGTCGCAGCTGCAGAACATGTACTTGAAAAAGCTCGTTCCAAAATATGAAAAACTTTTGATCCGACCAAGGTCCGGAAAGCGTTCAATAGTTATACAAGTACAATTCCTGGTCTAGTATCAAAACTTTTTTTTTTAATCTTTGAAATGAGGGTTAGAAAAAGAGAAGGTTGGTAGTTTAAACCTGCTGCTGGAGAGGAAAGTGGCCGCTAAAAGAAAGGGAGGCTCAAAAAAGGCCGCAGAAAGGCAACAAAGAGAGTCCCTTTATTGAGCCTTCGGTGGGAAAAGGAGAGGCAGCAAAAATGGTCCATAAGAGCCGAAGAAATGGCGCAAAAAGGCAGCAAAAAAGGAACATTTCTATGGACCCTTTTTGCATCCTTTCCTACTTGCCTGTTTTTTTTATAATCCCACTAAATTCTTCAAATTTTAGTCACACTTACTCGTATTTGGTTCACGAATACTTTACTCACAAATAAAAAGTTTCCTATTCGAAAACTTAAAAGCTCCATATTCAGAACATTTTTGAAGTGAAAACATCCCGTCACTATTCTCGGCCATCTGTCGGTCAACTTCTCCTCAAGGTTCTAAACTGACTTTGAACTCGATGGCCTCCTCGATCTCCGCCATCTGCTGCACGAAAACCATGGGCCCGTAGGCTCGCTCGTAGCTCTCGCTGGCCATCGTCGTCAGCTCCGTGTCGTACATGTCGCGGACCTTGTCGACGAAGTTGGCCGCCGTCTCGAAGTTGTTGTTGTGGACGGCGACGATGGCGCGGAGCAAGGCGCCATCCTGGCTGTTCTCCGAGATCCTCGACACGTGCTCCGTCATCGTTATCCAGTTGTCTGCAATATTTTGAGCTTTTGGAAGATTCTGAGGGATGAAGAACATGGCCTACATGTTTCAAAACCGAAATTTTTGGAAAGTTCACAAACTTATAACAAAAAAGATTTCCAGAGCGGATGGTGAGTCGAAATAACGATAAATTTTGATTCTAAGCCGACAAAAGACTTCCCCGTTACTCACTTACTGCCCAGGCGCCTCGAGCCGCCATCACGGCCACTTTCGGGTCGAAAACCCGTTCTTCGGCTCCTTTCGAAGCTTCCCAAGTCGCTCTGAAAATCTAACATGAGCCCTGGAAAAATTTTAGTGGCCACTATAGAAGCTCCCCAAGGACTACTTAGAGGACACTAAAGTGGCCACTAAAACCACCTCTATAGATTTGACGATTTTTTTCCCTAGGGGCAGCTATAGTAGTTTCAGTCATCAAGTAGTACCACTTATAACTCTATAGTGGCCACTAATTTTTAACCCCTAAAGTTGCCACCAATTTGACTACTATAGTGGCCACTAAAACGGCAAAACCCTATAGTGGCCACTAAAAATTTTCCCAGATGTTTCTCTCGATACGCTTTTCATTGCAAGGAAGGAGAAACGAACGCGAATTGTCTGGTCTTCTCGTTGAGTTTGTCCCACTGGCCCAGGGCTTCTAGACATCGCATCTCGTGCATTGTCGTGTCATCGCCATGGGGATCATTCTGAACCTTCCGATGATTTGGTCTCAAATCGAAAAGCGCACTTCATAGGACTCCAAGGCCTTCTCCCACTCGTTCAGCTTCTCGTACCACCGACCTCTCATCTGCAGAAAATGGAAATGAAACGTAAGAGAGAGGCAGAACTTAGGAGATTTAGAGTGATCCCTATCGGGGTTAGGGGGAGGGGGAAACTGATCCCTATAGGATTTGACCCCTAAAGCTTAAGTGGTCCCTATAACGTTTTTTAAATTTTATTCAAAAAAAGCTTATTTATTTAGTTTTCCGCATAGAAATGCTTCTTCGCATAGAGTTCATAAAAATTATCGACTAGGATGCCCCTATAGGGAGCACTCTGCAATTCTCAAGAAGCACCGGAATCCTCATGTTGTTGGTCTCGGCGAAACGGACGACACCCGCCGCCTCTTCCTGGACGTTTAGCTTGTTGGCGAACCTAAAGACTTTGCGTTTGAGGGAGACGCAGAGAAGGCAGACGTGATCAGCGACTGGCAGTCCTCGACGGTGATGCAGAGCTCCTTCTCATTCCGCATGATGATCTCGACCTCCTTGCATCGTAAGGCTTTCGCGTAGGCTTTGGTCTCTTCGGCACACCTTCCCAAAACCTGGTGCTTGATGGGTAGAGGGCCCTGAACGTCAAATTTTCAACCAGTTCAAAGGAATTTTCCTTCTCAGTTTTTCAGATTATACTGTTCTTTTTCCTTCGAGCAGTACCAAAAAAAAGCGCGAAGATTTTTCTGAATATTCAAGCAGCCATAATTAAAAACCAGAGACAAAAAGGTGCGCGAAAACCGTTTTGGAGTCCGTTTTTTGTCACTTGAAAGGGCGGGACTTCTCTGCGCCCTCCTCGTCTCTCGACGACCCTCTCTTTTTGACGCGCTATTTTTTCGTTTTTCTGACCAACCTTTTCAGAATGATCCATGAACTCGGCCAAGTTCAGAATGGTTTGAATCACGTCAGGATGCCCACTTTTCAGAGCCTGGACATGAAATGAAGATTTAAAAAGAGGAATATGGCGCTACCATGAGCAAAGACTGCGTGAGTAGCCCTTGCTTGGATTCGTCGAGCTCTGTCCAAACAGACATGAAGGCCGCGTTGAATAAATCTCTGAACGATCGGAGACATGAGATACAAAAAAAAAGAAGTCGGATACTTGGCCAAATGAGGATGTTGATCACTGAGGCTGGATGCTGCGCGGAGAGACGGAGAGCTGCCAGACTGAAAGAGACTCGAAAATCAGAGAAAATGGGCTCGGTTCATATGAAGAACCTGCACAGGCAAAGTCCAAACGAACTCAAAAAGGCCCTAAAAAGAAGAGCCTAAAGCTCCTTTTTGGGTTCCATAAAAAGTGTCAGAGGTTTCTCGAAATCTCCTTTTTTCTGTCTCCTTCTTTTCCTTTCCAGAAAAAGATATGAAAAAGATGTCTTTGAGCCCTTTTCAAAAGTTCTAGACCTTTTGCCCGTGTAAGACCACATTTGCAGATTTTCTGAGACTTTCAAGTCCAGATCGACGGTATGCTATTATGACAATTCAAAAAACGCCCGTGTTTTATTAATTTGCATTGGAGCACAAAAAAGCGGTCGTATTTTGTAAACGCCCGCATGCCTAGTCGATGGAATTTTTCAAATTAGATTTTGTAATTTTTTCTTTCTTAATTAAATACATTTTTTAAATTATATTTGGGATGTAAAATATAGAAACGTAGCTTGGTTATGATAATTAACACCAATAACAGAAAAAAATCTTTTTTTCTCATCACTTTACAGAACTTTTTTTGGTTACAATATCCAAAAATTTACAAATTTTAACATCTGAAGGTTTTCTAATAGTTCATTCTAATGAAGGTTCACCCTGATTTCAGAATTTGCTACCTGAAAATTTCTACTTTAATTCTCTCATCATTTGATAAAATAATGGATTTGAGTGAACCTTGAGGAAGGCGATCCTCAACTTCAGAAGCCACTGCGCCCACTCTTCCTTCGAAGACAGAGAGTCAACCTGCCAAGCACGAGCTACGGACTGAAAGAACGATTTTAGTGGGTCACTTTGAAAAAGCGAAAACTTCATAGTTGAGCCTCTGCTTGCTGATCGGCACGACCATAATTTCGGTGGTGCTTCGGGCGGCGCTGGACGGGGGCCGATTGAAAGATTTCTCGACGAGCCCGCCGCCGACGTCGGTCATGTCGAAGACGTCCTTGGAGATGGCGCCGTGCGAGTGAACCGAGGGTTCGCGCGCCGAGGCTGCGAATCCACTCGTCGACGGCAAGGAGCCGTTGGCGAAGCCGTGCTGCTGCTTCGTCGCCTGCATCGCACCGATCTGCACTTTTGCGCATCTCAGGAGTCAGCGAGTATGGGTTGACGCCTTCGCGAGCCAGTGCCGCCGTTTGAGCAAGTGCTGCAAAACTCGGTAATTTGATAAACTAGTGGCATGCTGGAAAAGTCGGTCGGTTCGGTCAATTTTTCATGAAGTCTATTTTTTCTTCAAATCTCGCCCACCTCGGTATGATTCGAAAAGTTCGCCTTTGTTCAGTCCCTGCTCTGTCAGTTTCATGTCGACACTTCGCCGGAAGATTTCGAAATGCTTCCAGAGCTTCAAATTCCGTTTTTTTTGAAATAATGTTTAAAAAAACTAACTACAAGACAACCATAATCTCATGCAAAGTGGGAATGGTGGATAATAGCCGCTAAAAGGGAGAGAGGCTCAAAAAAGGACGCAGAAAGGCTGTAAAAAGGCAGCAAAAAGGGTCCTTTTTATCGAGCCTTACAATTTTCCGGAATTTAAAAGCTCAAGTTAGATTTATTTGATTGTTTTGATGTTTTATTTTTTGTATTTGTCGTGCAGATTGCGGAATGGCGAATAAACACTTGAAATGAAATGAAGTGAGATCAAACGTTGTGATTTAGAAAAAAAAAGATAAAAAAGGACCTGCTTGATGATTTCGATGAGGAGTTCCATGAGCTTCGGCTGCAGATCGACGGTCGAGATACAGTGATGCCAGGACTGCATCAGTCGCGGGGCGTACGAGGAAATGTCGACGTGTCGAGTTAGATGGAGGACCGTGTCTGAAGGGAATCTTCATTCAAACAGCTACTTCCCTGGTTTGGGGTGAAGATATCTGATCTTTTCCAAAAGGACGTTATGCGATATCTCTTCTTGGCTCTTAGGAATTTTAGAAGTCCCTAGAGGGGTTAGGGGGGAAAACAGTTCCTTTATGAGCTGAAAAAATGGTCCCTAGAGGGGTTAAATCAAGGAAGTCCTTATAGGTGTTTACGGTCTGACCGCTTTGTCTCCAAAGCTCAAGTGGTCCCCATAGGGATCTTTCAATTTTATTCAAAAACGCTTCTTTATTTAGTTTTTTCATAGAGTTCATGAAAAATTATCAACTAGCATGTCCCCTATAGGGACAACTAACTAAAACCCCTATAGACAACACTTTTGCAAGCCTAAGTGACCCTTGTAGGGGTTGGTAAAGTGGTCCCTAGAGGGTACCCTTCAAGGGTCCCTAAGGTCGCCCCTATAGGGACCAATCTGAAGCTCCCATGATTACAAAATTTTTAGAAAATAAAGTATAATGGGAGTTTAAAAGTGGTCAAAATGATAGACCATTTTTTTATTTCAAGTCAAACTCGGAATTCTTGGATGGGATAAAAGCTAGTTTGTAGAAGTTTTCATATCATTTGAACAACAGTGGAATCTGAACTAAATATTTTGGTTGACAATTCTCGAGAAGAACTTTGAGGAAATCACCCATTGCCGTCGATCTAGTCCTGATTGGGACGGCATAGTCGTCCAGAAGAAGCAGGATCGGAGGCAAAGCGAGATGAAGATGCGCCGTCAAATATTCGGAAAGAGGTCTCATTGACGCCAGAACCTATCATTTTACGTATTTTTAGTGGGAATCGGTGATGAGCTGACCCTGTTGGTGAGTGACCGGTCGCGAGTTTTGTCAGTCTGCAGAACATGCAGAAGGTACGGGATCAGTTCTCCCACATAGTAGGTAAAGTCCTGAGGAAATCATTCGAAGGACTTGGCGAGTGGTCTTACCGGCCCGAGGGCTGTTCCGATCTCCTCCAAAATCGAAATGACGGTCATCTTGAGATTGTTGTCTTCCTTCCAAGCGTCCTGGGGTCGGAAATTGAACAGGATGACTTCGTGGCGCGCTTACCGCTATCAAAGTGAAGATGCTCTTCATGTAGGGGTTGGCGTGGTGTTTTATGATGGCGACAAACAAGGAGAGTTGTCTGAGGAAGAACTCGCGCAGGTCGGGACGGCCGTTGCATCCGCGGCACACTTCGATCAGCCTCGGCACCACCTAGACATAGCATGAAAGAAGGCGATTCGAAGCAAATATTTGGGTATATAATTTTAAAAAAAGCTGCGGAATCGAGCCAACGAAGAAGTTGGACGTGAAAAAATTGCCGTGGAAGAATTAGCTTGAATTTCGCAGTGTGTGAAAAAAATCTTGAAAGCGCGCTCCATGGTCATCATGTCCAAAATTGAAATGATTTATTTTTGTGAATTTTTCAGGTTTTTGCTCAATTTCCAGTCACTACAGGGCCCGAAAGAGTGCTCCCTATAGAAGTAAAATGAATGTGTTCCCTATAGAGTCTGGCCCGTTAACCACTAAAGCTCAAGTGAACCCTATAGGGGTCTTTCAATTTCATTCAAAAAACGCTAATTTGTTTAGTTTTTCGCATAAAAATGCTTCTTCACATAGAGTTCGTAAAAATCGCGTCCCCTGTAGGGGCCACTAACTAAAACCCTTATAGGAAACATTTTTGCAAGCTTTAGTGGCCCCTAGAGGGGTTGGTAAAGTGGTTGCCCCTCTAGGAACCACTCTGAAGATATTAAGAACTTGCGACGTTGTTCCGTGAAGCGCATTTTGAAAACTAATTTTCTCACGCGCTTGCAAAATTTGCATCGGCAATTCTTTTTGCAGATCATCAATACTCGGCTATCTTTCCACGGCATTTTTGCCATGTACCCAAATATTTTGACAACTCTAAGGACCTGTTCGACATATTGAGGATAGGCGTTGCCAAGACTTCGGAAAATAGTCAGCAGGGCCTGCGCGATCTCTCGATAACTTGTTGAGTAGGCCTCATCTTGTATCTGAAAAGATATCAACTACTTTCCATTCAAATTCTTCTCTTTTGAAAAGCAAATATGCACCATTAACATGAGGTTAGCGATGGTGATGGCCGGATAAAACTCCTCGAGGGTGCACCGTTCGTAGTTGAACCATTGGACGATTTCTGAGGATCGATCTTCAGGAGGAGTTCCAGGGAAGAACTGACCTTGTCTAGGGTCGGAAGCATCTCGAGTGAACGGCAACGAGAGAGCCGTACTTATTGCGGTTGCCGATTGAACAGAGCCAGTAAAAACCTGAAGAAAAAAGAAAGTGAACTTGGATCCGTTCGCTGATACTTTGTGAGTGTAGGGATCGATGGCCCCCAGAATTCCCAGCACTTTGATGGCTTCGCGGCGCATCGTGGAAGACATGACCGTTTTCAAGAGCCTCAAACGAAGAGGTTCATGAATTTCGGGAGAATCACCTCAAAAGGTCGTCGAGAAGCGTGGGGTAGTCCCTATAGGGATCGACGACGTAGGCCGTAGATCGACAGATCCTACCGATCGCCCGCAAGGCGGCCTGTCAAAAAGAGGTCCTGGATGGTCTTTATGCTACTCCTACTTCTCGACGCTGCAAACTGCTCGATTCCGTGATCATGGTCGTCAATTTTTGGAAAAGCTGGTCGATACATCGGACGAGTTCAGCCCCACCAATCATAGTGAGCTCGGAGATGGCGTTGAGGACAGGAACAGTCACATCGGCAAACTGTACAGAAAGAATAACAAGATAATTTTTTCTACCCCCCGTTAAACTTTTGATGACACTTCGTACTATTGGACCTGCTGATTGCAAAACAACAAAAAAGTGTCTTGCAATAGATCTTGTTTTCGAGTTTAGACGCTTCAAAAGCTTGAAATAGCGTTTTTGTCATAATTTGTGTATTTTGCGGACGTTGAAGCTTCATAACTTGATAGAAAGATCTATTGCGAGTCATTGTTTCTTGTCCTGCAATCAGGAGGCCCTAAAGTATACTTCAGCAAAGTTTCAATTTCAACCGGGGGGCAAAAAAATTCTCTTTTTCAGAACAAAAACCCACTAATGAATCAGAGATTAGTGAGACTCGACAAAAAAATTTTTTTTTGCATTTGATACAATTTCTCAATTTAAAAACTGAAGACTGAGATAAAAAGTTGAAAACAAAAAAACGTGGTTCAAAGCTTTTTTTATACTATTATGACTACCAGTATCACAATAAATTCTGCAGAAAACCCATAAAAAATAATAAAAAGCAAGCATAACAATTTCCAGCAAACTGTGAGAGCCTATTTGGAGCTTTTCGTTGTCTTTTTTCAGTATTCACTTTTTTATAAAAAAAAAAAAGAAAAGCTGCAAAATCATACCAATATTACAACAAAGATGATCTCAATTTTCTAATTGTGCGAGGTTTAACCAATCATTTTGAGACAGGCTAAAATGCGAAAATTCCAAAAAAGGATAAACCTTGAGTTCGCTGCGGAGCTTCGGCACGAGGGCGGTCAGAAGCGAGCCGATGTAAGGTCTCATGAACTTGGGGCTCTGCTGGGCAAGAAGAGCCACCATACGAGCCGAGTGCTGTTCGAGACGCGCCTGTCCGCTGTTGGTCATCTGGCTGAGGGTCTCAAGGAGCATCCGTCGCATCCGCGGGAACACCAGCGCTGGGTTCAGTTCGGCGAGTCTGCCCAGGAGGGTCACGCACGCCTTCAAACAGGTTATCCCATGCTTTCGAAACTAATTTTTTGTAGTTTTTTTCCATCATGTTTCCTAACTGAGAAAAATGTTTGGACTCAAGTTGTTGAGAACACGAATAATCATGGAAAAACGCCCATTTTGGAGGAGAACTACAGTTTTTCATCTTGTATTCAAGTTTTCACTACCTAAAATAACTTGAACGACAAAAATATGTTTAGGTTCAAAAGATCCCTTTTTGGGGGGTTTTTTTTGGTCCACTTCGGTTCACAAAGATCACATTTCAAAAGATAGTAGGCCCTCAATCTGACCAACTTCCTAGTTTTCGAGAAATGAGAGCCTAAAAGCTCAAAATAGCCTATTTTTATGAGTTTTTAGAGTATTATTTGGCTATTAGGCGTCTTTTCCCAAAGTTGCGCATGTTGTGAGTTTCAGAATCTTTTTCTGGTACATCAAAGAGCGTTCTGGCCAAAAAATACCTAGCGCAAAGTTAAATGACCTCCTTGTAAGGGAAAAAGCCCGAATTCCTGCTGAAAACTTTTCTGAAGCCTGGTTGAAACTAAAAATGTCTTGAAGGAAACCTCCTGCATCTCAAGACTCTCGTCATGCAACGCCATGAACTGCATTTCGAGCATTTCGGGCTGCGCCAGATGGACGAGGAAAGGCCGCGACATGTCCCGAAACGAGCGTATCACTTGCATCCGCACTTCGACGTCTGTTCTGTCTTGTTTGACGGAGAGAGACGGGCAACCCACGAGGATCCACGACGATCACAGCGACCAGCGCCCGAAGGACACCGTGGATCGTCGAGAGAAGATGCTGACGTCGGTCCGTCGTCACTTTCTCGTAAACCTGCAGGGAAAGGGTTCTTCTTTTTTAGCGAAGGGTTTTCTACCGAAACAAAGGGCACGATCATATCGCAAGAGCACTTGACAGCTGCCAGCCGGATCGGAACTTGGTCGGCGACCAGATAATACTTCAAGCAAAAGATGAGAACAAGGAGCCAATCGATAAGAGATTACATCAGCAACGAACTGCATTATCCTTTGAAGGGCTCCGCGAGAAAAGTAAAACTCTCCGAGTGTGTCTATCGCCAGTACGATCTTGTCGATCTCAGCCGCGTTGGTGGTCTGAAGGGAAACACTGACTAGGGAACTATTTGAGCTCGGGTCCGCGCATCAAGTTGAAACTACGGTGACTTATCGAGCTGGATGAGAGCTCAGAATCAAGGGATATCATCTGATAAGCCCCTTTGGCTTTTGAGAAAAATATTCTTGAAAAAATCCAGTAAGAGTTCCGGACGAGCCTGGACTTCTATCCCCGAGGTGGCGCAGTGGTTAGAGAGCTAGTCTCGGGATTGACTTTTTTGAGTAGGTTCGATTCCTGTCAAGGGAAAATCTTTTTTGCATTTTTCTCAAAGATTGAAGTTTTTGTAAAAGCACGAAATTCGAAAAGATTCGGAAGTTTAATCAATAAAGTAACTAGCTTTCGAAGGATTCCAGGAAAAACTCGCCCAAACTCTGGGACATCGTATTTGTAGTGAAAAAGACATTTATTCAATCGATAATTTTTTTGTAAAAACAATTGGATCAAGAGAACACCGTTTTTTTTTTTTTGAATTTTATGAGTTTGAAAAAGCTCGTTTTTGAGAAAAATGCAAAAAATACTTGTCATCGACGGGAGTCGAACCTACTCAAAAAATTCAATCATGAGACTGGCTCTCTAACCACTGCGCCAAGCCACCTTGGTGACAGAAGAAGGTCCAGGCTCGTCCAGGACTCTTCCCGGGTTTCTTAGAGGAGCTTTTTCTTAGAAGCCTATGGGTTTAACAGATAATCTCCCTGGATTCTAAGAGCTATACCCAAGTTTATTAGGAACCAAAGTTACAACCCGAGTAATTGCCTAGTGAGAAACGCTAACTAGAACCTACAGTAAGATTAGCGCGAGGTGGCGGAGGTCTCGGCGCAGGATCGCACTTCGGCGGAAGTACAACGCCTAGGGGATTTATTCTTGATGTATTCATTCAGATGCAGCCTACCACCACTCAGAATCAGATACACAGCCGACATGACAGCGTCTTGAACGTCGAGTCGCAGTTTCGGTATCCGCAACATGATCATTTTCAAAACGTTGGCCAGGCCTGAAAATCATCTGAAAATTTGGGAAAAGAGGAGAGACACTACCCCTCGACAGCGGACATCTGAAAAGCGTCGGAAGCAAAGTTCTGATCTAAAATTCAACATCAAAAAATGGATCGAAGAAGAAAAAACCTGATCATAGGCGTCTGTATGGTAAGCATCGACGAGTAAAAAGAGAAAGACGTAGTGATTATCGTCGAGTTTTTTCCTGGTAACAAAAGATGAGTGGAAGACGTTTGAATTGGTCCTCACTTTGGGTTGATCACTTCGGCCGCGTAGCTTATGAGTTGTGGCAATTTTTTGCTGTGGAGTTCCGAGTTGCCCAACACCATCATACCGATCGCCGGGGCGGCAAACGGGTTTTTCGCCAATCTGAACCCCTTTCGATCTATCAGAGAAGTTTTCAACGTTGGAAGGAGGAGACAACATTTCAAAATAACTCGATAGTTTTCGAGTGCCTGAGTCTCTCTGTTCCCTCACCGGGGAAGTCACAGAAACGCGAAAATAGTGCGTCAATGAGAGAGGGAGGGCGCAGAGAAGTCCTACCTTTCAAGTCGCGAAAAACGGACTATAGTGAAGAACTATTATCTAGTAGAATATAAAAAGAGAGAAAAGGGTAAATTATGGATTAAGACACGCCCACTTTTTCGAGAAAGCTCAAATCACTTCTCACGGTACTCTCGGGAAACTTTTCTTTTTGGTATCCCAGTTTCCTGGTTTTAGTTTCTGTTCTTCGTTTTATAATCTACAAAGTCAGTAATTATTATCGATGACGATGAAGAATTTTTAAAATTTTATCCAATTTTTTTTTTCAAAAATCTGCTTAAGAAACCATTTTCTGAGCTTCTCTTGAATCAGCTTTTCATGAGCTTCACTTGGAGGATGAATTTTCCTTTAATGAGTAGAAGTTTCGAGGGCAATCCTAGCTTATGAGAAAGAAGACGTACAGGGCGTAGGCGGTGTCGAAGGCGAGGTGATGGAATCTCGTGGGACACTCTTGGAAGGCGCAGATCCGAGGCAGAAGTTGCATCAGAGCGTAGTTGAGGTGCGGGCTTCGAATCGCGGAAACCATCTTGGTGAGGTCGCGGCCGCCGACGGCGATCATTCGCTCCGTGCAGCTGATGATCTTCAACCCGGATCTTCTCTTCGACGGGAGCCCCAACCAACCTCGGCCAATTTGGCTTTGACGAGCGTCCTCGCCGTCGTACTTTCGACTATTTCCGAGAATCTGAAAAACTCTCCTCTTGAGAATTCCAGAGTGGTCCCTCGAGGGATTAGGGGGAAAACAACCCAGATTAAGGCCGGAAAAGTGGTCCCTATAGGGATGAAATCAAGGCGGTCCCTATAGAGGCTTGCAGTCTGACCCTTTAGCCCCTAAAGCCCAAGTAACCCTATAAGGGTCTTTCTATTTTATTCAAAAAACGAAAAAACGCTCATTTATTCAATTATTCAATTTTTTCGTCACTTTTGCAAGCTTTAGTAGCTCCTATAGGGTTGGTAAAGTGGTTCCTAGCGGGGGCCCTATAGGGACCACTCTAAAGTTCCTTTCTTTGCTTACCTCGGGAGCACTAGCCAGTCGATCGGATTGTCGACAGTAACCGTCTTCTTTTCGAAGAAAAACGCGTCCAGCCGCTTCTTCTCCAACTTCGAATCGGAAATCCGCAGCAGCTCGTTCAGAACCTGTAAGATTGATTCGGATAAATATTCAAAGTTCGTCCTCAACCAGGGCCATGGAATGATAAGCGTCGTCTTTGGATAATCGCGCCACACGTTCCGTATTAATTGCTTCTTCGAAGCATTTCTGGAAGAGGAAAGATGGCTTCGACCTGAACTTTGTGCGCTCTCTACCGTGTACCACTCGAACTTCTGCTTGGCTTCTCGTTGCGACGTGATTGTGAGAACAGCGTGCAAGGCATCAATCGCCGCCATGCGAATGGACGGCTGAGTGGGAGTTTCAAGGAATTTCCGCTCATTTGAGAAACCTTGCTGTCTCGGAGAGCGTTGAAAATGTACTTGAAGAAAAGGTTGGCTCTGAGGAAAAAGGCAGTCGGCGTGAAGATGGCGAGTTCACGGGACAGATGCGCGGCGGCTAGACGGCGGCCTTCGTTCCCTTTTTCCTCCTGAAAGTCTCAGATTTCTTTGGGGGGAAGCGGAGCCGACCTGCAGCCATTCCATACACTGGTCCAGAGACCTGTCCACCAGCTCAGCCGCGTACGATTTCGAAGTCTGAACGATATTTTTGTGTCATTTATTCCACGATCATTTTGCCTGGATCAGATATGCCAATGCGCGGCAGCCCATTTTTGTCGTGTCTTCTTCGATTCCTTCGTTCAGCATTTTCAGAAGATAATTTGAGTATCTGACGCCACTTTGATGTTCAGCGAGACATACTGAAACAGGAACACTGTGGAAAAAATAAAATTCACGAATTTTCATGCAGTTTAGAACGTTCACAATTAAGGAAAAGCGCTTCCAATAAATTGAGAAATATATTGACAAAAAAAACTCCAAACCGATAAGAAAATCACCTCAAATTTCAAGATTTTTTTTATAGATTATCAGAAACTTCATTCAGTATAGATTGAAGTTCATAGGTAACGTCGGAAGGGTCGAAAAGGTCTTCATATAAATGTTCCTTTTAATGTGAAAATGGCTCCTTTTTTTGCTGTCTTTTTGCGCCCTTTTATCGGCTCTTATGTACCATTTTTGCAGCCTTTTTTCAACCATTTCTTGAGTCTTTAAACTTCTAGAAGGCTCAATAAAGGGACTCTTTTTGCTGCCTTTTTTGAGCCTCTCCCACCATTCCGACTTTACCCGAATTACCGTTCAAAGAAAAGGGATTGGTAAAGGAAAATACCGATAATAAATATTCCGCATTTCTTGTCCTCCAAATTCGAGCTGTTGATCATCGCAAACACAGAACTCTGTAAGAGCAAAATAAAAAAGGTCTTATTTTCAAGAAACTACATCTGTTTTGCCGTCGAGTGTTGAGAGAAACTCGTCAACGTAGGCCTGGGGCTCATCTTTGAGCTCGCTGTTTACGTACCTGAAACAGAAGATTTCCAAGCCTAGGGGTGGAAAAACCTGAAAAGGTCTCGAGCTGCCTGTACACGCTGTTCGGATTTGGACTCGGTGAGTTTGGCTCGGAAGGCCTCGGCCGTCAGTCGAGCGATGTCGACGCGCTCGCGACGTGGGACTCCCTCCATCTCAGGTCGAGCCGCTCATGTAATTACTCTGCGAAATCCGTGAGGTTCCGATTCAAGTCTCGGGGAAAAGTAACAGATGGATAGTGCAACCAAAAAACAGATCGAGAAAGCTTTTCTAGATAAAATTTATGATAACAAAACAAAAAATTTGCAAAACTATGAAACAACGGAATCGCCAACTTTTCAAAGCTCTTCCAAAAAAAAAAGATTTCAATAATTGTCTTTAAAGAGTCAGCAAATGTAGGAAAAAAATCAAGAATTTTTCTATTTTTATTGAAAGTTCGCGGCCCTCCTCGTTTAAATCGGATCATTTCGTCTGTTTGAACTTTTCTGCGTCTTTCGTCATCGCGGCTGCAATTTTAGTTGGAAAAGCCTGAAAAAGTCTGGAAACCTGTCCAAAGACTTCATATGTTCCTTTTCCTTCCACAGCTTCTGCATCTTGTAAGCGTCGTCGTCCAAATATGGTATCTGCAATTTTCAATGAGAATCGTGAGAATTGATCGATTACTAAATTTCGCAAGATTTCAAAAGCTTTCACCCTCACGGACATTAAAAAAATTTCGATTTGAGAGGAAACTTTAGACGTCAAATATATTTTTTTTTATCTAAGAAAGCATTATTTTGGCCAACGGCCTTTAGAATATGTTCTTAAGTTGAATAAGATCACAAAAACTCGAGAATCAACTTTCAGAAGACGTGATTATGCACTTTGAATATAGACTTTTTTTTTTAAATTTATTAATACTTGTTCGTTTTTTTTCTGTCGAAAAACGCTTTTTTCCTTGCAAATTCAGAAAGCTCAGCGTCTATGAACTTGATAGTTTAAGGGAAAAAAAAATTCAAACTATGTCAGAAAAAAGCTTGACTTATACAGATAAATTTGTAAGCAGTCATAATATAGAAATTAACATGAAAAAATATTATAGAAAATCTGAAAAGTGAGTTTTTTTTCAAAATTCACCTCATATTCTTTCTTGTCACTTGAAGGAGGATTCAAGTGTTCCGTGGCTTGTTTTCTAAAAAAATTTTGTTCTCTTTTCTTTTTATATAGTTTTGACAAACGGGTAGGTAAATCCAGCAAAAGATGTGACGGATCGGATGGGAGGAGATGCGCCGTCTCCCGTTTCAAGCCTGTAGAAAGCGTCGTTTCTTTCGTGGACCACTGATTCAATGCCTTTCATAGTCTGAATTAAATCAATTTTTAAACATGCGTTTTTGATAATTGCCCAATTAGATTCTCAAAAATTTTTAGAAAGGTTTTTCGATCGCCCCTGGTTTGTAAAACTCGCTTTTTCGTTTTGGAAACTTGCTTGAAACTGCGTAAAACCTCATTGACGCGATCCAATCGCTCTGGATTTGGCATTGATCGTGCTCTTACGACGTACGCTTTTTGCATCGTCAAAAGCATATTGCGCTCCTTCAAACACACATACCTTAAACACATCAAAGTTTTAAAAAAAATTGAATTCAAAAACCAGAGTTTATGAAGATCCGAGTTGCTTTTCAACCGAAGTTCGTCTTCTGTCCACGACCTTCCTGGTCTCTTTTTAGGACGTAGTTCTGATTTTCCAAAATTGGCTTCATCGTCAAAAAACTGTTGCAAAATGCTGTTATGCCTCCAAGAGTGACAACAGTATAAATTTCTGAAATTTATCAATAAGTTGAACAAAAAAAAATAGTCCTAATCACCTTAACCGTGGCAAAGACTGCAAAGTATTCAAAACTCCCAGGGAAACCATTAAAACTGAAAGAACAAGTTCAATTATCGCTGGCTTGAGACGATTATGAATGATTCTTGATATTTAAAAATCTTATTCAAAGCGATTCTGCGAAATTCAAAATGGCCGTCAGAGGAACAAATATATAACTAAATTTTGGAGAGTCAGAGATCATTTCGCGAAAATTACTTTGAACACAGTATAGAGAAAAATGTGTGCGAAAAAGTGCGGACGCTTTTTTTTTTCTTTTTCCGTTCTCGCCCAGCGGTAAATAAAGCATACGCAGAAAAAAATTTGAAATAATACAAAACTAGTAATGAAGGGAGGGAAAAGATGGAAAAGCAAAAATAAAAGTTTTTTGCGTAAAAACCAATCTGACACAAATTGTGCCACGGTGTACACATACTGCTCGGTCTCTACAGTAACCTTGATGCTTTTCAAAAATATTTTATACAGAATACTTTTCAAGTTTCAAAAAAGATTTTATTTCACAATTTATCAAAATTAGTACCAGTCGTTAAACAATAGCATCATGTACAAACTTTAGTGGTTAAATCAGAAAATTTCTTGGACGATTTGTTTCTGAGCGGGATCGTATTTGAAATGGTGCGACTTGAACAGTTCAGAATTATAAAACGGCTTCACATTTTCGATACGCAATTGATGAGCCTGAAAAATTATTTTTATTTGATGGTGAAATTTTGAGAACAAGCCTTTTCGTTGAAATCCGCTTCAGAGATGGAGATCGAAGCGATTTCGCCAGAGTTTTGATTGCGCGACTTGTAGTGGAGTTGTTCACGGAAGAGCTGTTTCAAAACGAAGAGAAGCAGTTCGTTTGCAGTTTGGTTCGATGAAAGGTGACGCGCGAAGTGCTGAAAAATCACGTTGGACAGATTTCAAGAGTTCTCCGAAACCTTTCGCATTTGCCGCGTTACGGAGGCCTTCTGCGTGTTGATGAAGCTGTCGAGCATGATCCTGATAGCGGCGTTCACGTCTTCGTCGCCGACATATCTGAGAATGGTGCTCGAAACGAATCGGAAAGGGTTACTCACGGCCTCAAGTGCAGTTTTGCGTGAGCCTCAGAGAGCCGAATCATGGATTCCACGTGTCGAACAGTGATTGCGACGGAGCCCGTTGCCTATCAAAGTGAATGATTTTTTGGTTAAAAACCGAGAAATACCATGCTTTCCCTTCTCATTTGAGCGAAAATCTGGGAGAACTTTTCCGTGTGCTGATTTCCCAGGACCGGGTGACATTTGTCTCGAGCGTAGATAATATATTTCTTCAGAAGTTCCTGCGGCACTAATCGCACTCCGTTCCTCTCTTCGATCTTCAAATAGCCCTTTTCTTGGAAATTATGTTTTGCTTTGGATTATTTTTTTTTTCTCAAATTTTTTTCTGACTTCGGAATTCCACAATGGTCCCTATAGTGGTTGAAAGGAAAAAGAGCCCTACAGGGGCCGAAAAAGTGGTCCCTATAGGGATGAAATCAAGGTGGTCCCTTGCTATATTAGATTTTGACCCCTTGGCCTCTAAACCTCAAGTGGACCCTATAAGGGTCTTTCGATTTTTGCGTGTTTATTTAGTTTTTTTTGCATGGAAATACTTCTTCAAATAGATTTAATAAAAAAATTATCGACTAGAATGTCCCCTTTATGGACCACTAACTAAAAAAACTCTGAATGGACCGCTTTTGCAAGCTTTAGTGGCCCCTATAGATGTTGGTAAAGTAGTCCCTAAAAGGGGTATGAGCATGATGCTCAAGATAGCGAGTTCTCAAAACTTGGCTATTTGAGGCATTTTACAAAAGATGAAATCCAGAAATACCTTCTCGTCGTCATCTTCCATGTTTTCTTCTTCCTCTTCGCTCCTCACGGTCTCTGGATGATGCTTGATGTGATTTTCTACAACAAATGTAGCAAGTCTGCAACGTTCGCTCAGTTGATCTAGTTTTGGGAGATGTACGAACCGCTCGTCTTCGATCGGGTCGACTGTGTCGCGAATGACGCAAAGTACGTCAAAACGCGACAAGATAGGTTCAGTCAAATCGACGTTCTCGGCAAACGTTCGCGAAGCGTTATAGCGGCCGCCGATCGGGTTCGAAGCGGCGATGACGGTGCAGCGGGCGTGCAGAGAAGTCACGATTCCGGCCTTGGAAATTGAGATCGACTGCTGCTCCATCGCTTCGTGAATCGAGGTGCGGTCTTGGTCAGACATCTTGTCGAACTCGTCGATGAGACAGACGCCCTTGTCAGCCAGAACCTGAAACCAGTTCCATCTAAAACCATCTCATGGTGATCTCTTCTGATTCGAATTTTCCAAAAAAGTCTCTCTGTTCCCTCAACGGCGAGGTCAGAGAAACATGAAAAGAGCATGTCGAAATGAGAGAGTCGCAGAGAAATTCAGCAGTTTAAACTTGCGAAAAACGGAGTATAAGGTATATTACTAGGAAGACAATTTCCGAAACAACAAAAAATATTTGGCTAGATAGATCTTAAATGAAGATCCTCAAAATTTTCCGTTTTTGAGAGCTGTCTGTATTTTTTGTGAGACACTTGAAATTCTGCTCCTGAAAATAGCTTACTTGCATGTTTTTGATGTAAGCTGCGGAGTGAAAATGGAAAAAATTTCTGAATATTTTCCTTTATACAGCGAAAAATGATTTGGTGAAAAGTGAAGTAATTTTTATAGGAAAAATTTTGAAAAGACTTTCTGGATTTTATCCTCTTTCTCACGATTAAAACATGTTGATCTATGATTGCTATGCACTTCAGTCACTTGCTATGTGTACATGAAAAAAAATATTTAGGCGCAGACTTGTTCTGCGTCATAAGATAACTCGAGCCGTTTTTGAGATACGGTAGCTCAAAGAAATACGGTAGAACCCCTCGAAAATCTATATCTCGACAAAAATTCAACGAAACTCACCAAAGCTTGTAATAAGGAGCAAAAATAATTTTTATTCAATTTTTTTAAAAAAATCAGTCATATCATTTTTTTGCTCATACTAGAGGTTTTTCTCGAAAAAAATCAAAAACCAGTAAATGAGGTTGCGAACCGGCGTTTTCTCTCGCTTTTATCAAAACCACGAAAAAAATACTCTATCTATTGTTATTATTGGATTTTTGAAAATAAAATCGACGAAAATGAGAAACCATAGCTCCGGCCTCCAAGGTCCATTCCCTAGTGACCGGGTGTCGCTGAACATAGGCGGTGAGACCGACGGCAGAAGCGCCTTGGCCGGTTGTGAGAACGGCTCGAGGCGCTATGTGGGCAGCGTAGCGCAGGAACTGCGACTTGGCCTTGCCGGGGTCTCCGCACAGCAGCACGTTGATGTCACCTGTTTCATTCAGGAGTCAGACGATTCTCAAGGCGATTCAGACCTCGAAGTCTGTGCTTCTCTCCAGGATTCTTCGGTTCTCCGCGGAACAAAGCTAACGCAATCGCTTTCTTCACATCTTCGTGTCCGTAAATGGAGGGAGCGATCGAAGCGAAAATGCGGGCTCCAACGTTGGGATCTTTCGAAAGTTCTCGTATCGCCTGAAACAGGAATGATTTTTTGTTCTGAACTGTGTTGGTTACCTTGATATCTTCATCTGTGAGCTGTTCGCACGCCAATTTTCCTTTGTTAGAGATGTGATTCGCATAAATGATTGTGTTGAAAACAGGGAATCCCTGCTTGTAGTTCATAGATCCGTCAAAGTTGTTAGTATAAACACCGGTGACTTCCTGAATTTTGGAAAGTTGTCATTTTTAAAAATTGAGCTTGGAAGTGGAAGTTTGTACTACAAAAATGTCTTCGAAAAGAAAGAATACGAACAGAAAATAAGAAGAAAAAAAAGGTTCCGTAAATACAAACTTTTGCTCTACAAAACTGCTAAAAGACAGCAGAAAATAAAGGTCTTGAAGAGAATATGCTCAATTTTGATCTAACTTGGTATAGGGTATTTTCGGCGGAAAGAAAATCGTGACCAGCTGGAGCTGGATAGGCTATAAATGCTTACAATTTCATCACCGGGCTTGCAAGAATCGCAGAGATCGCCCAGGAGAATCACGTCCTTCGAACGAGGGAGCCGCCCGGCTGCGACTTTATTCGGAGACTCTTGCATAGTCAGTCGTTGATAGTTATGATAAATGGTCTGAATTTCGCTGGTTCATATCTCTAAAAGTGAAAAGCGCAGAAATTTTAATTGAAGTTTTAGAAAATGAACTGACATTCTCAACGTTCAGCTCGAAAGGGCCCTTTCCTTGACAGGAAGGACAGATCGAAGGCTTGACTTCCTGTTCATTGTGCTGCACGAAGGGCCCCAAGAGATAGCCACACGCAATACAGTCGTACTTGACGACTGCCAGTTGGGGTAGAATTCCTGGATTCGTTCATCTAACGATGAGGGCAGAAGCGAACGTACCACTAGCCACCGTCACCACTCCTCCGGTCCGAACTAGCATGTTGAGATGAACTTGTCGGAGCATACGAATGTCTTCCTCTACAGGCAGATGCGAAACCCGCACCTGACACAATCAAAAAAAGGTGAAAACCACACGAAATCCACGAAAAACCTTTATCTCAGTGCAAACACGGGAGTAGAAGGGAAACATACTCAGGACCAGGTCGGTCGCGGCACGGTCCATGATTTGCAGCATCTGTAAAATGTCCGAAGGTTATCCGGTTGCCTAACCAAGAGGGTAATTCAACCTTATCACAATCCTATCTTATATACCCCTTTGAGTGTCGAAAATAGGTGAGATCCTATTACGAAAAACAAAAAGCTCTTGGGGATTTTATCCAAAAATTATCGGGAAAAAAATACCTGAATTGGAGCTTCTGGAAGAAAATAAGATATGTTCTGTTCTCCATTTTCGTCACTGAGATCAATAAAGCTGACCTGAAGAAGATTTTTCTGTATTCTGAAAAAAACAAGCTGCAAACCTCCAATGATTCCCTGTTGTCAGCGGCCATCTGCCGGATCGCTTGGACGTACTTGACCTGCTGGGTGTTGCTGTCCTTGAAGGTCCGCAGAAAACTTTTGAAGCGTCTTTCGATCTCTTTGGAGACCGCCTCATCAGCAACATGGTCCCTGATACTCCGGCCGCGGATGTTCTCGAGGATGTCGATCGGGATTTCCTCCTCGACTGCGGCTTCATCTGCGTCTCCGGCAGCAGTTGGACGTCCTCGTGCAGTTCCACGTCTTCGCACGTCGTCGTCGCCATCCTCATACATCAAAGCGTCGTCGTCGAACATCTGGTCACGCTGCGCCATTTCGCGCTCAGCGGCTCGCCGAGCATCTATAGAGATATCCGCAATATCCGAAGCGTCGTCCATCCCAGATTCAGAATAAACATCCAGTTCCGGTTGTTCGCGATAATCCCTACAAATTCAAAGAAAGAGTAAGAAGTCACTACAAATTAAAAAAAATCACCTTTCCATATCATCTCCGAACAAATTCTCTCCGTCCTCTTCTTCGGGATCGTCAACCTCGTTGTTGAACATTTCATCGATAGCATCGTGTTCATCTTCAACTTGTCCAGCAGGCAACGGTTGTTCTTCAGGATCTGTGACACCTCACTACGTTATTAGAGAAAGAAATAACTGACCATTATCTTCATTCTGGCGTGGCATTGTTGATATTGAGTGCTGAAAAAATCAAAAGTAAATTCATTAAAATTATTAATTCAAATGAATTGTTTCACTTAGGGAGCCGTTTATAAACAAGATAAAGAAATTTTGGATAGTCCGGGGTCATTCTGCATCACTTGCATCATTATATAAAACCTGAAAACCAAAGGAATAATAATAATAAGGTCATTCACTAAAAAAAAAGAGACCTTGCCTTGGAAGATTGAAAAACAAAATTCGCGCGCCTTTTTCCTACTATTTCAATAGAGCACTCTTTCCGTTTTCGCTATAACCAGACCTCCTGGGTGGTCATTATTGTTTTCACAAAAACAAAAAAAAAGAATGTCAATATAAACAAATTTTGAAAAATAATTCATAAAAATTCTTTTCAAAATAGAACGAATCAGGCTCATTAAATCAAAAATATCCTGTTACCTCACATGAAAACATACTCTGGGCATTCTGGATCATTGTTTCAAATGAATCTTAAGTTTGAAAATGTGATAGAAAAAAAAGCATATTTTTTGGTTTCAGACGGGCATAATAAACTCAGTGCTGACTTAAGCCAAAAATGCAAGACCGTTTTCATCCTTGACAGAAAATAGTGAAATAGCTTTTGTATTTAAAAAAAAACTCCAGTTCTTTTCGTTTCAGTTATAAATTGAAGAAGACCGACTTTACTGTATTCCAGTAAATCGTAGAGATACAGTACCTAACTACCAGTTGACGAAAAGTTGACAAGTTTAGGCATACATCTTTCCTTGCAAAGTAGAATGGGCTCGTTCTTCAAAAAGGGAAGTGACCAAGACATCCCAGATGTGATCCGAACTTCTGTGAAGGAAGGGTAAGTTTCAGGTGAGGGTATTCAAAAACAAAGATATTTATCTTTTAAGTACCATAGTGTACCGAGGATAAGCCGGTCAAACAGAAAAAGCTCAATAAGTGCTTTTTTTCGGAACTTTTCGAGAAAAAAGAAATGTTTTTTCGTGTTCTTTGTTTATTTTGATAACAGGATTTTTCAGATCAGAAGTTTTCGGAGCAAGGAGTGGGAATCAAAGCAGATTCTAATCTTTTTCTGCATATTTTCCGATAGGCGTTTAGAATCTTTTATTTCAATACGGCTTTTTTGTAGCTGTTCTCTTTTTGCCCCCATTTTCGGTACTTCGAGTTTGACGGTGTAGTAATTAGTAGGATTTCTCTGTCCTCTTTCTTCTTAAGAAAAAAAATACTGAAGAATAGAACCGAATGAAAGAATAGACCATTTCGGCTGTAGAGCAACAAAGCGGGGTCGGCGGATAGGGTTCGAGTGCAAACACTGCCATTCTCCTGCTCACTTCCTCGTTCTTCTTGTTAGTTTCCGTGTTTATCTGTACTTTCTTGCAGTTTCTATCTTTTATTTCGACGTTGAAAATCCATTTTTGGAGTTCCATCCTGACATATTTTTTTTAAAAATAGTTTTGCTACCTTCTGTCTAGCTCTTTTACGTTTTCTTAATCGCCCAAAGTAGCGTAATATTCATATAACTTCTACTTTTGATTAAAAAAAACGTAAGAAATATTTTCTTCTGCGGAAGTCCGGAGGATGTCCTGAGGGAGTGCTGCCGAGGGGGGAGGCATCGACCGCCGCCGACTGTTTGCAGTGCTGCCCGCCGCCTGTCTCTTCGGTTTTCGTCCAACACCATTTCCCAATGTCCACAATATTCATATTCAGCTTTCTCAATCGATTTCAATTTCATGTTTTCGAGACTCATGGTTCTGACTCTTACACAACTTTTTCAATTCTCTTTTTGAGGACCGCTAACTTATTCCTACACTCCGCTACATTAAACATTTTTCTTCAACACTTTCATTTGATCAAAAATATATGTTATTATTTCTTTTGCCAAACTGGATAAAAAATATATGTACATAAACAACGTACAGTACCGCTCAAAAAGTCTATTAAGTTTTGGTTTTTTTGAGGATATCTCAGCGAGTACTTATCCGATTTATATATAACTTTCAGGGATAATGTAAAAATATACTTTGAAACATATACGGTATACAAATACATGTCCGCAATCACTGTGACGCGTTTTAGGAATTTTTTTTGAATCCAATTTTTTTGTTTTTTTATGCTTTTATTTTTTTATTTATTTTTATTAAATTTTTTTAAAAAGTAATAATGTTGCCATATGTTTTTTTTCATGTTTTCAGACATGGGAAGAACCTCTGGAAAAAAGGATTTGACTGATAACAGCAAAAGAGCCATCGTTGTGGGTCGTCAAAATGGACTGACCATGATGACGTTGGCAGGAATGTTCGGCGTGACAGAGGCGTGCATTTCTCCGTTCCTAAAGCGTTGAAAAGCTCAAGATGGCTTTACTATGAGCCAACGCACTGAAAGACCACGTGTCACTGATCGTAATGACGATAGAAACATTTTGAAGACGTCTAGAACCAATCCAAGACTCACCGCCCCTGCGATCAGACGGGAAGTTTTCTTGAATTCGCCATCTCCGCCATCCGTCTGGTCCGTGAAACGACGTCTGAATGTTGCTGGAGTCATGGGAAGACGTCCAGTGAAAAAACCGCTGATTTCTGAAAAGAATCGAGCCGCCAGGGTGACGTGGGCGAAAGAGCATCTCAACTGGACCCGTCAAGACTGGAACAAGATTCTGTGGTCCGACGAAACGGTCTTCCACCATGTTTTACAGTAAGTAATTGGTATTTCGGATGATATCTGGACCCAATTGGTCTACGAACCCACTGAATTCCGTCACTCCCGAAGAGGAGGAACTTGCTTTCGTCGGACCACAGAATCTTGTTCCAGTCTTGACGGGTCCAGTTGAGATGCTCCTTCGCCCACTTCACCCTGGCGGCTCGATTCTTTTCAGAAATCAGCGGTTTCTTCACTGGACGTCTTCCCATGATTCCAGCAGCATTCAGACGTCGTTTCACGGTCGAGACGGATGGCGGAGATGGCGAATTCAAGAAAAACTTCCTGTCTGATCGCAGGGGCGGTGAGTCTTGGATTGGTTCTAGACGTCTTCAAAAATGTTCCTATCGTCATTACGATCAGTGACACGTGGTCTTCCAGTGCGTTGGCTGTTAGTAGAGCCATCTTGAGCTTTCTGACGCTTTAGGAACTGAGAAATGCCCGCCTCTGTCACGCCGAACATTCCTGCCAACGTCATCATGGTCAGTCCATTTTGACGACCCACAACGATGGTTCTTTTGTCGTTATCAGTCAAATTCTTATTTCCAAAGGTTCTTCCCATGTCTGAAAAACATGAAAAAAATCATATGGCAACATTATTAATTTTAAAAAAATTTAATAAAAAAATAAATAAAAAAATAAAAAGCATAAAAAAACAAAAAATGGAATTCAATAAAAAAATGCCTAAAACGCGTCACAGTCATTGCGGACATGTCTTTTGTATACCGTATATGTTTCAAAGTATATTTTACATTATCCCTGAAAGTTATATATAAATCGGATAAGTGCTCCCTGAGATATCCCCAAAAAACCAAAACTTAATAGACTTTTGAGCGGTACTGTATGTGTTGTGAAGACGTCAATGAAAGTTGCACGAAAACCTTTTTTTTTCATTGCAATAAATCGCAAATCAGTCACTTTTCTTTCTCTAAAACAACGCCACCATCGCATTTCGACTCCGTAAACTTGGATAAAAAACTATTTTCTGATTCAATTAATTTCAATTTTTTTCCCATGAAGTACTTTCTTTTTATTCAAGTCAAAAATAAAAAACTCACACAAGATTGTTTGATGATTATAGCTGATTCACGACTAGCTTGAGCCATTGGGAAAATGGTCATGAAACGATTTTTTAAGAATCGACAGGGATTGGTTTGGTTGGATAGGTCACGCCCCCTCGCCTCCAAAGTTAGCCGTGAATCAGGTATCATTTGAAGCCAGCTTGTTTTTATTGAAACAAACTGGAAAAATAAACTATTCACGTTTTTTTAATAGTAAAAACTATATCCATCTAAAAGTTCTTGACTCCGCTCAACTCAAAACATAAAGAGAAAGAAAAAAAAATTATAATTTATCATTTCAGAGAATGGAACCGACGTTCAAAAAACGACGGCTTGAACAAGCTTCGACTACGATGAAACTTGATGGTTAGATAATTTCAGTAGAAATGCATACCTCGTTCACCACAACTTGAAACAGTGTGATCAGAATCTTGAAAATTAGGGCGAACGAGGTATATCCGGAGAAAGGCTCGTAGAAAACACTTTTTGAATGGGAAAGATAGTTGAACTATGTATGAAAAAAAAACAATTTCGATAGTTTTTCGCGGTGCGAAAGAATAGCTTCAGATGCGCATCAATCCGTACTGGAAGAGGTTTCTGAGTGCGACCGCGAGTCTGCCGCGAGCTGCTCCAGCATGGCCATGTATGCAATTTTTCTGGATGTTAAATTTTTAGCGTTAGCTGGATGGAATGTGTCTGTTCATTACTCTTTTTGAAATAAGGACTACTGAAGAAAAATTTTTGACATAAAAGTTGAAAAAATAGCGGGTGCGTGACACTTACGTCAGTGAAATTGGAAAAATACAGTAAACGTTAGTTTCTTTTTTCTAAACTGTAACTAAGTCGTGAAAATTTATGATTTTCGTAGTAGGTTTTATCTCAAGTTTTATATAGTCTGTTCAGTTTTTGAATGTCAAATAAAATGACGTCATTCGAGAACGCTCTGTGAATGGCTCGCTCTCTGATTGGTTTATCGCGCCATTAGGGGCGGAGCTTGAGCGACGACTTGACATTTAAAATCTGAACAAACTATACAGACTTCTCAGACGCCTTTTCAGGACTTCTCAAGAGAAACAACTGAGCAGCTTCCGACCGTACTCCAACCCGACGTTGCCGGTGATGGACCTCTACGTTCAGGTGAGTTGAAGGCCATCGAGCATTGACCGTGGGGCGCAGGAGATGCTGATGTCGTCGCCGGATCATCTCTTTTCCATGGGAGTCGTACCGCCACAAATGGTCTCGACGAGTTGGGAACAATGGTTGTGCTTTCTCGCCTCCAATTTAACGGCACAACAATGGCAGGTAGTGATATTTGAAGCCGATGGTAACAGTAAATTAAAATTGAGAAAAAAAAAATCCTTAGTAAGGCAATTTTTTAAATCCTTACGCGTAAGTTCTTATTAAATCCTAATTAAAATTGCTAAGGAAAGTTTTTTCGCAATTTTAAACCAATTATAAATAAACGAAAAGTAGTAATTTCTTGTAATTTTGGATCGATAAAACATTGAAAAAAAAAATCTAAAAAAATGAAAAGGAAAATTTAATATTTTATGTGCTCTGCAAAGGTACCTTAAGTGACCCCTAAGCTTTGCGTAATTCCACAACAAATTAAAAAAATTTTTGCGCCAAAGATAAGGCTGCACGTTTTAATAACTCTTCGCCGCTTTTTCTATACCTAGTTCAAATTGATTCCGCGAGTTTTAAATTAGACTTCGGAGATTGGAAATCATAATAATATTTTTTGAGTCTGAGATAATTGTGAACTTCGCGGAAATTATCACAAAAAAAAGAGTAAAAAGAAAAATTTTCATATATATCCTCGGACATTGATAACGGGAAACGGACGTTTCTGGGCGTTTCTAGTGATTACTTCAGTGATGTCAATACTCTTAAGTGATCCCTAGAATAGCACAGAAACGTCCAGAGCACGTCCGTTTTGCGTTACGAATGTCCGAGTCAGTAAACAATTTCCTAATTTATTAATAATTTTTAATCGTTTACTATCTTTCGTAACCTTTCAAAACTGTATGTATCCATTTTTTTTTTTCTGTGAGTAAATGTGTTTTTTCAATATTTCTTAGTTCTTGTTCATACGGTTAAAACACGATAAATCATAATAAAGCATATGCGTGAAAATTTATCAATCCTGAATGGTTTTTAAATTTCCTAAATTGTCCACTTCAATGTCGAACAACGCTTCCCTAAATTTTTATGTTTGCTTCTCCATTCCAGCAATGTTTACAAAAGTAACTTGCAATGAAAAATCTGATAGAGAGTATTTATCAGCAAACCCATTATTATGGGATAACAGGAAAGTTGGTTCATTTTTGATTTTCTATGGGAATCTTGTCCTTTAGAAATGAGATTTACGTAATTTTTTGATAGAAAAAAGCTTTCAGGGCTACTGGCTTGCCCACTGTGCATTGTTCGGCGAGCAGACCGTTCCCGTCCACCTTCTTTCCTTCTTCAGTCGCGTCGCTCCGGTCGAATGCGAGAAGCAGCTCAGATATGGTGCGCTCTTTTCGGATTTTTTTATTTTTGTGACCGTAAAATGGGATGAAAATACCTGTTACAAGTTTTCAAGTCGAATAGGTCATAGTGATTCGGGTGAAGTAAGTCATAAGTCACGTGCCGCATCGCCTTGGGAAGACCTCTATTTCTGGAACAGCTACCAGACTTTTTTTTTTGAATCGAGAGCTGAAGTTGACGCCGCCGTGTCCGCCGCAGCCTAGCAACCTCCTCGTTACTTTCATCCATTCCACTCAATTGTTCGAAAAGATGCCTTTCACGCCTTTTTAAGCATCTTTTCCATTTTCTCGCTTCATTTGTCCACTTTTTTTCGAGTGATTTTTCTCTCCTCTTTTTTTCAGTTCATTCTAAGAGGATGTTGTGTGAATCCGAAAAAAAAGACGTCATTTTTCGGATATGTTCTGGATGATTCGCTGAAGTTTCTCGTCGTGCCGTAGATGACGTTTAAGGCTTGATTTGCAGCGAAACGGAAACGGAAGGGAAAAAATTTGGAGGGGCGAATTCCACCGTGAAGAAAGAACCACGAGGTGTGGAGATAAAACAACAGCTGTTGGTTGTCGGCGGAGGAGCCTAAGACGACGCGGCGAGCACACATTCGCCAGGTACCTGCGGATCGGCGACGCACCGGCGACGGATGGGCAACGCAGCCAGCGGAGGGACTTCGAGGCGAGAGGTCCACGTCGCTGCCCAAGCTACCGTCTTCACAAACGGACGCGTCGCTGCCGCGGAGACCAGTCAGTCGCTCTTTTTATTCCCGACAACTGTTATTGCTGGCTCGCAATCTTATGCTTGCTCTTGTTTTTGCCGCAGTTCTTCTTTGAAATCGATATGAGGTTTTTTCTTTGCTCCCACCACGTTGATTGGTGATCAACCAGAGAATGATGGACCAATCGGCCCACAACGAGTCACAAAATCTTTTTCTCTTATTTCGAAATTTACACCACATAGTATAGGTAGATAACTCATTTACTCCTACGCTATAAAAATTTTGAGCGAAAAAGTTAGAAAAATGGCAAATTTTCTACGGCGTTGCGGCACTATGGCCAGCGTAACCACGCACGGCTCTGGTCGAAAAAAGGTCTTGAATAAGACTTTGCAAAGATTTTGATTTTTTTTTTTTGGTTTAAAGTTAGGTCATTGTAACAGTACAACAGTTATTTCCATGACTTCTTAACTGCCTTTTTAAGGAAAAATAATTTTAAAATACGTACCTGCGCCTTTCAAATTTTCTAAAGAAGCACGCATAATGAAAAAAAGCGTTCAAAAACTAACAATTTTTTTAGTCATAAATATCTTTCTGTTAAATAAAGGCAGTGAATAAACGATTATCATTAAAATTCAGGGAGCTTGTAAAAATTGTGAGGTCTCGAAATCAATTTCAAACTCTTTTTCTAAAATTTTGTATGATCAACTTCTTTTTTTTTTGTTTTTCTTGTTAAAACTTCATACCTTTCGGTGATTAGTGATTATATTTTTGATTATTTTCCAGCCATCGAAACTGTTTCAGAACGTCGTCGACTCTCTTGATAAATTCGTCAATGATTTGCAATCTTTTACGTGAATTTAAAGGCGTAATTTCTTTTGGGAACACCTGCTTTCTTGTGTGAACCAGATGTTTCTTCGTCCCGCGCTGGGCCCAGACGTTGATTCCTATTGCGAAGCCATTCGATTGTTTAAAAGCATCATCAAAAGCGAAACTGGAAATCTGTTTATAAATTGACAATCTGGCATCGGCTGGAATTAATGTAAAACTTGAACGGAGTTCAGAACTCTATATTTAAACTACATATCTCACCGTCTCTTTTTTTATAACTTGGACAGTTTGCGGTGATTTTTTTTTGGTTTTTGATCTTATCGGTTATTCACAAGGGTCACATGTGTGTGGAGCGTGAACGTCGTAAAATATGTAAACTCAAAAGAAGTGAAGGAAGCATTAATAATGACAAGAAAGTAGTCAGAAAAAGGAAATTCGCTGCGTCGCCCTTGAAACCATCATATCGGGCCGATCTACGTCTTCTGCTTCTATTTTTAGCAAAACGTTTGTTGACCTCGCGCGAATTCTGCCCAACTTTTCTCCTGCAAGTGCGCTTATATCTCTTCTGTGATTGATTGTCACTTCAATTATAGCCAATTTTTCTTTCATTTCATCATCGTTTCTTTCCGAGTTCCTTGTTTTCTGTTTTACAGGATCACCAGACTTGTTGTTAAACCTACCATGTAAAGTGCTTCATTGGACCTTTTTTCCTCGCATTTCCATTCTTTCTGTTAAGCTATTAATGGCGCTTGCAGAATACTAAAATAGAAAAGGATAATCCTAGATTAAGAGGACAATGCGCGAAAAGTTTCAAAAGAAATCGTAGTTTTCAATAGTTCCTTTTTTCTCCTTTGCTCGAATCTGAAAGATGCTGCATTTTCAAAGTTCGTCTAGTTTTAGTTTTGCTCTACGTCGGCTATTGATTACCAATTTTGTTCTGATCTCCGATATATCTGTCTTTGTTTTTTCTTTTCTTCATGTGGCTATCTAACTAAAGAACTAAATCCTTCAATAAGATTTGAATTTGATACTTCATTTCAAAAAAAAAATATCTTTCGATCCCTTACCAATGTTTGGAATGATATCGCATCGACAGTTGTCGAGAGAAAAAAACTCAACGAAATTCCAAAACTGAAAATAGCCTTGTCTACAGGAAAAATGTTGGAAAGGACTATGTTTTGCATAATCCTTGTCATTTTCGGGAGGAGTTCTTCAAATTCCTCTATAAAACAACATGCATTTGACGGAAGGCCGGGAATTAAAAAAAAAGTGAAAACACTCGAGAAAACTCGTTTGATTTCGCGCCTGTGGGGGATGCATTGAGTGTTTCTTTCCTCTCTTCGTTATTATTCAGAGCATTGTCATTGTCCGGCACGAACACGTTTTTTTTCCATAGAAAGATGAAGCTGAATGTTTTCAATGACCGAACTGCGCTTATGGATAGCAAGAACTTTCCCTTTTTCACTTTTTATTTTCATTTTGAGATTAAGAAAAAGGCATAAGATGCCGATTAGTTCATTTTCTTTTTTCTGAGACTCCTATCTAGAAGAAGAAGGTTTCTTGGTAGTGGTAGCCACGCCAAAAGATCATTCAAAAATCCTCGGAGCCCAACTGCAGACGCGACACCAAAGCGACGTGAGTTCGAGCGAAAAAAACGCAAGTCGACTGGGTATTTCGAGAGCCGAAGTGGTGCATCTTGCCGCAAGGGTGATCAAATCTGAAGCCGAGGCTCGTCCTCGAGGTTCGGCAAGAAAGAAAAGAGCGCCCTGGGCGACTTGGGGGGAAAGCGGCCGACGAAAATCGATGTGCCACTCGGCTGGCTCGTTTTCGGCAGCAGAAGCTCGGCACAGCCTCGGCCAGAGAAAACTTGTACACGTCTGCGGGTCTGGCGGCTCTTTTTTGCTGTTTACGCCGCCGCCCCGTGCAAACTATTTGATCCCAGCTCTCCACTACAATTAGCCCTGTTGTGACGCCGAATTGTAGGAGTTCGAATGGGCGCTGTCCGATTCTAGGTTCAAAAGTTCGCCGGTCTTGTTAAGCCAATGGTTTGCGGCTCAGTTGGACGGTTCAGTTTTTTGTTTTTCATTTTTGACACTCTGCTCAAACCGTCGAACTTTTGAGATGAGCTGAAGCCAAAATCGGCATTCTTCCGATCGTTTCGTCTAATTTTCCAATACATTTCTCACTGTACACCTACAGCTTTTTTCATGAGCATTTTTATTCGAGACACTCCTTTCCGTTATTGCACTGTACTTCCCCGAAGATCCAACCCCGTATTCCACTTCTTCCTTTAAACCATCAGCTAGCGTTAATTGAAGCCTGTTAGAATAGTTTGAACGAAAGAAAAGCGTTGAAAAAAGAATGTTAGGAGAATGGGCGGCGTTTTCTCTTTTTCTTTCCTATTCCAGATTTTGAAACCATGTTTTTCCTCTCCACAGCTTTTCGAACTTGAGATTTTCCATTCAAATGCGGAAACTTCATTGTTCTGTTTATACCTTTTTGATAACATTAATTGAATGATCAAGTTGGAGTTTACAAGTTTACATAACGAAGATTCTATTTTTCATATTCGAACCAATTTTTTTCATTTCGAAAAACTTGTAGGAACACCACTTTTTCCCACTGTTTTTCACCTCGTACTTCTCTTTCAAAATTTCCAAGGATTTTTTACCATGGATAAACAAAATAGGAAATAAACAAGGAAATACCGCAAGGTGATCAAAGGCGGCTGCTTCGTTGATGTGAATCGATAAACCGCGCCGCATTGTTCAACGATAAGAAGCCCCCCGACTCCGTTTTTGACGTCTTCTTTTCGTTGAAAAGTTGCGCGGCCGCTCTCTGGCAGAACTTCTAAAAATTGCCCTCGGGTTTCTCGAATTGCGACACGACTGTCGAAACGACTGAACAATTCCCGTCGAAGGGTCTCGCGTCATCTTTTCATCGGCGCCGCCCCAATCGCTTCTTAATACCCTTTGACGTACCACCTGGAGTGTTTTTCAAGTTCCTTTCGACTTTTTTTGTCATTTTCCAATAGTTCTTTTTTGTGCTTGCAAGGTTCAGCTTGGAACTTGTGACAATCCCCTATCGTTCCCAAGTCTGTTGGTTCCAGATCTTCTCAGACCAATTTGATAGTTTCGCATAGTCTTCCTTCAAGAGACCTCTCTTCTCAAAACGGTACAAAAAGAAAAAAGCTTTTTGATTTTCATACACGTCATGTGAAAGGCGCGTTTTTCAAAACTTCAAAAAGTTGTTGTCCCCAGAAGGCATCTATTTTAGATCATGACATCAATCAGTGTAAAATTGATTGAAACGCCCCTTTTTTGATCTTTCTGGTAACTCTATACCATTGAGTAACGGGGATGTTAACGTTTTGTTATGAACAGAGAGCGAAACGAGAAAATTTGCATTTTGTCCAAACTCGCGCAAATTCGACGCGTCTCTAACAGCAAAATTCCACTTTTTTTATAGCACCACCGAATTTTGTTCCACGTAAATAAATTCTTAACTTTCCTATTGTTATCATTTTGTTTGAATGAGAGCTTCCACAGAAAAAAGTCCCTTGGACGGTGCTGACCTCTACTGCCAGAAGGCGACTTGCGAAAGCTTTTCATCGATTTTTTTTTTCTCATGAATTTTCACACGCAAGCGTAGTTAAAGCCTCGGACGAACAGGCGCCGTTCGGTATTGTTCCCAACGATCCAATTTAGGACTGTTTTATTTTGCACCTCTGTGACAACATCGTCATTACCTGCGCAATTTGCCGCCTTTCCGCTTCGAACGATTTTTTCGTCACGCTCAGTAGTTTTTCAAGCCTTTCTTTCACGCGTTTGATATTCCTCTTGAAGAAAAATATTAAAGAATATAATATTTTTTTGTAAACTCGGAGATAAGTTGTTTAGCGAAGGTTACGTCTCTTTTTTTCATAATAGTTTTTTTATAATGATTTGTTCAAATATCAGTGTTAACCCTAAAGAGTTCGTTTTGAGTTACATTTGTAGGAATAGAGGTGAAAAATTCCTCAAATTTATCGACACAAAAGTTTTGAATTTTTGTTTTTCTAACTCTCCAAAAAGTTTGTTTCCCGTCGGTTAGAGCTTTTTATTACCCGATCATAGCCTTTTTTCCAAGCATTTTCCCAGCATTTACCGCAAGAATAGCATATGACGTCGTGTTTGACTAACATACCGGCCTTTTTGGGCTTAATCTGGTAGGTCTCGAAAAATAAATTCATGCCTTTTTCATCACTTTTTCCGAATTTGTTTTTCTTATGGCGACAGTTAAAGAACTTTTCCTCCATGTCGAAAATTTGTTTTAAAAGTCGAATGGTGTTGACTGCTCTTTCTGGCTCATTTACGAACAAAAAGTCAATAATTTTAGACACCTTTGATCTTAATCTTCTTATTTTGACAAGAAAGGTCATTTTGCTTTGCGGTGCGGGATTTTCTTGAAAATCGACTAGGACACTCCTGGATGTACCAGATGAAGATCGGGCTTAGGTCTAAACCTGTACAACTTCCTAGTTTTTGAGATAAGGGGCTTAAAGTACAAAAATGGCCTGTTTTAATGGATTGTTTTCGTTGACTTTGAGGCCTCATTTTTGAAAAACCAAATAGTTGTGCAGGTTAGGATTTTCAGGCTTCCCATCTGGTGGGTCAAGAAGTGTCCTGGCCAATTCTCAGGAAAGTGAAATGAACTTCCTAATGAGGTAGAAAATAACCGATAAGATGATTTAAACGGGATCTGTAGTTTATTGATGGATCTCAGTATGGAAGCAATAGACGTTCACAGTTTTTTTCCCGGCAAAGTGAAGCCCAGAAAAGAGCCAATAATTATAGAGTGGCAAAAGACGGAAGAGATCGGAATGAGCCGAGGAACATGGGTGGTTGCAACAAAAACAAAAAGCAGCAGGTGGCTGTTTTTTTTTGTCCGGCGACACTTGTCGTTCTCTGAGTGTTGCCGCGTCGCCGGGGAGCGGCGTCGCGATCGCTTCGCGCCATTTTATCAGTGATAGTCGTCGCTCAGTGCCGCTCACTCGGCCATTTTTTTTTGTCCCATCCACGCCGATACGCAAATGTCCGATTCACGTGTGTCCAGTCTAATTATGCGCATCAATTGCTTGTCGCCTCGCAAACTATTTTCCTTCTCCTACTTGGCTCTTTCAGGCCTTCTCCACTCGAACCAACCTCTCATTCCCGCGATTCTAATTTTTAGAAATGGTCGTTTTGATATGGAAATTCAAGTAGTTTGAAAATTGATGTCAGATTTTTCAGTGCGAAAAGAGGAGAACAACATTAGATCAAAAATTTATATTTCAAAAGTAGGTTGAATTTTTTTGAAAAAGAAGGTTCGGACTTGAAATAAAACTCGAAGCATTGATTTTTTTTGAGCAAAAGCTTTTAATTAGGTGGCTACATAGAAGGATTTATATGAACTTAATTGCAATTCAATTTCGAAAAGTTCTGAGCGCCGGTAACCTGAAATTCCCATTGCCTCAGATAAATTAGGTCAAAGAATTATTCTTGATTTTGAAATTGATTATCGACTATTGAACACATTTTAATCACTGTTCAACAAACAAAATAACAAGCCAAAAATATGTATTTTGAGAAAATCACATCATTCACGAATTGTGTCATTAAAAAGCTTGAAGAAGCCGTAGTGAATGAAATCACAAAGATCATAGAGATCGAAAAATCAGAATCTTCGTCTAAAGACCGCAAAGCCCCGCCCCTTTTCGCGATAGAAAAATGCACTGGTTTTTTAGATTTTGTGTTCGTAAAAACGCAATATTGAATCAAAAACGGATAAAATTGGATGAAGCATAGAGAAAACCTTCCTTTTTAACCTCATATACTTTTACCCGATTTTCGAAGCGTTTCGGCGGAGTGTCGTACAAAAAAATTAAACGACTTCTTTGATTCGAACTTTTCACCTAGTTCCAAGTCGAATGCTCTATTTTTTTCAACTTTTTTTAAATAGGTTTCTATGAGGAAAAATGATTTTTTTAAAAATTAAAAAAATTAAAAATTCCTGTGTAGCCTAATCTTTGTGATGGCGCGCAAAGTTGACCTCTTAATTTAGTTTTTTTATACTTTTTGATGGTTCTAAATAGGTTCGATCTGAAAATCCTTCCTTTCGGGAAACGTTCTGAGTCACATCTTCTGCCTCCATAGTCTCAAGTATTTCAGAATTGGGCAAAACTTCATACGTCAGGCTCACTTTCTTTTTCGATAAATTCTAAGTTCAGCCATATTCAATACGTTTGTTTTCTCGTCAAAATTCTTTCAAAAACATACTTGCTCCTGAATCACCGCTTTCTCTTTCGTTTCGGTTTCTCAAAACCAAGACAAAAAAAAACATTGGCGGGGGGTTCCTGCTTCATTTCTCGACGGCGCTCGCCTCCTATTTCTTTTCAATTTGGGAACAGAAATGGAAAGAAAGGGGGGAAAAGACGACGTCATCGCTTCTGCTCCACTCTCTTCTTCTTTTTCTTCTTCTACTTCTTGTGCTTCGCCTTCTCCCACCACTTTTTCCTTGATCTCTAGCTGCTTCATTGACATTTTCTGATTATGATATTTGTTCTGAATTAGGCAAAGATTTACGGTCTCACACTTTTAAATTTTTTTTTGGATTCCAACTGAACGCTTATTTTTTTTCTTTTATCCTCTTCAACTTATCGTTTCGTATCATCCACAAGGAAGGTAATTTTACTTTTCGGTTGGTATTTTCCTGAAAATTGTCCAGGACACTTCTTGACCCAACAGATGGATAGCCTGAAATTCCTAGCCTGCACAACTTTTCAGCTTTTCAAAGTCAACGAAAAAAATCCTTTAAAACAGGCCATTTTTGTACTTTGAGTCCTCATATTTCAAAAACTAGGAAGTTCTACAGGTTTAGACTTTCATTATCTGTATCTGATACAACCAGGAGTGTCCTGGTCAATTTTCAGGGAAATCCCAACCGCAAAGATTACCTTCCTTGTCAGTTTGTTGGCAAAATTTCATGCTTGATTAGTTTTTTTTTACATGTCCGAGAAAGGTAAAAGAATTCAAAATAGCATGCGGCGTGTTCAAAAGCGGCCGCTAGTGTAGCGATAAACATTGTTTCTCTATCGAGCCAATTGTTTGCTCTATTGCCATTTTATCACCACAAATTTGCTACGAATCAACGATTTTCCTCAGTCATGGGAAAAGTTAATGCATTTCGAAATAAAAAAGCTGAACGTGTTCAAAAATTGAAAGCATATTGATGCGTGAAAAGGCATGTGTCGAGTTCCACATTTTCCGGGTTGAGGGGCTTTGTAGTTAATTTTATTGAAAGTTTAGAAATATTTTTGAAAATTTATTTTTGTCATTTTTCACACAGTTTCGGGCTTGAACTGGTCATAATTTTTTTCAAAAAAATTTGAAATTCTTATTTTTTTAACGTGTTCAATTTTTATCCGTTATTTATAATTCTTCTAAATCGTGTAAGATTGAAAAAAAGGCTCCAAAGAACCCGATTTTTTTGTGACTCTAGGCGTTTATTTTTTTCATAAAGTGATAAAAATATCATTAAAACCCACGCGACCAACCATTAAAGCTTTCAATTTTTTTCTATGAGAAAAATAAAGAGCTTCCGGTGTTACTTTTAACGATTTGATGTTGAAAAAACGAGTAAAAGGTTTTTTGAAGCGAAATCTTTAGAGAACTTCCAGAAGTGGTCATGGAAGATTTTTTTGGTTTTTTTAAACTTTTCAGTACTAGTTGTTCAAAAAAATATCTGGAAGCTCTTTTTCGAACTTTTTTTTTGAGTTAAGAGATTTTACTATTTATTTAAAGTTTACTTATTCTATTCCGATGAAGTTTTCAGTTCGAATAATAAAAATAAACAGTTGAAAAGCAGTTTAGTTGATAAAAATTTTTCTTAGGAGTCTGAATAATCTTTTTTTCAGACTTTTTTCAGATTTTTTTAATCAATTAACTTTTTCCTGAAAAATCTTCTTCTAGCCGGCTTGCATTTTAGTTTTTATCATTCTATTATTTGCAGAACTATTCATAATCTTTATGAAATTTCTCGTTTTTTTCACTCCTCAAGCACATTTTTTGATCCGTTTTCCCATTGCTTTCTATATGAGGTGCGCCCTCAGGACCTCGGCTCGATTTCAGCGCAATTGGCCTCTTAAAGGCCCTCGGAGACGTTCTTCACATTCCTTTCAAGACCCATTTTGTCTTTTGTTTTTGCTACAATTGTTCTGGACGCCAATCGATTCCCATTTTTCGAATACAATACTCGCCGTTGAAACTCTTGCTCGCGTCTTCTCGACTGTCGGATTGTTTCCGACAGAAGGGACGCTGAGTCGCTTCTTTTTGCCCGTCTGATGATGAGCTGCAGCAGTTTCCGGGAGAGCACGACGAGGTCGAACTTCCTGCCAGTCAGCCTTCACCCAGCAGCACCGGCCGCGCGGTGTATGTGCGAGGCGACCTCATGCTCAAGTTCCTCAAGCCAAAGTCCTCCGACGAGGGCAGCTCTAAGGACAGCAAATCCGGCGCCAGCAGTATGTTTCTCTTTTTACAAGATTTTTTTACGCTACAAAAAAGATAACTATTTGTTGCACCTCTGATAGTCAGGTATATTCAATAATATTTCGACGGTTCAGTTTTTTTTAGGGGGGGTATTTTTTCCGTTTTTGACTGCTTCGAAATGAATACTTTGCTTACCTGGACAGGATCCGTACCAGCCACCTTCTGGACCCTAAAAAAAATTATCAGAGACAGATTTTATCAAATTTTATCACCTTTGTCAGGTTTTGAGTTCTGTTATTCATTCCTAGGCTCACTGACTACTCTGTGAGAATTCAAAAATATAATCGCCAAGTCGAAATTTTTTTCTCTTTTTATGATTTTTACCTTTTCTTCCGCGATATTAACTCTAGTGTTATAAGCTGCTCAGAAAAAAAATTAAATTTTTTTGAGATCCAGATAAATTAGTGAGTCATCACCCCTAACAAGGGAGGTCATTTCACCTTTCAGCCTGTACAGCTCCCAAGTTTTTAGGAAATGAGGCCGTAAAATGGCCTATTTTAACGGATTTTGCTCAAAAAAAGGAAAGTCGTGCAGGTTGAGACTTTCAGGATCTTTTTTTGGTACCTCAAGGATTATCCTGGCCAATTTTCAAGAAGTTCCAAACCGCAACTTTAAATTACCTTTTTTTTTAAGCTCTCCATTTCTCTTTTTCCCACTCTTTTATAGTCTCAATCAGTTTCAAAATTCTACCCACGGGTGACTTTGTATGTTCCCGTTTTGATCATTCCTCTTGATCTAACCATAAGATCTCTCTGATCCTTTTTTCTTGGACTTTCCTGGAAACTAGGTATTTTTCAACAGTCGAGAGGTGGAAAACAAAAGTTTTGGGAGGAAATGGAGCGGAAGAAAGGACGGAGAGAAGCCTCGCGGAATTCGACGCCTCAGGGCTGGCATAATCCATGTGGGCCGAAGCATCGGAGCGCGTCGAGCAGTGCGTCGAAGAAGTCGCCGTCCGAGCCGATGATCGCCTCGTCCTTCTTCTACGGCAGCCTCAAGGAGGACAAAGCCAGGCTCCGTCGCTCCAGATCCTCGTCTTCTCGCAGATGCGCCTCTCCTTTTGCCTGCGCCGCCTATCACACCTCAGGTTCAAAACCCACATTCCATCACACAACTCCAAGCAATAACAATTTTCTTTTCATTAATTTTCGGTTTTTTAACATTCCGGCTATGCTGGTTGATCGAACTAGAAAAGATTCTCACGGCTGAAAATAGTCCACTTCAAGATTCAAAATTTCCATGGAAGGATGATTTTTCGAGTGATTCCTACATAAAAATGGCATTTTCATCGCATAAACTTTTCAAAAAAGTCAAAGTTGTTTAAATTTTTTTCAAGTGAGACTTCTTCCGTCCTACAAGAGTGAGCATGTACTTTTTTGGCTTTTTGGAAAATCTTCACTTATTCTGAGAACTTTGATGACTTTCTTCAATCGTTTTCTATGGATTTGCTTCTTCGCCCGAAAAAATTGCTTTTTTGAATATTTTGCAACACAAACTCACGGTTTAGGCTGATCTCTTCTAAAAATTGTTTCTTCTCTTCTCTGATTTCTCATCAGAAGCTTTGTTCCTGTTTTTTAAGATTTTAGTTGTTTTTGAAGAGCTTTCCTGTGTAAAAACCGAAAAAAAATGTATTGACTGATTGGTGGCGAGCAGCTGAGCGAGTAGGAGAACGTTACTTGTGCGATGTGCTCTGGAGCCGTTCCCAGCCGCCCATTCTGAGCAACAGGATGCTAAGGCCTCGACAGCTGATCGGCGTGGCCACCTACGTTCGCCAACGTTGGAGGTTGGAAGGGCCGAAAGCCGGGGCCCTGAGGCCGACATTGGCTGCCTTGTTGCCTGCTCGCACGTGGTGTTTATGTGACACAACGTGGCGTCAGCTGTGTCGAGAGGCGCCGCAGCCGCGACGCGGAGCCGAGACTCGTCGGACTAGAACCCACAAGACAGGCCGTCGCGGAATGCCGTTGGTCGACGCCGTTGGCAACATCCAGTGGAATACCACCGTCGACGAAGACGTCGAGTTCGACGACGACGACTGCGACGTCACCGCCAGCTTCACGCTGCCGGCGGCTGTCAGCGACACTCCATCATCTTCTTCTTACTCTAAGGACTACGAAATCTTTGGGGAAGAGGAGGCCATTGCCTTTTGTGAGTTTCAACGGTTTCTTTTTCAATTACACTTGTAATTTCGCTTTTTCTCTGTACTTTTTCTTTGCTTCTCAGTAGGGAAGACTTGACAATAATTTCAAAAATTCTCGTGATTTTTCTCAATTTAGTATTTTTTTTTTGACCATTCTTGAGCAAATCTCTGTTTTTCCATCCCCATAAATGATTTTGAACTTCTTTTACTATCGATGGTTGGTCTCAAGCTTTTTTTTTTAGCAGTCTAACTTGTATTAAAAATACAGGTGAATTCCAGATCATGATACCTTTTGACAGTAGAAGATCAAAATCATTTTTTCTCGATACTTCCAATTCTGATCAGCTTTGTCGACATTTTAAACAAAATCGATGCTGCGAATTTTCCAAAGGTTTTCTTCCCTGTCAACTGTTACCTGATATCTGGTTCGTTTCGACGTGAATTCCTCTCTTTTGGACTTTAAACTTTGTTTTACTTATTTTTACTACGTATTTAAGGACTTTCAAGGGCTCCATACTTTGTTTAAATTTTTTTGTGAAATTTCAGAATTCTTGCAGTTTTTTTTGAATTTTTCATGTCCTGCAGATATTTTTAGTCAGACATGTTGCTGGATCCAAAAATTTTTTTCGAATATTGAAAAAATCCTCAAGAAGAGAGCGCCTACAGTACCGTCAGAAAAGATACGAAAATACGCGACTTTTTCGTGAGAAATTTATTCTTCCTGGAAGTTTCTGAAGCTGCGTTTTTTTCTCTGAACTGAAACTTCATCAAACTGTTCAAAGAAACAGTCATTATAACTCTAGAAAGTTCCAGAAACATTAAAATCCTTACAAGGAAGTTGTGACCGAAAAACTCCGTTTTTTCGTATCTTTTCTGACTTCTCTGCGCTCTCCTTATCTCTCGACGTCTCTCTCATGTTTACGTGCTTTTTCCATGTTTCTCTGACCTGATGAGGGAACAGAGAGACGCAGACAAGCGAAAACTGTCAAGTCGCGCCGGACTGTATCTACTCGTAAAACAGTAGATTTCTTCGTCGACCGTAGTATTCTACTAGATGCTTCCAACTATCTACCCCTAGAGATTTTTGACTCGGAAAAGGTCAGAAGAAAAGTGTTGGAACACCTTGGAAGCTCCCGAAAGTGGTGTCTTCGTTTTTTGGACGCGGAAGAGGCGGCGCGTGATCGAGCACCGACCAAACCGAAATTGGCTAGCATTTGTCCGTGTGGGCAGGATCCCCGAAGGACGATTCGCCTCGCGGCTCCGCTGGACGCCTCCGTCGGATGTCTCATGCTTCAATTCTCGTTCCTGCAGTCGGCCTTCCGCGCCTCTCTTCATTTTCAACTATGTACAATTTGCCGAGTTCTGAACGGTTCAAAACGGTTAGGCATAGGCGGCTCCACAAGACAGGAGTCTTTTTGAGCCTTTTTATAGGAATTTTTTTGAGCTCTGATTTTAATTCCTTTTTTTCTTTATTTCTAATTCGTTTCAGAGTAATTTTTTTAGAACTTCTTCACTGGATGCTATTTAAATGATCATTTTTTTCATTATCTTCAAGAAAGGATTAATTTTTTTGGATTAATTCAAACTTTGTGATCTTCACTTTTCCGAGGAACATAGATAGTTTTTTAAGGGATTTTAGGGACATTTATTCTTTAAGAAAACTGAAAGTTCCTACTTATCATGCTAAATTTTTTTTTTCTTGTGTTCCCACCTTCAGATTTTTTTCAGTTAGGTACTTTCTTATTCGTAAAATAATGGTTTGTGCACCTCCCGCCTTCATTTTCCACTGGTTAAAAAAATTTAGAAAAAAATTAGAAAAAAATGAAAAAAATTTGGTTTTTCATTACTACATCTATGGTTCAGGCGCCAACCATTAAGCTAAAAATTTTAATTTAGTTTTTTTAAATATAAAAAAATAATTGACACAGAAGGTCTCCTCAGAACCCATAGTATATTTAAAAAAATTTAACTTTCTTTCAAAAATTTCCTTTGCTACTATCCTTTTTTCATTGGCAGAAAAAGGAAGTTTTCCACATTTGGAAGGGTTTTCGGTAGAGTTTTGCAAGTGCATGGAACAGTGTGGCGCACTTTTTGCGACTTTCAGAATGAAACGGAGGTCCCCGGGGACACGTTCATCATGTTTCTTCGGCGAGTGACGATGGTTTTGGCTCAGAATGTCCGAAACGGGGATTCCGATATGCCGATGTTGTCTTTTGAAAACCATTGGTTCCTTCTGAGTTTGGAAAAAGTAGAAAGATCCTCTGGAACTACTAAGTCGATATCTTCTTTTGATTTTGGAAAAGTGCTGTTAAATTTTCAAGTGGACCTTTTTCGAGTCGAGGCGCTTCTGAAGCGTGGCTCTGTTGCGAGCACCTGCTGCGGTCGATTTCAATTAATTCTCACCCGCCGATTGGTCAGTTGTTGCTTTTCGAAGCAATCAACTAGAGAAGCTCATTGTGGGAACAAATGCAGAAGGAAAGAGCCTCCAGCTTCTGATTTCGCAGTGAGGACTTACTGAAGGAGTTAATTTGTTCAAAGTGTCTTTTTCATTTTGAGGAAAGTTTCTTGTGTTTCTGGGTATATCTCACAAGGAAGGTCATTTCACTTTAATTTTCTGAAAATTTGCCAGAACACTCCTTGACTTACCAGAGGAAGATTCTGAAAGTCTCACCCGGCAAAACCTTTTGGTTTTTGAAAAAGAAGACTTCAAAGAAGGAGTTTATCCTCAAGTCCGTTAAAATAAGCGGTTTTGGGACTTTGAGCCTTCATTTTTCGAAAGCTAGGAAGTTGGGCATTTTGAGACTTCAGAACCTTCTTCTGGTACATCAAGGAGGACCGCATTTCAGGAAATTCTCAACCGAAAAGTGAAATGAGCTTTCGGTGGTATGAAAAAAAGACCAGCGAAAATTCAAACGGTGACTTTTCCGATTTTTTCGTATCGCTAGGGAACTTTCCGACGGCCACCTTTCCGACGAAACTTTCCCGACTTTTTTCCCTTATAGTTTTCAGTTTGTAAAACATCTATAAACATTTTTTTTCCCATTTTTTTGTGTTTTAATCATGAACCAACCACCTACTTTATATAGGAAGATTTAAAACGAAGAGTTTATCGAGAAAAAAAGTCGTAAAAAGATTCGTCGGAAAGGTAGCCGTCGGAAAGTTCCCTAGCGATATGAAAAAATCGGAAAAGTTGTCGTTTGAATTTTCGCTGGTGTTTTTTTCATACCACCGAGCTTTCTTGTCAGTCAACTCTATGGTTTTTTGCCAAAAATTGTATTTCTGTTCAAATTTTCCATTGGAAAGTTGAGCCAGTTGAGCCAGAAACGATGAAATTTCCTTGATCTTCTTGATTTTTCATTGTGGCATAATTTTGATCTTTCTTTAGCTTTTTCTCTGGAATCATCTTATTTTCAAGTTTTTCACCGAGTTCTGGACATGAATAATCGAGAACTTTCGTGTGTGGTCCGTAAGAACCAAGCTTGAGGAAGCGGGATCGTCATCCCAACCCTCGTTCATCAAGTTTGAGTTTCTCCTACACTGAACGAAATGTAGATTTGTCCGAGATCAAAACGATGCTCGCAGTCAACAGGAGGAGGCGTGGCGGGTTGCCGCGGAAGCAACGCCGTCGGCCACTCACGCTCAAACTCTCGCTCACGCCGAAGCCTAGGGCCGTTCACGTCGATTCGCAGTCGCCTCCGCCCTCGTCTGCCCTGCGCGGCTCCGAGTGCGAGTCTTGCTCCGTTTCGTCGTCGTCGTCGTCGTCGTCGTCGTAGTCGTCGTGCTGCGAGCGATGCCACAGCGACTCTAGGTGCTCCTCCAAGTTATGTCCTCGAGCAGCGGTGGCGTCAACCGAAAGTTCCAGACCAAATTCTGTGAGCGCTCTTCTCATGTTTTCCATTGAATACATCTTCGTTTCAGTGTAATGTCCCCTTTTTTCATGACTTTTTTGAAAACAGCGTATCGATTTTTTGAAAAATCTTCACATCTTGGGGTTCCAAAACTCCTTGATTTGTGCCACTTGAAGAAGGAGTTTTGGCTGAGTCGACGCCGAGATCAAGACCACAACAATCCTTTTCATTTCTTCGCCGCATTAGCTCCGCATAGTCGAAAATTTGGTGGAACATTTTGCAAATCCGATTTTTCTCCAGTTGAATGAGGGTCTCATGAATTCTAAAATTTCCAAATTTTTGATGATTAAAGTCATATTTTTAAACTGGTAGTGTAGTAATATGTTTTTGAAAATTTTTTAATCGCCAGAATAATTTCTGAATTGAAGGAATAAAAAAATAAGGTTCCTTATCAAAAGTTTATTCTATTTTTTTTATAAATCAATTACTTTTTTTTACTTTTTTCAAAATTTTCTTAAATTTTACCATTGCAAAAAATTCAGCCGATTTTTTTCTTTGGATTATAATAATATCTTATATTGAGTTGACTATCTCTGATAATTTTAAAACAAACAAATTAGACCAGTTATGTTGATCCATTGACCCCTAAAGTGGCACTAAAGTTTTAGTGGTCTAGTAGTAGCACTTAGACCTCTATAGGGGCCACTAACATTTAACCCCTCAAGTGGCCACTAATCTGACTACTATAGTGGCCACTAAAACGTCAAAACTCTTTAATGGCCACTAAAAGTTTTCACAGAGAGGAGGGAAAAGTGTATATAATTCATAACATTTTCTGGCTTTCGCAGAATATTTTTCTAACGGAAAGCCTGTCACACCCTCCGTCTTAGGGTGAGACTGTACAGAAAAAAAATCGGATAAGTCAGTCACTTTGTGGAATTTCCTGCCGTCGCTTTTGCTGTGTTCTTTTCTTTCCATCTTCAGAAGTTTTACGCCGGTCTTGAAATATTTCTACAAAATAAGTTGAGAATCTGAGCAAGAAGGGCAATACTCTTTGCCCAAAAATGGTTTGGAATTCAGAAAGCGCAAGTATTTGAATTGAAAACGGTCTGTTCATGCATTTTGTGTGCTTTTTTTGGACCTTTCTGAGCTGAGCTCTGAATTTTCAGGATCAAAAAACCCTGGAAAAAGTAGCTTGCAAAAATTTAAATTTTTATTGATTATTTTTCTGCAAGTTTAATCAACTTATTTTCAGTCAAAGAGTTCCTGGACAAAGCGCGGGAGGACTTCAAACAACGATGGGAAAAATCCTGCACAGGTGGGTATTTGAAAAAAATGAATTTTCTCTTTTTTTAAGTGAGGAAGCCGGCAAGTTGGTAATTGATGTACATAAAAGCTTACGCGCGGAAATTGCAAAGATAAAAAGATGCCTGCCATTTTTTTCCGACATTTCCATGTAATTTATTTGAATGATGTGTGAAGAGTCGGTTTGGTTTTTGAATATTCCAGTTTCTTGTTGAATTTTTTCAAGCACCCCCATTTGAAAATTTGTACCCCTTTTTCTTGGAACTGGATTTTTTTGCCCTTTATGTAGAATTTTAATTTTTCAGATTGTTTCAGTTGTTTATATTAGAAAAATCTCTAGGCATTTTTTTCGCGTTCTACCGAGAAATTTGCCAAATTTAAAAGCTATTTTTTTATTGAATTTTTTTAATGTCATTCCATTCACTCGCGCCCTTTCTGAAAAGGAATCGACCCCCACGAATTTCGGCTTCTTTTTCAGTTTTGCGCTCACCAAACTCTTTTCAAGGGGACAGTTTTGTTTTAAATACTCAGATATTATTATGAAATAAGAGAAAGAAATCTCTTTGATAGATTTCTCAAGTATTTTTTTATAGTTGAATGAATGCCAAAAAAATAGAATGACCATGCCTCTTTACGACATCGTTTGAGAGACGCGTGGTTTGAAAAAAACGGGTTCTCCGATTTGGCAAAGAAAAAAATACATCAGTTTAGTTGATTAGAAGTTATATCAAATGTTGCTTTATTTTATAAAAATAGGAAAAATATTCGAATTCTCCATACTGTTGGAAAGCTCCATTTTGTCCAAAGATTTGAATCAATTTTTTAAAATTGAATCAGGAATATTTTCGAATTTTTGAATGGGTCCATGTTTTCATTATAACCGTTAAAAAGATATGACAAGTTAAAAAAATATCTCCTATCAGTTTATTTTTCATTTGATTTGCTAGAGGCGATAAAGAACTAGACGTTTTTTCTTTGTTTTTTTGAGTAGTTTATTTTAAAGATGTCGGAGAGCCCCTTTGAAAATAGGAGAAAACTGACAAGATCCGGATACTCTATTAATAAGTGATGGTGTAAGCAGTACTTGCGGAAAAAGCCGCTATTTATAAGTTGTGCCGGAACGTGAAGTTGTCTTGCGACTGAGGCTGGCTCGAACTGTATACGTTTGGACCCTCCTCGCGTCTGCACTTTGCGCTTGCATCTCTCACGCCAAGCCACGCCCACAATCTCTCTGCCTCTCGACGTCTGGACAGCCCTCCCGTTCAGACCGCGTTTCCCGAATCCTCCCTTTCTTCTGGTCCCTGAAGCATCAATCCACGTAACGTCACGAAACTGGTTACCATACAATCAAGAGCCAAGCCAACGGCGCCGTTGCCGCACCATCGACGGCTCGGGCTGATGGCGCCGGGGGACGAAGAGAAGTGGCCACGACGTTCTGCCAGCACCTCGACGTCCTGCGACGACTGCGTTCACCGGCTTTTCCGGGCTGGTCACCTCAAACCGCCAAAGTCGCTCGCCGGCTCTCCTGATGACGAGTCTTCTTCGACGACGACTCGATCCTCTTCTTCGGCCTCCGCCGCCAACTTTGCCCAGGGCGTTTTCCCAATAACGCGAGCTACACCGCTCCGTGGAGGCCTCACCGCCGGATTGGCCGTGAAGAAACGTCGCAGCTCCTCGTCTCCAGAAGACTCGACTCGGGAGAAGATTCCCCACATTGAACGTGAGCAACGGTTCTGCATCGCCGTCGCCGCTGCCGCCGCACCAACCTCGACGTCGTCGGCGTCGGCTTCGGCAGCTCTACACGATCTCCAACAGCCGTCCACCTCCGGCTCTTCTTCGCCTTTGGATCGCTTCTCCTCCATAAAGAACATAATGAAACGCAGTGCTTCCGAGGGCAAAGACATCAACCTCACCGCCGAACTGTTTTGGATCAAGACGCAGCTCTCCGACCACTGGTCCATGAAGTGGATGTGGCAGGTGAGATCAACTTTTTTTTTCGTTACAATTGATTTTTAGTTGTGTTGTTTCATTTCAAAGTTCTATAATTAGAACATTGAGTAGTTTTTTTTGGATGGGATTAGCTTTTTGAACGTTCTAGATTTTCTGGCTATTTTGATAACTTTTGCAACATCGTTCGAGCTTCTAAACAGAACCATCAACTGTTTTTTTTTCTAAGAATATCACATAACTTATATAGATGGGATTGAATTATCCTAGGCAAAGTCTGAAGGGCTAAAAAAAGCACCGTAGGAATGTTGCTTTTAGGGTGACAAAGGTTCCTTTTTTGCTGCCTTTTTGCGCCATTTCATCGGCTCTTATGCACCATTTTTGCTGCCTCTCCCTTTTTCACCATTTCTTGAGCCTTTAAAAATGAAATTTCGATAAAGTTACTTTGCTGCCTTTCTGCGGCCTTTTTTGAGCCTTTAAGCGGCCATTATCCACCATTTTGACTTTGTCCGAGGGAGTTCAAAGAGCTATAGAGACCAGAGTTAGATTTTTTCATAATTTGTAACGATATTTTTTGACTTCTTCCTGTAATTGAACGAAAAATTCCAGGAAAAAACTTTAAAGTTAAAAAGCATTCATAGACGAGTTATATGTATGAAAAAAGTCAAGTTTAAAAAATGAAAAAAAAAGTTGTTATGAAAAAAAGCAACTTTTTGAGATGTAGTTTAAATTTTATGAACAGAGGTTTTTTTTTTGATTTTTTGAGTGCAATCTTTGCTTGAGCATTTCGCTTCTCTGAATGCGCAGCCTCAAGAGCAAACTCACCTCCGGGTCAGATCGAACGAAAAAAACGTCGACTTTTTGCCGCAAAAAGAATGAAATGAGTCTTGTGTGGGTCTAAAAATAGCTCGGCAATATGCTCGATGTGCTGTTGTTGTGGACGCCGAGCCGCCAAGCCGTCTCGCGCTTTTCCGCAGTGTTTCAACGGCGCAGCGCCTGCGTCTCTCCTGCATTCGCCGCCGTTTAGTTGTTTGTCGCAGTCTATTTTTGCCCCGCACTGCTCCCCACAGAAAGGCGTTGTGCGGGGGATGCGAAGGCTCTAGATGTACCGTCGAGAAGAACAAAGCTTACCAAAAAAAGCATTTCGAGCCGAAAAAATGTAGCGACCGGAAGGTCAGCTTGCCTTTATTTGGAATAAACTAGCTTGAGTCAAAAATGACTGCACAGAGTGTGTAACAAGGGAGGTCATTGAAAATTGGTCAGAACGCTTCTTGATGTACCAGAAGATGATCCTGAAAGTCTCAACCCGAACAGCTTCCTAATTTCTCAGAAAACAGCGTTGAAACTTCGAAAAGGACCTATTCCAACGGACTTTGAAAATTTTCTTCGAACTTGACCCTTCATTTCTCGAAAACTAGGAAGAGACTCTCAGGATCTCCATCTGGCACATCAAGAAGTGTTCTGACCAAACTTCGAGAAATTCCCAACCGAAAAGTAAAGTAACCTCCCCCTGTAAGCCTCTTCAGTTGTTCATTTCAATAATCTCATTTCTAAAACCACCCTTGAATAAAATACACGTTTCCCAATTATTTCAGCCGAAAAAAAAACGCGCCTGGGGAAGACATCACAATTTCCTCTGCTTTCTATTTTTGGATGCGATTTCGCATTCCGCTTTTTGATTGTAATGTCAGCCAGTGAGACAGGAAATTGACACGTTCGTCGAGTTTTTTTCCTACCAGCCTTTTCGAAACCAAAAAAAAATTGAAGTAATAACTTTCCCTGTGTTCATGTGGGACACTGGGGAACGCAAGAGCATTTATTTTCAATTTTTCGAGTCGTTTTGCTTTTTTAACGTCAAGGCCCTTCTTCTTTTGATTTGAAACGAAATTGAGCTGGAAAGAAAGTTCTTTTGACTATCTCGCACGGATTCTTGTCGCCTACAGTTGCATCAAATTATTGTTTTTTGATTCTTTTGAACTTCGCTCAGCCGATTTGAGCGTTTCTCATTGGTGGCTCCACCGAAAAAGTCATGAGATCCAAAAAAAAAACTATCCGAATCTCTCATAAAGCAGTAC